AGTCGATCCTCCGTCGCTGTCAGTCCGGGCAAATTGTGCCCGTCTAGGCCAAGCCGGCCACTAGGGCGAAAGGAAGTGTGGGGGAGAGTGAGATACTGTAGAGAGAGAGGGCCTCGAGGGTAGTCAAAATGTCTGCCCTCCGTATTCCCGTCCCGGGCACAAGTCGACTCAAAAAACCACGACTCCAGCTACCTCGGCTTGAGTTGTTTAATTTTTAGCCACTCGGAGTAATTTCCAACCATACGAGTCTCGTTGTGTAGCACTGACTAGCTAGACCGGGAGTCTAATTCGCAGTGTGGAGTGGTTCTGGTTAGCACCCGGTGTTAGCCCATTTAGCGGTCATTTTTAAACATATCTGTTTCCGCTTTTGAATTCCGGGCGGGCCTTTCCGCACGACGGTGGCCACGAGCTTGAAATCTGAAACACGTCGAGTTCACCGTATCATCACTAGCGTCCTGGACACGCGTTGTCGAGGCCGCAATGGGGCACTAGTGCAAGCCCGGGTCTTGGCTAAGCCCCACGGTCCGTCGAAAAATCGAGACCCTCTTTCCAAGACAGTTGGGTCGTGGAGGCTTTTGCAGCGGTGTACGGAGGAAACTTGGTTAGTGTGTGCGTTGCAAGATGCAATATGATGGGGATAATGTGCAATAGGGATGGCTTTTTTTTTTTTTTTTAGGGTTTTGGCAGTGGACTGGCTTTTTTTCCGACCAGGACTGGCAATGGGTTTGCTTGCAATGATAATGGAGATAACCTAGGGCTCGGCCCTGCGGTGAAACGTGGTGACTAATGAGTCCAAACAGCTGATTCTACGAATTCTACGAGACAAAACTGCTTATCCGTCCTAATCTAGTAATACTGTACAATTGCAGTGGAACTATCCTTGTGATTGCGAGATCCTGCTGTATGTTTCTCACGCTCCATCAGCTTACGACGGATTTCTGACTGTGTCTCGCTTCGGGTGTCCCACCGTTTCTTTTTCTGTCTCTCTCTCTCTCACACATCGTTGCCACACATATACTGCGGATATTAATTAATGTATATCCTACCTGCTACCCTGGACGATAATATCGCGCGATCGGGGCTTAACAATGGCACAGCCGAACCGACCAATTGGTGGTCTTGCCACTGGTAACTCCATGTCAGTCAAAGCCCAGGCGAGGCTACCGCATTTACCCGGTTCCAACTGCTGTGGTAGATGGCCTATCATCTGATCCTGTGATGATGGGCATCTCCGTGGTTCACCCATCCCGATTGGCATGTGTTCTCTCTTTACCGAACAGCCAAAGTGCGGGGAAAGACTCGGCTAACTATAGGGTGACGATGGATGCCATCCATGGGACGGCTATGAGAGATGTGTGGCCATTCACGTTCATACCTCTTTTCTCCAGTCCCGCAGTATCTCTCGGCTGGTCACAATCATATTCCCGTGTCGTCACTCGGACCTCTCTCTGGTGGACAAAGGTAGTATTGAAGTGGACTCAACCACAGTCTGGTACAGATATACGCAGAGCTCTCCATTCCCAAGCCAATCTACGGAGTAGTGGGAATCCGATATCCACTACGGAGTACTCGGAATATGATAACAGCTCCAATCCTCAAACTTTGAGTGGACAGTGGACAATTTGAGTTTTTTCTGCTCCCGCGGCCAGTTCCGAGCGTGCCAATTGAGCCACTAATTCTCTAGACGGATTAGTGTCTAGTTTGACTGCCTGGTTCATGAGCATTACTGACATAAGGACCAGGTTCCTGAGAGTTATCATACAGGGTACACGATGCTTTGCGCTTCTCTCGAAACTGATAGGCCGCACGTGCGGGAGACGACCCTCGGTATCCGCAGGATTCCTCCAGACTCCAGAAGATTAGCATCGATCGCCCAAACTCTGCTTGGCTGGCGACCCTGCAGGCGTGGTGCAACTGGTTACTTCTCCCGACGCTAGACCAAGCCAGGTATCTAGTCCCTTTTGACCCGGCAGTTGTCCCATGGGACGGACCTTGCGTGCCTGGGGGGTTGGTCTAGCATGGTTCCCGTTCCCCCCTCCCCTACGCCATCGCTTGCAACTTTCCGTTCTCTAGTCGCCGTGGACAACCGCAACAACGTGGACACAAACGTGGACAACGTGCGTGAACTTACACTTGGACCTCTCGCCCGTTACAGCCCGCCGCTATGAGAAGTGCCACTGGCTATTTGCTCTATTGTGGCGAACGCTCAGGAACGCGGATGGGGCTAAGTTTGTTTCTGGAAGGATCTTCTGCCTATCTTGACAGTACTGAAGTATAGTCCCCACGAAGTTGGAAATTGGGTTATGCAACGAGATTGGGGAATCGGGGATGGGGACCAACTACCCGATTGGATCGTCCCCGAGCCCTCCCTCGAGTGACGCTATGAAAATCAATGGGACTATGGAACTTTCGCGATGCCAAACTATTCTACCCTAACTCCCTGACAAACTTGGCCTAACGACAGGATCTCCGCAATAGAAGCGTTTCTTCAAACATGGGAAGTTGGGAACAGAGTTTCCCTTGACGAATTATTGCCAATTTGCCACCCGGTGTTCTTACGATAGACGGGAGACGGTGGGCGAAAGTCTGCGGTGCTGCACTCGAGTACCTACTGTTTTTATCCTCACTAGTAAAGGCGAAAGCTTCGCCATACTCTTTGGGAATAGTCTGCTCCCCACTCGTTTCACTCGTTCCAATTATTGCCACCAAGGCCCAGTGAACGAGTCCCAACCGTACAGCCTCGAGGGGTCTCGCGATAGCATATCTGACTCGTACGTACAGAGTACTCGGAATCGCTTTCGCAAGGTCCTCAAAAGTGCAGAGAATGGGCCAGGCCTTAGCTCGTGGGCGACGGAAAAAAAAGGTTCAATGTTGAAAGTTGGACCCGAGCCACCCCCATCCTTCGGGAGGACATTGTCCTGGATTAGGGCCGGTCTCCGCGATCGTACATGCATGACCCTTGACTCTGTACATGTACATGCACCATACAGCCAACGGGACAATCCTGTTGGTTTCCCAAAATTCGCGATCGGGGCAGGCTTGCAAATCGGAACTGGCCACATTGCGTATACAGTAGCTACGGTTTCGAACAATTATACAGAATACAGGACGCTGTACATGATTGGCAACAATTATTGACACGCTACTCCGTACTCTAACCCAAATCTGCGCCAACACGGGCCGGGAACCCGCTCTCACGAACCACCCACCGCATTGCTGGGAACCGATTCCGTGGATTCGCCCTCAGGAACATTCAGGAACCGGAACCATACTCCAGGTCTCCATCCTAATCCGTCCAATGAGACAATGCCCTGCCAGGATGGGAACAAGAATCCCTCCCGCGTACCTTGCAGGAGGACCCCCAGCGACGCTCGTCTCGCCCTCTGTCCCAGACTTCCAATATCCCTCCACTCCTCCACAGCTGAGACGGACCTCCGTCTCCTGCGCCTGCCGCGATCTCTGGGACTAATTGGATCATTTTTCCTTGGCACCAAAAAAATCCTCAGCCAAAATGATGCGATTGCCGTCCACAACCCAGCCGAAACCCTATCTAACTCAGGCCGCACTCTGGGTCGTGAGCTCTGCCGTCTGCCCCAATCATCATACCATGGCGCCATTCTGCCGGAGCGATCGAGCATCGTGCTCCGCAGGCCCTGTTTCATGTGCACCTGGCGCGGAGTTTTCCCGAGTACGCCCTCGATGGAGATAGCCAGAGGAAAGACCTCGATGACCCAGATCTGCCAGATATGTAAAACAGTATGTATGGACCATTCGATCTCTATTCCCCCCCCCCGTTGAATAGATCAATACTCGATCATCACCTTTTCTCCGAATTCACACTCCATTATTGTGTGAATCTCCCGCCTATAGTGGGAAAGGCGGCCGGTACCGTCCACACTATCCGTATCGATCTCGAATATTCAATAATATCGAACACCGTACGAAAAAGATAAAAGTATCCACTCGCACCGAAAGAAAGAAAGAAAAAAAAAAGGTCAACCACTCAGCACCGTATCGTACAACAAGTGCATCCGCAAGTACGGTACCACCAAGCATGGAGCACGCAACAGAGTCCTGTCCTTATCTCAGCCGTGGATTGGCCTCGCTCCCGCGATCGAGATCGACGGGTCGGCTCCATCTCTGATCAGATAGTGGTCTCCAAACACGGCACAGCCAGGGAAGTGACCGTGTGGTTGATGCACCGGCTAGCTAGACCTGTCGGAATGCCAGAATTCCTCCCCCCGGTGTCTCCATAGCTAGCTGGTCGACGAGCTAACGAATTCCACAGCGATCGTGAGTTGTACCCTCACATGGTCCCTCAGCCGTACAATGTACGTAATGGGAAGAACAAGTGTGGTTGCTTTTTCCAGCTTAGTTGCAAGCGAAGATCGTGCACCCACTGTTTCCGCGGATCGGACCCAAAAATTGGACTTTGCAGATCAGGTCCTGAGCCGATGAGATTATAGAATGTGAAAAGCATGTCATTTTCGATGTCTCCGAATGGAACCGCGAACATTTTCGTCAAAGAAGCAAATGTAGGCTCCAGTATTGCATGGTTTGTTTTATTTTGCTGCGTGGGTCATTTGAAATTTGTAGCGCGGCTAAAGAATAACACGAAGATCCTGTGGTTTGCTAGTAACCAATTCCCCGAGCACGTTGACGGAGCACGTTCACGCAAACACGAATGATTTAATTGAAGACCGGACGCCCCGAAGATTCTTCTGGAAGATGTTGCCGCGTCGGGCGCAGTTACTAAGGGTTTAGTGAATTGCTTCTTCCATTTTGGCTTCACTGCGCAATTCTTCAGGTCAATGCTGATCGTCCTGCCAGACGATGCCCAGATAAGTGACTTTTCTACACGTGCAGCACCCAGTGGGTACACAACTTGCCAGCGTGCGCCCATTGCGGCCGCGCACTGGCTGCCATCTCGTTATCGAGCCTGAGCACGAGCGGGTCTAAAAAGAAACGACGAAGAACACCAACTATCTGCACGGGAACGAATGAAAAAGAAACTCCATGTAAGTACTCTATCAAGCATTTCTCTTTGCTAACACTTCGCTGACACGAAACACAGGATGCTCGAGTGCAAGTCAAGTCTGTATTTTCGAGTCGAGTCAGCGCTAACGGCGCTACCATCAATAAAACCCATATCGCGATGTCGCCAAGCTCGCCATGGGGCATTCTGCACATAGCCGACGGCTGGATATCTTTTGATCATAGGGCAGCCGAGCAAATACTATTTCGGGTGCGAGATGATAGCTCTTACTTCATTCGATTCCCATATCGTGGATCCGATGACAAGTGCTCTTTCAGCCGAACCCTCCAGTGGATCAACTAAGTCTACGAAGACAACTCGCAAGGAAAAAAACCCCCACACTCGTACCATCGGCCCAGATCCTGCTTTCCAGACCACGAGCCACTTACTGTACAAGGTGAATGGCACGATCGAGCGGGCCGTTCGGCAGCGTCGGTAGACTTGGACCCGTACGGAGCACGAATTCGTAGCATCTAAGCGATGCCGGCCGAGGCGTGCCGACTTAGTTGGTTATTTCTCGCCAAAACGAGTGCTGCAATTACGGAGCTTGTGTTGAAGTTTTCTCTAGGTCCCGTTTCAGTGTCTTTGCTTTCGGCCCGCAGAGTGAAAAACTTTCGCGGGTCCAGCTCTATGTTGACCCAGATGTTCTCTCGAATGCGTTTCATCATACGATTGCGTCAGAGGACGCTGTTGTATGGTACGCTACCGAGCTCTGTGCTCCAGTTCGAGCCGGCTTCGATATGGAGAACTTTGCAAATATGGAGCTTGAGCTTCGGCCGAGCTCACCATGGCCATACTTGCGTGGTTGTGAGAATGCACGTGGGTTGAGGATTGCTCCATCAACGGGCAACCTGCGGCTCGCAATGATCAGGCCCTAGGGTTGCTCGTGCTGTGCCATTCTACAATCAGTGCTGCTCGGCAGATTCAGCATAGACGATCCTAACATAGATTTACTGACAGCCTGAGGCCTGAACCCCGGAGGAAAACTCTGATATCTGATTGCGCCTAGCTGGATAGCTTGCGGCTTTGATTGACTAAGTTGACAGAACCGATGCTCTTCAGCAGGACAGCAAGAATAATAATCTGAAATGGCCTCAGTGGATGGTTTATTGTAAGATCACGCTCCCATTGGGAGTCAGTCTCTTCCTATCATATATTCCATTATCCTCATCATCAGCCAAAAAATAATATGGGAGAAGAAAAAAAGAAGAGAAGCTCGTCCCTTGCAGAGAAAAAATTGTTCCACCTCGAACTGCTTACCTAATACGCGAGGTCGTGGCTGCACACCTCAGGCATCAAGGCAACCAAGCTAGCCAGCAACCGAGAAACCCCGGAACAAGTATTCTTCCGGAGTGCATCCACCGGCTGCTTTAAATTCTTCGCTCGCGAGACTTCCTTCCTCTCTTTTCTTTTCTTCTTCGTGCGGCGGCGCAGCTTCAAATTTAATACCTACCCGTGTTGCTTGGACGTCCACGGCCTTTGTCAAAGGGGCCTTCAGTGATGTTACCAGGTGTCGGTTGCGCCACAGACGAACGGAATTGCACACCGGTTCTTACTTTATAGGTCTTTCTGATTTTTCAAGGATGAGACCTTTTGGTTTGGGATCGGACATTACTATTTTATATGCCCATCAATTGTGGGTAGCTTCTAGAGTATCAGATATCTTAAGCAATGCAAAGATTTCAAGCAAGACCTTTTTGTCAGGGAGTTTTGGTCGTCCAATTCCAATGTAGCATTCTTTTTTATCTTCCGTGGTGTGGGCTCTGGAATTTCTCGACGTTCAGTCCCCATTCGCTTTGGTATATCTCTTAAGGTCTTTCGTTGATCGCTCTCGTAAAAGGTCTACAATGTCACCGTCTCTGGAATAAACACGAAATGCAGTCACCCTATCCAGTCATTGTCTACCAATTTTTGTTACTCGCCAGGCTCATCGCCAATCTTCTCCAGCTTGCCCATGGCTCTCTTCTCACCCGCGTCGCCAATAATGCGAATGCGGTCCACGCGCAGCTTCTCGCTCTCCCCGTCGCCGTCCACAAAGAAGATAACGAGGGAGGTGACGTTCTGGAACTTGACGAATCGTAGGTCGACGGTCGCAGTCCCCGTCTTCGCATCCCACTGCTCCGGCTTGATCTCGATCGTCTGTTCCGGGTTCGTGTCTTCCGCCTGCTCGAAGCCGAGCACGTGCGATGTGTTGGTGTAGAGCTTCAGGGTGCGCGGTCGCATGGGCAGCTCATCATCGTCCTCGTCGCTCTCGCCGGCAACGGGAGGCAGGGAAGTCACCTGAAGAGAGTGCACTTTGAGCCTCGACTGGAACGGGATGTACAGCATCAGCTGCTCGTCCGTGTCGCTCTCGACCCAGTCGGCACCACTGCTGCTACCCTCCGACTTGCCCTTGCCTTTGCCAGCCAGAGTTGAGGGCTTGGAGTTGTCGAACAACACGCGCGGCTCTCCGAACTGGTTGTCCCGGTTAAGCAAATCCAATCCCTTGGTGTCAACTTCGTCCGTCACATCGGTGTATCGCGCGGCCACCTCGGCACCTAGCCAGGTCGCACCGCTTGCCTCGCCAGATCCGCCATCGGACTTGGTAGCCTCCGATGCGAGTTTTCGGATCACGTCGGTCAGTTTCTGGGGATCGGCACCGGCAACGGTCTTGATGCTGCGGCCGTTCTCGAACACGACGAAGGTCGGGTAACTGCAGCGCATTGAGAAAGTGTCAGCCAAGTCTCATTCGTAGTGTATAGTTCTCTCAATGTCTCAAAACTCATCATATGGGGTAGTTGTATTATTCCACGTACGCTCGAACGCTGTAAGCCTGCGCAAGCTCTGTCTGTTGGTCACCGTTGACCTTGGTGAATGTGATGTGGTTCGGGCGAGACAGCTGCGATGCGAGCTTCTCGTAGACGGGGGCGATAGCTTTGCAAGGACCGCACCAGTCGGCGTAGACTATAATCCGCACGCAGGATGTCAGTCAGTGTTTTGCTTTTTATGGGTTCCCGCTCGATAGGTGGTCGAGCAAGGTGAAAGCGGGGTGCTGGGAAGATCGCGAACGCAACCGCGGGAGCATGAGCACTTACAGTCGGCAACGACAAAGCGTGAGGAGCTCAGCAGCGAGCTGAACTGTTCGGATGAGGATATGTTGATGACGGACATGGTGGGAGGTTGGGGTTGTAGAGTGTGAGAGAAGAAATGGCGGGGAGTCGGAGGAGGTTGTTTTGCCCGGTTCCTCAATATGTCATCCGCCCCTCGATCAACACGGCGCGGTTGAGGCCATATCATCAATCTCATGAGCAATATTCTTGGCATTAATCTGGCCGTGCTACTTATCAGATTAACTGTATGGAACTATTGAGCATTCAGTCTGTATCCGGGATTACTTTTCCTATCTTGCCTAGCCATCGAGAATGCAAGAGGACTTGACTGGTTGAGGAATATATATTGCGGTTCTGCTACAGCTCTCTACAGATCACAATGTACCAGGGCTTTCTTTCTTATTACGATTTATTTAGACATCTCTATGAGAATTTAAAGAAATTTTTCGTGAATTTTCAAGTCTAGGTAAGTAAGAATCTTAATAGGCCACCAAAGGGGTCTCATGTATTCTGATTCTTGAGGCATCCTAAGTGGATCTAAAGAGCTCCGTTCTGCTGGATTTGCCGTGCCTTGGGCTGCTATATTGATTAGATCTAAGAGAACACAGGAACAACAGACATCGAAAATCTTTATCGGTGCAAGTTCTTATACATGACCGGGTAAGAGAGGGAGATGCTGGGCCTCCAAGCGCTGTCCGTACAATGCCGTGTGATATGGCCAGAGAGCGACCAACTCTGCTGTGCTATTCCAGCGACAGTGAGCGCGAAGCTGACGGTATATCCGAGGTCAAGGAATGCAGCGACAAGCCTGGCAGGGATTGTGCCTGCTGAGCCAAAGGCCCAACTTTAGAGAATGGGAAGCCGGAGAGCCTGCAATGTGATCAGGCCTTCTCAACCACCTATGATGAGGGTGGTAAGAATAGACTCGCAGGTATCAAGTCTGATGCTCATGGGAATGACGACTCTGCCCAAGGGATGCAGATACCAAATCAAGATGTTTGCAAATGGGCGTATCTCGAAGCATCTCTCTCAGCCATCGTCCTCCACAGCGAAAAGCACCTTCAGCCAAAGACTGCACCCACGGCACCCAATAACAATTTCGCCATGGTCCGCCTCCCTCTCCAGATCATCCTCCGTCACCAAGAATCCTCTCTCATCACCACACCGGCAGCCACGGTACCAGCAGGCCCCGCTCTCGCCATCCTCGTCGCACGCCAGATCCTCCAGATCCACAATCTCCAGCCCAGTATGAAAGACGTCGCCGGTCTTTTCCCGCTCCGCGACCTTCAATCGGTCCAGTCGTAGGGTCCGGTCATATTCTGCGCGCAGAGCCGGGTCACTTAGAGTCTTGTACGCGGTGGTGATCTCGTCAATGGTACACGCCGGCTGGCCCGCAGCTTGATCGCCCGACCGCGAGAAGACCCCGTCGCGGGAGCCTGTTCGATTTATTCCTGCATCCGTCGCGACGGCGCCGGCCTTGTCGGGGTGATGTTTGAGGAGAGCCTTGTGATATGCGAGTTTGATTTGCTGCTTGGACAGGGTGGCCGATGAGGTCGTGAAGGGGATGCTGAGGATCTGGTAGTAATCGGTGAGGGTGGGAATTGGCCTTGTCATTTTCAAGAAGGTCTCATGTGTTCTCGTGCCCGGTTGGCTTCAAATGTCACGGATCGTCGTGCGCGGTGCAGGGCTGGCCGCCAGGCGAAGACGTATCCCAGTGTTGGGCGTTGGTCGCAAAGCTGACTAAAGTGATTCGACCAGGAAGGAAAGGACACTTGAAGCCGCAAGGTGCAGGAGAGTCGAGTCAAGGACGTGGCGAGGTGGTGAAGAAATCAACAATGGCGGGGAACAAAACGATCCGCCCAGAAAAAGTTGCCCAAATTATATGTCACTCTATGCACCATATTGCCTTTGCGAGGTGGGGCTTTCCTGTCTTAGCTGCCACCGCTTTTATGAAGAACGCCCGCCGGTTTTGGGTCGTGAACCGTAAAATACCAGGAAATTATATAAGCCGCGCCTTGGGTGAACTTGATTATCTTCCTAACTACGCATCCGCGACTTCCATGCTCCCCGTTCCACGCTCCCATACGATAGAGCTTTCAGGTCCAGGATCCTTTTGATTCTTTCAGAGATGTCAAATTGTGATCAAGCTGCCGTATGAAGCCTTTTCACTATGCCTAGCTTCTACGTTTGAAGTTCTTGGACTTACACCTTGTCGCCTTGCCTACAAGCGGTCATTCCATACCTGCCGAAAAGCAAACCAGCTATCTCGAATCAATTGAACAAAAATGGTCCTTTCAAGGGCTTCAGTATGTAAAGAGTTTCAATTTGAATGACCTTTGCTAGCGCTATTTGAAGGCTCCGTGGAGTATGAAATGGCTGTCATTCGGAATGCAGCTGAAATCAGACAAGATGGACCAGGCGACCTATGACACCTTGGACTTGGCAACCATGGGGTACCAGCAGGCGTTGTCCCGCAAATTTACCGTCTGGAGTATGCTAGCGCTAGCTTTCAGCATCTTGGGGACATGGTCAACGTTTGCGCAAGACTTGGCAGGCGGCTTGATGAATGGCGGGCCCGTCAGTATTCTCTGGGGCCTATGTCTCGTCACCTTCTGCAACCTCTGCGTGGTGGCATCCCTAGGTGAACTTTGTAGTGCTATGCCGACGGCATTGGGGCAGGCCTACTGGATCTTTCGCCTGTGGCGGTCCCCTTGGGCACGATTCGTCTCCTACCTCTGTGCGTGGATAAACACGTTTGGCTGGTGGACGCTCACCGCGTCGCAAATCGCCTTTATGACCAACTTTCTGCTTGCCAACAAGGCGATATTGGACGCTTTCTGGCCTGGCCCGAAGAGGTGGCTGTTATTTGTTGTCTACTTGGGCGCCACATTACTGCTCACCTTGCTTAACGCCGGTGCTTGCCGCAAGGACGGCCACCTGCCATGGTTCAACAACATCCTTGGCATTCAATTCGGAGTTTTACTTATTGCCTTCTCGATGGCCATGCTGATTTCAGTCGCTGTCCGCTCGGATCTGCAGTATCAGCCCGCCGGGTTCGTCTTCGGTCAGTGGATCAATCGGACTGGATGGCCTGATGGAGTCGTATGGTTTATAGGGCTCCTCCAGGGTGCCTATGGCCTGACAGCATTCGATTCCGTGATCCATATGTCGGAGGAGATCCCTGCACCAAGAGTCAATATCCCCCGTGTTCTGCTCTTGGCCGTCATTATTGGAGCAGTCACAGGTGGTCTGTTCATGGTTGTCTGCTTGTTTTGTATACAGGATCTTGAGAGAATCCTGCATTCACCTACAGATCTTCCCTTTACGGAGCTGGTTACCAGTACTGTGGGGCCAGATGGCGGTTTTGTGCTTCTTGTACTTTTTGAGATTAACGGTTTAGGCCAGGCGCTCAGTATTATGACCGCTACGTCGCGTTTGACTTGGGGCTTTGCTCGAGATGGCGGGCTGCCCTGGAGCAACTACCTTTCACATATAGACACGTATTGGAACGTTCCAATGCGAGTCCTGTGGGCCGAAGGATTTCTCATCGCAGTCGTGGGGGTGCTTTACCTCTTCAGCAATAAGGTGCTGCAAGCCGTGCTGAGCGTAAGCACGATTTCCCTTACCATCTCCTATGGTATGCCTATTGCGATTCTAGCCCTTGTTGGACGCGATAAACTACCACCGCGGAGATTCCATTTGGGTCGATGGGGTTCCCTGATTAATTGGATTAGCATTGTCTACTGTGTGGTCACCGCTGTCTTCTTTTTCTTCCCAGGCTCACCGCGGCCGTCTTCTGCTGATATGAATTATGCCATTGTTGTGTTCGGTGTCATGTTGGCGCTTTCTGTGATGTTCTGGTTTTTGAGAGGCAAGAGTGCCTATTTGGTCACCGACAGGTCTATGATGGAGGCTATTCGAGCGCAAGGCTTGCATCCAGCAGCCGAGCAGCTCCGCGCCGAGCAGATCAGGTTTTACTTGGAGTCTGACCGTTCAGGATTGGCGGCACCCCGTTTAATGGCACTTTGGACCCTCAACACCACCGAGAGCTTGTCATGAGCTGTTAAACATTGCGTGGCAAAGAGTTTGCCTTCTCTGGAGTCAACGCGCCACATGTAACGAAATAATTTCTTGTATTTTGGAGTGAAACTGTCGACAAATTCTTTCTCCTATATAATTAAAATCCACCTTTAGGTTCCGTCTCGGATTCAACAGCCATTGAGCGCCTTGATCGGTCAATAGAACACGTATAACGCTACATCTATACGGCAGGTGAGAGGGCCCCGTTAATCCCAGAATCATATCACACAACCTTATCAGAAGTTACTTGAGAAGTAGTTACAGTTCCGCCTGGATTCTTCATCGTGCCGTTTGTACATGCACTCACTAGTCCACCGATTGCTAGTTGATGCATTGTCGTGGTTCTCTCTGGACCTGGGCACTCTTGGCGCCAACCATTCGAAACATGTTTCTCTCTTTCGCTTGACCCAGGGACGATCCTTGGACTTTTCGCACTCGCATCTCCTACATCTCCTCTTTGCATGCGTTCCGCCCGCTTCCCTTCACTATATACGAGAAATGAGCGATGTAATTTCTCTCTGTAAGATGCTGTGTAATGCAAACGCTGGGAAAAGTCATATGTCGGGGTGGTTTCTCGACATAAGCTCGCGTTTCTGGCCATTAGGTTTCGAGAAACAATCGAAGATTGTACATACGTGGTGACACCGATTTCCGGAAGTCCTTTCGCAACCGAGAGTTGGCTTGACATACTGAAAGACCACAGGAGATGGTCACTCTAAACAAAGACACCAATATTCTCGGAAAGCCTTGGCGTCGTCGACCCGGTTTCTTCTGTCGCATACACTTCTCTATTTTGCGGGGAATACTTCTCGGGGATACCGGGTAAGGGCGGGCGGGGAAACCGGGGGTAGAGCGGAATCCTTGTATACACGCGTCTCAATGGAACAAGATTTCAAGGTCTTCACGATACAGGGCCTAGCGCAAGCCAATCTAATTTATAAACTATTCAGTTCGGTCTTATCAGTGCACAATACAATCGTCCTTTGACCTTGTTTCACGACAGTGGACATACTGAAACTCAACATGGATGCCAAAGTACAGAGGGCATTCCCCGATCTACCCCAGTTTCAGGGTTTCATGAAACCATGCCGGCTAGAAGGTGAAATTCAGGCACTGGAAGTCTGTGGTAGCATTCCCAAGGAGATTGATGGGACATTCTATCGAGTGATGCCCGATCCCCAGCTTCCTCCGTTTGCTCAGGATGATCCGGTATGTTTCTCTCTCCAATAGTATGTACCAACATGAATGCTATAAAACTAACAATGAGTCGACAGTGGTTCAATGGGGATGGCAACATCGCCGCCTTTACGATCAAAGATGGGAGCGTGTCATTCCGTCAACGCTACGTCCGGACCGAGAAATTCACTCGAGAACGAGAGGCAAAACGAGCGCTTCTTGGTATGTCCAGTCATCTTTCACTTTCTACGAATATCCTAATTTAATAACTTATCAAATTCCTGCTGGACAGGCAAATACCGCAACAAATTCACCGACGCGGTCGAGTTCAAAATCCGCTCAACCGCCAACACCAACGTGGTATACTTCAACGGGCAACTCCTAGCCCTTAAAGAAGATGCTCCCCCGTATGCGCTTGATCCTGCCACGCTGGAGACCAAGGGCCTCTATGATTTCGAGGGACAACTCCCCAGTCTCACCTTCACGGCGCATCCAAAGTTCGATCCCAGGACTCGGGAGATGATCTGTTTTGGATACGAGGCCAAAGGTGATGGTACCCCGGATGTATGCTACTATAGCGTCAGCCCGGATGGCAAGTTCACCGAAGTAGTCTGGTTGGTTGCGCCGGTGGCTGCCATGATTCATGATTTTGCCGTGACGGAGAATTGGGTAAGTTCTATATCCTCATTTTCTTGGGCTTTGTCCAGATACAAACCATAATTGAAGCCTGTCTGACATGAATGGCTTGAAGGTGCTTTTTCCTATCATCCCTCAGGTCTGTGACATCGAGAGAATGAAACAGGGTGGCGAGCACTGGCAATGGAGTCCAGAGACACCATTCTACCTTGGCGTTTTGCCTCGTCGAGGAGCTAAGCCCACGGATGTCAAGGTGAGTTAATCTTTGCTCGACTATCTACCTCTACCCAGCCAAGTATCTTCATGAGCTAATAAAACGGTCAACCCAACAGTGGTTCGAGTACAAAAACTCTTTCCCAGGCCACACGGCCAACGCCTACGAAGACGAGAACGGGAATATCACCCTGGACCTAGGTCTTAGCGACAAAAACGTCTTTTTCTGGTGGCCCGACGCACAAGGCAACGCTCCCGAACCAAGCTCTATCCTCTGCCAACTGGTCCAATTCAACTTCAACCCTCGATCAGAAGATCTAAACCTCTCCAGCCCCCGGATCCTTCAGGAGCATAACACCGAATTCTACCGTATCGACGACCGCTTCAATACCCAGCCCTACACACACTGCTTCATGGATTTGATGGATCCAAGCCTGGGAACGGATTTCCAAGCCATCGGTCCTAAACTCGGTGGTGGGTATCCGCTGTACAACAGTCTGGGCCATCTTGATGTAAGCACGGGGAAGACGGAGATTTATTTCCCTGGTCGAACGCATATGGTGCAGGAGCCTGTTTTCATTCCTCGGAGTGGATCGACGATTGAAGGGGATGGGTATTTGTTGGCTCTCGTCAATAATTATGACACTATGTCTAGTGAGTTGCATTTGTTGGATACGAGGGATTTCACAAAGGCGCAGGCCATTATTCTGTTGCCCATTCGCTTGAGACAGGGATTGCACGGGAATTGGGTGGACGCGGCGGATTTGAATGTGTCTATCTGAGTTTGGTAGGTAATTTGAAGTTTGTGTATGAAGGGACTCAGATTCTAGAACATACTTCTACAATCGAGAGGTGAAATGAGAATCGTACGTCATTGCCATCGCACTAGTCATATCTCAAATCGGGTCATTAACAACGAACAGAGCCTGATATAGTACATTCTACTTCAACAGAAGAAGTATGGGATAGGGTGATAGTTTGACTGACAGGCCTAATCTCAGACACCCTCTATGATCTAAGATATTGACAACAGTAGAAATAAAGTAGGATCTAAAATTCATATGTAGGCCGATCTAAGATCTCTATCTCTAGGATCTCTATATCTAAGATCAAGGAACATTTCGGATATCAAACAGGTGAAAAAGAAATTGCACACAAAGTGTGCGGTCAAGTAGAAAAACCCCGGAAGCGTACACTCCAAATTGGATCAAGCCAAAACCTCCTTACTCAGAGGTCTTGAAAACGAAGCGATCCTCGGGCTTGATGGTGAAGGGGACGCCGTTCTCGAGGAGCTTGACGTAGACCTCGGCGAACTCCTTGAAGAAGACATCGCTGTCCTTGGCATAGCGCTCGACGTGCTTCTTGAAGCCCTTGTCCTTGACGAGGGCAAGGTCAGCGGGCAGCATCATCAGAGTAGAGGTGGTCTTGTCAGTGAACTGGGCAGGGCCGTTCCACTTGCGCTGGTTCCACTTCTCGTCCACGAGCAGACGGAAGAACTCGTTGCTGAAGACGGTCGGGCTGAAGTTCCAGGGGCCCTCGTAACCGGAGCGGTCGGTGTGAGCACGGCCCAGGGCGTGGGCACCGATCAGAGCGACCATCTCACGGTCATCGAAGCCCATGCGGCCGAAGATGTCGCGGATGTGGCGCTGGTCCTTGGAGGCATCGGGCAGACGGCCGTCGGGAGTGCAGGCAGCGACGTCCTTGTCCTCACGGCCGGGTCTCCAGGGGATGACGGGGCCACCCAGCTCCTGGATGGCGGCGGAACCGGCCAAAGTCCAGAGATCGGAGTAGGTGATCCAGGGGAACTTGGCCTTGACGGGCTCGAGGAAGTCACGGGCGTGCTTCAGACCGGCGTTGGCGCCGTGGTCAGACTCGGGGGCGAAACGCATAGTAGCACCGTTGCTGCCACCAGTGCCGGTCTCCTTGTCATAGGTACCGCTGGCGTGCCAGGCGAGACGAACGAGGACCTATTGAAGAAAGAAAACCCCGTGTTAGTGGCTTGTTTTCGGTCGTCTTGTATCTAGCCCGAGAGGTGAAGAGCGCCAAATTGGTAACTTACAGGGCCGTAGCTGCCATCGTCGTAGTCGGTCTCGTTGGCCAGACGGTAGGCAATCTCATCGTAGACCTTCTGGTAGTCCTCCTTGGTGGGGACGAAGGGGCCCTTGGTGGACTCGCCGTTCAGGTAGAAGTAGGCACCAGCACCACCGGCGACGGCGATGGCCAGAGCAAAGATACCACCGGAGCCACCCTTCTTCTCACCAGCCTCAGAGGCATAGCCGCGACGAGCAGAGCCACGGAAGCCCTGGGGGAGGGCAAAGCGAGCCGAACGGGCAGCCGGGCGGAACGAGGAGGTCGCCGGGGTCGAGCGCAAGAATGCGCGGGTAGCGGAGCGAGCAGCCGAGGCCATTGTGATTTAGAGAAAGGCAAAAAGAAAGTAAAGAAAGCAGTATTCACAGGAGGTTGTCAAAGAGAGGGACAGAGAAAGAAATGGGAAGGAAAGAGTCCAAGTCAGATCGGAAAAGGAAAGGAAGAAGCCGGGGGAGGCATAAATTACTAGTTCCTTCTGCTGGATCCCCCCCCTTCCATTCTCCCACGTCCATCACAACCTAGGGATCCGAACGATTCTCCGTATCAACCGTTGGAAACGCAGAAGCAGCTGGAATCTCGGCCAATCAATTGGACCACAGTTCACGATTGCCTCGGCGTCGGCTCTCCGCATTTTTATGACGCCCCCGCGCAAACCACCCGCCATCCATGGCTCTTTTCCCTATCGCCATTTCGACATGTGTCGGTCGGCCGTGATACAGATTGACCCTTTCGAGTTCCTGGCCTTTTCATAATCTCTTCATCACTGTCCTCCATCCCAGTAATGATGCCCGTGGAATCCATTCCGTACACACGTCGGATCCACATCCATTGTGGTGGGCCCGTAATTACCAACGGAAAGACGCTGGCTGGCTGGGCGACCGGACGGGGTTCCACTGGGAAAACTGCACGGCCTTCTCCGATAAGTTAGTCAACTCCCTAAACCTGGCTTACCTCATCGAATGGTCTGGCTCGACGAGCTTGCTAATAAACGCCTTCTAGAACGCCATTCCCAGCATATCAGTGACTGGATGGGATCGGCCCAGTTGCTGTGCAGAGAATCTGAATTTGAGATCCAAGACTATCCTCCGGGTCTGCTAGAAACGAGACTCGTCTTCACTCATAACACTTCTGAATATGTGCCCATTCTTTTCGGGCAAGGCACTCCTTCTGTGAGATGTTGTCACAGATAACATCTTATTAGAAAGAGGCTGAATGATTCCATATGGGAGAACCCTGCGAATAGCATCAGACTGCTCAAGGCTGCCATTATCCTTTTGCAGCTAGCATGCCCTGGTGTACGAAGCTTGGATGATGGTTCGATCTAATTGGGTAGCTACTCTACGTAGCCCCTGGAGAGAATCTGATCGGATAAAATTTGCATCTGATATCTTGATGGACCAAGAGTTACCACAACGGATAGATGGTCACAGTGTTCTTACAAAGTATATAGTGAAATGATGATCTCAAGCGTAGCCTCACTTAGTCACCCTGGCAGGAGCCCGGTACCGTGCCGAGCAGCTTCTGACGTCTCGGGAAGGTCTACAAAAAGAGAGAAAAATCGTACGAGTCAAGTGCAATTGCATTGTAGAATTGTCTGAAATGTTCGTCGTAAAAAAGTCCTGCTGCTCAATTGGAGGCGAGCACCAGGGTGGAGTAGACGCAGCCCTGCTAGAAGCTGTTTGGTTTTGTTCTCCCACGAACGAACGATAAAAATCACCCATGAAGCGTCCAGTGCCATCAGGAGGCACCACGCGGGTTATGTGGGGTTCGAAGCATCTGTGATGCTACTAAGTTGTAATATTATAACAAAAATCTCACAGAGACTCGATCCTCACATTACAGGATCGAGACGGTGCTCTGATTGTTTGTGATGGTTGAGAGAAGAAGAGGAAAAGTGAAAGGAAGAAAATTGACAAAATAGCGCCCGCATCATCACGTGACCAGCTAACCGCTTCTTGGTCGTACAGGTCACGTGTCGGTCCCTATTTGGGGGAAATTTTCGGGCGAACCTCTCTCTTCTCTTTTCCTCTTTACACTTTTTACCTCGAACGCATAATCAACCTCCAATTCTCCGCCATAGGATGGCAGGTCATATTGGCGTACCAGATGAACCTGAGTGCTTGTGACTCCTCGACGGCATTGGGGAGCTCTCTTTGGGGCTCTCTGCTTGCGGTGGTGGATGCGAGTCATCTGATGCTCGAACATTTCATTTCAACTGGTCCGGTTGACTTGAGAAACTCTGTATATCCGTAGATCAATGGGTCTGTACCTGTGATAGAAAACCTTTTTAAAGAGAAGACGATGCAGAAGATGCAAATAGTACCCCAAATAGGTGCTATCCATTGTCATTTTCTACTCGATTCGGGGGCTCGAGCATCGCTGGTGACGAGCCTAGAAGAGAATTCTTCTAGAAACACCCTAGAAAAGGAACCATCCTATCCAAGTCTTGCGAGCCAAGTGTTTGCGCAATAACGGGTTGTGGCGCTGGAGATAGCACCCTAAGGGAACCCGGTTGAGCAATGGCCACTCGTACAGTATCATGGAATAGAATGACAAGTTTCCAATTTCCAATCTCATAGGACCCAAAGTCCAGAAAACCGAAGTCATGCCGGGGAATTGGGGATGCAACTCTGCAGTCCGGTAAACTATTTTGGGTGCCCCTCGCAGATTCTCCGGTCCTCGTCGGTCTCGGTCTGGTCCCCTGGTCCCTGGTTCTCTTCTCCGCCTACCTTTACTCCGTAGGCCTGTCTCTCCGTCTTCTCTCCACCCCCCCTATTATTTTCATTCGCTCCGCAATCATTGCATTGTGTCCATTCATTTCACATCTTTCATCATGCCGAATGGCATTAGCAAGCGCCAGCAGCTGCGCAATGAGAAAACCCTCGCCGAGCTGATCCGGACGGTTCCCGGTAATGACCGCTGTGCCGATTGCGATGCCTTGACCCCAGGTTTGTCTTTCCCCTCCTCGACACATTGACCCTCGTCGTTTGTGGAATATCTGTTCTAATTCATACCTCGGTCAATTATAGGATGGGCAAGTTGGAATGTATGCGTCTCCCCGTTCTTTCCACATATACTACACCCCGATTCCCTTGAACTGATCGTGTGTCTCTACGAGTAGATGGGTCTCTTCCTGTGTATTCGGTGCGCCGCAATCCACCGCAAGCTAGGAACGCATATTTCCAAGGTCAAGTCTCTGTCAATGGACACTTGGTCTTCGGAGCAAGTCGATGTAAGTGGATTTGCCTTGGTTTTATAGTGAAACTTGGAAACTGACTGGACCGACGCGGTGATCCAGAACATGAAATCGCACGGCAACCTGCTCATGAACAAGATTTACAATCCCAAAAATATCAAACCGCCCGTCCCCACCGATATCGACGAGGCCGATTCGTGCATGGAACGGTTCATCCGGCAGAAATATCAATACCGGTCGTTGGAAGATGGAAAGCCAAAGCCCCCGAGTCGCGAGGACTCTAGCTATACTAGGAATCATGATAGAAGGGAGGAAAGGAGGGAACGACAGAGGAGCTATGATGATTCTCGTCGTGACGATATCTCCCCCGAGGGCTCGCCGCCACCGTTGCCCCCAAAGTCCGGCAAGTTCTTTGGATTCGGCCTTCGATCAGCTTCCTCGACCTCGAACCTGCGCCGATTTGGAACCAAGTCCAAGGGATCAATGTCGCCCAGTTCCGATCAGCGATCCTGGTCCCCACCGCCTCGCCAGACGAGCGGTCTGGGTGCGCCGGTTGCCGATGTGACAACTGCCTCATTCGAGGCTAAGATGGCTGCGCTGCGAGATATGGGCTTCGACAATGACCGGCGAAACGAAATGGTTCTTCGCGGACTGAATGAGAATCTGGACAAGTCGATTGAGACATTGGTACGACTGGGAGAAGGAAATAAGTCAGTGTCAAGAGCCAGAACCCCCGTTCCAACGAACAACGCAGCAACACCTGCCGGTGCTTCGGTAGCGCCCAAGCCGGCCGCATCACCCAATCCATTCGACATGCCTACTGCGACGACCGGCAACCAGGTATCGCAGCAGCCTCAGTCTACGTCTTATAATCCGTTCGACCGGCCAGCCCAGGCACAGACGTTCCAATCAGCGCAGCCTCTGGAAGCGTCGTTCCAAAATCTCCAGGTGTCCCAGCCGCTCTTCCCGCACTCGACCGGTGGATATCCAGCTCAAACAGGCTTGATGCCACAGGCAACTTATCAGCAGCCAATTACCCCGCCAGTCACCTCAACCTTCTCCCAGAACGGCTATGTCTCGTCACCCCAGGCCATGGATAGCAATTACAATCCTTTCTTCCAACCAGTAGCTCAGCCGCAGGGCGGTATGGGCGCCCAATCCTTCCCCAACCCGAGTGCACCGCAGAGCAATCCTTTCTTCAACACTACACCGCAAACGCAAAACCCTTACCTGCAACCACAGGCGCAGCAAAATGGGGCATCGGGGCAATCAATGAACGTTCCCCGACAGCCTCAGCATGCAAACACTATGCCAGCAATTTCTTCAACTTCGCCCTTCGGCACCTCTCCTTTCGGCACCTCTCCCTTTGGCCAGGCGCCTTCTTTCCAAACCCAGCCGCAGCAGCAGCCGCCGCAGCAGCAGCCGCCGCAGCAGCAGCCGCCGCAGCAGCAACAGCAACCTCAGCAACAGCAACCTCAGCAATTCCAGCCTCAGGCCCAGGCTAATGCCCTGGGATCTTACAATCCCTTCCAACAGTCTATGGGACAGCAGAGTGCAGGAGCTTACCCCAACCAATTACAGCCTCAGCAACCGCAGCAGCTGATGCCCCAGCATACAACTCGCATGGAAAAAAGCAGCATTCTCTCATTATACGGCCTCAACCAGGCATCCTCCACTATCCCTTCCATCCCCGAACAATCCCAATATCAGTTCCAGCCTGGCGCGGGAACCAGCCCCGTCCCTCCCCTCATAAACTCTTTCAACTCCACGCCCATGACCCAACCTGGCTCCACTATCCAGACCCCGCAAACCAGCGTGAACGGTCCCGCCATGGCATCCCGCAATCCCTTCGGCGCTGCAACGGTCGGTTCAGGTCTGGCCGCTCAAGCAGGCGTCTCAGCGTTTCCCCCTTCTTCGGGCCTGGGCATTGGAATGGGCACCAACGGGACCGCAGTACCTGCCCAAGCAAATGGCATGAACTCCTCGCCATTTTCCGGTCCACCACCGGTCAACACGGCTTTCCCAAGAAGTCACATGAGCCAGCCAAGCGTGGATATCAACGGCCTGCAGAGCGGGCGTCACAGCCCCGATGCATTCGCCAGTCTGAGCGCGCGCTACGGTTAATCATGTGCTCTTGAGGTTGTTGTTCTTTGTATTCAATTGTTTTAAAAAGTCGATATGCAGCTGGATGTTGATAATGGATTGACTCTTCCTAATGACATGGATTATAGATGGATCGATGAGATGTGTATATGTGCATTTCAGGGTGCATCTTGAGATTTTGCCTGGTTTGACTCGCTCGCTCGTTCATATTTTGGTGCCCATTGACTACTACTCTCTTTGTGTTGTAAGGGAGGTTCATTCTTTTCCTCTCATGGGATCTTCTTTTGTATAAGATTGTTTCTTTCGTTTTGTCCCGTTAGCGGATAAATAGTACATAATTCTTTTTCTTTATCAAAAATCTCTTTCCCAATTTTCAGTTAAAAGGAGGTGAGCTTGTTCATTGGTCACGCCCGTTGATCTGATGGAGCCAGATTCGAGATATTCCAGTTGAGAAAAAAAGCAAGTTGCAGTCCAAGGCCTCTTCGCGTAGTCTTTGAAGTATTAGTATAGCTAGATAGTACAAAGCACACTATTAACACATTACTCCCCCCCCCCCTCTCTACATTCACACCATACCATATATTAAGTGGCCTTGAACATCAGCAGCAAATCGGCTAAAAAAGCAAGAAGAAGTCAAGATCTTCAAGACCACATTTCCCGATCCTCTTCACTGTTATATCTCGGCAAACCACGCAACCATTTCCATTCCGGTAGTGAAAAAGGAACCCAGTCCCAAATACTGGGTGAAGGATCCCAATATCTCTCCCAAAGTGAACGGGACCGTCTGTCCCAGGGCCAACTACTCGCAGGCCGAGGCGTGAAAATAGATTTGAGCGATTCCCGCCACGAACGGCGGGGAGAGAAATATGACTGCACGGAACGGCGCAACGAGGTAAACGTGGACAGTCGAGTGCGCGAGGACCAAGGGGACGTGAGGGAGGATGAAAGAGAGGATCGGGATGGAACTAGAGCTTTCCATCCCTTCTTCTGATAAAGTCCTGCTTCTTTCTGGAATACCTCGACTATTCGCTCGAATTGTCGGTCGCGGCTTTCTTGTGCGCGTTGGGTTTTTTCCAAGCGCCATGCGTCTTGTTCGGAAGGGTCGAGACACCAGACTACTACGTCGCCGCGGCGGCGCCAGTCATCGTGCCATGCGGTGTTGTAGGTGCGCCAGCACTCTGCGTACGAGGATGCGCGGAGGAGAGTGTGCATTGTGGGCTCTAATTGCTCGAAGAAGATCAGGTAGTCGGGCCATTCATGTGTCCATGTCGTCTTGCCCGGTTTGGGGGCGGACCGGGGGCCGAAAATGTAGCTTGGTCGGGAGGGGAGATAGCGTAGCCCTCCTTTCATGTTGTCGTGGAGGAATTGGGATGGGTTGTCGTAGAATTGGTCCGCTTCGTCACGATAGACGGCCTTTTCGGCCGCTGTGCGATCGATTGGGGGTTCGCAGGAGAGAGCCCATGCGTTGATTGTGGGATAAACTAGATGCGAGCGCCACGGGGTGCTGTGGCAGGGCATCAAGAATCCAGCTGTGATTCCTGGCGCAGTCTGTGAGTCTAAAGACTCGATCGATGAGCCGTGGACTTCACCGTGAGCTTCATGTTGATGGCGTAGATAAGTGAGCACATTCATCACTCCGGACGCGTGGTATAGAGTCGTATAGATGCCAATCACGAGGTTGGCCACTACGAGGAAAATGAGGACCAGCCTTTGCGGGGTATAGGCACTCGAGGACCGCGAGTATAACGCTGGATAGAAAAATTGCACAAGTGGTGGCGCAGCCAGGATGTGCAATGATGGTAGCAACGGATAAATGAAGCGTACCTCTTTGTGCGAGATCAGAGATAACACGAATGGCATAATCAAACATACTATCGCCAATTGCACTCGAATCTCTGTCTGCAATCTATCGGCGACAGAAGAAGCTCGAGTCCGTAGGGTGCGGTAGAGGCCGACAAGCGCAAAGGGCAGCAAGGTGGTAAGCAGGAGTGGATAGCCCTGCGAGACGTAGTAGTGCCAGTCATTTCGACCGTAGAAGACCGCCAGAGATTGCGCAATGTTGAAGTATAGGAAGCGAAGCGGAGGAAACGTCCAAAATCCGTAGAATAGTCGATCTGCGACGGCTGACACACCGAGGATAGCCAGTCTAAAGAGCGTTGAATATCAGCAGATTGCACAGGTTGAGAAAATTCAAGAATCCCACTGACCCGCAGAGGAGGACCTCCCGGATGAGCACCCTGCGCTGGCTCCAGCTGGTGCGAAGCCAAGCGACGGTCGCTAGCGTCGCCCAGATCAGGATGTTGGTCGGGCGGAGAATACAAGCGAGCGCTGCTAGGCACAAGCATCGTCGAAGACTATGTGCGATGCGCGTCAGTGGTTGCACCGGTAGCGTCTGGTGAGTCCAGCCATACCGAGTTAGAAGGACCTTTTGACCATCGGTCGAACGGCCAGCATTTCTCCCACGATCACTACCGGTCGAGGTGCCGGCTGACCATTGCCATGGCCACGAATCTAGCGCGACAATCGTCACCGTGGTCTCGACGCAATTTGACAGGGTCCTCGTTGAGCAGAACCACTGCCAAGGATTGAGAACCGTGACAATCAACTGTGTCCGATCAGCGAATGAGCTCCACTGCGAGCAAATCCTTTTGTTCGAGCAATATTTCGCGCAACCACCTACCGTTGTCCATGCGCCACGAGAATCCGTCCCGTAGACGCGAGTTGCTAGTTTCCAGGTATAAAAGTCACCGACCGCCGCGATCACGGCCTGCGCGGTCTTCGGTCCGGCAATCAGGAGTTCGGCGCGTGTCGCAGCAGACAGGTGGAGGGTTGTCGCGAGAAAGGAGACTGATTTGTAGATCGCGGCGAAGATTAGAGGGTGTAAAGAGGATCGGAGCTGGTGGTGCCATTCCTATTGAACAGCATGCGTAAGCGCGATTAGCGAGCAATTTCGCAATTGTAGTCTGCGACTGCGCTGTCAACCTACCCAGGTGACCCAGGCGCCCTGGCCTTTGCCAAACGCAATCTGCCATGCGGGCTCCAAGGACTGAAAGAATTCATCTGGCTGAAAGAAAGTGCGGACGACGAGCGCATTGAGTAGTCGGTATGCGACAAGAAAGAGGAAGATGTTGGTGGCCGGGGAGGTGGGATGCGACGCGACACGACGCGGGGGAGCCATGGAGGACGAGCTGGGGGTTGGTCTACGCGAATAGCAGCAGTCGCGAAGCCAATTCGGGAAGGTTATCGCAGTGCTATCACTGGCCTGAGCTTAGATCGCCCTGGGGTGGATGCCGCGGGGCGTGGAGCATGACATCAACCTTTGAAGTTTGAGCCAGGAGGAGTGTGTGACACGAGGCACGAACAGGACCAGCGAATTAAATGACACCTTTTTGGCATCGGGCAGCCGGCCCGGTGTATACAGAGTCGCGATTGGAGACCTGAGAAATGTTCTGGAGACGGGGGAAGAAAAAAGTCACCTTAACTCGTGTAATCCTGCACATAGGGGACAGTGGGTGTCGAGGAAAATGGAGGCTCGCGACAACCTGCACTTAGGAGAAATCACTTGCACTTAGCGGCATAGCGGCGGATCTATACGCCACGCCCGCTTCCACGGGTCTCCCTACATAATCGCCCTTTTGCTTCGATTGCTTTTCCCTTTTTTCTCTTCTTTTCTTCACTCTTCCTTTTTCTTTCTCAAGATTCCCCTGATCTCTGATCAATTGTTGTGTGGCTTCTTGATCTAACTCCTATACAACGTTATCTTTGAGCCCCAAGCTTATCCCCTCTCTCTCCTTCTCCAACTTTCGAGTTCCCCGCAATTCACCCCCCCCAATTCACCATGGCTACTAACGGGACCAACGGTTCTTCTGCCCACTACCACGCTACCTCGACCGAGGAGGCCATCCAGGCAGAGCACCACTATGCCGCTCACAACTACCACCCTTTGCCCGTAGTGTTTGCGCGAGCTCAGGGTACCTCCGTCTGGGATCCCGAGGGACGTCACTATCTCGACTTCCTCTCTGCCTACTCTGCCGTGAACCAGGGTCACTGCCACCCCAAGTTGGTCGCCGCACTGGTGGACCAGGCCTCGCGCTTGACCCTGAGCTCCCGTGCATTCTACAATGACGTCTTCCCTCGCTTCGCCGAATTCGTTACCCGCTACTTCGGCTTCGACATGGTCCTGCCCATGAACACGGGTGCCGAGGCGGTCGAGACCGGTATCAAGATCGCTCGCAAGTGGGGTTACAAGGTCAAGGGTATCCCTGAGAACAAGGCTCTCGTCCTGAGCGCTGAGAACAACTTCCACGGTCGTACTGTAAGTAGCTCCTTGAATTCCCTCCCTGGGTTGTCCCACTCTCCCCCACCCCATATGTACTGTCCATAAAAGGAAGCTGGTGGCTGATTATGACGGCCCCTTGCATTAGTTCGCCGCCATCTCGTTGTCCTCGGATCCGGAGTCTCGCGAGAACTATGGCCCCTACCTCCCCGGTATCGGGTGCACCATCCCCGGCACCGAGAAGCCCATCACCTACAATGACAAGGCCGCCTTGCGCGCAGCCTTCGAGGCGGCCGGCCCCAACCTAGCCGCCTTCCTGGTCGAGCCCATCCAGGGTGAGGCCGGTATCGTCGTCCCCGACGAGGGTTACCTGCAGGAGGCTCGCGCCTTGTGTGACAAGCACAATGTGCTTCTGATCTGTGACGAGATCCAGACTGGTATCGCCCGCACGGGCAAGCTGCTGTGCCACGAGTGGAGCGGAATTAAGCCGGACCTGGTCCTGTTGGGCAAGGCCATCTCGGGTGGTATGTACCCGGTCTCCTGTGTGCTTGGTCGCAAGGACGTCATGCTCACGATTGAGCCCGGCACCCACGGTTCGACCTACGGCGGTAACCCCCTCGGCTGTGCCGTTGCCATCCGTGCTTTGGAGGTTGTCCAGGAGGAGCAGATGGTTGAGCGTGCCGAGAAGCTCGGCCACATCTTCCGCAAGGGCTTGGAGGATCTGAAGAGCCCTCTGATCGAGACGGTTCGCGGCAAGGGTCTGCTCAATGCCATTGTCATTGACGAGTCCAAGACCAACGGACACTCTGCTTGGGATCTGTGCATGTTGATGAAGACCAAGGGTTTGCTGGTATGTATTCGGCACCGTCTCTCTCTTCCCGTTAAAACTTCGCTGTGGAGACAAGCTAACTGAGATATCTCTGATAGGCCAAGCCTACTCACCAGAACATCATCCGCCTGGCTCCCCCATTGGTCATCACCGAGGAGGAGATCCAGAAGGCTCTGGCCATCATCAATGAGGCCGTGAACGAGCTTCCCACTCTGAAGGGCAAGGCCGAGGCCCAGGTGATTCCCTCGGAGGAGAAGGATGTCAAGATTGGCATCGAGAACTAGATCCACTTTGGGGATCATGTACTGGACCATCGGTCCACCCAAACCGCTTCGACCCACGATCTCCTGGGAACGACGCATACTGTTCGTGCCCCCACTAAGGCAAGAGCAAAATACGCGAGCTTATCCCACCCCCCGAGACACATCCGTGTCCGGTCGACGGAATTATAGACGTGTTTCTAGCTGGCATGGCTGCCACTACGACTTGACGATGGAACGGATCAACAATCAAAGAACCCGCATTGCTTCCAGATTGAATATGTATACCATAGCTAGCTGCAGCCCCCAAGCTGACATAGACCATGCATTGATTAGCCCCGCGTGGGCCACAAAACCGTATGCCGTATTTAAAATAACCTTTACAAGTCTTACGTATCCATACAAGAGCATGACTCTTTTTCCAAACTCCGAATGAACCTGCCATTCTACTCCTTTTTCAAACTCCGAGCGTACCTGCAATTTTGGGCGTTAGCTCCGCTCCGAGGGAGGCGGAGATAGTCCTCGGCCGGGGACCTTTTCCTTTTGTACGTCCAACGTTCAGTCCCAAGATACGAGCTCCAGTATTCACAGGGCCAATGATTCGCCCAGTATCAGTAATTGTCTATAAGCAACAGATGAAAGCCCCACCTCGGGTAAGTGGGGGACGGGGAATTCGGGGAATGCCATGGACGATGGACGATGGATGAGAGGCTCAAACGACTAGCGGATTACTAATCCGCTTCTGTCGCGGTGGACGGCGGACACGGGACTCATGAATGCCGACACCCGACGCCCGATGCTCCGTTGGAACCGCAGTTTCGATAAGGTGGATTGGCTCTGGAGTAAGTCAAGTCCTCGCTAAGCGAACGCGAGAGCGAATGCGTATTCGCTGCGACTACCGATTGGAAGGTGCCTTTACTGTTAGGTGATGCGTAGATGACGCTGGCGACCTGGGCCCGGGTCGTTGAGTTTCTGGTTTTCCCCCGATGTTGGGTGGTCTGGAGCTGGGAGCTGGGAGCTGGGAGCTGGGAGCTGGGAGCTGGGAGCTGGGAGCTCGAAGCTGGAAGCTTGGCTGGTAAATACTGTTATACTCTTCTAGGGGTTGGTTGATCATGTCAAGTGTACATAATTCCCGAGCTCCGTCAGAATACCCGTGACGGGCAAAAATACATGGGGTTGGATCCGCCAGCGGAGCTCCCTTTCTCCCTCCGTGAATACCACGGACGATGGAAGGACACGACTCTTCACTCGTATCAATAGATGATCCTGCCCTGACAATTCGATGAAATAGTTCATGACTTACATTTCTAGCCTTACTATTACTTATCTACACTTCTTCCATCCTACCACCAACCTATGTAGTCGTAATCGTAAACCTCCAAAGCTTCAAGCATTAAATTTCCGTTTTCAGTCCCGCTCGATCGCCCCACATTCGCATGGCTTGCTTGGTGATGGCTTAAGTCCCTTAATTCCATTCGATTCATAATTACAAGCCCGGTTTTTATTTTCCCCCTCTCTTTTCTTTCTTGTCCTTCGATCAGTTCGGCCTTTCAAAATCGTCTACCCTCCCCCATCCGACCGTTCTGCGCGTTCAGTCGTCATGTCCGCGCCCGATCCGCTGCCGCAGGCAGTCGTCGTGGAAGACGAAAAGCTCCAGGCGGCCGATAGTTCTAGATCGGCGTCTGGGGATGAAGCCAAGGCCCCCGATGCGGTTCTGCAGCCCCCCACCCCGAAGAAGAAATGGCATCAACGGTTGAATCCCTTGCGCTGGCAGGCGCCGCCACCCGTGCCGGAGGAGCGCACGCACTCGAGGGAGTATGAGGCCTCGTTCTTCAGTATTATCACGTTTCAATGGATGTCGCCTTTGATGAGGGTACGTTCTCCTCCAATTCTTGCTCGTGAACCGGACAGCCGAGGTGTCTCGGTTGAAAACGAAAGAGAGTTATCTAAAATACTAATGCGATGTACTATGCAGGTCGGATATTTGCGATCACTCGATTTGCAGGATATTTGGACGGTTAATCCTAACCGTAGAGTCGATGTATTATCAGAACGACTGGATGCTGCGTTGGAAGATCGCATCGCGCGCGGAACCAAGCGCTCTCTCGCCTGGGCTTTATACGACACCTTTCGCTTTGAATTTCTTCTCGGTGCTGTCTGCCAGTTCTTCAGTTCGCTGTTGCTGGTGTTTGCGCCTTACTTGACGCGGTACTTGATCGCTTATGCGACGGAGGCTTATGCAGCTCAGCATAGCGATCGCCCGGAACCACATATCGGACGTGGTATGGGTTTTGTTGTGGGTATTACTTGCATGCAGGCCTTGCAAAGTTTATGTACAAATCAGTTCCTCTATCGGGGACAGATGGTTGGTGGGCAGATCCGTGCCGTGCTGATTTCTCAGGTCTTTAATAAGGCTATGAAGTTGTCCGGTCGTGCCAAGGCGGGTGGACAGGCAACGCCGGAAGAAGTGAAAGCGTTGGAGGCCACCAAGGAAGCTTTGATGAAGCAAGGTGGTAAGGAGACGAGTCAGGACCCCAAGGCTGCGGTTACGGCGACTGGCGGTGTTGCCGGGGATGGTCGCGGATGGAATAATGGCCGCATCGTCGCCTTGATGAGTATCGACGTGGATCGCATCAACCTCGCTATGGGCATGTTCCATATGATCTGGACTGCTCCGATCACGATTATCGTGACCCTAATCCTACTTATTGTCAACATCGGCTACAGTTGTCTCTCCGGATATGCGTTGCTAATATTGGGCATGCCGCTATTAACATTGGCCGTGCGCTCTCTGATCAAGAGACGTCGAAGTATCAACAAGATTACCGATCAGCGAGTCTCTCTTACTCAGGAGATTCTGCAAGCCGTTCGATTCGTCAAATACTTCGGTTGGGAGAGCAGTTTCCTCAATCGTTTGAAGGAGATTCGGAAACGGGAGATTCGTTCTATCCAGACGCTCCTGGCTGTTCGAAACGGGATTCTGTGCGTGTCCATGTCGATTCCAGTCTTTGCTTCGATGCTCGCTTTCATCACCTACGCGTTGTCAAATCATGATTTGAATCCTGCCCCGATTTTCTCGTCGCTCGCTCTGTTCAACTCGCTACGGATGCCGCTGAACATGATGCCACTCGTCATTGGACAAGTGACGGATGCATGGACTGCTCTCAACCGCATTCAGGAATTCCTGTTGGCCGAAGAGCAGAAGGAAGATATCGAAAAAGACGAGACCATGTCCAATGCGATTGAGATTGAAAACGCCTCCTTCACCTGGGAGCGTCTACCCACTGATGAGAAGGAGGGGGGCAAAGACCAGAAAAAACCGGCGAAACATCCCAAATCTACTACCCTGACTTCCCCCGACGAAAAGGAAAATGAAGATACGGTTCCCCTCGAGCCGTTCAAGCTCAAGAATGTGACCCTGGAGGTAGGACGGAACGAGCTGCTCGCGGTCATTGGAACCGTTGGCTGTGGCAAGAGTTCTTTGCTCTCAGCTCTGGCGGGAGATATGCGCGTGACTGATGGCAAGGTTCGCATGAGTACGACACGATCATTCTGCCCGCAGTACGCCTGGATCCAAAACGCCACCGTACGCAACAACATTCTGTTTGGAAAAGAGTACGACGAATCATGGTACGAACAGGTCATCGATGCCTGTGCTCTGGCTCCGGATTTGGAGATTCTTCCTAACGGTGACTCGACCGAGATTGGAGAGCGCGGTATCACCGTATCTGGTGGCCAGAAACAACGTCTGAATATCGCTCGTGCTATCTATTTCAATGCCGAGCTTGTGCTGATGGACGATCCCTTGTCGGCCGTGGACGCTCATGTTGGACGTCATATCATGGACAAAGCGATCTGCGGTCTTCTCAAGGATCGCTGCAGAATTCTGGCTACCCATCAGCTCCATGTTCTCAGTCGGTGTGATCGAATTGTTGTGATGGAAGAGGGCCGCATTCACGCTGTCGATACTTTCGACAATCTGATGCGTGATAATGAGCTTTTCAAGCGACTTATGTCTACGTCTGGACAGGAAGACTCGAAGGAGGAGGAGGAGGAGGAGGAGGTTGTTGAGGAGGTGGCTGAAGCTTCGGACGAGGCTATGGATAAATCTAACGAGAAGGCGGCAGCTAAGAAAATTGCACCCGGTAGGCCTGCTGCGGCTGCTCTGATGCAGCAGGAGGAGAAGGCGACTGCATCTGTTGGTTGGAGTGTGTGGAAGGCATACATTCGCGCATCGGGCAGCTACTTCAACGCTCTGGCGGTTTTCATCCTCCTCGGTCTTGCCAACGTTGCCAACATTTGGACAAGTCTGTGGCTATCTTACTGGACCTCTAACAAGTACCCGAATCTATCGACGGGCCAATACATTGGTGTCTATGCCGGACTCGGTGGCAGTGTTGTCCTGCTGATGTTCGTTTTCTCGACTTATATGACGACTTGTGGAACCAATGCTAGTCGCACTATGCTTCAGCGCGCGATGACCCGTGTCTTGCGTGCACCTATGTCCTTCTTCGATACGACACCTCTGGGCCGAATCACCAACCGCTTTTCGAAGGATATTCAGGTCATGGATAATGAACTCTCGGATGCGATGCGTATCTACGCTTTGACAATGACTATGATCATCTCGGTTATGGTATTGATTATTGTCTTTTTCTACTACGTGAGTGATGCCACCCCAGTTACGAACGATTTCCCTTTGACCTGTACTGACTATCTCCAGTTTGTCATCGCTCTTGTTCCACTGTTCATCCTCTTCCTACTTGCTTCAAACTACTACCGCGCTTCTGCGCGTGAGATGAAGCGACACGAAGCAGTCCTGCGATCGATCGTCTACGCGAAATTCGGCGAAGCCATCACTGGTACAGCCTGCATTCGCGCCTACGGTGTCGAGAACCAATTCCGACAGAGCATTCGAACTTCCATCGACACCATGAACGGCGCGTATTTCCTCACCTTCTCGAATCAACGTTGGCTCAGTGTGCGGCTTGACGCTGTAGCTACGGCACTCGTGTTCGTGACTGGTGTTCTCGTCGTCACCTCGCGATTCAATGTCTCCCCCAGCATTTCTGGCTTGGTCCTGTCTTATATTCTGGCCATCGCGCAGATGCTACAATTCACTGTTCGTCAACTTGCCGAGGTCGAGAATAATATGAATGCCACGGAGCGTGTGCATTATTATGGAACCGAGCTTGAAGAGGAGGCACCTCTGCACCGGGTCGAGGTGGACGCCAGCTGGCCTGAGAAGGGCCATATCGTCTTTGATAACGCGCAGATGCGGTATCGCGATGGCCTTCCTCTCGTCCTGAAGGGTCTCACTATGGACGTTCGGGGAGGTGAGCGCATTGGTATCGTTGGACGGACGGGCGCTGGCAAATCCAGTATCATGTCCGCTCTGTTCCGTCTCACCGAACTTTCCGGTGGTTCTATTCACATCGACGGTATCGACATCTCCACCGTCGGTCTGCATGATTTGCGATCTCGATTGGCCATTATCCCGCAAGACCCGGCTCTCTTTAAGGGCACTATTCGCTCGAACCTTGACCCCTTCAACGAACACACCGATTTAGAATTGTGGACTGCCCTGCGCAAGGCCTACCTCATCGGTGATGAAACGAGCAACCCCTCGCCCGAAACCATCCCAAGCATCCCCGGCACCGGCACCACGACCCCCCTCACCGGCAGCGATTCCAAGCCTCGACCTACAAATCGCCTGACACTGGAATCCGCCGTCGATGAAGAAGGTCTGAACTTCTCTCTCGGCCAGCGCCAACTCATGGCCCTTGCACGTGCACTCGTACGCGACGCTCGGATCATCGTCTGCGACGAAGCCACCTCGTCCGTCGACTTTGAGACTGATCAAAAGATTCAACATACAATGGCGCAGGGCTTTGAAGGAAAGACTCTTTTGTGTATTGCGCACCGGCTGCGCACGATCATCCACTACGATCGCATTTGCGTTATGGATCAGGGTCGCATTGCGGAGATGGACTCGCCACTTGCGCTTTGGGATCGGGAAGATGGTATCTTCCGCGCCATGTGTGAGCGCAGTGGTATTTCCAGGGAGGATATTCTGGAATCGGATTAAAGAAGTGCAATCATCCAAAAATCTTGTACATGAAAGTATCAGGCGTCCTTAGGCATAATCTGAACATATAATTACATTTCTTATTTCTCATATATCACTTACATCCTAACTCCCCCCCGAGTCTATACAGAGAGTCCCTAGCTACTCCTTATCCAGTTCACACACCAACTCCATCCCCATATTCCTCAAGATCCCTTCCACCCCAGACTCCCTCCACCCTTCCACATCTCTCTCATCCAGCTCCACTTTGACCTCCTCCTCCGACGCTGCACCTATGGGTAACCCGGTGAACTTCACAACCAGACCGGGGGCTGTTCCAACCACTCTCATCCTCAACCCCGTCAGCACCCCTCGTAAATGATCGGTCGCCTTCCCACCACCCTTAGACCCATACGAGACAATCCCCGCGGGCTTCCCCTTCCACTCGTGAAACAGATAGTCGAGCGCATTCTTGAGACTTGCGGGGATACTCCAATTATACTGTGGCGTGACGAAGATGAATGCGTCGTATTCACGGACAACGGCTGACCAGGCGCGCGTGTGTGGTCTTGTGTAGTGGGGTGTTGGGTTGTCGGCGGGGAGGCTCGCGGGGATGACGGATTCATCGTAGAGGGGGAGCGATTGTTTGGCGAGGTCGATAATGGTGAATGTAATATGGCGCGGGTCGGTGTCGACGGTATCGGCGGAGGTTGGGGAGGGTTTGCGGGTTGGGAGGGTGGGATCGTTGGTTAGAACGTCATAGACATATTGGGTGATGGTTGGATTGAGGCGTGGGGTGCGCGTGCTGCTGGTGACGATGGCGATGTGTTTGGGTGGCATGTTGACGGAGAAGAGGCAATTGTAGAGGCTGATTGAGTCTGGAGGATTTAGGTTAGTTTCAGGAGGGAGTTGTAGCTTTGGGAGGTTGGAAGGTTTTAGAGTTGATGAGGTCCTCGGATCCGCGAAGCTGCGAGCTCGTGTGGGGCTGGCATTCTGTGGCACGATGGGGTCTACGGCCCGGATGTATTGAATGCCCTTAGTCTCACCGGTCCATGGCGTTCAGATATAAGACAAGAGTAGATAGTTGAGCATGTTTTGAAAAAGAAGCCTAAGAATACGCGACCATGATTTCAATGACTATGTATATCGCTTTTTTGAGGTCAGTTCTTGGGATAATGTGAAGGTAGAGATTGAGCAGTGCCATCTTGGTAAAGGCAATAGCGCTCATATAGAGCATATCGATCAATTGTGCTAGATAAACTGTGAGCATCTCCGATAGGGGATCCGGTGTTATATAAAGGAATATTAGAAATAGGGTAAGATTTGAGAATGATATTGTCCAAATGTCTCGTCCGTAGCCTGCATCAGGAAGTCGGAATGATAATTCAGTACCTTGGCATTTGTTTGGGTTCGGAAATGTAGAGCACTCACTAGGAAATTCCAATGTTCTTATACCAACAATGAGAAGCTATGACGGTCAACACATAAACGAAAAGTTGTATCCAGACAATCTTTTACGAGGCCGAGTACAAATCTTCCATCCACTCACACGATTTCCAGGTCCATTTTGGGCCTCTATGTCGCGAGCTTGGATTGAGAGCGCCATAATTCGTCTAGGTTGGTGCATGCAAAGTATGGTAAAACGCACGACCTAATTCCAATCTCAAGTTCTTTCAATTTTGGTTGGATAGGTTGTATCACACCAATCGCTCCAAATGAGCTCGCAATAAGCGCCCCCAAGGGTATTAAGACTACATATGGAGTGAATTCAGGCTTTACAAAGGTCAACTTCCAAGAAACAAGGCAGCCTCGACGAGAATGTCGTTCGCTTGAATAACGTAAGCTGACTCTTGGATAGATATAGTTTTATTTGGCGTTTCGCGCACCGTCTAGTAAGATGTCTTGACACATGGTTTATATCTCCGGCGGCTCGGAACTAAATAAATTTCGCTCGACAGCCCGATACCCCGATCAATTTACATCATCAGATGAAAAATTTTATGCTCAAAGGTGCCGTACCGTGAACTGCATCGACTGGTATTATGATTTTCATCGTGATAACTTCGCAAGTTCGACGCTACTGTCAGAATGCCCCTGTTCCTACCGATCCTCACTCTTCGCATCCTTGACATACTCAACGACCTGATATCCAATCAGAGGGAAGAATCTGTATGAGGAAAAAAAAAGGTTTAGAGAACACTGTATTGACATGTATTGAGATACGCAACTCGGCGTGCACTGAGAAGCTTAGCGACCCGATGCGTATTATGCTCCGCTCGCTGAAGAACGCTAATTCTCCAACCGAAGCTAGTCTCGGAGAACTTGCGTATTAAGGCACAACGCATTCCAAGGCCAAGACTTTTAATTTGCCAGAGAGCCATGCATCGGCTTTATTTTTGACACGTGGGGTAGAGCTATCTCAGCCTGTCTCGTCAAATATCTTAGATCCCTCTATGAGAATTCGTCACTTGCGACGCGATATCTCGAGAGATTTTAGGGAGCACACATTGCCCAACCACGACCCGCAAGAGCGTCCACGTTTTGCAGGGAATATCTCGGCAAAATACAAGGCGTGAATGGCTTCTTAAACAATCTGCAGGCTAGCCATTTTAGCTCAAATCTTTCATCGTCACAACGCAATGACTGCTTCTTTACCCCTCCCCTCCCGGGAATATGGAAGTCCACCAACACCGTCCAGGCATGAGACATCCTATAAGAGGACGATAAAATCCTAAAATTAATGAAGATATCCTTGCAACCAAATAAGAGGAAGACTTGAAAGATGAGGTCGCTTTTCGTGCTTGGTATCTTCTTCACGGCGTCTGCTCACGCGACGACCACCAGCGGCAAGTTTACCGCTCTGAGTTTCAATGTCGCAGGTCTCCCTTCCATTCTGCAGTCTAATGATGTGAATGGATCGAAGACCGAGAATGCCGGAGAGATTGGCACCTATTTTGCTGAATATGGCTACGATATCATCCATATGCAGGAGGTGGAGATGCCCTTCTTCGCTTAGAGGTATCGACGAGTTAACATTATGATAGGATTTCAACTACCATGCATATATTTACGCTACCGACGACCATGCTTACCGCACGGCCACTTCTGGAGGCGCGGGTATTGGAAGTGGATTGAACACTGTCTCAAATTACGATTGGGTCGATTTCACTCGTGAGAAATGGAATACCTGCTCTGATGATTCCGGAAGTGATTGTCTTACTCCGAAGGGATTCACTTTCATGCGCTGGAACCCCTCTACTGGAGTGTACATTGACTTCTACAATATCCATGCCGATGCGGGGTAAGCTAGAACTCATTCTTTGTGTCAATGAAAACTTCTGACTCCTGCTCAAGCACCGAAGATGGAGACGAGACTGCGCGCAATAGCAATTTACAGCAAGTGGCGGACTATATCGACACCTGGTCAATCGGAAATGCCGTGGTGGTGATGGGTGACACTAACAGTCGTTACACTCGAAGCGAAGACACCGGCATTCGGGTCTTCAAGTCTCAGAACAGCCTCACTGATGCCTGGGTTCAGCTGGAACAGAGCGGCGTCTATCCGACAGCGGGAGCTGATGCCGTCGTGTGTGACAACCCGTCTACCGTCGAGACCTGTGAGACTGTAGATAAGGTCCTTTACCGTGGATCCGACATCGTCACGCTCTCTGCCGAGAGCTTCTACTATGATGGCGAACAGTTCCTCAACACGGACTCTGCATACCTGGGTGATGTCTTGTCGGATCATAACCCTGTTCTGGTCAACTTTACTTGGACTCTGTCGAGCTCCCTTCGACAGAGCGAATTCTCTGGCGGCCCACACGGAACTTGGTTCAATGACCTCCCCAACATTCCATCATCCCCCAAGGCTTCCGTGTTGACTTTCCGTGGTTCCAGTCGTCTGGATGCTGTCGCACTAGAGCTGAGCGACGGAACATCTTTCAGCCATGGAGGAACTGGTGGCACTGAAGTGACCCTGACCCTCGGCTCCGGAGAGCACTGGATCACTACCGAGCTTTGCACCGGTACATACAATAGCCAGACTCGGAACTTCTACATCAAGGCTACTACCAGTGCTGGAAACACTCTGGAAGCTGGAACCTCGACCAGCAGTTGTACCACGTATACTGCCGATACTGGATATGCCGTTGTTGGATTCATGGGACAGGATGGAGATGAGATGGACCAGTTGGCTCTGATCTATGCTCCATACTAGTTATGGAGCTTGCTTAAAGGTGGAGTGAGTTGGGATTCAACGGAAAGATATAGCATTGACCGCACATGGTTGTCTCACAGATATTCTCATTATGAAGATTGTGCCCCCCCCAAATCTGCTAGGCTAGCTCCACCTTTGGATCTTAGCAAGTATCCAGATCTAAGTGATATGACTCCAAGATGTATTCAGAATTGTCCAATTGTGATTTTGGGGCACTATTACAGCCTAGACATTTGAGGAAAACTGAGATGAGACCCGGAAATGGCCAGTTCTGGCGAACTACTGAGACTACCTGCGCATCAAGCTTCTGAGCGACGCTTGGCATGCAGGTTCTCCATCGGTGCATCGACACCGTAATTCATGACCTTCTTTAGATCTCCCAAGAAAAAACTAGCAATACACGCCAAGACACCACAGGGGACTGCAATGATAAAGACAACCCTCAACCCATCGGCGTATGCCTGTTTGAGGGCGCTGACACCGGAATTGACGATCTCCTGATTGATACCAGATATCTCTGTCAATGCTGTACTGTTGTCAGATGAGAGAGCTTCGATAAATGATCCGAGAGAAGCTTTTGGAAGCCCTGCCTGTAGGGCTGCCGTGGAAATATATTCAGGAATATACTTCTTAAGGCGTGCAGAATATGTAGCTGAAAAAATAGCTGTGAAGACAGAAGCTGCTATGGCACGCGAGCAAGTTGTAGCTGCCGTTGCTGTGGCGATAAGATGATGTGGCGTTGAGAGCTGGACTCCAGCAATTACCAAGATCAAAGGAGATCCAAAACCTATACCAGCTAAAGCAGCAAATGCTATGGCACTGAAGTTGTCGTCGGGTTGAATCGTAGATAGGCCGATGAAACCGCCAGTGTAGATGATGAAGCCGACCAGCATTGGGGAGCGGATAGTCTTGAACTTTGTGCTCCAGTAACCAAAGATCACAGTGCTGATAGCCGAAGCAACAAACACTGGTATTTGTCGAGCCGCTTCTAGGAATGGATCTGTTTCAAACAGACTCGCCGTCCTTTTAGGAATCACGATTAGCATCTTGATCAGCAGAGCTTTTGCGAAACGAAGTGCTTACAGGACGGGGTAGAAAACTATCAAGGCGAAAAGCAGAATTCCTTCAATGAAAATGAGAACAATGCAGATGGCAAAGGTATGGCCAGCACTGTCCCCAGTCTTTCCACCGTGGAATAGGTCATGGTGCAGGATTCCAGTCTTCGTAAATTTCCACTCATAGATCCCAAAGGCGACCAAAGTGAGAATCCCTATTATCAGAGTAGCCAGAACCGGTACACTAGACCAGGTATACAGGCCACCTCCAAGATTGAGTCCAGTCAGAAAAATTGCCAATCCCGCGGTGAGAAGGAAAAAGCCTGGAAGGTCAACACGGCCAAGCTTCTGCCAGAACGAAAGATGATCAAAGCGAGTGTGCCTTTTCGGAGGTCTGTATCCAACAAAAAGTCCGATTGCTGTCATGCCCCAAAGGGCCATTTGAATCCACTTCAGATGACGTTAGCTCCACCTCGACCAAGAGAAAAGCTCGAGAGGGACACATGCATAAAAGTTCCTCCATCCAGTGTGAGGGTTCGCTCGTGTCAGTCCACCTATAATCAAGGGAGCCCCGCAAGAACCCAAAGTCGCAGCAATGTTGATGAAAGCTTGAATCACTGCATAATAGTTAGTATATGTAGGAAATTTCGATCATGCGGCAGAACCATAGATGGTCAACGCACTTGGCCTCCATTTTCTAGGAGTTATATCACTTGGTACGCAATAGGCCAGCGGAACAGTAGCAAAACCGAACCCGATCAGTACTTGTGCTGCTATAAGACGATATATATCGCTTGAACCTGGGGCAATTGCACAGCCAATAAAAGAGATGATGGCTGGACCGACAAGGAATGCTTTTCTAGCCTGGAATGTATCCGAAAGGGATGCAATGAGAGGCGCTAGGACGGCTTGGACTAGCGATAGGGAATTCGGAACCCAAGTTCCTACGGTAGTGTTGTTGAGATCTTTTTCGATATAATTCAGCTGGGCACCCTGTCAGCTTACTGGCTAATCCTTTAAAAGAATGACAAAAGCACCGCAGCTGGGGGACCTAGAAGCCCAAAAACCTGAACCAGATTCAGAAGGAACATTGCAGCCAAGGCAAAATAGGTCTGCGCGTGTAGCTCTGGCTCTTCATCCTCTTCATAAACTAGATTCTCCTCAATCTGTTCTTTTGTATCTTCCACGTGTTGAGAATTTTCCACAGTATCATCTTTTCTACCACATTGCGGATCATCATATGTGGCAGTAGAAGGGATTTCGGACATATTTTACGGCGAGATATAGAAGGAATTATTGAGAGACTCAGTGGATGATAATGATGTATTAGAACGAATGATTTACCTTACTTATATACCCTTAAGCGCTGTGTTTTCGGTGGGCCTGGATTTTTGAAGCGGCTGAAGACCCCGCATTTTCCCCAGACCCCGTTCTGATCGTCCCCGCAATCGGAATGACAGGGCCCGTAAGGCACATTTTGTTGGAAATTGACTAGTAGAGGCGTTCCCGAAGACGTTAAACTTAATCTTTCAGAGTCTTGACGTAGATCGACGCTTGTCGGCGAAACTGCGGGTATGCAACCGGCGGGTGTATACATCCTGGAAAGGTCGCTTTCGACCCAGCCAAAAAAGGAGTTTGGGACTACTCTTTCTTTGTTTTTCCTTTAGATTGCCAATTTGATCCTCACGACCTCTGTATGCTTATTGAGTGTTGCTCTGATTGCCTGCAAGTAACTCAAAATATTCATTAGCATCGTACTTTAGGTTGTCTTTTGTGAAAGGACACACCAACCACCCAATTATATGGCTCGTGACTTAGGCCCCACGGTTCCATAGATCTCCATGGAATCCCTAATTAAAAGAATCCACTCAAATGTGGGATATGAAAAAGTCTAAATGGCCTTGGAACTATCGAGTTGTTTCCTACTGAGATATCTTTTTTCGAAATGGCATCACGTTAGTCTCAATCCGACGGAGACAATCATATAGATTTAGAGATTCAAACAAGAGGTTAGCATTACTAGAGACCTGAATGAGTAATATAATCGAGCATGTTCGAGCAAGTTGACATATAGTATCGACTAGATGGAAAGTTTCATTGAATTTTATTGCTGATGACTGGGATGCATTCATACCCTCAGCCCTCCCTGGCTGGGCTGAAAGTTATTGAGTTGAGCCCTCCTCACTTGCGGCATCTTCCACGCCTAGGCGGAGCTTGACACAACTTAACGGAGCTATCATACGATTTTATTCCTTTCATCACCAATATTTGAATTAGAGAAAACATGACGGCTCCGTCTAATTCAAACGTGAGAAGAATTGGCAGAAATCACGAAAGATCTTAGAGAGTAATGCATTAGTCAATCGCTTTAATCGAAGCTTAATTACAGCTGGCTAGCAACTTGAACTTGATCAAATATTTCAAGCACGATCATTGATTCTCGCCGCCCCTGTTACACATGTAAATAGCTGTTAGCATAGAGTAAGCAATGGTATAAAAGTTACGAGCAAGATATGACACTGAGACACGGATTTGATTACTGTAAGATCTACTCACTAATGTGGGTTGCATGGAGTACAGAGGGGGTAGACATAGTCTTTGGAGAGGGAAGAAATCTCTTTCCACCAACTTCATATCCCCTCTGAGTTGTTGGAAATTGCTTATAACTTCAATACTTTTGTACAGCCTCTGTTCGATTTAAATAGATCGCTCTTACACTCCAGTATCTCGCCTAATCTACTATTCCTGGGCATCTTCCTTTTGATACCTCTTTGGATGCCTCTTTCAATGAACCCTATCGAGTCATTTATTATTGCATTAGAGATAGAAAAGAAGCCCAGTCAAATACGCTCATATTTACGCGCCAATCGTAATCTCATAAAAGTTAGATGTATTAGTATCGGGAGATTTGGGAAGAGCCCAACTAAAGCTTTTCTTATCCTAGAATTTCGCTTCAGGAAACGAGCCTTTTTAGTAGGTCACATCCTCCGAAGATCAATAAACACCCTCATGAGGTAGTCACTGCGTGGTTCACTAACGCCCTACACAAATGCTTGCATTTCACTCAGAATGTTGCCAGACAATTGCACTAAAATTGACTAGAAGCGGGGCCTCACTGGCCACGAACCAGCCACTCCCGCCCCCACGTGCGCTCGGTATCGCGCACCTGCCCGTGATAGTTTCGGTGCGAAGTCCTGCTGCACTTTTCGACCTCCCAGACCCGTCTGATAGGTATTCAGAGCGTCGGACCCCCCGGGCTAGAGGTAATGCCCATTGCTACTGGTCTATTTAGCACAATCTAATGCGATCAGCAGTGAGCTCACCTAGCGGTTCGCTGCACATTACACATCTGATTAGCTGCAGGCCAAGCGAGATCAAGCAGACAAAAACTGCATTGTGTCCCATCATCATGGACGAAGTATCATTGTCCCCACCGCCGGCTGTGATTGCCTTACGAGAATCATTTGGCGATCGTAAGCCGCCTGACATCACTCGCAAAATCACCGCCTGCGTGGCATGCCGAAAACAAAAGGTTGTATCTTCGGTATTTGTGTTGATTTGCCCACGGCTCATAATTGAAAAAGGTAAAATGCCATATGCGAGATGGACAAGTACCGTGTTCAAGGTGCAAGAAGCGCGGTTTGCCCTGTGCTGTCAATCGCAGCTTGCAAACACTTCTAGAAGAAGATGTTACGTGAGTGTCATGTCAATCGGAAGAATAGATAGACCACTAATTGTTTTCAGATGGAAAGGTGCAGTTGTGCAAAAGATCAAAAACCTTGAAGATACAATTGCAAGAATTGCAGCCAAAGTCGAGTTACCTGACCTTGATCTTCAAATACGGCCAGAGGAGCCAGAATCGATGACCCCGCCTGTTGTTGAGATGGCTAATGCAGAGCAACCAGCCAGCCCAGAACCGCATTCAAGAGAAGAAAAAGATCCAACACAGACTTGGGAGGTAGTCATGGATCCTCACGGGGGCCCAGCATCAATACCTGCATCCTGCCTCTCTGAGAACATTAGAGCGACAATACCAAATAGCCTCCCAACTTCTCGAAGGCCGGACTTGATATCAATCGGGATCATCACACTTCGACAAGCATTGGCATTGTTTGATACATACTATCTACGGTTGGATCATTTCTTGTATCGCATACTGGGTGATCATATTAGTCTGGATTCAGTGCGAATCGCATCACCACTATTGACCGCAGCGGTCTGCACAGTGGGAGCGCTCCACTCGCCGTCCCTTGGCTACTTGTTTAGTACCTGCTATGCAGAGTACAAAGACCTTGTGACCTCACAAGTGTTCTCCAAGAATGCAAATCCTGACGATATTCGAGGGCTTTGTATTGGTGCATTCTGGCTGCATGAGCTTTCATGGGCCCTGATTGGAAACGGCACGTCTGTCCAAGCCCTCTTTAGAGATGCAGATATTAATTTGACCTAGCGGTTCGGGTTGCATCCGATATAAATCTTCATAGTGGAATCTACAAGGCTCTCAAAGGTGATCGAGAAGGCTACGTTCAGGCTCGGATATACTACCTTGTCTACGTGTGTGATCATCACTTTTCCGTGGCGTACGGTCGGCCTCCCATGTCTCGTGAAGGTTTTATCATCGACTCCGCCAGTCGACTTCTGGACACTGAGCATGCAACTGAGGATGATGCAAGATTGATCAGTCAAGTCAAAGAGTGGTCTATCTTGGGTAAGGTATTCGATACGTTTGGCGTGGATGTGGATACAGCAATTGCCCCCGAAACGATCCCCCATTTACGCCGATACTCGATTGCGTTGGATACCTGGTTTGCCGACTGGCATGAAAGCTTCAGCGAGAACAGGAGAGTTGGAAACTACCCTCAAAAGGGCGTTGGCTTTCACTTTCACTTTGCGAAACTTTACCTTTGCTCTCATGCGTTCCGAGGCGTCCCCGCCGCGGAGAATGCCACACAATGCTTCTCGCCCGAGTTGGAAGAAATCGCCAATGCCGGTGTTCTATCCGCCATGTCAATTCTTCGAGTTATCGTATCCGACGCAGAATTCCGATCTTTCATGAACGGTCTTCCCCTATATTTTGACACAATGCTCGCGTTCGCGGTCGTTTTTCTCCTCAAAGTGGCCACCAAATACGCGACCGTCATCAGGATTGACACGTCCAAGATATTGTCACTCGTTTCCCAAACGGTGGCCGCTTTGCAGGAGATTACTCGACCTATGCACCGACAGCATCTTCTCGTCGTGATAGCTGAAGGCCTTGAAAGGCTGCTAGTGAGATGTCAAGTCCCAGTGCAGACAACACAGGAAGCAGTTTCGCATGCACCGCCGGCCTTGGAGCATCATGCGAACTTTGAAACAGGATGGATGGAAAATATGGCGAGTTTTGATTTCCAGACGAATTTCCCAGACATGGATGACTGGTGGCTTCATTATAACACCTCAGTTGCTCCCGGTCGTGCCATGGGACCGCCGATTTAGAAGAGATATCCGAATCTTGATTGGAAAATTCTAAATGGAAATGGTCTCATATGAAGACAGAGACTTGTACTGTTCCATGGGAAACATCTCAAGGAAGTAAAATATGGCAGATACGCCTGGAAATGGCCAGGTGATTACAACGAAGCTGATGGTATGAGTTATGAAGATTACTATTTGTACATACAGAGCCCATTCGTTATGTCACCAGTTCTCTCTCAGGATATAGACAATGCAGCAGCACCCATACTCAGTACTGCTATTGAAATCCACAGGACCCAACTGTGTGTAAATATGAAATTTGACCACTGGCCTGCTATGCTGCTCTTTGCTATCACAGTTGGCTTGACTGTGATGTTTGTCACTTCATGAATATCTTCCTTCAATGGGGAATCCGTTGAACCGAAGCTCTTATTTGCCGAATCAGTGCTCATAAGACTGCTGCCTGACAATGGCATAGAGTCTGGGGAGGCAGCCAAGGTTTCGATCTTCTCCTGAGATACCGTTTGGGATGGCTCGACAGCAGACGTCTTGTCAGCTGGGTCTGGCGGCGAGGTTCCTTCTTCAGATGCGATCATGGACTCTTCTGATGATGCCGTATCTGAAATTTTTCCGAGTTCCAAAAGCAGATTGGCAATGTCGTGGTGATTATAAGCCCGTGCCAGGGCAAATAGTGTATGCCCCAGTGCATTCTTTCTCCAAACTTCCGCACCAGCTGCCACCAGTCGCCGAATAGCAGTCTTCTTCCCATATATGACCGCTAGCTCGAGCATGGTATTCAGCTCGCGACGATCTTGAGGCAGGGTAGCATCGTGCTCAATTAGTGCAGCACTGATGCTCTGCTCATACGCTGTGGCTGTCGCCAAGGGAGATTCGCCCCACTCGTCCTTGATGTTGACATCAGCACCTGCAGCCAGGAGAATATCTGCAACTTCGACGCTGTTGTAAAGAGCTGTCAGATGTATAGGGGTACGACCGTAGTTGTTGGGCAAGTTCAAAGGGGCGCCATGGTCGATTAGCAAGCGAGCAATTTCGGAGTTGTTGCGAGTTGCGCTGTAATGGAGCGCGGAGTCACCGACATCTGGATCTTGTGCACTGATCTCAGCCGCGGTAGCAGTTGGAAGTCGTTCGCGGAGCTCTTCAAGTGACTCGGCACTTGATAATGCCCATATCGGCAAAGGTTCGTTAATTGACAATTCCGTGTCCGTCCTAATGGGCGATTGAATGATAGTGCCCGTTGCGGTTCGTTGAGGAGGCTGAGGAAGCTCGCTGTCGCTCAATGCCCGCCTTTTCTCCGACAGCCTTGCCTCTCGAAGGATTTCAAGAATGGCAGTGTTGTTTGTCTCGCGAGCTACAAACATGGGTGTGCGGCCATAGCTGTCTTTAATGGTTGGGTCGGCACCGTGTGAAAGTAAGATCCTGACTGTCGCTGCAGATCCCGACCTGGCAGCGTCGTGAAGTGTCGTTTTCCCATTCACATCCTGCATGTTGACGTCCAAGGTTGGATCAAACTTCAGCAGGATATCGATGATCTCAGTTCGAGCATTGATAGCAGCAGAGTGTAGCATTCCCCGTTGGAACACGTCTTTATGGTGAACATTCGCCCCTCGATCAAGCAATAGCTCAACAACGGGTATCTGATTGTAATCGATTGCTCGATTAAGGGCAGTTCCAAACGATCCCTCTTGCTGGACCTCGGTATCTGCACCATGGTCAAGAAGGGTCTCGACCACTCGGCGATATCCATCTTCAGCGGCCATGACAAGAGCGGTCGAGCCTGATTTATCTTGGATGTTGATGTCAATGTCAGGATGTGTCAGAAGCACATCAACAACTTCCCGCTCGTAACCAAGTGCCCCGTGCATCAATGCAGTTGTTCCGCGTAATTTGGAGCCTTTGTTGATGTCGAGCTTAGGGTTTCGTATAATAGACTTTACCACATCAAGGTGTCCTTGATATGCAGCAGTCATCAGCGGCGTGAATTCCCCAACGAGATGGTTGACATCAATATCATCTTGTTCCAGGAGGGCTTTTACTGTTAACTGATGATCGTTCTGGGCAGCGCCGTATAGTGGGGTGCATCCGAGGTTGTCCATGGAGTTCACATCTGCACCAGCGGCAATTAAAGTTGAGGCTACATCATGAAGACCACGTATAGAGGCCAAAGCAAGAGGTGTAACACCATGCAGATCTCGAACGTTAGGATTGAAACCACCCGCAAGGAGCTCGACCACCAGTTTGTTCAAGCCGAAGTGGGTAGCGAGGTGAAGAGGAGTGCTGCCATCCCTGCCGGCCCAACTAGCAGAATCCTCGTCATCAAAATACCACAGTGCCTGTGATATAGCTGCGAAACGTTGCGGATCAAGAAGAAGCCCCCTTGCAAGATCATAAAGATCATCACGTGGAGTCTTCAAAAGATGTTTGCCCCAATGCTCAGAGGCGTATTGAAGGAATGGGTACGCTTTGACTCTCGCGTCAAAATCAGTTGCTTCAGAAGGGCCAGAGCATCTCTGCTGAAACGGGTCAAACATGAGATAGGTCAAGCAGATAGAAGTCAGTTTGATAGCACCATCAGGAAACCAGCGGTCCTGATTCTCAGATTCGGAAAAGTAATTCATGGCTGAGTAGTGAACCAGTCTGACACAGTCAGATTCGTCGAACTTCACTAACCCGGCACACATCGAGGCCAGGGTCTGCACTCGAATGATATTGTCAGGGTCAATGTCACGATCTCTGTCCGAGATAGCAATTGCATGCTCAACCTCACGACATTCCAAAGGGCGTTCGGCAAAGACGACCCATCGAAGAAAGTCTATCGCCACCTCTTTCTGACTTTCGGGCAAGTCCTTGATCCGAAGCATCGCATCATTATATGTACCATTCAGCTCTTTTGGCAAGACATCCAGTGCTTCAACTACCTCCCCAGGCCGAAGCTTGGACGCAAGCGTATCCATATTGAATTTCGCCAGAAGGAACATTCCGTCATTCTGCTCAACGACCCTCTCCACAATATCTGCCATCAGACCCGTTTTGGTGTCCACGCAACGTTGTAGAAATTCTGACGAGCCAACTCTCCACTTGACATAGGCTAACAAATCTTGCTCCATGGCAGTGATGTCAATTCTAATGCTGTTGAACTGCTTGACAAGAATGTGGCCTTTATGACCACATCGTTCTCCTTTGTCATAGCATTCTTCGCAAAGATCAAAGCCGTTAGGAGCTGTTTCATCGCAGTCGAAACAATGGAATTGATAGCGCTGATCGGGCTTCCCACAGCCATCGCAGTAAATGCTTCTTTCGATGTCGGCGAAATGTCGTGTAATGTTATCAACCGGTCGAGATGTAACCATTAGATTAACCTTTGCCTCGAGCGATGTGAGGGTTTCCAGAAGCACAAGCCTGCTTTTCTCATCTCGCAGCTCATCGAGCCCGTCCACGATGATAAATGTCTTGGGAAAGTGACTAAGCTCGGATTTCAGAGCCGACGCATACTCGTCGACCCCGGGACTCGTGCCAGCCTTGCTATGCTTGGAGAACATCTCCGACGTCCCTTCCCAAACGACACCATAGCGCTGGGCGATCTGCTTGACCAAACTTGCGAGCAAACCGTTGATCGATTGAGATTGTGAATCGTCCCATTTGCAATACAGCATCAAAATTGCCGCATCTCTGACACCACCTTTTTCACTGAGTCGAAGTTTGTCTAGTTCGTTAACCACGATGGCTGACAACATGGTTTTTCCGGCGCCTGGAATTCCCGGACAAAATAGAATGGCGTTCTCACTCTCCTTCCATGCTCGAAAGTCTTCACATCCAAGGAACCATTTACAAGTTCCTTCATGCTGCTCTTTGAAGAGTAGACTCTGCTTTGCAATGAAATTCAGTGGAGACAACCAGTTTATCATCTCCTTCAACCGCGTTTCGTCCATAGTGGCTTTCATTGCCTTGCCATCTCGATGGATCTCTTGCGTGAGAGCATAGTTAGACTGCTCTAGGGCAAAGTGTAACGTCTGCTGCATGCGAGAGATCTTGGCCACCATTTGGATCACATCCGCCTTGGCTAGCGGCCATGCCAGCGTTTGACGAATGCTTCCACGCGTCGAACGAGGCTTGAGCTTATTCTCAACATCCTTGACCAGACCGTCGAGCTCCTTCAAAATCCCATCAGTCTCAAACAAAGACAGTAATTGCGGTGGGAAATTCTCTTTGTCGACGACATTTCCATCGGGCGCAAGTTGAGCCTGAAGAGCCGTGATGGTGATCCACAAATTCGACAGTTCTTGAAGAAGCGATAACCGCTCTTTTCCTCCCGAAGCGACCGTTCCGAGGTACCCAATGATCTGAAAAGCGGCAGTTGCAACTCCAGCGATGCTGGCTGCCACGCTCAACGGATCCATTGAGCACTATGTCGTAGGAGGGCTAGGGCCATTCGAATCGTGGATCGTGGAGCGCTAGAAGATCGGGAGTGCCGTTAAATATGACCAGGGTTCAACCCCGTGGGCGCGAGGGCCCGACCGACGATGGCAAATGCCGACCTCATCCAGCATGCAGCAAGATGGGGGCCAAAAGCAGGCTGATTTTACACTGACCACTCAGCATCACTGAATCGGAGGTTTGTTTTTCGACTTGCGCAGCCCCTTTTGCTATACTTGGTCTGGCGTGGCGAGCATCAAACCAATGGGAGAGTTGCTGAACGCCATTTTGTGGGGCCAATTTTGATAGAAAACCATCTCGCTGACTGCATGATCCTACTATTTATGGCAATAGTATTGTCTTTCGACAGAGTTGCTCGTCCAGATCAAAAATCATGCCGACGGATCAATTTGGTCGAGATATTGTCATTCACATTATTTCCATGACGCTTGATTGATGACATTTGCGTCTGTCTGATTTCTCGGAGCTCACGGTATCGCTGTCGATGGCACTTTTTCAGATCAAACTCCTGGCCGATCAATCCGGTAAACAGTCGAAGCAACGTTCAGATAAGCTTCATATTCAACTTCCTCGCCCCCTTCCTGCAAGTCATAATGATAATGCCCTCCTTTCCGATTACCATCTGCCTCAAAGCAGTGCGTATGCTCCATTCGCAACCCCAATCCTTCCGGATCAGAGCTATGCATCACACTCAAGCAAATGACAGGAGCTTCAAAGTCATGATACGTAAGCCAGTTCTTTTCCAATTGTTCACGATCTTGGAATGGCAAATTATCCTCCTGGGGAAAGTCGGGCATGATGTGGAACTTGGCCTTGCCCGCCTTCAAAAGAAATACCCCGCCAAGGCTGATAGGTCTCGAGTTACCGTAGTGATCTGCTAGGCCAAGCCGAATGCAATTGGTAAAATTCTTGTCACCTGTCCGTGCTCGAGCCGTGATCTTGAGAACTGGTCCCGTATCACCTGTTGATCCAAAGAGGTTGACCATCAGTCCACAATTGAGGCTTCCGATGGGCTCACAGCATGACGAACCGTCCTGGTTGACTTGAATAATGCGAGACCCATTCCTTACTTGATCAACATCTGGGTCACCAGTCCCCACGTGAGGTCCAGGCGGAGTGTAAAGATTCACTGCGAGCTCGGCATTATAGCCAGTGTCGTGGAAGGGTGCTGCGCCGGCACCAATCAAGAATCCGCCTTCTCCCTCCGTCATCTGCATGTCTTTGGCCAGTGAGCGAAGGTTGAACTTGGCGTCAAAGTTGGGACGTGGAAAGAGATTAGCTTGGCCGCCAACGTCAGCGATGCATGGATTCCCTGATAGACCAGAGCTGGCCAGGTAGAATGGGGGCTGGCGAAGGTCGGGACATTCCACAACGCTCACGGAGGCACTGGCAAAATTGGCCAGGAGCGACCGTTGGATGATAGCAGCTAATTCTCCCAATGGAGGAGGATCTCTGGGATGTGTGGTCACCGTCATGGCTGCACGGTTGGTCGCCAAATTAATTTGAATATCACAGGAGGTACGCGATGACGATTGACCTGTTGCGGGGAAGGAAGCGTTTGGCACCGACTGGTCGGCATCACGTCACGCCGTTTCGCCGACGCCATCCGAAATGACAACCACCGGAAAGGCACAACATAATTTTCCGCATTGGATTAAGGCGTTTCTGAAAAGTCAACTGAATTTTACTATTCTCTAAATCAATACATTCTTGTAGAACAGACTAGATCTCCGATCACCCGCCTTCCCGGAAGCAAAGCCCAAGAAAAGACGAACTTCTCCACCAACTGTCTTATAGATTGCCAACCCTTCCGGTTCACGGAATGAAAGCGTAGAGCCAGCCTTCGTCAAAGCTGGACCCTGCACAACAGCACCAGTGTTCATATTGACACTGGTGATCTCAGAGTTGACCACACCTCCTGAGGTATCGTATGAGTTCCCAGTCAGCAGATAAACGTATTGCCCATAGGCAGCATAACCCTGGAATGTATCGGACATGGTATTCACAGACGGATGCTTGATGTTGGCCAGTGGGCTGGTAAAGTCTCCACTGGTCGCCTTGTCCAAGTCAAAGACCGCAATGTGTTTACCGCTGAGATTGTATCGCACGATCAGGCGGTTGTTGACAGGGTCAATGGAGCAAGTGTGTTCAGTTGCACCGACGATAGGTTGAAACTTCTTCAGAGAGGAAGAGGAAGCTGAGATTTTGCCCCCGTTGGTGAACTTGAATCGCGCAAGCTTCTTTCCGTACCCATTGGTGTTGGCTTCAACCTCAGTCCACAGATATGTTGATGATCCTTCGGCCTGGGCGCCGAAGGAGACGCCGTGGCCAAAGCCAGTCAGGTACATATGCCCGACGTAGTTGCCATCGAAGTCAAGTTGGGTAATGCACAAGTCTCCCGATGTTTCCGAGGACCCATCACGTCGCTGGGCAACAAAGAGACGCCGGTTGGTATTGTCAAATGCGAAGCCCTGTTGGACAGTTGAGTCTTGTAAGGCTTTGTTGCGGTAGAGGTCGTAAGATGGCGTGGTTAGATCAAAGCGCTTTGACGAGGGAATTGTAGCTGATGCCGTTTGGAAACTGGAGGACAGGGCAAGAATTGCGACACAAATATTGGCTGGCTTGAGGAAGCTCTTCCAGCTAAGTGACAAAACCATATTCGGAATACCTTCTATGAGTCCCGAAAGACGATTGTGATGGAGATTAACAGAACAATTGACAGGGAAAGATACTCGACTTATATTCTCGATTTCGGAAATTCTACAAGTCTGTATACGAGTAATTTCCGAGAAAGTCGTTGATCTTTGCCTTTAGTGTCGGCAGCCTCTCGTATTGAGGCTAACAATAGCGGTGCCAAGAGGAATTCGGCGGCTTAGCGACATTCCACGATGATCTTGGTTGCAGAGGCTTATCCTCGTCGAATGACTATATCTGTGCTAGATTCAGACTGAAAATATAATAATCTATATTTGAACGAACATACGAGGCAAGATGGTGATCCTGACTGCCTCAGGCAGCTCCCAGGTTATAGTCCCCCGCTTGGAAGCTTTGAAACTTGGCCAATTATTTAATCTGATCGCGCAGTAGCTCCAACTCCGAGTCTTTGCTAATGTTGTAATTCACCCCTAATCCCTAACAATTATCCAATTATCCGCCAGAATTATTAGGCAAACATCATTCGATCACGGGTTGGAGACCTTACCGGATGAGGCTCATCCGCTAAGATTACATATCCTAGAACCCGGCGCACCTCCCTCACGAAACCATCCTCCCCACTCTCCAACCAACGATCTTGATAACATTCTATTAGCAATGACAACCGAAACCACGGAACCAGAGACCCGCGAGGTCCTCACTAGTCCAGTCCTAGCTACTCCAGAAATCCTAGAGATGATTCTCCTTCAAACAGATATGCGCACGCTTCTCACCTCTGCCCAGCGCGTTTGCCGGGCCTGGTTGCATCTAATCACAAAGTCACCATCAATCCAAAAAGCCCTATTCTTCACTCCAATTAAAGACTCTGATCGGGGCTCCGATACAAAAAGAATCAACCCACTATTAGCAGAGGCGTTTGCGCCCATCTTTCCACCCAAGGACGGATCGGAGAAGCACAAATTCGACTTTTCCAATCTGAACTGGACTAAAGACCCTTCGAGTATGGCTCGCTTTGTACAAAAAGATGCGAGCTGGCGCAGGATGCTAGTCCAACAACCTCCCCTGCCAGAACTTGGATTATTCAATCTTTATCACGCTCGAGGCGGCGACACAGCCAGATGTTTTTGTATCCCTGTTAGTGTTTTCCCACTTCAACAACCTACCATCTGCCCCCACCTTTCCGTCATACGGCTAACACCTTAATAGGCGTACGGAAAAGATCAAATCCCAAAAAGCAAAAATCTCCGCATGTCAAGACTTTTCGACGTCCTACTATTCAGCCACCAAGTGCAATTCTGCACGACCGTACGCGTGTACTGGTCCACCGAAGAACCCTTTGAGTTCAATGGAAGCTATAAAGATATCAATGACGAGTTACACCGGATGCTGGGGCAAATAGGCATTGTTCTGTATACTCGCAAAGTCATGCAGTGCACTATAGGGCTTGAGAGGCCAGTGTCTAAGGCGGAAAGGACTCGGATGGAGATTATCAAGGCGTACCAAAAACAGGGGTTTGATGTGGTTGGTACACAACAGGAGATTGAGGCGTCGAAAAGGCCGATGATCAGGGAGGGAGAATCACGGAAGGAGAAGGAGGAAGGGGAGGGGACACCGACTATTGTGAAAGGGACAGATGATAATTGATGCAGGGATATTGAAGGATTTGAGCATTCTGATTTGTTCTGTCCACCTTATTGGGTGGATGGGAGTTCTCTTAGATAGTTTTTACCGAATTAAGAACGTAAACTATCATCTTTCCAAATAATCCGATATTGTAGAGAGGTAACAGGTAAATAAGCTAAACGCTACAGGCTATCAGCAAGATTCTCCAATGAAAAGAAAGCCAAAGCATAAGATACATCCTCGGGCGGGCATCATCCAAGGAAACAAGTTTTATATGTCCAAGTTCGTCCCCTCATTCCATTGCATACCCTCATTAGTCCATTCAAATCGCGTCGTAAATCATGAAATAGCAGAAACAAAATCATCCCATCAACACCAATCCTGTACAGGTTTCTTCACAACCTAGACCACGTAGCTAGGTCTCCGGCTGGAGCTACGGTGGCGGTGGTGCGAAGAAGAATGGCCACGACGGCTGCTGTGGCTGCGCCGACGAACGGTGGTCTCCTTAACAACGACCTCCCGGTGCTTGCTGTGAATGAACAGCGCCAGGAACGCAGTCCAGATAAAGAAGACCACTTCCATGATTCCCAGTGCAAAACTAGCCTTCAGCATTGCGCAGGTCTTGTTAACGTGCAGCGACAGCGGGTTGTTCACCTGCGTGCCGTACTCGCCAAATGGACCGAGGGAAACCCAGACAGAAACGGAACCGCCATCCCAGTGCGCGCAATCGGCGTTCGCGATGAAGCGCAGCTGGTAGACGGCCGCGATGAAAGCGCCGAAAAAGCACATGTCAAGGAAGGCGACGAAAAATGATGAGCGCTTGGTTGCAGAAAAGCGGATCAGGGTATCGATGCACCAGAAGACGGCGATCACGCTGACGATGAAGATGACCAGGATGTATGGTGGTGTGAGCATGTTGGCTTTCAGGTAACCATCGACGAAGTAGGCCTGTATAGCGAGGAATGGTTAGTATGATGGATGAGCTTTGCGCATTTACCATGCGCGCGAGAACGGAGATTGGCTTACCATCATACCGATGATCGGAATGAGGAAGGTGATCTCAACCAACCGGTTGAAGATGAAAAAGATACTGCCAATCATCTTGACGGACGCCTGATGGACGCAGAGTTTAAGGGTGACTCGATCTCAGGAATGTGACAAAAGGCAAAACTGTCGCGAAAGGGTCCAGCGCAAGATAAGCGATGCGGGTGAGAGGTATGTACGTCAAAAGCACCGCAGTCAATGGGAAGTCAATGGTAGGTTAAATCGGTCCTGTCTCGAGGCTTACACTCGCATCGCGTGAATATCAAAGGACGATGGAGGGTACCTGAGTGTATTGCGATCACAACCTGTGCAGTTTGACTGCAAGAAATGAGAGAAGGTGAACTGAAAAACGAAGAGAGAGGGGCGACGAGCATAGAAAAATGGTCTAGGTGCCGTCATCTTGCGCTGACGGGGGTGGGGGAGGGGAGGCTGGGCGAGTCACGGTGCCCGTCTGAGGTGGCTGGGGCAACAGTCAATTGAGACGGGTTCCAGCTCCTTGACATGGTCGCTCTCGCACGCAGATGCGAGACGTAGGTGATCTAATGGGGATTAGTGGCAGCCCTTCCGTCAGATTTAATTAATGTTCTGCATCTGATTGACTGTTGATCCGCTTAGTCCTGCCGGAGGTTGTTTTTGTTGGATGGGCAACCCGGCCCGTGGTCCAATGGGGCAAGTCTCTGCCGGTGCAGCCAATGGGCGATCATCTATCTATGAAATGTCAAAACATTGAAAAATAGTAAAGATGGGAACTGCGAATTTTTATGTAGCGGTGGAACAGACGCTTAAAGTCAATTTAAATAGAATGTTAACTATCATATCACAAAGGACAAAGTCATCGAGACGAACCCGGTTCCAGCCTCTAACACCTCATCCCGAATTTTCGTACAAGAAGAAACACAGAGAAGGAAAATAATGCCAACACTCATCAAGTCACATATGCTCGCTTGTGATACAATGCAATTCCGTGTCAGAAACAGATCATCATGGGATATAGATTTTGGACTAGACGTCGCGCAGCGGCGTATCAGTTAATTGTCGCCCTCGGCTGGGGTGATTGCTAGCAACCTCCGAAGTTGGGTGCATTGCGTTTTCCGAAGCTGGATGGGTCTGTGACTGATATGCCGTGTTGGACTCGAATGGAGGTGAATATCCCCGAGCGGCACCAGGGTTTCGGGTGACCGCATAGCCATGCTGCATCTCGTACCCGTTCCCAACATCGTCCTCACTAGAAGAAGAGTTGCCATCAGGGTCCTGATCATGTCGACGACGAGGATATACCTGAGAGGCGAACGGGTTGCTCGGGACTGCATATCCCGAAGCACCAAGGGGAGCTGGCCGACCCGAGGGCGATACGGAGCGCTCGATCCCAGCTGGTGGGTGAAGGCGGTCTTGCTCGGGGTTGCGAAGAGCAGAGGTATCATCGTCACTGAACGCGGTCAATTGAGCGTTCACTGGGCGGGGCGGCTCAGTGCCCCAGGTGCGGATGGGAAAGGCTCGACCCTTGCGCCAGGCCTCGGTGATCGGAGGGAAGTATTGGCGGTAAGAGACAATGGCGCACGCGACGCCTAGAAGAGAGCCGGTGATGACGTCGAATGGGTGATGGCGGGCATCCATGATTCGAGACACTGCAACAAGGGTTGCCGCAAGGATGGGCACCATGACCAAAAGGCTCTTCCAGGCCTCGCCGCGGTTGTCCAAGATGTGAAGCTTTCCGCCAAGCCACAGGGAAGTATAGAATAGTCCTGCGAAGGAGGCTATCATCGCCAGGTGGGTTAGTAAATTTGTATAGCTAAGATCACGAGTGCAGTATGATGAAGGTTAAGGTTGACGGTAAGACTCACAACTACTGTGACCTATCGTAAGATGCTTGATTAGCAACTCTTTCCTAACTAAAGCTCAATCAGAGGAACGGGCTTACCTGATGGCCACGAGCGGAACCCATCTTTGATAATCTTTGCATCTCCAGTGCAGATTGACGAATTGGACAAGCCGTACACCGGCAGGTCAAGACTCCCACTGATAGGCTGGCACCGATCGATCAAGTCCGGTCGGGGTTTACCGCAGGCATTTTTGAGTACCTGGGTGATCACAAAGGCCAATCCCTGCGACAGTAACAGGCCCAGTATACCACAGTTCATCTCCCACAGACGATCCTTCCACCGCCACGGCCCGCGCAGCTTGCGCTTCCCCGACGCCGGGTCCAGAGGCTTGTGGTGTGAAAACAGCCCATCGATGAAGAGTGTGTAGATGATGATGAGCACGAGGGGGAAAGCGCCGGAGATGCAGAGGGCGTAGTTGATGGGAATTCGTTCATGCACGGCGTACGGATACTGGAGGGAGATATTTTGCAGGGAGAAGTGTTGGTGGTAGGGTTCGATGGAGTCTAGGATCCAGAAGCCGATGACACAGGCGCTAATTCAATCGGGGAGCGGCGGTCAGTTCGATTGCCATTGTCAGGTTGAGACAAGGAGATATAAGGGTGGGATCGATGGGAGGGTACACACATGATGATCACATAGTCGAAGATGTAGCTACAGATGAAGCACGGTTAGTTCGGAGACGTAGCGGGGAAACAGTAGTGCGAAGTAGCAGCACTCACGAAATGACGACTCGCGGTCGGAGCCGCCGTTTGGAGAACGGCAATTTGGCCGGAATCTCCATAATTACCCGGCGTGTGGGTGACTTGGGAGGAACAAAAGAGAAAAGGAAATCAAAAAGTAGAAGTACTCTCTCTGCCAGCAGCGACCCCCAAAATTAGGCAGCTTCAAAACGGTTCTGGAGATCGAATCTGGTCGCGTGCCTGAGGCGTGGCGATTGGCGGTGGGCGCAAAGGCGCGTTGCTTGGCGTTTATAGGTGCCCCTGGACCCTACTTTGACTTTCTCCATGGGCCGTTGCGCCCTCGGGTGACGAACCAGCGTGGCTGGGTATGTCACTGGAGTCTAATCCGAGTATTTTGTAGTGGAGCGCCATCCTACGAGAGAGTCCAGACAGGTACTGTAGCTCACTGAGCAGTAGCGGCACCCGTTTCTAATTCCATGCCCTGAGTGAGTCTAGGCCTGTTCCTAGCAGACCTTGTATCCACTCCGTTTCAAAGCACGGCATCATAGCCAATCAACGTATGCACTGCGCTGCGTGCATACTAGAGGAACATACTGTAGATTGGTAGATGGTCAATTGTACATGGCAATCTTCTTTCTAGTCTAACTTCACACACGCTGGGCCACCACGTGCCTTCCAAACCGCTCTGCAAATTCTTTCTCGACAAATTTGCGCTGTTGATCCGGCTTTATCTAACTCCGGATGTATCATTCTGCGAGACCCTGCCAAGACATAAGATTCATCAGAAATCTAGACTGTCATAAATCAAGATTGGATAATCTCAAGGCCAAAATGAGAAGAAGAAGGCTAGAACTCCCGGGTATAAACCTTTTCCTTTGCCGCAGAGCATCCTTGTGTCGATCTGCCATTCTCCCGAAATAGTAAATGCTGGGGCGACACCCTTCGAGGCGCAGCGTACCTACAATTGGGTTTGTAGTAGATCGGCCCGAGAACGTGTGCAATCTGACATATCTCATTTGCCGCCGCCATGGTTGCCAACTATGACTCTGCCCATCACTAGATCCACATTTGCTTAGGCAGCATGATTGATTCTCGGCAGGGTTCATGTTGGGTACTACTATCTTTCTCACCACATAATGAAGAGAGGTCAATCCGCGAACAGGTATACGGAACAAGAAGCAATGTTTTGTGAACTAGTCGATCATCACTGACTATGTTCAAATTACCAACCAAGAGCCGCATGCTCAAGACACTATCTCCGTTTTAGAAACTGCGCCAAATCAAGAAAAAAAAAAGACATGACCATGTGCACTCCAGGTTTACCCTGAGGCATCAACAACAACAGGCAGGACAATTGCCCAGCCAGTGATATTCTCATAGATTGTCTCGGGACGTGTTCTCAAATTAGCAAGCGGTGATAAATAGACCCAGGCTAGAGACAATGTCAGCCGATTCCTTTCGAAGGTATACCTCTCTATTGGGTACGGGTGGTATAAGGTGATGGACATACGGAGATGGGTTCCAGTCTTCGAAGAAACCAAAGTCGGTACTTCCCGCATTCTTCATCTCAAAGGCCAATGCCTGTCCAGCGGGGCACGCGAAGGTAGACACCTGATATGAGTTGCCGGGGGAGATAGCAATAGTGCCCAAGCCCTGTGAAACGGAAGGAACGTTGTTGTAAGTAGTCGAGCTACTGACTGTTTGCGAAAGTTTGCCAAACGCAACCTTGCCATCACCGCTGAAGCTAAACGACGTAGTCTGGAGATCTTCCTTCCTGGGGAGCAAGAATATCAGGCTACAGGTCTTGCCCGAGTACGACGGAGGAACGTCAAAATTAAAGGTAGTTGCAACGGTGGAGTTGACCGTTCCATTCAAGCCAGTGCCGTGGGGAGTATCCGGCTTAGCGGAGTCAATTCGCACAATCAGATGGGGGAATTGGAATTCTCCAGAGAGATTTGTCGGGCAGCTAGTCGAGGTCGAGGTGGAAGTAGCAATCGTCGAAGTCGAGTTCACAGGACGGATACTGGTCGAAGGAGTCGTTGCCGGCGAGGTGGCTGGGACGCTCGATGGACGAGTGGTGTTACCGAAAGATGTCACACTGAAGGTCAGACTGCTTGGGGGAGGACCACTACTTGTGACAGCAGACGGAGGGCATGAGGGACAGGGAGTCGAGGCGCCGGTAGTGCTTGAAGTAGCTGGGTGGCTACATGTGGGACAAGGGCTAGATGAGGGGCATGGAGTCGAAGGATTGGTGCTACTAGCCCCGCTGGCATGAGGGGCCTCAGGGGCAGACGCAGGAGAGGCAGACGCAGGAGAGGCAGACGCGGTGCTCGCAGAAGTAGCAGAGGATTGGCCAGGCACCGGAACGACGGGAACAACAGAGGTATGAGCGCTAGCAGTAGCACTAGCGGTAGCACCAGAGGCCGATTCAGCACCGCCAGCGGGAGCCGAAGCACTTGCTGAAGAAACAGAAGAGCGGCCAGGAGCGGGGGCAACCGGTACTGCTGCAGTAGTGCTGCCAGCAGGAGCACTGGGATTTTGCGAGCTCGCACCGGGGGCTGCAGGACTCGAGGCACTGGAAGCCTGAATTGGTACTGGAGCCGGAGCCGCAGGAGTACCAGGGGTGGCAGTCGCAGAACATACACAGTTGGATACCGTGACTGTGGATACGATCGTGACGGGCGAACCAGCTGCTGAACCTGCAGCCGAGGCCCCAGGTGCTCCAGGTGAAATAGCACCGCCGGGGCCAGTCACATTGGAAGCCGGAGCTGGAGAAATACTAACCACCGGAGCACTGCCCGTGTTAACGCAAGAGTCCGCATTCAGATAGACGGCCTTGCAACGAGTGACGGAGGTGCTGTTGGTGGTATAGATGTTCTTGCCCCCATTTTGGCCAGTCTCACAAGCGATGAAGTAATCACTGCCATGGAATTGCAATTGACCAGAAGACGCAATGGAGAAGCCTGGAGTTCCAGGTTTACCTTCGTCACACTGGAACTGAGTAGTCTCCGCTGTGGTGGGGATCATGTTAGATTTTGATGTAATCCAAGACTCTGAAGGTTTAGACTCACTAGTAATGATACAACCCTTGCCGGTACTGTCAATAATGACGCCGGTAGAGTTGATACAGAACAGGGATTGACTGAGGCTGTTGTCACCAACACGAATCTGGCCATCGGTCAGTTGGCCAAGGGGGCCGGTGACATCTCCAGTGACGCTGAGATGGAAGCAGCAGGCAGTTTCGGCCCGTCCAAAGAGAGCGAGGCCATTGACGCTCGCAGCCAAGGCTGCTAGAACAAGGAAACTCTTCATGGTTCCGGGAGAATACAGGGAGATGGCCACTGGGATAGGGATAGAGAGGCCTCTTCAGAGGCTGTTGACCGTGTATTGACCTGCGCACGTCGAACTTAGGTACCGACAATATTTTGCAACTGGCAAATCCATATTGGCTATGGGAGATTGGATCTTCTTATAATTGGTAGTGGATTGGTGAGTTTAGGGTCGCATCATTAGTGAGCAAGCAGGGTACTTGGCCAATGAAGCAGAGTTTGAGCACATTCGCATGGATTCCGGGTTATAACTCCGAGGGACTGAGGAATAAAATAGAAGGTAAGGCCAGTGAGTTGCTGGCCTGTCACGGTTGAGCTATGTCATTGTCCCTGTGGAACCTCGACCCAGCCGGACTGCTCCTCCGCAGCAATCAGAGATTATACGTCATCTGAGATTCTCTCGATTAGAATGTGGGGATAGTTCCATTTTTCTACCCCGGTCCTGAAAGTGGACAACGTCAAAAGTGATTATTGTCAATGGCTGTTTCCGAAATTGGTACACCACGATGGCCTACCGTGCAATTCAAGTATGGGTTTTCTATTGATGTGCTCTTATCCTCTTCTTCGGCGATTAGATGGTTGATTTTCCTCATCGCAGTGAGGGTAGTCTGATTTGCAAAAATACACGAACGCTAACAGCAGGCCACTTGATGTCCCCCTGATGCGGTGGATTCTCCCACTACTCGGACTGAGCGGATCGATTTCCATGGTTAGGTTTCCAACACGGAGAGACCTGCATAGACGTGAGGGAGGTATTCTTCTCCGGTTCTCAGTGTTGATCTGGTACACAGAACAACACGAGATCTACCCAATGAAACCTCTCACAATTTCATAATAGCCCTTTTTCTCCGTGGCCCTGGCTAGTGGATTGACCATGATTTAAATCAACATTATTGTGGACACCCTCACTACAAAAAGGTTGGTTGATAAAGACGGTCACCATCATAACTCTTCGCAACTACCCAACGATAAATCGACCGATCTTCTCATAACCGTTAAAAAAGCCAGGCATATCGGAATTGGTTCGGGTGTCACCCCGGGAAACATATCGTGTACCAGTCCGAAGCCATAGCCGTTGAACTAAGGTAGCAGGGGTCTGAGAGGAGACTCAACCTAGAACACGTGAAAACTCGTACTCTTATGTCAGACTGACGGTTTAGTTATGCGTTGTAGTACTTCGTTCCAAGCTTCTAGGGTAGAACTTCCATCAAGTCCAGCAAGCTATCGTACCGAGAGATCTCAACAGTGACGAAACAAACAACTCAAATTCAAAAAAAAGCCGTGCGGGAAAATGATGAATCCAGTTCATCCGCATTATTTCCGGGTCCAGGTACAACCTCATTCGTAAGAAGCGTGCAGATCCAGCCGACCCTTTTCGGCTCCGCCGGACGGAGATTGAGACATCTTGACGGCATTATTTTAAAGCTGCCATAATATATGATGGACTTTACAATTGACTTGATCACACCGAGAGCCGTTGGGCGAAGCCGGCAATCATCCCTCAATAGCGATGGTCTGACAATAGGATGACGATCGCAACGATTACTGTGGCAGTCTGTTCTTCCAGTAAACCAACGGCTATCGATTCGATATGTCTTTCCAGTCGTAAAATCATAACGAAGGTTGCCGAACTTTATATTGATAAAAATGGAGCGTCAAGCTCAGATAATAGCGAGTTCCAATCAAAAAAAATAGATGGATCAAAGCTAGCATCAGATGTCTGCCAATATTCAAGTGACGGGAGCGCAGTATCAGTGAGAATTGATTCCAGATCGGCTGTGCCAGGAGTCACCGAAATTGTAGCAGAGTCCACAGAAGCAGGGGATTTTGGCCAATTGGCATTTTTGGATCGGGATGATCTTTTTTCGGAAGGTAAAGGAACCTTGTTGCGTTGGAGGATGGAACTGAATGTGTCGAGGAGTTTGCCCGCGTATGATGACTGGCTTTTGCTCTTTTCGAGGATTTTTAGCGCATCCTTGATTTCATTCCGTCGCTCTCGGTCCTCATTCGGCTGGAGACTCTTATTGTGACAGAAATCCATCAACAGTGCAACAATAGCCATGCATACACAGAGTAGGCTTCCTGAAAATTTGTGTCTGGTTATGAAAAAGGGGATATCTTCCGATGATAGCTGTGCTTCCATGCGGATAACCATTCGCGCCGCGTCAAGGCACGCATCTCTCGAATATGAGTATATGGCCTCTTGCGCGTGAGAGAGGTATGGCAAATGCAATCTGCAACGTTGTGTTTGTAGCATGGAGTTAATGATGTAGCGATGGACGATGGTGACAGGCGGTCTGCAGGCGCCGGGCTCTGGTATGTCGCCCGTGTCATAATCCAAATGGAGGAATGGCGGCAAAGCTTGACTGAATTCACATATCCTTCCATCAATCTCCTTGACCTGTTCATAGTCTGGACCACCGAGGTCAGTATCCAAAAACGAAGATTGGTCACTGATTTCTCGACAAATCTCTCCAAGACGAATTCGCTGGATGAAATAAGACATGATCGTTGGTTGATCGAGTGGCTTGTCAATGTTGACCATTCCATCAAAAAGATCTTCATCGTTTGCATTGGATGGTTTCTTAGTTGCCATATGACGAGGACTGATCATGTAAATGCCTTTCTGCGAGCCACCGAACTGAGACATCTGCCTTGAACTTAGAGTTAGCTTCACCCATGCCAATGTAGCCCAGTCGAAAGGCATACCAGTCGGTTGCAACAAGATACCACCACACCCTTCTTCCTATTTCTGCTTTCACTGAGCTTGGATGAGGAACACTGAGCTCGGCATTGTGCTTGTGATCGATCCGATGTAATGATAGCTGCCATGCGATTGAGACTGCTGTCGAGAAGAGATACCGAGCTTGAGAGGTGATGCCCACGATATTGCACACCAGAAAGGCGACAATGATAAGGGCTTGAATGTCCTCGAGGGACTCCGAGCATGTAAAACGAGAATATTCTAGAACTTCAAAGGAAGCCGCCATCCATCTCTTCGATAGATCATTGGCACTCATGACCGAGGGGAATACCGTTCTGTGCATGTCTTGCTCAGTCCAAAAGAAGACGGTGTTGGCCAGAATTGCTAGGAGCAAAGATACTTGGCCCAGTTTGACTGGGCTTTTTGTGGAAAGATTCCCATAGAGTTCATCCACAAGTGCCCGGACTGAGGGGCCATGCACGACATGATGGAGGAACGTGATGTCCGTGAGATATTTATCCACTATTTGCTTTGACTCTTCGTGAAGCGGAAGCCAAATGATTTTGGTCGGACTCATCTCATGTCCATCTACCACAGGCGTGGCTGGAGTTGCTTCCCTTATGGAGCACGTTTTGAACTCTAGTAAATCGAGTCAGCACGAGTGGGAACAATGCGTGGAAACTGAGCCGGGTGGGCTACTGCTTACCATATTCGGCAATGCATAGCCCTACTGTTGAGCCCGGGTGCGTTATTTGCGATTCCAGCCATTCAACATCAACGGTAGAGCTGTTCTCGGTGAAGGACGTCGAAATTTCGCGTTTGCGCCGAGGAGGTGGACCTGGTCGGGAACCACTCTGATCGGACGGCGACCGCGTAGGCTCCCGTTGGGTGATGACAATCTCCTCCAACTTGCGCAACCGAGCCAGCACATTTTGTTGGAAGTTTCCACTCGGTTGATCAGAGCCCTCATCTGCGCTGCTAGTCGACAACACGGACATGGACTCCAATTGGCATGTTAGCCCGCGACTTGAGCAGTTGGCGCAGGGAAACTGCCGGCTACATCTCAGCTTCCGTGATCGACAGAACAGGCAAGACACCGGGCGCGAGCGCGATGGCCCTGTGCGATTCTTCTCAACCCGTGGCATGATGAATCATGGATAACCGTAGACTTGGCACTTTTCAGAAAGTATTATCTGGACGAGGCTGCGCGATGAATTGGAGGTCTAGAGTCAACCAATAAGCGGGCGCCTTGCTCCGCGGAATTTCCGCGGCATCTCCCGGAGCATCAACTGGAAGGCTCAAGTATGGGGGCCATGTCTGATATAAAAACGAGGCGTTTTCCAGAAAAGAAACAGCATTCTCTATCATAGAAGATACAATTTCAGCCTGTAAGCTCGAATTCTACCGATCATCTCATCGACCCAAAATGGACCCCATCATCGATCAAATTCAAGCTTTGGCCCACACGTCTGACGAGGTTGGTCGTCTGGAAATTCAAAGGGCTTTACGTGAGGTTCAAATGGAGATGCAAACCTCCAAGGACCTCATTTACAATCTAGCGAACTCGGTTAGCCACTCTAGGCTCCCTGTCTTCTTTGGCTGTTGACTCATATACTTAGCAACTCCTCCTTGCATGTATTCGCCTTGGGGCTGACTTGAAGCTGTTTCGCATCATCGCTAGCCAAAATGGATCTGTGGCTGTCTCCCAGCTAGCCAAAACTACAAAAGCATCTCCCTTACTACTGGGTGAGAGCTCTATTGACTACTTCAATATGGAAGACCATTATACTAACTCTGCCTTGCTCTAAAAGAGAGACTGCTCCGGTATCTGGCCTCGAACAGCATGATCAAAGAAATTGGTCTTAATGAATACCAGGCAAACAAAAACACTCACATCCTTGCTGAGGAAAAGGGAGAAGCCATGGTGTATCACGGGTGAATATTCTTGTGCCTGCAAAAGATTGATTTTCTGAAGAAGGTGATGCTAAACCTTAGGCTATAGATTTGATTTCCACGCGCCGATCGTCAGTGCAATGCCTGACTTTTTCAAAGAGAACGACTATCAAGACATTGAGAGTAATACAAATACGCCTTTCCAAAAGGCTTACAATACTACACTCAGTCCCTTCGAATGGTTTGTCCAGCACCCAAAGCATTTCGAGTCTTTGCAGAAGGTCATGACTGCCCTTGAGGGTGCGGAGTGGACGGTCGGATTCGACCTCTTAGATTTGGCGGCCAAACATGTCCCTTTCACCTCCCCTCAGGCTTCCGAAAAGCCCTTCTTTGTGGATGTAGGAGGTGGCCATGGACATCAGTGCATTCAGCTTGGCAAGAAATACCCAAACCTTTTAGGACGTCTTGTCCTTCAGGATCTTCCAGCAGCTGTCGACAAGCTGCCTCTAATTGAGGGTGTGAGAGCTGAAGCATATAACTTCTTCCAGAAGCAGCCTGTGACCGGTCAGTTACTCGTACCCCACCTTTGTTGATGACACCATGGCGAGATCCAACTAATTCGTATGCGCTTCTAGGTGCGAAGTTTTATTATCTCCGACGTATTATACATGATTGGCCCGACAAAGAGTGCACAGATATCCTCCAAAACACTGCCGATGCCATGAATGCGGACTCGCGCATCCTGATCGACGATGTTGTCTTGCCGGATACTGGTGCACTTTGGCAGGCAACCATGGCCGATATTTCTATGATGATCGGACTCGGGGGAAAGGAGCGGACAGTCCAGCAGTGGCATGCACTGGCAGGCTCTGCAGGCTTGCGGGTTGAACAAATCCATACCTACGCTGCTTCTACCTACACGTCTATCGTTGTCTTGGCCCCGAAATGAGCGGTTTGACGAATGACAGAATGTATAGTAGCTAGGCTAGATAGACACCAAATCCCAACTTCTCAATATCTCTCACAGAAAAAAATTGCTTATCTAGCATCAACACTAGTGACCATGACCCATTTTTGCACGACACATCTTGGATAGTCGAGTAACAACCTTGAGCTGAGTTTCCCAATTCCACATGTGGAAGAAGACCTCGGAAAGACGATGGTGATCTTGCAGTGTAGCTTCTAGAAGACTTCACCATTACTGAATAAGGTTTCATCGACATTGAGGTCACCGACGGTGAAGCTTGCCTTCAAGCAATCTGTGTCTCAAAAGAGATGATAGCCGAAACCAACGAAGACTCATTCCAAGATCACAATCAAAGAGCTGTTCGCCTGTGATCTTCTCGGCTAAGAAACTGATCTCTCAAGCAAAGCAGCATCCAGCATCGAGGGAACGACTCGAAGGGTGAGCCCGACGTCGTTCCAGCACCTACAGTCAGAAAGGCATACGTGACAGATTGAAGGAGAAAAACTTCATCTAGCTGATGCAATCGTAATAATAAATATCAAATGCCTTATCTCACTGGTACAGAAATCAGTCCGGGAACAATGAAATGGTAGAGCAAGCAAGCTTACCATAGACAGAACATTTGGTAGGACCTAGTCAGGTGCCAGGCCACTTGAAGTCTCGAGGAGTTGCTGAATCAGCATTGATGCTCTGAATATCCTCCTGGTACCATCAGATCTCTTCGCTTCGGATGGTATGACTGGAATGCGAGTGGGGTGCAGAGGACTGAGTAGAAGGAATATAACCGGGCGTGATTGTTGTTTAAAGCAGGCGAGGGAGAGCATGTTTGGACTCTGCCAGCCTCGTCGACCCACGCTAAGCAACGCTAAGCATCGTCTGTTCGGCACCACGTATACGCCCGCGTCTTAGATGAGTGTTCAAGGTGATCGATATACTATACAGCTCATAAGAGGTTATATTGAAGATCCCATCCGACGTAGGGTAAAATGCACAGAAAACAAATGCAGTGGCTCAAAAAATATTGTACATGATCTCCTCAAATACCAAACAACGTCACATCACAGCTTGCCTCCAGTAATCTGCTCGCCCAGCTTCTTGACCCGGTCTTGAGTGACATCCCAGCGAGCAGTCTCGCTCTTCCGAGTTTCGTTGACGATGGACTGAACAGTAGGCGGCATGCCCAGGTTCCAAATATTCTCGCCGTGCTGGTGATCGTTGCGCCAAGCCTCGTTCTCGCCCTCGGGGAACGCGCGGTCGATCTCAGCGGCAAGTTGCTCTTCAGTAGTGATGAAGGTACGGGCGTTCATATACAGAGACTGCAGGTGATCACGGCGCAGCGCATCTTTCTCGGCCTGCTTAGCCTCCATCCGCGCACGCGAAAGGACCGAAGTCTGTTCCCGGTTAGGGTCCGCCAGGATTGTGTGTGGCTGAGGCTGCATTGCGGAAACGACGGATGGCCGAGTCAAGCGCTCATCTTCCGGCTCCGGTTGTTGAAGGACGCGCTCACGTCGCCTCTGGTTTTCGAGACTTCGGTTGAACATGGTCTCCTCGGCTACTTGCTTCCGCTTGTACAGTGTCTGCAGACCTTCCCGCAGATTCTTGCGCCGCAAAACCGCCATCTTCAGCTTGAAGGCCTGCTTCTCGGGGTCGCTACTTTTCGGATTGACGGTACGCTCGGTCGTGGGAAGAGGTGTCACGGCATCGAGGTATGCTTTGCGAGGCTTGTCGGTACGACGAGCCGGGAACAGCTCGCGGGGAACAGGGAGGGTACCCTTGACGCGAGGCTTGGCGGGATTGCTAGCCTGAACGATTCGAGGGACGTCGATGAAGTGAGGGGACTCGGGACCAACTCGAAGATTTGGTGAAGTCGCGAAGCCACGGACCTGCACGCTGGCAGTCCGGCTGGTGCGGAGGACGGACATACTGCACCAATTGCACCCTGACTTCAGGCAGGGAAAGGAATTAATTTGGATTCGAAAGGGGTATATTTGCTTCAATGAGACAATTCCTCATCGGTCAAATGAACCGAGGGCGACTGGCTTCTCGAAAGGAGGACTTGCGGGAGACGAGTCGTCCAGCGCCGGAAGAAACAGAAGCGATTTTGCCATGGTCCGTGCACGCTCATTTCTTGGCGCCTAAAAAAAAAATACCTCTCCGCCTTTTTTTTTTTTCCTTTTCCTCTTCTTCGCGCTCTGCCACTACTTTTTGTCCTGGTCTACCTTCGAAATATTTTTCGCAAGGCCAAACTCTTTTCACACTCTTGAAGACCACAAGAGATCCCAAGCATGGGTACAGGCAAGAAGGAGGCCTCACGTAAAGTGAGGCAGGGTAAGGTTGATGATGGCATGGCCAACGTGCGGATGAAGGGTGAAAACTTCTACCGGTAGGTCTTCCGTGCCAATGAGTTGAAATGAGAGACAATCAAGGCTGATATTTTCTCTATCCAGCGATGCCAAGAAGATCAAGACCTTGAACATGTTCAAGGATGGCAAGGCTCGACGCAACGCCGCTGGTGAAATCACCGTTTCCGCCTCCTACCAGTCTCGTGATGCCCCCGTTGCTCGTATTGAGCCCAACCGGAAATGGTTTGGTAACACTCGGGTTATCTCCCAGGAGGCCTTGACTTCCTTCCGCGAGGCTGTCGCTGAGCGTGCTTCCGACCCGTACCAGGTGTTGCTGAAGACCAACAAGCTCCCCATGAGTTTGATCCACGACAACAAGGGCGTGAACGGCCTGAAGCAGCATCAGGCTAAGATGGAGATCGAGAACAACCCGTTCGGCGATACATTTGGCCCCAAGGCTCAACGCAAGCGTGTCAAGCTGGGTGTTGCTTCCCTAGAAGACCTCGCCGGCGAAACCGCCAAGTTGCACGACTCGTACCTCGAGAAGACGGACCAAGGCACCCATGATGATGGTACCCCCATCGTCGCCAGTGATGTCGGTGCTATTGAAGATACCACCTTTACCACTGCTCGTGAGGCTGTCTTCTCCAAGGGTCAGAGTAAGCGTATCTGGAACGAGCTGTACAAGGTCATCGACTCGTCTGATGTTGTGATTCATGTCCTGGATGCCCGTGATCCCGTTGGCACTCGATGCCGAAGTGTTGAAAAATACATTAGCGAGGAAGCACCCCACAAGCATCTGATCTTTGTCTTGAACAAGACCGATCTGGTTCCTACCGGTGTTGCTGTAAGTGTCACATCTTTATCCCTCCCACTCCACTCGTACTCTTCCCTATGCTCGTTCGCTTTTTTGTTTTTCTGCTTTTTTTCTTTTTCTTTGTTCGGCCATCGAGCCGTTCCATCGCTAAGTCAAGGCTTCTTCCTGCGACTCATGTCGTGTTTTCTTTCAATGGAGGTCTGTCTGTTACAGCTTTGGTAGATCGACAACGTCCCGCACCAAACTTCTTTCTGAAGCAAGGTTGACTGGCCTTCGTCTTGAAGGTCAATCGTAAGGGTCATACGTGTTTTGTTTAAGAGTTGAGTTCTACTTCTGCCTATTACTTGGTGGCTTGATAGTTGAACTCTTAGTAACATCCCACACATTCCTGATTATTTTCATTTACCTTCTTTGGTGACTGCTTGCTAACATGGCATCTTCCACCAGGCTTCTTGGGTCCGTCATCTGTCCAAGGACTACCCGACGCTTGCGTTCCACGCAAATATCAACAACTCCTTTGGTAAGGGTTCTTTGATCCAGCTTCTCCGCCAGTTCTCGGCTCTGCATTCAGACCGTAAGCAAATCTCCGTTGGTTTGATTGGATACCCCAACACGGGCAAGTCCTCTATCATCAACACTCTTCGCAAGAAGAAGGTCTGCACGGTCGCTCCTATTCCGGGTGAGACCAAGGTGTGGCAGTATGTCACTCTGATGAAGCGCATCTACCTCATCGACTGCCCTGGTGTGGTCCCACCCAACCAGAACGACACCGAGGAGGATATTCTCCTGCGTGGTGTCTGCCGTGTGGAAAACGTGGAGAACCCTGAGCAATACATTCCCGCTGTCCTGCGTCGTGTCCAGCCCCGTCATCTGGAGCGCACTTATGGCATAAAGGAGCCTGAGGATGCCATTGACTTCCTCAGCCGACTTGCTCGCAAGGGTGGTCGTCTGTTGAGAGGAGGCGAGCCTGACTTGGACGGTGTGGCGAAGATGGTGATCAACGATTTCCTTCGCGGAAAGATCCCTTGGTTCACTCCTCCTCCCAAGGGACCCGGTGCCGACAATGAGAAGGTCGAGGGTATCGAGGGTCGCGAGGGCCGCCTGGGCGAGATGGGTCGCAAGCGCAAGCTGGACGAGGCTACATCGGAGCCCGTTGATGAAGCTGCTGAGTCTTCCGAGTCCAAGGCCGACGGTGAATTCGAAGGCTTCGACAATGACGATGATGACAATGATTCTATCGCGAACCTCGAGATCAGTGATGTCGAGAGCGGCGAGGAGGACTGAAGGGACAATGGGTTTCGGTTCATCATTGAACCAGCCATTGACCGCGTGTCTACTGAAAAATCAAATGCTCTGCGCTGCCTCTATGAATGACAAGAGGATTCAGTCGCCGATGCGCGCTTCCAGCGGCCCCCCCAAGCTGAGCGGTGTCGTGAACCTACCAGGTACCTCCCCATGCTTTGGGAACCTGGAAAGCCACGCTTCCTTCCGCGTTATATACCGGACGGCATGATCAAGCTGACTTACCAGCGCAGCCCAAATGGCCAGTATGCATGAAAATGCAGGTTTGGCTCAGATCTCGCCACGGCCTAGCCCCATAGCCAGGGCGCTTACGACTTGAGATACCCACGATTTTGAAAGAAGTCGAATAAAAGATTCATTTTTTTTTCACCGCATTTCTTCTCAATTGTACACAGGTGTAGATTGTGCGTTGTATATACCCACAAGTAAAAGAACGTAGATGTGCAGTGGTCGTCTGCCGCTCGGCTTTAAGATCTCACCGCCCTCGGTGTGGGGTGTCACCGTCATCTCTCGGCTTCAAGCTACACGCGACCGTCAAATAACGAGTGAACATTTGATCGTCTTTGCTGTCTCGCGCAATGACGACAAAGCCATGCCGGACGATATGTCTATAATTCCCTACAATGGGGGCAACCTGGATGTTGTGCTGTAGGTTCCAGTGCTTCCAACCACCTTCCGAAGCTAACAACGCGCAGCCGGCATAATGACTCGGTGGTCGTGTTTGACCATGATTCCCAGCAGCTCGCTCTCCGAAACACAGCACATGATCATGACGGAAATGTGGAACTTGCAAATTGTCCCCTATGTCACCGCCCAATGCACGAAGCCAGCCGGGGAAGGCATCGTGGGAGTACAGACCCGGAGGCGGAATTCATCAACCCAAACTACTTTCGCATGCTCAACAACAGCTTGCCAAGCTCTACAAGCTCCTCAAGACCATCTTCGCCGCGCCGACGTCTAGTTCAGTCTGCCTTCACGGACAGCCCCACCAGCGATCCATCCTCTGGACCTGCCCCGACCCAGAGCCAAGGGATATCCTCATCGGCGTTCAGTCCAGACTACTTCAAGCGATTCTTTGTGGAAGAAAAGGTTCTTGGCAAAGGTGGCAAGGGCGTGGTCTTGCTGGTGAAACATGTATTGGATGGCGTCTCTCTCGGCCATTTCGCCTGCAAACGTGTCCCAGTTGGCGATGATCACGAATGGCTGGAGAAGGTGCTGGGCGAAGTGCAGCTATTGCAAAACCTTTCCCACCAAAACCTTGTCTCTTATCGCCATGTCTGGCTTGAGAATGCCAGAATCAGCACTTTTGGGCCTAGTGTACCATGCGCCTTTATCATACAGCAGTACTGCAATGCGGGAGACCTACACAACTACATCTGCGGTGCGATTCAAACAACCACAACGGCTCAACAGCTCAAGGATCGGCTTCGGAGAAAGTCAAAGGGGGATCCTGAGGTAAAACCCGAGGTGGGAGGGCCTCGCATGCTCCAGTTGGATGAAATTTACTCCTTCTTCAGGGATATCACAGCCGGATTACGCCATCTGCACATGAATGGCTATATCCACCGTGACTTGAAGCCAAACAATTGCCTTCTTCACGAGACAAGTGACGGTATTCGAGTCCTAGTTAGTGACTTTGGTGAAGTCCAATCACAGAATGCTATGCGCAAGTCAACAGGTGCCACCGGAACAGTCTCTTATTGTGCCCCTGAAGTTCTTCGGCAAGAATACCCCGGCGGTCCATTCGGGAATTTCACTTTCAAATCCGACATATTCTCATTGGGAATGATTCTGTACTTCTTGTGTTTCGGAGCACTTCCCTACCGCAGTGCCGATATTATCAACGAAGACAATGAAGACTTGGATCAGCTTCGCGCTGAAATTACAAATTGGACCGGGTTCGACGATGCGCGAAGGAGAAGACCCGATCTGCCTGCCAAGCTCTACTCTTTTCTTAATCAATTGCTCTCTGTGGACCCAGATCGACGTCCGACCGCGGACGATGTTTTGAATGGCATTCAAGCTGCGAACAACGCTGGTGAGAATTTCCGATTCAAGCGCAACAGTTCAGCTAGCCCTGACTTGCCTGGGGGAACTCGAATCCGCACAGTCGAGAGCCCCGGCCCCCAACCAGGCATGGAAAGAGCCCTCTCGCCCATCAAAAAGAAGATCGCGCGAAGTCCCGTATCATTGAGGCGTGATCCGATATTTGACTCGCCCTCTGCTCCCGGCGGCCGCCCCGCATCAGAGACGGTCTTGGAAGACAGACCCTCAATAACCCCTGACAAAGACCTAGTAATGCGGCGATATTCCACCTCTCCGCCAAGCGCATCCACGAGACCGATCCACTCACATGGAGAGCCTATGGACTCGTCAGCCCAGCCTATCACTCATCCGCGGCAACTCCTTCCGCCACCTCCCACTCCATCCACATTCTTGAACTACATAGGTGATTCAAGCCTTTTACCGGGCTTACAAGTCTCGTTCTTCTTGATCAAAGTGGTTACAATCTTGCATCCCTGCTCACCCATGGCAGCCAGACCCTGGTTCCTTTATCCCCTTCTTCTGCTGGCAGCGATTACCCTGCAGGTACATGATATACGCGTGCAAGCTATCTCAACAGTGGCACATGTGTTCTTTGTCGGTCTTGCGATGAAATTGGGGGTGCTTTGTACATGGCATGGTGACTATGCCATGGGACTTTGATATTGCCCCCATTCTGTGTTGATATGAGATATGATTATGCTACCATAACCCCCTTTTAATGAGCATCCAATACATGAGGCCTCATCTTTGAGCCTACTTCAAATACACAAGCGTGACGTTCTCAGGATAATTAACACATATTTCATTCTCTGACCACGACCCTCGAATTGATTAACAATGATTTACGATTGTCGGGGGAGAAAAAATAACGGCATCTCCATTATCTTGGATCCCTGCCGAGCTGATCTAACAAGAAGAAAATGCCCGTAAGTACTGTTATTGCGAACGAGCACAATACAGACAAATTCATCAAACCGGAAAAGCTTGGAAGGAACCCAAAGGTGACGCAGCCAGAGAGTCCCCGAATATTATTGATCTTGGAAATTTGCGATGGATATGTCATTTTGCTTCTCGAAGAGACGTATCCATTTTTGCCAAGGTAGAGACCATGACAACACATGTTCCTGTATTGCTAACCTTGCGGCAAAATAATGGAGAAGAAGAGATGAAGTAGAAGATGTAGGAGGTCAATCGGTACTTGCGAAAGACCAAGGTGAATATTCATAAACATAATGTATCGTCTAAATTTTGGTACTTGTAGCCAAATTGACAGTTTGAAGGTTTTCAAAAGCATATAGAGAGCTAAGGTCGCAGCCGCGCAGCTTTGAATCTGCTCACGCGTTGGACCGGTTCTTCAACGGGAACGAACTCCGGCTCTTCCTCATTGACGAAGCCACCCTGCTGTTGAATCTTGCTGTTCCGGATTCTGTAAAACTCGGAAGCAATCTCGCGGCGGTGAATCTCTTCGTTCAACTCGTCTGGTTCGGGAGCCGTGATGGATCCAGGAGCAATATCTCGCTCGACCAGCCTTTCAGCTAGGGTCTTGCCCTCGGGGGGTGTGGGAGCTGAGGGTCCGACAGGAATGTCCATGATTGGCGTGGAGAAAGGCTTCGGCTCGCGAGGAGTGGCAGGGAACAAATCAGGAGGCGTTGCTGATGGGAGGCCGTTGGTTTGCTTCCGGGAGGTCTGAGTTTCGGAAACCTGAGGGACCAACTGGGAAGATGCAGGTTTGGCGGGTAATTCGGCACTGGTGGTTGCAGGATCGACTGCTCGAGCGCTCTTGAAGCGAGAAGTCTTCTTGGGCCCATTGGATGGGGTCGGGCGAGACTCCTTTGGCTGCTCTGTACGCTCAACGATAGCATCGGAGAGAACCTGGACGCTTATCTGAGGTTTGGATGCAGGACCCTTCTTCTCAACCACAGCGGGCTTGGATGTGGGTGCGACATCCAGATCATCAGCGAAAGCGACCTTCTTTTTTGGCTTCTTTTCCTTCGCAGCGTCATCGTTATCTCCGTTCACTCCGGCAGGCTCTGCGGCAAAATTTTCAATCTCCAGTCGAACTTCTTCGGGGAAGGTATTGGTATCTTTGCCCATGTTGGTCATGCCTCTAGCGTTGAGTTTGGCTTCCAACTCCCGCATTTGCCGATGGTATTCCTCGGACAACTCGAGGTGTGACCGACCAAACTCGTCTTCCTCCTCCTCTTCAGTGCCGATATCGTACTCGTCGTCTGAAACAGAGAATTCGCTGCCGTCTTCGTCAAGTTCCAGCTCTGCAACTATTGCGCCGACTTCGTGGATGCCATATTCCAGCATTTCTCGTCGAAGTGTTGCCTCGTCGGCGGGTTCGTCGATATCGGTCACTGGGGATTGTGCGCGATCCTCTGGCGTGACAAGCGACACTGGTTTCGACAGGTCCAGCTCATCCTGGGATATATCGTTTCCATTGAAGGAAGCGACGTGTCCATTTGACACCACTTCAGACTGCTCTTTGGTCGTATCCTTATCCACCGCATCTGCCTTCTCTTCCCGGGTAGCTGAGCTAGATCCAGCGATGCTCTCGCTTTGCTGAGCAATCTCCGGGATGTCATCGACACCAGCTTTCTTCAGGGCTTCTAGCAGGGCCGGCGCATGATCGCCAGGGGTGTTGACTGAGCTGGAAATCACGTTGCCGTCCTCGTCAAGTTCTTCCACGATCTCACTCATGGGAAATCCTTGACTGCCAGAAATATCCGCAGGAGGCTGATCGTTCGAATCCAAGGTGTACAGCTCATCTTCCACTTTTCGAAGCCTCTTCTCGATTGTCGTGGCATTCTGCTTCACGTAATCGATCCGTCTGCCGAGAAGATCGACCACTTGGGTACGGGATCGCGTGACGCCCGCTTGGGTTCGAAGAATGGCCCGTATTTCCTTTTCGTTTACCAGCGATCCTTCATACTGGCGCGCAACGGCGAGAAAGTCATCGGAAGTGGCGTCATCGTGCAGCTCCTTGATTTCCTCTCGAAGGCCATCATATTCTGCCTCCCAGGTTCGCCAGTGGTAAAGGGATTTCTGGAGTTCGGATATGTTGTCTTCGAGGGCAAGTCGCCGCTGCTCGAGGTCGTCCAGATTGTGACTTGGGATACCCATGGTGTTCTCAGTAAAACTTCGTATCGTCAGATATCATATCCCTTTCTTCGTCTCGGTCAAATCTGAGAGATCAGGTGAAGTGACCGGAGGGGCAAAAAAAAAAAGAAGAACGCCGAAGCCCGAAGACATGGTCCGTGCACGTGGTGGAGCCCGCCTTTATCTCCAGCTTAAGCTCATCTCCGCCGCCTTTCACCTTCTAGCAGACTACAACATACCACCATGGCGTCCAAGAACGGAATCGACCCTCGGGATGAGGACGGTGAGATATTCTTGCTGTGAATGCTGATATAAAATGGCTAACACTGTCTTTTCTTAGAGGTCTGCCCCGTCTGCAAGTCCTCACGGTATCTCAACCCGAACATGCGATTTCTCATCAACCCAGAATGTTACCACAAGATGTGCGAGTCCTGCGTCGACCGAATATTCTCGTCTGGTCCAGCTAGCTGCCCCGTCGCAGGATGCCGCAAGACCCTCCGAAAGAACCGCTTCCGCCAGCAGACCTTTGAGGACATTGGGGTTGAGCGAGAAGTGGACATTCGGCGGCGCGTGATGCACATGTAGGTCACTTTCCTCCATGCAACCATGCTAGCATGTCCTAACAAGATTTATCTCAGTCTCAACCGACGCGAAGAAGAATTCGATTCAAAGCGCGCCTACGACGATTTCCTCGAACAACGCGAAGAAATAATCGCCAACCTAGTATGCCGAACCGACGTGGCGAAGACGGAAGCCCAACTACAAGCCTACGCACAACAGAACATGCAATCAATAAAAGCAAACCAAGCACTCGAGGAACAAGAGGCAACGTCATTCCAAAGGAAGATCCTCCTGGAACAAGAAGAAGCTCGAATGCGCCAACAGATCGCCAGGGAGGAATACGAGACCGAGCGGCGCGAGCAACAGGCTACACGGGAAGACTTCCTCACCCGTCTTGCCTCCGGCTCCGCCGCAGATGCAGCGGCGATAGCTCGCGAGGGACACAAGGTGCACCTCAAGAAGTCGTCAGCACGGCGCAGTGAAGAGGATCGTATTCGGCAGAAACAGGCTGCTCTTCGCGGAACGGAGGTCAGGCGTACGGGGACACCTCTCACGGCGGCCGATACTGCCGGTCCTACACCGGGAGCTGGACTTATCAAGGGTCTGCGGAAGATCAAGACTCCTGAGCCAGAGAAGCCGTACGATCCGTTTATGGGTTTTGTGCCTGGCAAACGCGATTACTATACTCAACTGGAGTCCTATCCGTATGCCTTTTTGGACAAACTTCGATCAGATACGACTGTCCAGGCTGGTGGATACGATCTGCAGGAATATTATTCGCGCACTCTTCTGGAGGCGTTTGCTGGTCTGGGTTGCTTCGTTCAGGAGGAGGTTGCACAGCGTGATGCTTCCTCTCCTCTCGGTATTTCAAAGCCTGCTGCTACTGAAGGAGCTGCGATGGCTGCCGTTGGTCAAAAAGCTGCATAGGTAGTTGGCATGATTGAGAAATTGGGCATAGCGACGGCGTTTTTCTTTGACTTTTCTATATCAAACACTAGGTAGCTTGGAAATAACTTCTGGATTGAATGAAGAACGAGCATCTTATCTCTACACTTAGCTGAAGATCTCTATAAAAATTGTGACACGCCACTTTACAAGCTCTGATTTCAGGGTCAACCTTCGGGAGATGAAAAAGACAAGAAACTCGCAGTGAGGATAAAAAATTTCCAGTAGAAATACCATTCGCAAAAATATTACAGTCGCCAATAGCTAACAAAAACACGCAGTACCCAAACCCCACAATTTATGTGCGACCAGTCAACTCAGCAGTACTCTCAATGCCCTCCCAAGGCAAGTCATCTTCATCTTCATCCTCCAAGTCGACCAGACCAGAACGAGACTTAGCGCTGTTCGCGGTCACATCAATACCAATGGATTCCAAGGTTATATCAAGATCTCGCTTCGTGATCTCGCCCTTGCAGGTTTCCAGAACGTCGTAGAGGGCATAGATCTGATCAGACTTGAGATCGATGTCCTTGAGCACAGTCTCGATCTTCTGCATGACTGCTTTGCGCTGGCGCTTGCCGAGCGATGCGTCAAGCTTGTTATAGGCACTTTGGTAAGAGGCGAGCTGCATTTTCAAATGAGAGAGTTCGTCTTCCAGCGTCTTGAGGACGGTGGCAAGGGCAACAGCAGGAGGCTGAGAAGGACGCATGGTCGGGTCTTCTGTTGCCGGCATGCGCTCTGAAACGGGGATGGGCGTAGGGATCTTGACAGCCTCGTGGTTGCAAGGGCCTTCGTGAGGAAGAACGTTCTTGCAAATCATGCAGTTGTTACCGTCATGCTGAGCAATGTCGTCCAGAATTCGCTGAGCTGACTCGGACAGGCGAGAGGGGTTGTTGCCCGCCAGCTCTGCGCGGCTCAGGGTGATGTCGGGTAGAATGAAGGCGGAGGTCATGTCTTCAATATTCCTGCGCTTCTTGCGTTGTGACAGTGAAGCCACGGAATGGTCTGAATGACGTCTCGGCCGTTCGGCAGTAGGGACAACGAGACTGGTATCACCATCCGTCGTAGCTGCCGACCTGGTGGTGACATCGCCTGCAGCTGATGCAGGGCGGGAGATGGTGGGCTTAGGTTCACGGAGAGATGATTTGCGTGGAAGGGGGGCCTTGAGGATGCTCTGGCGGGTTGAGTTCACAGTCTCCGTGGCAGTGGTGTCCTTTGTAGCACTGGATCGGCGCTGCTTGCGCGACAATCGTTCTTCCTCTAATGTCTTTCGAAGCCGGGCAATCTCATGTTCCTGCGACGTGAAAAATTAGCGTTGTGTAATATAGTGAACACGGGCAATTCAGCAACTTACATCAATAACGCTCAGCAGTGTGAGATCCTCTACCTCTGTCGACCCCTTCGTCTGTTCAGTAGATTCAACTGCACTGCTTATATCTTCCAGAATCACACGCTTGACACGCTGCTTAGAGGTATTTGGCTGTTTCCTGGATCCCTTAGATTCAGAACGGCCAGATTTACCTGACTTGGATGCTGATGTCCGCTTTGAGGTCGGCATGTCAATCGAAAATAGCGCCTCCTCTGCCCGCTCCTTCTCCAGGCGAGAGATCTCCTTATCCACCTGGGTCGAAATCTTGGCCCGGGAGTCATCTTGATGCTTGGACTTCAAATTGTTGCGGCTGCTCTTGGAGGTAAGATTCCTTGTGCTGCGGCTCACGTCGGTGCTATAGACATTGCTGTCGTCGGGATCAGAACCAGAGATGCTGGAATCCGTTTCCGAAACCTCCTGGTCGCGAGACTTGCCCGAGACGCGGGCCAGTTGAGACCTTAGATTTGCATTCTCTTCGCGCAGTTGATCGTTCTCAGCCTTGAGTTCTCTAGTCTCGAGATATGCCACGCCCAATTGGGAAATGGCGGATTCTCTCTCATGGTTAAGGCGTTTAACCGCTGCCTCCTGGACTTGAGATTTGCGGTCGGCAATGTCCAATTGATTCTGCAAGGCGATATTGGCAGCTTCGAGCTCTGCAAGAAAGTGTTAGCTCACGAAGAGTCTTTGAAACAAGGTATACTTACTCTGAATTTCCGAGTGGTGGCGCTTTGAGCCCTTCTTATAGTCGGCATCTTCCATTGCGTATTTTTCGGCATTCCGAGACCGGCCAGCCTTGAGCACTGCATTTTCCTCTCGGTAGTTTTCAATTCGTCTCTCTGCGTCAGATTTGTACATCTCCAACTCTGCGACCTTATCTTGTAGGAGACGGAGGGAAACGAACAACGCCTTCTCATCTTCAGGAATTGGAACAGCATCGAGAGGCATATGTTCACGCGAAAAGGAAACGTCGGTCGCGTCATGAGGTGGTGACACGAATCGAGTGGAACGCATCTTGTGCTGACGAGGAAAGACGGGCGTGCCGTCTTCATACACACCCGAAACGAGCTCGGAGATATTTGGGAGATCGGGAAGGAGGAAAGACTGGTGTGTCATGGTGTCACCCATAGTGTTGGTGTGGTTGTTGCTTGTCTTGCGGGGAGTGCCCCCACCATTAGCTTTACGCATCTCCTTTGCGTATGCTTCCCGCGAAGCACGCTCGACGGCATCGGCAATTTCTTGGGAATTATTGAGGTTACCGAAGCGCGTTGATCGCGTGTTGGTTGGAACTGGAGCCGGACGTTCATCTCCAATGAATGACCCGTCGTAGTTGTCGCGTACTTTCGCGTGCATCTCCGACAGTGTCCTCCGCTGGTCACGTTGTGATTTGCCAGACACTTGAGGGCTCATGGTTTCCTTCTGGGCTTGAGTTGCGCGTCGCAATTGAGCATCTTTTCGGAGGTTCTCGCTCACGGCGCGTCGGGCTGTCGTACGCGCGGCGGGTTGTTTTTGGGGTGTCGGGTAGTCGACGCGAACGGCGGGGGAGGAGGAGCGGATGCTATTCTGGAACGACATGACGGAGTCGCGAGAGTCATCGAGGCGACGAGAGGGTTTGCCCGAGGGACCACGGCCCATCTCCATGGACAGTTCGCTCACATCGGACATGGTGTCGCGGTCTAGATTTCTGGGCTGGTCTCCTTCGTTGTCTTCTTCTTCCGATGTGGGCAGTTGAGAAAACTCGGGGAAGGCGCGCTCCAACGTTGACGTGTTGATCACAAAGTCTGGCTCGTCTTCTTCTTCGTGGGAGCGTCTCATATTGGGGAGCTGCGGACTGCCGAACTCGCGGGTGGATGCCAACGCTTCGTGTTCAGGGTCGAAGTCGGACACGGTAAAATCCAATTCTGAAAGAGGCATACTCAAGAGCTTGGGCTGAAAAAAGTCCGAAGTAATTTAGTTCTTGAGGGGCCGGCAGGTGGACATGAAGTAAACCGAATCCCGGACGAGGTTGTTGACAGGCGGTTTTGTTTTGGAGGCTGGGAATGTTTTGGTCGCGCGTTTTGGCCAATCACCCGCCATGTCCCCGCCCGGCCCGCTCCACTGGACTCTAGAGTCCATCACTTCCATCAACACCGTTATTCAAAGACAAGAAGGGGTCATATGAATTATCTGTTTCTCTAGTTTAAAAACTGGAGATTCTGGGAGCATGTTCATGTCATAAACTGAATTCACAAAGGCTGCCTCGATTACCAGAACCCACAACTTCGGTATGAGGCTAACAAGCGGAGATATATACATTAGCATGCATGATGCAATTATCCTTTCCGTCAACCTTAACGTCAGGCATATTGGGATTACACGGAAGAGATATCTTTTCACTCTAGAGTCCCTTAGTAATGTTATGCTTTACACCCGGTACAATAAAGATTCTACGTTTCTTTCCATCGTCCCAGTCTCTTGCCTCAATCGCAGATAGAATCATCGAAATCTCCAGAGCACAGCCGGGTATACACAAATTTCGTCCGATCTTGACCGTGGAAACGAGATATACCAATTCTGTGCTCTCGTCAGATGTAGAATACGGTCTTGTTAAAAAAGATAGATTGATTTCATGTGGTCTATCTAGAAGTTCAATATTTAAATCCCAAAGCCCCTCCCAGCAAACCACGCAGCCTACCTACTGGGGGCGCAGTGAGCCCACCAGAATCCCACGACAGCCAAAAAAAACCAGCCAATTTCAGCCGAAAACGCCATGCTAGTCAAGAAAAGCAACGAGCTGGATAAGGCGCTCAGAGCAGAAATCAGATGAAATGAAAAAGAAACCAAAAGACAAAGATGCGAGTACAATCGTAAATATCGTGCTCATTAATATGAGGTTCGAGAGATGGTTGGGTTCATCCGATTACGCTGAGACGACTCTAGAGTCGCCCAGGCGGGCGGGGGCAATATCATGAGGTGGAGACGTGTCCAGTTGTTGGACCCTGATTATTGGCAGATGCATTGTCCGATTCCGTGGTTGGCTCCGTTGCTGCTGTTGGAGTTGCTGGGTTCGGAGGGTTCGGTAGTAACTCCTCGAGCGCCTGGGGTGCCGTAGGTGTGACCGGAGAAAACGTGATTGGACTGGCGATGTTCACATGGATAGACGGCAACCGTAGGATTCCTGGTAGCTGTTGCTCATCGCGCGGGTTCGTAGGACTTTCGTACGCAGGTGCTTCCCCCCAGTCCAGGTGGTCGTACTCGGGTGGCGGTGGTATATTGAGGGTACCCAGGTCTCCCTCTTCAACTGCTTGAGGCATCGATTGAGTAGATGATCCGCGAGTTGATGTCGGACGAAGCACGAGCGGATCTCCCTCGTTGGACAGTGTGGATGCGAAAGATTGAACACCCGAGCGGTTGCTGGGGGGATCCATCAACGATGGTGATGATGCATGCATAGCAGCATTCTGCAGAAGCGGGTGGTAATCGGAATCAGAGGCGTGTGAATCAGCTCGCAGACGGGAACCATCGTGTCGAACATGACCGAGATCAGCGTAGCTGACACTGGCAATACGCCGATCTCTTTCGCGGGATTGGTGATCTGCGATGACGGCCGATGCAGTGAGTGAGGTGTTGCTTTCGGTAGCCTCACGGCGACGGCGGCTTCGAGCACGAGTTTCTTCATTGAGTTGCTCCAGACGGATGGAATCACCTCGTGCGCGGGCCTCCCGGCGTTCCCGGCGGCGAGTCTCGCGATCGGCTAGTTCCTGCCGACGCTGTACTCGCAGTTGATAGAGGGCTTCCATCTGATCTTCGCGGCGTGATTCTTGTTCCTCCGCCGTCTCCGGGAACTCGACGACCATATCCATGCCCGCTCGTTCTCCTTCGCGAGCGATAATTTGCTCGGTCGGTTTGGGACTCGCCGAGTATGGTGGTAAGGTGATAATAGAACGGATGGACGTTTCTCGCCGCGGCCCATTGCTGTTATTGCTATTGTTGTTGGTGCCGATCGTGGCCATCTCCGGGCCCGATCCCCGATAGGAGGTGTCCTGATTGTTGTTTTGACCACCTTGGTTGGGCACCTGCCCATAAGAGGCACTTCCGGGACACCATTGCTTCCATTTCCGCTTCAAGGTCTGACCGGGAATGTACTTGGGCTCATAGTAGCGCTGTCGAAGCCACCTAGCGCCGAAAAAGATGCAAATGCAGACGGCCAGGACGAAGATAATGACCGAGGCGCACTAGAAGATAAGCCGAAGTCAGCATTGTCAAGCACAAGACGAGAGATTCGAACGATGCGACCGCACCAACGATGGTGGTGATGGTCGTCGGATCCGCTCGGAAGCCGGAGATCAACATACGATGATGAAGACGCTATTCTTATGGCTGAGGTCCCGTTTCTGTGGAATGTACATGGTGGGAGGCGCGGGCAGTGGGCCCTAAAGATCTCCCCGAGGCATGGAAGAGGAACCCCCAAATCGGAAGAAGTCAAAGGAATGCTGGAAGAGTCAAGGCAGGAGAAAGAGACTAAGGTAAAAGAAAGCGGAGTCCAGCAGAGGGAGAGAAAGTAGTAATCTGGAGGATCAATTCTCGACACGAGTGGAGTAGGGCCAGAGAGAAGCTCAGAGACGCCACTGCCTATTATTATCCACTGAACCAGCGATTGGAAACCCAAGTGGAGCGGCGCAGCCAGTGGACAGGAAACTGGAAATAATCAGCAGTTGGATGGCGTGGCCTAAGTGTCAGTGGCCAGAAGGACCTAAAGTGGAGTGGCTGGGTTGGACTGGGCGTCACAGCGCCAAATGTCACTTGCTTCGACTCAGCAGTGCAGTCAGTCCGTACACCTCCATCCCCTCCCCTGCCGACAGTAGTCAAGGCCAGAATCTAACTGGCATCTTGATCTACTCGGAGCTACTGGGATCAAGCCCCCAGGATTACCCCGAACGGATCCTCACTGTCCAAGTTGTCGCTAGTGGTGACAACTTGTCCCGCGTTGCCGATACGGGAGATCCGCGCGGTGGATATGATACTTTAACTTCGGCTGAGACTGTTTCGGCTGACCCAAACCCGCATTGACGCTCGTGCAGCGTTGATTGCACGAGTCAGTCATTCATTCTCGTACGAAGAAGGCGAATCCGGGAGTGCAGATGTTGACAGCAAGGAGCGCGACTCTTGCTGGGTGAAAGTGACACAAGCACCCACCGCCCTTACATTAGAGGGTTATCGTTGGGGAAAGTGGATGAGGGGCTTTATCTGCGACAATTGAAAGTGGCTGGGGATTTCATGGGAATTACCTCTAGCCCCTTTTTGATCTAAAGTCATAAACGAGGACCACATATCATATTGAGGGCGACCTGCAATCTCACGGAGAACTCGCACGCTTTGTAGACTTCCATAAGGCAAAACCACCAGCCCCCCGCATAATATCCTTGCCAATCAACACTCGCACGAGGGGGTCGTTTTAGGTAATTAACTGGATACGTCAAGAACGCACGGAAATTTGCATACTAAGAAGCATTCTATCTTCCTTCGTTTACCCGAGAGGGCGAGGTAAATCTAATAAGAAGGGTGAATATTGCCAAGTCAATGGGTCGAGGGAAGACTACTCTTTCCAGTGACTGGCGAGAAGGCACCCCCGAGCTTATGCGCATAATTTTTTTATTACTATCCTACTCTTGCTAAACATGTCAGTCAAACGGTACCGTCGAATATTCGCGAGCATTGGATGATAGGTATACTAAAGCATGACGCCGTCATCTTACTGTTACACCGAAGGTACTGAATTTGCAAGATCGATTACATTCCACAATCCCAAACAATAGATGATTGGTATAAAGAACAAAGAGTTGACAATTCACTCAATATGTCAATATTCTCAACTTTATACAGCTATTCCAAGTCATACAAACTGTCGAATAGAAGTAATCATAGTAGTGGATCAGTCCGAGTGGCGCTCCGGCTACCGGCCACCGATACCCGTATCCGCTTGGAGCCGAGCAGCAACGCATATCCGCATGGGTCTAGCACAACAAAAGCTGTTCAATAACAACGCCTTAGGTAGGAGCTTGTCTCAAATTCAGTACAAGCGGCTCCGGGAACGCGTCCTTTCGGCCAACGAACAAATACGATGCGGGCTCATGACGCTTCCGCTGGTCTTGCATGAGGCTCTCGGTGCATATTTAATCTACATTGATTTGGCTGGTTTTTGTTCTATTGGTCTTGAAGAAATTGGTTCTGCTTCAATATCATAATTGTGATTACCCAGGCCCACGAATGCAGAGTAGTGACTACCTATCCCTTGAAGAAGACAACCCAAGCAGACAAATGCCGTGTGACATTGTTATAGCTAAATATGAAAGACATCTTCACACGACTAGACCCCACGATCGTGAAACTAGAGCAGTCTGCCTTATTCCTCGACTACCATCCAGATAGCAGTTGTTTCGATACCCAGTAGACAGTAATCGCGCTGTGAACTTAATAGGTACTGTTCATGACGGCCGAAGGCCGAGATACTCGTCGTGAAGATGACTTGGCTCTGGATCGAGGGCACATCGCTGCCCTCCTTGAGGGGCTTACCGAGATTCACGAATGGTATCTTATGGATCTATAAGGGTTTATAGACTTGAACGGAGAAGGAATTTGGATATGTTCTATGTAAGTTCGTTCATGATTTCTATATCAACATGGATGATCCAACTGCCGGCGCGGAAGAGAAGCCGACTTATTCAGCCATAGTTCTGATACCCCCGTTGGTGCTACCAGCGGAAGAAGGGATTCGAGGATGGCTATGAGATCTAAGACGAAAAGAAACGGCCGGTTGCGAAGCCTTCAATTTTCTTCGTGGATATTTGACGTTGCGGACTATGATTCAAGGTCTGATACAGACAGAGTAGATCATGGCTGAAGGGAGTTGTGGGTCAGTGGGTATTCCAATCCTCGATTGGAGTAGACGCAGCATGGTACTCAGTGCAGTAGCGACATCGCGGTAGGAACTTGTTACATCTTTTCTTGCGGGCCTTGCAGTTGGCGCATACATTAGGAGACTTCAAAGTGGCGGCCGCCGGCATGATTGCTTAAATGAAATTGACAGTGGGTGGTGGGTTGGCGAGAATAGGTAGAGATACGTGTGGGACCTGTCGGGGATCGTCGGTCGCCGCTAGTATATTTATGGTGTAATTTAGACTGAACCAAATGCGAAGTCTGGGGACAGCCGAAGCTACTCAGGTTGTCCCCGGATATCGGTTCATCACGCGAGAGCTCGGCCGGTAATCGGCATCCCATATGAAGTGCAACCATGCCATAATTTTTCCATCGTTGCCTTGATATTTCTGTCGCTCGTCATATGTTCCAGTGAAGACTAGGCAAAGCATATCACCCGAATCACACAACCTGAAAAGACTCGGAACCGAAATTATGGATGAGATAGGCGACAACGAGCCGCCATATTTTGTTCCTCACAAACCGAGTGGACTGCCCAATGCACGGCCAAATATCGTCATTTTCATGCCCGATCAACTTCGCTATGATGCGCTCCATTGCTCCGGGCTGAACCCGATTGTGAAAACGCCAAACATCGACAACTTTGCCGCCCGAGGCGTGCGATTCACAGAATGTTATGTCCAAGCATCGGTCTGTACCCAATCTCGATGTTCAATGTTCACCGGCCTGTATCCGCACGTGTCTGGTCATCGTTCCTTGGAGAACCTCTTAAAACCATGGGAGCCAAACCTCTTTCGATCGTTGAAAGACGGTGGTTATCATGTGGCCTGCATGGCCCCGCGAGGGGATCTATTCGCTCCGACCGTCACCGAGCTGAGTTTGACCGAGTATGGATTCTTGGAGCCGCCAGAGATATCCAAGATCATTGATGGAAATGGGGATGAGCGGCCGGAAGAGGAGATTACTATCTGGGAGCGATTGTTCTATAAAGGGCGTCGTGATGTGAGCAGGGCAGTGGATTACGACGAGGCCGCCATTAGAAGTGCAGAGAAATGGCTCGACTGTCCCCCCGATGACAAGCCATGGGTTCTGTTTCTGCCGTTGTTGTTTCCACATTGTCCTTTTACCGTGGAAGAGCCTTATTTCTCCATGTATAAACGCGAGGATATGAGTTTGCCATCGTCCCATGAGGAAAAGGTACGACATCATGGACCTCGCCTACGGGTGTATATCTGACACACCCCAGACAGGATACGAACCACAGTATATGCAGATGATCCGCAGCCGTTACGGAACCCATCGCGCCACTCCAGAGATATGGGCAGAAATCTCTGCGACATATCACGGCATGATCTCTCGACTGGACGACCAGTTTGGCCGCATTGTCAAGAAACTCGATTCGAGCGGACTCTGGGGTAAGACGATTACCATGCTTTTCACCGATCATGGCGAGTACCTAGGAGACCACGGCCTCATAGAAAAGTGGCCCAGTGGCTTATCAGAAACTCTGGTCCGTGATCCCCTGATTATCGGCGGTGGTGGCCTCCCTTCCGGTCTGGTTCGCAATAGCATGACCGAGATGGTTGATCTGGTTCCGACCATCCTACAACTATGTGGTATCGACGAGACTTTCCCGCACAATGGCAAGTCGTTACTTCCAGCCATCCTGGAAGACAAGCCCCATCGGCAGTTCGCTTTCTCAGAAGGCGGCTTTCTACTTTCGGAGGAGCCGCTTCTCGAGAGAGCCTCGTTCCCGTATGACCTCAAGGCCAAGTTACAGCATGAAGACACACGATTGGTGGGCAAGGCGATATCCATGCGAGATCAACACTGGACCTATATCTATAGGTTGTACGAACCAGCGGAGTTGTATGACCGCAGCGCCGATCCCTTGGAACTGCACAACCTGGCGGCTGATCCGCGATTTGTGCACCAGGCACGGTTCATGGAGAGCCAGATGTTCCGATGGATGGTGGAAACGAGCGACTTGTTGCCGTATTCAAAGGACGGCCGGTTCCCAAAGGTGGATTTACCTGACCCCAAGGTCCAGTGGGAGAAGCGGAAAGAAAAACAGAGTAGTGGGTAGAAGGGAATTCTAGCCAAGAACTAAACACGTAATTGAAAGCTTTGATGTGACAACGTGAGAATCTTGTTCCTGGTGGTGTGAACGAAGGCCAACCTTAACAGCCTTTTGGGTGCCTTCCTACCGGTAGATCGCATAGAAAAAAGACGTATCCCAACAAAGCCAAGGATCGTCCGACCATCACGCTACTTCAGCAGTTGACTGCTCGACGAGTAATCACCAGCTTGACAACCCCGGACTCGGCATTTCATGCATGAAATCGTGGCCAATATTTCCTCGTGGAGACAGCCCCGCGAAATAAAAACGCGCTCGGAGATCGACACGCGGGAAACGAGATCATCTGCGTGCCCGGCATGATCGCGCAGTGGCGCCGACCGGGCTCACTTGCAGCCGGAGTGCCTTTCGGATACCGGAGGGAAGCCTCGTCCCATCAAAGATCGACACATGCGAAAGGATGAATGGAGGTCATATCCAATCGGCGTGGTTAATCATCGGCCAGGGGGTTCTGCGCGAGGTCATCGCGACGTTGAATCACAGGGTCTTGTCAGCCTGCCCTACAGCACTCGATGGCGAAGAGAAATGGGCTGTCGCTAAACAAGGCACAGTTTCCCCAGAGATACTATATTATGGGGACTCGACTAGCTGATTGAGATGGTGTCTGAACCAACCCAGACCTCTCAACAGCCCTGTGGCTTTTCCTCCCGCGCTTAGTGGGCCCGGATATCTTCCTATCAGATTGCCTCCTCTTGTTGTGATTTATCAAGGCCCAGACGACTTCTAGCCAAGCGAGGATAGCTGCTGCCCCTGAACCCAGACACTCTTTCAACCGTATCGACGTGCAGTATGGCTACCCTCAACTTCGCGTTGAAGAACCAGACCGGTTCAAACACGGTCTATGCCTATATCACCGGTCAGGCAATTGACAACAACAATGCGTGGTTCCTGCTACAAGCAGACGGCAAGACGCCGTACTATCCAACCTCGCCGTCCGCTACCCTGACGGCCCTCGCGCAAGACTGTGCAATTCCACTCGGCGCATCGGGGAGTACCAAGACGGTGACCATCCCACATATTGCGGGAGGTCGACTGTGGTTTGTGCGTGATGCCAAACTCACATTCTACTTGAACCCGGGCCCTGCACTAGTAGAACCCTCGTCTTCTAATCCGTCGGATGCCAACTATAACCTGTATTGGGACTTTTGCGAGTTCACTTGGAACTCGTCGCAGCTCTACGTGAACATTACATTTGTTGATTTCGTGTCGCTGCCCATTGCCCTGACGCTAACCAATACATCGGGAACCTCGAAGAGTGTCCAGGGCTTACCGTCGGATGGGCTCGCCAAGATCTGCACCGCGCTCAAGACTCAGAACTCGAAGGATGGTGCCGGATGGGACAAGCTGATTGTCACGACTAATGGGAACAACCTCCGAGCCGTATCCCCGAATACGGGAATTACATTGAACAACTCCCTATTCAAGACCTACTATGATTCCTACGTGGACCAAGTCTGGTCCAAATATACGGACACCACCTTGACAGTCAATACCCAGGGTAGCGCAGGCAATGTCACAGCCAAGGTCTCGAACGGCAAGCTCACTTTTTCCACCGGGAGCATATCATACGACCAACCCTCCACGGCAGATATCTTCAGCAACAGCTCTGGAGCCTTTGCAGTCTCGGGAGATGCTACCAAAGATGCCATCACTGCCCGCTTGGCAGCGGCATTCAACCGCTCCACCCTGTTGACCGACACGAATCAACCGAACGGCGAGACGGTAGCCAATTACTACCAGAACGCTGTGACAAACCACTACTCGCGGATCTGTCATGCTACCACCTCTGATAACCGGGGCTATGCGTTCCCTTATGATGATGTGGCACCGACGAATGGTGCTGATCAGTCTGGTAGCGTGTACGATGCGAATCCTCAGTTGTTGACGGTGACGGTCGGTGGTTCCTCGAGTACTAATTCGACCAATAAATCTGTCACTCAGGGGGATAACCCTACACCGTCTCAGGGCACTCAGAAGAAGAGTCGGCTTTCTAGCTTGAAGAAAGTGATGCAGACGTTGTCCTGCAAGAGATGAATGGCACATGGAGCAATGCCCGCTTGCGATGTATGCTTTTATGTGGGCGTTATGTACACATTTCTCTTGAAAGTCTGAATACGAACTAGTGCTAGCGATGTAGATAGGCTCGTACTTCTTATGTCTGATCTCTTATCTTATGCGGAACTGCTTTGTTACAGCGAGGGGAAACCATATGTATACGATTGAAATGCGTTCCAGCTCTAAAAATGCAGTACATTGTGTAAATGCATTTGTACACCTAAACCTGCTCTCCGGCCTGCTTTCGAATATAAGACACCACCTGATCAGGAAGGACCAGCCACGGCGAGTGTCCCGCGTTGATCTTCTCCGTTTCAATGCTAGCACCGTTCCTTTGGGCACGATCCACCATCAACTGCTGCACGGCGAGCGGAATAGCAAAGTCGTCCACGCATAGCAAGTACGAAGATGGGATCTTCATGTATGCGGCGCTGGTGGCGGGTGCGTTCTTGGTGGACCAGGCATGTGGCCGGAGCGTGCTGGCCCACTTTGGACCATCGGGTGCATCGTGGAAGAACAATGCGAACGGATCACTGGCTGTCACGGTGCCATTTGCCTCCTGAAGTAACAGGTCAACAAAGTGACTTAAAGGTGATATTCATGCGTGTGATAATCATGGATCGACCACGGGGGACGTGTTTTACTTACATCTCGCACATACCAAGGCGGCGGGGTCCCACCGAACGCGCTGATCAAACTCTCGCCGATTTGCGGGATAAAAGCAGAGATGAAGATCAATTTGACCACGCCTCCTTTCTGACCGGCTTGCTCACGGTCGGTGCGCTCCAGTCCGTCCAGTGCGCTGTTGACTGGAAGGCCGGACCAACTATGAGACACAATGACCACTTCTTGGCCAGCATCGACCTCTTGCTCGACGACCGTTCGCACCGCAGAGATGTCCGGCTGCAGGTCTTGAACGGTGGTAGCTTGTTGGATTGAGGGGAAAGCGATCGTGTGGCATTTATAGCCATGGCCATTTAATTTTTCGGATATTCCATCAAAGACCGTGGGTGGGTACCAGGCGCCAGGGGTGAAGATGATGGTGGGCTTCGACATGAGTCAAATAGTGAATGATCAATGCGATACTTGGCTAATGGGCGAAAGAGGACGAGAAAGCCAAATGTTGACCAAGATCTTGCTTGACTGGTGGTAGGGCTGAGACACCGTACTTATTGACCAAAGATCCGCCCCCCGTCGAGCCGGCCGGTACGGCAGGTTTGTCCCCGCGAGGGCACAGCGACTTTCTTGGCAAACCGGGCAGCCTTGCGGGAACTTCTCTGGCCCCCAAGACTTGCGTGGCCCGAGCCCGACCTAATCTATTACCAGATGATATTCGTTGGGTCTCAGACTAGTGAACCAATCAGACTTTTATAATTGGATGGGTGTAAATACAGGTTACTAAAATAAGGGAGAAGATGGCGCATGGACCTCGGGGGAGTACATTGTGCTTTGCATGAATTAGGAAAATTCCACAGACTAGGAAGGAATGAAACTAGTAGGAAGAGATGTGTACCTCGGAGATCCCTTCCGATATCGCTCGTGGGCTGTTGAATGCTGCTACAAGATGGTTCTCAATTTGTGACGCTTTAAGGGTTGTGGTTTAGCTGTGGAGAAAACGTTGTTTGACATCAATAGGAGCCATTCGCATTTGAGTGGGAGATATTTTGGAGAAAAAAAAATAGCTAAAGCGAGATGACTCAATAGATCTTATCTTGATCAAAAGGAAGCCAATGAAAGAAGAAGAAAAAAGGCCAGGCTAGGGTAGAACTATGCTTGCTCAGGGTGATTCATCAACGTGTATAATCTCCCACCCACTCGCTGCGAAAGATCTCGGTACGACCCATCTTCCACGACAATCCCTTGATCAAGAACGACGACATGATCTGCAATTTCAATCATCTCCTTCGCATGGGTGATAATGATCACAGTGAGGTCTTTGCGGGTGGCTACGAGCTTTTGCACCGTTTGACGGACAATCTCCCCGCCCGCAGGATCAAGACTGGAAGTTGCCTCGTCCAAGATGAGGACTTGAGGCTCACAAAACAAAGCGCGAGCAATCACTAATCGCTGCTTCTGGCCCCCCGATAGTCCAATGCCACCGTCACCGATCATAGTGCGATATCCACTTGGAAGAGAGAGGATGAAATCGTCGATGCCAGCAGCCTCCGCGGCAACACGTACGCTGTGTATGGACGCCCAGTCTGCCAGTCCGTAGCTGATGTTGGCGTAGATCGTTCCGGGGAAGATGATTGGCTGCTGTGACACGATTGAGATCTGTGATCTTAGAGTTGGAATGTGTAAGCGTGATATGTCTGCTCCCCCGAATCTCACGGTAGGATTGCCTTCTCTGGACACGGGCGCTTCGTATAACGCCAGTAATAACGAAGCGATGGTTGACTTGCCTGAGCCGGAGCGGCCGACAATTGCGGTGCATGAATTCGGGGCGATTTTGAAAGAAATATTCTGCAAGACCTTGGTATCGGGTCTTGAAGGGTACCTGAAGTCCAGATTGGAAATCTGAATCGGAGTGAGTCTGGAAAGTTTTAGGTCGCCTCGATGTTCATGGGAACTGGCTTCTGGAAGATTTGCAAGCCGAAGAAGTTGGGTAGCGACCTCGCGGGAGGTGTTCATGTGAGGGACTGGAGGGACATGTTAGAAGAATTTCTTCTGCGTAGTGTGAGTTTGTTGCTTACTCCATGATAGAATTTGAGCAGCATATCCGATGCTAAAAAGAAGTAGCGAGAACACCATCATCACATCATTGACGGTAAACTCGGATGCCACGAGCACAGCACCATAGTAAAATATCAAGGCTATTAATGTTAGTCGTTGTATGATCATTAATATTTCTGGGCACACACTTACCACTCGCAAACATGACCGTCGACTCCAGCATGCCGAAGAGCAGACCAGTGTAAATGGCACGTTTCAACCCAATTGCCAGACATTTCGAGATAGCGTCCGCCTGCTTGTTGTGAAAGTAACCCTCCATCGTCAAAGTCCTGACGGTGCGAATCTCTGCAAAAGCTTCCGTAAAGATGTCCGTGGCAACCGCGCTGGCTTCGCTGCACCGATGTTCCCAAATCCCATTGACCCCTTCAAACCCTCGAGTAATCGCATAAATAAGAGGCCCACAAGCAAGGGCCACCAAGGTTAACTTCCAGCAGACAATCAAGCTCCAGATAATCGCCATCACGGTGATCGAAGCAGCAACGATCACGAATCCAGCAAAGCGACCAAGCAGGTTTCGCATGTCCTCACCATTCTGATCTAGATACGCCGTGAGTCTGAAAGAGCTGTTTTCCTCTTGCTCAAACCAAGCCCGAGGCTGGTCGAGTACTCTCTCGAACGCTTTCTTTCGGAGTGCGTCCATCCATGCCTCGCCACAGAATTCGAGAAAGTAATGCATGAAAAAAGAAGCCAGGCCATCTCCAATGGATACTCCAAGTACAGCCAGCGACCATGTCATCGTTAGCTTGGCGCTGTTGGTACCGGCATAGAAGGTGCTGAGAAGTTGAGACAGACAGTAGGAAAAGACTGGCGTCGCACTGGCATGAGCCAGAGCCGAGAGGACTCCTAGGAAGAGGATCACACGTTGTTTCGGGGTCAAGGTAGGCACAATGGTACCCATGATGTGAGATAGTGAGGCCGTGCCCTTTCCATCGTGTCCCTTCCGTGACTTTGCGTTCTTGTTTGTTTGAATTAGTCTCAAATGCTTTGAATCAGGATTATGACTTGAGTGGTCAGACAATGTGTGGCTTGAAGGGTCATCTAGGAAGCTCCGGTCGATTTGAATCATTTCGAATCCTTCCATTGGTCTTGAGTAGTAAGAGGCTGGTCTTACTGGCGACATCTCCCTTCTAGGAATACCCACTAATGACCCGCGTTTGCTGAGATCGTACGATATGTTCAGCAAAGTGTCATCGACGGCAAGAGCTTCATCTCTCCTCAAAGCTGAACTTCGTATGCTTGACCAGGAACTGGAGCGAGCGTGATGTTGAACCAACAATTCGCTTGGATTTAAGCGTGCACTGGGAGGCCTCACGGGCTCAAAATTCAGGCTGTGACGAGAAAGTTCATTCCAAGAAAGGCCATAATATGCCCTTTCTCCTAAGTTTTTTTGCAGGCTGCCATTATCCTGGCCTTCCTTCCTCATGGGGCGAAAGTATTTCTCGCTCCCAGGCTGCTTCTCCACGGAATCGCGGTACCCACTCTGCACAATTGTGCCATTTTCAAGAATATACACAAAGTCACGGTCGGCGATGTGGGACATGTCGTGAGTGATAATGATGGTTGTCTTTCCGCTCCGCCACTCACGGATCGCATTCATAACTGCCACTCGATTTGCAGGATCCAAAGCACTGGTGGGCTCATCCAGGATCAGAATTGGCGTGTCGCGTAATCTCGCTCTGGCGATGGCAACTCGTTGTTTCTGACCGCCACTCAAGTGATCTCCACCCGGACCAACACAAGTGTCAAGTCCATTGGGAAGACTCGCAATAACGCTTTCTAACATTGCGACCTCGATCGAATTTTGAACGTCTTCTTTTGACACGGTCTCGTAGTCCTGACGACCGAGTACGATATTCTTCAGCACGGAGTCATTGAACAGCACACTTCGTTGTTCCACCAGTGTAATATTGTTCCTGACCCAGTTGATATTGAGTGCTCCGATTGGGTTCCCGTCAATCAGGATTTCTCCAGAGGTAGGATTATAAAGACGCATCAACAGCTGACCGAGTGTGGTTTTTCCAGAGCCACTCTTGCCAATGACGAAGGTCGTCTCACCAGCGGGGAAGAAAAATGTCGATGGAGTGAGAACGACACGGTCGGGCTGACTGGGGTATGCGAACGATACCTGATCAAATTGTCAGTGCCATGCGAGGCAATAAGGAGTCGCAAATAATGTACATACATGGTTCAACTCGATATCACCCTCGCAGTGTTCAGGATACAGGGCTCCTTTAGTCTCGCTCACAACCCTTTCCTGTGCTGGTTGGCGCATGATCGACTTGAGCATGGCACTTGCAACCTTTCCTTTCTCCAAGACGATCATTTGTGGCAGTACTTGCTCGATAGACTGAGCTGCAGTTAAACATGCCCAAAATGTTCTCAGAACTTCGCCAGATGTGATCTTGCCGTTTCTAGCAAGGGAGCTTCCGTACCAAAACCCTTGAACGAACATGCCGAACATCATCCACCGAACGAACGAGATTTGCAAAGAATTGAGCCTTGCTTGTCGAAGGTAGTGGAGAGCGGATTGCTCAATCCGACTTGAGAAGCTCCACAATTCTATCCGCTGGCCGTTCAAACATTTGACAGCGTCGATAGAATTGATGGCATTGCTCGCAACTTTGGAAGCCTGAGTTAGCTCCTCTTGCTGTGCTTTGATGCTGGGTTTCATCATTGTGGATAAGAAGACAATGACGGTGGAAAAAATAGGTATTCCGGCTAGTGTCACGAGGGAAAGACTCCACGAAGTATAGAACCCTACTCCCAGGGAAGCTAAAGATCGACAGAGATACTGCAGAAGCAGCCCAAGAGGTTGGGATGTGGCCATTTGAAGCTCGTGGATATGACTGAACCTTGTATTAGAGTTATACTTCTGGTGGGATTCAAGGAGCAACTCACGCTTGTACTCCCGACAAGAAAGCCCCCGATCCTTCTTGTTGAGCCTCGAACCATTCGACATCTCGTTGTATAAGTTCAGTAAAAGCCCTGCTGCGAATGCTCGAAGCCTGTAGCTCTCCGAATGCGACAAACACCGCAAAGTATGCGCTATTAAGAAACCAGCCAGCGGCTCCTAGCCCGAGCATACCAAAACAACCCGCAACAATCTTGCTGCGAAGCCCATCGATGGCAATCTGACCAGCCCCGAATGATGTAAACGAATCGAAGACATTTCCTAGAAAGATGGCCAGTGCAGGCGTCACACATCCCGCGAGCAAGGCAAGGACGGTCCCTATGATGAGCGTTGGTAAGTGTCGCCGGGTCGTGAAACTAAAGAGGCATTTCCAGCCGGGTGCCAGCCCAGCTGCATTATCATTTTGAACAGAAGCATCATCGTGGCCTGGGATTTTAATTTTGAGACCCATTGCTTCTGGTGATCATAGCAGATATGCGTATGACTGGAAACGGGAATTTCTTGGCTATCGACACCATGATAGTAGAGGGGAAGGAGGAAAGCGAGAATTCCTCGTGTAGGCATAAATGCCGTCGTATAGGCCATCACGATTCATTGTTCTCGAAGAACAATCCCAAAAACTTCCTGATGCGGAAAGAGTGTTGCGAGGAAGCGTGGGCGAGATGCACAATCCCGGTCGATTCATTGTTCTCGATTGTCACGTGGAGAGGGATTAGGAAGAATCCACGAAACAAAACGTTCTTCATTTGACGGGCGCGGGGCCTCCAGGATAACAATAATAGCTATCATTGGGGGGGTGATTCCAATTTCTGATCGTTCGTTACGTTCGAAATGCCACCACACGGTCGGGGACCTGCGGGGGCATTGGACACACACCAACTAGCAAGTCGAAAGTAGAAAATAATAAAATAATCATGAAATGCCCTTTCATTCCGGGTATATTTTAAATCCTCATGATGGCCTCTTATTCAAAGATCATGGTCAATCCACCTCTAAATGATAAGCACCATATCGAAATCGTATTCACTCGTCCATCACCGCCTCCATCCTTTCAAGTCGATCGAGAATCGACCCAGCGGAGCACTTCCGTCTGAGTCGTGACAAGTCAAATGCCGTGACCCTCGAGAGAGCTACGAAACAGGTACATGCCGTCGGTCTAGCAGCCCGGTTGTGGAGTTAAACTTGATTTCAAGTCAAGCACAGTAGATGACATGGGTATGCGCGCTCAAGAGCTGGCCTTCTGGGACCGCTCGTAGATCCAGTCGTTCAGACCGGCACGGTTACTATATGGGTCAGTCCCATTGTCCAAACCTGGCGTTAGAGTAAGTCTTACCGAGCAATCTCAACAGCATAGAATTGCATGCGAACACCTGGGTTCCATAGTTAGTCCATGTCCCTACTTCAACAGGGCCACTCTTGTATCCAATATCACTTACCGAAGAGGGTGGTATCCTCGTCATACTCGGCGTCGGGGCGGAGGCGAATGATCGTGCCAAAGTTGAAATCCTCAATCTTCTTCTCAAATTTGTTGATCCAGTTGCGCCACTTCTCCTTGCCAGCCTTGCTCTTCATCTCGTCTTCGTTGAGGGGCGCAGAGGGATCAAAATCGGGGAAGTCGGCCTTGAAAGAATCGTAGATCTCGTCGTCCATCTTGGTGAGCCGCAGCTGCGAGCCCTTCACCTTCTCGAGGATCGCCCAGTATGTCATGAGGTGTTCGACAGCTGTGTTGAGGTTTGTACATCAGCGCTGATCGCATTTAGTTTGGGATTGATCAATAGGAAGATTTTGGGTGGATAAGCTTGATCGGTATATGATCTTGTGTTTGACGACTAACCCTTGACAGCGAACTGCTTCTCCATCTGTGGAAACGGTTAACGATGAGCTGGTCTCGGGACGCGGGTAGGCGCTCTGTAACGTACATCCTGCAGGTTCTCGGCCTGCTCGGGATCAAATGGCTTAGACATCTTGATTGTGTGTTGATGGATTCAACGCTTGAGAAGTATTACAGAGAAAGTATCCGGGTAATATAGTCAAGGTGGGGAGCGCGTGCTGTGCCCCGCGCATATTTTTTTTTGGCGGGCGGCGAGGAGTACTGCCGCCCGAAATCCGTGTCCGCCCACGGTACATCACTGGTGTGCACGGGCATCTTCAAGTGATTACTCTATAGTTCTTCCCGCTTCGAGTCACTTCTCGAAAAAAAAATTACCCGGATACCGAGAATTTGAGATTGAAGAGATTGATGTATAGAACTGATTAATATATACGAGTTAAATGGTTTGCGACTAGGCGTACGCAATTTTGATTATGGGCACAGTCAGATGCATGCTAGTTGATGGCGAGCACGAGAACCGTCCAGGAAGACATTACTCTTACGTAAGCGAAGGATTTTGCGCAGGGAGGGATTCTTTTGACCTCTATTTTTCTCAAATCTACTGAGAATAATATATACGGCATATCTTCTATAGTAAGTAGAATTTCAATGTTTCTAATAGCGCCCCACGTGGTGGGCACCGATAAGCGTGGAGCGTAGCTCTACAATCATTCTATGCTAGCTTACTCAATATTGCTATTTTGATAGCGTACGGAGTAACTACCAGCGAATATTGCTTCCTCCCCTACGTCTGCTATTCTATTCTTGGGGCTCACTGCCAAGTCACTAGTTGTCAAACAGATTCAACCGACATCATTACGATATAATTATTTCTTAGATGTAGGGCCTCAAACTTAACAGTCACAGCGCAGTGTCACGAGTCGCTGACACTCGCATAGCCACCGTCTCCCGCTTTCTCATCCAAGGAATAACCGCTGTGAGATGGAAGGCGAAATTAGCTGGATGACTCGAGTCAACCGCCACGAACCGCCTACAATTGGCCAGCTGGTGTTGGCATACTGATGACAATGCAGATGAATGAAAAGTATTTACATCGTGTAATCGTCCTTTTAGTTACACAGACACGAAGAAGGCCAACCGACGCAGAAGATAGAACCTCGACGTCAAAAACACCATTTTATTCCTCGATTCATACTCAGACAATTCGAACCGAAAGACTAACCGCCGGCAGGACCCAAGCGTAGGGGACAACCTCCCATTGGCAATTGCCGGGACTTTCTAGTGAACAAGGTTGACCTTGAAAGATGTATCCTAACTCAGCGGCCTGTATCAACAGAATTTGCCCTTGTGGACATGTATTGGGACCCTGGATTTGACCAGAATCCTCACCATCTCGAGGAGCAGCTTGCGGGATGCCCTTTACTACTACCTAAGATTAGACACTTTTGAGAAGGGGCAAGCTCTCGCCGAGGATGAAGATCTGCGAAGACCAGAAACTAGAAGGCGTTTCTACCCAGCCAGAGCAGATTGGCCATTTTCACAAAGACAACACCATACACCCAACCTTGATACTAACTAGCATTTCCGATGATACCGCGAGTACTCTTGTGTAAGAGCGATGGAAAAGTTCTTGTAAGAGATCATTTTTAAACCCGAGTTTTCCAAGGTAGTCGTGAGGCATTCCGAGTTTTATGTCCAGAATTACTCAACGGGCGAGTTGGTTAGAAGAAGGAAAAACATCATCATATGTCGTGCTCCGGCGAGCTTTACCCGAGATATCAAGCAACGCTTTGGTTCTTGAATTTAACTAAGTAGCGCAGCTTAGCAGATACATGGCGAATTATACAGGAGCCTTCATGGAGCAATTTTCTTGTTGGAGTACTAGGATTACCCCAGAATCCTTTAATCATCAGAGCTGTTTCTTTTGTCAATCGCAAAATTTGAACTATGTTATGATCGCTCATTACCTGTTGCTTGAAAGCTTTTAGATGCAACCATGACTACTTAGTATTGTTTCTATCTACCTTATAAAAAGTGAACTCCATAAAATTGGGTTCGAAATCAATAATTAACATGTGTGGCCAGGGTATATCCCTTTGGTTCTATTTGAACAGTCAATAGAAAGGGGTTGATGGAGTCAATACACCCTAGGAGGGTATCGAACAATAGAAATGTCCGACAATCGATCAAGAAAGAAGAGATGTAGACGAGAAAAAGTTCTACCAAACGCCGGTAGATAAGACAGTCCTATACACCAATAACAACATCATTTCATGTCACTTTGTGAACGTGGTCCTGTCGAGAGGAGCTCTTTGATTGATCCGTCTCGAACACCGTAATGGAATCCTGACTAGTCCCTTTTTGGTGTTCAATGTCAAAATCCCGTCTGCCCTTTCCACTCCAGTCTTCCAGTGCAACGGCATCAATTCGATGAATCTCCTCCATGTAGTCATTCGAAGCGTGTGTAATGGCCTCCTGGCTAGAGCGGTCCGTATCCCTCTGTCCCCCTGTATGAGCGTTCTGGCCCGCATGGCGGAAGCCTGGCATGAACTTCAATGGACAGGGAAGGGAAACGGAGGGTCGAGATCGGGAACCTTCGGAATAGCCACTGGCGTCCTTGTTCTGATTGTTGGGATTCCGCGCTCTGTTCCCGCGGTTGCTGTTGTACGAGAAGGCCTTGAGTCCGAACAATTTTCGCAATAGAGGCCACCAACACATCAAGTTCGCGACGTAGATCGCGGTACTTGCTTCACGGATGTACCAGATTTGATAGGTGGTTGTGAGAGGAGAGGCGAAATTGAAATACTTGTTGAGGATCGCCGCGATTATGGTAAACAGGCCCAGACTCATGACACCTAGAAGCAAGACCTTCCGGCGTCGCTTGAGCTGGGCTTTGACGAGGAGTGGAATGGGAACGGCGAACATCATTGCGTCCGATGAGATGTTGAAAACTGCTTGCGTGATCGAGTAATACTGGTAGGTCGCACACTGCATGTTTTGAACTGGCATCGCCCAGTATTGGCTGAATGGCCGACAATACACTCCGTAGTAGGTGATCATGATGACGACGAAGCCGAGTGCCACATACACACAGAGTATTTTGATGTACAAGTTGGAGCGGAGGTTCTGCGTAATCCTCCAGTATAAAATCAACATGCATGTCTTCACGCCCCATGTCGATACCAGCATGCACTGTTCCAAGCCGATTACGATCTTGCTTCCGTAGATGCGATCGCGGACTTGCTGTGGGTCTGACAATACTTCGGCATAATCATCGGGGTCCATGAGATTCGTGGCATAACGTGCGGAAATTTGAATGAGAATGAGCAGGGTGGTGTATATTATCTGCGAAGTGGATGCCAATTAGTCAAATGTTGCAATGCGATCAGATCCGTAGAGTGAGCTTGGACCAGACATACAAAAGTAGCTGTCATAACATAATCGTCCCCTACGAGTCGAATCAGATGTCAGCGATCAAGATCTAGTATATTTAATCAAGTCGAAATGTCGTACAGAATAAACGTTTGACTGATCCACCTGCAATTGTTCGCGAGATCCTAGGTAATCGTCAGCGGTCTGTCATTAAGACGATTGGCATGAAGTGGAACATACATCCTGCCGACATATATGACGACTGCTATACTCCAAAAGACAATAGCTTCTACCAAAAGCTGATGTGGAGTCGGCGAAACGTCTCCCATCCTGGCGGAAGGAGGGAGAGTCACTCCCTAGGTCAACTTGACTTGAGGTCTGTAGAGGGAAGAGGAAAGTCTGCCATAGGTGACTCAATATGTGCAAAGAAGAAGAAGAAGAAGTCAAAATTCAAGACTAATTAGAAGCATCATTTGAAAAGCCATGACCGAGCGATGTCATCGGCTGTCTGTTGTCTTTGTTTGCTCAGACTAGACCAGGCCAGGCTCCAATCAAGGCGATCATTTTATCGCAGTCGGTGAACGTGAATAAAGTCAAAGCTCTCGGGGGAGTCAGCAAAGCGCCAGCCAAGGGCCGGGCTTGCGGTGCCATGCAGAATAGGCTGTGAAATGTCGGTGCTGGGCTGGAAGGGCTGCGTGACAAGCAAGGAGGAATGGGAATCAGGACGCAAGGGAGGGCAAGAGCTTGTTGACACAGATCTATGGCAGTTGCCTTTGGAATGCAGATCATCATGAGAGATTCAGGACTCGAGGCATCTTCGGATTCGATTCATCCCTACTTTTTCCTCCGAGTTATCAACCCTCAGGCCCAGGGTCTTCGGGCGAGTTCCAGGAATTGGGGACATCAGAAACTCAGGGTGGAAAGTTGCTTTGTTTCTCTTTTTTTTTTTTTTTTTTTTTTCCAATTATTCGTGCGACACGAGAAAGCATGCTCGAATTCCGTTTTAGGATTTCTTAGGCGAGTCCGAACCTTGAGTTTGTTGTACAGCAGCATCTAACTCTTGATCATTTCACACGCGTTGGATCTCTCAACTTAGGCATTGACCTAGTGACCAGCTCTAATCGGCGCCGAATCCTCCCGCATGCACAGTGGCGATAGCTTGATGATCTGCAATCCCTCGAACAAAAAGCAATCTGGGTGACAATCGGGTGACAGGTCAGATTCCGCGGTGGGCGCGTAAAGCCTACGGTGACTCCGACGAGGGATCTGATTGGGACATTCATATCGTTGATCTGCAAGGTGACCCGAGCCAAGTTCCAATAGTTCATGTTTGGGCCACCAGTGATTTTGGTGATGGGATCTACGTGTTTCGAATTTACCCTTGACGCGGTATCCGAGTTGGCGATAGGGTTCATCGCCAGGAACGCAAATTTCGACTGTACAATTATCTAGATACCTAGATACTTAAGTTTGCAAGGATCGCGAACCAAATGCTTCGACGGAAAGCTACTTCTGCGACATCGCCAGTGGAGGATTAGACTTTAACCGCTCCCAAAGCGACTGCCACGGTCACGGTGTAGAAGTTAAAATGGGTCAACCCGGCTAGACATACCAAGACCCTCGGCATCCACTTTCTAAAAGACTATCAAGGGCTTGCTGTAACTTCTTTAGTCGCATAGCCTTGAGATTAGGCTAACAGAGCCGCGAACACCGGATCTACCTTTGTAGATCCCCGCACTTAGTGGACAGGTCCACTCAATCCAGGATTGTTTCTTGGCAGAATATCGAATATTGCCCCCATGCACTTCTCGGGTTGTTCTTGCTCTCCCAGATTTCAGCTGGCTTACGATGCGTGGCAATGAATAATCAAGTGCCTTGAGCGAAACGGCTTTTCACTTCTTCACAAGTCCATACCCATAGCAAAGTTGAAGATTTGGCTTCGTGTTATATGCAACTTTTATCTTGTGCAAAAGCATGTCCCCTTGACGAACGTTTCCTTCTGCCCAGTGCAATTTGCGTCCCAGCGCCAGTCAAAAGCACTGACGAGGAACTTAAATAGCTTTGAAAGTCTCGTTCTCCATCCCTCGTAATCGCCTTATTCAGGATAGACTCCCGGAGCAGTTTTGAAGTACTCAAGATCAAGATAAGCCCTAGACACTAACCTCGAACGCTCCCGCCGCAGCCACCTCACCCGTGCCATTTCTGCAGAACTTGGGGGTCATTGAAATGGCCGGGTCATGTTAGCCTTGAATACAGCCTGTTCTACAGCCTACGCGCCACAAGCTTGAGTACGCCCAAAGACGATATGAATTTACCATCATATTTCGTGATTTTGACACAAACAAAGGCATTTTCTGTATATCCGATATTTAAAACACAATGCTCTACGGTCAACGCCGACGACCTTTTACAGGACGCAATAATCGTTCAAGGTAAAGCAACCAATTATAGAGGCTGACTTATCTCTTGACTTATGATAAAGATAGGAAAGATAGCCATCTCAATATATGTACACTGCAACGCCAGAACAGAAAAACATGCATCCACTGGGAGACTGCTACTCCACGGACGGAAGACTTGCTCCCAAGAAACGCTAGCAAATAATCAATATGATCAGTAGAAAAGGATGAAGCTTCGAATGGCATACAGCACGAAATCGTAAAACGGGAATGGAGAATAAGATTTGCTCGATGAAAAAGCAGCGACCGAGGTTGGGCATGAATGAGATCGATTCACTATCGAGCAGGGTGTTCTTGGTATTGATAGAATTACAAGTTACAAGCTTGTTGAACTGCGAAACTTTGGTCTCAAAGCCCATAAGACTGTGAACTAGACAAGTCACTCATGATCCCGTGGTAGAGTCTGAATGAACAAAATACTTGGAATAGTGTAAAGTCAAGTAAGTTCGTTTCTTTAACGACCTGCTCTCGAACTCATTATCCTGCGCCAGTATGAGGAGACTCGAAAGCATGCCAGCTTCAAGACAGGAGTCCAAATGGAAAGTTGTGCCTACGTAGCAACTTAGAGTGTGCTCTATATTCAAACATGGATGGTGAAAGATTCCGCCAGTCAGATGCATATGCTCAAATCCTCTCTCATAACTCTAGCGGTTCCAAGCATTGAAATACTGCTTGAAGGCGCAAACAGAGGTACTAGCCATGCTTACCCATAGCTTTGTGGAGAACAACCGGGACCTTGTTGATGTAAGTAGTGAGTAAGGAGAGACTAGGAGGTATGTGACCTCCCAGCATCTTCCTCTTTAGACTCTTACCACGTTGCCTGACTCAGATGAACTCGCTCAACCGCCTGTGTTTCCAGATTTTAGTTAGATGTGCATTCTCAACTCGGCTCACAGTGTGGAAATTGGAATGGAGATTGGGACCCCTTTTCCCATTGATATAGGTGGAAATGAGGATCTTACAGGCAGGTCGAGGGTATGACAAGCAGTTAACGATGATGAGGTTCTATTCAACGGAAAGTAAATCTGGAGAGGAGAGAGAAGGAAGAAAATACTGTGACAGAAAGGCCTTTCATGGTCACTGGAATTTACCATCCGGAAACATCCTGCCAAAAAATCTACTCAGTCGCTTTTTGTCAGACTTGGACGTCGTGATACAAAGTTGCAGTACTAAGTCTTAGCCGGACCAAAACATCCCCACCATCCAGGCAAAGATAGGCTGGTGACAGAATTACATGAAGTGGAGTCAGAGCTGCACAGGTGCAGCCTCTAAATCGGACATCCGAAACATCATAGATAGGCGTGGAGATCGCCCACATAGATAATACGCCTACTCGGATATGCTTTCCAGGTGGGATACCGACATGTCGTCGTAGGTTGCTATGAAACAAAGCCTCAAAGCCTTAACGCCTTGATCTTCTCAATTGATGAGGCGCCCGGTTAATTCACTCTGAGGTTTTGCTAGACTAACACAGATAGATATGTGGAGAGTACTAGGTATTTATTGTCAATCGTATGCCAAAAGGAGACAGCTCGCGACCAAATAAGATGTATATTGTCTCATCCTTCACCCTGTTCTTATGATAGTAGGTAAAAATTTCAAGTCTGGATCATGATGGATGCATTCCGTCCATTCCAAGTGTTGATGGTGCGCTCTTTGCGGGAACTGTCGCTGGTATGCTCCGAACTGCCCCAGAAGATCATCACTTTCAGCTTATGCTTGAAAAAGCTATCGATCTGGTCGACCCATTGTAGAAGCACACTGGCCGGCACAACAATCAGCGTGGGCCGGAATTTAGTCCGCTCATCGGCCTCTGCCTGTAACTTGATAGCTGAAAAGTATGCAAGGCAGAGCGCCGATAGCGTCTTTCCAAGGCCGCAAGCATCAGCGAGAATCCCACCATGGATTCTAGTGCACTCTTAGGCCATCATCCACGCGATTGCCGATGGCTGCCAGGGCTGGAGCTGGGTCGCCGAATCGTAGCGTCCAGTGATCTCCAGGACAGGATCTTGATTGGGGCCCTTAAGAGGAATCCCGGCGAATGCACAGGCTTCCCTAATCGGAAGTGACCGGGCAGACACCAGATTCTTCTTCATCTCACCTTGTTGCCGGATTCATCCTCTTCTCCATAAATAGGTGGACCCACTTCGCCTTCCACAAACCTTTTAGTCTGTGCATTCTGCTTCTCAAGCTGCTCTCTTGCGTCTTCGAATAGGCCTGCCACCGTATCTCCAATGGAGATAGCCTGGGTGATGCCAATATCTCGGGAGCCAGGGTTGGAGAGCATGTCGATTGGCTCATAAATGAGACAATCATTGAGAAATTCAGAATGAGGGTCATTGACAATGGCGAAGATCAAGTGCGCAACTTCGGTGAGGTCCATAGGCTGTGGGGCAGAATAAACACCTTCCTTTGTGGAAGTGTGGGTAAAATGTCTAATCTGTTGCTCTGTTGCAAAGGTATGAGTCGACTGTTCCATGGTAAAGGCTAGACGCCGTCTCTGGGATGCAAATGATCCAAAATGAAATGCCGCAATATTCGTATCAATCTGTTGTGGGTCGTATGGGATATCGGCCAAATTGCCCACGCCACTTGGTCCACATGCCGGGAAATTCTTTGTGCAGGGTTTGTGGCGGATAGTGCACTGAGTATCGAAAGGCTTGCTTTCCCTTAACGCGGTGCGGCGTTTGGAGTTGATGGTGGTGATCAGATAGAATGCGTGAAGGGCTTCCAATGGGTCCATAGTGTTTTCTGGAAGAGTATGGGTAGCCTGAAACATAGTAGGCAGTGCCTGGATAAGGCGATAGCCATACCAGAGCGTGATCGTATTTGGGAAGTCGGACTGATAGTCCAACCCCCAAAGAAGCACAACAAGCAATTCCGTGAAGTAATTGCATTTCTGGCCCTGACCTCGCAGAAAGCTCTTAATTCCTCGTTGGCTATTTTAAAGTGGCCCGAAAGACCAGCAGTGTCCGTACCGCGGGCTATAGTGGGGAGAAGGCCAAACCCCTTTGTCCGCAATTCAAGAACCGACAGAATCTCGTTGTAAGGTATCCTTTCCCTTATACAATCTACGCATATCCTATATACCCTTGGTTGTGTGTAATTTCCCGCACCAAAATGATTGAAGTTGACTCGGATTAACTGACTGATGAGATTACTAAAGCTAAAATATAGACGATTATAATCCTATATATTTAATAAATACTATAATTAACTTCCTAACGGTAATACTATTATACTAGTACTTAATGAATCCGTTCAAGATAGCGATTCGTAGGTATAATTATTATATAGTTTCCCTAATAATTTTAATAATTTCCTAGACGGTTTCCTAGACAGTTTCCTAGACGGTTTCCTAGACGCTTTTCTAGACGCTTTTCTAGACGCTTTTCTAGACGCTTTTCTAGTCAATCTCTACGTTGAAATTCTTATGATATAGTAAGCATGAAAATGTACTTAGGGCAGAAGAAAAGCGGTGAATGATCTTGAAGAAATTCAGGGTTATGGCCATCTCCCCCCTATAGTCCGCCGTAGTCCTAGACAGACTCTAGTAAAAGAGTTTCTTTTTCCCAGTCCACCAGTGCGGGTCATCTCTGTTCGCTGGCGGGATCAAATCGAGTCTCATGCATTAAACCATTAAATCTCCTGCACCTCCACGCCCTAGGGAAGAAGATTCTGTATATAGTACACGCGAGGCCATGTGGATCACCCTAGGGACCGGTCGCTGGCCCCGCACCACGCCAGTAGGATGTTGTGCAGGAGTTCAACAGGAATGCTGGAAGGGAGGTGGCAGGGTGTCACAGCAAGGACAGTTAAACCCTCCGTAGGTTGCTCACATTGGAACTTTATTTTCCTAGGATTATAGTTCTCGGAAGGCAATGCCTTGTTTCACTGTGAAATCATATCACATCTTAGCGATTTGCCGGAGCCCCCGGTCAAGGTCTCCTGGGATAGTAAGGGATCGTCGCCCGATCGACGCCCGAAGCAGCCCTAGAGCCAAGCCCCGTCGCTAAGGACCACTCCAGCAAAACTGGCCCCCCTTGCTTGGATTGCGATGCATCGAACACCATAAGCCACGCCCAGTTTATGACCTATTAGGAAGGTAATCAGAGAAGGCCAGTGTTCATTTGTACCGTAAGAATGACCTGAGAACGACTCGATCTACCGCATTGCATGATCCAGACAGGTCGTAAATCTACATTAGCGTTTACTTTGTTGGGTGCAGGAGCCTCGTCCGTCAAAGCGCCTATTGCCACTAGTGACCCCTATGGTTCGGACCTGGAATTGTGAAATCGACCCCCAATGGTCCCTGTCAGAAAAGCCGAAGGACTGGTCACCTCCACAAGAACATATTTTCTTTGTTCTCGTAGAATTCCTTCGTAACATTTTGTGCGCCACACGTGGCAGCCATATGGGCATCGCACCCTCCTCGCATGAAGCATTCCAAGGCTGGCAACTCGGATTGGCCGTGTCGATTCGGAAGAAAAAAAAAAAAGATGCGTCAGTTCGCTTGCGCGGGGTGTCCTCTTTGTTGGACTGATCTCTTATTTTTGATCATTTGTTTTTATTCTTCCTGGTCCCCCCTGCAGTGACCCCATCTCATATCGCGGTTCTACGCTTTACGAGACGGACAACATGACGGTGTCGGTACCCCAGACACCATCTCAAGATGGGGTGACAACACTGAAGACCAAGGGTGAGATAGATGAGGTACGCTTGGAAGCTGCTCTCGGCCATAAACAGGAATTGAAACGAAATTTTGGATTGTGGAGTTTGACAAGCTTGGGCATTGTGATCGCCAAGTAGGTATCCGATTTGCATCTTGACTCGATCTACAGGACTGACTTTTTCTATCTAGCTCTTGGGCAGCCACGGGCGGAACGATCGTTGCAGCCCTCCAAAATGGTGGTCCCATGGCTGTGATCTACGGCTTGATTCTTGTTAGCATTTTCTACACTGCTATCTCGGCTTCATTGGCTGAACTCTCTTCATCCATGCCGTCGGCGGGCGGCGTGTACTACTGGTCCTCGGTTCTTAGTCGAAGTCGAGGACGTGGAGCAGGGTTCTTCACGGGATATCTGAATGCCTGTGCATGGCTTTTATCTGCCTCCTCCATGAGCTCTATGCTCGGAAACGAAGCGGTGGCTATGTACTTGCTTAAATACACGCGTGTGGATTGGCATGCCTGGCAGGTGTTTATTGTCTTCCAGATTGTCAATTGGTCCTGCTGTGCCATTGTTTGTTTCGGAAATCGATTTATCCCCTTACTTAATCGGATCGCACTCACCTTGTCCATGGTCGGACTGGTGGTTACCGTGGTCGTGTTGGCCGTCATGCCAAAGAAGCACGCCAGTAACGCTTCAGTTTGGAAAGAATATCACAATATGACGGGCGGCTGGTCAGATGGGGTATGTTTCATGACTGGATTATTGAACGCAGCCTTTGCAGTCGGGACTCCCGATTGTATCAGTCATCTCTCAGAAGAAGGTACCATTACTAGCCCGTCGTGTTGATACTACAATCGCTAACAGTATACTCATAGTACCAAAACCGGAAGTCAGAGTACCTCAAGGCATTATGCTACAAATGCTCACAGCCTTTGCGACATCCTTTGTCTATCTGATCGCCCTCTTCTACTCCATCCAAGACCTAGACGCCGTCTACGCCAGCAACATTGGGTTCTTCCCAACCGCCGAGATCTACCGACAAGCAACCGGCTCCAACGCAGGCGCTATAGCCCTGATAGCGGTCCTCTTCCTCGCTACATTCCCGACGCTCATCGGCACTTTCGTCACGGGCGGACGCATGTGGTGGAGTCTCGCCCGTGATAACGCTACTCCCTTCGCAAGTTACTTCGCCCAAGTCCATCCCACCCTCAACTGCCCTGTTCGCGCGACGGTAGCCATGAGTGCCATGGTCACTTGTCTAGGATGTATCTACGTCGGCAGTACAACCGCCTTTCAAGGGTTGATATCCTCCTTCATCGTGCTAAGCTCGTTATCCTACTTTGGCGCGATTTTCCCCCATGTCCTTTCTAGACGAGGAAACATGGTCCCAGGCCCCTTCTACATGGGACAGAAACTGGGAATGGCAGTGAACATCACGGCGTTGATGTACATCCTCGTCACGGTCGTGTTCTTCTGCTTCCCGTTCGTGTTGCCGGTAACGGTGCAGAATATGAACTATACGAGCGTGATTATCGTGGGCCTGATGGCTCTTACGGCGATGTGGTGGATTTTCCGGGCGAGACGCGAATACCAGGGTCCGCAGTATAGCTTCGAAGCTGCGGAGAGATTGAGTGCATTCCAGGCTGGTAAGGAAGGGCGGAGGTCGTTTATTGATGTAGCGAGCCCGACCCCACCGCCTTGTCTTGACGATCATATCCATGTGTGAAATGATGAGATGACAAGTACCAATTGTGATGATGAACATGGCTGTATGATGCGAGGCTTCTTGTATTTTGGGGTTGACTTTGCTTGATTGGTGGCTTGATTGGTGGCTGTATCTATTGTTTTTCTTTTTTTGTGTATATCTTATTCAAGCAGCTGCGGCGTATGGAACCAATTGGCCATGATACAAAATTGGATGCAACTTCCACAGTCAATTTCGATCAATACCAGCACTGCCAATCCAATGTAAACGAAGCGATCTATAAGATTGATAAGAACAAGAAGATTAAGATTCCATCACATTCAATCGAGCTCATAGAAGCTCCTTAAAAGTCATAACATGTCATGTTTGAGGGAAGGAAATCCCATAATCGGTATCCAAATGAGTTACCTACGCTGCTCTGCGCTGCTCACAGGCGAGACTTGATACTCTGACCACCCTCCCACGAGTCACCTGCCTCAAGGGTCTGCCAAGCAGAAACAGAGCCAGCCTCAACACAGATCATGTTCTTGTATGCATCATCGGGGCCAAAGTCGGACATGCCCTTGGCCTTCTCAATCCAAGGGTTCCAAACAACGATATCGCCGAGAGCTTCCCGGGTGATGGAGAAGAGAGGCTGATCGCCCGAGGCGGAGGAGACAACGATCGGCTTGGCGGGGTCTAGACCTTGGTAAACGCGATCGGTTTCTTCCGTGATGGCCAGGGCAGGAGAGGATTCGGTGTGGGTGCTTGCGTTGCGGGTCTTGTCGATGTAGGTCTTGGATTCAAGGTTCTTGACGCGAATATTGGAGATGTCCTGTGATTGTTAGATCCGAGCGCGCTTTATGCAACAAACACAAGACTTGAGAGAAACTATACCTCCACGGCCAGGTAGGTGTGCATCAGAACCTGGAACTCAAAGTTCTCCTTGCCCTCGTTTGTAACCTGGAGGGAGGTCCGGAGCGCATCCTTGGTCAAAGTGACGCTGTACACCAGTCCAAACTCGTACGGCCATGCCTTCCGGAACTCCTCGCTCAACATGGTGTGGGATAGACCGAAATCCAACTTGACGGCCAGATCTCCCTTGCCGGCTTCCGAGGAGGACTTTCCGAGGAACTCCCAAGTCGAGTTGCGAGCGAAGCCATGCTGGGGGAGGGACGAAGTGGCGTGGTTCTGAGGAGGGGGGCCGAAGACCTGTCCATTCAAAGCTTCGCATTAGCATCCGTTCCTGTATAGACGGGTCGCAAGTCAAGAAGAGCAAGGGCATACCGGGAAAACGAGCGGAATACCACCGCGAATCGGCTTGGAGCCATCCAAATGGGCTGTCTTGCTCAAAAATAGTTGTTCCTCACCGTTCGCCTTCCATGAGGTGACCGTGGCACCGTACAGGTAGACTGTGACGGACTCGCCGGAGGGCAGGCTGGCCTCGATAATGCCATCCTGGACGGAGACGGAAGGCTGTGGGAGAGAGGCACCCACACCGATTGCAGAGGGTTTCTTGGAGCGGTCCATTGCGAGGCGAGAGAGGGGATTGATGTTTGGAGAAGATCTTAGGGACGAGAGGGTTGCGGGTGCTGGTTGAGGTCATGGCGGGGGATCGGAGCTTCGCCCCACTTGCATCTTTCAACTCCGTCAGATTGACAACGATTGCCCCAAATATGTCAATTGCATTCTTTTGTACCTTTGATACTAATATGGTACAGCTCTAATTATTGCCTTTACCCATGCTGCAACAAGGCAGACGTGTTTCCCTCGAAACTAACCTCCTCAATGCGACGCACCTCGTCTTTGCTCAGTCGCCAGCCAAGCGCCTGCATATCCTCCTCCACTTGTTCAGGGTTGCGCACTCCCACCAGGGGAACAACACCTTTATCGATCGAATAGTTCAGTGCAACCGCGGAAACAGAGACAAGATGCTCTTCCGCAATGCTCTTCAGAACATCGATCGTCGGCTCCAGCATATGCATCGGATAACTACTGAATCTTCGAGTGCTCTGGGGCTCGTTGAATATACTTGCCCGTCAATCGGCCCTCACCAAGTGAAGCAAAACCCTGGAAGCAGATACCGCGCCGTTTACACTCTCGAATCATACCACTAACTTCTGGAACGCGGCGAATGACCGAGTACTCACACTGAGACACGCCCAGGGGAACGTTGCTCTTGGCCAATTCCTCATCGATCTTGATCATTTCCTCCGTGCTGTAGTTGGCAACGCCGACGGCGCGCGTCATTCCCTCTTCCAAACACTCTGCCATCCCCTCTGCGACGGTGGCAATTGAACTACCATGAATAGGTCCGTGGACCAGGTAGATATCCACGTAATCCAGTCCCAGTCGATTAAGCGACTCCTTCAGTCTGGCCTTCGGTCCACGCGACTGCATCAAGGTATTAGACAAGCCACCCGAGAACCATTTGGTCTGCACGACGAACGCATCCCGAGGCTTTCCCTTGAACAAGGTTCCACAGATGCGCTCGCTTTCACCGTTACCGTAGGACTGCGCCGTGTCCACGAAGGTCAATCCAACCGACTTGAGTTTCTCCCACGCAGCATGGATCAGGGGAAGATCAACCGTGGGGTCGTAGTTGAATGTGGCCTTGTCACCCCAGGCCCATGTTCCAATACTCAGATAGGGGATCAATACGTCCTTGCCGCCATATCCACGCACGGCAATGCGGCTTCGCGAGTTGGGGACAACGTTTTCGGGAAGCATATGGGTGGGATCACTCAAATTGGGATCCACGTACTGAGGATGTGCTGGGTACATGCCCTCCGTCGCGGACATGCCGGAGGCCAGCCCGACCTGCATCATATATTGGGTTCCCATGGTGACAAGTGTGGTCCTGATGTAGGGCAGTGTATGCGCCTTTTTAGGATGGTTATCTAAACAAAGGATATCGACAATCTGCCTTCAACGGCGAGGTCAAAATCGGGCAGAATATATACTAATCTACACGGTGGTGTTTGAGACGAGTTCTTAATGTGGGTGGTGGCACTCTGCGTCACTCAACATCATATTGTTTGTATGGTTCGCCTTGAGCCAAAAAAGATAGGATGTGGAGAGCTATCAACCGATTTCTAGAAAATCACTTTGGATGGCTGATTGTTTGAAGGCGTTGCCCCTATCGGCATTGTGGCAACCAGACCCATGGCACTGAGCTCGGGAAACGTTTGCCCCCAACGCCACCGCGGATCAGGGACAGAAAGATTATACATGAAAGCAAGAAGTATTTAAAGATCACTTATTGACTCGATTGTACATGTCTCGCAAGACAATAAGCAGGAGAATACATCGTGACCAAGGAATGAAACATGCAACTAACTTGGCGCCCCCAAAGGAAGGAAAAATCGGAAAAGCAGAAAGACATATGCAATGGCCGCTATGTATTTCATATAATGTGAGATGCACTCGGGGAATAGAGACATAAGAGGAGCCAATAAAGGAGAACAACGCGTAAAATCACATGAAAGCAGGATTACCTAGTAAACGCCATCGCTATGCTGGATTGTTGTGTCGTCGAGAAGCGTCGTGCGCTTCGACGCGGATATTGAAAAGGAGGTCGTCAACCTCACGAAGGGCATTTGGCCCCAGTTTTGCAGACTTCATGTCGTCCAGCAGTTTCCTCAAGGATCGAGAAATACCGGCCTCGCTGATGTCAGGTTCGACGGTAGGAGGGACTGGTTCCGTCTGAATTTCAGTGGTGGCAACGTCTAGGACTGGACCCGGCACGCTTGTCGACGGATTTTCCGAAACCATATCCACATCCATGTTTTGTTGTATGTTCGTGCCTTGGGATACGGGTGCGGTGGAAGGGTTCACGTCAGTCATTTGAGAATCGGTTTCCTCTGTGGAAGAAGGGGCAGTCTGCGACTCGACCGGTTCCTGGGGAGCAATAAAGTCCGAGCCAGCATTGCTGTAGTCATTTGAAGCAGTAAACAGCTCGTTTTCCATGGCTGGCTCCACGGGGAGTCGTTGTTCCTGAAAATGACGAGGTTGAGACTGCGTTTCGTTGCGGGATGAGCGCGACTTGCGAGAGCGGGAGCTACGGGAAGATTTGGGACACGTCGAGATCTGTTCCTCCACAAGAGGAAGTGGAGGAGGAGACTGATCTTCAAGCCGTAAAGATTTGCGCGATCTCTTGTTTGGTCGCTGAGAGGACTCGGGATCCTTAGGTGGCTCTTCTGGGATGGTTTCCGGAATCTGGGTTTCTGGGACGGGTTGAGCGACGACAAGCTCGCTCTCTTTCTTTTGCGAGCTGCGAGTCGATCGTCGAGTGACCGTAGGCGACAGGTTGGACGAAGGGACATCCTTGGAGGGATGAGAAATTGTTGTATCCTGAGACTGGGTCACCTGTGTCTCTTCAACTTCGGTGATGCCCAGGTCCTTTGTAGTTGAGAGACGAGTTGAACGCCGTCTATCCCGAGAGGTAGACTGAACATTGTCTTCTTCACGCTTTCTCTTCTTCGTGGCTGGCTCGGGATCTTCAATAGCAAGAGCGGACCCTGATTGACCCTTGCCAACCATGTCAACAGCTAGTTCTAGATCCTGCTCGAGCTGAGACGCGATTTGAGATTCCAAATCCTCACTCGAAGAGTCAACAAAGTACTGCAAAGCAACCGGAGTCGAAGGCACTTGAGCAGTCTGTTCATTAATTCCATCTGCTGCCTTTGATCCTCCCTTTCTCTTTCGTTTCTTAGACGACGATTTTGACTTTGCGCTCTGTGGAGTTGACAACTTCTCCAATGTCTTGGGTATGATTTCAGACGTAGACATTGGTGGTGCAGGAGCAGCATCAGCATTCTGATCATTTGCAGTGCTCTGAGTCAGTGCTGATCGAGTGCGGCGACTGGGGGGACGTTCATCCGCCTGAGGGACGGATGCCTTTTTCCTCGCCTCTTCAGCAACGCTCGATTGGAGACGCTTCCTTCGTCTAGCCCGCCGGGAAGAGCTGGACATTTTCTTGGGACTAGGGCTCCGAGAAGTGAGTTCAGGAGGGGAAGAAGGGAGGTCTGTAGCATCCTCCATTGCGATATCTTGGAATTGCCCTCCGGGAGCTTCCAAGTTCATGGCAGGGGTCAGATCTCTAGTTGCAGGTGTGGGAGATGACCCAATAAATCCTTCCTCATTTTCAGCGGGCACCAAGGTGGGAGTCAAGGGAATGCCAGTCTGAGCATGCAATCTGCGCAGGTGACTGGGCGTGTCGAAGCCTAGCTTGCCAGGAGTATGCGCCGGCGAGGAGGACCTAATAGATTCTATCATTCGGAACATCTCACGTCGGCTCTTTTGGAAGGTCGCCGGCGCCTCAGCTGCGGCGGTGCCGTCGTTCGTAGGAAGTTGAGGTTCTTCGAGCTCTGTAGGGTTAGGCAGGGCTGGGTCTTTTGTCCCAATGACAGGCGATGAATTGAAGGCGGTGCTGCCATTTTCGATGGAACGTGTTGGAATTGGCTCGATCAGTGGCTGGTTCGCTGGCTTGGGCGAGCTCGATGATGCCAAGTTGGCCTCCTGCGTACGGCTATTAGTACTGGAGACTAAAAGCGCGAATTGGAAGGAACTTGCTTGAGCTGAAGCTTGCGACAGCTGGACCGGGGCACAGAGTCGAGAGGTCGCAGTTGAAAATGCTTGACCCATTGGAGTGGATGACATGCGTGTATCAAATGATGTCTTCGTTGATCTCAAGAAATCGACAAATCGCTTGGTTCTTGAGATGTGAGGCGATTCTAAGCCAGCGCAGATGATTGTTGCATATGTTTGCAACGTCGACGTCTCGTCAATGACAGCGGTCTGCAAGATGTTGAGTATGGCCGATAAAAGAGAGCGACACTATTGGAACCAATTAACGCCGTACGAGATATGAAGTGACAAGATAACTTACTGCAGTCAAAAAACGACTGTCCACCCCGAATGTGACATCAACCTTCAGTTCGCTGTCCTGGATCCACAGTCCTAGTGGTGCCTGGAGGGTCTCGAGTGCCTGAGAGCGAAAGGACGGTGTGCCAGACCCCAAGAATGAAGTCATAGATTCAATAAAGGCAGAAAGATGGAGTGTGTGAGAGGCGTCGAGGCTGTGGTAGCCTAACTCCAAGCTTTGTTCGACAGTCTTCAGAAGTTTGTAGGGGAAGGCCGGAAGAGCAAGTTGATGAGGGACGGGGTGGTCGAGCCCCAACCCGGTCTCCCGCGCAAAGGGGATAGAAAGACAATGGCCGAGCAGTGCGGTTATGGGGAGATACGTGTCATGGACGGAGATTGAAGACAGACTTTCAGCAATGGGCTCTACAATGAGATCGGAAAGGACGCAATCTCCTTTCTCTGTTCTTGCCACTCGTACATACGCGTCAAGAAGTCGCGACCACTCTTGAGACGCACCTGGGAAAGAAACGCCAGCCACAAGGATATTAGTGATTATCTCGTAATCCCGAGAAACAGAGCCGTCCCGCTCTCGTGCAGACTCAATGGGGAACGATTGCAATGCGTCCGCTGCTGCGAGTGCTGTCGCTTTCCAGATTACCTCCAAGAGATGCGGCGAATTGGAAGTGAACTTCAATTCCGTAATACCCAATTCAGCACACTGGTGGAGAAGTTCGAGACGAGAGCCGCGCGATATCCTTCCATTACACGAGGCTGTTATCAGCCCCTCAACGAGGCGAATGTATGATGGAGTTGGCGACGATATCACGGTATTCTTGCTGATGGTGCGCAAAAGATGTAGAATAGGGCTATCCAAATTGGTAACCGAGGCGGAAGGGCGATGTGTTGGAGTATTAGAGGTCTGGAATGATCCATCACCAATTTTCAGCATGAGCTTTTCGGTGAAAGGTATTCCACCAAGAGAGAAAATCATGGTCGTAGACAAGAACTGAAATCTTTCAAAGAAAGCTTCCTCGCTCTGCCCTCCAGCGGCATTCAAGGAAGACGGTCCTAGGGTCCAAAGACGATACAGCAAGCCAAGGACACTAGCAACGGCTTGCATTGACTCTCCTGATGGGGTGATTTCTTTGCTGGAGGCAAGAGAAAGCGCACTGGCTAGGCCGTTCCAGGCCAGGGCAATATTTGACTTCTCCAGATCTGTTTGGTTCCAGACTGAAGATTTGAGAAGAGACTCGAACACTCCCAGGACTGATGAGATTTTCGAACGAACCCAGCGGGGTTCAACTGATGGGAGTTCTTCGACCTCCATTTTGGCAGGGTCGGTGATCCGAGTCTCGGTCCATACTTTCGCCTGTGGGCACCATAGCAAGTTGGCTAACACAAGTGACGCGCTATCGGCCAGGGCCGGGAAAGCGGAGAAAATAGTAGCGGAGGGAGCTGCAACGTATTCCTCCCAAATGGTATCGACATGTTGATGAGGAAGAGATGGACGAAAAGCGTAATAGAGCAAGTGGTAATAGCTGCTCAATGAAAGCTGAGACGGTGGCGACCCTGATTTATCGGACTTCTTTCGCTCGAATTGCGAGAACACCGGCTTGCCCAGCATCTTGAGAAGGGATCGACTGGTGGACTCGTTGGGGCTCACGGCATAAATAAACAAATTCCAGCCTCTAATTGCCTGGGCTTTAATAGCAGGCTCACTGCAATTGAAACACTTCTGCAAGACAAGAAGCCACTCTTTGAAATGCTCCCATTGGTCGAGATTCCACTTTTTGCTTCGTAATAGAAGAATCACGATGCTCCAAATCTGCGGCACATGTATGCCTGTATCAATGGATGCCACCATTCGCGACATTCGCTCTCGAATTTCCGTTACCAATTTTCGATCGCCCTCCAACGGTCGTTCAAAAAGCATCCGGATGTTGTTCGATAGCGCAGGTGTTGGCCCCGCGGCGACGGAGATTTGGATACCAAGAGAGATGGCCTTTGTCCTTGTATCTTTGTGAGCATGGAGCAAACCGAATACGAGGTGCTCCATCCATAATGACGATTGCGAGAGGAACGTTGACTTGGATTGGGAGAGGAGTCGCGAATAGATGCACAATCGATGGAAGGAAATCGCTTTGCCGTTGACGTGTTTAGTAAGATCTTGCAACGCTGCAAGAAGACGGGTGACTCGAGAGGTTGTCATAAGTTTCGAACTGAAATTTTGCGTGGAGAGAATCGACAGGTAGTGGGTTAGGACGGACTTTGCACCTTTCGTCTCCTGGAGAGAGGTGATCGCGTGCTCCACCAGAAAGATTTTGAAATCCTCCGAGAGCTGCGTTGAGATGTCTGGTTGCCAAATGAAAGCAGCGGATAGTTTCAAGGCTTGGTTAGCCAGACTTGTATCCATAGGTGTCCCGTTGACCAAGTCGCGAGTCACGTCGCGTTGGATGAAATCCGTGATCAAGCCGAGCTTCTCTCCAATTTCGTTCCCACGCAGCAATCCGTCATATGTCCGTAATGCTCCAAAGAAGTTGATATATGCATCGAGGCGGGAAGAGACGGACTCTCCCGCCAATTGCTGAACAACCGACTCTAGCAGCATGTCGAATGATTCGGTTGTGTACTGATTGACATTTGGGGACCACACTGGGATCGGGGAGCTTGTCTCCTTGAGGATCGACTTGAAAGGTCTGCCTTCGCCGCCTTGGGGACTGTCGAATGCTGCGTTTGTTATGGGTTTGGCGTCATTAGGTTTACTGGACGATTGGGAGATGGGTGACCCAATGACGGTGTACAGCCATGGCGAGAAGTTCACACGTTTGGAACCGTGGCTTGACGGAGGCGCCCTGGAAGCATCCGCCGTCTGCGACGAAGCCCCAGGGGTCTGAACAGGGTGCGGGGACTGGGGGTCGTTCTGATCGATTCGAGAACCCGGCCTAGGAGGAGTTGGTGGGCGAGCAGGGAGAGGGCCGAGGATCTCTACCATGGTTTAGAGGCGAGATGAGGATAGGAAATAAATGAGAGTAAGGACCATTGCTGGGTGATGAGTAGACAGAAATGAGCCCTCCCAACAAAATCCTGGCTTGATCGTAGTACTGGGAGAGCGAAGAGGCCAGGGCCAGTGAAAAGTAAATGGGCAACGCGCCTGTCGCGAATCGCGTAAAGTGGCCGCGTGAAGCCCGATCTCTCAGGCGAAAAGGCACCCAGGCATCCAGGCACGCGGAAGCGGGTCACACCTGCCAAACAAGTGACCGATCGGTCCTTCTCCGTTGACTCGTTGAGTATTCATTCTACAATCTACATCTCTGTACCCTCCTCTTTCTCAGTTTCTAGCTCTTTTGCTCCCCGTGTCAATCTTAGTTGCCATCACCTACGACTTTGTTGCTAGATCAATCTTGAAAATCAGCGGTGTGGCTGCCGCGGCCGCCACAGCCCATCTGAACCGATGTTCCAATCATTCCTGCCTCGCGATAGCGGAGGATTCCAGTGTTGCAGTATGCAGATTAGCAGAGCTATTCAATGACGTAGAGACCAAAAGCCAACAAAGCGACCGATCTTCCGATCCCTGCTGGCCCTAGTCCAGTCAACTTTCCGGGGGAAAGCACTGACTAAGACTAAGAAGCACAGCTCAGGTGGGGTGCGCTGCTTCCTGATTCATGACGGAGTTGCTGCTGCTTTCCCCGCGTCGCTCCCTCTTTCTTCTTCCACTTCCGCTTGCGCGCCAAATCCCACCAACTTGCTCTGTATGTCATAGCATTTCCGGGAAAGGTACGAACTCAATCGTCACCAATCATCAAACCGACTAGCGGCCCCTCATTCGAACGACCGAGGTGAAGTTCCGAGTCGGACGACCGCAGGATAGCATGAGCTTCAACCAGCTGCAAGGAGCAGGTGTGTCTTTGCAGATAGCCGTCTGCACGCGGTCACATAACCGAAATACCAGCATGGGCTAATTAGACATGACAGCCAAGCTGCAGCAGGTTACCCAGCTGCTAGGCACCCTGACAAAAGACCTGCAGGAGAAGCAGCTTTCTCCGACTCGTGAGTTTTCAGATGAAGTTGTCGCTATACGATTGAGGCTAATGTACGGGTCTCGTGCTGGCAGAAAAAGTTCAGACCCTTCTACAACTGCGCCAGTATGGCACGAATCCCGTCGACGCCGGACCGATTTATTGCAGCGACGTACGATGAAAATCCGCTATTGCGTTCCTCTTATCATATACTGGGCTCTGACAACCACTACAGGGCATTGGACTATTGGCGAGATATGGAATTGAGGGAGAGACGGCCGATGTGCGGCGCGCTGCCTTGCGCTGCGTGGCCAACGCTCTCCTTCTCGATTCCAGTATGCGCCAGGTCTTCGCGGACACGGGATACGGTGGCAGACTGGCGGAAAGTCTAAAGGTGGCTGATAATACTCTCGTTTGCGGCTCCTTGGATCATGGCTAATTGGTCATTCACCTCTAGACCGATAACTCTGAAGACGAGATGGTCACTAGTCGAATTTTGTTCCTTTCCACCTATGACAGCAACATGGACTTTGACGTCCTAATCAACAAACATTCCCTAGGAGATAATGTTAATTATGTGTGTCTTCACTTCCCTCAACGTTGAGGATATGGCTCATCAAAACAGCAACTATCCCGACACGCCAAACAATTCCCTAAATCCGGTCGACCTCGATTGACGCAGATGGACGAATTGGCACTCATCGATACCCTGAAGCTCATTTTCAACGTTTCAAAGTTGTACCCCGACCTTGCTGTCACCTTCTCACCTTCAATCCCCCACATCTTGAAGATTATTAGCAGGATGGAAATTCCAGCCAAACCGCTTGATGGTTTGATCAGCTACCTAATCAACTCTTTATCAGTCCTGGATCTAGAGGAGAAGAAGGAGAAGCATTTTGAAAGCAACCCTCTCTTCCCCAAGTTCAACCAGAACTGCAATGTTGACAAGCTCATTAATATCCTTGACCAAGCTGTATCGCTCTACCGCCCGGAAGAGCTCGAAGAGAAAGCAGTCCCACTTTTACACTCTCTCATCATTATCCATGAAATTGCCCCTGATGGTCCGAGAAAGTATATGCAGTGGCTTCTCCTACCTGAAGATAATGATCGCAGCTTGCCAATTGGACGCTCGGACACTCTTGCTTCAAAACTGTTGCAGCTATCCACAAGTCCCTATCCTAACTTGAAAACCGGCATCTCTGAACTGATGTTCGTTCTTTCTGGAAAGGATGCTGAGAACCTCACTCGGCGTATCGGATATGGATTTGCTGCTGGCTTTTTGGCTTCTCGTGGCATGGAGATTCCTCAAACTGCCGGCGAAGCCTTTGCGACGAATAACGCTGACGACCTGGACTCGGAGGTCAACCCAATTACTGGACAGCGCTGGGCCGCTGAGCCGAAGGATGAGGGCCCTCCTATGACTGATGAGGAGAAGGAAAGAGAAGCGGAAAGACTCTTTGTCCTATTCGAAAGGTCAGTGTTCCCATAAATCTGCGTGGCAATATTCCTTTTACTGACCTATATCTTCATATTACAGGGCAAGGGCAAACGGTCTCATCACCATGGAAAATCCCGTGGCACAGGCAGTCCGAGAGGGAAGGTTTGAGGAACTCCCAGATGATGCCGATAGCGATTGAGGAAATCTAAGGCGGGTCTTCAAGCTGAGATACGTAATCGCAACTTTGTTTCATAGATTCGATCATTGGTCTTTTCCATTTACGAGACTGGAGGTGCGCGCTAGAGTAGCACGAGAGTGATACCTAAATGCTCGATCTTGTTACCAGCAAGCCAGAAAGCCAGCTTGCACGGCAAATTGCAGATCAGTTCTTTCTTGGCTTGGTTGTCTGATGTGCCTATCTTTAGTAGGAGGTAAGCACTACGGTGCACCACGTAACTGGATCCTCCAAGTCCAAAGCGAAGAGCTTAGTACGGAGCCCATCATGGTCTTGACGGTACGACCTTCGCAGGAATCATTACTGATGTGATCGAAATGACCCCCGAAGATAAGCACTTCATTCTGTTTTGAGATAACATCACATATACCTGATACTTGATCGGTACCCCTCTCTCTGCCTATCACTTCACTCTACTCTACAGCCCGTCTTCTCCCTCGTGCCTTTCCGTCCCTATAATTTCTGTATAATTAAACCTTTTTAATCTCTCACTTGCCTCTTATCTCTCATCACTCCTCTCCTCACCTCACTCTTTCATACATTCTCTCACTTCCCTCGAGTCTAGTTCATAAACCAGTATAGAACTTGAAAACGCTGGCACACCAAAGCCTAATCTAGCAAACCTCGACGGCCTGATATTCTTTGCACGAAGATCTTCAGGGGCAACTCCTCCATTGGATCATTTGAAGGAACGCGCTGCATACATGCATCAGCATTGGACAGCAAAATTGGGCGACTTCAATGGATCCATTACTCACATCTGCGGCACACAATATGCCTCACTACGGCTAAAGGCACAACACTAAATTGCCTTTATGGACTTGTTGGAGACGCTACAGTCCGATGGTCGAAACAATCGGCCGGTTGTGGAACTCGTTATCGTCTCTGAGACAGGACTTCTCACAAATATCCAATATTTTTGTGAAGTGTTCGAACAGCTCAGTACGGCGGGTTGGCGTTTCCAATTCTTCGACAATAGAATGGCAGAATTCACCCGGATCCACGTCTATGCCATCATTGAGCACTTCCACAACCGGCCCACGACCCTCGACGAGAACAACTCGTCGTTCGTTGCGATAATCAAGATCGTAAACGATACCGGGGAGATGCTCTCTGGCCCAAAAACAAGTCTCGCCTACGCAGACGTAACCGCGGCGAGGCTCTAGATCAACCAGAGCTCAGTGGTCGTGAGCGCCAAAGGGCACGAGCGAGAAGAATTCAGGTCCGGGAATGCCCATTGTGCCCTAGGCAGTATCTCACAGATGAGGAGTTCCACCGACATACAAGTATACATGGGCCAGCGGCAATCCTTCCTATGTTACGGAACCTTGACAATGATCCGAACAATAAGCCTCAACGCTGGGCTTTACATACATTTGAGAGCACGTTGATTCGGGTTTAGAGATGACTAGGATGTGGGCTACAGACTAGATCCTCTGGTAGCCTTGAGGGCCACCCGCCAAAATGCCAGAATAACCCGAGAAGAAGGCAGGCCTTGACTTGTTTGAAACATGGGTGACAGATGCAGATGAGATGACGCGGCCACCATTTGAATGCCGCATCTGCTTTAGCAGCATCTCAAAAGAACACATTTCTCGGGCCCATGTTCGCCAGGAACACAATCTTGACGCCGATGGGCACTATCTGTGGCATCAGAATGGATATCGAGCCAGGGTGTGGCTTCACGTTCGAGAAACTCTTCTCTTTGGCTGTCCATTATCATCGTTGGCACGGCTGGCAACCGGGAACGGCATAGCCCTATCTTGAGAAGAGACCAATGAAAGGACCATTAAAAAGACCATTAAAAAGACCATTAAAAAGACCATTAAAAAGACCATTAAAAAGACCATTAAAAAGACCATTAAAAAGACCATTAAAAAGACCATTAAAAAGACCATTAAAAAGACCATTAAAAAGACCATTAAAAAGACCATTAAAAAGACCATTGAAATGACCGTAAAAGAGGGCAACGTCGGAGGGTAGAATGTTAATTTAGTCGACTATAGGGATAAGTAGATAGAGGTCACGTTAACAGTCGCTAAATTTATTAGCAAGAAGTATTGATATGGCTATAAAGAAGGACTCGGTAGGTAACTTGTGTATTCGAATGTAGCATTTTGTATTAAAAGGGCGGGTTTCCTCGTCCGGACTAGCCTTATCGTGCCTTAACCTTTTTTGTTGTGTCGTTAATACCATCCTATGTTAAGCCCGGATAATGATGGGCTCACTACCCCATACCGGCTTATTGGGTATAGCATTGGTCCATATTCCCCTATCGGAAATCGGCCGTCTCGAATGACGAATCTTTCACGGCCAGGCAAAGTCTACCCTGCGGCCGTCAATCTATATGATACAACGCCTACTTCTGACGCAGGCTGGAGCATACCTTAAATTTAATCTTGCTTTTAGTCTAGACTCTACATACTAGATAGTCGTTATATTATCTTATAATGACTATTTTCTCCCTATTTTCTCCTCATGGTTCAATGGTTGCATCATAGAAATTAGTATGAATGCACATGCTTGGCGAGACTCTCCCTTCCGAGAAAGCGTTAAGTCCTTGACGCATAATAAATGTAGCTTCATCATGCAGCTAAGCCTTGAATCGCATTTCACCTTGCAGTAATCGATCTTAATTAACTAAAAACGCCTGAGACCCCTTGAAATCAATTGATATAACTAAATTGGCTATTCAAGCAACATGAATATATAGTATGAATTTCTAGGTCTCTTAGACAATAGTTGCTAGTAGATACCTCCTCGAGGGACAGTAGATATTAAGAGGGCATTCTCGAGGATCGCTTCGACACACACTATAGTATTGAACGATAATCATGATATCTCTGAAGTCAATAGATAATAGAATGTGGTTGTTAAGACACGCGAACCTATTTGAATTTCCTTGTACGGGTTTGCTAACAAAACAAACCTACAGAAATAGTACTAGCTAGGTAGTGGACCCCGCAATGCGAGGTCTGCAAGAGATGGTAATCTACGTAAGGGCCGGATAGATAATATTTAGTAGAGTAAGTCTAAGCGAAGCTAGGGGAGGAAAGACGATGAACGTCCTGAGCTAGTAGCCAACCTAAGCTAGCTACCTAACTACGGCTAGCCAGATAGGTGACATTCTTGACCAAATTCTGTTCAGAGTACTTGTTTACTCGAGTGGATACAAGCTATCAACCATGGTTTGAGCTGAAAGCTGTCAGAAAACGGATAATAAAGTGGCATACCATAGTTCGAATTTTGTTAATTTAAAGCAAACAGCGCCGATAGTCCAGTGGTTAGGATCCTTCCTTCCCAGATTTGTAAAAGGAAGGGGCCCGGGTTCGAACCCCGGTCGGCGCATAGGTGTATCGTTTTTGTCAGTTCAGGTTTGGCTTTTTGATCCCAGAGTTTACCGGTCACACTAAAAGCTCGGCGGTTTTGCCCTAAATCCGTCCGGAAATAATATTTATCCGAGTCGTACCTTCTTCTCTCACATCGTTCATTCCTTTTCTAGTTATCATCATCCTTCTTATACGCACATCTACTTTATCACCTCCCCATCCTGCGTTAGCTACTACCTATATCATCGGTTAGTTTTCCCACGATATTTCACACCGGTTTGCTCTCGGACGCCCAGCGGCGTAGGAAATAGTGCAGAGATTACCCATTTTACGATTAGCCTAATACTCTTTACCTACCGCTCTTATATCAGTGCTGCTATGGTGATATAACACGTCTTTTAACACATCTTTCAGCATTGACTCGGCAAATCTTTCTTGGAACATCCAAATTAGAAGTTTCCGTTTAGCCAAATTATTATAGTACAATAGAGTCTGGTTGCTAGCTTTACCCGCTGTGTAAGAAAAGAATATGGTGCAGTCATAGAGTCCAAGTTGTAGGCTATATGTATTGGCCTTGGCAGTTTTGCAGATGTCAATTAAGAAGGAGTTCGGTGCATTCAAGCGAACAAGGAATTCTAGCACACTGAGCTTTAATGCAACCCTACTACTGTATGCTTCTCCAAAGCTTCCTAGTTGCTGCTCGGTGTTATTGCTGGGAAGTCCGAGTCTCGGAGCTAATTGCGGTTAAGTCGGCACTCCACTCGCCGTAAACGGGCCAACCCGCCGAGTGTGGGGAGCATCGGCGATGGTGTCAGAACCCGAGAGATTTTGCCTTCGCTTTGTTTTTTTCATTCCACATCTCAATGCGAATATCCGTTACCGGCCTGCTATACTGGGTGTAAAGAGTCTAATATTCATCCAAGTTACGCGGCCTGAAGAATAGCGACTCCCAAACACACCATACACCCAACTGCCGTAGAACCTCCAGTCGCGTGCCGGTCTTGGCTTGATGGGGTCCTCTCCGCACGAACGTGCGGGCCAACCCCAACGAGAGGGAACGGACGTCATTCAACTACCTTTGCATGACCATCAGGACTTTTCCCACAACGACTCGTCATCTGAACCTGACGATGACAGTGTAGATACTGCCATTTATGACGGAGATTATACACGAAGAACACCTCGCCCGTCGCCACTACTCATAAATTATCGCCGCTTCCCCTCAGCCGACGAAGATGATAGCGATCTCGATCATGACAGCGTTCTGCCATCGCACGAGGAATCTCAAGAAGAGAAACCAGTGACTTGGAGTTCTTTACCGAAGAAAGGGCAGCTGGCTATCCTGACCTTTGCCAGGTTATCGGAGCCGCTCACCCAAACCTCATTACAAGCCTACCTGTTCTATCAACTCAAATCATTTGATCCGTCATTACCAGACTCAGCAATCTCGGCGCAAGCCGGTGTTATGCAGGGAAGCTTTACTGCTGCCCAGTTCCTGACTGCGGTCTGGTGGGGTCGACTGGCTGATGCAGAATGGATGGGCCGTAAGAGAGTTCTCCTGATCGGTCTTCTGGGGACATGTATCTCGTGTTTAGGCTTTGGATTCTCCCGATCCTTTACATCGGCTATCGTCTTCCGGACTCTGGGTGGAGTGTTGAATAGTAATGTCGGTGTGATGAGAACTTTGATTGCTGAGATCATTGTGGAAAAGAAGTATGTTACACCCGTCTGCTCGGCGACCCCGAAAACTAAAACATTCCAGGTACCAATCAAGAGCTTTCTTGCTACTGCCCATGTGCTTCAACATTGGTGTGATCATCGGTCCAATTTTGGGAGGTTCGCTGGCCGACCCTGTCAATAGCTTCCCATGGCTATTCGGTCCCGGCTCTGCATTTGGAGGTAAAGACGGGGTCTGGTGGATGCAACGCTGGCCGTTTGCTCTACCGAATGTGTTGAGTGCTATTTTCATCTTCATGTCATTACTGGCTGTCTTCCTTGGCCTTGAAGAAGTAAGTTCTCCTAATCCAACTAGAAACACGATATGTAGCTCTGACTGTGATATAGACACATGAAATTGCCCGTTACCGCAGTGACTGGGGCCGTAAAATAGGGAAAAGAATCGTGCGATTCTTTACTAGGCGGCCTCGACACTATCGCCCTCTTCAAACTGATGATTCCGACTCCGTGTACCTCGAGGGCAGTGTGGGCACATGGTCCGCTCCATCGAGTCCGGCTCGCTCACGCACGTATCCTCGACCTCGACCTCATAAACGACCCGGCTTCCGACAAATTTGGACCAAAAATGTGATGCTCACATTGTTCGCCCATTTCCTCTTGGCTTTCCACACGAGTGCCTTCAACGCAATGACCTTTGTATTTCTTCCAACCCCGCGCGCACCTGAAGGTTCTCGCGACGGGTTCTTCCACTTTGGTGGCGGACTCGGTCTACCTTCAGCGCGTGTCGGTCTAGCCACAGCTATCATCGGATTCATCGGTCTCCCTCTACAAATCTTCCTCTATCCTCGCATCCAGTCCAAACTCGGAACCCTCACCTCCTTCCGCATTTTCCTCCCCTTCTCGCCGATCTCGTACATCCTTATGCCATTCCTTGTCGTCCTACCCCGTCTAGTGTGGGTTGTTTGGCCGGCGTTCACCATCGTGGTATCTCTGCAAGTTATTTCACGCACCTTCGCACTGCCTGCAGCCATTATTCTTGTGAATAATTGCGTGACTGACGCTTCTGTTTTGGGTACGGTTCACGGCGTTGCGCAGAGTATTGCGAGTGCTGCTCGCACATTGGGGCCTTTCCTTGGAGGGTGGGGTCTTGGTCTTGGCCTTGCTAATAATATGGTCGGGGCTGTGTGGTGGGTGTTGGCTATCGAAGCTTTCCTTGGCTGGTTTGTACTGTGGACCATCCAGGAGGGCAAGGGTATAGAGAAGCCAAAAGAAGGAAATGAGGATGAGGACGATTGATGCATAGAGCTGGACTTACCGATAAAATTGTATACGCAACCTTTGGGATTATGAAGAGAAACACCTCTCCTATCTTATATATTAGTTGATGGATGAGAACACCTCATTCCCTAGCAAGTGACTTGGGTGGCAGACCCCATGTTTCGTGCTGGTGGCTGAATGGCTGGCAAATACAGCCGAGCGGGTGCGCCTAGCTCCCGGGCGTAGCCATGGGCCCAACTACTCGGCGAGCATTTTCTAAATTCAAGAATGCTTATCTTTATCAGTTTCTTACTCTCGTTCTAAGCTGATTGTTCTAAGTCTGGCCTGAACTTTGTCACCCACTGGCTGGAATTGTCGGTGACTCGATGTGGGTGAGCTAGTGACCTAAGAAAGGCATTGACTGGCGGCCCTACCTAATCTACACGATCAGATCCTCTGTCGCTGCTCTTCAACTTGGGGCTTTGCAACTAAAAGCACAAACCACCACAGAGGCCGGAACTGACGTCGTGTCCTCGTCAAGACGAAAAAGGTAGCTCCCCCCCCCCCCACATACAGCTCCAACTGCACATATCACTTTGAGAGAGTGATCCTGATCCTGGATGAGTGCCAGTATGTGAAAAACATGCGCACTCGGGCCCATCAAAGCATTGCACAAATCCCTTGCAATGCTTTGTTTGGACTCACGGCTACCCCCATGTGGAACCGGATCCTGGACCTCTATAGGTATTGCAGTCTGCTCGCTGGGCATCTCTCGGTAGACTTTACCGATGATGATCCAACTGGAGGCCTTCCTGGTCCTGACGAGGTGCGCTTCGCTGACCTTCGATCCCTGTACAAAGCCTGGTCCGATGTGACGACTCTCCCAGAGGACTTTGATGAGATTCCCTATGAGCTGCTGAACCCGGTAGTGCTCATGCGGCTCACAGAGGACACTGGGGGAGAGGTCACTACGCAGATTGGATACGAGGCATATCCATTCCTTTTCCGGGCTTGTATCATGCAGCGGTCTATGGGAGACCAAGTTGTCGATCAAAATAGACAGTTGGTTGTTATCGGCTCGGAGATCCCCCCCTCCGGGTCATGACACACGAAGTCCGTTATTCTCAGCAGGATCAAAAGTACCACCAGGCGGAATACGACCACTACGTCGAGGACTTGCATAAGGGTGGTGATAACAGCGCCGCTGATGCTTCCTCGCCTGGTGGTCGTATCAACATGGGCAATCTTCGTGCGCTTTGCTTGGCAGCGTTTAGCCCCTTACTTTCAAAGTATCTGGATAGCGCTACCCACGCACAGACGCTGAGTGAGTTTGTCGGCCGCCTCGTCGATGGACCGGATCATGGCTTTGAAGCATTCTTCCTAGCCACATGCAGAGACATCTCCATCTCGCGCCTCAAGGGTGCGTCGGAGCAAGCCTATTATCTCTGTAGGCGATCCCCACGTCTCAGCATGCTCCTCTGCTTGACTTGGAGGGTGCCTTTTCTCCCCCCCCCCCCCCGGGCCCCCGTTTCCTGTTGGTCTGCCACTGGCCCATGGTTGCCTGGATGGTAGAGATGTTTGTGGTCCAATTGGGCCTCCGAACGGTCTCTATCACGGCCTCGAAATCCGCCGAGGAGCGCGCAGCAGCCGTGGCCGAGTTTACCAGTCCTCGGTCTGGCTGTGAGGTCCTGATCACCACTTATGATTGGGGTGCTACGGGCCTGAACCTTCACGGAAACTACCACATCGTCGTGTTGATCGAGAATGCACTCAATTACAATCTCGAAACTCAGGCGATTGGACGAGTCCATCGGATCGGGCAAGCAAAGCCACAGCGGGCGAACCGGCTATTCCAAGAGCACACAATCTGCCGTTATCTTCATTATAACAATTTTAATAAGATAAGGCCACAGATCGCTGCTCAGTACCGGGATGCCTTTGAGGAAGAGGTAGAGAGATCGTCTGGCCTCAACAGCCAGGACCCTGATGCAAAGTTCCGACATATCCATAAAGTCTGTGAAGACAAGCTTCGTGGATTGATGGGCTTGCAGAAGAATTTCCCGGGCTTCCTGTTGATGGCAGACAAGAAAGATCTCAATCTGGATTCGGAGAGCATTTCAAAGCGCAATGCAGACCCAGGTCGAGTGAGTAAGCCTGCTGCTGCTGCCGCTCCTGCTGGTGCTCCTGCCGATCCTGCTCCTGCTGTCCCTGCCGCTCCTTGTCCTGCTGCCGCCGCTGCCTCCGCTTCTGCCCCCAAGAAGCGTAAAGCTGGCGAGGTTGAAGCTCGTCCAGTGAAACGCCTAAAGGCAAACACCACGAAACCAGCAGAAGGTAACAAAGTGGCGCAGATTACAGGACAGGTAGCTCAAGGTAGGAAGCCTCAGTCATCTTCCCGACTTTTTGCTTCGAGGCCTGCGCCAAAGACTCCGGAGGATACCCCCGAGCAGAGTTCTCGTGTGTTCCAAAGGTTGCGCCTCAAAGTTGGGCCCCCTCCCGAGGAGGCTCACGAGGAGGCTCCCAAGAAGACTCCCGCGCTAATCGCTGCTTTCGCTGTGATACCTGGTGAAGTTCCCCGGGCCAGGTTAGCTGATTATGTTAGCCAGACCGCTAGGGAGCTTTCGAAGGACACTGGGCTTCGTTCAAGCAAAGAAGAGGGAGATTCTGGAGAATACGAGGTAGATGAGTCCGAGGATGAGTCCGATGGGTACCAGACGGAGGAATTTTCATCTCGACAGGGACATCCATAATCGTTCCGTAGGTTAAGTTAGTAAAAAGGTATTAAAAGAGGTAACAAAAGAGCTATTAAAAAAGGGGTTAAAAGATATGTTAAAAGATATGTCAAAAGAGGTATCAAAAGAGGTATCAAAAGAGGTATCAAAAGAGGTATCAAAAGAGGTATCAAAAGAGAGTATCAAAAGAGAGTATCAAAAGAGGTATCAAAAGAGAGATCAAAAGAGAGATCAAAAGAGGTATGAAAGAGAGATCGAATTTTCGGGGTCTATTCCTAGACCACCATAGTTAGCAACATGCAGTTTACTACATTCTATATCATTAGTATAAGCTTGATCGCTGCCTTGCCTCCCCTAGACGGCCCTACAACCGGAAGATTGTAGAGTCCTTCAGCGGCTTAATCTAATTCGCCACCGAAAAGTACGGTCTATCGGCGCAGATTTGTTTCTTTACGGATCCTCGTATAGACTGGCTAATGAATGCGAAGCTATCTTCACCGATAAGAATTTCAAGATGGTATACGGGCTCTCTAGATCTAAGCTTAGTAGATAAATTATTCGGCAACTTAGCCAGCAGATTAGTAGGCGAATTTTCCATAAGATTGGCAGACGAATGGGACATGATATTGGCCGGCTTGTTTGTATTGAGTAGTAGATTAGCTGGTATATACGAAGATCTCTTCGCTGATAAAGAGAGAAAAGATCCCGTATAGGCTCACTTGATCTTAGCCGCTTAGCAGGTATACAGTAGCTATGGTGGTTAGGTTGGAGATACGGATTAACGGCCGAAGCTGCTGAGAGGGGTCTTCTGTAGGAGGATATTCAGCAACTCTCTTCAAGGGTGCGCTTAAGTGTAGCTGTAGGTAGTAGATTTGTTCGTAAAGGGCTTAGTTTGTGGTTCACGGTCTCGACTAACCTAAAAGGGTCGTAATGACTATATTGTAGTTCCTAACTAGTCGATCCGGCCACCCCAAAACACCATACTAGATGCGATTTTTCAGGTCGCAATATATCAATGACAAGATATTTCAACTGGATTTTTGGTAGGCTATCATTTCCTAGCATTGGAAATAGTGTAGTACAACTTAGATATCTAGGAAATAATTATTCACCTGTATCACCAAAAATACGCTCCGACCGAGCGACATAGATATATATATCTACATAGTCACGTCCCAAGATATTTCTCATGCTTATACAAATACGCTGTATGATATATTCAACACCGAGATACCCTAAGACCATATAATTAGCATCAAGCGTTGAAGTACGAAGTTATGAAATATTGCATTTAGTATGGTGTTTTGGGGTGACCGGATCGGCGAGGAATTACGTTATGGGAACGGCTAGGGAACCAAAATCACAGACCACGTGATAATGAGTTCCAGCTGGCCAATCATATTGCAGGAAGCATTTCGGTTTGCTTTGCTCCGCAATCAATGTTTTACTCTCGATAAGTCTGCTCTGGAATTTATCACTGACTGGCTATATTTGTCGGTCAATAGATGGGGGTGAGCTTGTGATCAAAGAAAGGCATACACTGGCTGTTCTCAGCCGAACAACGGTATACACGGAAGGTGGCGTTCGGGAAAAAGACAAGTCCATGACCCCACCTTGCTAAGTTGTACGTACGTCCATACCAAGAAATTAACTAGACTAGGAAACTTCAAGAACTAGTAAGGGCCCCATTTGAGTATTCGAAAGTCCAACCTCCGAGAGGAGGCGTCGAAAGCGGGAAATTACCGGAGATTAACGTGGACTCCGGTCCGGGGGGCAGCCGAACAATAGCACAGAAGTTCTGGTATAAAAGGGCGGGAGTTTGGCGACACACAAAACAAGAGCACCTACGCCTGCACTGCATCCAATCTGAAGTATAGACACGGCCGGTTTTTCCCTTCTTACTATACATCTTCCCGGGTCAAGATGCGCCCCACACTTTTTACTGGTGTTGCCAGCGTCCTTTGGACTGGGTCGCTTATTTTTGCGAGCCCATCATCAAAGAATGTTGATTTGGCATCATTCATATCAAAAGAAGGTCAAAGATCGATCCTGGGGATTACCGAGAATCTTGGTGGCAAAGGTAGCAAGACACCGGGCACGGCAGCTGGTTTGTTCATTGCTAGCCCGAACATGGCGAACCCGAACTGTAAGTTACTAAACTTTGCTCGGGGAAACGGCTTTTCTCATCTTTATTTTTAGATTATTACACGTGGACTCGTGATTCAGCACTCACAATTAAGTGCTTGATCGACCTGTTTGAAAGTTCTGGCGGTGGATTTTCAACCAGTAGCAAAGAATTGGAAACCGATATTCGGAATTATGTCTCGGCACAGGCAGTGCTACAGAATGTGTCCAATCCATCCGGAACTCTGCAAGATGGTTCTGGACTTGGTGAGCCCAAGTTCGAGGTTGACCTGAACCCATTCTCCGGTTCCTGGGGTCGGCCTCAGCGTGATGGACCCGCCCTGCGAGCGACCGCCATGATCACATACGCAGACTGGTTGATTTCTCACGGTCAAAAGTCTGAAGCCGCAAGTATCATGTGGCCTATCATTGCAAATGACTTGGCCTACGTGGGCCAGTACTGGAACAACACCGGTTTCGACCTTTGGGAAGAGGTAGATGGATCGTCCTTCTTTACCTTGGCAGTTCAACATCGTGCACTGGTTCAGGGATCAAGTCTCGCGCAGAAACTTGGCAAATCATGCCCTGCTTGTAAATCCCAGGCACCCCAGATTCTTTGTTTCTTGCAGAGCTTTTGGAATGGAAACTACATCACTGCCAACATCAACCTCGATACCAGCCGCTCCGGTATCGATTTGAACTCGATCTTGGGGAGCATTCACACCTTTGACCCGGAAGCTGCATGTGATGATTCGACCTTCCAGCCTTGCTCAGCTAGGGCCCTCGCAAACCACAAGGTTTACGTTGACTCGTTCCGTTCAATCTACACGATCAATGCCGGCATTGGAAAGGGTTCAGCCGCCAATGTCGGTAGGTACCCCGAGGATGTTTACCAGGGGGGCAATCCATGGTAGGTCGCTCAAACACTGATTGGCAAGGAGCTTTGCTCACATGTGCCCGCTTTATATAGGTATCTCGCCACTCTAGCAGCAGCTGAAATGTTGTACGATGCCCTGTACCAATGGAACAAGATCGGCAAGCTCGACGTCACCGATACCTCCCTAGCATTCTTTAAAGATTTCGATGCCTCTGTGAGAAAAGGCTCCTATTCGGCGCACAGCTCAACCTACAAGACTCTCACCTCCGCCATTCGAACCTATGCGGACGGCTTCTTGACTCTTGTTCAAGAATACACTCCCTCCAATGGATCCCTGGCCGAGCAATACAACCGGAATACCAGTGTTCCACTCTCAGCTAACGACCTAACATGGTCTTACGCGTCCTTTGTCACAGCCGTCCAGCGTCGCTCCTCCATCGTGCCCGCCTCATGGGGCGAGAAATCCGCAAATGTCGTCCCTACCACCTGCTCTGCATCTCCCGTCACAGGAACTTACCAGGCCGTCTCTTCGGCATTCCCAACGAGCACTGGATGCGTCCCCGCCACTGACGTTGTACCAATCACATTCTATTTGATTGAAAACACTTTCTATGGCGAGAATGTCTTCATGACTGGCAATATCAGTGCGCTCGGCAACTGGGACACGAGCAATGGGTTCCCACTCACTGCGAACCTGTACACTGAAACCAACAATCTGTGGTTTGCCAGCGTTGAACTTGTTGCGGCGGGCACTCCCTTTGAATACAAGTACTACAAGGTGGAGCCCAATGGCACCGTTATTTGGGAAAATGGTGACAACAGAGTTTACGTTGCCCCTACTGGCTGTCCAATTCAGCCTAACCAACATGATGTATGGCGGTCATGATTGATGTCTCGTTTGTGAGGGCTTTAGAGTGTTATATAGTTCAAGCACAAAGCAAAGAATCTGGAGAATCAAGCTCCATTCTTGGCCACGAAGGTCATTAAGGACGATGATAAGAATATTCGTCATATCTCCAGAATCATCATCGTTGTAACTATTCCATGAAGTTATGACTCAGCCTTAGTTTGACTGACTCGTGGCCGTGGTTCTCTGCCTGCAATGAATGAGCAAACTTGCTTCGCTCACGAATCTGAGATCCTTTCCAATAAAAACATAAATAGGAGCCACGACAAGACAGGAATGGCAAGCGAGAATCGTACTGGCATACTCGACATGCCCCTTATTCTCGATGATATTGTATATCTTGAGATCATGCCCGCCTCTTTGAGCGACACACGTGGATCTTTCAGTTCACAGGCCCGTATACGTTCGTCTCTTCTCCTGTTTCGCGGCGTCGCTTGGCTTCCCTAAAAATGAGAATGGTCAAACGACTCTCGGGCATGAAGATAATGACCGCTTGCGTGACAGCTCCGAAGATGAGTTGAATTCAGAAGAACCATTGTCCTCAGTCTTATGATCCAGAAAGCATATTAGTATTTTTTTTCCAATTAGCCTGGTCTTAAATCTCTTGATTGGCCCGCGCTGAAATTCCGACGATTTTTCAATTGAAAAGCAGCCAATACTATTGCGCCAATGATCATTTCTAGGAAGTAAAGATTTTGTTGGTATAGTGTGATCTTCTGATCGCCAGATCGCCACCGAGGCACTCTTCGACCCTTTCTTGGCGAAATCGCTATACAGTGGACTGCTTGAGAATCGGCTCTAACCGAACGTCAATCGTGATATCGGAGGCGAAACATTATTCATGAACCTCGAAGTGCGCAATGTACTATAGACAGACTAAAGAGATCGACGATTCACTAGATAAAAGTTGGAAGAATGCTCATCAAACCTATCCGAGAAACTGATCTCTTGAATTGGATGCGATTATCCACAATCACAAGATACATAATCAAGTCTGCTAGAACGTATTCCGATCAATCATGTTTGAAGACTGCTGCATTGTATTTCATCCTAATTCGTCTACAAGTCGTTTAGTCGTAAGTTCCCACTACTACTGTGAAGGTCTTATCTTCTCCCCAAGAGGGGGTCGGGCTGCTTCGTGGCCAATGAGCCGTAAATATCGACTTTTATCGGACAAATATTGACCGACCATTCAGACTTGCTCTAACCTTATGCGTCATTGAGAAGTGTGATCAAGTCCGAATCGATGGGGTGATGAAGGCCTTCATGGCGCGTGTGACATCCCCCTCGTGAGCCCTGAGAAGGTCCGTCGCCTTATTCTTATGCAAATCTAGCTGGTCGACCTATTCACACAGAAAGGTTAGATTAGAACACCCATACTGGCAGCGTAAAGAGATCAACGATCGTATATCCATACCAGAAGTGTAACATCGGCAGCATTTATTTTGACCACCTTCTTCTTTACCTCCGCCTCTTTCTTCTGGGACTCAGCCGCCTTCTTCTTTCCAGAGTCATGACCTGCAGCCACTTCTAAGCGGCTCATGGCTTTGCTCAAAGCTTCCTGGTCTGCGCTTGATGGCCCCTTGGAGGGAGCTGCATCACCAGCTATTCCTTCTGTATTCAACGAGTTGAGGGCGGCTGCGGCCTTGCGGTCTTCGGCATTTGCGGGGAGCTGGCGATCCAGCGCATCTGGATCCGCGGTAGCAGATGGAATGGAGTCGGACATTGTATCAGTCTCTTAGTTCGGTCAACGGCCACAGTGTATAGCTCCACTGTGTCTCAGCGGTGTGGAGGTAGTTGGACGAGGGACGTCACCGATAAGCGCGTGCCCCCAAGATAACAACTTATGTAACTATTGACACCTTAGCGCCAAGGCCATAAAATGAGTCATCCGACAATTCCGCGAATAAGCGGCGAGCTGAATTTGTTGTCCAGGTTTTTTCAGGTGACTGCATTTTTTTGCTCTTTGTTGACTCCGAATTCAAAAAAACGCGATACGTGATCTATACTCAATTGCTCCATCGGCCAGCTCAATTGAATAGGCTCTTGTCAGAGATTCTATCTGCCAGCGCCATCTGCCACCTATCGTCCCACTTTCCCGCGCGGGGCGAAATCCACTATGGACAACTGGAGTCCAAGCTGTACGTGTCACTTTTCAGAGACCCCCCATCGTCCCTCCCTGGATATAGGCCAGATTCTTATGTCGTAAATCTAGCGTGGACTACCAAACCCATCAAGCAAGATGTCATCTACGAAGATATCCAAGGCGTAAATGATAGTCTTGGAAAGCTACAAAATCTCCCGCCTTTGGTGACGGTTCGAGAGGTATCCTTTATTATTCCTAAACCCCGATTTTGTGCCTTTCAGCTACTAACACCATATCAGATTAACAATCTCAAGAACAGCTTGAGAAATGTAGCCTTGGGCAAGGCTTTTGTTCTCCAAGGCGGTATGCATTGTGTCGCCAGTCTCAACTGATTGCATTGCGCTTATGACTTACTTGGATAAATAGGCGACTGTGCTGAGCTATTTGACTATTGCAATCAAGAAATGATCGAGGCTAAGCTCAAGCTATTGCTGCAAATGAGTTTGATCCTAATTTGGGGTACGGAGACTTACACTATCTGTTGAAGATTGCACAAGTTGACCTTCCATATAGGTGCCAACAAACCCGTCATCCGTATAGCACGTATTGCGGGACAGTTCGCAAAGTACGTCTCCTACTTTCTCTTGACTTCTATTCGAGCCACCCTAACCTTTTTCCAGGCCACGATCCAGTCCCACTGAAACAGTCAATGGAGTTGAGATGCCCTCCTTCCGGGGCGACAACATCAACGGCTTCGCAGCCACTGCCGAATCCCGAAAGCCAGATCCATCACGTCTAGTGTCGGCTTACTTTCACTCAGCCGCAACACTAAACTACATGCGTGCATCTCTCTCCTCAGGTCTCGCAGATCTACATTCCCCCATGGACTGGGGTCTCGGCCACGTTATCGAACCCTCAATTAAAGACCAGTACTCGAAGATAGTCAACTCTGTCCAAGATGCTTTGCGATTCATGCGCACAGTAGGAATTGACAAAGATCGCGGTGTTGAGACTGCAGATATATATACCAGTCACGAGGGTCTCTCGCTAGAGTACGAGTCGACTTTGACCCAAAAGTTGAAACAGCCCGTCCAGTCTGGCTTTGGTGCGGCAACCGAATCTGCGCCCTCGTGGTACGCCACCTCTGCACACTTCCTCTGGATTGGTGACCGGACACGACAACTGGATGGCGCCCACGTTGAGTTCTTCCGGGGAATTTCCAACCCGATCGGCATTAAAATCGGACCTACTATGGCCGCGGATGAGCTCGTCCGCTTGTTGGATGTCGTGAACCCCAGCAAGGAAATTGGCAAGGTCACTTTGATCTCGCGTTACGGCGCGTCAAAGATCGCCCAGTTCCTCCCCGGCCATATCGCTGCCGTCCAGGCTTCCGGCCATATCCCCGTGTGGCAGTGCGACCCCATGCACGGCAACGGGCGAGCCACACCTTCAGGTGTGAAGACACGGCATTTCACTGATATCCTTTCGGAGTTGAAGCAGGCTCTTGAGATTCACCGCCAGGCTGGATCTTTCCTGGGTGGTATGCACCTCGAACTGACTGGCGAGGCTGTAACGGAGTGTGTTGGTGGTGCAGCTGGTCTGACTGAGGATGGACTCGGGGAGCGGTACACCACTTTCTGTGACCCCCGACTCAATGAAAAGCAGGCTCTTGAGCTTGCGTTCCTCGTGGCTGGATTCTACCGCGAGGAGTCAGAGGCATGAGGCGATGCCACGAACGGATGAGTGGCATCGGTTTGGGCTAATTTCGGTTATATATGAGAGTCGAATATGATTGTAGGACTGAAAGAAATCAGGTATCTACTAGGACGAAACATTGACATCCTATCTTAATGACAAAAGAAGTTTTTCGGGGAATAATTGATTTGTGTTCATGAAATTTTCAAGTACGATTCCCGGCAATCCCAGTGATGATAACACCAGACCAAATGAAACTCCAAAAGTCCCCATATTTACAGTGGACAGGGAAAAAATGTATTTAACAAAAAGGTATCACACAGGTCAAAGTCCGTTTCCAAGCGGGCTTTCAACCGAAGGCTTGTAGAAATGACTCTTGCGTCGCGCAGCTTCCATACGAGCCCGCTGTTGACGCCTCGTCTCTGCTTCATCGTCTTGTTCAAGACTGAAGATAGGTCTATCGGCCCCTTCGAACAGACCACGGTTGCTCTGCTTAGGTGGGCAAGACTTCTGGACCAACTTGGCACGATTGGAAAGGAAGTAGGGAGTAGCGGGGGACATGCCAATGGCGTCTAGGCTGTCGAAATTGTATCCCGGAGTGCCAGGAACATGATAGCGATCAGATTGCTGAACAGGAGTGGATGGAATTCCGGCTAGGGGGGTTGGGGGCGTGATTTTTCTGAATCCCTCCACCGCGCCCCGGTCAGCACCGCAACGGCGTCCGCTGGCAGAGGGGGTGGATGGCTCAGGAATGCGCACAAGAGTGCCATTCACATTGCTCAAAGCGCGCGGCTCCATGCTCTTGCGTCGCTTAGCGCCGCCACGGGGAATGATGGAGCTGTCGACCATATACGGGTTCTCGTCGAGCCATTTGTTTTCTCTCTCGCAACTAGAAAAATGCGTTAGTCTTGTCGAAGCGTTGTTGCGTACGAAAGGAACATACTCAAGAACCCAACCAACTCCAACACATTTCACCAAACCACCAGCATGCTTGACCTTTTCCAGGGTACGGAGGCCACCATCCTTGTACACGACGTGAGTGATTCCTACTTTCGATTCCTTGGGATCAACGCCATCAACCGGAGACATGCTGGAGCGAGGGTTCCATGACCACGACCTGAAGCAACGAGCACCCATTTGCTGCAAAAGCTCAACAAAGATACCAGATGCATCTTCACCTTCCGTCGTATGGACATCCACATAGACAACAGCACCCCGAAGTGCCTGCTGACTGACAATGCTCTTCCTACGAGGGATTTTGCCGGCGCTGGAAGCCACAGATGGAGACTGGGGTACTTGAATGTCAGGCTGTGTCCCGATAGACCGCCGGGGAGTGCTGCAGCGACGCTTTGGGCTCGGGCTCCTCGAAGATCGCGGTGCCTTGTGCGGGGAAAATGTTGGTACGGTCTCACTGCCCAGGAAGATGACGGGCTTGCGCATGCGGGGCGATGCGCGAGTGGGAGACCTGCTTTCAAGGGAATGGCCACGCTTGCGGGGCAACTTCAGAGGAGATACCTCGCCTTCACACTTCAAAGGCACCTTTGAAACAGTGTGCACCGTTCGAAGGTGGTCGACTCCTCTCCTGACCGGAGTGGCAGGTAGTATAACAGGAGAGTGACAATTCTCTTTGTCATCGTTATCGTCATCGGGAAGAGAACCGTCAACCTGATCTTCAGTGGATACGGAGGCATTCATATCCGCGTTAGGCTGCTTTGGCTCCGGCGCCATGTCCTCGGCGTCGGAAAGCTCAGGGTCTTCAAAAATATCCAGTCGGATTGGTGAGTAGACCATAGCATGCGCCTGCTGCGGTGCCGCAGATTCAGGAGTTTGAGGAGACTGAGGGGGTATGCTAGCATCATCACTCTTAGCCTGAAGGGACAATTTTGAAAATGAGGCTGGCGTGGCTGGCGTGTCTGCAAGTGGAGAGCGTGAAAGATCAGGATAAGAGACATCTTCTTGTGCTGGTGCAGCATGTTCCGTGGACTTCTCCAGAGGCCCAGCAAGAGAGAAGACGCCTCGTCGACGAGGTCGGGTTTGTCTGCCTTGAGAGGGAGTATTGCTTTCCCAGCTATCGAATTTACTTGCCAAAGGTGTAAACCCGATGTCGACATTGGCAATCGACTTTCGCTTCCCAGCAAAGTTTGGCGTGTCGCAGATGGCATGACTTGTCGGGGAAGGAATTTCGGTCTGGGTGGTATCCAAAAAGCTACCCTCAGCTGACATGCGCGGGTCAGTATTGATATCAAACAGCCAGTCCTTTGACTTGGCGCTGTCTCGCTCGTAGGGAGACGCGATGCTCATTTCACGGGCAAGAGGAGTGGAGGCCAGAGAGGGAATCGATTGTGCCGACTGCTGCGGGCTGTCAATTGCTTCAGCATGGTGGGCACTGCGCGGAGTTTCCGGAGAAGATGAGGCATTGACGGTGGCTTCATCTTGCGCGATATCAAGTTCGTCATTATGCGGGCGACCATGTTCGCTCTCATCCACTTCCGCTCTGTGTTCTTCAGTGTCATCCGGTGCCTGGCGAGCGAGATCAAGGTACTCTTCGAGGCTTTGCGGTGGGGGCGTTCGGGATTGTGCACCTTCGAAAGCATCCAGTCCAAGAGTTGGTTCCGAAGGTGAAGGTAAAAGCTGCTCTGATTCTTCACCCAGTGTGTGCATTGGCTGCTCGTCTTCAAAGGCAACTTCCTGGGCGGCACTTGATTCTTCGGCCTCGGCCTCGCCCTCGCCCTCCTCCATATCTTCCTCCATATCCGTCTCCATCGGATCATCAATATCATCCAGGATGAGATTCTGTTCCACGACATGCTGCTCGGGCAGGTTTTGGACCTCGGGCAGATTCTGGAACGGCTTCTGGAGTTCTTCCATGGTATTGAAGCAAATTGTCCCAAAGTCCTCGGGTTCGCGGCGGATCTCTTCTTCCAACTCTTGAAGTTTCTCGTCGGTATCGATATCCTCGGAACAATTCTCGACAGTTTCAGGCTCATCAAAGGCATTCTCCGCTGGCTCAAGCTCCAAGGCTTCTTCGACGGCAAAGGGCTCTTGCGGTGAGGGTGCAATAGACGAGCTCCTACCGTAACATTGCAGTTCAATACCGAAAATATCACGAGCTACTTCCTCGACCATTCCGATGTCGTCATCCACGACCAGATCCTGGTGGTCCGGGCCTAGGACGAGGGGAGTTTGCTGCTGTGTTTCAGGGGTTGGAAGGACAGTTGTAGTGTCATCGCCGTCGACAGTTGATATGACAGGATTGGAACTCTTGGACGAGAAGAATGAGCCCTTGAAAGGAGACGGGATCCTCTTTGGTGGGCTTTGGATTAGTGATGTCTTGGCCGAGAACGGTACCAAGGCCTTCTCCGGCGATTGAGAGAAAGAAGCACCCAAATTAGCCTTTTTTGGCGACATCTTCAGCGGCGATTGTGGCCCTTGGCCAATGTTCGACTCAGCGGCAGCATTGGCGTCTTCTCGGAAAAGGAGCCCCCGATTCGGTGTGTCCCGAAGGGAAAACTGGAATGGAGAAGCTTCCAGTCGTCTGGCAGGACTGGACATAAAGGTCGATTCACTGAAGTTTACTGACTTGCCAAGGGGCAAAGCCAAATGGCCGCTGTCGGGCACAGCGTTTGAGCTGCAGTTGGGGGTAAAATTGATTTTTCTTACAGGCGAGCTTAACCCGGTGGCAGATGATCCGTTCTTGGGTGTAGCGGGTTTGGGTTCCCCATTCTCATCAATTAGATTTGACGCTTTCTTGGGAGTAAAGTTGATCCTGCGCACAGGCGAGCTCAATCCTGTGACTTCGGTGCCAGTCTTTACTGGGGAGTGAATGACCAATTTCACGGGACTCTTGACATCGTACTTGGCTGAAATCAATTCATCTTCTTCGCCGTCAGAGCTAGCGTAAGCGGAAAGCGACTTGGCAACCTGTTTGTCCTTCTTAGGAGACAGAGGTTTGGCTGCGCTCGTTTTGGCTACAGCGGGCTTTCGTCCACGCGCAGTTGTACCAGTGGCCTTGCGCATCGGTGTCGCTCCCAAGCCAGCTTTGCCAGCATCCTTTGCAGGAACCCTCTTCTGCCCAGCAGCAGAAGCAGCAATTTCTTCCAATTCATCGGTGTCTGAGACGGATGGCTCTTGGAATGTCACTGTTTTCTTCTTGGCGGGGCCACGGAGGATGTTTGAACGTATGGTTGTAGATTTCGTCGCAATGCGGATATGCCTGGTGAGAGCATTCTCACTGCTCGTCTCAGGCTCTGGTACGGTCCGAGTATTCTTCCGAGTAGTGGCAGTGGTCTTTGACGATGTTGAACCCTTTGGTCGGCCTCGAGGCTTTGGTGCTGTCTCTGTTTTGGCGGCGGTGGACGTCTCTGGTACTGCGTTCTTCCTCGGTCTACCAACCCGTTTCCTTCCTGTTTCTGTCTTCGAGGCTTCATCATCTCCTTCATCGGTGTCGGCGGGGGACTCTGGCAAAGCTGGCACAGGGGTCGCTTTCTTAGCACGGGTAGTGGTGGTGGTCGTTGTTCTTGATGCTGCTGTCGAAGCTTTTGTCGCAGAGCGAGCTGCGGGTCGCCCACGAGCTCGTGCAGGCTTCTCTTCCTGGCTCTTCATCATCATGCCAAGCTCATCCTCGGTATCATCTGAATCAACGTCGACGGTCGCCATCGTGTTTTTCCTGGCCGTCGTCGTCTTAGTCACGCCTCTCCTCTTAGGTTCGGTCACGACTTTGGCTTGGGAGCTGGCAGTGGTCTTGGTCAGGGTCGATCGAGGTGCCGTGCGCGTTCCCCGCTTGGCAGGGGAGGGAGGGAGGACGGCTGCTCGTGCCATGGCGGCGAAGGGAAGCGCTTTGTTGTTCTTGTTGTTATTGTTGTCGTCGTTGCGCGTGATGCCTTTGATGTTGTCGTAAGTCTTATTGTCGTTAAGGGCACGATGCACTCATGGCAGATCCGAGCGCGTCAATTTGGTGTCTTAACCGCGGCTGGGGTTCAATGTCGTGTGGATTGCATTAGATTGCAGTTCAAAATGGTCATGCGGGTCGAGCGTTGTGTTTGGGCGAACTCAAGCGGGCCCGCGCAGTTTCCACGGCAACGGTCACGTGAGGGTTATGATCTGCGCCGGGTTCGGGTCTCAACCGTAACATAAGGTGGGACCAACTCGCAGCTAAAACCACGAAAGAAAATGAACAAGTACCCGGGCAGCTTCAAATGACCTTGCCTGGCCAGGAAATAGGTACATGTTTTTCTATCGCTTGAATCCCAGATTTACCTTAGGGGTGCTTGTACTTTGTGTTTTTTCGTATCACCTAGTCATGTTAATCCTCCGAGTTTTTTAGATATATATCCCTCAAAACTGGAACATATCCGGTCACCAGCCGGATAGGCAAGTCAACAGCGATGACGTCGATGCTGCAGTGAAGATTCTAAAATACATGCAAGTTGATTTCTAAAAGTTGATCCAATTGTTCCAACCTATCGCTGGGTTCTTCTACGATGTAACAAGTATGCCAGGTACGGGCACAGTCTCAGTGTTCATGTCGATAAAGTCATATAATCCGGAAATGAGTAACAAGCAAGCAACAGTGAATTCGCTTAAGCCAGCCACTCGTACAGGGTCACGGTCGAGAAGGTCACAAATTTGTTGTCTCGTCGTTGCCCGCACTAACCAGCATGGGCGTGCCTTTTACCCGACTTCCTCAGGTCCCTTTCAATTTCATTCCACGCCGTCGATACTTCTGCCCTTTCCTCGGCCGTGGACTCGCGCATTTCTTCGAGTCCCTGCGAAATGCGACCCATTACAATCATGCATTTTTGATGTCTGCCCAGCGAGTCGTTGATCTCTCTGAGTATCCCGCTCAGTGGATATCCTGCTAGACCCCATAGCCCTGATAATATAGCTTGTGAGCGAGATGATCCCAGAGATATTGCCTTCCCGTTTGACATACCTGCTGATGGTTTGAGAAACAAACCTCCTATTGCTTTCCCGACCCCCTTGAAGAGCCCTTTCGTACCTTCATTCTTGAAACCATCGCGCGGATGCGCTCCTATGCCTGTGATACCGAAGTAGAAACCGTCTCGAAGTTCCTATACTAATATCAGAATGCCTGGTCCTAACATGCCGCTGGTATGGCAGTTGTTACCTTTCCTGCTGCCGAAAGACCACTTCGAAGACCGACTACCTGGGGTGTGTCGATTACTGTTGAATCATGATATAATTTGGGTGCGTTATGGAAACCTCTGGCCATGCCCAGTGAGAAATCAGTTGGCAACCATATGATAACCTTCACAAACTTCTTGGACATTTTGCTTCCATATGACGCAGCTTCGTGCAAAATGATGAATTTGGGTGGTTTCGAGGGGGCCAGCGAGCTACTCATTGTCTTTGCCTTTTCAAGCTGAAGACTTCTTTGATGCTCTAGGCTTCGAACTCGAGCAATTTCGTTGACATGGTCTCCATTGTCCTCATCACCAGTGTCCTCCTGTGTACTTTCATTTTCTCGGTTCTCTCCAGCTCCCTGCCCATCATTTTCAATTTGAAATTGCCGTTCCTCAGATTCAATCGGTGATTCTTCGCCCTCAATACTGTCGGTAGGGGATGTTTGATCCAGTGAAGCAGCTGCTGCCCGGCATGCTGCGCGACGATCAAAATTTTGGTGAGGCGTACGTGTTGAACGAACAGCAGAAACAAGATCACTCACGATCTCTCTTGGAGCATCTGCAACACCAGTCACGAAGCTTGCAAGGGCTCCAAAGAGCACCTGGGCACCAGCAGTAAGTGGGTTGGTGGGGTCCATAAATGTGTCGTATTCTATAGGACGGTGACTTCAGATAATCAGCACCAAATGTCTGACGATTTTGGTGACGTTAGTTGGAGAGGACTTACAGCACAAGCATGTCGGGGTTGATCTTTCCGGATTTCACCAGAACCGTTGCTGCGAAGGCACTGAAATTGAAATTGGTATGTTTGAGATGCCAAGCAGCTGGCTGATTTGGAATTATAGAGCATCTGCTTCGCTGGGGATCAAGATTTCGATAAAAGCTATTCACCCCATGCCGCACGCCGGATTCTTCTTGCATTTTCATCGCAATAGCCTGTGCTCTCTCCAAGACACTTGTCTCTAGTGCTTTCTGTATTGCATCTGAGAGATTCTGGGTGTTCAAACGTTTATACGGTATCGGTAGTGGCCCTGCTCCGGCCCGCGCAACGATGTTTCCCCAAAATTGCTGATCTCCGAAAAATGGGACAATTATCGTCGGCCGACCCAGGGCGAGGCCTGCTGCGGTAGTGCCAGCGCCACCGTGATGGATCACACATGAAACCTGCCGAAAGAGCCAATCGTGAGGGCAATTTCCAATCATAAGAATATTCTCAGGCACTTCGTCTGCACCCAGGTTTCCCCAACCTTTCGAGACAAGAGCCCGCTGTCCAGTTTTTTTGACCGCTTCAAATATAGTCTTCGTCAGTTTACTAGGATTATCAACTACTATCGAGCCAAATCCAATATATATTGGTTTTGGCCCCGATTCAAGAAATCTAGCGATTTCCGGGGGTGGCGTATAGCTGCTGTCTGACATGAGGAAACCAAAGCCGCAGACATCAATGTTCTCAGCCCAATCGGGAGGCTTAGGTAGTAACGAAGGCGACCTGTTTCATATATTAGTGTATTTCTTTGCCGACCAGGAGTACCCATCTAACCAGAGATATGTATGTGGCACGTGTAGTCGGGTGAGTATGTTCGAGGCGGTCACTGTGTCCAGAGGTTGAAGTGATAAGGTCTTTTTGCGAAGGGTGTTCAATATATCTCCCAACCCTTCCCACACCATCACATCTACAATGTTGTAAGACATAAAGTTTGCGATAGTCGGCTTAAGGTTCTGGGAATGAACATTCGCTAAAGGGTGGGGAAATGACTGAGTTGGTGACCAAGGCATCCTGTGATTTATTAGATATACAACAATTCTGCGAGGCAACCGAACATTAGTATATAAGAGGCTCGACTCACGTGAATATAATATGGAGAGGGATGCCCAGTCGTTGCGCACAATGAATATGGGCTAAGCTAGGGGGATTGGCTATAATAGCGTCCGCCACAAAAGCCCGTTCTCGAAAATCCAAAGCTTTGCTCCATGGATCTTCCTTGATATGGTGAAGGTAAGTCCCGTCACCCTTTTCAAAGCAAGATCTCCAACACCCATTAAAGATTTCCCTCATCTCACGCCGGCGCTTTTGGATGTCTCCACTGCGTATTGCCTTAAAGCCCGGTAAAAGACCCGGATTTTTCACCATGAAGGCCATCAGCTCCGTTGGATCTCCTCCAATATTGAAGAACTCCAGGCCGCTATCAAGAACGAATTGCCGAAAAGTTAAATGTGTGGCCAATCTAACTCGGTGACCGTGGGCTTTCAGTTCTCTCCCTAGCGCAACAAACGGTTGAATGTCGCCTCGAGAACCAATTACTTGGATCACGAGATTCAAGCGCAGTGGAAAATGTCCGTCCTTTGCAAAAGGATTCTCTGCACTGGCGGTCTGTTTAGCATTTCGATCAGGATGTGTCTCCGGGTGTTGGATGTGGTTTAATAACCCCGCGATGCTTGGTTTACGCTGGTCGATATGGATGTCTACTCGGCCGTTACCTAAGATCAGACGTGATCCCGTTAGTGCAAGAAACGTGTATATCGACGGAAAGCTATTCACCAAGAACACGGGCCCCAGTATCCAGCCCATCCTGGAAGATTCGCACAGTGTCGTGGCCATCTCGTGATCGCGAATTATCTTTATACGGCCAATCACCCGAACGGGCGAGATTCACTCCTTCGAGTGGATGTCCTGCAGGGGTCGGCGCTAAAACAGCGGCCATAATTGAATGAGAATGTGTTGGATCACTAGAATAAATGGCGAGATTGATGGTCTGGAAAAGTAATGTAGGTGAAACTCAGGCGAAGTCCAACATGCGGCGAGGTATTACGCGCTCTCGCTCTCTGATAACGCCGAACATAATAATATTTGCTCACGCGACCCGCGTCTCATAATCGCTGACAAACGTAAAGTCAACAAAAAGTGGCGATGAATGACGTCGATGATCTCTCTCGTCCCAGGGTAGGTGAAGCTTGAGCTCTAAGTGGAAGATCGATAGATGGTCCAGATCCCGAACACATCCGCATCATCCGGTTACGAGATGTAAGCAATTGTCTGTGGCAATCAAAAGAAATCTGTCATTTTCGTCAAGCCTCTCTTTTTGTATCCATGATCTCGGGTCCTGAATGAGATGGCTCACGACCAGTTTGGCAGGGGAAGGTATAATTTCACTTTGAGCGCTAACGATGTCTTATAGCCCACCCACTCCACATGAACCAACCGCGGATTCTTCCATCTCATCGTTGCTGCCCGATTGTACCACAAAAAGACATCAGAATGATCCGACACATAACGAGTCTGCTATATTTGGAAAATTTGAGGTTATTTAGCAAAAGAAAAGCTAATTTTGTGAAGATTGCCCATGACAGCGGCGTTTTTGACGTTACTCGCTGAATAATCATCCAGAGGGGAGGAGTCCGCCAACTGCCAGAGAAGCGTTATTCATGCGCCGTTACCCTATTAGGAAGACGTTTTTATCTCATACACCAAAAGTATGTCCGCCTCCTATATACCTATCTTGTAGGTAAATCGATCTCTAGAGAAGCGCAGACAGTGGTCGGTCACGTGTCACAGGAGACCGTAGCATGTTGACATAGAGAACGAGAGCATGGACAGTTCCTCTCCTGCCAGCTTTTCGTATTATCGTAAAATGAAAGACTGAGGAAGAAGTACTGTAACTTGTTGGAATATAAGGAGCGTCCACGAAGAATTTAACACGATGAATCTTAATAAATATTCAACAAGTTGAGATTCGGCCGTAAATATACGATGGCTTCCGATTTGAGCTCCAAAATACCTGTTCAGGATACTGAGATAGATCTAGATTCGGCCCTTTGCTGGCACTAAGACAATTAACACTCGGCAAGTGTTGAGCAGAGTAATCAGTATTGGATCATGCAAGGCCAGCGCAAAAACCACGTCTTCAATAGGCATTAGATGCGGGAGACCCTTCGTTGACGGCACATGCAAATAAAATCATACTACTCAGTGGATTGAGCACGGGCTGGACGGCATTGTGAGAGGCAGGGACATGGCAGGTCAAAGAGAGGGAATCGAGATGCAATGCATGGACAACCAAGGGGACACTGACCACTGATCTTTCAAATCATAAATCCAGCCTCGTCCAGACCGGTCGCGGTTCGTCGGCGGTCTGTGAGTGGCAGGGTTCGACTCACAGGGGCTAGACAGCCAGAAATAATTCTAGAAGACCGGGGGGTCGATGTTTATTGTGAATTAGCTCGTTAGCCCCGGTACACCGGACGAGCGCTCACGGGAGCAAAAGTGGAGTTGGGTTGGCCTCGGATTTACCCGAACGGGTAAGTATACTCTTAGCATTCCAGGCCGGGAGCTCTTGAAGAGAGGGAGAGATGCTCGAGGCAGGCTCTGCTAGTCACATGGACTCTAAAATTAGGGTAATAATGCACCCCTTATTCGCTTTGAGGAGTTTCGAATGCATTGCTATCGGTGAGGGTGTTGAGACCATGAGTAGTTGCAGATTCGAGTTGAAATGTTTGTAGAGCGGGAGAGCCGAACTGAATCTATCCATCGCGCAGTACGGAAGACTTCTTAATTGAAGAAATTATCTTGCTCACTCTATGAATACATAAAACCTCCCGGTAGCTATCTAGATTGATGCTAACTATAGGATATAGCATGAACAAAAATAACCGTAAAATGCTTTGGTGATCTTTAGAATTTGCCATTGACTTTTTTCCCCATCGCCTATGGACAGGAACCATCGCCACGGGGAGAAGCGCATTAATTGATTCGAGACTCATGCTGGCCACATGACCGATGAAAGCTTTTAAGATCTGCAAGGTAGGATAGCCTCCAATGTCGCTCGTGCCGGGCTATCTTACGAATCAGTAATATCATAGTCTCATCATAGTACAGTATAACCATGCAAGATTGAGGCCAGGGTCAAGAATTGGTTGGGTACCGGCTCGCTTCCCCGGAGGAAAAGCAGGTCACCTGAACGGGGGGAGTGGGGAAGTCGATCGGCTTTCCCAAAACGGGCATCCGATCATCAGTACCTTTGGCTTCAACTCTCTCCCCCGCGAACTACTCCGTGTCAAAAGTTCAGGTTGACCTGTGGCAAAAGCGATTCAAGGCAAAATGTCATTTTGACAAGGATATTTGCAAGATGGCCATGATATATCGCATCTGACTTTTCAACAAAGGTCATCTATACATCATTTGGGTCTGGGAGGTAGTCGGGAAATCAAGGTATACTTGGTATACCTGGTTGCTTGGCTAGCCTGGTTGACGTGGGAGGGCCGTAAATAGTACTCCCGTTGTCGCCACGCCCGTTTAAGCTGCTGCGCCAACGCCATTCTTCCGCTGGGGGGTCCAGACTCCATCGTCCACGATGTGCACGATTGAGAATTTCCCCGTTTGGGCCTACTTGCCAGTCTCTGCGTGTTCACGAGACCATATTCGTCGGGGACCGTTCCATCCAGTTCGGTCTCGAGTTTGATTCCCTGGTCTTTTTTTTCCTTCCAGTCATGGTAGGACAAGTGCCGGAGGTCACGGCATCGTGAGTCCGTTCCAAGGGAGTTCTGTCTTTCCAATTGTTATATAAAGGAAGCCCTGCTCTGGTTCATGGTTCCTTCATCAACCATCCCAAATATATTCTCTCGCGAACTGAACACTTTAATCGTTCGACGACTACCTTTCGACCACCTTTCGACCTCAGCTTTAATTATCACGCCTGCTTTGGTCTATTATAATACACCGAACTCTCTATACCTCCCCCAATACTATAATCACCAATATCCATCATAATGTCCGTCGCCATTGAAACCACCGAGGCTCCCACTGCCCCCAACACTGCCCAGCCCGTCATGATGGGCCATAAGTCGCGCATGCCCGAGTTCAGTCTCACCGGCAAGGTCGTTTGCGTCTCCGGCGCCGGCCGTGGCCTTGGTCTGACCCAGTCCGAGGCCTTGCTGGAAGCCGGTGCGAAGGTGTACGCCCTCGACCGTCTGGAGGAGCCCGTACGTTCTACATTCAATATCTATGATCCCTATCCACAATCCACTTTTCACTAACAACCCATCTTTGACCCCACAAACAGGCCCCCGAATTCGCCCAAATCCAGCAAAAGGCCAAGGAACTCGGGACGGAGCTGCACTACCGTCGCATTGATGTGCGGGATACCGAGCTGCTCAACAGCGTGATTGAGGCTATTGCCAACACCGAGGGGCGCATGGACGGTCTGATCGCCGCAGCGGGTATTCAGCAGGAGACGCCGGCTTTGGAATACTCTTCCAAGGACAGCAACACCATGTTCGAGGTCAATGTGACGGGTGTTTTCATGACCGCGCAGGCCGTGGCCAAGCAGATGATTCGTTTTGGTAACGGAGGCAGCATTGCCATGATCGCCAGTATGAGCGGCACAATTGCCAATCGGGTACGTTCCCCTTCCCCCCCTCCCCTACATTTTCCTCCCCCCATTATGGTCTTTACGTTCCACTTGGTGGCCTTACGAGCGCGTGGTGTTCCCATATCGATTCCCCCCACCTTCAAATTTCCCTTATTTTGTCTTGACCCTATACCCTGTTGGGCATGGTCTCTATCCCCCCGCAATAATGCCCAAACCCACTCGCTTCCCCGCTTTCCTTGTTACCGCTCCGATCCAAAGACTAACAGAATTCTCCCAGGGTCTCATCTGCCCCGCCTACAACGCCAGCAAAGCAGCCGTCATCCAGCTGGGTCGTAACCTGGCTGCCGAGTGGGGTCAGTACAACATCCGCGTCAACACCATTTCCCCGGGCTACATCGTCACCCAGATGGTTGAGAAGCTGTTCATCGAGTTCCCTGAGCGCCGCGACCAGTGGCCCAAGGAGAACATGCTGGGCCGCCTTTCCCGCCCGGAGGAGTACCGTGGCGCCGCGGTGTTCTTGCTCAGCGATGCGAGCAGCTTCATGACTGGTAGTGACCTGCGCATGGACGGTGGCCATGCCGCATGGTAAATGCCGCAAGAGGGAGGGGGAGTTGACGAATTGTAATCACTTACAGACTCTTAGAAGGTGGATCCAGTGAACTGGGATTCTGGTTCTCATTTTGCATGGCGTTGACTTGTTCATGTTTGATTTAACTTTTCTGCTTTCGATCAGCGATAGCGTGGGGTTTTGACAGACCGTCTTTCTTTTGCTTTCCCATACTTGATACGTTTGGATAATTTGTCGGTCTCATGGTTTTTGATTTCCCTCATTATTAATTAGACTTACATCGATCGCTCGAGTTAATGCACCTTCCGATGTGATCTGACCCACACACCCACTTTGACCGATCGGCTCCACAGAGACCGAAAACCTGGGGATCGAACGGTACTCATTAGCAAATTATAGCGTAATAGAGGAGCAGGGATAGTGACTAGCTTTCAATGCCAAGGACGTTGAGCAAGTTCGTGGCCTCTGCTTGTCCCCATTTCCAGGATGATTTGCGCGCGCACACGCACGCATACAGGAAGGGAAAATTAATTCAACCTTGCACTAACACACATACATCACTCCTCACTCCTCTCTCGTACGACCCGATGACCCCGATATTCACATTAATACTTTACCGCCATCGACAGTTCTCTCTCCAATCAGACTAACACTTCTCGTCCTTGTACGTCTTAAGTACGCCAAGCCAAGCGACCATTCTCAATACTTGCTTCTACAAGTCCATGATCCATCCTATTGATGGGAATTTACCCCGCACGACCAGTGACATGTCCACCCACTGCGAAATTTGCTATTGTTTACTTCACTTGTGATTTTGTCTTTTGAATAAAATATTCTTCCCCGCCTCTCCACACTGGAGAACCTCAGATTGAACTACCAATCACGGTCGGGCGTACTCGCTCGGTCCCTTAAGGACTTAGTCGACCATTTCTATTTGATATTCTGAACGCAGGGGAGGGGCGAATCAAGATTTTCCCATTTTTTGTCTATGATCATGACTTTAGTGATTGTCTTTGGATAAGTTGTGGGCCGAGTACCATTGTGGTTACTATTAGGGTTTATAATTGTCGGACGACTACTTAGGAAGGTCGTCATGATAGACTTGAGTTTGGCTCGGCTACTGGCGGGGATATCGTGAATTTGAAAGTTTCATTTCTGTCCGGGAGGTCAATAAGGTAGGTACACCGTCTTGGTTGAAAGTTGATAGTGCTGGTTGCGGGACCGTTGAAGTCATGACATGTCTCTCTCGAGCGCGACATGCCTGATTTGGTACACATGAGACACACCGAGAGGGGAAAAGGCAGGGAGTACCAATGCCCTTGGTTCAGAGAACATTCTTGAGGGTACTTCCTGGCTGGGTTGTTCAGTATCGGTGACTTCGACCGAGTACAGGGTAGAAGGATCTTAAATGCCTTGAATTGGGAGTCGCACAATGTACAACGTCTTGGTTCATTCAGCATTGCGCAAAGTACTACGGGCACTACTGCATTCCCGCGCCACGACAGACGGTATGACAGTCATGAGTCGTGGAACGACCGGGGGACGTCCACCCACATTCTGAGCCGCAATGTGATAGACACGTTATGTTCCTCTTTGGGTCTTCCTATTTGGGTAGGCTTCGGGATGAACAAGGTCTTTTTGGTGCCCTCGGGACTCCGTAATTAGAAGGTGCATCACCAGGGCGAGAAGGGTAAGCCACGCAGCCACAGTGGCCACTGGGGCGGTTTGCCACTCAAGGCAACGAGCATGGCTATCTAGGGTTGCGAGAATCCCTCAGTGTATCGTCAATTCAGTAGCAAGTTCTATGTAGGCAAAGTGTTAGACTGCAGATAGAATCCGAGTACGTGGTACTACTGCTGTAGGCGCTGTCAACGACGCTAGGGACATGGCTGGAACCGCTTATATCAAATTTTCCTGTGGCTGACTCGGCTGTCGGAAATAGTCGCCACCCATTGGACCGGGGTAGTAGCACAGTCGACTGCTGACTACCAATCTACTATCTACACTTACCTATCTCGACTATTGTACAATCTAGATAGTCGATATCGCGTAGTATCTAACCAGTGTCATCTTCCTAGATCGCCACTCGTTTATGCGACGATAGCAAGGCTCCCAAGTCCCCCCGTAATTCTACCCGTCCACTTGTCATCGCACGTACTTTGCATGGTACTACGGAGCACAATGCAGACCAGCTTTACCTGTCATACGACCTATCCACAATGTCCATCCCCAGAATTCCCCGAGTGGTAAGTTATGGACCAATCCGATCACTGCAACTTCATTTCGGAAGCTCCGAGACCCTCTTCCATGATATGGAGGTTGCCACGCTAGGCGCGACGGGAGAATAATGGCAACGGCACGTGGAGTTTCAGCCGAGCTTCGAAAACTGGAGGGGATCGGAGACGGGGAACTGGAGATGGGCGGAGTCCGATTCTTGGCACGGATATCATTTTATTCTCGAAAGGCTTGTTCCACTGGAATGTCCCGGTTGAACTCGTTTATTGTCGGGTGGCAGCGAGATAGTCTTTGGAGGGGCGATGATTGGAAGGTAATATGCGTAATCAGTAGGTCGTGAATGGGTAGAGGGATCAGCCACCAGAGGCTGTCAGATATTAGTTGCAGAAGCTGGGCTTGCGAGGCTGTTATCGAGGCAACTTATTCGGCTGAGATAACCCGATGTTAGTTGCTTGCTGGAAGTTCCTGGTGAACCAACCTAAATTGAGTTTAGCGGGGACCATAAACCCAAGTTGAGTCCCCAGACCAACCGGATCCGAGCGACGTTGAAGAATAACTATCACAATGGGGGTTAAATCCCTAGTTAGGAAGGTACGTAGTCCAAAAATTAAATGGGCCTCCACTCCCAGCCATAGCTAAAGTAAACCTACACCAAACTACAAAGCCAGCGGTAGTAGCCACGAGGGTTTGGCAGCCAGCAAACCTAAAGTGCACAAGCCACCGCACAAATTTCCCTCAAGGACCCAGCAGGAACCAACAGGAACCGACAGGAACAGAAGCGACCGGTGGTTCCAAGCGTTTCGACCACCGAAAGGTGTACTGTACTGCGTGGCACGGAGATAAAGATAACCGCCTAGTCCAACAGATAAGCAAAAACCAAGCATTAGTCCAGCAACGCTTAAGCAACTTCCAAGTCTGTGCAAGCCTTTTGCAGCCGCGCGCGGTCTGTGTGCCCGGCTTCTCCGTCGGACCTCCCATTTTCCTGATTTCAACCCCCCCCCCCCTTGTCCATTTCATCTGAAAGCCACCCCTTGGTTTTTTTCTTCTTTTTTTTTCCCCCGTTTTTAACCACGGAGTACAGCAGCCTTGTTCTTCTCTGTCCTATTCTCGACCCCGGAGTAATCTATAACCCAGGCGACCGGTTGCCACCAGACAGACGCCCGTAACCGAGGCCCCGCGGGTACACGAGTCCACGCCGGCTAGTTTAGGTTAAGCTTCTAGGTTTTCTGGCAAGCCACTCACAATGATCGAGGTGGATCTCATGCGCGAGAGTTACATGGCGCGGGACGGGTTGCATCCACCCACCAGTGCTGGACCGGGTATAGTGCGCTGCCAAGGCCCGGCGTGGTTTTGGTGTCCCGTATGCATGGAATCTGGCTTTCGATCTCATGACTCTTCTCATTTGTCGAGTATAAAGCCTTATCTGCCGATGACCACGGACGTCTTGCCCCTTTGAGTCTAGTCCGGTGGCCATCTTTATTGGATGGCGTGATAAGTCTGGGGTAAAAAAACATGGCCTTATTTCTTTTTCTCTTACTTTCTCTGATTTGTTTCCTGGTCTGATAATGGCGTGCCAAGCTAACGTAAAACCGTAAAAATGCCGAAACAAATCCATCATTTAAGTTCTGGACCACATGGAGACTACCGCGGACTCGGTGGTATACTCCGTAGAACTCGATTGTCTCGCATCTGCTTGTGCTGGACCCCACGCGACTAGAGACGACTATAAGATTGCCTTGCTTCCTCTTTTTCCCTCTCTCTTTTCTCCTCCTCCACGTTCTCACTTCTCTACCTTCCCCCCTCAGCTCGCCTCCTTCTTGCTCCGCCTTGAAGGCCCTTCATAATGGCGACCACAGCTGTGAGCCGTTCCAGCTCCTCGGACATTCAGGAGTCTGATCGTGTCGTGACCACCTTCGACGAGAAGCTCTCTGAGCCCGGCCGGCCCGAGAAGAGTCTCGTCTCGGACGCATACAACCTCCAGATCGGTGACGAGGATCCTACCGACGAGGAGTTGCACGGCCCCAATGCTCTGCGCCGAGTCTCCGCTCCTATCCCATGGGCCGTCTACACCGTTGCCTTCGTCGAGCTGTGCGAACGTTTCTCTTATTACGGAACTCAGGTTTTGTGTATGTTTTTGGGCTCTACTTTTTTCTTTTCAACCTGATCATGTGAACCGGTGGCTGACCATCAAATCTCATCTCTCTCTAGACTCCAACTTTGTGAACCACTCCCTGCCCTCGATCAATGGCCCACCGGGCTCCAACCACTACACCGGTGCTGGTGGTGGCACTGACCAGGGTGTCTCCGGTGCCCTGGGCAAGGGTGTGGAGACGGCTAACGGTATCAACACTTTCAATACCTTCTGGTGCTACGTCATTCCCCTGTTCAGTGCCTACATTGCCGATGAGTACTGGGGACGATACAAGACCATCTGCTGGTCTATTGCCCTGGCCATTCTGGGTCACATCATTCTGGTCATCTCGGCCATCCCCCCCGTCATCACCAACACTTCCGCCTGCTTCGGTGTCTTCATGCTCGGTGTGATCATCATGGGTCTGGGAACCGGTGGTTTCAAGCCCAACATTTCCGCCCTGGTCGTCGAGCAGATTCCTGCTGTGAATCTCAAGGTCCGCACCCTGCCTTCTGGCGAGCGTGTCATTGTCGACCCCACTATCACCCAGAGCCGTATCTACCACTACTTCTACCTGTTCATCAACATCGGTGCTCTGATCGGTCAGATCGGCATGGCCTATGCCGAGAAGTACGTCGGTTTCTGGCTGGCCTACCTCCTCCCCACCATCATGTTCCTCACTACTCCCTTCGTTATGTGGTGGGGACGTAAGCGTTACCGCCAGTCTCCTCCTCAGGGTTCGGTTGTCTCCAAGGCTGTCCGTGTATTCGCTTTCGCCCTGCGTGACCGCTGGCACTGGAACCCCATCAAGTTCTGGAAGCGCACTCACGATGGTACCCTCTGGGAAGCCGCCAAGCCTTCCAACATCGCTCCGGGCTCTCGTCCGGCCTGGATGACCTTTGACGATGCCTGGGTTGACGAGGTCCGCCGTGGTTTCTCTGCCTGCGCCGTCTTCTGTTATTACCCTCTGTACTGGCTGGCCTACGGTCAACTGACCAACAACTTGACCGCGCAGGCCAGTACCATGACCCTGCACGGCGTCCCCAACGATGTCGTCAACAACCTGGACCCCTTCGCGCTGATCCTATTCATCCCCCTTTGCGATGCCTTCCTCTACCCCGGTCTCCGCAAGATGGGCATCCGCTTCACCGCCATCAAGAAGATCACCGTCGGTTTCATGCTCGCCGCCCTGGCTATGGTTTGGTCCGCCGTCATCCAGTACTACATCTACCGGGACTCTCCCTGTGGTTACAACGCCAACAGCTGTACTGCCGATGACGGCTCTGTCATTGCGGCCCCCATCAACGTATGGGCCCAGACCGGCGCGTACGTTCTCATCGCTCTGTCCGAGATTTTCGCCTCCATCACCTCCCTCGAGTACGCCTACTCCAAGGCCCCCCGCAACATGCGTTCCTTGATTCAGGCCATCTCCCTCTTCACCAATGCCATCTCCGCCGCCATCGCTGAGGCCCTGAACCCTCTCTCCAGTGATCCCCTGCTGATCTGGAACTATGGTGTCTTCGCTGTGCTCTCCGCTGTTGGTGGTCTCCTGTTCATCATCCAGTTCTGGACCTTGGATAAGGAGGAAGATGAGCTCAACAACCTGCCCGAGGGTCGTATTGAGGCTGATGAGAAGAGCACTCAGGGTATCCTGGAGGCTGCCGAGATTGGTCCCGTCAAGGGTTAAACTGAGACAATCGAGGTTTTGAAAGTCTCTTAAAGTTACTCCGTGTATTTCCTTTTTCTTAATTTTCTATCTCATTTTTATTGAGTTCTGGGGTTTGCGCCGGAGTCCGATACGGACGGTCCGGCTCATGATATCCATGCTGATGTTCCGATACGACGGGATGCTTTAATGATTTGATTTTAATATCATATCCATGAATTAATAACTCATGAATGTTTTGGTGCCTCATGTAATTTCGTAAATTTGTAAGGTATTCAAAGGAATTCTCTACGCCAAGGTCAGCAGGACCAAAAAAAAAGCCTGGAGTGAAGCATGTCGTCTATCTACGGCCAAAGCAGAAGATGGCAGAGGGCCTACATGGGCCAACGACAATATAGAAAGAATCTCACGGAAAATCCAATCTCAATACAAACCTTCTGATCGACGATAGGACCTGCAGACAAGACAGGATCTGCCGTAAGTCTTCGTGCTAGCCGAAGCTGGTCCTAATCGACCAGGGACCGCACAGCCATATGGCCGGAGGGATACATCAGCGCTCCAGGTGTCCAGGGTTTTCGGGTGAAAGGGCTGAAGAAGAGGCAGCGCCTTAGGTCCCTTATTCTATGTGGGTGCTCACCTAGCGCCCATCGTTCGGTCATAGGCGGCTTGACGCTCTAAGCACTCGGGCTTCCGGCGGCTGTTCTCCCACCTAAATATTCTTCACCCAGAGGGGTGAAACCCTGCCCCCAAATACGCGTCGATATGATCCATCCATCGCACTGGAAGTACTACACCTTGCTAGGGCTGTCACATAGCAAAAGTGATTGCCGTTAGGGCCGTGGATGACGAACCTGTCTTGAATGGAGGGAATCATTGCCCTACCCGGATGACCGGGCTGGGAAGAGTGGTTGAGATAATTGAAGAAATCCACCTATTGAGTGCTTGATTCTGCAGCTCCAAACCTTGACTGCCACATTTCTACCCAAGTGGTAGTTTTGGCAGAGCCAGGTACTTGAATAGCTCCCGTAGCCGAGCCTGTGGGCTACTCGGTATCGGGATTGAAGGACATCACCTATCATTATGGGGCGATATCCACCAGGCTGGTACTTCTTGAGCCTCTCGACTTCTTCAAATGATCCAAATTCGAAGGGGGGTGGAGCAGAGTCAACACTGGATCACCTTTGAAAGCCATGGTCGACCTGAATGCACGCCCAACAATAGAGCGGCTCCCAGAGCAAGGACAGCAAAGCGACGAGGACAGTGTCTGATAGAGCCGATATGTGAAACCTTGTCGATGAGACCAGATGAATCTTTGTGACCTCATTATGGAAGCCATTACGGAAAAATTGGGTTCGGTGAGTGATCCAGTGGTGAAAGGTCCATCATTCTCATTCCCGTTTTGGAAGGTGGAGATTCTTTTATATCCTAGTGCCCTAGTGATACAACTAGTACTGACGTAGCCCCAATAGCTACGTGCTATGATTTATACCTCTATCAACGTGGCCTTGGAGGATATTCATTCTCAAGGTTCTACCCAGAACTAACGCCGGTGTTTCTTCTAGTAGGTTAATGTGAAGGTTTCTTCAGACAAATTTCAGGTGCGGCTAACGGTAACTATATTTTGAAGAGTCTAGCTGAATAAGCCCCTTCATGACTTAAGTTACGTGAGCGGGAGTGCAGATGATCGACCAGGCACTCGCAGTAAATTGCAAGGCTCACCTCTAATTTTGAGTCGTACAGGGTATGGCGGTCGTGTGAATTTTTTACTGAAACGGAGGTCGCTTATTTGAGTTCCCTCTAGGCGGTCCGCACATGCATCCGCCTCTGTAGCTATTCCACGGACCCTACCGCTAGTCCTGGCTAGACAACAATGGCGACTGATCTGGTCTACCTTACCAATTAACTAGTCTGGCGGGTGGATCAAGTTGAAGACTGGATGTTTCTGAGCATAAGCAGTGGCTGGTTCATATTCCATAATATATCAATGTAATTTAATTTTGCGATCGATTGACTGATACAATGAACTAATGAAACCACGCCACAAAAGCTGGTTGGAAACAAAAGCCCAGGAAAGAAGATAAGACCATGCCTACAGCACCCAAAAAAAAGTTTTTTTCTTTCTAAAACAACTCTTCGACTGGTATTTCAATACCCTTTTTGCTCAGCATGCCAACGTCGCCGACTCAGCATGGGATGATCATCCCAACCAAGCCTTCGGTTCCTATAATGTACTCCTTCATCGAGAGTGCTCAACAGCGCCAAGCCAAGGCCCTCGTGATATTCTGCAGCGGTCTGTGTGATCCGATGAATGTCTGGTTCCCAACACTGGCGGCCGTAGCAAAAAAGAGAAAGCAGAAGCCCCGTCCTCCGATGCTCCTTTACGATCGCTTTGGTTCTGGCGCAACTGGTCCGGATCCGACAGACAAAGGCAAAGGCGAACAAGATACGCACGATGTTATGGCCTCTGTTCGCGATCTGCGAGAGCTGCTTATTTGCATAGCGCAGCGGCACTTAGCCATACCGCCGAGTGAAATCGATGCCCTACGGCTCGTGTTTGTAGCCCATTCAATGGGCGCTATCATCGCGGAGCTCTACGCCAAGACATACCCGAAAACCGTGGCCGCATTGCTTGTGCTCGATGGAGCACCCACAAATTCTGATGGGCAGAGCTGGTATCCAGACCCGGATTCATTAAATTTTTCACCCGCTGCACTGCCCGAGGGGGTCACGCCTGAGCTCTTGCGAACGGCAAGAAAGCAACAGCGAGCAAGTGTCTATAACCCAAATACCGTAAACGGTGAACAACTACGATGGAGCAATCTTTCAGACTACATCCCGAACGTCGGTGCTCCCAAACTACGGGGTCCAATGAATGGTACCCCGCTGCTTACCGTAATGGCACATGATCCGGTTCCATTTGCAAAGCAGGTAAAGAAGGTCAGTCGATCTATCGTGAATCACAATAACCTTGCCACGTGGAGAATCTAAAGATAAACTTCCAAGTACTGACAAGGGGCAGATCACAGGTGCAGACGAGATAACGACCCAAAATTACAATTCGCCACGTTGGTTCCAGTACCTCGAAGAATTTTCAAACCTTGTTGACGCGAACCTTTGTAAGGGTCCTACTATTACAAAAGGAAGCGGCCACTTCATACACTTAGAACGGCCGGATCTTGTTGCTTTAGAGCTTAATGAGCTTCTCGACAGATTCTTCAGTCTATATGAGATAACACCCGGCAAGCTATAATGCACGGCATGGGTACTGTTAGGTGTCGTGGAAAAGAGGCGTTGTACATGACAGTGACTTGGAATTGGTCTTCGAGCAACCCAATCGTCCCTACGTTTTGTATGTAAGTTTGAAACTCCAACAAATTTTCAAAATCATCTCATACTCACTAGTTGAATAGTTTGTGTGGTATGAAAGATTCGAAAGGCCGTTCAGAAAAGAGAGATTGAAGCATGTCTAATTGGTCCGTTGCTCTGGTTTCTAGATTCGGACTTTTGAACAACTATAAGGAGATCCTCTTTAGAATATGGTAACACAGTTACTCCGCTAAACCCTAAATGGGTGTGTATCGTGTGATTAGCAATCTTCTATCGTCATTCTAGCAATTCCCAGAGAATATAGTGTGTCATGTCGGGTAATTGCCCGATCCACATTGGTATAGAACATCTCCATAAATCGACTATCAATTTATCTTCTCTCCATCTTTGCCAAAGTATCTGCCACCACAATTACCCTCCACCAGAGCCAAGCACAAGATCGAAGAGAAATAAAGAACAAAAGAGAAAGAAAGATGTCCATATCCCTCGCCAACGCCGACCACGAGAGTCGCCCCTCCGCCATCTTCCTTCGAAACACCCACAGCCCCAAATTGGGCTACGCCATCTACCGCGCTAATTACGATCCCGCGCCGGAGGCCAACTGGGCGCACACCCTACACGCCATCCTCGCGCACATCCTAACCTAACCTCCATCGAGGAGGAGTTGCACAAGCCCCTGTCGTGGATGTGCATCTCCACCGTGGACCACCAGCGCATCCTCAAGGACCCCTCCCTGCTCCCAGCGGTGGACCTGGCACCAGTTGACGCGGCCAAGGCGGGGCTGGAGCTGATCGTCCACGACGACGCCGCGCGCTACGACGGGCTCTCCGTGGAAGATGTGCGCGAAGGCTTCCACGCCCTATGTACGGACGGTGACCCCGCCGCGCCGTCAGTCGCGGAGCTCTTCGTGAACCCACACATTCTGTCTGTACGAATACGCGCCGGACTGCCGGTGTCGGCGGTCGTGTGCTTGATGGTGGACGGGGAGGTGCTGCGCGCGGTGGGCCAGGACCTGCGCAGTGAGTACGGCGAGGGCCTGTTTGTCAAGGCCATTGAGCGATTGCCTTGTCTAGGATCCGACCACGCGGGTTGGTTTAGGGTCGCGCTGACATATCTATAGCAGCTGGTCATACGGGCGGACAATAGCGGTGGCATGGATCAGCTTTTGTCGCCGATACGGCGCACCGCTGGTCTATAATGGCTCATGGCCAATGGATCTGGAGTTGGAGTCTGCCGGCATTGACTCCGGTAAGCTGGCCGAGATCGAGGAGGCTTATGCAAGGGGAGAGTAGACAATTGCTGGTGGAAGACCGTCCCTGATGTACTTATTGTGTTAGATTGGAACTATTGTAGGAACAGGAACTCTTGTTTAACCCTAGTAGATGAAGCTACACCTACGGCCTCAGACAGCCATCTCCTCAGCCGAATCCTATCCGTAGATCGGTCCGACACAATACCGTACCCCCGTCTGCAACAGCCCGGCACAACTCTCCACGCCATCACCGGAAATGCTGGGGTTCACTGCCCTGAAGAGATCAATGTGATTTCATTCTGCGTGCAAACGCTGGCACACGACACCTCCGCGTCGGTCACTTTAATGCACAGTCCTAAGCACCTCACCACCGCCAATCAGCTCATTCTATAGCTATACAGTATCAGAACTTTAGTAATTAAATATAGTTCTGGAAAGAGATACTGCAGAGATCTACACCGACGCCTTATACGCAGAAAAGACGGATAGAAAGAGCTCAGAAGACCACATTTTAATACGGACCGGTAGACTGGCGTGCCACCTAGCATAAGACAGTCACTACCAGTATCACAGAGCCCGAGCTACACGCATTAACTAAAGCTGGAAGAAATACCAGGACATAGGAACGACTATTCAAGGTCATCAACTTCCGATCGGAGAACCCACTCACCATCAAGTATGATAACCGCCAAACTGTGCATATAGTAACGAAGAAAGATCCCACAACCAGGACGAATCTTCGGCTTGTCGATATCCGCCAGCAATGGTTTCGACAGAAGGTTCAGGGAAAGAGAACTCATATCGAATAGGCCCCGACGAAGGACGTAAGTTAGTTTCTTAAATATGTGAAATTTTATATTATTGGAAATATCGGGGAAACGGGAGACCACTATAGATAAGGAGAGCCTGTTAACCATAGATCTCCACCATCGTCAATCCCCCTCCATTCAATTGGGCATATCGAATACCATGCATTACCGATTTTCTTCGGTTTGACAGTGTTGAATAAAAGGTCACATTCTCTGAAGAGGAGTTATGGAATCAACGTGGCGTCTACTTTTGCAATACTGGAAAACGTTAATGCATACATTGGCCTTGAAGTGGAACGTGTTCCTATACGTACATTTTGAGATGTGTTTCAACACACTCTCTCTATTTATAAATTGAGGGATTCAAGGAGTCTTTTATTCGATATTAAAATCCCAGCAAAGGTGCGGAGTTGGAAAAAGGGCAATCTTTGGGACCAGAGAAGCCTCACAGTTTGTAGGACGCTGCAGCCCATTGGGTAGCCTTGTTCCGCCCCAAGTGGATGGCAGCAGGAAGATCCGCCGCCATTGGGTCCTTGGCCTCGGCGTGCCGCTGGTGGCGCAGCCTGCAGGTTGTCGTTTTTGTGCAAGAGTTGATAGGCTCTTCAGCAGCGCCTAGATTAATTTGCGCCGAGAAGTACGCGCCCTGATGTACCGATGAAATTCACAGCCCTGGGTGAAATTGGTTCATCTTGTTTGTCTCCCCCACCTGTACGGACGGTGCCCCAACCTCCTTTACACTCTTCTTGTCGGGAATCAAACAGAACCATCATCACCAACCCCAATAAACACGATATCGTGGTATTGGATATACAGCTCCACAACAAAAAAATGGGCAAATCACGAAAGACCTACCTGATCCCCAATACTGTTGGGTTTTATCCGTCAGACGGTCTCGTGGCATTGGGACGCATCATTACCGATCCCTGGGTTCCCGATGAGGCGATCAACCCAACATCCACCTTGCCACTTCCAAAGCTGGAACAACAAACGGAGAGGGATTTCAAGACAGTCATCAAGCATGGTTCAAAGGGAAGATATGGCATATTCTTGCAGTTCCTTAACCTGTCCGTTGTTGAGGGAAAGCTTGGCTTTCACCATTCAAACCACGAGGATTTGTACATGTCTGCGTCGAAGATGGAAACAAAATACTTCATTCCGACCGACGAATATGTCGAAGAAGCCTTGCGACAGCATGAAGTCACTTCGAAGCTTTCAAAGCAAGGATATACAGAAAAACTCTATATGATCATCGGTCTCAAGATTGCCAGGGGCGCCCAAGTCACGACGCTCACATCCAGTGCGAAAGGCGGCGATGCGAAGGTCTCTGTCGACGGGTCCTCATTCGGAGCAGCAGGGCTCAAACTAGGACCGGAATTGGAACTTTCCCATGCTCATTCAATATACAAGTCTTCTAAACCCGAGTCGGACTTTGTGTATGCCTATAGACTGCGAGAGATCTTGTACTACCAGCAGTCGCGCCCGATAGATACTCGCGATTATACTAAGGGTGCGGCAGCTGGATTGAACCATGGGGCTTTGAATTCCAAGGAAGGAGAGGAAGTGGCGAGTGCTTTGATTGACGACTTCGACTTTGACGGAGTAGTGAATGAAGATGTTGGACGGGAAGATCTGACGAGCGAGGGAGATGTGTACGAGGAGGTAGATGAGGAAGACGGGGAGGAAGTAGATGTGATTATCAAATCGAACTAACATAACTACTGCGGCTGTAAACCTTCCAAATGAAAAAACGGGACCACATATATTCGAGTATCAGTCACGTATTCAATGAGAAATGGGAATTTTGCTCATCTATGTACGTGCAAGCATGCCTGCACATAGGAATATACAGCCTCGCCAACACCCGATCGGGTTAGCCATATCGAAGCCGCCCGGGCGCACGCCCGCGCGTAGTGTGCGCCCGCCAGCTGAATGTCCTCATTACTCGTTCCTCCCCCCCCTTTGCCGCCATCACCCTTCCACCCTAGCTGGCTTTCAATAATTGTCCTCCAGAACATAAGCATTGTCTTGACTGCTAGTTCAAATCTCTTCTCATCATTGCCTGGGTCGATGCCTCGATCCCGCTTTATTAGCGCATATCTCACTGTCCATTAGAGAGCAACAAAGCTGCCCTCTCGGTGGACACCATGGAGCGACTAAACTCTGAGAGCTCAGAATTCCGCCGTGGTGTACAGCTTTTATCACCACTAGATGTGCAACATAAATTCACAGGGCTGCTACAAAGATTGAAACTGGATACGACTCAAAACATTTCCTCCCTGATTCTGGACATTATCTCTATTGACGAAGACAAGGCCGATGGCCGAACAGTCCAACAGTTTATTCAGCTTGTGTTTCGGAATTTTAGGGGTGGTTCTTCTGCCTCCCCTTCCAAGTATGCTAAATTATGCAAGATCATATCTGCTAATATGAGCCCAAGGATCAAGGATGAGAGCATTCGTGATGAGAATGGAAAGCCAATGGCGGGTGGGTCGCTCTTCCGAGAATATCTGCTACGTTGCTGCCAGGAAGAGTGGGAATGTGCTTCCCAGGTCGCAATTCTAACCACTCCGTTTCTCTCGAGTAATGTTGATGAATCAAGTGCTAGCGATTTGGTGGCTAGCTGGAAGAGGCGCGCCCAAGCGGCGTTCGTTGGCGAACTGTACAAAGTCGGCCTGCTGGCGGAAAATGTAAGATGTCCTCTGCCCGCATGGATGGGCTTTTTATCATCACATACCTCCGACGAGTCACGCATGCTAAGCGTTTTTCAGATTATCGAAGGCTGTATCCAACGACTATGGGACCACGAAGGCTTTCCTCACGATTCAGAGGTCGACCGTCTATGTAGCCTGCTGCGGGCAGCCGGTGTTAGCCTGGATAAGTCTGAGAAGGGCTCTGCCATTATGGACGCCTACTTCACCCGTATCACGAAACTTTTGGAAAGAAGTGTTATTAAATCAGAAACGAAGAAGAAGCTTTTGGTACATTAGACCTATCCGACTGTTGCATTCATGATCCTCTCTTTCAGCTTATACAGAGCAGAGAAAGAAGGTCTCTAACTTTGACTTTAATATAGTGTCTTATTGATCTGCGATCGAGTGGCTGGGGTGTCAATAAGGCCTTGCTTGACTCCAAGTTGGACCAAAAAATAGCTGAGATGAAGAAAAGGAATGAAAGGTTGTGGGAAGAGTTGAAACAGCTGGATATAGCGGTAAATCCTTTCCCCCCCCCCCCCTTTTTTTTTGGATCACATCGATATTCCAGAGACCAGAGACCTTCTAACATATCCAAATAGTCTCAGTCTATCCCATCAGTCCTAGATTCAAGCCAGGCTAGCCCGGAATTTACCCCGGGATTTCCTCTAGAATTTCCCCTGGAATTTCCCCTGGAACGAATGGAAATAACACCAGAGTGAGTTGGAAGAACCTTGAGGTACTATAATACGGCACTTAGTCACTGACCGAATGGTATTGGGTGGCATAGATCTATCCTGGACCAAGAAGTTATCAAATACGATCTCACTGGAGGTCGACCGGAGTGGATTTTTTCATCATACGCACCCGTTAGTAATGGCGCGGCTTCCCTATTTGGAGGCCCTTTCTTGCAGGGCATTGTTTCGCGCGAACAGAGCATGGAGGAGATGCGTCTTCGCCATTACGAACGTGCAGCCAAGGGTGACATGACGGGCGCCGTCTTAGAGGCACAGGCGCTCTGGCAAATGTGCAATGACCAAATGAATTATGCGCTGAACGATCTTGGGGGGGCTGTGAAATATATCAACGACGCTTCCCGCGAATATCCCAACCGTATCGACCTCATAGAAGGAAGGGGGTTTTTCAATCTATCTCCTTCACTATCAATTGTACAGCTGGGAGTCATTCAAGCGCCAGACACCGACGCGAATGTTGATGCCATTCAGAATCGTACCAAAAGCACCTCCATTTCAGAGACCAATAAAATGTCGGAAAGGGATAAACCCCGGACATCACGAAAGCCGCAAGGAAGAGGTGCCGGAAGTACGTTAACCATCTTCTGAGTGTTGGATTGATTCAACTAACATTTCATGTAGACAAAACGCCCAAGCGTGGTGGACCAAAGAGGCATGAAAGTACGGATAACATTACAACCAAAGCCATTGAGCCCGAGTCCACAGGTCTTGAACAAAGCAGATGGGCCCGGTCCAAGTCATTGCCACGCTCGGTTCGCTATGATGAGGGATTCATATGCGGTGCCGGAGAGGGCAACACACCTGAGTAAGGCTCCACTAAATGTTTCAAAATTCCTTCATTAACCATCTAAATAGAACGTCCGATGAATGGCTTTCTGAAGCACAAAGCCTTCTCCAATACGTGCCCAGACTTCTGAATCGAAGTAGAGTTAAAGTTGCAATTCTAGACTCGGGTATTGACTTGGATCACCCCTGGTTTAGCAAGAAAGGCCAATTTTGCCAAGAGATGCCCCGGGAAAGAGTCAAAGGCTATTGCAGTTTTCTGCTGGGACCAAGTGACGACAAGGGCGGAAATCAAGAGGGCATAAATGCCGCTGAGGACATCATTGGACACGGCACACATGTTGCATCATTGGTCTTACGTCTCGCCCCAAATGCGTTCGTGTATGTGGCACGAGTTATCGACGATAAGGGTAAGGTTAATCCTAGAGCTGTGGCTAATGTATGTTCTCCTGAAGACAGATCCGAGTGATTCAACGACTGATATAATATAGGCCATTGAACACGCAACCAATAATTGGGGTGTGGACATAATCAGTATGTCCTTCAGCTGGAGTATCCGACAAGAAGACGTGGCAAATGCCATTGAGAAGGCTGCAAGCAAGAAGATTGTTCTCTTCGCGGCCGCATCCAATAAAGGTCTCAATGGCACTGGCCTTCTGGATTATCCTGCCTCCTCCAAGGATGTAATTCCTGTTTTTTCTTCCAATCTCCATGGCTTTCCGTCAATTTTTAACCCCCCGGATGGCCAATTCTATACGCTTGGAGAAGAATTGTCGGGTCCTTGGGCCAGAAATAACCAGAATGGGTCCGAACCCGAATGCCGGAAAACTGGGACATCCTTTGCCACCCCAATCATGGCGGCTCTAGGTGCGATTGCTCTGCAATATATTCGGTTCAGGAGGCGCCCTTCAAAAAGTCCTTTGAGACCAAAAAGACCAGACAGATCAGACAGGGCCCCCCTGCGAGTTTTCAATCGAAATGGGGGATTTCTAGATGTGGGGGACTTGGGCGGATTGAAGGGCAGTGAGGGGATGAGAATTTTGCTAAAACTCATGGCTAAGACTCATACGCTTTCACACAAGTATGAGTATATCAGCCCGGGATTTTGGCTATTACCCCCGGGAGATCCTGATAATAAGTTGTACGATCTACTTGAGCTCCACTTTGGGTGCACAAGGGCAGATGAACAGTGATGGAGAGTCTTTCTAAACCTCCCCTTCACTATCGATAGACTGGATATTCCTATTGTAGTACAGGCTTCAAAATTCTCCATTCCCCCTGAGCTCTTCGAAATGAGTAAGACACGTGTCAGAGATTCTCCAAACCCAAAGGCTTGATATTAGTAATGTGAGGGATGCTCTCTCTCCTTATGGCCCTAAAGGGATCATTAACTAAATTCAAAGCAACTTTCAATGCTTAATAGTTTGATCTAAGATATCTAACCAACTGTAAGCCTTCTGTATTCTTACCGTCTATCGATCTAGTGGATATATAGACTAGAGATAAATTAAGAGCTACTTTATGCTTCCTAGAGTATCCATCGGCTTCCCTGACTGGGATAGTCTATAAATTAATCAATCAATTATCCAGCAAGTTCCTAGGAGTAGTGTCTTTTGAGAGATTAGTAAATCCGTAGAGATAAGGCTTAATTGAGCAATTTTTGCGGTACGCATGCTTAATGTAGAGAGGAGGTTCCCAGAGTAAGACTTGCGGTCTTCTAGTATGTGTATGTGATTTCTCCTAGACTAGCTCCATGCCTGTCAAGGAAACAGTAGAAATCAGTAGGCTAGGGTTCCCAGGAGTATGTAGGTGATTATTGGTTGATTAACTATCAGGCTTCACCGAGGCGCAATAACTACCAAAATGAATGTCAGGTTATTGATGGTAATGCTTTTTGGATGGGACAGTGGGGTTAGTCTACAGAAAGAGAGTTTCACATTGATAGGGCCAGCCAGCGTATTGCGTTTTATTGAGAAAAGCCTTGATTTGAACAAGTCAAGATATCATTTCAAGAAAAGACACCTCGTCCATCATTCTATCCTAGTTTCGATGATAATCCATGTAGGCATTATTGGACACCAAGAGGTCTGGCATGATGGACGTATAAAGTTCGACGGCCAGAGTTGCTTGGTCTTTACTAAAGCGCTTCACCTGTCCAATGCGTCTGTAATGCTTGTCGCACAAGTGAAGTTCAACATGATCTTTGTCGCCAATTCTGCCCGTAGCAAGTTTGTCCTTGGCTTTCAGGAACTTAAAGTACGCTATGTGTTCGTGCATTGTAGTATAGTATAAGAGCCCGAGGTCCGTGCCGGCAATGTGCGTGGTCGTGTCTGCTGCCACATAAGCTTGGAAAGCCCTGTTATATAATGGGTATGGCGTATCGTATTGTAGCTGTTCCACGTCAGCCCTGTATTGCACTCCGCGATAGTAAAGGGGCATACCGATGCCGGCTGGTGCAGTTGTGTCCAAACCTTGACCTCAAAGTCACAGCCACCTGGTTTCGAGCGCTCGTTTTCCCGGTCAATTCCGATGTATTCATGCCAATTAACTGTGTATCCTGCCGAAGCAAACTTTTTCTCAACCTTGTAAATCTCGTTCTCAATGTGCTCCGGTTTATGGTTGTAAAGTGTTTCGCGGCTGTTAAGTAAGTGATTCTTAAGCTCCTCGAATAATCCAACTGCTCCATGGTTAGCGCCATCGATTTTCCATGCATTGATTAGGGGCCAATGTACTATTCTTTTGGTGGGAGGGGTTGTAGCGAAGGCCGTAATACTGCCCCGGTTCTATCTCTTTATCCGCACCCTCATCGGCAAGAAGGCGGAAGCGGCAGATCACTAATTTGTTGGAATCGGCCATGATTTGTCGAAAAAGGCCGGGAATATGCTCATAATTCTCAAATGTCCCAATGAAGTCTCCAATTGGCATGACGTCCTTTTGCTGCAAAGATAATCAACTAACCAGATCCAAAAAGAAAACTAGGGTATGCATAGAGAAGACAACTTACGTTGATGACTCTCCAGTTCCTGAAGGGCTTGACTGTGGAACACCATGCTGGAGGACTAAATGATAGATTAGTAAGAGGGAGTCAGTCTTGGTTGACAGCTGCTCACTTGTTGCAAAGCGTTGTATCACCACCCACGGCTTCCCAGGAAAGTGCCTTGTTCATGCTGCTGAACTGGTCGCTTGAATTTTCCGCGTGCTGGGTTTCCTTGCTGTAACTGAAGGAGCCTTGAAACCGTGCAGACGAAAAGGATATGGCGGCGCTAATTTTCATCGCATTTGCCTTTTCGGACGTGCTTTTCGTGTCTTCCGATGTGAATTGCTCTGTAGCGAACAGCTTACCACCCAGTTCGATGTTAGTGGCAAAGAAATGACCTATCATACGAGTCAGCAGCTCGCCTAGAAACACGGAAAAGAGGTAAAACTTGTGACACACCGAAACTCTGGTAGAATTCGATCAAAGCTTCTTCACTGTTCTTCTCTTTGACACGTTCCAAGGCTTTCTTGCAGTTAGGAGTCAGCTCTAAGCTCCTGTTGTCCAGATGCAGTACCGCTCTCGGAAACTATACCAACATGTCAGTTTAGAGACATAGAATACATAGCTCTTCCTACATTGTATGTGATGTTCATGGACCGGTGCTTCCTTTCGTTGGCGCTAGCTAGGGCATCGCTCTCATTCTGACTATACCCAGCGTGAGCGCCGGCACTTATGCCGAAAAGGTTTCCTCCACTGCAGATCTTTAGCTTATTGTAGTACACAAGGCTTGCAGTTGACCCACATTGAAGCTTCAATATCAGTCTGTGAAAAATTACTCGATGCAAGACTTCTGGACAGTGCATCGGCGGTTTCAAACACATTGACATAGGAATCATCGGTGACAATGTACAGAGGACACTTGTGCATGGCCTTCTTGCTATTAGATCTGGGAAGGAAAGAGAGATAGGTTTAACGACTTACTACTTTTTCAGGGAGCTTGATATTAGGACCGGCTGTTCCCAACTCGCTGAGGTCCCTCGGTTTGATAGAAAAGGCTTCATATGAGAGCTTAGTCCAGATTGAGTCTTGCACACGAAAAACGTACTTACTAGCATATGGAGCTTTGTCTATCCTCTGGAAGGTTCGTGTAACATCATGGACATTTTTCGAAAAAACCATTCGCTGGCCATTCAAAAAATGGGTTGTTCGACAAACCATGTCCCAATCTTCATCTGACAGGGAACCCGCCGAGCTGGTGCATGATCAGCTATTGGTATCCCAAGAATTTTGTAGATTTTACTATACTCACATTGAATCGACTGTAGCCTTCGCTTTGAACTCGGAATGATCGTAGCCACTCAAGTTAAAGTCCTTGATGGCCGCGGTGAGCAAATCCACTTTGTCTTTCTATGTCTAATTGTAAGCTTGATTCAAACGAGGCATGAGTATTCAACATACAGCAAAGCTCATGTCTAACGGAGCCTCGAGGAACTTTTTAACGGGCTCGCTGAGCTCAACATATTTGGCCGGCTGGGTTTCATCTTCGGGCAACTCAAAATACACATCATGACCGGTAGTACCTTGAACGGAAGTCTTTCCCTTGTCTTCGGTATCGTCTTTTGTGTTCTGAAGTGGGGGTTAATGATGTTTGCTATATTCATGGATGAGCCCTTACGGTTGTAGGTTTCTCAGCGATGACGTCCTTATAATGGGACCATTTAGTGTCATCTCCTATGCGGGCCCCATCCTTGGTGCAGAAAGGCAATCGAGCCCTGTGGTATTTTGGTTGTGAGGACATGAACTTCACTGGCAGATGGGCAAACAACACACTTTTTGGAGTCAAGTTTGTCGTCTTTGATGAGGAGGGCTCGGATTGTCCCCAAGGTCGTAGTATTATCGTTGTCTGAGGTCGTTGAGACAAAGATACGATTTGTGATCTTTGTTTTCCCAGCCTTATCACAGGTCCAGATGTTGAAGAGGCTCTCCCTATTCTCAGACATGGTGGAAATGTTAAAGGTTTGAGTGTTCAAAATTCAATTTTAATCAGCCAGAGATGAACTCAAAGTAGTGAAATAAATGAGGAGGGAAGACTGCACCTTTATAATGAAAAGACTGACAATCTTTGCTTCCTCCGAACCTCAGCTGTGAGGTATATTTAAAAATTTTTCGATAGATCCGACGCAGAAAAGTGGACCTGAAGAGATCATGACCTAGCGTGAAGCTGGAAATTTTTGATATGTCTCTACTAAAGTGCCGAGAAACCTACTACGTTAATGGGTCAAAGTTCTTAACGTGGCTGACTGGAGGTAGGGACAATTTGACGCATTGCTGCTGCATGAACGGCACAATCACATCGCATATCCCCATCAGACCCACTCTAACTGAGGCCAGCAAATGCAGGCCACGCCCACAGGATGTGCCATGCGCTGGCCATACGTTGGCCTTTCGGCACCGTAACCCCCTTGCTTCTTGTTTGTTTCCTGTTTGCATGAAAGACGCTGTATTGCACTTGATGCTTGAGGGGTAGGCTTGCAACTCCTCAAGAAACAGTCTCTTGTCACAATTGGACTTGGTGCTTTGCTCTCCTACCTTGTTGACAGGCTTCCTACCCTGCAAGTAGTTTATTCTTAACAGTAACGGGATAGAAGGTTATATGATTTATAGGATGCTAAAGGAGATCAGAGTCTTCCTTTTATTTTTTGAGATTATAAACTCAACGCGATATAATAGAGTGACAACCGGGTCTAACCGAATTATCCTAAAAGAGCCGGCCCATTCCTATATTGATGTAAGAGGTAGGAATGCAGTCCTTGGCTTAAACGGAGATACTTAGATTATAGCTATAGGCGCGCTAGTATTTATAGCATAATTGACCCTAAAGAATATACTACTTTTGGAATAGCTAGAAGGACGTTCAGAAACAAACGCTGATTGGACGTAAGTGGTGAGCAAGCACTAAGCGAACACTGAGCATTAATGCATTAGTCACTCATCATCACTCATCATATGACTCTGCTGACCTGATTATAGTGATAATGGTGTCTCACTACTTTATGATATCATCATGCGTCAAGCTGTGTCACTGGATGGCGTTGGGATGAAGTGTAGCAGCGGGGTTGCCATGCGACATTCAGCAGATTCAAGCACCGTTAGGTAAAACCCCTCGTCCGTCGGAATTTGCCCTTGGACTTAAGCTAAGTGGTCTGGAACATATCCTTTTTCTGCGTTGAGAGGCTGCCGTACTCGATTGATTACGAGTACGAAGTCATATTTTCCGTTGTGGAAGTAAGGACAAGGTTTATCGTTATTAAAGTACCGCACTTCGCAAGTCTCAAAGAGCGCTCAGAGAGTTCCGTATCCAATAATAGAGTACGATGTTATTAGACTTCGGTGTATGGATCATCACCAATTCTAGACTGTGCGGGTCTTGGTCCATATAGTTGACGTCACAATATGCGGAGAACGCATTCGGGGGGCAATTCGATGATAAAAAGGCTTGTTCTTGCCCGACTCGCATCAATGAGGTTGTGTAGTTTTGTTACCAAACTCGGATATCGAAGGTTATCACATTAGTTCTCGAACTCAGTCGAATATCGCAGTTACTATGTCTAGCTCATCTGACCGCGCTCCCGTGCGAGACCAAGCGGAAGCCGATGCCTGGTTCCCATCCCCTTACTCGCTCACGCAGTATGTGTCAGCCAAGACGGACTTTGATGGAGCAAACTACCCCAACTCTTACAAAGGCGGCAAATGGAAGGTTCTTCTCATTGGAACACAAGAGCGTTACCTCGAGATGGCTGGCGGCGAATTCTTTTCGACTGGTAATCATCCGGTAGAGATGCTCCTGCCCATGTACCACCTCGACGCCGCAGGCTTCGAGATCGACATTGCGACTCTCTCTGGCGACCCAGTTAAGCTTGAGATGTGGGCCTTTCCCCAGGAGGATAAGGCCTTCAAGGAAATTTACGAGAAATACAAGGCCAAAATCCGCAAGCCACTTAATCTCGAAGACGTATGGGGCAAAGGTTTCACCCAGCAAACACCCTATCTCGCTGTCTTCGTTCCTGGTGGTCATGGCGTATTGAACGGGGTCCCTTTTTCTGCGACCGTCGGCAAAGTTCTTCGCTGGGCACATGAGAACCAACGTTTCCTCATTACACTGTGCCATGGCCCGGCATGCATGCTTGCCGCTGACATTGACAAGCCTGAGGGCAGCAAATTCATTTACGACGGATACCAAATTGATGTTTTTCCGGACTCTTTAGACTCAGGAACCAATATTGATATTGGGTACATACCTGGGAAGATGGAGTGGCTGGTTGGCGAACGGCTCCGCAAGCTCGGCGTCTTGCCTCTCAATAAAAGCATCACTGGCGAAACCCATAGGGATCGGCTTGTCCTTACCGGCGATTCTCCGCTGGCGTCCAACAACCTCGGCAAGTTAGCTGCGGAGACACTCTTGAAGGAGTTTCCAGGATGATTCCTCATTTCATACTATCCACCCCAGTGATGGGGGGGTCAACATAAACATTGCGAAAGGTCCCTATGTGCCGGTTTTAGAAAGTTAGCATACACCCGAAAAAGTTTTCCAATTTTTGTCGTGATATCTGTGTTTGTACACTTTACTAGGGCAATATTTACACTTGCCAGAATCTGGAGCTTCAGTCCCACCATTCCTAGTAATGTAAGCAAGGCCACCTACTCGCCCTGGCTGGTACCAGGCTGTGAGTCGATATCGATTCGAGATGCCCTCCCGCCTCGTCTGAAAGCAAAGCCGAACTGACACGACATGCTGGATCTTTGTCTATTAACTTCACGGACTTGGCTTTGTATGATGCTTCCCGTCGAGGATAAGCTGCAGTTTAAGCAGATTGGAAAAAGTGGGATTTGCATGGAGAAGTTCCGTTCCTTGGGGTCAAGTTTGATCGTGGAAGGGTATTACTTCTTGGACAGCTGAAAGGTTGAGAATATACGAACAAATGGTATTACCAGAGTGTGGTCAACGATTGGAGAAATGGAGGTTCCGATTCATTGTTCGCTTATGACTTACACTGGGAAGATTTGATCAGCGGGACTCTCATCAAGTCAATAATCAATGTCAACCAGCTTCCTCAGCGACTGATGGATCCCCGTAAGATCCGCGTTGAGCTTCTGAAGGCCGTAATCAAATTCCACAAGATGTCTACCACCAAATGGAACAGCATGTCGCAGCTTTCGAGCAAGAGGATACCACTCATCTCAACCAATTCAATCTTACCTTGACAGTATTTACGAGCTCGGCAGACCTAAGTGAACAACCCAACGAGTCGAGTCTGTTCACACGGAGTACACCGTGCATAACTTTTTCCTTCCCACACCTCAAAGTGGGCGCCTAATCTCCACAGTTCGCGCTAGATCCACACCAACTCCTTCAGCCCCAAGCTAGCGACCGGGCTAAACGGCAAGCCACAGCCACCTTGCTCTATCGAGGCAAGTCTCGCGCTCCCTTCGGACACTATCTACGGTCCATGATCCTATTGTATCCATGCCAAGGGCCCCGAGTGCACAAAATTAGGTATCGTTCAGCCACTACCGACCCCATCAATGCTCCTTCGGCATATATCCAGCCATATCCAATGGTTGCGAAGGAAATTTCACTGCCTAGTGGTAAAGATGGGTCCGTAGAAGACTAGCAGGGGGGGGAGGGTTCGGATTTCCCGGCTGCATACCCTGAAATGCCCTGTTTGGGAGCTTGTTCCCACCCAGGGACTTTGTGTTTGATTTTCAGTCTGAGCCGTGTTGGAAAGGTCCATGGGAATTGGGTGGGAACTGTTTGGGGTGGATCGACGGTCGGGCAGTTCAAGACCAAAGGAGCTGAATAACAGGATTGGCTTGAGTGATAGATCTCTGGTCGTGTGGGTATTTTTGGGCACCCGCGATTATTGAGATTCCTGATATGCTAGCGACGATTTCGCCATTCTGGTCTATTACTTGAACACTCCACAACGGTAGTTCAGAAAGACGACGCAGTAAACGGGATACGAGATACGAGATACGAGGGTACGAAATCAACCCTGGAAATGCAGTAGCCTAGCTAATTGATCTGGCATGTACAAGAACCGTGATGAGCGGAATCTTTATCCTATCGACTAATATCCCGGAGAGGTAAAGCAACATCGACGGCTTGTTTTTCAGGGTCTTGCGCGCGTATTTAGGCCCAATCTATACGGAGAACCCCTCAAGGCCAATCCACGATTTCCAGACCACTATCAGGCCCCCAGTTCCAGAGTTATAATTTGTCAAGCTGGATGATCGCCAAGTCGATCCCCGCGAACTATCACGGGCGATGACGTCTCGGGGAGAAAATCGGAATGGTCACAACAATACAACCTCAAGGGTGGCACAGGCTCACCTCAGCTCAGCCCTGTAGGGACGGACTCCAAAATAAGACCGTATTATTTCAGCCGGACTGGATTCACAGTGACAATACCCAGTTATGCACACGCTGAATCCGCCGATTCGCGACGGAGTGAGAAACCTATCATTTTCGGGGCCGGCGGAAGGGTTCAAGCCAATTGATGGCTGATATAGCTAGCTCCACTAGCTTCCTCTCCACTCGCTGCGCCATGATTCACGGTTCCCGGGAATGATCCGAGTCCGTTCAGTTTGCACATGTATTTGCCAAGATGTGAACGAGAGCGTACGAGGTGAGCTTCCCAAAGTCTTGGGGGCTTGGCTAAGCTTCCGGCGTCCCCGGCCTGCATAAATAACAATCCAGACACCCCCCCTCGCTGCGACTGCCCGTAGCTTATCCCCGGATTGTGAGGCATCCTTCGTTGAGTGAACCCTTCAAACCCCAGAGAAGAGAAGATTGCTGCCAACTATCATGAAAGTCGCTGGACTCGTCTCCAGCCTGGCGCTGGCCCTTCCTGGTACGTTCTCTCGGTCGGGTCTTGGACCTTGGGCCTTGGACCTCCTTCGGTCCTGCAAGGTCCCGTGAACCTCGCCAGGTTTGTGCAATCACAAGCCATTCTGCTAACAGGTCAATCACTATCCAGGTGCCATTGCAGCTCCGGGTGCGATCGACCCCTACGAGTTTTCGCTTGCTCTCGCCGGCAGAGCCCTACCCAATGCGCCCGATGGATATACCCCGACCAACGTGAGCTGCCCAGCCAGTCGCCCGACGGTGCGCAGTGCCGCCAAGCTGTCCCCGAATGAGACGTCATGGCTGGAGACTCGTCGCAATAAGACTTTGTCGGCTATGAAGGATTTCTTCGGTCATGTCAAGGTCGGCGATTTCGATGTGACCTCGTACCTGGACAAGCACGCGAGCAATTCCTCTAATCTGCCGAACATTGGTATTGCCGTGTCTGGGGGTGGTTACCGCGCGTTGATGAACGGTGCTGGTGCTATCAAGGCCTTTGATAGTCGCACGAATAATGCAACTACCAGTGGTCATCTGGGCGGCTTGCTACAGTCGGCTACCTATCTGGCGGGTCTCAGTGGTGGTAGCTGGCTGCTGGGTTCGATCTACATTAACAACTTCACCACCATCTCATCGCTGCAGACGCATACGGATGGTGCCGTGTGGCAGTTTGGCAACTCTATCCTGGAGGGCCCGGATACCGGCGGTATTCAAATTCTGGATTCGGCCAGTTACTACAAGGACTTAGCTACTGCTGTTGATGATAAGAAGAAGGCTGGCTTTGATACCTCCATCACTGATATCTGGTATGTAAAGCTTCACTGCCAATTTTTGACCACTGTAGTCATAGTCACTAATTGTGTATCTCTAGGGGCCGAGCTCTCTCCTATCAGATGTTCAACGCGAGCGATGGCGGTATTGAATATACCTGGTCGTCCATTGCCGAGACCCAAGACTTCATTGATGGCAACTACCCCCTGCCTCTCGTCGTTGCAGACGGTCGTAATCCCGGCGAGAAGGTGGTCGGTAGTAACTCGACCGTGTATGAGTTCAATCCTTGGGAGTTTGGCACCTGGGACCCGACAATCTTCGGCTTCGCCCCTCTCAAGTACCTTGGATCACGATTCGTGGGAGGCTCCCTCCCCAGCAACGAGAGCTGCATTGGCGGTTTCGACAGCGCCGGCTTCATTATTGGAACCTCTTCCACCCTGTTCAACCAGTTCCTGCTCCAACTCAACACCACCTCACTCCCCACCTTCGTGAAGAATATCTTCACCGATATTCTGGAAAAGCTAGACAAGGCCGATCAAGATATCGCATCCTACGATCCCAACCCCTTCTACCACTACAACAACGACACATCCCCCTACGCCCTCCAAACCGAACTCGACGTCGTCGACGGCGGCGAAGATCTACAAAACGTGCCCCTCCACCCCCTCATCCAACCCGTGCGCAACGTCGACGTGATTTTCGCCGTCGACTCCTCCGCCGATACAACCTACAGCTGGCCCAACGGCACAGCTCTAGTCGCTACCTACGAGCGCAGCCTGAACAGCTCCGGCATCGGCAACGGCACCGTCTTCCCCGCCATCCCCGACCAAAACACCTTCGTCAACCTGGGCCTCAACACACGCCCTACCTTCTTCGGCTGCAACAGCTCTAACCTCACCGGCCCAGCACCTCTGGTCGTCTACGTCCCCAATTACCCGTACTCGGCCATGTCCAACGTTTCCACCTTCACCCTGTCTTACAACGATACCCAGCGCGACGATATCATCCTTAACGGATACGAGGTCGCGACTATGGCCAACAGCACCCGTGACGGAAACTGGACTGCCTGCGTGGGTTGTGCCATTCTTGCACGCTCCTTCGAGCGCACCGGTACCACCCTCCCGAGTATTTGTACCCAGTGTTTCTCGAACTACTGCTGGAACGGAACTACCAATTCGACTCAGCCCAATGCATTTGAGCCTACGACTTTGATGACTGCCAAGTCGAGTGGGGCGGGTGCTTTGATGCCGACGTTGTTGACCGCTGCTTTGGCCAGTGGTGTTGCGTTGTTTACGTTCGCTTAATTGGGGCAGGTTGCATAGTTGAAGGGGTTTGCCTCATTTTTTTTTTCTCACCGCTGCTTTCTCTTGACGCTTTCATGATGTTACTGGGAGCCATAATGACATATTCCCTTACTTTTGATGCTACACACTGATTGTATTTTTACTCGGGGTTGCATATCAAATATCAAAATCCAACGCGTTCTGTTTTGATTACTTTGGGGCTTTGGAAGTATGGTGTAGCTGAGTCAAGTAGGGTCAACTAACTAGCGGGTGATGTCCCATATCTCAATGTCCAGTCCGTATCTTCGGTACAAGGGAAATCCTTGCCAAGTATCAGGATAGATGGATGGATGCTGTAGGTGCCAGAACGCGCAACAATGTTCTTAGGTACTAAGGGGTGTGATCCCCACCTGATGCCGGGCGTTGGACTAAAAAGGACGCAAGATGCCGCATGGACGAGATATATATTGCCATGGCAGATTCAGAATCGAGCGCTCGTCATGTTTCAAAATTGCGGAGCTGGGCTCCCAGACCCTTCTCAGCGGTATAAAACTCCTAAACAGAGGGAAAGAAACTCTTTCCGAAGAAGCCTGTCTAATGCCACGTGAATCTCTACCCTAATCCCAGAACCAAATGCGAAAGAACCATATCTGCAAGACAAGGAGGACCGAGGAGACCAGTAGAGGAAAATGAAAAAAAAAATAAGAAAAGAAATCAAGGCTTATATAACCTCGAATGTAGGTTCAGAATAGATAATACAGAAGAGAAGGCAAAAGTGCAACAAAAGGAAGTGTCGAAAGACATCAACCAAGAAGATTCGTCAAGGCGGCACGGCCCGTGCCAGTACACGAATGTTATCCACAAAGCCCTTTACCAATTCCTCATACTGGTTTGACGGATCGCCTGCCACGGCGAGAAGGCCTTGACGTCGGATTTCCGCAGCAGAAACTTCGACTTCAAGCTCGTGGTCAAAATCGTTTTTCGTCGGCGCCTGTTTGGGAAGGTCAGAAGATCGGTTCATAGTTACACAGGTAGCTTGCCCAGGGGGTGGGGGGATGATGCGGGGGAAACTCACTTCGACCGTTGCCACCTGTGTCAGGTCGATTTGGTAGGCCAAGTGTCGGTAGCTCATGCGGTCTTTGATGCGCTCGCCGCGGCCGCCTTTGGAGGCGTCAACCATGGGCAGGTGGGTGACATCGCCATCATACTCCATTTCAAGATTGACAGAGACGCGCCAATCGACGTTTGTGCGGGGACTGTACACGTCAATGTCTGCGACGCGGCATTTGACGATCTTGGCGATGATTTCACCGGTCTTTACATCGGTGGTCACACGGACTTTGGGTTTGTGTCGAGGGTTGAGGTTTTGCCGGATGACGGGTGGTAGTTCCTGGGGCGAGACCTCGTAGAATGTATCACGCTCCTTTTTATGCGCATACGAAACCGGGATGCGAGATGACTCGTTGGCCATAGAGGCCTTGACTTGCTCATTGAGAAAGTTGTTCATGGCTCGATGTTGCTCCTGAAAGTTTCGATGGTCAGTCCTCTTTCGCAATTCGAATGAATATCAATACACCAGAACGTATGGTTACTTACAACGGTCATATTACTCTCGAATGAGGTGCGCAACCGGGACTCTCGATTGATGACGCCTTCAGTGAGAACTGGCAGCACCAGTCGCTCTCTGCGATCCATGTCCATGAGGTGACCCAGCTTTGCTTCAACTTCGATGATAGCACCTTGTCCTGCAGCGGCCGAGCCGGCAGCACCAGCCCCCACGTCACTCCTCATCACCACGTGCTGGAATAGGAAATCGCAAAGCTGCTTAGTGATTTCCTCGAATGGGATGAAACCTGTAATTGAAGGCTCCCACGGACCAAGCGAGCCCTGTTGTTGTGCGCGAGAAGCAACGGGAGCAAGAGGAGCGGCAGGAGCAGCGGCAGGTGGAGGGGGCCCATTTGTGCTAGGCGGGGGCACCGCTGGCCCAGGTGTCCGTGCGGGGCGCGCGGTTGTCGTAGAGCCAGCAGTCGATGCTAATGACTGCCTGCGAGAGGCCCAAGGATCTTGGCCCAAGCCTCGTGCATGTTTTGGAATCGGTGCCTGCGGGTTGGGAATTACAGGACATCTGCCCTTGGTTCGGACTGATCGTTGAGCATAGATCGGAGGTTCATTGTACCGTCTCCTCTTGGCCTTGGGTTGTTGGACCTCGGTGCGATCCATGCCCTCTTGATCTACTTCCATTTTCAGGGGGTGGGAACCGCTTCGTGAGGCCGATGGGGAGCTTGTAATCTGCTGGTGCGTGTTGGCAATTGGCGAGGCGCGTGTATCTGACCCTGGGCCCGATGGGAATCCTGCTGTGGGGCTCTCGTTCCACCTTCGATCTTCAGATGAACGACGAGGAGCTGCACCGCCCGTATCAGATGCAGTTGCTGTGCTGTTTTGTCGAGAGGTCACTTTCGGACTGGAGATCTCGAGGGGCTCCGGTTTTACACCAGTAGGAGGAAACTGAGGGGCCGATTCGGAGTGGCGAGAGGAAGGCGATATCTGTCGTGAAGTTGAGGGTGATTGGGTCTGCTTCGCGCTCCGTCCTTGAGCTTCATGCACGGTGTACGGGCTAGACAAAGTGTTGCGCGGAGAGTCGCGACCGGATGATCGTGGGCGCGCAGAGGAAGGGGATTGGCGGGAGAGGATAGCGGGCGGAGGACCCAGGGGAGTTGCTGGAACTGAACGATGTGTGGAGGGAGAGAATTGATGAGCGGGAGGCGGATGTGAGGCGGACGGGGGGCTATCTCGAGGGCGGAAGGTTTCACCCGCGCCAAGCGGGTTCGTCATCACGGATTGCAACGAGTTTGACCGCTGTTGCGCAAAGTAAGACTGCGGCTCAGCATGTGGATGACCTGCACTCATCGGCTGCTGCGGCGTGTACGGGGAGGCCAAGGGGCCTGCGGAAGCCTGGGTGTGCGAGTTGTAGCCCGACGTGCCATATGGATCACGCGCACCGGAACCGTATGGGGTCGACACCTGCTGCGGACTCTGGCTTGAATGCGATTGAACAGCCGTATTCAAAGGCGGTGGTGCTGGGGTGAACTGCTGATAGGGCGACTGAGCAGGAGCGAAGGACGCGGATCGACCGGGCGAGGCGTGTTGGGCGTGTTGCAAGGGCTGTGACGGACGGTTCGAGTATTCGGCGTACTGTGACTGTTGCTGTTGCTGTTGCTGTTGCTGTTGCTGTTGTTGCGACGGATGTTGACGAGAGGAATCAGCTGGTGTGCCCGAGGATTGACTGGCTTGCGGGGCCTTGGAGGCAGCGCCGCCGTCTGTGTTCATGATCGTGCGCAAATCCATCGCGACAGCGTGCCCACTTTGAATTTGTGCCGGGTCGGGACCACCACGAACACCAGCGCGAGCGCCTAGAGTATTATGAAGAAAGACAGGCAACTGGCGATCGCGACATCCAGACCGTAGAGGGGTCGCGCTGCTGGCGGAGGAGTGGTCAATGACAGAGGGACAAAGAAGGAAGGAGAAGTTCTCGGGATGGCGCGAATCAGGGAGCTTGGGAGGATCATCGCCGCTTCGGGGAAGGGGGCGAGCGAAAAAGGCCACGATTACGAACTACGAGATGGAATATTTGAGAAATTAACAAGTTACTCAGACCGAAAGGGTCCAGATATTGATTTGATTTTATCAGATGGTGTTTCAAAGCTCTATCGGGTCCATTCAATACTGAGATGCTCGACACTATCGAAGCTCAATCCCAAAAGGGGAGAGCTAGCGCAAGCTTCCAGAGCTATTTGCGACTTATCGGCTCTGATAGTTCCCTAGATGTATGGCTCTTGCCACACTTGAATATTCTCGACTATCCAAGCAGCTCGGCATATTTATTCCACCTATACACAAGTGCTCCTTCGAAGGATGAAGCGTCAAGTCCTCGGCAAGACGAGCCTTCTCAAAAGGCCAAGTGGAATTTCCGATATCATCACGTGTTTCAGTTATATATCACGTGATCATACAATAATCAGCGACGGTCCAGATGCCTCCGATCTCTTGTCCTTCCCCAAATCATGGCCTGTCGAGGTATGTATGGCGAGATACCGTAACAAATATCCTATGGACGCTCATAGAATATTTCCCACGTACCATACTCGCCAATCGAAGTGAATCCGACTACCCTGGATCGCGGAGAGAAAACTTATCCATACAATGCCTCTCACGGTATATCCTTCGCTAAGATCGTGACTATCGTTAAATGATTCCCCCTCATCCGATTCCAATCCTTCGATCTCTTCAGGAGTATGATTTGTCAGAAATTCCGGCTTCCACCACTCTATTAAGCCATGTCCTAAATACATTGTTATCGTTACAGTCCTTAAGACCAGCTTGACGTACACTAGGTGACTCCTCGTCGATACAAAGACTGAACCTGAAATACTAGTATAGCAAAGCAAATCAGGCGAAACACCTTACTCTTCATAAATCGCCCTCCTTGCCCACTGCTGAAGATTTTCCGGAATGATTGCTTTACTTACGATCTCATATAGTTAACGATTCTTGAACACAGTATTCTGAAAGCTCTCGAGAAGATCTAAGCCGTTATAATCCTTCAGCAGATCGGCGATGTACTATCGATAATGGCGTGTGAACACGGCTCGGACGGGAGAGGGAAATTAGGAGGGTCGAGTTACGGATGTCAGACGATGATGGCCATCTGCAACAAGTCAGTCCAACATAGGCAATTTAAACGACAGAATGTGAATTTTCCATGCAAATTTGTAAATTGAGTTGATATCCTTGACATTACGGTGCTCGTAACACCATGTGTATATCAATGCAGACAATATTTCGTAAAATTTCACGTGCTCCCCACGACACGCTGCATGCGGAGGTGCGTGGAAATTGATTAAATGACGTGGACAAGTGTCCTGACTAATGGCTGGCGCATCGTCGTTACCTAGCTCAAGGTAGTTACGCAATCTTCAGCTTCTCCCAAGTTGCAATCCCCCAACTGCGAGACTAAAGCAAAGCCTGGAGTCAAGCAACCCAACCCACAGAGCATCACTGTGATCTCTAGTTCCAATGCGCGACTCGATTTGAACACCCTCCGTGCTAGGCTGCCGCCGCACCTCTTCCTCCGAACCCTCGACCCTCTACACCATGGCTCCAACAACCCAATATCGAGCCTCGACGTCGGCTGCGGATATCCCTCTTGCTGACCTCGAAGCTGGCCCTCGAGCGATCCCTCACTCCAATGACACCTCCCGCTGGAACGGCTTCTCCCAATTCCACCCGTCCAACATCCTCGCGAACCCCAATGGGCTGGCACCAAAGGTTCCGCAGGAGAATTGGCTGGCCTACGCCGAAGACCTAGGGCATAGATTGACGGTCGCATTGACCCCAAGCTTCCTACAACAATATGTTGGTGGCGGCGTACCCCAACCCACAAAGCTGCACGCTATCGCGGCACTCGATGGGCTGCGCGGCTGGGCCTGTCTGCTTGTCTTTAATTTCCACTTCCTCTTCACATACACCTGGAAGGTAGCGGTCGGGTGGGGTTTTGCAGGAAAGAATTTCGGAATCCACCAGCTACCTTTCTTGCACATGTTGATCTCGGGCCACATCATGGTGGCAATTTTCTTCGTCATCTCCGGCTATGTGCTCTCCTACAAGCCGTTGAAAACTATCCGGTCCCGGTCGTTCGAGGAGACCTTTACCGTCTTGGCTTCGTCAACCTTCCGACGAGCACTGCGCCTCTATATCCCTTCCATCGTCGGCCTCGCATGTGTCTTTGTGGCTGTCCGGCTTGGTCTGTACAACTACTCGTGGGGGGTTATCAAAGAGGGCCATACCATCGTTGGCACAAATGAACAACACCCGCCCATATACCGGTCCTTCACCAAGCAGTTTTGGGACTTTTATAACACCATTACCCACCTGCTGAACCCTTTCGATTGGGGTCTCTACTACAACAACTACAATCCACACCTATGGACCATCCCCGTAGAGTTTCGATGTTCGCTCGTCCTGTTCATCACCACCCTTGCCACCTCCCGCCTGATGTCGGTAATTCGGATGCCTCTCGTGGCAGGCCTTATTTGGTTTTGCATGCGCCATGGTCGATGGGATGTCGTTCTGTTCCTGTGCGGCATGCTGATGGCCGAGATCGACCTCATCAACGGAACGTGGGAGCGACCCGCGAACTCTGCAGCAGCAAGGGACGATAGAACGCACATTCGTTTCCGTCCCGGCGGCAAGATCATGGCCACCGTTTCCCGTCGGCGCCTATGGATTGCCATCTTCGTGCTGGGATTGTACATCGGATCAACCCCAAATCTCGGATTCAAGTGGACCCCCGGTTACATGTGGCTCTGGAACATCACCCCAAGGACATATCCCGAGCCACATCGATTCCCACAGACCATCGGTGCAACCTTGATCGTTTTTAGCATCAATCACTCCCCCGACATCCAGAAACTCTTCACCAATCCGTTGTCTCAGTATCTGGGCAATATCTCATTCGCCTTTTACATCGTCCACGGTCCTATTCTGCACTCCCTGGGTTACTCAATCATGCCTAGTATCTGGGCTCTGACCGGGAGGGAGACTGATTTCCAGTACTGTCTTGGCTTCTTCATTGGCTGGTCTATCTGTCTGCCCATCTCTATCTGGGCAGGTGATGTCTTCTGGCGCGCAATTGATGTGCCTAGTGTGAAGTTTGCCCGCTGGATTGAGAGTCAAGTTATCGCGAAAGGGTCGCCTGCGGTTGGGACGCCGAGTTTGTCAACCCCCAGAGCACAGACTCCACGGAACCAGTGAGTTCACAAGCGTGGAGTACCTGACATGATCCCTTTCTGGGATACAATTCTTGCGTAGTACATACCTCGGTGCGGGGTATTTACTTCTCATCTTTTCTTTATTCATTTTATGATACCATCTCGCTGGACGAGCTTTTCATTCCTTTTCTCTGACTGATACGCCTCGAACTTTGTACCAGCCAATGAAAGTATAGACTCCAACACACCTGCAGATAGAAAATCAGGATAGATTTTGGCTGCAAATTTCGCGCCCTCCTCTAGATTCAATGGATCATTAATTCAAATTAAAACAACGATACACTTGGGAAGAGGCCTAGTAAAGGTTTTATCACGACCAAGATTGCGATGTATCGTATCGTTCATTCATTCACTCGTACCAAAATCAAAACTATCACGACGCTACCATCCACCACTTACCCAATCGACTTCCAAAGCCTTGGTCAATGAGCCCCGCAAAAAGGTACTCAATGGTGGGGAAGGTGTGTAGCCAAACACAATCGGCTCTTACATAGCCTGATGCACAACATGCTATAGAACGGATAATCCACGAATCTAGCAAGCAGGGGGGAAATGGACGACGGGAGGAATCGTAACGCGGAGCAAGATTGATGGGGTGATCGGAGGGCACATCAAACCATCTAATGCAATCAAGTCAGGGGAAATTGTTTGAACCTCGCTCGCAAGATAAAGCTTGAACAAAAGAAAATAGCATGGCAAGAAACAGAATGCAAAAAAAAGACATGGTCCCCCGCCCTCCTGTGCTTTCTTTTTTTTTCTCCTTCCCTAGCTTTATAATGAGACGCCCCATATTCCTCGTCCACCACAGACGCCGAGCCATTCACGAGGCTGCCCAGAGTGGTTCGGTCCGCCTTGCGGGGACCAGCTGATATTTGAGACTTCGTAGTCACATTGCCAGGCAACAGCGGGGCCGCGCTCGGAGGTTGTGGCTTGCGCGGGAGTTCCGGGGGCTTGAGGCTGAGACAAAGGCGCGGCGTTGTGTTGGTTAATAAGATCCCAGATCAGGACGAGGCTGTCATCACCTCCAGAGGCGAGGACACCACGTCGGTTGGGAGACCATTCGACACAGTTCAGGGAGGCGGAGTGACCCTTAAGCTCCAGAAGTGCCTGTCCAGGTTGCCGCACGTCGAGCACGCGGACGACGCTGGAGTCCTGGGAGAATGTGGCCAGGAGATGAGCGTCGTGGGGAGAGGCTATTGCAAAGTCAGTTGGTGTTCAAATTACTGAATAAGGGGGCTTGTCCATACCCGCAATTCTCAACAGTGGCGGGGGCCAGAGGCCCGATTGCGATGGACCGGATGGGCTGGAGTTGCCAGGGCTCATCACTGCTACGGGGAGAGTTAGCATTCATTCCTTCCGCCAGTACCATGAGTCACCTGCAGATCTTACGCTTCTCAGTCTTTTCTGATGGCTCGTAAATGATAGTGCTGTGTTCCAGGCTTCGCAAGTCAAACATGCGCACACTTCCATCAGCGCCACAGCTCACGAAGACGTCCACGCTATTTGCACAGAAACGAACATCATAGACTTCCTTGTCGTGAGCGATAAGCTGGGTCTTGGCCGTCAGTGTCGGAATGTCCCAGATAGTGCAAGTTGTGTCAATGCTAGATGTGATGATAAGACTCGGGGAAATGGTATTCCAGTCAAGCGAGGTGATGGGGGCAGTATGCTCAGGGGATTTAGAGTTGGATAGGAGCGCCAATGGAGAGAGCTTGGCAGGAGGAGCGTCTCTTTGACTCGAAGGTCGGGTGATCGAGTTCGAGCTCTGCAATGGTTGGGAATTGGGGAGTGACCACAATCGCAAATGATCGCCCGATGTCGCCAGCAAATCAGTAGACTGCTTCTGAGATGATGGGGGTTCCCAGAGAATGCGCGTAACAGGATAAGAGTGTGTCGCCTCAGCAGTCTTGACATAGTCCAGCTTAATCTCCCCCGCTGCGGCGTCTGGGGTATCCGGGTCGGGTTGCGTCCAGTGTGTATCGATAATTTGGATCTGACAAGTGGTTAGAATGACTCGCAACGGTAGGATGGTGCTGTTTTGCGAGAGGAGATGAATCTCACATAGTTGTGGTTATCTTCTAGATAGCTCCCTAGGGCCAACTTGCCCCCAAAGGAGCTCGAACTTCCCGAAATTGGCCATTTACACCAATCGACAGCATATATGGGCCACGGTGCCACGTAATTACTGTTCGTAGGGATCTGAGTATCTCCATTGTAGGGAAGAGACCCGGGGCCCATCAGCGATTCACCCAGAATATGGTCGCCAGGGGGCCGAATGTCCGCCAGCCCCAGCGGGGAGTACTTGGAGCTCTGCGGGGTGTGTGGCGGGAATCCAGCGCCAGGAGAAGCGGGATATTTGGATGCTTCCGATACCCCATGTTGTTTGTACAGAGGGGATTGATCGAAACCCGCGGGGCTCGACCGTGAATGGCCGTGGGAGTTGATCATACTTGTCCGATGACTAGTCTGTTGTGGTGTCGACTGCGACATGGTGGGAATCACGGACGGAGCTGTGTTGACCGAAACAGCAGGGGGGCGATGCTGACCTCCGGGAGTTAGCGATCCAGGCAGAGTAGCGCTGCTATGTCCACCGGCACTCCCACTGGGCGCATACTGCATGGAGGCTGCGGCACTGGAGTGGACGTTGATCGCGGGGACTTGGGTCGAAGCGCCCGCGTCGGGCGTTGTGGGGTAGTCGTGGGCTGACTGCTGACGAGAGGCAAGATTGGGATTGATCAGCCCCGTGGAAGGTATATGCAGCTCCTCTGGCTGGCGCCCGAATACGGTTGACCGTCGATGGGAGTCGAAGGATTGTACGGGATTCGACATAGTGCGGAGGTGCCAACCGGGCAGCTGGCTGGGTCTAGGGGAGGAGAAGGGTTGGGGGGGTCTCTCTCTCCGTAAGCTCCACTCCCCCTAAGGATGAAGACAACGAGTGGGAGAGGGGCTCCGAATTGAAAAGGCGGATGAGCTGCGAACGAGCTCCAAGATTTCTGGACGAGGAGAGCGATTCAAGACCAGCTGGGGTTTCGACTGGAGGCGCAGCTTCACAAGTCAAGGGCAGCTGGTCCGGCGCTGACTCAGCCAACCCCGGCCTCGGTTTACTTAAGTGGAGCATTCGTCCAAAGCATCCAGTTTCACTTCCATCGGCTTTTCAAACCAATGTAATTCGCATATGAGATACATTCGCCAGGGTTCCTCACATTTAGCTGAGCCTGGACATCATCCATCGATCTCAAGAGAACAGCTAGTCTAACCATCCGCCCAGCTACCCCTCCCAGGGCCTGATGGCCAGATACTGTAAGGAAGATTCTCGATTCAATCGGATGTGTATCATTCGTCTCCCTTCAGAGTGTTCCATCTCTCCTGCCCTTTCTCAATTTTCATTCTCAGTTGGCAACTCCATGTTGTCTGGATTTATCTCTCGTCACTAGAATAATTGGGACAAGCGACCGAGAATCAGATTGTGTAATTTGGGCAATTGACCGATAGCCATGTTGTTCCTCATGATATTTTAATCGCAAGACGGACCTCGTCTAAATACGGACAAGTCTGCGCCATATGACTGATATCAGAAGTCTTCATCCCGGGATACTTGTAGCCAGTGTCACTTCTTGTACTTAGGATTTAGCCCTTTGTGGGCTGTTCTATGATCGATCCCTTTAATGAGGCTCCACGATGCTCGGGCTGCAAATATAGGATCATCACTCTCAGCAGTGGTGTCCACCCAACGCCAATTTAGTGGACTAAGATCGATGGGTAGGCGCTCTGGATTGGGAAACGGTCTGGCCACTTGTTTCGATTTGGCTGTATCGTAAGAGATTCCGATCCGTGGGGATCAATGCCGAAAAATACCTGCAATATTCGCCAGCTTCGGTATAATATTCAACTCTGGGTCGCCAAGACTAGAGATTGACTCCAACGAAGATATGACTTGAGGGGTACAAGGATAAAATAGAGCCTCTGAAGGTGCTCCAGACGCAAGACGGGATTCTAGTCCCTTCCCCAGTAAAGCGCATCAGGATTAGCAATCATGCGCCTCGTATGGGTCGTAGTAGGATCCAGTAAATGATAGTCCAGGAAGGTTTCTATTGTGGTGGGTTCTCTGCTAGGCTCTGCTTCTTTGCCCACGGCGCTATCCTTTAGGCATATTGTTTCTGTTCGGCTGCTATTGGGGTTGCACAACATACATATAACATAGGGTACGCGCGTATTGGCGGCATGGGTGTCCTCGGCCAACTCGGTCAGCGGGTTCTGGTCATCTAGGAGCTAAGAGTCTTGAGTATGCAAGCCATCGAGCGAAGACTAGGTGATCATCCTGTATGGAGACAAATTTGACTCAGAAGTTCGGATGGAAGAAGATCCATTAGTTAGGTTTTGGGGGTAGCCCTAGGACGGTTGAGCACATAGGCTGACTAAGTACTGCGGGGGAATCTTCATTTCCGTGGATGTTTTGGTTGCTCGGCCATCAGACCTTTGGTACTTCAACCCTTGCAAATCTCCCGTGGTTTCTGCAATCGCGAGTCTCTCTGTCTTTCCCTTAATCGAACAAGCTTGAGCCCTCCGTTTTCTTTAATCTTTCCTCTTTTCTAGTCGGCGCTGCCCACTTGTTTCATGGCATCCGATCTCCCCACATCACCCGCGGCTCTTTTGCTGCTTCCCCCGCCGCCATCCTTCGCGTTCAAACCAGTCAAGGATGTATTTGAAAGACCCCTCGCCGATGCCTTGGTCAAGCTTGTGAAAGCTCTCAATGGATCCAATTCTGTTGCTACTCTCGATATAGTCTTGCAAGTTCCGGATCTGCTCTCGACATCTTCAAGGCCGCAAGCCAAGGTCTTTGCTCCACTCCAGCACTATCTAACAAGCATTTATACTCTCGTCGGAGCTGTCGCTGCGGCACACAATATCGAATTGGACTCTCCCGGTGGCATTGATGCTCGGGTATTATTTACTGGAGACTCTCCGTCCAACCCATCTGCGTCTTCTGGCTTGAGCTTCGGCCCTATTGTCGACTTGCAGTCTCTAGTGACCTCGGGCCGAAAGTGGAACCATGTGTTCTACCTTGACAACGAGGCCGGCAGCAGGCTATTCCAAGACTTTACTGTCACAAGCAAGAACCAGAGCGTCCATACCGTGATCAATGGGCAAGCCATCTCTAATATCTCCAATTGGACCGTTCCGGCTTCTCTTTTACTTCCCGAGAGCCATGGAGGCGCCTCAATCCAGCCCCACTACTCCGTGATTGTCGGCGGTACCTTCGACCATCTTCACTTGGGCCACAAGCTTCTCCTCACGGCGCTGGCACTCACGCTAGAGCCACCCAGAGAAGCCGACCAGGGCCAAGGGAGGTTGCTGACCGTGGGAGTCACGGGCGATGCCCTCCTCAAGAACAAGAAGTATGCAGAGTTCCTCGAAAGCTGGGAGGCCCGCTTTCAAAGCACAGCTGCCTTCCTCCGTGCGATAATGGAGTTTTCTCCTAATAACGCTCCCCGCATCGAGCGCACTACTGCACCAGGGCCTAATGGCAACGTTGTGGTGATGAGGATCCAAACCAACCTGACCTTCAAGTTTGTGGAGATCTGGGATCCCTATGGGCCAACCATCACCGAGGAAAGTCTGACCGCGCTGGTTGTCTCGAAGGAGACTGCCTCCGGAGGCGCCGCGGTGAATGATGAGCGAGCGAAGAAAGGATGGAAGAGCCTGGCTATTTTCGAGGTGGACGTGCTGCAGACTGGGGAGGCCATGGACGTTGTGGATGCCAATGACTTCGAGTCGAAAATCAGCAGCACGGACATTCGGCGACGTCGGATGAACTTGGCCAAGGTATGAAGAGCTGGCTAGGAAATCAATTGGAGAGGAAGGACAGAGAAGTGAAGATGGCGTTTCTCAGGAGGGAGCTCCTAGCCGGGGGCCTGTTCTGCAGAGATCAGGAATCAGCATGTTGCAGGAGTTGGTTTCTGTTGGAATTGTACATGTTTTGTTCGCATAGGATTTCCGATCGGAGGGGCGATTGGTCGTTGTTAGACCCGGTAAATGGATTTGCATCGTCTCGCGATAGCCTATAGTTCAGTCCTGGCGGTTCGTCTGTCAGACACCATCACCAACAACACATCACCAACAAGACGACGGTCTCAATTCAAGAGCGGTTTCGATTTCGGCCAATTTCCCTCCAATCCCACATGCTCCTTTTTGAAATCTCGTCCCGTGTGCCCCAACGAGTGCTCGTCACTCTGCAGAAGATGTGACAAGAGGAGCGGGGGCCTGCATTGGCCTATTCTTCATCGACGGCTTCCAACCACTCAAACGTCTCGAATCACCGGCACTTTCCTCCCCCCCACCATCCTCATCCTCCGCCCTCCTCCCTCCTCCCGACGCTGTCATCCAACCACCGTATCCTCCCCTCCTTCTGCATCATCCACATCATCCACCTCATCCCACACCACCCCTCTTTCCCTTCCTCCCCCCCCGTCATCCCCCATCCAACCGACTCGCTGCATTCCCTTCTCCTTCTGCAGGTTCGCGCTGGTTACGCGGGCTGCCCGCAGCCCCGTTCAATCATGTGATTTACAACGAGTGCCTCGTCGCCAATGGAACCGTTAAGATCGTGATGCAAAGGCCCGACCGGGAGTGCGCCAAAGCGCGCTAAACCAGGGTCTTGATGATCATCCCGGTCGCGGTGAGGCATCCTGAGGTCGAGAACTCTCGTACTGCGGCTATGGTGAGACAAGGCTTCGGGGTTGCGACGAGTCCACTCGAGCTTCGACAGTTTGCTTTTTTTTTCTCTCCTTAGCTTCGAGTCTCGACTGCCAGTCGCGATTTTTTGATGGCCATGACTTGCGACTGGAAAATTTCCTCCGTTAATTTCTCTCTTTCTTACTTGGCATGCTAGCTTGGTTTTATTTGGTTCTCTTGTCTCTCGCTGTTCATCCATTGCTGTTCGCTTTCTTCATCTTGTCTTATAATCAGCGCCAATCCCACCGGTCGTGCGCCCCCAAATTGACGGTGTCATCTCTATTTATCTTCCTGACCTCCCTGCGCGGCGGACTTGTAAGACCCAGGCTGCCTGCGAGCGCCTGTCTCCGCCGGCTCGCTCTTTCGCATTTCCATGTTGCTGCTACTTGTCCGAGCAGCCGAGTTGTCGGCTGCAACACGCCCTGATCATGACCCAACCACGTCACATCCAAGACCTCGCCGACGAGTTGCTGAGCGAGATCTCGTCCTTCCTACTCGAGGAGCCTGCACTACGATATCTCAATGGTAATGCTGGCAGGAACCGGCCCGATGGCTATTACGCGGGCGAATACGAGGACCATCGCAGTGTCTATGGCGAGGCATCCGAGCTAGATCGCTTTCGACTCGTCTGTAAACGGTTCATGCGCATCGGGACGCCACGCAAGTTCTCACGATTCAACCTACGTTTCTCCGAAAATGGCTTTCGCCGTCTGGACGATCTACTGAACATGCAGCTATCCTGTTATGTGAAAACGGTGACTTATCTCGTGCGACCCTTCTATCAAGGCAGCGGTACCCAACGATTCTCACACCCTATCCACAACATGAGAACTAAAAGAGCCAACGGGAAAAGCTAATACGCGCGACCTATCTAGACTGGGTACCGGTACTTCGCACGCTCGGCACCGAAGATCCTATACTCGCGCAATTGCATAGCCGCCGGCTGCGCGAACAAACCACCCTGGTCAGCACCAACTATGACCTAACGCAGCTACGTGCTGCAATCGCGGCATTCTCGGCACTCCAAGAAATCAAGCTTCTTCGTCTACAAGATGAAGCCGACGAACAGCTTCTCGATTTCGTTCGTGACCAAGCCATCGGTCATGCCACGTCCGACACCCATTTCGATTGGGAATCTGCATGTTCACGGGCCGTCACAAACCTAGGCATCGCCCTGCTCGATTCTCAACGCACCTCAATACGCTTCATTGGCCCACAAATCAGCCCCGAAGCAACCCTCCAACTCCTCGAAGCGCCCTCGACTACCCTCGCTGCTATGGGAGGCCGCCTAACCAGCCTAGACATCAACTTCCACGCTCACGTCGACATTACCGCAACCATGTCCGACTTATCACCCGTCTTCCATCGTTTCTTCATAGAAGCCAAAAACTTAGTCGCCATTCACATTGGTTTCCCCGCTAAAACTCCCCTCGACCTCAACCTTGAAACAATCTTCCACGGCATCCGCTGGAAAACCTTGCGCACGCTGAGCTTACAGGGCTGGCGTCTCGGCGCAGACGACATCATCACCCTCTTGCGTCGGCATCGCCATCAACTGCGCGAGTTCCGGCTTTACGCTGTATACCTCCGTGACGGTGGCCGCTGGAGCGACGTGCTCTGCATGCTCCGCACGGAAATGGAACGCCTGTCGCGGCTAGACCTGCGCGAGATTGACTATGCCACGAACTTTGATGCACTGGCCATCGACAGTGGCGTGGAAATCTTCGATCCACAACCCGCAGGCCCAATATCTTCATCCGTATCCGTAGCCGCGGGGACGTCCTCACCGGAAAGACCTTTGCTCCCTGCGTTCGGAACGAATGGACACCACCCCGGGCTGATCCCGGGAGGAAAGCTTTCGAGACGACGATCATTGGAGAAAGTTCGGGGCCTGGCGGCAGAGGAATTGGGCGATGATGGAATCCGTGTTCATCGGGATCAGGTGCATCTATGGGAAGCGTGGGTTCTATCTGGGTTGAGGGGGGATATGAAGAATGGGAAGTTGCATTTTCGTCCATAGTTTCACCGTTAGTCGTTGCTGGTGTTGCATTTACATGGGAATGGGTGATTGACCCTTTCGCCTTGGGAACTTGGACATGGGACTGAATTAGGAAAATCGTGACGGTGAAAGATTGAGATGAAGCGGATGTTTGTGGATGTGAAAGTGGGAAGGGAATGTGAATAGGGTTCTCATACCAGGAGTTGGCGGCTGTTTGAAAATTGAATGCTCTTGAAGAGATTTGGTTGTACACGTCTACATCATGGCTAGTACAATTCTGTCTACTCATCCTATTGAATTCTGTCCACTGCTCATAATCCTTATTGTATTGGTATCTCAGAATTAATCCCATCGTGGAGTCACGTAGTCCACAGCCAAGGGCGAAAAGATGAGTATCTATGCCAGACTTGCCTGGTGGAAGACAGTCGCAATGAAGTGCGGGGTTATTCGACCCCTAATTCAGAGAAAAAGAACTCAGAAAAAAAAAGGAGGTCAAGTCCCCTTTGCATGCATTACAGCTTGCCTAGGAAGTATAGCAGCTCGCCCAGTCCCCACCACTCCGTGCAAAGCTCAATGCACGCACGAAATCGCTACGCCGACAGCGACCCAGCTTATCAGCATTACAACCATGCAGTGGGACAACGCGATCATTCACCAGAGCCCGGACTAACGGCTCAGTCGAGCCCGAGCACTGCATCATCTCGATGTACGCGCGGGCAGCGAACGGCACAGTCCACGCGGCGGAATATCCATCCGCCTGCGCCGCAGACTGGATATGATCCGTCGGTAGCATGGCGGTACCATTGTACAGACCCAGCGCGAAGAAGATGGGGATCATGCCGTTGTCGTGCGTAAAATCCGCGTATAACGTGCGGTTAACGGGGAACGAAGCCGCGCCCGCAGCATCGAGGGTGTGATTTGTCGATGTGTCGTCTTGGACGGCGGTATGCGTCATGCGGGCGATCAGCTCGTTGACGAAGCCGACGCCCTGGGTCGGACCGAGGGGGTTACCGGCGCCGTAGCCGTAGTATTTACCCAGAGATTGGAGGTAGTTGTACTGTGACCACTCGGCCTCGGTGAAGAGGGCGCAGAAGGATGAGATCTGGCTGGCGTCTGCGGTGGTCGAGATGGTGTCGAAGGTACACATGTCCATGAGGTAGATGACCTCGTCGTTGGAGAGGGTGACTCCTGGTAGATCGGTCTGGATGCGCTTTGCCATAGATGGCGCGATAATGGAGGTGTAGTTTTCCGAGACGTCATCGCCCAGCGTGCTAGCCTCGAATGCTGTGCAGGTGTTGTGGTTGAGGGTGTTATTGGCGCCGGTGTCTTCAGAGATGAGCACGTTGACCGTGGCGTTCGCTTGGCTATGGTTTGCGGCACGATCTTGCAATTTGGAATCTTGGAGGCCCTGGATGAAGAAACGGCCGGACTCGACCACTCGCGACGAGTCCGCCGAGCGGATGAAGGGAACGTTGTCCCGAGCCAGGGCTTTATAGCGCTGGTAGAACTTGACGCCGGAGCTGACCATTTCGCGCTCGCCAAAGGTGGTCAGGTCATCACTGCCTAGCGTGTAGTTGTAAGTGCTCAAGAAAGCGGTTTTGCCATTGAATGCGGTGGCATTGGCCTTGATAGCCTGGATCAAAGCCTTGTACTTCTTGCTCTTCGACGCCGTTGGGTACCGTGCGCCGTGGCGGGACAGAACCTGGACGAAAGTCACGTCGCACTTTTCCGGCACGGTATTGGAGACACCGGCATCTGCTAGAGAAAAGTAAGGCGAATATTGGCCCCAGCGGTGAGAGATCTCTGAAAAGCATTGGTAACCGCCGTCGACACTGCTGCAAGCCCGCGGACGACGGGGAACCTTGTGGGATTTGCTAGACGGCGCGGTCACCATCTCCGAGTCAGGACGTGCTCTGTCGATCACGGTCACATCACGCGAGGGTTCATACCCGGTCACCATGTGCACAGCAGCCACCGAAACCAAGCCCAGTAGGGCGACGATGCTCAGAACAGTCCAACAACGTGATTTCACGGATGGAGATGACTTGGCAGAGCTCCGACTATCAACATCGTTCCCCAAGAGGCTCTCCTCTTCGTGTATATCTCTAGTTCCATACCCCGCCATTTTGATCCGGACTTAACAGCTTCAGCTGTTGATTGGGCTCCGTGTGTCCGCGAGAGGTTCCACGAGTCCAAGAGAGGGCATCGCGGAAGAGAAAACCAAGAAAGAAATCAGGGGAACACGAGATGTTATACAAGAAAAATTGCCGGTCAACGAACTCCTGGCGAGTCGTGCCGGGCCGCGTTGTCGTTGCCATTTAGTCCGCCTTGGCCTGAGAGTTGAGGCTCGCGTAGCGACATTCTTCAACCCCGTGAGGCATTCCAGGGTTCTGATTGGCTACTACCCTGCCCTACGGCACGTGGGGCAGATATATAGTGAGAAGTGGATCGCAACCCAAAGATACTTCCAGCTTCATACGTTTTTACATCGACAATCGAGTACAGTCAGGTACTCCGGCATCTGATTCACAATACACTTATCCGGTTCCTGAGATCTGATTATCTCCGACGGCAATTGCCTGTTTGGAACATGGCCCTACTCTAAGATATCCACCCATGAGCACGATAGAGACGGAGAAATAACAAGCCCCGTGCTCGGTTTGGAGAATGGAACATCTTTGACTAAAATCATTAGCAATGCCCCATCACACTAGAACCCGGAAGCTCGCTTCAGCTCCCCGGCCAAAAGCCACCGTCGCTTATGCACGACACTAACGGAATGAACCCTTTTAATTCTGTGCACGTGTTGAACCATCCCCTACCTCAATTTCGTCGAAGATTCTTGCTCAACGTCATCCTAAATGTCGACCTTTCGCCAAACAGCCCGCCACACATTGGCAAAACATGCAGCATGCAGATATGAGCCAACATCAAAACTAATCACCCGCGCGAGCTGTCAAATCTGTCACATTCGGACCGGATCGACAGCTTCTTGTGCGCAAGGAGAGGGGGGCGTGCGAGCAGTACAGTATCGAATCCTGAGACTGTGCCCACGCAGACCCATCATCATTCAAATGTACATAAATGACGTGGTCGACAAGCAAAGGCGATTCTACCAGCTTCCAAAGACCTTTGCTGCCCAACAAATATATTACGCAGCAGAGACCCGCTTGAAAATTAAAGCAAGTCACTGTGCGACTAGTGCAAGTGCGTTGAACGATTATCCTTGTTAGCTTGTCAGTACCAGCTCCGGAGCGGGCGGCCAAGTTGATATATCCAGTCTTACCTGTCAACGGGCGAGCCGCAAAACCGAGAAGATGAAAGGGCTACAGATTACTACTTGATGCAGGGAGTATGGAGTAGGGCATAGCTACATATATGTGCAGCGTATGTGCTATATATACCAATTGATTGCCGATCCCTCCCTGGACTTCAATTAAGAGCGTCGATAAGATGGTTACCCTGGCGATGCTTGGATGTATATACCTCTCAGATGCACATACAGCACCACTCAACGTGTAGATAGAGACGAACTTATCGAATGAAGTGTGTATTGTAGGAATCAGCTCTATATCCCAGGTCATATGATTAGACCGCCAAGTGAAACTGGAGTGCTCGCACGCACGAGCATAGTTCTAGTAGATAGACAGGAAACAAGGATAAAAAGACCCAGAAATTTCAAAGAACAGGACAATAGTACTCAGTATCGCCAATGGAGGTATCACCGCTGTGCAAACTAGACACCGAATAGTAGGCAAACGCGCAACGGGATGTGCAGAGCTTCTCTCTGTAAATCGGAGAATGTAGGAGACGGCTTTTTGTAGATGAAATCGAATGCAAACCAGAGAAACACCGGAATAGCCCAGAAGGTGAAGAACGGAAATCGATAGATACCGATAACATTCAGTATCCATATGCTTGCACCAGTATCCAAAACGAAGGCACCCACGAAACAAGATATACTAAGAATATACACCGGACCAGAAGCCCGAGGCACATATACAAGGGAAAAAAGGTGGAACACACGGTCTCTAATGCTGGGCAAGTCGCAGTGCAGCCATGCCAGTGGCTGCTTGCCCTTATGGGAGGGAGGGGAAAATATTAATAGAGCACATAGGAAACGTACAACATAAGAAAAAGAACAGAAGAGGTTTTTATTCACCCTCTCATCTTTCAGATATCATGATCGTGACCATGATCCTTGAAAAGGTGGCAGAGATACACCGGCCACTGGCTGAGAGCCTGGATGCGAGCCTGGATGTGGCGGTAAACTCCGTCCTGCCGATGGTGCAGGAGAGTACGAGGTTGGGCTACCAGTCCCAGGCCAAGGAGCCGGTGGTCTCGCCGAGTCCACCACCCGACTCGACGCAGCCTGGCCGGATCCCGCCGCAGAAGTCTGTGCAGTCCCGGAAGTAGTCGTATCCAACACCGGAACAAGAGTCGACTGTGAGGGTCGTGGCGAAGGCGGCCTCGGCGTCGGATAGACAGTAGTCCCCGAGCGATCAAGTGCATCGCGGAAGAAATTACGCTCTGACCGGTAATGATCCCTCTGCAAGGCGAGGAAATGAATCTCCTCGCTCTGTCGCCGGATAGTCTCCGCATGACGCTGGATCTCATCCTGTTGCGCACTGAGCCGCTGCTCGAGCTGCATCTCGTTGCGCTTGCGGTTGCGGAATCGGCGTGAGGCATCGCTGTTGGCCTTGCGTTTCTCTGCTTGTGTGGAGGAACCGGATTTCAGATCCAACAGGCATGGTATCATCCCCGGACCACTGGTCATATCCTCTGGGATGCTGCGTGGCCCAGACGTGGCTGGAACGCCCCGATTCAACGACTCGACTGTCATGTAGGGTGCTGGCGCCGGATATGCGCTAGGTGGAATGGATACATTCGTGACGGCTGGTGAAGCACGACCGTAGTGGCTAAACGTCGAGTGCGGTGTGGATGGGCTTGTCTCCTGCGAGTTCGGATCGGTAAGCAGCCCTGGACCGGTACTAGTGCGCCGTGAGTGGATGCTCGGTGTTGAGTGTATTGATGCGGAGGTGGGAGGCTGCGTGCCTGGTAGTGATGTAATTGGCCGAAGCATAGCATCAAGTGGGAGAGGTGAGCTAACGGGTGGTTGGCGCGGACCCAGATGTGTTTCATGAGGCACCAGTGGGGAATGAGCCACGCTCGACTGGCCGGATGTCCTCCCACTGCTACCGACGAACCGTGCGGAGGGTGACCCGGGGTTCATTAACGATCGTGGAAGAGACCTTGGAGACAATGGCTGCTGTACAAGCGGATACCCCGAGCGAGGTGCTGGAGACGAACCCTGTCGTGGCCTGGGCGAAGCTGATAGTCCCGGCCGAGTCAACTTCTCACGAACAGCATTGCTCCCAAGGTCCGTCGTTCCCTGCGCAGGAGGGTTCAAAATAGCATGAACGCCGATGGGTCGTGCCAACGAAGAAGCTTCCAGCGGTGGTTCAACCGGCCCGTATGGATGCCATGACTGTGGCCGCGCGCGCAGCGGCGGTCGACGAGCCGATTGACGATTACCCAGCGTCAAGTCATCAATCATACTGCGGTCATCGGAGGACGAGTGAGTCGCATCGTCGGACAATGGACCAGCGTGCAGAGTCTCCTGCGACATAGACGGAAGTGCTTGGATGGGTGTGGGAATAGGGCATGACCGATTCCCCCCTCTCCCTGTATCACCGGAGGTCCCACCGGGGGTATGAGAGAGGGAGGATGCCGGATAACGGGAGTCTTCTGGAGAATGCGACAGCTTTGGCAAATGAAGCGGCCTCGAATAAGGCGCAGTCAACACGCTGAGACCAAGAGTCGCCACGGTGAAGTTATGGGCCGAACACGGGAAGATAGAGAGAGCTTTGACTTGAAGTCAAGGCAGGAATCCGTGTACGTTTCTGCCTCGTTGCTTTGGTTTCCTATTGGATCTTTTTTTTTTTTTGATTCGCGTGTTCTTATTCGGTCAAGACCTCTTCGGTATGGGAATAGGGGAAGAAGTATGCAGTGCTCGGCACCGATTGAGTATAACAGTCACGATGTTGAGTTATCGTGTAGGACGGACAAGAGAAGTCGAGGATGATTGCGATGTTTGCAGGAAGAGAGATCCCCAGCTTATCACGGTGCCTCTAGACCCGATGAGAACGGAGTCTAAACGAAAATGCTCAATGCAGTGCGATCAGATCAACCCATGTGCATGCACGGCGGAAGCGATCCGAGGCCCCATCCAGGTGAGGGGGTCCAAGCTAAAAGAGAGGAGGTGTGTAGAGAAGTTGATATATAGCAAAGTATTGAAAAAGGTAAGAGATATAGGTCCAATAAGGGACAATGGCTGAATAACTAGGGTCCGAACGGAGGAAGTATGGAGGGCAAGTGGTCAGGTACGACGGAGAGGAAGAAGAGGTAGAAGAGGAAGAAGGAACACGAAATTGAAAGGTTCGTAGGAGGAGGCATCCGTCATGAGGTAATGGGAGAAACAATTCAAAATAAAATCAAAATAATAATGGCCGTTGAGATTCAGCGGTGAGAAGTGGGAAGAGAGGCAACAGACCAGAGAATTCCCGAGCCCGAAAATGGTGCTAAACTCCTTGTACTTCGGTCTGGGAGGGGCATTGATTCATCACCTTTGCGGTTTTTAGATTTTATTTTAGATTTTATTTTATTTTTTATTTTTTTGGGGTTTCTGTCCGGACCAAACTGTCGGACTGTCGGATTGGTGTTGGGCATTGGGCAGGGACAGGCCTCACCTCTTCTCCTAATTCTGACCCAGACGTTGGTTATACCTCGTACTTTGTTCGCTGCTCTCCTCCGCCCCCCAAACGTTCTGACATACCGACGTTTTCACCATCACCAAACCACCATGCCTATAGTTACAGTGAAGAGTCATGATTCTTAGGCCTAGAGCTAGGCTATAGCTGATATCATATATGCTCTGAAACGCCAAGGCCAAGGCACTTTTTAATATCACGTTTCTATAGAATCTTCCATGGCCAGGAAAGGTCAGACTAACAATTATCTCTTCATCGCTGAATTGGCGCCCTGTCCGCCTCAGCCTCGATGGGGCGAAAGGGTTTGGCTCTCTCCAGTCCAATGCCACAATGCCCAACCTCGTGGCCTAGGAGACCAAACCAGACCCGACCTAGCGCCAGGCGCCTGGACCCGGGAGACTGGGGGGAAGAGGAGGAACAGAAGATTAGCGGTCTCGAGTTGTGTGATGGGACAAATGGTCACTTCTCCACTGCCATGCCTCCTCGACCCTCTTCGCATCCACTATTGCCCACAATTATTAGCTGCCCGGGGAACCAACCAACGATCGGAAGGATGCAAAGCGCCAATCACCGAGGCTCAAATGGGTGGGGAGAGCAGCTGCGAGTGTGCAGGCGCCGTCACCATGGACATGGACAAGGGACGGGTGGAGCTCTCCCACACAAGGTTGTTGGGCTCTTTGAATTCTTGGGCTAATTATTCTTTATTTCCTCTCCTGCTTTGCTCCTGAAGACCCTAGTCATCTATCTATTTACCGCCACCTTGAGTCGATGACGATGAACGGTGGATAGTGTCTCGTGGCCCAACGAGAAAGGAGGCAGCAGCCACTTACGGCTTATAAATCTCAACTTATCGGGGGGGGTACCTCGCTATCTGTCTTGTTACTGACTCGAATCCGTCTTCGATCGTCATGGTTTTACTTTTTGTCTCTCTCTGTTTGGGCGCACATTCCGCGGAAAGAGCCAAAAAAAAAATAAAAAATAAAAATAGACTGGAGGCAATATAAGGGATCCAAAGACAAGACTCTGGCGGCACAAGCAGCAGAGTCTCGGACCTTTCCAGGCTCTCCGAAGGTCAGTGTCAACTTCTCCGAGAACAAATAATGTGGCTCTCTTGGCAAACCTCGATAGGCGAATTTAGGGGTGGTGGGCCGTTCGTTCGATCCGTGACGCAAAACACCGATGATGGTGGAGAAACGATACTGTCGAAATGATTCAATGCCTCTCTGTCGGCCTGCCTCTGATCCATACTTGACGGGGTCTAGTCTGTGCTCATGGAGGGCAATGGTGACCATCCCCCTAAGCCCGAATCGTGTCCGCCATTCGGCCGGTCCTGTCATTGACCGAGGAACAAGAGGCAGACTAGTCTCGAAGGATGAGTGGGAAAATGAAAATTGAAATGAAGAACCATAAAATTGATACTTCTTCAAGCTAGGTCCCAGTCCCACTTGGCAACTGAGGAGAGCCACTGAGAAATAGTCGAGGGCTAGGCGACACGTTCATCGTACAGGCCACATCTTAGAGGGGAAAAAATGGATGTAAATATTAAGCTGGAGACCTGCATGCAAGGAATCACGAACTAACATTAGTAGTACTCCGTACACCAGCGTCAAAAGGAGATCAAGCAAGCGATAGGGGCAAAGGAGAAGAAAAAAAAAGGCGAAAAAGAAAAGAAAAAGGAAAAAGAGAAATGAGGAACGCACGCATTGCCTAATGTGCACAAGCCTGTCGATATAGTACAAAGGGCATTCAAACCTTAACGAATCCGTGGTTTGGTTTGAATGATGTGCATGCATCACCAGCGTTCCCCATCTCCCGGTAAAAAGGGGGGCCGTTGGTGGCCGTTGGGGATTAACTCGATGGGGAGCTTAAACTACACTCCGCGGGAAGGGGGGAGGTGAAGAGCATCCACTTTTGGAGGTCCCAGCGGTCCACGCTATTGGAAAACCGCCCTTCACCGTTCCTTCCGCCCATCAGGCCCGCTTAGGTCATGTGTGGAGCTAGGAGAAGTCAGAAAAAGGCAGATGGAGGCAACGATGCGCTAAAACAGCACTGGGGAGAAAAAACCAATCCGAGTTGAACTAGCAGATCCCTACAAGAACAGCATGGTCAACCAAACCCCGAGCACGGCTCTCGTTTCTCACACGATGCTGAACAATCCACAAGGTACCCGAGACTGGCAGAGAGCCGTTAATTTTAGAGTACTGCTGTTGATCAAGAGTGGTGTGTAAGTCGGCTATAGTGTCCTATGGACGGAGGAGTGATTGGAGTCAACTTCGCAAGCTAGGTGATGCCCCCGTACTCTACGTCACCAGACAGTCGAGAGTTGGCAAAGGGCGTCGAGAATGCCGATAACGCCTCTACTCAAAAAAGGACAGCCTGTATACAATTTCCATTGGCTCTCAAAACTATGGTCTTGCTCGTGTGGAGGTGATCTACGAGGCAGCGTCGAGTGCATTTAGCAAACCCTAAAAGCACCAAGTTCAAGGCGGACAGCAGACTGCTACTGTGCAAGAAAGTTGCTCCCCACGCGAATATACACTTGTTCCAACGAACATGATCCGGCTGATGTCAAGCTTGTCATGAGCTCATTGCTGCAAATGGCAAGGATGGCTGGCATAGTAACTTGTAGCTTCACAACGCGATTGGCGATATATCGACCCGAGGCCACCGCCGCCAGATTCTGACCAAGAGCTTCCTTCGGAGCGAGCAGTATGCGGAAGGAAAACAAACAAAATTGGTTAACTCATCTTCCCCGTTCAACAACTATGACGACAGCCTCCATCGCGACCCAGCAGGGGTATCCACAATGCGACCCCGTTAGCGCGGAAGAGAGCTTCCGCGTGACCGGGTCAAATAATCAACGATGATCTAAACTAGCGCGAAAGCGGCTGCAGGCGAAAAGTGGATGCCAGAGTTCTTCGAGAGCATTCAATTCTGCGTCGCTTCAGAGCCGCCTTAAGTATAAACTCGTGCGCGTGAATAGAACAAACTCTATAAGGTAGACTCCAGCTTAGCTAGAGGCCTACAGGACAGAGTATGAAGATTGAGTATCCCAATCCGATCTGTGTGCTAGACATTTTTTTTTTCTTTTCTTACTGAGGATTCTACTCTGCTCTAAGAATCTAACTTTTAAGAGGCTAGTTTGATTCATTTCACGGGACTACTGTAGTCCGGGGCGGAGTCGTGATCCCATGGCTTCTCCCCCGATCCAGCCACAATTATCGGTGTGCCACGCGAGATCAGCGGTCTGACAGCTTGAAAGGCTAAACCTGGGAAAATGGGGGCGACGAAAAAAGGATATCGTGCTACTAATACTACTTGGGCAAAAGGTGGCATTCCTAGACTCAATGGGAGCGATAGAGAGTGGTCGATTCTGTATCCGTAGCAGTCTCCTAAAGTTAGGGAAATGACACCTTCTCTGCCCGGGAAGCTTGGCTTAGAATCAAACTATGATAGAGCACAGAAAACCCGTATTGCCGTCAGAGTAACGGATAAGCTGGAGCTGTCACGAAAGGCGTGGTTGAGGTTTCACAGTCGCCCTTTTGCAACTCGAGCAATCACTAGCCGCCATTTTGGCAGTGCGACGAATCACATTGCGTTGCCGGGTGACAATTGCGGTCTGATAGATCTAGCAACTTTAACTGGTCTATCGCCTCTCACCATTTTCCCCAGTCACAGCGTTCCGATTGGATCCTTTGAGTTAGCCTGGGGTGCGAGACATGCAGGCAGGCAGCGTGCAGCGGCATCTTCAAAAGAAGAAAAGATAATCGGGACGAAGAGGAAGAAAAAAAAAAAAGAAAAGAAACCATGCAATTTCCAGTATCATCATCATTACAAGGATGCTTTGTAGTGTCTTACAACGTTTTCCTGCCTCGTGGCTTTTTGCTCGCTAGTACGGAGTTGTCTAGCTCGCTAACTAGCGAGTAAGCTGGTTCTTGCATCCTTCACGCCAGTGCCGAGTCCCGAAATGAGATATTCCCATCGAATGGTCTGGTGCGGTCTGCCTATCTGAAGCCGGCGGTGGTGGCTTGCAATCTCAAACCACCGTTCCCAGAATGTCGGGTCGCCTGTGGTCTACACGGTAGTGCCACTGAGCACGTATTCCAGCCTAGGCAGGTGACTATCGGGTCTCCGGGACCCCGGTTCGCGCGATGCGTGTCATAGTCATAGCTCCGTTTCTTTATTTTTTTTCTGCGGATGATGCAAGGCGTGGGTCAGGGGAGAGGGGCCCCAAAGGACGAAACAAAGTCGGACCGGGGTGTTAATTGATCGGGGGGTTTTGGTCCCAGGTATGTGGTACGTGGGTACCTGGTTCCAAGATCGAGGACGATAGGCACTGTACCAGTGACTAGAAATTGTTTAAACTACCATAAGAGCTAATTTCTACAGAGCCAGTCTGCAGCACTCACTTACTGAGAACTGAGTATCTAAAGAAGAAACATATCCCATCTAAAATCTGTCTTTGTTCACGATGACTTTGCGCACCAGTGGGTCTTTTATCCAGATCAAAACACACTTGCTTTTTTTTTTCCCTCAAAACTGCCCCCAACTCGACCTAAAGGTTTTTTTTTCTTCTTTGATCCGTGCTCACCCCTTCCCCGAGCGATCAACGGAGTCCTTAGGGCCTATCCACTCGCACGCCTATATGCAATCAACCCATTATCTCGTGCCCGCTGCAACCGCGAGTTCGCGACCGAACAAGCAAAAGCAAATCAGGCTATACTGCACTGCACCGTAGCGTCACTCCGTATTTATGCTCCATACAATGGCCTCAGGAGGATAGCGCATACTGCACAGGTCACGTCTTTCCCCTTACAAGGACCAAAAGAATCCTCTGCACCCCAGACCTGCCAACCCCATTTTCACCGAGTAGTCTCCGAAGTAGATCCTAAAGCCTCCAGTAAGAATGGATCTGACCAAGCTTGTCATCGATCCGCACCTGCTCTTGAAGAAATCAGTCTTCAACCCCTTAATTTTCCTCCATCTATGTATCTCACAACACGGAACCATAAATCCCCAATACCACCGTGCCTGCATTTTGCCCTGCAGGGCAGACCCGCACAAGCAGTGGCAGTGCCCACGCACAGTCACATACTGCATAGACGCCAACTTAAAGCGGGCGATCGGCCGCATTGCGAACCTGACCGAGTGGGAAGCGCATTGCACCTGCACTGCATGCACAGCACGTACAGCTACCAGCCAGTAAGCTACAGGTACAGCGCATAGATGCCTCTACCGGACAAAGCAATTCAGAGGCTTCCTTTCCCGGTTCCCCGGTCGCCCCCCTTAGTTGCAGTGTAACTTTCTGCATGTAAGCCAGATCTGTTGATGATGCCGTCACCGCCTCCCCAATCTCGTAAAATGCACATCGTACTTTGTATAGCTCTGTGTACAGTACTCAACTGTCGCACACTCTCCGGACCTCGGTCATACTAGTCATAGTCTCATGGTCACTAGAAGCTCCAGAGTCGGCCCACTGTGGGAAATACCCTGGCGATCACTTTCCGCCCCTTGCAGCTTGCAGAGGTTAGACTTGAATTTGGGCGACGGACTTGATAGCGAGCCGGTCCGTCATCTCTTTTTTTTGTCGGCCGTTTAGTGATCGACGGTCTCCACTTTGGAGGTTTTACTGAGGCAGGCAGACAGGCCGCGGATCTATCGAGTCCCGTCTTGTTGAGAGGTATCTGACCATTTAAGTCTACCAATTTTGCTGCGGCCATTGATCTCCAGTGATTTGTAGGGAGGATCATCGTGAGGAGCCTCGGTCTCAACCTTCTAGTACTCTCCACATACTACAAGATAGTATGTGGGCGGGTAGGCTGCTGTATGGGGGAAAGTACTTTGCAGTAGGAGATCTGCACAGTCGATCGCTTTAGATACATGTCTACTCCGTACTCCGAGTCGATCCCTGGTATGTATAAATATTTTTACGTATGATTGACTGGACGATCACATATGGGCACAGTAGAGCTCGACCGAAGAATTCTTGATCGAGGTCCAGCATTACTACCGTACTGACAGCTCATATTCGAACCGAACCCTTGGGACTAACTACGGCCCTTCCTTACTGCTGAAACCGAAACTCATTCTTCGGTCTTCCCTGAACGCCAACGTCAACCTTGAACAACCGACCTCCATACCGCACCGACTGTGGAAACTTCTCATCATCACGGTCATCCTTGGCCGAAGTAATAAACAATTCCGTCCCCACGAAAGCCGGACACGTCGGGTTCCGCGTAGGCAGGTCAATCTGACCGATAACCCGGCCCTCGGGCGAGATACGCAGAACCTTACCGCCACCGTAAATTGCGGTCCAGATGCAGCCCTCGACATCAATGGCAAAGCCATCTGGCTCCAATGAGTCGCCGATATCAAAGTGCACGCGGCGATTACTAATAGAGCCGGTCGCGGCGTCAAAGTCAAAGGCGAAGATCTTGCCGGTCGGCGAGTCGGTCCAGTACATGGTGTCGTCGGCGGCGTTCCAACCCATTCCATTGGGGATGGTGACTGGGGCCAGCATCTCGTGCAGGGTGAGGTCGGGGTCCAGGCGGAAAAGGGTGCCCTCGGGTTGCGGCGATTGGACCTTGGGGTCGTTCATGGCGCCGGCCCAGAAGCGGCCGTGGCTGTCGACGGCGCCGTCATTGAAGCGCATTCTATGACGGACATGGTTTGTGAGCGGATGGGACGGGAATGGCCGTGAAGCTGATGCTGGTCTTGGGTTTTGTGCTGCCGTTCGAGATATTGGGGGGGGGGGGGGGCTATGGGATTGGAGCTACCAAATGACGTCTCGAGCAGTTTTACCTTCAACCCTTGCCACCTTCCCAGCATCAGGTCTCGCTAGGCGGGAGTGGATAGCCATCAATGCAAATCACCAGGGCCAGACTTACAGATTTTGCCTTGACGCATCCTTTTCCCACGGCCGGGCGATGTAGGAGAGCTTCCCGGTGGCCTGGTTCAGCCGGGCAAATCCATGCTGGGCCCCGACAATCAGCTGATCCTTGTCGGCCTCGCCCGCAATGTTGGCGGTGACGCTACAGTTTTCAGAGTCAGTCTTATGAAGTAGTACCAACACGAATTGTATCAAATTGGAGACGGAGACATGGGGAGACATGGAGGCAAAGCGCAGCAATTTGAAGAGAACCTACCCGATGGATGCATCCGTATCGATTACCCTCAACGAGTCAGGGCCCTTGGTAAGATCGAGTCGGTAAAGTTTGTGGTCCCAGATATCGACAAAGCGGAACTCGTTGGCAGCAGCATTGTGGAATGGGCCCTCGAGCAGCGTTCCCGCTATGTCAAGATAGGGCTAAGGCAGGTTCGTTAGTACTGCAGTGTTAAAGTGTTGGCATAGCAAAAAACCGAATGGTGTCATTCTGGTGTAGGTTTTGGGAAGCTGTAAATTTTGTGATTGGACAATGGGCCAAAAAGGTGTCGTCTTTGCTTTTTTTTTTCTCTTTGCTTTTTTTTTCTCTAGTCGTGATCCTTGTTCTTTGTGAAGGTTGGGGGCCAACGGCAAGATCATGTCCTACTTGACCGACAAATTGAGAAAAAGCCGGGACGAAAAACATGCGAAAGAAAAAGAGACAACCAGCGAATCATGACCGAGGAACATAGATGGAGACTCGAACCCCCGAATAAATTAAAAAGGGAATATCCCGGAAGACTGCAGAAAAAAAAGCACGAAAAGTATGAACCAACCTCAGTGACCGTCCATCTTTGGATTTCAGACATGTCGATCTTTCGGTGCAACTGGACCAGAGAGGATAGAGTAAAAAGAGCGAAGGGCGACTGTTGCTTCGGTACTAACGTGTCAGGATTAGGGGGTGAAGCAGGAGGTGGTCAAAGGAATCCGGACAGGATAGGATGATGATGGACACCGCTATTTGGAGGCTTTTGGATTCTCGGGGCAATGGGGGTGGACTCTCCGGGGAACGGGGGGGGGAAGAGGAGGAAGTGGGAAATGTGGACGAGGAGCCGACTAAGTCGAATGGAGTTAGGAGGGAGCGGGATCGGAGCACGGAATGGCTGAAAGAGGAAGATAGAACGGGAGAAGATGTCCGAAAACCCCATCGGCCATTGTTCCACGAATACCTTCAAGCCACCGAGAACCCCCCGTTCGAAGCCTGCGAACTATGTGAAGTTGAAGTTACGGAGGTTGAGCCGTTGGGCAATCTCCAGCACTCGAGAGAGTTCGGAGATAGTTTACTCCGTCAGAAGCCCTAGACTACGAATCAAACGAATCAAACGAATCAACCTCCCCAAACTTCGAACTCAAAACATTGCTGACAGCGCTGATCATCAAAATTCTTCAATAAGTAGTGGAGACGATCTTCCTCTCGGCAAGCTGACAACTGTACGTGTACGACGTGCTTGAGTGAGTTTATTGGGCTCGTAGAGACAAGAGGAAAAGAAGCGGTGGGATAAACGGGAACAGCTTCTGCCAAGCGGCCACCCCCACACTCCCCGGCGCGGTCGGACTGCTATCATCCTCCGGAGGAGCACTCCCTAGTCACTTTAATGGCAAATCTGATTTTCTGGTAATCTGACTGGCTCGGTCGATATAAGCCCGGCAAATGAGAACGCTTCTATCAGAATAAGGTGCAAGGTAAGGCAAGCTCATCACACTGGCACATGGTCACCGTTTCACATTGTACTCGGCACTGCAGGGGTTGAGCCTATGGAGTGTTCTTGAAAAGAGGAGCTTGTGTAGAGTAGATTATATTTCCATACAGGCATAAATAATTAGTACATACTCATGTACGGTTCTGTGGCTTTGATCACCATTGTACGGTGGCAGTCGTTCATAGAGTAGCATGACCAACAACTCCCTAAAGTACACTCCGCTACTCCGCAGACATTCTCTGATTACAGAGCCTATGAAATCATCTTCCGCTATCCGCGCTCTTCCCGAACTAGTCCAAGTGCCCACATGACCACCTCTGCATGCAATCTGCAAGATGCTCATGTACGTATGTGCTGGATGCTTGGCCGGGCGCTAACAAAAACCCACTGGCTCCCCCCTCCAACCCAATGACTCCGAATTTCATGCCTAACCTTACACCAACATGAGACAAAAAAGGATTCCTCAAAAACGAGATTTGGGCATGCAATTACAGCTAACCATCCAAGAGACGTGCCGTTTGTGGAATTAACAGAAATAGCAAGTCCTGAACCAGGGTCGGAAAGTCAAAATGCAATTTGAATTGGGTTCGTGAAGAAGGGTGTTCCGGGGTGTAGAGTATATGCGAAGACTTGCTAGATACGAAGGTGTAGTTATGCTATGACATGTCGCTACAACGGGATAATATGCCCTAGGAACCTGTATTACTGAAAGAATATAGCAATCTCTGAACTGAGCATTGACATTGATAGAACTATCAGGCTACCCCTTTAAACGACCCCGACGTAATTTCTACATCTACGCACATAGTTTATAGTGCAAGGATGCCTTCAAAGAAGCAACGCGCACCGCACGAGCTCCCTCGTCGCCACCCGCAGGTCCCTGCACCAACACCAACGTTGCCACTGACACTCTACAAAACTCTGTCCAGCGGATGCGTGTCTCATGTTGACAGCCGTCAGAGCTAACCCCAGAGCCACAACGAGGGGAACTCGGTCCGGGCCTAACCGTGGACCCCGTAACTACAAAGCATGTTCTATCCTGTCGAACACATACATCTACTATGACTATATCTATATGTATGGGGTCGTATAGAGAAGTGCACGCAGAGTGCCCATCCCCACAAACACCAGCATACGTACATTTCCAACGATAGTCCAAGAAACGGTTTACGACACTACCCCCCAAAGAGTACTACTGTAAGCCACCACAAACACACCCCCAATCCCACCCATGTCATACAATTCCCAGCCATCAAATCCCCCCAACACAAACCCACCACCTGGCAACACATAGGAAAACCAAAACCCGAGGGGTTAATCCATTTCGTAGCCCCCCTTAAACCTATCAACCAATCACAACATACCTAAATTGAAAAAGAATTGTAGTAGCGGGATATTAGCGAAATGCAATGCGTCTCATTGCTGTTCAACGAACGCCCGTTGGGTTCCCGGGAAACTCCCAAGGACTTGGAAAGGTAAGGCTTGCTTGCATGCATGGTGTATGTCAGAAAGTTTGGTTGTCCTGCCCGGTGGGGTTAGCATGCTTTTGGGTTAAATGGGGGGGCTATGGTGGCCGGGATCTAGTTTCGGGGCGAGGAGTTGCGATTTGATTTGAAATCAGCTTTCTAGTTGGACGTTCGGGTCCTTTGAGATGTGGCATTGGGGATTTAGGTGTCGAAGTTTGCATTTGAGAAATATACCAGTGTGCGCATAAACGCACTGTGCATGCTTTTCTGCATATATACACGCAGCCAGGATCAAAATATGCCGACATGAAATACTACTAGTGACACTAAATATCCCGCTGGTGCGCGGAATGCATGCCCAAATTATATGTTCCTAGTAACTACGGCATTTGGTGGGTTTCTGCGTCCAAGTGGAGAATCGGGCATCAATCAAAGCGAACTTATGTTGGAAAAGACGTGCAGGTGTACCCAGTGCGTTCAACTTGGCGTGGAGGTGGCCGATAGCTAGGACCTGTCCCATTTTCTGGATATCACACGTAGACTCCATAAGTTATCAAGACTATGCCCCGTACTGAGACAGCGGCCATTGGACCAGACCCAATGCACTAGCAACAATCCCATCCAATACGGAAAAAGTGAGGCCAGAGTATGAGATGGTTGGATATTTGGTTGGGTCATCAAAACATAAGAAATTGTCTAGTTACAAACAGAAAAGAAACCAAGTTCAAGCTCCCCACATATCAACAGATATGCATCCCAATTCACGTGTCCAATTCTTTACAGACGGCTGCCCAGGTTAACGTGGATCGCCTTGACCTGCGAGTAAGCGTCGAGGCCAGCCTCGCCCAGCTCGCGGCCAATACCGCTCTGCTTAACACCACCGAACGGCACGCGGAAGTCGCTGTCGTTGCTGCTGTTGATCCAGACCATACCGGCCTCAATCTCCGAGGCGACACGGTGGGCGCGCTCGATGTCGCGTGTGAACAGCGCAGCACCGAGACCGTAGGTGGTGTCGTTGGCGCGGGTGACGGCCTCGTCCTCGGTGGTGAAGCTGGCGATGACGACAAACGGACCGAACACCTCCTCGCGGTAGATGCGCATGTTGTCCTTGACGTTGGTGAAGATGGTAGGGGCGATGAAGAAACCACGGCCGTCACCGACGTTCTTGTACGGCTCACCACCGGCAGCGAGGGTTGCACCCTCGGATTTACCAGCTTCAATGTATGACAGCACACGCTCGTACTGGGCCTTGGTAACTTGCGGTCCCTGGAAGGTCTCGTCCTCGAAGGGGTCGCCGACCTTGCTCTCGGTCTTGACGACCTCCTTGAAGAGCTCGATAAACTTGTCGTACACGGAATCGTGGACAAGGATACGCGATGTCGAAGTGCAGACCTGGCCCTGGTTGTACATGATACCGACGTGGGCCCACTTGGCGGCCTGCTCGAGGTCGGCGTCCTCGAACACCAACAGTGGGGACTTGCCACCAGTCTCAAGGGTAATGTTCTTCAGGGTACCGGCAGCCATCTTCATGATCTCACGACCGGTGGCGGTGGAGCCAGTGAAGGCAACCTTGGCCACATCGGGGTGCTGCACCAGAGCGGCACCAGCCACACGGCCGTAGCCGTTGATGATGTTAATGACACCGGGGGGGAAACCGGCCTCCTTGATCAGGGAAGCCAGGTAAAGAATGCTAAGAGGAGTCTGCTCGGCAGCCTTCATAACAATGGTGTTACCGCAGGCGAGAGCGGGTCCCAGCTTCCAGGCGGCCATGGCCAGAGGGAAGTTCCAGGGGATGATCTGACCAACGACACCAATGGGCTGGCGCAGAGTATAGGCGAACTTCTGGGGGGTGGTGCCGATGGTCTGGCCATGGACCTTGTCGGCCCAGCCGGCATAGTAGCGGAGGGTGTTGAGGACCTCGCCGAGGTCGTCGTTGAGCGAGACCTGGTACGGCTTGCCTGTATGAAATTGTGTCAGTCACGATTTTCGTCTTCCTTCTGCTCTTTCCAGAAAGAGCTACTGACCGTTGTCCCAAGTCTCAATAGTGGCCAGAGTCTCCCTGTGCTGCTCGACCAGATCGGCGAGCTTCAACATCAAATGACCACGGTCGGTGGCCGGCAGCTGCTTCCAGGAAGGGTCCTTGAGGGCCTTGCGCGCAGCTTCGACGGCAGCATTCACATCCTCCTCACCGGCTGCATAGACCGAGGCAATTTCGGCTTCGTTACTGGGACGGGTTAGCATTCAAGGGTTGCGTGCAGACGGATTCACAGGCTCCAAATAGCGGGGAAGAGCGGCGTCCAGAACATACGAAGGGTTAATAGAGGCAATCTTCTCGCCCGACTTGGACGGCACAAACTCGTTGTTAATGAAGAGGCCAATGGGCTGGGTGTAGGAACGCCCGTTAGGAGCCGTCAATTGCACGGAGAGGTCGGACATGATGGCGGAGTGATGTAAACGGCGAGACGACGTGAAAAGACCACTCGACAAGCGAGTGACGGAAGAAGATGGAATAGAGAGGCAGCGCAAAGGCCGAAGAGTGAACAATGCAAGCATTCCCAAATATGGGGGGGGGGAGGAGGGGAGTCGACTTTAAGGGAAGCTTACCCAGTCCCCGCCCGATAACGATAGCGATCATTGATAATCGGAGTGTGGATCCGGTCGGAGGTTGCTTTCTGGGTCTGGTCTAGTCGGGTGCACTTACTCTTCGTGGGTAACCAGATGCGCTCGACCACCAACGAGAGCTTACGAGGGCCAACTTGCTCCATTCGTCTGCTGTGGCCCCGCCATCCACTGGTTGGCTGTATACGCCGCTCTTATTTCTAAAGCGCTAACCCCTCCCCGGTCAACTATTCCCGAGGTTCTCGAGTTCTTCAGGGCCTCAGCAATGTCGCCGACGGCCATTATAAGAAAAGTAATACATATTTCAGTTCCCAAGATGCATGCGTGCTGAAAGGGAAAGCCGGTGCTTGTCAGTTACGAGTTGATTTAGATCATCTGCACGTCACAGCGGATCGGGGGCGAGCAAAGATGGGGGGGGCGGCTAAGCCTACACTACGACGGAAAAGGAAAGAAAATCGTCCAAGCCCAGTAAAGTAACCGAATTGGTGCTGATGCCTTTAAATTTCACCCGCAGCGCCTCCTCTTCTGAGGGTACTAAAGAAACGTAAAAGTCAAATAGACCCGGTCATATTGGTAGTTGTCTCGTTGTCGGTGCCTTAATCGGGACGCTTAAGCATACGCTTGTGTATCCTCGCCGGCTAGTTCGAGAATGTACTTCCACTGAGCAGGAGTCACCGATGATACACTGAGCCTTGATTGCTTGAGAGTCTGAAGGTTCTCGAGGCCCTTTCCAGGCTGGGCATGGGCCTTGAGGTCGCTCAACGTTACTTGCTTGTCGAACTTGCGGCGGAACTCGACATGCACCACAACCCACTTGGGGGCATCGCGACTGGACTTGGGATCGTAATAAGGATGCTTGGGATTGAATGCGGATTCTGAGACGCAAGTAAAAAGGGCGAATGTTAGCAGATCGTGCGGGCGGGTTGTTAAGGAGGGATGGGCTATCGAACCATCTACCGAGTGTTCCTTCACGATTTCCATGACACCAACCACTCCCGGGATCTTGCAATTAGAGTGGTAGAAGAATGCATAATCTCCCTGCTTCATCTCCTTCATAATGTTCCGTGCTGATTTCCATCGTTAGCCTGGTGGATCGTATCGTGGGCCGCATCATCCCGAGTCAACCTTACCAACAGCGTTGCGAACTCCTAAACGCATTCGTTAGTTTTTGCGCGATGCTCTCACTGATAGACTGGACCAAGCATACCATCCCAGGGTTCGGGCTCCTCCGCAGCAGCCAGATCATCAATAGAGAATTTGACATCAACTCCTTTCTCCATGCGCGACTCCGGCTCCGCCTTCATCAGCCAGTACGAACGACTAGTGTCGTTCAAGGCTGCGTTATCAGCTGTAGATTCAGGGAATGTCTTAGGCTTCTCCTCGGCGATAGGCTCCTCGTTCTTGGCTTCGACCACACTTGCAGCGCCATTGACCGGCAGACTCTTGCGCGGTCGTCCGCGGCCATCTTTCTTGTTCGGATTGGCGGCTGGGCTCGTGGGTGCAGAGGCTACCGGAAGATTAGACAACTACTGATCAGCAGCCGGGCATATGTAAAGCTCTAAGAGGAACACTTACCAGGCACCTTACGGGGACGTCCGCGACCATCCTTTGGAGGTGCTGTTGACGGGGTAGCTGTTGCCGTACCTATAATGAGGAAAGACCCAGCGGTTAGTGAACTATCTTGTGTCGGATCTCGGGTGTGATATACCAGGCTCCTTGCGGGGACGGCCACGACCATCCTTCCTCTTGGGTGTAGTAGAAGGCGTGGCTGTCGTCGTGCCTAGAGTTCCGAAAAACAAGCGATGAGTAGGTCATCCTTAGCGTTCATCCGAGGTTCGCTTACCTGGCTCTTTGCGGGGGCGTCCACGACCTCTCTTCAAAGCGGGCGAAGCTGCAGCTGCAGTTGCCGCCGCAAGGTCTGCTTCGGAAAGAACCTTTCGAGGACGTCCTCGTCCGCGCTTAGGTTCATCGGATGTCTTAGGGGTCGATTCCTCTGCTGTCTTGCGTGGACGACCGCGCTTTCGCTTTTCGCCAGTCTGGGGGTTGTCATCGATCTGTTCGAGAACAATTAAGTCAGCGGCGCCGGTGGATCTGGGGTGGATTGATGAGCGGGTTGAATCGTGACGATCAAGCCCCTGCATGACGCACTCACCGAGGAGACCGCTTTGTCTGAAGCCATAGTTTTGGAGGCAGTACTGCGAACACGCTTGGAGGGTGTGTTGGCACTGTCGTCTGCAGTCGTGGTTCCTTCGGATTTGCGCTTGGGTGGCATGTGGTGAGAGGCGGCCGGCGCAGCTTGAAAGATAGTAAACAGACAGAGGGCGTGCAGGGTCTTTTAACACCGCAGCTTTAGATACAAGCCGATCAGCCTGTTCTACCAATGCTTCCTATCGCCGTTCCTGCCGAGAGAATTGACGGGATGGATGTAAGAATTAATCTCCTGGGGAAGCTAACGCCTATCGCCTGCTGGGCTCGAGCTCGACGCGACGGTGGGTCCTTGAATTCTCCACGTGACACAAGCTTGATTGCCGTGGTCATTAGGACAAGTCTAATGAGCAAATGCAATCTATCGATGATTCAGCTTAATGACAATGATTAATCAATTCTGATTGATCGGTGATATATTTTTTAGGAGATTCATTCAGTTAAATTTTACCTTTACAGGTTGGAAGTGTGGTCTGGAGGGGTAAATTCGAGGCGATATATAGATGATCTACGGTCTTCATGTATGTTCGTTCTGACTAAAAGGAGTCACTATCAAGTACGCAGGATGGAAGTCACACACATATGGATGTTGTATCTGAACCATATCCTGATTCAAGACATGATCCTCATGATTCTTTCTGTAGCACATGACCCCAAGTTCAATTCTATTGTATCATCTAGTCCCGAAAAGAAGTTATCTGCAGGCAGTCACAACGAGACGGGTTATAGCATGTGATAGACCTTTCTGATCTAGAGCTCGGCGAGAACAACGTTTAACGACGAATTCAGAATTGAAACATGGAAATATAAATGATCTTGCAGTTTTCGCTCGAGTTTTCTTGTTTTGCCAGTGGCAATTGAAGAAATAATCGCATGGAAAATTTCAGACTTGTCAGACCAATAAGCCATAGTAGTAGCCGTTTGAAGCCTTGGTCTTCAGACCACCCTACGGCCAACAGCCCTGACTCGTCCTCCGTTAGTGGCTCTATAGGCAGGCCCCATACCTAGTCAAGCACCAAGCTTTGACTACCTATGTCAAGACAATGCTGGTCTAGCTGCTTTCACGGGTCTACATATCTAAGCAGACGGGGGCTGGTCCTATATGTGCATAGAATTAGGGGGCAATGCACATCAGATATCTTGAGTGACGACTGCTTCGAGCAGTTAATCTCCGGCATAGTGTTTCGCAGGGAGTATAAGGTTATACCAGGCTCCCGTCGAAGCATCGAAGAAGGCTGTCGAAACTTGCCCCACCTGGTGGGTCCCGACAGCTCGTCCCCAGCATCATCGAGTATCTAATGAACCAGCTCGCAGACGTGGACTGAAAGGCTGAAAACTGCACCAGCAGCATGGGAATTGCCGTTGGGTCTGGTCGAGAGGACTTCCTATCTCGATTCCACCAAGGATCGACATGTTATTGAGAGATGATTCATGCTAGACCAAGATGGTGTATACAATTGCGCCATCGAGCTGAGTCTCCATTGGCCCCAGGTGGGGGGGATAGCTTGCCGACTCAGGTCTCGACAAGTACCGCTCGGCCGATAACTTCAATAATGAAGCAGGTTGAAGAGCTGAGAATACTAGAATAAACAGAGATCAAATTGTATCTATCCAGACCGGGTTAAACAAGGTGCTACAACGGACACAAGAGCAGAGGTATGATTTTGTACCGTAGTTGATGGATAACCTGGGGTCAGCATACTTGGAGCAGAAACCGTGATGGAGGGGTCAGTGCCAAAGCACAACATCCGCGCTAAGCACGCTAACTGGAATGGTTCCTCTGACCACCATTGTCGACGTATTCTGCCCCTCCTTTCATCCCCTGTCGTGCCCGAATACAGATCCAGTTGGGCGGAATTGACCATTCAAAGGAGCTGAACGAGCTGAACTGGCCGAATGGGACCAGGAACACTAAACAGCCCACTTCTCCCGATGGCCAATCATGGTGGCTCTGCCCGTGGGCGGTGAGTAATTGCGTGATAGACAAGAGCCGGATAAGGTAAGTCGATCACCGATGAGGGAGGTGTATTCCCATCGCAAGCAGGCGGGGTGACAACTATTTGAACCGCCATCTTTCCCTTCTTCCTTTCTCTTCTCTTCTGACTATCGAAACTCTCTTTCCTTCATACCCATTAGCCACCATCCCCTCCCACATCACTCACAATGGCTGCTGAGCGTTCTCCTCCGTATGTACCCCTCCATCTATGCAACAAACTCCCCCGCGGTCCCTCACTTTCTAGAAAGCTGACCAATGCTCCCGTTAGTCTCCGTCTGGGCTCCACGGCCCCCGACTTCGATGCCGAGACCTCCAACGGTCCCATCAACTTCCACAAGTTCATCGGTGACAAGTGGACTATCCTCTTCTCCCACCCCGATGACTTCACCCCCATCTGCACCACCGAGCTCGGCGCCTTCGCCAAGCTCGAGCCCGAGTTCACTGCTCGCGGTGTCCAGCTCATCGGTCTGAGCGCCAACAACGTTGAGTCTCACCACCGCTGGATCAAGGATATCGATGAGGTCTCCGGCTCCCAGCTGAAGTTCCCCATCATCTCCGACCCCGAGCGCAAGGTCGCCTACCTGTACGACATGGTCGACTACCAGGACACCACCAACGTCGACTCCAAGGGTCTGGCTCTGACCATCCGCTCGGTCTTCATCATCGACCCCTCCAAGAAGATCCGCCTCACCCTCACCTACCCCGCCTCCACTGGCCGTAACACCGCCGAGGTCCTCCGTGTCGTTGACGCTCTCCTGACCACCGAGAAGCACGGCGTCACCACCCCCATCAACTGGCTCCCCGGTGATGACGTTGTCATCCCTCCCCCCGTCTCTACCGCCGATGCCAAGGCCAAGTTCGGTGAGATCCGTGAGGTCAAGCCCTACCTGCGCTTCACCAAGGACCCCAACCACTAAACGGGTGTCCTCTCCACGTCTCTCCTGACTACGATCTGAAATGAGCACGATGATTTCTTTGAAATGGCTTTCTGAATGCTACCTTCTTTAATTGGCCGGAATAGCCGACTTGATACCAAATATAAAATGACTTCTCCGCCAATTTTGTCCCCTTAATCTCATCGTTATTTGTGATAGAGGAATTTCTCTTGGGAGCGTGAACGAGCGTGGTCTTTATCGGCCTTGATTTTAAAGAATGGCTCGACTGAGAATGAGGGTTGCTGCAAATATTCTGATCGCATTGACATGCAGACTAGATCATCGTTGCCCCCAGCACGTCCTTCCGCAATGCAGTCCGTGTAAATGGCTCGAGAACAGGCTGGTGGACCCCACGTGGGTACGAGGTCCGTTACCTACCGCCATCTGGACAACTCCATTGGCTCTCCTTTACAAGGATTCGATACTTGTGCAGTTTCTAGAACAATTAAAGAACACGATAACAATGCAAGACCATATAATTTTCTAAATACTTCCCCCGTACTAGCCCATCCAATCGCATCAGCCAGACTACCGAAAGAAGTTTCAACTCAATCTATTTCTTCGGGGTTGTTGCCCAAACGTGTATAGAGCGCGGTCGTATCCGCCCCCAAGCCTGTCTGGGAAAAAGGGTTGAGACCGCCTTTTCTTAATGCCGATCCAACATTTGACAGGATGACACTTTTTCTCTCCACTTTGAAGTCTCGTCTCCTTGCGCCGTTCTGTTTTTGCTGACAGATCCTCAGCCCTCCTCTGCGCTCTCGAAACGGCGGGCTTCGAAGCAGCGGGGAATAAACCTCAACCCACACGTCCTCCCTTTCCAACCCCACAGAGCCACACTTCGAGCCCGCACCAGAACCTGTCATCGGCGCGAGCGACTGTCCGATCGTTACACACTCTCGAGGCCCACCGAGGAAGGGTTGTCACTCGCTATATGCGTCCTGTCTGACGGCGATATACAACCGCACGGACTGACCGAGAGGAAAAAAGGGGGTGGACAGAGCGAGAAACTACCCGCCTGTGATCGCATTCCTCAGTGGGGACCACACCCAATCCACCCATAATGATGTCCAGAAGCCAGTCGAGTCTGGGATACTTGGATGCTGCCCAAGATCCCTCGGCGCAAGGCATCTCTCCGTCTTTCCAGGGGCAGTCATCCTCGGGCCCGATCAACCTGTCTGGCCTGGTGTGCAATGTGCGCCGAACCACCGGCAAAGAGCCTCACCCCCTGGTGGGCGCGACCACAACTATCTTGGGCGACAAATTATACGTTTTTGGAGGCCGCATTCTCTCCCGCAGTCGCCCACAGCTGACATCCGATCTGTACGAGCTGGACTTGATTCGACGACACTGGACCAAGATCGAGCCGGCTGGCGATGTCCCTCCGCCGCGGTATTTTCATAGTGTATGTGCGCTAGGTGATAATAAGCTGGTCTGCTATGGAGGCATGTCGCCTGCACCGAGCACGCCCAAGGATCCCTCCAATCCCGGCGCGTCTGGATCGGAATTCCAGTCAGAGGTGGTGGTCATGTCGGATATTCATATCTTCGACGTCCCCTCTCGGACATGGACTCGAGTCGCAGCTCACGAGTCGCCGCAAGGACGATATGCACACTGCGCTACGATCCTTCCCTCCAGTGCCTCGTTTACCTCAGCTAGTGCGCCACTGTCAGCCATCCACCACAATCCAGAGTCCACTACGCCGCATCAAGGCAGTATTGGAGTCGATATTGATGGGTTCGGCGGAGCGGAGATGGTAGTTGTTGGTGGCCAAGACAGTTCCAACCATTATATCGAGCAGATCAGCGTCTTTAATCTCCGCAGTCTCAAATGGACTAATACCAGTCCACTAGGACGCAGCTGTGGCGCATATCGTAGCGTGGTTGCGCCCTTAGTTGGCATGGACGTCTCGGAGGTAGGCTCGGCCGCGCCCGACCGTGAGACTCACGAGCCGATCGAGGAAATTGAGTCGCCTGGCTGTCCTATGCTGATCTACTCCAACTACAACTTCCTGGATGTCAAATTGGAGCTGCAGGTGCGCTTGCCGGACGGGCGCCTTGTTGAGCGACCGATGCAGAGCCAAGCGTCTCCACCCGGGCTGCGTTTCCCCAATGGTGGCATCATTAACGGCCACTTTGTGGTAAGCGGAACCTACCTGACATCCTCCAAGCAGGAGTACGCGCTCTGGGCTTTGGATCTCAAGACTTTGACCTGGGGACGCATCGATGCTGGTGGGTCGGTGTTTGGCCATGGTAGCTGGAATCGCGGTATCCTCTGGCCACGCCGCAGTGCATTTGTCATTCTTGGACACCGGAAACGAAGCCTGGTCGATGACTATAATCACCGGCGAATCAACTTCTCGCACATTTGCTTGGTCGAACTCGAGGCCTTTGGGCTTTACAACAATCCATCACGGACTGCTTCTACATCAGGATATAAATCATACAGTTCCCCCTCAGTCCCTGCATCTTTACAACAGAAACTGTCCCAATTGACGACTAGTGGCCGGCCTCTGTCCGCAACGTCGGATGAATTAGGCAAGCTGGCACTGTCATTGCATGAGATGTCGGACATGGAGTTGCAGGCCGTGGGTGGAGAACGGATCCCTGTGAATTCCCGTGTCCTTGCTCGCCGTTGGGGTCCATACTTTATACAACTTCTTCGCGAGTCTTCTGATGGCGGTGTTGCGGACGCCGCCACCCTGCGTCCGGCTCTAATGCATCCTAGTCGAAACTCAAGCATCACCATTACCCCTTCGGTTGGACACAACAGCACTTACTCCAATGCGACAACGTTGGTCAACCCTGCCGTCCCCTCTAAAGCACTTCTTGAGAACTTGGAGACTCCCTCTGCCCATAGCCTCGCGCCAACATCGCGGCCGCGTGTGCTCTACCTTCCCCACACTATCCTTACCGTCCAAGTGCTCGTCCAGTACCTCTATACCTCAGCCCTCCCTCCCCCTGGATCCTCCCTATGCACTCCCCAGATCCTCTGCTCCCTCCTCCAACTCGCTCGCCCCTACCAGATAGACGGTCTCTTGGAAGCGACCGTGGAACGTCTGCATCAAGTCCTTGACGGACGCAACGCCGCAGCTGTCTTCAACGCTGCCGCCATGGCCGCAGGTGGAGGTCGCGGTACTGGCTTCACTGGCGGTCTAGGTGGTACTCTGGAAGCCCTCAATGGAGCTCACAGCACCCGCAACGGCACCCTCCCTGGCATGTCAGAGGGTGGAACGAACTCCCAACAGAGCGTACTCCTAGCCTCCGACTCCTCGGATACAGAGCACGGCGGCATCGCTGCCCCATCAGCTTCCAGCAGCGCCAATGACCTGACAAATCCCAACCGCGGTTTGCCAGCGCTACGCATCGACACGAACCTGTCGCAGTCGCGCAATCGTCAGCGCGGCAACCGCGATCGCGAAGACTCTATCAGCAACCCCAGCACGGCGACGTCTGCGTCCAGCGCCAGCTTTAGTCAATCCGACTCGGAGTTTGTCAGTGACAGCGAGAGCCGATCAGCGTCCCGCACACACCACCGCCGCGACACGGATGCCGAGCTCCGCCCACAGCGTGAGATTTGGACCGGCGATTTGAGCAGCGTTATCGGTTTACAGAAGCGGGGACTGCGCGGATTGATGGAGGGGAGGAGGATGCGTGAGCGTAGCGTGAAGCCGCCCAGCGTCAGCAGTGGTTCGACATCCGTACCTCCGTCGGCGGGGTCAGATCACCATCTGCCTATGCAAGGAGTGACGGGCTGAAAGCGTATCTAATCCCATTTGATTTCGAACCTGACCTGGTTGGATTTGTTGACGGCTGATGGTTGATATAGCGAGTTGGCCTTTGGATTTGTCATGTTGTCATGGTCTTTATTCCTACGTTGGTATTTTCCTTGCCTTGATCTAGAGGTCTTTGGAGATTTTCTTTGGATATGAATATCTAGTCCATTTGTTTGCATGCTTCCACTCCCCGCAGGCTGGCGAGGTGGAAACTCGTTTCATAGTTGATGATTTACTCCGTGAGCGAGGGAGGAGTGGTAAATATGGTATTCACTATTTCAGGCATTCTGGGTTCCGATTCATCGCCTTAGGTTCTCTTAGTATTCTCCGCGTACTAGGTCATCAGAGGTTAGGCTGGAAGGGACGTGTAGTAAGGTTGGAATCTCATCGATCCTTGTCCTGAATATATCGAGCTAGATTTAAAAGAGAACTTCTGATTCCAGCGTGCACATGGATGCGGCTATGAGATGAACAGTTTGGTTGCATTACAGTATGTACAGAACATGGAGATAGCTCTCGATGACACGAGAGCAAAAGAACCTTCTATGAAGAAGGAGACGAGGAAGAAGCAGACGGAGCCGAGTCCTTTGGCGGCTGCTGTGGTAACAACCTCTTCGGGCTCTTATCCCCATAAACTACAAGCACGAAACTGTCAGAAAGAAGCGCAAAAAAATAGAAACACCGACACCCGATACAAACACTCAGAGAAGATCACAGTAGCTTCGAGGAAACTTACCACGTTCATAGAGAATCCAAGAAGTGTACATCACAATCGGCAATGCCACGATCGTGGATAACCATCTAATCAACACCCTCATCAGCACATCGCATCCCGGCAATAGACCCTGTCACAAGTAAGGCAAAGCACACGGCACTAGCTTGTACTGGGCCAAGCCCATACACCACCGAAACATATAAGAAATCATTTGAATCACTCACCGCCGCGCTGCAACTTTATACTCCTTGGTCTTCCGGATATCCGCCGGATTCACTGGACGGGGCGCTGGCTTGGGTGGTGGTGGTGGTGGCCTAACAGCAGAGACACCGGGGTTTCGCACTGGCCGCAGATTTGAGGGGGCTTTAGGAGGCATGCTTGAAGAGTTGATGTATTGGGTGTGGTGGAGGAGAGCGGGTTTACTTGGTATGTCGAGGGAAAAGACTGTCGATTGGAAGGGGAAGTGGAGTGGAATTGTTGCCTGAGGCAGAAATTATGTACTGGTTTGATATTGGACTTGGGATTTGGGGTTTTCTTTGCTTTGAAGATGGGGATGGGATCCGATCTGTTAGCTCACATATCTTGCTGCATGAAGACGAACAATTTGGTATTAACAATATGTGCTGTTTATGTGCTTATGCTCAAGCAATTCATGTTGAAAGAAATCAGATATGAAATCATGCAAGGCGCCATGCCCACTTGTGCAGAAACGCCAGAAAGAGAGAGACTCGGGCAACGAAAAGAATACATGTCATGAAGAATGATAAGAAATGATCAAACACCGCGCTATGATCCGACGCCATTTCTGGTTGGCCGCAATAAAACCCAAAAAAATCAATCCCATATTCTTATCACCACCCACCCAAAACGCCGTCATAATCACATCAAACTGAATTCATTTCTCGAATGAAAACAGCTCGGAACGAACCCAACATAGACACGAAACTAAGAAAAATGAACAGGAAGAAAAAGAAAGGAAAGAAAAGAGCCGAAGGGAACGAAACGGCCAGAAGAGAATGGGGCGGAGGGGTCTTCATACTTACCCTCGTCCTCTACCACGCTTCCCCCGAGAGCTGGAGGCACCCCGGCTTCGACCTCCACCCCGACCGGAACCACGACCACGCTTGACAGCGTGGCCACGGCCCCGTGGGGAGGCAGCATTGGCAGTACCGACCTGAGAGTCAGCAGCCCGTGCCCGCTTGGCAGGCGACGTTGACCTTTCGGTCACCTCATCATTGGAAATGAGGGCTGCTGCTCTCTTCTTGCCCTTGGACACTGCTGGTCTCTGGGTCGTCTCGACCTCAGTGGCGAGGTCGGCTGCTTGCTGGCGGCTGTGGCTTGCCGCAGGTCGAGCTGGGGTGGAGTCTTCCTCGTCCCCGGACGCCCTATTCTCCTCCTGCATCTCCGCCGCGGTGGGAGGCTTCACCGTAATCCGAAGGCGCTGCACCGTCTGTGATGGTGCTTCCTTCTCCACGGGAGAAGGAGACGGCGCCTTCATCTTAGGCTCGGCCTTTGCCGACCGCGGAGCGAGCGTCTTGCGCGGTGCCTGCTTAGACGATGCAGGCTGGGAGACAGTCTCCCCGCGACGTCGCTTCTGTGCCCGCTCACTCCTTTCAAGAGCGGCGGGAGCAGATGAAGATGCAGAAATCTCGGCGATTTCGGCTCCAGGCAGGCGACGCTTTCTGCCACCCTTCTGAGATGGCTCAGCGGGTGCGGCTGCTTTCTTCTTGCGTGCCTGTACCTGGGCCTGCTCCTGAGTGACGTCCTCTGCTTGGAAGTTGAACTGTTCACCAAACGGGACGTTTCGGTCACCGAGGAGAGGCGGAAAGCCGAGGCCATCGATGGCCATCGCCTGATCATCCGGTCGAGTTCTGACGGGAGGATAGGGCAAAGCCTCGTCCCCATAGTTGTGTGGGGCACGATCGAGGCTGTAACCCGGAGGCATCAGCATCACCTCTTCGCCGTGGCTGTTAACATGGCCCGTGTGAGTCCAGTTATCATGGTCTACATGGGGTATGGCAGAGGACTTGAAGGTGAGCATGATTTTGCGCTCTGGGTCGTCTGGGGGGATGCTCTCGGCATCATCTGCCACGGCAGGGACATTGGCATCATGATCACCGTGATGCGTGTCACTGTCAGCGGCATCCTCTTCCACATCAACTGTCGACTGCGCGACTCGCAGATCCTGAATGAACTGTTCGGGGTCGGACGGAGCGTGGAAGTCAGTGCCCAGAGCCACGGTGGCCAGCTCGTAGAGCTTTTGACCGGCGCGACCGACTGTGAGTTGAATGCGGTGGATTGAGGACTTCAAGGCGTTTTTGCCGTTCTTGCCTTTGCGAGTGTTGGCCCGAGGAGCTGGTTTGACGGCTGACTTAAAAATCAGCTTGGGACCGGTCCTTGACCGGGACTCGGGAGTGGAACTTGACGCACTCGCAGGCTCGTAGGCAGGCTTGAAAACGTTCTTGAAGGTGATTTTGGGGAAGCGTTTGGGTGCAGTGGCAGGGGCGGGGGCAGGGGCGGGGGCAGGGGCAGGGGCAGAGGGAGAGGCAGGGGAAGAAGTGGGAGCGGGGTCGGGGCCGGAGGTGGAGGCGCCGACAGAGGAATCAGCGGGAGCGGAAGCGTCTTTCTGGAGACGGCGAGGCTTCTTCCGTGACTGTATTGCCTCGAGAGCCTTGGCTGTTGGCTTGCGAAGACGGGTCGAAGCCCGGGTCCCCATGGATGAGACGCTTGGGGAGGGATGAGAATCCATCGTTCCGTCCATGCCGAGGCCACTGTATTGGCCGTAGGTCCAGCCAGTCGAGCCGAGGGCGTCAGACATATCGTGGTCTGAGAAAGAAGTTTGAGGTGTTTCGAGGGCAGCCGTGCGACGAGTGCGGCGGCTGCTGTGACTGGAGGTTGGCCTCTCTGCGGCAGGCGTGTAAACGGACGAGAGGCGAGAGGGGCGAGCTTGGAAGGTGCTTCGACGTGTCAAAGGCACGTCGGGAGAAGTCTTTCTTGATCCAGAGTTGTTGGGAGGTGTCTTTGGAGTGTAGAAACGGATGTTGAAAGAGTTGTCAGGAGTGGTGGAGGAGGGAAGAGGGAGAGTCTTGGAGGACCGGGGGGACGTATATAAGGTCTTCTCTGGGGCAGGCACTCGCGGGGAGCGCCGTGAAGGCACCAGAAGAGAAGTGTCATTGTTGACTCGTGCAGGCATCGAGTTGCGAGATGCCTTTTTGGGAGGCATCGTGGGTGGTTACCTGGAGAGTCGAACCCTAATTCGGGTATTAGTCGATCTGTGTATGACGAACAATGGCAAGGCAACGAAAGTGAAAAGGCAGTGAGCGGAGACAACATGAGTATAGGCAGCAAAAGAGATACAGAGAGAGCTCATTTGAGCTCGAGGCAAACACGGATCCAATGTAGGTAGAGGCAACGATCGTGGGTAGTCGACGTCAGAAGATCTTCAAATGTCGGGGAAGGGCAGAAGCGCGTGAGTTTAGGATTAGGGCCTAGTTTTAGGCCAAAAGGCAGCAGACACTCACTAATTAGGGCTCACCCATCCAGCAGATATTGATCTCAGGAGTACGAGATGTACTTTGATTCGACTGCAGCAGTTCTTCCCACGAAGATCAGGCCGACAAGCGACGCAGACTTGAGGGGACGTGAGGTCGGGGCAGAAAAGAAATTAGGGCTAAGGTTGATCGGCGCTTATCGGCCTCAATCATCCTTTCCGCCTTATTCTGCTACTCTACAAACCACCTATTCATTCCCATCTTGTCTTGACACTCTTTGTTTTCTTCCATTATTTTCACAATGCATCTGTGGCAGGCCACTCTTCCGTTCTGTTTGCTGGCTTCAGCTGCCTTGCCCGCTGCAGCTGCATCAGCTTGGGGCTTTGCTGATGCCACCGTGGCAATTCAACCTAAGGGCGCTGGGATCAATGGCGGATTCAAGGAACAGTAAGAATCAATTGGAATTGTTCCCAAAATAGCTGGAACTGGAAATGGAGCTAATTTACAATTGAATTTAGATTCACTTCGTCCAAGCCATTGTCCAAACCCGTTGTATTCGCCGGCGCCGATACATTGCGCGTCATCTTGACTGCTCAGGAAGGCAGCTCCGCAAAGAGACCACACCAGGCATTCCTCCTGCTGAAGGATAACCAGAGTGGCCTTGACATCTCCTACCCTTTCAGTGTCAAGGAGAATGGAAAATCTCGAGTTGAATTGGTATGCGACACGAAAATCGAGCTCTGGAATCGAAAGCAAGCTAATGCCAGTCCCATCCAGACCCAGAAGGAGCTACCGGTGCAATTCCTCTCCCTCACCGAACCCGTCGATGCCCGCGTTGTCATTGGGTCCTTTGGCAGCTCTGAGGCCTACGATAGCTCCGTCTTCAAGCTGGCTATCCAGCGGGACCCCAACGTGTCCGTCCCGACCGCGGAGACCGCGCGTTACGGCAAGCTCCCTGAGATCCACCACATCTTCAAGGACTCCCCCTCCAACCCGCCTGTCATCATCACCCTCGCTTTTGTGGCCGCCGTTGGCGCTACTTTACCGGCTCTGGCTGGCTTGGTAAGTTGATCGTTGCCCACATTGATGTCTACCTAGCTAACCAAAGCTCTTCTTCTATCAGTGGCTCTTCCTCGGTGCCAACCTCAGCCACCTCCCCACTGCGCTCAAGTCCGCTCCTCTACCCCACGCCATCTTCGTTGGATCGTTAATCTCTTTTGAGGGCCTCTTCTTCCTCTATTACACTTCTTGGAACTTGTTCCAGCTCCTACCGGCTGCGGCCATTGTTGGCGCGGTCGCATTCGTGAGCGGTAGCCGCGCATTGGGTGAGGTGCAGGGTCGTCGCCTGGCTGGTCTCCGGTAAGCGTCTTGAGTGATGCTCTATTGCGATAAGCTTGCGCTCTAGACCTACCTCGGATCTTTTGAAAAGGTGGCCACTGGAGCTCCACGGGAGTCGTTCGTGTCTTAGCTGCTATGATATCCGTTCTGTTTCATTTGAACCAGTATTTGCGAATGAAAGATGCTGCTGCGCATGTATATCTCTTTTCCAATGAGTTTCTGGAAGTATGTAAATAAATTTTGACTGCGTGCGAGCTCGACTTCTTGGAGTACTTGAGAGATACCCACTCTGGTCTAACAGTGCGTTTATACTGTCAACCTAACTAGCGGACAAGAGCAGGTTGTCGTCTCCTATTCTTCAATTGCAGAATAGACCAATTCATCAACCAGATGATGGATGAAACTAGCTATAGAAGAGCTACCGTAATGTCTATCTTTCCACCCTGATTGATTGTATTTTGACGTCACTTGAGTGGCTACACTATAACCGCCAATGCCAAGGCGGACCTCCGCGTTTCTCCCCAATCTCCGCTGCAAAATCGCCAAAGCTTCAAGACCTCACCCCTCCCGACCTTCTCCCACGAGAACCCCAAACAAAACACAATGGGCTCTGCTACTTCCAAACCAGCGAAGTCGGCTGCTGGCGCAGCTGCGCGCCGACAGTACCCAAAACAACCCGCTGTCCCGCCGAGGGTACCACCGAGTGCTCCCCAGCCATCGCAAACGCAGCAACGTGCTTCTCCTGCGCCGGCATCAGCGCCGGGTCGGGCCCCAGGCCCTGTCTTGCAGGGACCCCAATATCACTCCAAAGAGCAACCTTCCAACACTAGGTCAAACGGTATGTGTCCGTCGGGTTGCGCGCAAGAACGAACAAAAACCCCAGAGAAAATTTCATGGGAGCCTCTACGCTTCCTCTCGGAATACCTCTCGCTAACATTCTACCTATCTAGCAATTGACCTCGACGGCCGTGACCCCGACTTCGCAGCCTCCCTCCGCCATATCGGCCCCGTAAACCCCTTCCCAACTCTGTCCAACTCCAGCACTGTCAACCGTGGCTCCATGCAGACTGTCTTCCCAACAGGCTTGAACCCAGCCTTGCTCGCCGTGACAGCCCGCACGAGAATCGGAAAGGCCGCACAAGAAGAGCTTGAAGCCGTTGGACGGGGCGACTTTGCCGGGAGACAATTCCTGGACGCGTTCACCATCTCGCAGGCGCTGACTATGCGGGACCAACAGAAGATGCCGAAGCGGGAGATTGAGAGGTTGTTAAGGATGAAGGAAGGTGTTATGGATCGGTTAGGGAAGGAGGGTGTTGTTTCACGGGTTTCCGTCTAAGCCTCGTACGGAGGCGTGGTTTTCTCTATCATTAGAAGGTGTTTTGGTGTCGTTGGCTTTTTTCGGAGATTGGTGTTGATAGGCTCTTCTTCTTGCGCATATTTGCTGTATTATATTCCAGATGCTGTTTATCATACAGCCACCACAATGTCATCCCTTCTCATAACAAAGGCTTTGAATCGGGCTTTGAGAGTATTGCAAGCTCTCCGGTGTATCTGGCAGCATCTGTAGAACCGGCTTTCGTCGAGTCACACCGGAAGATACTGTAGGGTTCACGTCGGATATGTCGGGTTGATCTGCAGGACCGGCGAGTTCCAATAATGGCCAATCGATTTTGCTTTGTTGAGGAAGCTCATTCACACATGAACACAAGCTTCGCATTTCGTATTGGTGCTGGTACATCAGGACTCTTTATCATTTTCAGTATTGCCAGGCTCGAACTCTAGAAAACTCTCCGCGACATTACGTAGGCCTATTGCCGCACCCAATCAGCCTGGAGAGCTTGACCAATGACTGCTCGTCTCATGGAAACATAGAGACACGTAGGTGATAATCTGATTACGGCAGATACATCTTTAATAAATTTTACAAGATTCTTCCAGTCCAGTACCTCGGGAGCATAAAATATTTGGACTCGTAGTCAATACTCATCTTAACTCTAGGATGGTATTAACGACACGACAGAAAGATTCATGGCACGACAAGGCTAGTCCAAATGAGGAATGCGCCCCCTTGAATACAGAATGCTACATTCAAAATACACGAGTTACCTACCGAGTCCATATGGATGCATAGCCCTATCTTTAGAAACGACCGTTAAAAAGACCATTAAAAAGGCCATTAAAAAGACCATTAAAAAGACCATTAAAAAGACCATTAAAAAGACCATTAAAAAGACCATTAAAAAGACCATTAAAAAGACCATTAAAAAGACCATTTAAATGACTGTAAAAGAGCGTGGGAGTATGATATTAATTGAGTCGATTATAGGGATAAATAGATGATGGTCGCGTTCACAGTCGCGAACGTTATTAGCGAGAAGTATTGATGTAGTTATACAGAAGGACTCGATAGGTAACTTGTGTATTTGAATGTAGCATTTTGTATTGAAAGGGGGGGGGGGGGGGTTTCCTCGTTCTGCCATGAACTTTTCTGTCGTGTCGTTAATACCATCCTGACTCTATTGTGTATTCAATCGGTCTGGCCATATGGGGTTCTAACCCATATAACTCTTCGGAGCTTCAAGTTAGCAGGCTAGTCTTAGCCAGTTAAATAGCCGATCCTCTCCTTTGCAAGAACTACTTTGAAAATGAGAGGTCTCTACTGTGATAGTCCCTCCATAACAATCCCCCGGGCGTCTAAATGAGGGCCATAGATTATACTGCACATGCATCCAACCAACTCAATCGCATCCTATTCATATTCGACGCATCAATCCTAAAATAATATTGGGAATCTGGTCTCATGTGTAGCGCTAGAGGGTGGGCTCTTCAAAAAGTCGAGGAAGTAAAGTAATTGGATTGACGATTGGTGATTGCAGTTGAATTAAAATGTTGATCCGGAAGCCCTACAGAATCCGGGCTGTGTCACGGCGAATGAACCGTCGAGGACTCGACATGGCCGAAGCGTCCATCATGGGAGATTGGGGTCCTGTCAGATATGATGGGATACGTTGTATAATAATGGTTGCTAAAAATACCATCAATGGATTTGCCTATGAATCTTACTGCTATATAGTCCATAAAGAGTGATGCACACGACAACGTCCATGATTGAAGGCTGATGTGGGGGCTAATGCTTAGTTGGAGAATGGGGCGAGAAGATGGATACCAGTATTAAAGGCGACAAAATTAGAGTCGACCACCAAAATCCGACCAGTTGCCAACTTTTCAAAAGTGCCTCCAAAGTAGAAATTCATTATCGAGTTCGAGGTAGTTGACAGTTCATTCAACTTGGAATTGGCGCGGGGAACCCCTGGAAAGGCAAACCTTAACCGAGCTAATAGTGCCAAGCCACTCGACTTTCGAACGCAAGCAATCGAAAATTATTGTTACCGTATGGACAATGGAGTGCAGCGTATTATCCTTGGCACTGCTTAACTCTCCAGAGGTCTCACCTTAGCGCCCCCATGACCAAATGAGGCGCAAAAGAAAGGGTCCAGCTCGGGCCCAGAGAAAGTTCGATCCTAAGCCACTTTAGGAAATTGGGCACGCTAGCCTCCGACCATGTACCCGCCAGAAACCTTGGTTGCAGGCTCGGAAGCAAAACTTGGCCCCTTTCCGACTTGGGGGCACTTCAAGGTCAGCCATCGCCACAAAATCTGACGTATGAAGTCGGTCCTGGCGAATCGGGGTGTAGGGTGCCCATGAGGTTGGCCTGAGAGATACTAAATTTATCTCTTGATTTAAATCAAGATCTCGTACCAGGCTTTACTCGTGCGCTTACCCTTGTAATCAATAATACTCAGTATCGTACCTCGAGTATTCACGTATTGGGGTCATTGAATCTGAACATCGCTTCACCGTTCGGGCAGGATCTTCTGGGTCCACAAGGCTGATCAGATGGTGTTTGGCCCGAGGCAGATCACGTCAAATAAATAGGCGATGATCTGTGATAGAGGTCAGCCTGCTCACCACTTTCTATGCCCCAAAAAAAGCAGGAGTAATCTAGCGGCCTCGGGGGATGAATGTGATATATAGCCCCTGCGAGGTATCAAGATGCGGCTTAACAGGGTATCGAGACAATTTGTACAACGTCAGACGCCCAGAGCCAAGTTCGTGGGTTAAGGAACGGCTTCTCGGTAGCAAAATTGACTCCGACGACGACAACGCAGAGTCACATCGGCCAGTGAGATTCACTGGATGCAGTCGGCTTCCGGTCGCCAGGATTCTCATTCCCCGGAGTGTCCGAGTTTGGGGCAGCTGCAGCTTTCAGCCTTGGACCATCAAGAACACGAGGATGAGCGAAATGGGGCGGGGCCATTGTCGCGTGCATGATAGCCCCTTTTGGGCATTCCAAGCATCAGAACTGAAGCTTGTCTGATGCAGCACTGACTATTGAAGTACCTCCTGGAGATTCACCGTCCTTTGTCAGTGCTCCGTCGCGGCCCCCAGAGGATCACGTCAATAGGGGCTGTAGGATGGGAAAACAAGGAGATCGTGATGGGACGTCGGGGCTATTGGGGCCAGGCGGCAGGGAGACTTCTACCGATGGGGCGATGAAGACTGATGTCTCAGCCCGACGAATCAGACGCGCTGAACGCAGGCAACCATCGAAGGCGTGCTGCAGGGTCCACCCGGTGGTGAGCGCCTCAGGTCCGGATCTGCGTATGACTCTGCGCAACGTCGAGTCCAACTCTCAGAGGCTTTGCGCAAATGTCTCGAGTGACTGAGAAAAAGGACGCCGCCAACGTATTGTTATGTACAGTCGCAAAAAGCATATCAAACGGGAGGGAGGAGGTTCCGTGGTATCCGAACAGAACGAGGAACATAGCTAGGGACCCACAGGGGTAGCACGGATGCCCGGAGCAGACCGATCAGAAGGAGGTTCAAATGTCTTGGAAAAGGTCGGAAAGGGTCGACAGAGTGGGTTTGGGGAGGGCCGTGGAGATGTGCTAAGAGTGGTGAAGGAGAAGCGAAAGAGGGTCCTGGTGTCAGTCGATCCCAAGCTTTTGTCGCGTGCCTCGATTCCCCATTGGAGCCCACATCTTGGGTCTTTTTTTCTCTATTTAGTTACATTGTGTATCCCGTACAGTCCACCGTTTACGTGGGTGATGTGATTCGATGGATTTTTCATTTTTCTTATTTATTGAATTAGAATTATGCAACTGTATCCTTTGACTTGTCTAGGTTCAGTCTTACTGTACTGAAAAGAATACTTGACCCTAGGGTCCTAGCGTGCATCCAAGAATATCCCTTCCATTTTCTCTTCCTTCTTGTCTCCCTCTCGAGGACCCTTCGTTTTTTCAATTGCTTCTGCCTTTTGCTTACTCTCAACCCGTGCGCATCATTTCTTATACTTTCTTTCTTTCGCTCTCTTTTGTACTGCACATCCTCGAAACATTCCGGGGTGCTTTGTCCCCCATTCCAGTCCTTCACGGCCACCCATTCCACGACATCCCTCTCCCACCTCCATCTTCACTATTTTTTTTTTTTCTTAACTCGCCTCTTGCAACGACAAACCATGATATGATCGCACCATGAAGCTCTTCGCCTATCTCCCCCCGCTGTCGCCCTTCTTGTTCGCGGCCTTGGTCGTCGGCGGTCTCGCATCCAAGGCATTGCACATCGCTCTACATATCCACTCGCTTCCGTTCCTCTATTTCGTCCTCTACTCGCCCACTCTTATAATCCCAGACCTACTCATTATTGCATTCGTACGAGTTTTATTATATACGCCATCCCCGGAAACGAAGTTGCAATGGGTTACGACAGCCTTGGGAGGGTTGCTCTCGTACGTGCCCCCCCCCCCCCCCCCCCCCCATATCTGTGGAAGAGATTGAGATGATCGGAATTGGCGTAATTGGAGAATATGTGAATAGAGAACTAACTGAATACCTAGCCTGATCGTATGGGCCGCATCATCCATCCAATTCGGCTTCTTCATGCAGACTGGCGCCGAGGTCGCCTGGGCCGCCAGCAATAGTTTCCTCAGCGATCCCGCGGCTATGAAGATCTTGTTGAGCGGCATCTCGACTGTTTCCGCCGCCGCGACGGTTATTGGCATGGTCGCCTGGCTAGTTTATGGGAAATTTTACCACTGGACCGGTCTCGGGTTGCAGGCGATCCAAGAATTGTTCAGCGGCAGCTACAGAGCCCGATATACGTTACTTGGAGTTCCCAGCAAGTCCTGGATGACCACAATGGATTTTCGAACTGTGCGCCGTATCGCTATTACCGTCTCCATCTGTTCGTCTCTAGTGTTCCTGGAATTGACCCGACCATCGGTCCCGTATGATCACCTCTCGGGCGCGTTGCCGTTGACCTTGTTGGATGCCTTCACGAAGAAATCGAGTACGACCGAAGGATGTCGCCAATCTCCGATGAAATTCCCTCTCTGGACGGATGTGAAGACCGGCTTCATGGCCAATAGCTGGTCCCGCCCTTCCTGGCTTCCGCAGAACCCGCCTCCCGGATTCAGTCGTTACGAACACACCCCCGACGAGCGCGCCGAGAAGGACAACCATTCGTGGTACTTGTGCAACGACAACGAACCCGGTTTCTACAACCCCAAGACGGACCCGCTCAAGATTTCCAATATTGGCGGTGACATTTACGGACCTCTGAAAGCTGCTTTCGATGCACACTCTGTCGAAATTGACCATGTCATCCTGTTGACCCTCGAAAGTGGGCGTAAGGAACTCTTCCCCATGCAGCAAGGGACTCCAATGTTCGATGCTTTGCTCGAGTCGCACGCCAAGGAGGATCGGGAGGAAGCGATCGACCGTCTTGTCACGATGACTCCCGTGTCGCAGATGCTGACAGGCGAGTATGCTACCGACAGCAAGGGTCAGAAGGTCAATTTGACTGGTGCGAACTGGCAGGACCCGGCAGAAGAGGGAATGGGTGGACTGAATGTCCGCGGTGCGCTTACTGGCAGCTCTTTGACCTTTAAGAGTATCCTGGGTAGTCACTGTGGCGTTCATCCTCTCCCCGTGGATCTTTTGGAGGAGACCGGCCTCGAAATCTATCAGCCATGCCTACCTCAGCTGTTCGATCTTTTCAACACCGTCAAAAACCCGAATCCGACCCCAGAGATACTGGAGCGTGATGATTCCGCTTCCGAAGCTTTGAAGAATCCCTGGAAGTCTGTCTTTATGCAATCAATTACCGACGACTACGATCGCCAGGATGTTTTGAACGAGAACATGGGATTCAAGCACAAGGTTGTTAAGAGCACCCTCACGTCGCGGAAATCCAAATACCGAGCCAAGGGACAGGAGATCAACTATTTCGGGTTTGCCGAGACCGAATTAAAGCCCTACGTTCGTGATCTGTTCGAAGAAGCTGCCAATAACAAGACTCGCATGTTCCTCTCTCACGTCACCAGCACAACTCACCACCCATGGAATACCCCCGACGACTTTGCGATTGAGCACTATATGGGCAGCCAAGGCAGCGTCAACCACAACCTCATGAACAACTACCTCAACTCAGCCCGCTTCGTGGACAACTGGCTCGGCGATATCATGACCATGCTTGACGAAACCGGCATCGCCAACTCGACTCTGGTTGTTATTGTCGGTGACCACGGCCAGGCTTTCGGCGAGGACAATAAGGACATGACTGGTACCTATGAGAACGGACATATTAGCAATTACCGCGTCCCACTCGTCTTCCGACACCCGCACATGCCCCGTATCAACATTGACGCCAACGCCACATCTATTTCCATCATCCCAACTATCCTCGATCTCCTCGTTCAATCACACTCCTTGGATGCCCGCGATTCTGAGATGGCATCATCATTGCTCGGCGACTACCAGGGCCAGTCCCTCATCCGTCCTTTCATCCCTTACATCAAAGAAGGCCATGACACCCCAATCGAAAACCCCAGCGAGGTCGATGCTCGCTCTCCACGCAAGAAGTCTCACCACAAGGGCGATCACCGCCATATCCGGTACAACTGGAACTTCGGTATCGTCAACGCCGGTGGCTCCATGGTCTCAATCACGGCCGCTGGACTACCCTACCGACTTGTTCTGCCCCTCAAGGAAGGCTTTGAGTATGCCTTCAGCGACTTGAACAAAGACCCTGGCGAGCTGCATCTCGTCAAATCATGGACGATGGCTGACCTAGTCGATGAAGTTTTGCCCAAGCATGGTGAGGCAGCTGCCGAGTGGCTCGAGGATGCAGAACAAGTTGGCAAGTGGTGGGTCAACGAGCAAAGGCGCATCTGGGGATATCGGGAGGCATAGACCTTTCAGGTACATCCATGACTTTTGACAATTTTGCACGATCCTGATGTCTGTATAAGTGTCTCATTTTATTGTTTTATTCACGGCATCGATTCTTTTGGCCAGCACTATCGCCACATCTCTCATACCTTTCATTGTCTATTGTTACGATTCCATCTTCTGAAAACTTACCCTGCGACGGTGTTACGGGCTCGCGTTATCCCCATATATGGGCCGCATATTTTCCTTGTTCTTTTTCTGTGTACCGGATAATTGGCTATCTGGTTTTCCTGGGCTGTACTATACGCCTCTGCCACTTTTGCGAAAAATCTTTGTGGGGAGCTTGAATCTGACTGATTAGTTGATCGGCCTCTTATACATAAATCACATATTGGACGGACTACTTGTTAATGAGACATGGGATTGTCTAATATTTCAATCAAAAAGATTCTTCTCAATTTCGCAATTTCAAGGACTGAATGGGCGGTGGATCGGTGCTCAGCGGCACTCATCCCTGTCGTAGACTGCCAATCATGGCTGTATTTTAATCGCCCATTCATGCAGCAGAAATTCGTCCCGAGCGAGGCTCAGAGTACCAACACAGCCATGATGAGGCAAGCGCCCGGGCGCTACTAGTCTTCCACCATGTCCATTTCCTCTTCTACCGTCGCACCGCCGACACTGGTCAATACCAACTATCTGCAACTGTACCACTCCACCGCTGACTGTTTGACAGAGTAGCATCATGGAAGTGCTTGGGGCCGGTGCAAGCGTGCTAGCAGTGATCTCACTAGCCGCCCAACTCGGCGCAGGCGCCCACACCCTAATCAAATTCCTCCAAACAGTCTCAGACGCACCAACCGAGATCCAACGCCTCGAAAGTCTCCTCGACCAGATCTACGCGATCGCAACAGGTGTCCCGAAAGCCCTCGAATGCGAACGGAAACTCCACGGCGACAAACATATTCTAGCAGACAATATCCATACGTCCCTACTGAATTGCCACAAGAAAGTTCAGGGGATTGAACGGATTGTGGACCGATTCAAAGAGACCGAGAATGGGAGAAGTGTGGTCAGTCGGAAATGGGCTTCGTTCAAGATGGCAATAAAGAAAGAGGAGGTGCTTGAACTTGAGAGGCAGCTTGGTCAGGCTGTTCTTACACTGAATGTTGCCCTTACGACGCATTCTCTGTGAGTAGAGTCAGAGTTGGGGGAACGAGTATGACGCTGATATGATAGCAGAGCATCACAGACTCAAAATACGCTCCTTCTGGTTCAGAAGCTGGACTCGCTGCCTTCCACAGATCATCAGTCTGGAGTGGTTCATCTCGGGTCATCTTTGCCGTTGACTCAGGGGAATACCTACGCTCCACAGAATTACGACCAAACCATGACTAAATTGTCTCGGAGCGCATTCTCAAGGACGCATGAATATCAGGTGTCTGGACGCGACTTTGGCATTCTCCGCATTGAGATTGAGAAGTCCAAGAATACAGACTCAAGAGGCTATCGGGGCTCTCAGTTTCAATCAACAACTACAAAGACAAGATATTGCATCTATCCTTCGTTCTGGTTCTGGGCTGTGGAAGTTATGACCTGCCATTCTGGAATGTCAAGTTCCAGAATCAGCCTCAAAACTATGCCAAGAATCTCGCAGGAAATGCGAGGACAATGTGCAGATACGTTGTAAATGGTGATGTGACGGGCTTTCAATCTCTTCTCGGTACCGGCAAGATCTCAATTTACAGTGAACATCTGTTTGGTGTAAGTCAGAGAGTGGTGTGTTGCAATCATCTGCTTACCGATTCACAGAGTACATCATCTGCGGTACGGCATTTTTCAGAGCACGAAACGGACATTCTCCTGTTCCTCATACACCAAGGATGTCGATTAGATATTTCAGTCCTGTCATGGCTGTTATCAGTCTTAGCAAAGCTGTAAGTCCACTGAGCCCGTGCGGCTTTGAATAGTTACCCTGCTGAGATGAAGATAATAATTTTCTTAGTATGGCAATCGAGTCTCGGACCGAAAAGAATCGAAAGACTAGCTTCTTTCAAATTCTCAAGCTGGTGTGTGCGAAAGTTGAATATGCAGAAGAGCCCATCGACAAAATATACTCATCGTTTCGACCTTTCTATGAACCCTATGACAGGGTTAAGGCGGCTGAAACTGCCTACCAGGTCTTTGAGATTCTTGATTGGCTAGCTTTCACTCGGGTGCAAATTACCACTCTTCCATCTGAATTTTACTTAGGATCAGCACTATCGGTCCTGGTGGAATGGTGGAGTTGGCCAATGAACACTCAGCAGTTGAAATTACATCGTAAGCTTACCAGAAAGCTTGTCATTGCTGGTGCAGACCTGCACTACAGAAATAAGAGCCAAAAGACATTGCTTCAGAGTCTTTTGTCATCTTCCTCACTAAAGATGATTTATGATTTGATTCTCAAGTGGCTGCAGTTCCTTGCGAGCTGTGACATCCATGTTGGAAAGTATGCTTTGCAAGAAAACCTTTTCTCTGGCGGGGAGCCATTCGAAATTGATATTGGACGTACCGTCCAAGCAGCTGGGAATGGTCGCCATTCATTTTTCTCAGTGTCAGAGTATTACACTTGCATGGAAACACGCGCCGCTGAATTTGAATTCGACGATACAGGCAACCCGATTCCGAAAATATCGCGATGGATGGATCCTGAAAGCACGGCAGCTTTAGTTTTGAAGGAATTCAAATTTTGTCAAGATTTGATAATTGTTCCTGGTGACGACTGCAGACGGCTCCGAGAGTGGATCCCAATGTGGGAACGGAGTCCGCAGGATCTGAGAGACATACCGGTTGCTGCATTACACATGTTGGCCGAGATGGAGTGGGACTTTGGGAGACGTTGGGCGTGGACATCAATCTTACCTGTCGATAAAGACGCCATCTGGATTCTCGATCATGGTTTCGATGGATTACCAAAAGAATTCTTGCGAAGCTTGACCAGGATGCCTGAAATACCTGTCTCAAGTTACCCAGAACAGATTCAACGCGAACACGATCGCTTATGGAAAAGCATTGACGCCACCAAGATCTTCATCAGAACGAGCGTCGTAAAGGACTTTGAGTTGACAAAAGCCTTCATACTTTCTTATACAGGCTTCTATCGGAAAGTGAGTTTCTGCAATTGCGATGCGTTCGGCAAATACTTGGATCTTTGGCCCTTCCATGGCAGCACGCATACTCTGTGTCAGAGTGGAAACAAACTGGACGGATTTTGTCTAGGATCCACAGACCAGCGAGGTTTTCGGCAAAGGTGGTGTGAAACACACAAATGCAGATTCAACCATGCGAGGTTTGAGAGGAAACAGACCAAAAAGATTGCGAAGAGGCGCAAGAGGGAAGGAACTAAGGTGGTTACGTTCTCAATGCCAGGTTCTTGGCCAAGTTGATCAGTTCTCGAGTCAAGATTGACTGGATGAATGCAGTCAAAAGACAAACCTTTGTACAATTTTGAATGCTACAAATATGCGACATAGAGTAAAAGATTGAGATATGGCTGGCTATACACCAATTTTCTACCACAATTTCCACCGTCTATTGACCAGTGAGTCAATTCCAGCCAGGCCCTTTCGCCAAGCCTTGCCATCATCAAGTTGGAGGATCATATTCATTCGAGTGTAGTTCCGGACACCTTGATCTTCGCCCTCAGTCTTCAACTCAATTTTGCCATTCGGTCCCCAGACCATCCAAGATGGTGTTTCGTCTGCCCTCCAAGGCTCAGCCCCGTTTGCAAACTTAATCCAAGCCGTAGAAAACTTCCGTGCTATCTTTTTTTCATCTCCATTCATCTCTCCTTCCAGATTACCAAACAAGTACAGCAACTCATATGCATGATATGCTGTCCCCTCCAGTGAGTTGGGAAGACGGGATCGTTGGTCAAAATGATACAAGAACGGGGATCTTCCAGTCGACGCTGCATGTTTGGCACACTCCTTTGCCAAGGCATAATTGAGAATCTTGAAGCCGAAGTCACCACACATGTGTTCTACTCTCTCGAGGAACTCTGGCCGTGGGAGGTCGGCAGTAATTTCATACGCATTGAGGATCTGATCAGTCAAGGAATCATCTTCGATATGAGCATGAATAACACGCCGAATTGAGTGATAGTCATCTTCCAGCAGGTTCACATGGAAAATTATGCCTTCGTGGTAGACATCACCAAACATATACCCCTCCAACCAGTCTGGAGGCGCGGTGATACCCCGGGGGTCCGCGTCGGGAAGATAAAACCAGCCGTCAAGGCACGGATTTCCGGTTCCTGCAGGGACACCCTGAATATCGGGAGTTGCGTCCGCAAGATCCTGCTGAGGAATAGCACGCAGTTGGTCCAGTACATTGGCAGCTGCCGGATCGATGTTGAAATGGCGACATACAGCGGTAAAAAAGATATCATGCTGCTGCATAGTCCATGGGGGGATTGCTGCAGATAGTCCCGACATGCACACAGCACGGTGAAAGATGGCCGGCTGCGCTGCTTGGAGCTGATTACTGATAGAAATGCCTCCTGCGGACTCGCCCACTGCAGTCACCTTGTTAGGATCACCTCCAAGATACCCAATATACTTCTGGACCCAGTCAAAGGCAACCTTTTGATCTGTGAAGCCAAAGTTGCCACTTCCTGCATAGCCGTCCTGTTTCAATTCATGCGCAACAGCTTCGCCGGCGAGAAACCCGCCGATACCGATTCGATAGTTGAAGTTGACGCAAATGATGGGAAGCTCGATCTCAATACTTCGTGACACCAAGTTGACGGCATCGAATATTGGAAGATTTGCACCGCCGTATAGCAGAGAACCACCATGTACGTAAACGAAGACAGGGAGACGGTTGCTGGCTGTGTCGAAGGCGCGCGGGATAACGATATTCATGACCAAGCCGGAAAGCTCGTCTACGGGCGGAGGCCACGGTAAATGTGCAGCCGGAGGAACGGGAACAAGGTCATTGGAATTATCGCCATCGATCAGGCCTGGCATGGGGCAGTCATTGCTGTTCAAGGTAAGATAGTGTTGGTCAATTGGCAAGGGAGTAGTATAGTACCCTAACTTTGTTCCATCATGATGGTCATCGTACCAAAATGTTCTCAAAGTCGATCGTGTCCAGCGTTTCGGTAAACTCGCGTAAGGAATGCCACAGAATTGTTGTACACCATTTGCGTATTGCAGACCATCCAGTGTACCCAGCCCTGGTATGGTGGTTCTGCATTTGGAGATAGGGGATTGGAAAGACATGAAGAGATAAGGTCACGAAACAATCAGCCTACCACAGCGTTGTCCTTGACAAGGATTTGAAAATTGGTTGCTGACATGGGCATGTCCATGCGTGGAGGATATATACCTCCTGACTAAGTTTTGGGTTATAGTCAAACGTTACGTGCTTATCTTCCCGATCCGGCAGTTCGACCCGGTATCTGCTGGTTATCAGCGCAGCCCCCCGGCAGTTCCACCTCCCCCGCATTTCTTATATTGCCTGGCCCAGACTAATCCTCCCGCTGGTTGTGCTCAATCAATTTCTCCCCGTATTTGGGATGTCGACCCGTAGTTATCAAGGCTGTTGGACCTGCAAGCGTCGTCGGCGACGCTGCGACAATGTTCGCCCGGCATGTCGAAATTGTGCTCACCGAGGCACTGATTGTGAAGGCTACGAGGTACGATTGCGCTGGGGCAGCGGCATTGCCTCGCGTGGTCGATTTACCGGTGCAGATAAGCCATTGGAAGAGAATGTTCCGCCGAGGCCAAAGGGAAGACGGAGAGACTTGAGCAGGGAAAGGAAGAGGCTCGAGGCCGAGACTCAGGCCCAGAGAGCTGTTGGTGAGTTGTTGATCTCTTCTCAAATAGGGGGTAGACCTGACTAGTTGTTAGTAGATTTCCATGACATGATTGCTCAACTGGAGGAGGTATCGCCAAAGACAGGTCGTTCGGAGCATGATGAGATGCTCTTCAACGAATGTGGGTTTTGACATGGGACATTATCATATTGTCGCAGATTATACTGAACATGCAAATCTACCAGTTTTGGCAAAGGGAATGAACATTCTTCATTCAACGGGAGCACCTCACAGCATGCTACAATCTAGACTTCCCGAGTTGTGTCAAGAGTCCAGCGCCTTGTATAACATCTGTCTTACATTCCAACTCTCTCTATCTGCGACCCACACACCCCAATTCTTCGAATATTTTGATACTTCGCTACGGGAATTCCGTTCCGAGCTAGCTCGCTCCACAATACTCTCCGATGGGACACTGACCGCGGGGCTTCTAATGTGTAGTATTGGCGTGAGTGACCTAAATTTTCCGGTTTCATGAACCACTTGGGCTCGAGAAGCTAATCATGTCTTCTCCACCCGCGCAGTTGATGCACGGAATGCCTTGGACAATGCACATAGAAGGCATGCACAACATCTTGCAAAGCTGCAGTCAAGACAGCCCACGTGGTATATCGACCCCAACTCCATTTCGAGCACACCTCCTTGAGGTCATGGGGCTCATGGACCTGCCCTGTTTCACAGTAGGGCGCCAGACACGCCCGATCGGCATTTGGCGCCGCTTCTGCCAACCGACAGGACCGAGGAACGGCATAGAGCCAATGACTGGACTACCGCGCGGTCTTTTGGACCTACTTGCAGGGATTAACCTAGATACAACGGAGCAGAATTTTTGGGATTGGCCTGGAGAAGCAGGGAGCTTTTTGCAGTGCTATCTGTGGGAAGCATATCGACTCGCGGGGATTCTGACTATCCGCCAATCCGAGCGCCTGCAGAAAGCGGTTTCAGGGAGCCCTCGGAATCTGTCAACGTGGCGGCGTTCGAATTCCTGCCCGATAGACTCGAGCATGTTAGTAGCTCGTGTTCTGGCTAATGTTGATGCTCTTCGCTTGGGATGCCTCGAGCGACCGGATGAAAACCCTTTCATCAAGAACTCAATTCTTTTTCCGATTGTGGTTGCAGGCATGGAAGCAACCATCATGCGTCAGAATCCACAGTGGCAGAAAGTTATTCGCGGATGCTCCTTAGGATCGCGTCAAGATGATATTCTTCTTGACCTCCTGGAAGAAGTCTGGCAACGGGGCGATTCTACACTTGATATTAACGAGCTCGCCCGCGCAAGGGGTGTTGAAATGGGTCTGCTGTGACAATTTGATGAAACGACTCACGTATATTCTGTGTTGTTTTCTTTTTCTCTGTTTCTTCTACGTTCAATGAATATGAGAGACGGCGTTCGAATTCTGTGATCTTGTTTCTTTCAATGTATCACATTCAAACCTCACTAGTTACTATTCGTCTCTCGAATCATCACCCAATACCTGAGTTTTCCATCCTCATCCTCGTTCGTTGGCGTATCGGTGATCTCCACTTGTTCTATTGTCCTGAAGCCGAACCCCTCATAAAAGGCGATATTCTCCTTCTTGGTGCATTCCAGGAAGATCGGATTTCCGGCAACTTTCTCGAGAATAGCCTTCATCACGCCGCCTCCTAGTCCGCGTGACTGAAGAGATGGATGTACAGCAATTACTTCGAGATACCACAGACCAGGGAATCGTTCCCGGAGAGCCTTTTTACCGGATGTGTGTTTGTCCATGAGCAGCTCCACTCGCTATCCAGAAGTTCGCATCAGCACCAGTATTATAGCTCACAGAAGGAAAATTGCTTCTTACCTTGTCTCTGCAAGATTCATCTTTGACTGGATTGAAAAGTTCCAAAAGCCACAACTTACAAGCAAGCCAAATTGAGGACACTGACCATGGGAGGTGTCCATCTGGGGGAAACAAGAAAGCAACAGCGCCAGCATCTTCCTTCTGATCGACGGGAATATCAGTGTCCTCCGAAACTGATACCCTGTATGACTTCTCAAGTGACACCACGCCATCTAAAGGCTCGATCGGCTTGTTGCGTCGTGGGTATTCGTGAGCCATCTGATTGACGCTGGGTGAGTGAAGAACAATGCCTTCCGACATCACATTCTGCACCCTTCTATATTGCCATTTCTGCGCAATCGCAGTTTGATAAGCCCATGGTGTTGCCCCCGGTCGAAGCCATTGTATCAAGGGATCGGATGAGAAGGCTGCGTTGACTGTTCTCGCAACGGCAGAAATCGATCGATCTGAATTGTTTGCAAGCAAGTCAGACTATGCTTTGAAGAAAATCTTCTAGAGATGGGATTGCAGACCGCCATGAACCGGAGTGAGGTTGACCATCACTTTTTGTTTCGATATTTCCTAAAGTAAAAGTAGCTGCGATGCCGAAGAGGAGATGATAGGTAGTAGATAGCACGAAGCGCCATAGCTTCTATAGTCGTGGACAGGGTGCGGCACTAATGCAAGTCGGTGCGCGCAGAGACGGCCTAAAGTTAGAATTAGCCCATTTGGAACTATCGAGGCTTCCTTCTTGATCGCGTCGGCTTCCTGTACTTGGTGATCGATCATCCGAAATCCAGGGGCCCACGAGCGGAGGGTCTGCCTTCCATATTGAGACAAGTGCCCGCTGGCCGAAAATCGCTTATACCGATTGCCAGGTACCTTGAGGTCAAACGTAAGTGCCAACTTCATGCGCCTTTTATCTAGGTATGATCTATGCCGAATGAGGAAGGCGGACCCTTCAGGACTCTAAAGTTAAGTGGCGTCGGAACGCCCGCTTGGATTCAACCTGAATTCTCTCCGCACTTTCACTGCCGACATAAACTACCATTGCGAGACTCGCTCGACTGATTGTCTTATCAGGATTGTCCGTGTGCTTTGTTCTTGTCACGGTGGCGCATAGCGATATCAACGTCTGTCATGTGGACCAATCTGAGCGGAGTCTAAAATCTGGGGAAGACAATTAAATATCTATCTGCATCGTCCCCATATTTCATCGCCCACCCAAGTTGATCTCATTCAATTCTGGAACAATGGCTGCTACTCGTGTCGATATCGATGGATCTTCCTTTGAAGGAGGGGGATTGCTGCCTCCTGGAACGTTTCGCCTGATTCACGGTAAAGTGGTAGAGGTCCTGAGAGATCGAACAAATCACTGACTTGACTCTACAGAAGATGAATCAGAGCTTCACGGCCAGAGAGCTGTCCTGCTCGATCCAGTGCCGTCCAATGATCCCAATGAACCCTTGGTCAGTCTTTCGCGGTGCATCTCTTTGGCAACTAATCTGAAGCTTATGCTTGTGAATTCTAGAACTGGAGTGTCACTCGTAAGGCAGTGAATTTTACTATCGTTCTGGGAATGACAGTCATCATCTTTACAGCGTAAGCCGCGCGTATATGTATTCTTTCAGGCCATTCTCACGGTACTCATTAATGACAGACTCTCGATCCAATCAATCTTCTGGCAACAAATGGTCCTTGACCTCAACGTCACTTATACACAGCTCAACCAAAGCATGTCAGTCAATTCTGTTGGATTATCATTTGGCTGCGTGCTATTCATTCCTTTGGCCAAGAAGTTTGGCCGGCGTCCGGTATACATAGTATCAACTGCTATCATGTTAGCAGCCTCGTTTTGGACTTCCAGAATTGAGAGTCTCGCAGAGCTCTACGTCACAAATCTGCTGCAGGGATTGGCAGGTGCAACCAATGAGACTATTGTCGAGATCACGGTATGAATCAATCACTCAATTCGGACGCCTCACGTATTGACCCAGGACTTGCAGATTTCAGATTTATTCTTTGTCCACCATCGAGGAAGTATGAACGGTCTGTACATGGCCATGGTTATGTTCGGGGTAGGTGTTTCATCCCGACAAAAGTGTCAAGCAACTAACAGCCTTTGTAGAGCTTCTTGACACCTATGGCCGCTGGAACGCAGGCCACCGCAGAGGGATGGCGTTGGTGTTATGTAACAATGGGCAGTTTCAACGCTTTTTTCCTCCTCCTGTTTCTCTTCTGCTATGAAGAGACCAAATATGTCCCTCTTCTTAATGGGCAAGCTCGAGTCGGTCCTGATACTGAAGATGATCTTTCTGCTCCTGTCGATCCGGATCAGAAATCTGCGGCGCAGTCGGACACAAAGGCCGCACTTCCAGTCGAGCCAAGCACTCTCCATCATGACTTGGATCTCAGTATCCCAGTTAATTCCTGGCGGAAGCGTCTCGCCTTGTGGACTCCCACTCCAGAACCCATCTGGCCCTATTTCTACCGCCCCTTCTACGTATTGTTCAACTTCCCAACAGTGCTCTTTACCGGACTCCAGTATGCCTCTGGCGTAGTCTGGCTGACCATCACTGCAAACGTGCTGTCTCTTGTCTTCCCGCTGCCCCCATATAACTTCACACCTGAGCAGATTGGGTTCTTGAGCCTTGGTCCTTTCATTGGAAATCTCATCGGCGTCTTTTACGGTGGACTGCTTGGGGACCGCTCTATTCTCTACTTCTCTCGGCGGAATAAAGGTTTCTATGAGCCGGAGATGCGATTATATATTCTGCACTTCCCTGCGCTGTTAATGGCGGGGGGTTTGATGATGTTCGGTTTGACTTTATATCGGGTAAGAATATTCACCCCGCTAGTCTCTGTTTCGTGTATGACATTTGCAAAACGCAAAGACTAATTAGTCCTTCTTAGGGTATGCATTGGATCTATCCTAGCGTTGCTGGAGCCTTCTTCGGATTTGGACTCGGCAGTATTGGCGACGCTAGTTTGACTCTGGTCATTGACAGTTATCGTGATGTAGGTTACATCTGATCTGCAATATTTCGTCGATTGAATCATCTAACCTTCCCTTCGTTTCAGATCACTGGTGATGCATTTACCGGAATAGCATTCCTCCGGAATGCCATCAGCATTGGAATTCCATTTGCTATAACTCCATGGATGGAGCGCGACGGTCTTCAAAACATGTTCATCGCCTGTGGATTTATCAGTTTCGGCATCTCGCTGCTCATTATTCCTATGGTGTTCTACGGGAAGAAGTCTCGTCGTGGTATGGCTGCACGATACTATCGCCTTGTGGAGCAGCAGGGAAATAATCATGTGGGGTGACGAAATTTTGTGCCTACCACGGAAGCAAATGGATGGATGTTGTGGTAAATCTGTGGGCCTTGAAACATATGCTTTGAACATCTTTGTAAAGCTTAGTATGCAGGAAGAACGAATGTGCTGTGCTAATAGGATGATGATAATTATACCAGGGGATATTTCCCCAGCAAATTCCTTGGAGAGTTAAGAATAACCGCGAATACTAAAACATCAACGTAAGCAAAGAATGATTCTGGATATATTTCTCGTGTACTCGTGGCATGTCATGCGTATATTCTGTGATGCGGACATGTCCCATCTAGGGGACTGCGAAGACTAGATATGACCTAGGAATGTACATTAGTGGCTAAAGAAGATGGCATATTCACCAAAAGACTTTTTCTATCGATTTGAGTTCTTCTAGAATTATACTGATCCATCAGGAACGGTGTGAATGACCCAAGAACTCCCGGTACTACTCAACCTCTCTGATTACAGATGAGATTGACGCCCGGTTTCATCCACACTTCTTGGCATCTCTGCTGCAGAAATCCGCTTCTCCGAAACGAGCAACTGCTCAGGGAACCAATTTAGATCCAGATCGGCAGTTGAGACAAGCTGATCATCCTGCTTCAGAATCATCGTACCCAGCGCCTTGCCACAGAGCCAAGCTTGAACCATGCCCTCGCCACCAAAGGCAGCACATACCCACTCCGAGCCAGTATTCTTGCCGACTGGCTCAGAACGACCTGTCACAGAGCTCGGCAACTGTCCTACCCAGGGGAATCCGTCCGTGCTAAATGCCATGTTACCGGTCCACATCGCTTGGATAGGGTTACCTTGCACCGCACCCCAGGACTCATGTCCGAAGACTGCACTCAACGCGCCGGATAGATGAATGTCAAGGTAGACACTCATATCATTGTCTTTGGAGATACCCAGATCGGCCACACCACCTCCTTCACCACTTGCGAAGCCGCCGCCAAACATCATCTGACCACTGGGTAGCTGGGTAAGGTAATCGAACCCACGGTCATAGTTGAAGAGCCACGAGTGTTTTGAAGCTTGAAGTGGGAACTTGTCACCGGGTGTTTGGGCAGACATTTGACCGCGTACAGGGAAGATGCGGCCTCGCAGTCCCGGGACGAGATGGCCAACGTGTGCGTTTGTGCAGTGAATAACGTGCTTGGCGAAAATCGTCCCACGAGATGTTTCAATTTTATAAGGGTGATCTGAACCATTGCTGGAGTTGATGACTTCAACGGCAGTATGATCTGCGATGTGGAAGTCCTCTGGATAATCGGAGAGAAGGCGCGAGAGAACCCCCGTGACGAATTTGTACGGCCAGAGGGCTCCAGCTGGGCCTGCAACAACACCCGTGGCACGCGACAGCTTGAACTCCTATTGCAATGAAGTTAGAATGATTACGTCTACATCAAGTTCTTGTATATTGCCACATACCTCCGGGATAGAGCTCCCCTCGTACGAGATCCACTCAGCCGACTCTTCGGGCATACCCTCCTTGAACCGACGCAGTCTTTCTACCGCAGCTTTCCACGGCTCCTCACCAAAGTAAGCGCTGAGAAATTGCACTTTCCTGGCCTGCGTCGCCTCCGTCAGCCCCAGCTCTTCTGCAACGTTCAACATCTCGCGCAGATGAGCCAGTCTGAATCGGAGGAGCTTGCGCGCCGACTCTTCGCCTAAGGCATCCGAAATTTCGGCGTACTCTTCAGCTGTCTCGAGTATATGACCCCCGTTACGGCCAGTTGCACCGCTGCAAATATCGCGAGCCTCTAGCATAACCACCGCAGGATGGGAGGAGGTGGACGATGACTTTGCGCGATTTTGGAGCAGAGTGCGCGCGATAGATGCGCCGGTAATTCCGGATCCAATGATCACGACATCTGCAACGGCTGGTAGAGGCTTTGAGGATTTCTGAGAAAACTCGGGATGTGGAGTTTGAAGCCAGAAGGAAGAAGTAGTGGCATCACCGGGAATCCCTGGATCGGAATGGATTCGATCCAGAGCACGCTGGCGCTCAGTGGGCGAGACCGCGGCACTGGTTAACATTGAAAGTACAACGGACATCTTGACAAATTGAATCAAAAAGTATTTAGGTATGCTTTTTTCTGTGATGAGATCAGAAAAATAATGAAAGAATCGTGGAGAAAGACAATGCAGGCTAGTACATACTCGGAGGAGCTCTCAGCTCAAATAAGGCCGCCATGTGAGCAGGAGATAGATCGCCGAGGGCGTAACTCACCTATCGGATGCAGCCTGTTGTACCTACCTCTTTAGTCTGGATATAATCAGTCATACCACCCTGGGCAGATTGGCCTGAACATGTATTAGTCGATCTTACAGCTCGATAAGGCGGGGGACAACCTACCCGTTTGGAACATCTCCACTGCGGGGAACGAAATTGGGTTTCACGAGAAGCTCGCCGAACTAAATCCTTCCTCAATGTAGATAATTTTGAGATCCGGGGCACGATAAAAGTCGCGAACTCCTGCAATGATTCCGTGGCAGGACTCGACTTCAACTTTCACTGAACCCAATCCACCCAGCTCAAGTTTTCGATATTACCATGTCGCCCGCTCCATCGCCAGGAAACGATGTCTTCCCTGACGGTCCGACTATGCGGCAACCCGCCTTGAGCTGGCTGTACAGACTGGAATGCGACATTGCCAAGGAGGAAATCAACATTGGTGCTCCTCATGATGCGGGAATCGTTCGCAGCATCGCCACTATCGCGCGCGGAAGCATCAAGGGGCCTGACATTGAAGCAACGGTCCTGCCATTGGGAGCAGCAGACTGGGCCACAGTGATCAAAGGGACTCACGTATGATTGAAGACACATTCCGCACAATTGCGAAAAATGAATAAGGTCGCTAACGAGGTGCCTACAGTCAATGAAGCTTGATGCGCGGTATACTGCGCGCACCTCGGACGGCCACTACCTCTACGTCCGCGCCCACGGACTGTATCGTCCTGGTCCAGGAACCGAGTACGCGAAGCAAGTCGAGCAGGACTGGACACAAGCGCCCAAGGCTGTAGTCACTCAGGATGATGTGGAATTCTTTTCGCATTTGCGATTAGAAGCGGGCCCGGGTCCGTACAATTGGTTGAATGGGTTGGTGTGCCTCGGCGTGATGGTGTGCGAAGAAGAGAAGATTTGGATCGACGCGTATCATCTCACGAATTTCCCGGGTATGAAGCCGGAAGATGTAGTTGCCAAGGCATGAGAAACATGAGGAATCATGAGAACTATTGAATGGATTCCGGCAGATAGAAAGTAGTACAAGCCGATAGAAACTAAGGAGAATTCGTCATTTGTCGTTTGTTGCCAAGCAAATATAGCTATACCCGATCAGGAAGGCAGACGCACCGGAGAAACTACTCAAAAGGCTGTACTCCCTAGCTCTCGCGCCTCCGCGGGGTCCGATGGGAGTGGGGGGATAAGGAGATACCGAGTATACTGGACCTAGAGGGGTAGCGAGGATCATGTAGGTTGAAAGGTACATAAACACGGTCGTGTAATCAGAAAGGACAATTGTCACTCACGACTCACAGAAGCTTCTCCTATCTCATGGCGACCGAAACTCCTCAAACTGCTCAACCAACCGACTGGCAGGAGCTGGTTGCTCGCAAGCGTCGCGAATGTCAGGACAAAATTCCTCGCGAATGGACGCTTAGCGCAGATATTCTGAAAGAGCTCCCCAAGAATCTGCTGGAGTATGATCTCCCACGTCGTAGCGGTCTCCTGTCGGATCTCGAGCTCGATGTTACTGAGAATTATACCGCAACTGAGCTGTTGATCAAGCTGGCCTCGGGCCAGGTTAGTTCTCTGGAGGTTACAATGGCATTTTCGAAGCGTGCATGCATTGCACAGCAGGTGGTGAGTACCATTGTCCATTGTATATCCTTTACTTATTAGATATTTGTGTCATCTAACGAGCCCTCCCTGTGGGTTGTAGACTTCATGTCTCACGGAGACCTTCTTCTCGGAAGCTCTAGAGCGAGCTCGCTTCCTCGATGAATACCTCCAGCGAGAAGGAAAACCCATTGGTCCGCTTCATGGATTGCCCATCAGCCTCAAGGATAGCTTCTGCGTGAAGGGTCTCCAGTCAACCGTGGGATACGTGGCATGCTTGAACGATCCCCCAGCAACGACAAATTCAGCGCTAGTGACGATGCTCCTCGAACTGGGAGCCGTGCTATACGTCAAGACCAATATCCCTCAAACGATGATGGTAAGGATGCGAAAAACCAATCCCAGTCAAGATTTGCAGCCGAAATTTCAATGAAAACTAACATCTTGCCAATTAGACTGGCGACTCGGAAAACAACATCTTCGGTCGCACCCTTAACCCGCACAACACCTCCCTGACTGCGGGCGGATCCAGCGGTGGCGAAGGCTCTCTAGTAGCGTTCCGAGGCTCGATCCTCGGCGTGGGCACCGACATCGCAGGCTCCATTCGTATTCCAGCTTTATGCTGTGGTGTGTATGGGTTCAAGCCAACCGTTGCCCGGGTTCCCTTTGGTGGCCAATTCTCCGGCGCAATGGAGGGCTTGCCTGGACTTATTCCTTCTGCGGGTCCCCTCGGCCAGAGTCTTGCAGATTTGAAGCTGTTTATGGAAACGGTCATCGGGACAGGGAATGCCTGGCAATATGATCATACAGCTGCCGCGGTGCCGTGGAACAAGGCTGTGACGGTCGGTAGTGACTATAACAAAAGTCTGACCATCGGTGTGCTATCTGAAGACAAGCACTTCCCGCTCCATCCTCCTGTGAAACGCGCTTTGGATCGTGCAATCAAGGCTCTCACCAAGGCTGGTCACCGGATTTTCCAGATTGAAAATGACACCAAGGAAGATCTGTCGGTGGCGTATGCGTCGCGATTGGCATTCCAATATTTTACCTACGGTCCTCATGTGGATATGATCAGCCCTAGCGGCGAGCCCCTGGTAGCTTCAGTGGCCAAGTTTGCTTCGCCGATGTTCTCGGGCCCTTTGCCCGTGGAACAGGAGCAGGATCCTCTTTACAAGGTAAACGACTTGCATGTGGCTAAGGGTAAGGTATCTGATGCCTGGCGTCAAGAATGGGTGGAGAAAAAGCTGGATGTTATCTTGGCTCCGGGTGCGCAACACACGGCAGTTGGATTTGATACTTATGGTTTCCCGGTGTATACGTTGTTGTGGAATTTGCTTGATGTGAGCTTCTCCCGTCTCATTTTGCTTTGGTATGATGGTGGCTGACTTGAATATTAGTACCCTGCTTGCATTATTCCATTTGGAAAAGCCTCCAAGGAGTTAGACCCTGAAGAGTTGAAAACTGGTGATGATGGGCTGGCTGATTGTGAGTAATTATTACTGCTTGCTTCCTAACCTATAGATTACTAACAAGTTGCCAGACCACCCAGAGGAAGTTGACGGAGCCCCATGCGCTATTCAAGTTATTACCCCCCGCTTCCAAGATGAACAGTGCCTCGCCGCGGCTGAACTCATCGAGCGAGCAATCCGGGCCTAGCGCGTCCTCGGGAATTGTGTAAATAAATCGGGAAGTATAGATATAGATCAACAGGTTCATTGCAAATAAGATCTATGTGCATTGTTTACTTGGTCCATCGCTGCATCCAGGATTCAATATATCTGTGTATCAACCCCTCTGCAACCGGGTCCTTGACAAGACCCAAGGACGGACAATCTTGAACAGTGCGATCAGTCTCAAAGTCCAGACTCGCCGCTTTCTGCGGTTGAGAAGAGCCATTGACTTGCGCCTGACTAAGTCCTCCATACTTGCCACGCCAAAAATCAATCAGCTTGATACTCGGGTTTTTCTCTGGATCTTGCTCGCTGGATGCTAATCGCTGAAGCCACTCCTGGGGCGAAACGACTTCAAATTCCGGTAGAGCTGAGCCCTTCTTCAATGCGGGAAGCAAATCATCCTTCCAGCTGAAGGATCTGGGGTTGACCAAATGGTACACCAAATCCACCTCCTGGCTTGCGGCCGCTCCCTTCATTGCGAGGTCAGCAACGGCTTGCGCGCATTGGTCAACGGGCAGCCAGGTCGGGCTCTCCGGGAGTTCAGGAAGGGCACCCGTCGTCAATGCACTGCGGAACATGAGGGCGACGGCCTCGGTATCGTTCCACTGAGCGCTGATGGTATCGCCGCCAAGTTGACCAATTCTCAGGACTCGCGATTGCATGCCAGTCTGTCGCATGGCATTCCGGGTGATATGCTCGGTCACCAGCTTTGAGCGACCGTATCCCATCATCTGTGCATGGTTCAAGTTTTCAATTGCCGTCTCAGCAATTGAGGCAGGCTTGGGGGTACCGCTGGCTGTGCTGACACTTGAGCAGAAGAAAAACTGAGCTGGGTTTGGTAGCTTGGAGCGGAGACAGAAGTTGATAAGATTGTATGTTCCGCGAATGTGTTGCTGCTCGAATGACCGTACGCCAAGGTTGAAATTGACAGCCCAGGCACTATGGATCACGCATGTCAATGAGGAAAGTAGATGGTCAAGGACATAAATATCAAGGCCTAGGTTGGCTTGCGAGAGATCACTGGGAATAGCGCGGAGTTTAGCGGCCTCACCATCGGCGAGAGTGATTTTGCGGTCAGCCAAGGCTTTCCAGAGACGAGCACCTGCTGCTGCTTGTCCAGAGGCTCGTACGAGAGCCCAGACTTCGGAGACGTTGGGTCGCTTCAGGATCTCAGCAACGATGAAAGCTCCAAGGTTGCCGGTTGCACCAGTGACAATGACGACCTCTTTTTCGGGCTGCTGAGAGATAGTCGGGTGATGGTGAGTGAAATGCGAGTATTTCTCGATCATCTCCTCCATGATCTGTACCTCATCTTCGGCCTCGAACTCCTGTCCAGTGCGCATCTGGTAGAGATGCTTTGCAAGAGTACTGACAGTGCCCTTTTCGAAAACAATGTTTTGACTCAAGTCATCCCCGCTCTCTCCAAGGTCTAGGTCGCGCACAATGTATCTCCAGATCTGTGTCGTCTGTAAACTGTCGACACCTGCAGAGAAAATGTCGGAATCGGCGCCTGACAGTGGAACATCGAGATCATCACGGAATCGTGCCAGTAGCCAATCCTCCAACTCGGGGACACTCAGGGCGAGGTCACCCTTCTTGCCATTCCCACCAAACTTGGCATAGGCAGTCTCGATATCCTGGGCAAATTGCTGATAGACCTGAGCCCGGATAAAGGTCCCCTTGTCTGTCGCGGCATAGGGGACATCGGCACCTTTCACGACGACCAATTCCCTAGGAATGCGAGAGAACGTTTCAGCCCGGGAATTTGCTGCCTCCACGGCGGGCCAGATGGCATCCAAAAACTCCTCATCATTCAAATCCGTTGCCTTGTCTGCTGCACGGAAAATGAGCGCTCCAGGTACAGTGCGTTGGAAACCGAAGACAACACACTCTCGTACAAGCGCCTCCTCTCGGATACGACCCTCGATGGGGATCGGTAGCACTTTCTCGCCATTGACAAGAGTGATTCGGTCGTCCAGTCGAGAAAGGTACTTATAGTAATTGCTCTTTCTAGGGTCCAGATGCCGAGTGAACAAATCGGCCGTTCGGAAACTATGCTCGGGGTTCTTGTCACTGAACGGCGGCTTCGAGTTTGAGGGTCCTTTGCTGGGCAATCCATTCAGCGCAACGCATTCAAAGATTCCAGGTGAGATCTCATCCATGAGTGTAAAGTCAGCCACTGGACGATGAAGTCTCATATATTGCCACTCATTGTCGCCTGGAGGTCGGAAGGAGGTCATGATCTGACCGGTTTCGGTGGCTCCGTAGTTTGCAACTAAGTTGACGCCCTGCGCCACAAGACGATCACCCAGATCGTCTGGACAACTCGATCCTCCGAAAAGCACGATCCTAGGCTTGGCTAGCGCTTTAATACCCTCAGGCTTCTCGGCTAGCAGTTTGATGACATATGGGACAGCGCTGAACTGCTCAGGCTGTGCCACCTGGAGAGCATCGTACAGATTTTGATAGGTGGTGGGAAGCGAATGATTGCCAAAATATGTCGTTGCTCGAGTATAAAATGCACGACCTAGTTCCATAAGAGCGAATGAATGGAAAAGTGGACTGGCCGTGAAGAAGCGGAAACCAAAGCTCTTCCGCCAATTGGCCAGAGTCTGGAGATTGGTGAGGAAAATAGGCTTGGGATGACCAGTGCTGCCAGAGGAGTGTAGGATCCAGGCGATTTTCTTTCCCTCTCGAGACGGATTGGCATTAGCCCGTGCGAAACGAGGCGAACTAGGTTGACGGTTGAACCAGTCTCCTCGTTGGAGGATGGGGTAGCTGGTACACCCGGGCCGCTCTTGGCAGATATCCTGTACTGTCTGATCGAACTGCTTGGCAATCACAAGTTGATTACAGTTTGCCATTTCAAGCAAACGTGTATATGCTGGGGCTGTGAGTCGTGTTGACAGGAAGAGCACAGCATATCCGAGACGGTTCAAGGCGAACATGGTCAGAATGACCTCGAAGCTAGAGCCAACGAGGATGGCAACAACGGGTGCCTCTTCCAGATTAGGATCCTATTCACCGTCAATCTTCGGAACATATACGATGCCAGGCTATTGGAATGCTTACAGCAGGTGGAAGACCCCGCTCCATATAATATCGAGCCACGACATCGGTATACCGGTCAATATCGCCAGCCGTGTGTTCTTCAAAGTCGGCAGCACCCCGGATCGGATAGCAGATCAGTGGGACCTTTGACTCATCGGGCTGAGCAGCATGCGACTTGACCAAGCCATCAATAGTTGCGAATTGTTCAAAAGGCGGATGGCTGGCATGGAAAGTACCATTCAACAGGCGAGTCGCGATATCTTGGTTTTGCGACGATTGAACGTCCACACTTGTGGTCGTTTCTGTGATAGTCGCCATGTTTGTATTACTAAATTGGTCCTTCATCTTGCTAGAGAACCAAACTTGTCTTTATATTGCAGAGCAGACAAAAACCCCGCGAAAGTCCATCCCACGTCCCGAGGGTGGCCATTCTCCGGATACATTTCCGAGGCTAGTTTCCCGCAAAGCACCCCGGAAAATGCCACGATGATCGGCTCTCACATCGCGTTTGCTTGAATTATCCAACCACATTGCGTCAAACTTGTGGAGCATGATGGGAGAACTGCCTCGCCTGGAGATAATTCCGAATGACCATTCTCGATAGCATGGGGTTCAGTTGATCCATACAATACTGTTGCGCTCTGAAACAATTGGGGACCGGATAAGACCCTCGGAAACGGGCCGACTGCTAGTAATCAACCTTCCAGGGTTGAACCAATCAGGAGTTTCAGTCATGGAAAGCCGTCGGTATGCCCGCGACTGCTTCAGCAATGACAACATAGGTTGGGTTCATTTTGGGACGACGTTCTACACCGAAAGAAAGAGAAGCGCCATTACAGAGCCTGTACCAGTACTAGAACCAGATCGTGTTGTCTCTTACTCATTAAGCCTTACTTTCAGTTGTAAAACATCGTTCAGAGTCCAACCTAGTAGATGAGACCTATTCTTGGCCCTTTGTTTTAGGAGAGAAGAAGACTGGTGTTTAAGGAATATTAATGAGTAAAGCTTAGGGGTGAGTGCCACCAATATTTGCATCACGATGTGATGCTTTAATCCACCCTTTGTGAGCCCTTCGTTCAAAATCCTCAAGTTGGAGTTCCTAATCAAAATCGCATCAGTGTCACTACATACGAAACAATATGTGGGCAGGAGAGATCAATATGTATTATTGTAAAAGGTCCATGATATGATTTTTTCATGGCCTAGCGTATGCGGAATATTCCTCCAACATCTAATCGATACCAATTCTCTAACTCAACACAAATATTTGGTGATTTCGCTCGTCAAATGCATTCAGTATCTTATGTGATAGGTGTCTCTATATATCAATGCGTCGCATTATACTATCATTATTCACCATTCTCATTGATGACTCTTGATTCTTTTACCCGTTGGCTTTTTCGGGCACAAGCTTCGACAACCTCCGTATCCGCGGTCCATATTTCATGAACAAGAACGGAATGGGCAGCAAGACAGCAGCGACAGCGCCAATGATCGAAACACCCGGGCCAACGCCCAGAGCACCAATCATAGGCTTAGCCGCCAAAGGAAGACCGGCCGCCATAATGCTTCGGAGAAAAGTCACCGCGGCCGTAGAACTAGCAGCGTAAATTCCGTAAACGTCAACAAGGAAGTTTAAACACTGCTGGAAAATGCAATTGAAACCAATGCCGATAAACAATGCTGCAAGACAAGGCAAGATCCAGTGATGGGGAGGTTCTGCTGTCCAAGCAAACCAAAATGCACCAATAACGAAGAAGATTGCGCCAATGGCCATGGGTGGTAATCGAGCTTCCGGGACAGCCTGTCCGTTGGCGGCTTCAGCGATCCGGTTATAGCGGTATTGATTCCAGATGTTAAGACCAACGGATGATATAACACCAATTAAGAGTGCCAGGAAGGGCAGAGACCCGATAAGAGGATTCCATCCTCGGATTTGCTGGAAAACGATAGGAAACACTTCCAGCGTAAGATACATTACGCCGTAGACAAACGAAGCATATATCGCAATGCAAGACACGATAGGCTCTGTGAAAAGCATCTTCATCGGCCGAGAGAGCTGTTTTGTCACAATAGAGTGGACGTCCAATTGAATATGCTCATGTGGATGAAAGTAACGTGAATCATTTCTCTCTTTTCGAAGAGATTGTGCCTTTCTTTTTAAAAGTACCGGTGGATACATCTCCGGTAGAAAGAAGTAGGCCATGATGAACGTGACAAATACCCAAATGGCCAAGATATAACTGCACCAACGCCAGTCAAGACGAGGGTTCAGAATAATCGCGGCCCCAATGACGGGACCTATTGCTGGGCCACCGTTCACAGCAACTGCGTACAAGCTGACAGCGACGCCTCTTGTCTCTCTGCTCCAGATGTCGCCGAGTGCGGCGATGACATTACTGATAGGAGCAGAACCAAAGAACCCAGTGAAAAAGCGGGTACTATACAAAGAAGCGGCATTTGTGCTTCGTGCTGTGCCTATGGCGAATATGGCCTGGCAGAAGACCGGTGGGAGTATGCTCACTCTGCGACCCCAGATCTCGGAAACGGGCGCCCAGATAATAGGGCCAAAGATGAAGCCAACGCTTGAGAGGAGGTTAGCTTCTTCCCATTCGAAGAAAAGTCGAGACACTCACAGGTATAAAGAGACGTCCAACACTCCGACCTCACTGCTCACACCAACATACTTGGCGATAATATTTTCGGCAGGCGTGATGATACTTGAACCAAGACTCCCAGCCAAAGCAAGCATACCCAATTGAAACGTCACCCACCACTTGAACGAAACAGGCCAATTTTGAGGATTCAACGGATCATTGACATCCCATTTGACCATGTACTCAGGGTCAAGCGAAGCTCCACTTTTCTCGCCGGAAGTCTCCTTCTCAACAGCATCGCGAGACCAGAAGCGCCACATCGTATCAATCGGTCATTCCTAAGACGTCCAGCCCTCCTCTGACCACAGACGCACAAGTTTGATATTTCATGACGAAGGGGGGAAAAAAAGAATACCGACCAGGCATAAACTGAGGGGTTTGGTGACCGGATCTAAGCTCGGCATTTGTTCTGTTTAGCCGAGAATTTGGGGCAGGGGCGGCCGGTCCCGACTTCGGAAATTCGGCGTTGGAGATGCGACGAGCACGAATTTGCAACTAGCGCCGAATGAGCGACTTCGGCCGAGAAGCCAATGTTGAGGCAGCTAGCAATGCTAGTGATTGTTGATAACGTCAGTGGATAGTCAAATGATGCCACGTATGATCAAGAAGACTTGTGCGTCAAAGAGAAATCACAATCGGACTTGTCACTGGCAGGGCTACACATTCAAAGATTCTTGAAAATTCGCAATGGGACTCTCCCCAGTGAAATGTCAATTGCGGCTGTTCTGAAGAAATTACATCCGCGGTTCGAAATAGAATACATATGTGAAGCCGATCCCACGCCCGTCCGATATCTAAATCCATGCTGTGTTGAGTAGGCGACCCTTTTTCAATGTGTTGGGACGGTATAAGACTAGGAGAGATGAGAAAACAATTAAGGGCTAGGAGTGCCCTCATCATATCGAGGACCACCATCGTCATCGCCATAACCCGCACCTGGGGTAGCAGCAACGCCGCCCATGGCAGGAGTTGGTGCGTCAAAGGCCGCAGGAGTTGGGGCATCGTAGCCCCCACGCTTGGGCAATCCTCCAGGAGTGGGAGCACTGAAAGCTCCGCCAGGCGTGGGAGCACTGTCGGCCCACGCGCCAGGTGTCGGCGCAGAAGCACCGGGAGTAGGAGCACCGTAGGCGCCCGGAGTGGGAGCAGAGTAATTTCCACCTGGTGTTGGGGCATCGTCGAAATCACGCTGGTCTCGGCTGTTGGGCAAGCCACCCCAGGCAGGGGTACGGTTACCAGCACCTGCATTGCCCCATGCTGGGGTTCGCGATCCGGAAGCGAAGGCATCGTAGCCGGAGCTAGAATCATGCGGGGTGCGAGATCCGGAGTTCCAAGCTGGCGTACGGTTGCCCAGGCCACCGTAGGCTGTACGATTTCCTTCCGCATAGGGGTTGGAGGTACGCGATCCGTCATTCTTCCAGGCAGGGGTACGAGATCCGCTCAAACCTCCCCAAGCAGGAGCTAAAAATCTTGTAAGAATGGCGAATCAAATATAAAGGCGAATCGTGCGAGATGTCAAACTTACTTCGTGATGAGGATCCACCCCAAGCTGGGGTCCTGGAAGAATCGGCTGCAGCCATAGGAGTACGACCGCCTTGCCAGCCACCTCCCTGGCCCCCAGACCCTGAGTAGGACGGGACACGCGAACCTGGTCTTCCACCACCAATATCCAACGTTTGCTTAGAGATAGGACTGTAGGGCGAGTTAGTGGTTGAAGAATCAATGACGGTCGGGAAGAACATACTCTTTGGGAACGAGAATGTCTCGCGGTAATAGAACTGGCTTGTTGGCTGTGTACAGTTCAACCGTGGCCGAGGTATCATCTGCATTTCGGACGATACCAACCAGACCCTTGTAACGGCCCTTGCGAACAGCCACGGTCTTTCCTATCAGTCGATCCCGGCCAGCGCGACGGGGAGGCGGCATGTTGGGATTACCACCTGGAACCTGCATGGCCATCGCAGGGTTCATCTTGGTCAAGTCAGGACCGGTAGGACGGCCACCCCTGGCAGAAACAGTCACAACGTTAGTCGTACGCACGACAGAGATACCGGCATTCTCGGTCTGAGCTTTGTTATGCAAGAAGAGGAAGGAGCGGTAGATGTGAGTAATGACTCCGCTTCGCTGCTCTCCATAGACCTCACGGACAGTATCACCATTTCGAATTTCTGCGCCATTGCGGTCTGTCGCGACAGCATCTCGACGAGGCGCAAGCTTGTTGGCAATCTGAGTGGGTAGAACGTTTCGAAGGGAACCGTTTTGGTCCACAACGCGCAGGGATTCGCGGTCAACCTTGATCACACACGCAACCGTCGCAGCACTATGCCAAGTCAGCACTATTTCACAGTATCAAAAATTCTCGCCAATTCTCGCCAGGTACTCACTCAAGTTGAACAAGATCGTGCACATCGTAAATGCCAAGTTGGCCATCGGCAGCCATCTCAGCAGAAAGGCGGAGATCTTTGCTGAAAACCGTGATCTCCTGCATGCTCATATCACTGAGCAGCGTGACAGTGTCGTCCTTGACCTGGACAACCATACCAAGTTCATTTTGATAACGGCTGCCTCCGATGACCTTGACGTGGTCACCCTCGCGGAAACGCTTGCGAAGGGTGCGAATAGGAGCGTCAATGGTCTGGCCAGCCAGATCACCCTCAGTGACTTGCAATGAGACGATATCGCCGCGGGTCGAGACTGTTCGGCCAATCAAGCCTTGCTGTTCACCACGGTACACCTCGACAGGATCGCCAGGTTGGTAGGAATCCTCAGCGGTGGAGTTCTTCAGCGTCTCAGCGAGGGATGCCAAGTCCAAGTTAGCGGTGCCGTCCTCTCCTCCCCGAGCGAACATGGTGACTTCCTCCAGCCGGGGGTTAACATTCTTGGTGATCAAGTGCTGGACACGCATGTCCTTGATGAGGAAGCCATCAATATAGGTCTCGTTGAGGTAGCTCCATGACTTGCCACCCAATCCAGATGTAGCAGAAAGATACTTGGCATGCTTCTTCTTGGCTTCCGCTTCACTGAAGGGGCGTTGGGGAGGTCGGACTTTGTTCACAGTAGCACGCTTGCGTTTGCCATCAGGGCCGAGCAGAGCGGCGTTGTCGTCGTTCATACCATAGTCGAGACGGGGGACCAGTCGAACGGTGACGTTCAGGCCGTTGGTTTCGACTTCTTCAATCTGGGCAAGGTCACCCTGGTATGTGCCTCGCTTGATGCGGACCCATCCACCAGGCATAAGCTCCTCCGATTTCTGGACGCGCAAAAGATCAGGCATTTCTTTGACGGGGACCAAAGTCATTTTCTGAGAAGGATAGTAAAACGCAATGCCTTCCAGGGCATCGGTGACATCGGCTTGTCTGCGCGCCTCGCAGTAGAACCAACCCTGCATAATGTTTCCCCGCTCAAATGCGGAGATGAGTCGAATGGGATTACGAGAATTGGCGGGTCGCTCTTCCATGCGCTTCTGGATGGAATAGATAACCTCCTTCTCTTTGCCAGGCTTGCAGCGACAGCCCCAAATGCTGGGGTCTTCCACACTGGGAAGCAGTAGTCGCTTGGGAATCACGAGGGCATCTGTTGCGGCGGCACGGTTTCGGCCATAGCGCTCCTTGAGCATCTGTGCCTGTTTCTCTGCGTCCATTGTAGCGTCCAGCTCACGCTGGCGATCCAGCTGTCGGTGACGGCGGTCATCGGTCTCGGCACCGGCAGGGAGGGCATCGAGATCATCGGGATGCATTTCAGTGCCAAATTCGGCGAGCTCATCCTCCTCATCTTCGGCTTCGTCTTCTTCTTCATCGACACCAGCCTCTTCTTCGAAGAAGGAGTGGACACCGCCTCTCCGGCGCTTTTTAGGACGTTCCTAGAAATGAAGAATCACCAGTTAACACCAATGCTTTTGTGGGTTGGAACCGGCTAGGAAGTACAAACCACGGCCTGCTCATCGTCGTCATCCTCCTCCTCCTGCTCCTCCTCCTCCTCCTCCTCCTCCTCGTCGTCGTCGTCTCCGTTCTCGTCGCCATCTTCGGCACCTTCATCGGCATCATCGTCAATGGCCTCCTTCGCATCGTCATCTTCAGCATCATCGCGGTCGTATTTCACGTCATCCGCGGCATCTCCAGGACTCGCGCGTCTTTTCGCTTGCTGTCGATTGTAGCTATGTCAGTGGCATCCCTCAAATCCATTCTATACACTCGGTCACCGACCTTGGCATCCTCGACGTCAGAGTCCTCCGCAGGGGCAGGGTTGAAATCATCGTCCTCCTCGTCCGATCCGAAGTCCTGGTTGAGAAAGTTCGACATGTTGCCGTGAGATATTTAGACTCGTCCGAGAAGGGTAGCTCGAGTCGTATTAGGAGAAGGGTGCAGCCTCGGAATCAATGCGTCGCAGGTCTGTACTGTCTATCGTCCAGACAGGTCAGTACACGGAAAGACGGTGCGCACTCGCAAGAGTGTGAAACGTGAGATGGGAAGGTCCGGCGTATGCAAATACGAGTCGCAGCTTCGGAGGCAAAGGTGCGAGCGACGAAGGATTGAATCACCTGTGGGTTGAAAGTCGGCTTTCAATTCAACTGGACCAAAGACCGTCGGCCAGGGTAAAAAGGGAGTTTGAGCAGCAACCAGGCGCGGGCTGGATTCAATGCAGTCTGGCGGGCTTTGCGGGCTTGTCACCGGGCGACCGCCTGCTGGAAGCACGGGCGCAACCCTAGAGTTGTGAAAGAAAAGGGTGGGGGAGAAGAGATTTGAGACACAGCACGCAGGGAGACGAAGAGTTCTTATACCCTGAAAGGCTGTGTCAGCAGGATGCGGGATTGGGAGAAATCGAGGAGCTGGTTCAGTTGGCGGCGAACTTGGGGCGGGAAGATGCGCAGTTGGTCTGGATGCCTCTCCCTATCGACTCTGTTTACCTTCACAGGCAACCCTCGCTCTGCCTGGCTACTCACATCGGCCGGCCAGCTTTCAATTTCAGTATCAACAAATGTACTTTTCAGACTAAATCAACTGATCATTGCCACTTGATAATCTGCATCTTTGAGATTGTTCTAACAGTTTCATGAAAAGTCAATCCCTCGCCCTCGGGATCAGCACCTCCAAATTGATTAAGACTTTTGGGCAGTATGCTGGCAGCTTTTATGGCCAAGACCAGCAGATTGATGATGCCAAATAACCCAAAAAATCTAATAGATATCGTGGTGTATCGATTGGAAGACGTTATGTTTCATTTGATCTATGAGGGGCCTCCCGTCCCTCCGAACGCTTAAAGGTCTTAAACAACCTTATATTCTGATCTCATGGTAGAAGTAAAATGCCAATGTAATTGGCAGCAAAATGGATATACAGGCAAAAAGTCAACCCAAGTAAAATGCGTCACACCAGACGGGATATCTTGCCAAATTAAAAAAAACGACACCAAAAGGGGAAGGCACATGAACATCGTCCAGCAACGGACACAAGAAAGAGAACATGGTCTAATCACGGCCAATCTCTAATGCAAAAGCAAAGGCTGTATTTAGAGCTTCATGCCAAACATCTGGTGCACACGCAGACTCTGGCGCATGCTCAGATCCAGCATAATCTCCTCGCTTCCACCGGGGATAGCGTAAGCACGGACATCACGGTACAGGCGCTCAATCTTACCACCCTGGCCGCCACGGCTGTAGCTAAGACCACCAAAGATCTGACTGGCTTCGCGGGCGCAGAACTCGAAGGTCTGGGTGGACTGAGCCTTGAGGCCGGCAATGGCACCGCCGAGCTTGAGCATGGCCTCGGTCTCCTCCATGCACTGGCACTGGAAGATGATGTTCTCTAGCCAGTTGTAGGTGGCCTCAATCTGGCGGGCCATGTGGGCCAGCTTCATGCGGATGACAGGGTGGTCAATCAGCTTCTTGCCGAAGGTGCGGCGCTTGTGGGCATATTTCATGGACTCCTCGTAGCAGACACGGGCGAAACGGACACACTGGATGACAATGCCGATACGCTCATGGTTGAAGTTGGTCATGATAACTGCGAGTGAGTTAGTAATCTGTGATGATATGGTATCGCGTATGTACGCATTGCACTCACCCTTGAAGCCCTGGTTCTCCTTGCCAATCAGGTTCTCGACGGGAACCTTGACGTCCTCGAAGGTCACGTAGGTGGTACCACTGCTCCAGACTCCCTGGCAGTCCATGCGACGAGTGCTGACTCCACCAGCCTCGCGCTCAATCAGCAGGACGCTGAGACCTTCCATGCCGGGCTTGCCAGTACGGACAGCGGTAGTGAAGTAATCTGCCCAAATACCGTTGGTGATCCACTTCTTCTCACCGTTGACAATGTAGTGCTTGCCATCCTCGGAGAGCTTAGCCTCGCAGCCAAGATTGGCAACATCACTGCCCGCATCAGGCTCAGTGATAGCCAGGCAAATACGCTTGTCACCAGCCAGAATGCCGGGCAGAATACGGTCGACGAGCTCCTTCTTACCAAACTTGACGAGGGGTGGGCAGCCAATACCGTAGCCACCAATCAAGTTCCAAACCAGACCACCGCTACCGGCGCGCGACAACTCGTCGGTCAACAGCATCTCGTGGAACAGATCCCAGCGCTCGGGTGCCACGGACTTGACCCGGAATGGAGTGTGCTTCTCCGGGTACTTGACACCCAGAAGACCGGCCAAGTAGCCGCGCTCACCCATCTGCTTGTAGATGGTGTCCGGAACCTTCTTGCCCTCATCCCACTCGGTAACGTATGGCTCGATCTCGGTGTCGACCCATTCGCGGATTTCCTCGCGAAGAGCGGCGTGAGAATCGTTGAAGTAAGGGGAGGAGTACTATCAAAAAATGAAGCGAAACGTTAGCGATTCTATTACGCCATCGAAAAAAAAACCAATAAAATCAATACTTACACCCTGATACCACGAGGGGTCGGCGAACGGAATCAGATCACCATAAGGATCTTGAGGCTCAGCAGTTGCCGCAGGCTTGTAGTCGGCAGGGGCAGCTTGTGCGACTGGGGCGGCCTTCTTGGGTGCCGGGGCGGGAGCCGGCGTGGGCTCGACGACCTTCTTTGTGTTCAACGAGCCGACCTGCAGCTGGGCCTTGTACTTCTTCAGAATGCCCTCGTTGTGGTACTTCCAGAATTGCTTCGAGGCATCCTTTCCGGCGACTCGCTGGAGAACTGTTCACATGTTAATTTCGATGTCTCGGCGACATTTCAGCCCTGGTTTTATGACGTACTCTTCTTTCCACCTATTTTACACATTCTGGTCAGCACATGTGATACTCCAAGGTGGGCCCCGCGCTAGGCCCCGTCGCATGACTCTTTTTTTTTCTTGAACGGCTCTTATCGACGGAAAAAAGAACTTACCAGGATGCTCATCTTGGAACTTTGTGACATCGTAGACGTCCTCGTCAATCACAATCCAAAGGCTGTCGCCCTTGCTATGCGACGCCACGTCGTCCTTGCTGAAGGTCTTTGACATGGTGATGTGTGTCGGTTGAAGGAAGATAGGGTACTGAGAGGAGGTTACTGATGAGTATACAGCCCAGCGACCAGGTGATTTCGATATATTCCTTGGGGGGAGGTTCGTGGGGGAAAGAAAAAAAAAATTAATGTCAACTCCGGGGTAGCTGGAGCACGCGCGATATAAAGGTCCGGAGAACCGCGCCAGATTCAGCCAGTTCCGTGTCCGCCACGATCCGACTCCAGTTTTAGGATGCCTCGGAGCATACACCTCGTGCAGTTCAAAGTAATTTTGGGTCTTCAGCTGCTTTCCTCGGTCGTTACAGTCGCTGATCAGGGCGGTCATCGCCGTACATGTGGCCGGTGATTGGCTCCCACCACGTCATCGCATCGACAAAATGCCGAGGCGTCCTGCTTAGCTAAGATGCGCATGTGAACATGTGAAAATGTGGGAGCCATCGGCGCATTTGCGATTCGTGGAGATACCCCATGCAGGGTAATATTTCTTGGTTCCATAATGATCTGGCTTGAATTTGATGATCTGGATCTTAGATAAGTTGTTTTTAGAGACCAAGTGGTCTCGTACCTCGAACAGTAGATTTCCATGCACGTGGTTACACATCTAGCAGCGTCCAAGGATATGCTTAGATTAGTGTAGAGCGTCCCCCACGTGTTGAATCTCCCCAGCCCGCACGCATTCCAAACAAATAATATAACTTTCTTTCTAATATTATGGTACTTATATCTAGTTTGACGACTTCGACTTCGTCGTTCAAAGGTCTTTTCGAAAATAGAAGATCTCAGAGGATCCTTATATGAGCCCAGCACAAAACCACAGAGCACGTGACTTTGTGATTGTCTCGACCATAGAGACCTCAGAATGAGACCGAGCAATGATAGAGGATACAATATGTGATAAGGCTCTGTGACGCAAAATATCAAATATTCCCCAGACAGCTAAGGTTGTTGTTGCTTGATGGGAATTTACAGGTCGGTGAAGCTGCAAAAAATGATAAGTTTTTGCGCGATCGATTATTTTCAGTCTTTTTTTTTCTTGTTTTACGCGTGACAAGCATATCTGTAAATTCATAAAATACAAGACAATGTAGAATTTGGATTAAAGGGTGTTAGATTGATAGATATCAAGGTAGGCGTATATGGAGGTTGGTTTGAAAACGAGATTTGAAATGAGCATAATTGAGAAACGAAGACAGATTTGTCGACAAATGTGACAACTTGCCATAAGAGGAGTTAAAAGACAACAAGACCGGGATAAGACCAAGCCCTTAATGTCATGACGATAGTAGATGTGGCTGGCGTTCGTTTTGGATGTGTGCTGACACGCAAACTGGGTGTTATCAGCTTGGTGGTGGTTGTTCAGGAAGGAGCGTGGTTTGCTGTAAAGAGGTTTGGCAGCTTGACCGGATTCTTTTCTGAATTTGTCCTGACATGCAAACTGGATGGTACCAGCTACATGACGCCTGCTCAGAAAAGACCGAAGCTAACCTGTGGGAGCGAGTAACGGAAGATGACGACGATCGGTTCGAGCGTATAACGAGGTGGGCGAAAAGGTGGAAGATGATCGATCGGGATGGCAAGACGCAATTTTGAATTTGTCCTGACATGCAAACTGGATGATACCAGCTACATGACGCCTGTTCAAAAAAGGATCAAGCCAAACCGTGGAAGCGAGTAACGGAAGATAATGAAGATTGGTTCGAGTGTATAATGAGGTGGGCGGAAAGGTGGAATATGGTTGAACGGGATGGTAAGATGCATTTTTGAATTTGTCCTGACATGCAAACTGGACGGTACCAGCTACATAACGCCTGTTCAAAAAGGATCAAGCCAATCCGTAGGTGGAAGGAAGGACGGTAAAGCGGAAAGCGAGGACGACAGTTCGACGGAATGGCGAGCTTGGCGGAGAGGCATTGGTTGATTGGAATGGGAAGTCTCCAAGTTGAATGAGTCCTGAAACGCAAACTGGATAATGTGGGTGGGATGGTCGAAGAGATGTCAGAGCATGTGGACATGTCAAGGTGTTGGCGTGACCTGATGTGGAGGTAGACTGAGGTGTTGACAGTGATTGAAGGTCAATGTGTCAAGAGCCATGGTGGATGTGGTTGGGTATGGCAGGCCTTGGTCAAGGACAAGAGAGACAAAGACTTGACGGAGTGAAGAAGTCTTGACGAAGTGAAGAAGTCTTGACGAAGTGAAGAAGTCTTGACGAAGTGAAGAAGACTTGAAGAAGGCTAGGTCAAGTAGGAGGGATGGAGTGGACCATATCTTGGGTGAAGGATGGAGGGGGGAGGTTGAGGATTGGAAAGGAGGAAGGTTGGGGAGTTTACGAAGAAACATATCTGGGGGGGAGGAGGAGATATTTATACCCTCTAGGGTATGGAAAAACAGGCCCTAATTCACTCCATCTCCTGCATTGAGCAGGCACTCTCCATCGTGCCTTCCCTGAACGTAAATGTAGATCCCTTTCCAGGCTGGAGGAGGGCATGTGATCGTGGGAGGCAGCAACGAAAACCTGATATTCCAATTAGGATGCTCGACCTCCACCACCATACAAGGATTGAGCCTCGTGCATAGAATTGTTCCCAGGAAACAATACGCGATAGTTCCAATAAAGAAACAATGAATAGATATTCTATTCAACCATGTTCCATTTCGGCTTCCAAATCTCCAACATTGCAGTATGATAATGGCCCCTGGTAAACAATGCGGCTCCCCTGCAGGTTGCCGCGCTGCCACAAGGTTCGGCCCGGCCCCACCACCCCACGATTTACCCCAGGATCCATCCTAGGCTGGGATTGGTCATAAACCATGTTGTACTATTGAGGTATCATGTAGTAGATCAAAGGAGATACCAGCTCTTTGGTCTTTCTTCTGCCCGCTGGTTCTGTAATAATCTCGATGCTGACAATGCCCTGAATGCCCGTCTTGGTCAACACTCTTCCGATTCCTCTTGAAGATCCTATCTTAATCCCGAGTTTTCCATCACCAGGCTGGTACAGGTATTTTGTCATTTAATATCCGTCGCCGTCACCTGGACTGTTTTGGATATCCAGAAGTCTTGCGGCCTGGGTGAGATATCCTGGGAACTTCCGGGCAGAAAGCTGCCTATAACCTCCAACCTCCATCTTCCACCATTCATCCAACCTACTTCAAGCTCACCTCCCGTTCCCCACAGAGCCACAACCACTACGTCCACCTCACACTCCTCGATCAAAATGGCAACCAACTACGATCACATCATCTTCGTCGCCAGAAGCTCGATCGACCGAAACCAGATGACCAGCCAGAGAAGAGAGAGCGACGCCGACCTACACGTTAGCCTCGAATACACCAAAGCATGCTACGAACAGGCCTACGGACCCATCAGGGGTCTCTGCGAGTTTCATACCTTTGCCTGGCCCTCATACCTCGAGTTATCCCCGTCCAGTCCAACCGTTCGCTTCTTCGCCCGCCGTACGGCCGCGCTGAACATCATGGGTCGAAACATGATGGTCGTGCTCAACGGCTGGGACGGGTTGACCTCGAACGGAAGAACCTTCACCACGTTGTTCAGAGAGCATGCTTCCCGGATTACGCTTCGCATCTTCGCTGATCAACCTCGATCGTTCTACCAGGTCAACGTGGCGCAAATCTTTGAGCTGTTCGCTGGCAATATCCTCATCAACCCGTACCTCGAAGGCATGAGCCATGAGCCGCTTGATGACGGGGTCATTCGTATTCTGGACAGCATGGAATGTCAGCTCGAATATTCCACCGCGTTGTTCTATCGTTACTTCAGGGCATTCGGAGCGCTCCAGCTCAACTGATTCCCACGAAGTTGAATCCCTACACCCCACGTTTTGTGCGACTTGTACAGATACACCTTGCATATGACCGAGAGCATACTCATGGAAATACGGTGGGGAAAAATTACCGAAAATCTTTAGTGAGACGCGACGCCCAAGTCAATGCAGCACGATGCCATCCGGGGAGAATCTACAGGACAGCCTCATGTGGGTGAAGGTGGTATTCTTGGGGAGTTGAAGGAAAATATGGCGAAAACTTTCGAGACTAGAGGATAGGGATACAAGGCCGTTGTTGAGAAACCATACAATCTGATTCCTAGCTCGAGCTTCTGATACCGTTGGTACCAGATCCAAAGATAGTACTGATAACTATATCCGTAGAAAAGTCATGAATGGTAGCCTGGACCGTTTTCATGACCGTTAGGTACCTTTCAGTAGCAGTGTACTCGTACTCAGCGCTGCTAGGCCATAGTATCCCAATCAATACCTTGAAGCACGAATATCAAGGGGTTGAACAGCTGAACAGCGAGACAGGTGCATGCATATAGGCTACCATGAGGTCCAGAGAAGCCATCCCGATATTCTGACTTAACAACGTCCAAGCTTGGCTATCGCAGCTATCAGCAACCCGTGCAATGATAAGTCGATAGATCGAAGACGAGAAGAATAACATACCCAGACTACAAGAGCTATCAGTATAGTGCCCATTCACGTAGCACCTATCCTCTTCAAAATAATCCCAGCCACTAAAAGAATTAGAAAACCCGCACGTCCGCGTCGTTGTAACTCAGGCTGATGCTTACCAGTTAACGGCACCATTCAACGTAATACACTCTCCCGATTTCACACAGGTGAAGTAATACCCGCGTGTCCAGGACGAGGACAGACCAACTTTGACATCGTAGTTTGTGCCGGGCCCATAGCGGCAGTTGACATGCTCGCTGAGAACTCGACACGACTGGCCTGACCGCTCAAAGATCTTTTTCCCGTCAAAGACCTCGCTGTGTCCGGCTTCGTCTGTGACTGGGGTAGCGCGAAGGCCCAAGGCGAACAGTGTGCTGATGAGAAGACAAGAAAGCTGCATGATAGTCCCAAATGGCGGAGATCAATACCGCTAAATATGCGGTATTAGCGGTAAGACTCAAGGTACGAGGGCCTGAAGGAGATGTTCCTACTCTTTATAGCCGTTCCCTGGAGGAGACCTGAGCTTGAATGACCAATAAATGCGCCAAGACACCAACATCTTCCAATTCTTCTAAGGGGCGACTGGCATCGTGTTGCGGAGTTGAACGGCTCCCCGCTGGGACCTGAAGAGGATACGACGCTTGGCATCTTGGCGACGAGGCTTTGGGACCAGAGAATCGACCAAAATGACAATGAGTGGGCCGAATACGAGGCTTCATGTCGCACTAACTAGTCTACATGCAGCGATTCAGTCGTCCGCTCCCAAGCTAGGCCAGCCAAGGTCTAGCATTTTCGGCATGAGGGACGTTTTGTCGCAATGCTCGGTTACTTGGAGGTCTACAGGCAACGAAAGTTGGAAATTATATAGAAATGTAGACAAATGCTTCATATGACAAGCGGAAATTTGGAGTTCCCAAGACATCAGGTTTTGGTAGAGCCTGATGAGTCTAGTAATACACCGAGCGTCGGAAATAGTTTGCGCTGCAACATCACCCCTACTCTTCCTCTGCGTCCGTCTCGTACGTGAACTCATCGGGCACGGGAGCATCTTCCGCCCCTTCCTCATCTTCATCCACGGCGGTTAGAACACCCGCAGCGGCGGCAGCACCGCCGAGGGAGGTGTAATCAGAAAGGGCAGCACGAGCAGCGGCCCGTTGAGGGGTCTGCAGGGCGGCCGCGCCAATAGCAGCCTGGAGTCGGTCCTGAAGGGTTTCGCCTGAGGGTGCAGGGGCTTGAGGCTTCTTGCGGCTTGCCTCAAGCTCAATGGTTTCGCGAGGCTCGTCGGGCTGGTTATCGAGGACAACAACGACACCACCGGTGGGCTGTAAGAAGAAATTAGCATTGGTTTTGACGGTGATAGAATCATGAAAACATACCCTCTTGACAGGCTCGTATCGTGGGTCGGGGAAGGTAAGGTACTTGAGTTGGGCTGGCAAAACTCTCGACAGGTTATCCAACTCATAGCCAACCTTCTCCCGCTCGGCCTTCTTCTTCTGCCCCTCGGCGGCAATCTTCTCGGCGTCCTTGGCCTCTTCGCCTTCGCCAGCAGCTCCCTCCTCGACATCCATCTTCTCTGGGAGCTGATCCGACACCTTAGGCGTAGTCGGCGTTTGATCGATATCCATGCTCTCCCTACGAGCTTGCTTCTCCCGGCGCTGGGCACGGCGCTTAGCCTGAGCGGTGGTGGAAAGCACGGCAGTTTTAACCTTCTCAGGAGCCTCCTCAGTCTTCACCTGCTGCTCTGGAGGATAGTCGAAGAGGCTAGGGCGAGTGTTGCTGTGGAACTTGAACTTGGGAGCCTCCAACTTCTGGTCCACACCGATCACGGCCGTGGGGGCAAAGCTGAGAGACAGGAAGTGAGAAAGGGGGAACCAGTACCAATACTGCACGAAGACAGCGGCACCGACAATTCCCGGCATGTTCAGGTTGCCGGTTTGAGTCTGCAGACTGATGGTGCAGTTGCGGCCACCAGCATCGATGATACCCAGAGCAACAGCGCAACCGAACTTAGCCATGGCATCTTCATGGCGATCACCAACCATCTTCAACATAGCCTTGCGAAGACTGGTAACGCGGGGGTTCATGGCCTCATTCTGCTGAACGAGCACCATGGAAAGGGCAATCAGGGCACCTTGGCGCACAAAGTCTGTGGAGTCCTTGAGCATTGGCTCCAGAAGATCGATCGCCTCGTCCAATCCGGTTCCAGCACAGGAGATACCCAGTGCCATAGCGGCACCGTACCGAACATGAGGGTTGTAGGACTCTGAGAGCAGCTCCACCATACGAGGCACACTCTGGTGCTTTCTGAACAGGATGAATCCCAAGCTCAGAACAGCAACACGGCGCACATCGTCGTTAACATCGCTGACAGCAACGTGGAGAAGCTTCCGAACAGCCTTATTGCTGCCACTGCCACAGTAGGCTAGGGCAATCGTCATAATACCACCATAGCGGAGGGTGGGATCGGGGTCGCCGAGGAGACCATTGATAAGCTCATCAGCAGCCTCCTGACGTCCATACATGATCAGTGCCATACCCATAGCGAGACCACGGACAATCTTTTCGTGCTGAGTATCGTGGGCATACTGAATCATGTCCTCCAAGGCCTTCATGTTGCCAGTCCCCAGCATAACCAAACCCATGGCAAGACCAACGGCCTCACCGTTAAGAGCAGAGTCGGTGTAGAGAACATTCCGGAGATCCTCGTAAATTCCCTCGTCACCAGTAGCCATGCCCGCAACACCCAGACCCAGAGCACCACCGTGCTGAACAACTTCTTCCGTGGCCTTCTTGAAGTAGTCACGGATGATGTCAACAGCCATACCTCCGTGGTTGGCGTAGATGAGACCGTAGGCGTACAGAGAACCACCTTGGCTGTAGACTGAATTTGAGCTACCGCCGACACCAGCAATCTGATCCTTAGGGAGGTAGGGTTCCAGGAGAGTCTGGCCCTGGTTCAGATTGCCCCGGTGGATCACACCCAGAGCAGCCGTAGCCGTGAACTTGGACCAGTTCACAGCCTTGCCGAGCCACTCCAAGTTGTCACGGAAGAACTTGTCACGGGTCGTTCCAGCGTGCATGAAGGCATTCGAGATTGTGACTGCAGTGTGGAAGATTGAGTTGCGAGCTTCCAGACTGTCGCGAACCTTGTCGAGAATAGCCATATCCGTCCGGTTGTTCTGATAGAGGAATTCCAGATTTAATTCGATCGTTTTGAGACCATCAAGAATCTTGAGAATGTTCTTGAAAGCCGAGGTTGCTTCGCTTGAAAGCTTGTTCTGCTCTCCCGAGGGCCGAGTTGAGCTTGATTGATCGTCGAGCAGTCGGTCAGACTCCTTAGGCTCGTCATTCTCATCCTTCGACTTCTCGGCCTCCGCTTCTGGCACCAATTCAGCGATCTCTTGGCGAACCTTCTGCAGGAACTCCTGGGTGCTGTTGTCATAGAGGTCGAAAGAAATCTGGTAGGCAACAGCGAGAGAGCGTGAGTCGCCTTTCTCGACCAGTTGTTGGAGGATGTTGGAAGCCATTGAGTGCTCGTTGAGGTAGACGACGCATTTCGCAATCGAGAAGTAGTCTGGGGCGGGAATCTCGTTAAGGAGGTCAAGGATGAGTTTCAAGATCTGTACGACAAGACTGTGTTAGTGCTAATACCAAGTTGAAGAAGACCGGGTCATAGACGAACCTCGTTGCGGAAAGCCCGCTCTTGGACAATTCCCATGCAAATATCCAAAACATACTCCATAAGTTCTTCGCTACGGCGGAACTCGCCTTGTTGCTGCTGCTTCTCATCGTCGCTAGCTCGAAGAATTGCCATACGAAGGACATCCAGGCTCTTTGCCTCGATAGCAATACCAATGACTTGACGGTAACGCTTCTGACGGAAGCACTCCTCGAAAAGTCGCTCAATTACAGCCTGCAATTGTCTCTGAACACCGCGCTTCAAGACGAGTGATGTCTCCTCATGCTGAACACTGGCGTCATCGCCGCCGGGGTGCGCAGCATCGATGCCAGGAACCTCCTGACGCGACAGTAAAGACTTCGAGGGAAGTGCAGACTTGGAGAAAGGTGTGATTGGGGAGGTCAAGCTGGCAGACGTACTCGTAGCGCCATCGCCGGATGCTGGGAAGGAGTTGTTCAAGTTGGCGGATTGATCACCGGAGCTGCGTCGCTGGGCGGCGGATAGAGAGATGAAGGTATCGACGCATTTGGCTAAAATATGGCACCGAGTAATTAATAGGCTAATCACACAGTCTGTGGGTGATACCACACAACTTACCGATAATGGTCTCCTCGTACTCGCCACCGCTGTCCAGCTTGAACAGCTTGCCCGCACCCAGTGCCAAAACCATACTCTCATTATATTCCTGCAGATGATAGTATACCTTAGAGGCAACTAGGGCGGCTAGCTCGCGTTCTGGGAAAGATTCATCTTCGTAAAGGGCCTCACTGCGTGGAGATAGTTAGCCTGAGCCCGAGGAACTGGACGGTCCGCCGTGACGACGATTCCGCGTGTTAGAACTGGCATCGCGTCGCAACAAGCTCACAGAGTCACTACACTTACATCTCCGGAACGGCATTCACAACCTCTGTCCATAGCAGATCGATCTGCGAATCTAATGACTTCAAGGCAAAGACCTTGAGCTCCGGGTCAGGCTCCGAGAGGAAGCCGACCAAACCGGCGGCCGAGATAACTCCGACCATCTTTATGATATTAGACGTCTCACGTCGAGCGTCGAGATTCACCGAGAGGAGCTCAGGCTCAAAGGATGTCCTTGTTGTTGGGGATGTCCTTGTTGTTGGGGCTGATGAAGCAACGTAGACGGGAGGGAGCTCGGGGGAAACAGCGAAGGAGCCCCCAGAGCAGCGACGGTGCAGAAGGGAATAAGTGGTCCTAGATCGGAGCGCGGCAGGTAAAACAAAGACAAATTAGGAGAAATGGACGAGATGAGATGAAGTGGACGTGCGAATGGAAGCTGGAAGCAGACAACGGAAGCTTTGCAGGCGCGAGTCAACGTCAACGGAGGAGCTGACTGTTCTGGTCACGTGAGGAAATGACGCCCATGCGATCCGAGAGCGTCGGGCGTCAGCTGGTGAGGTCCGGCAGACATTCGAGACTTTACAAGACGGGGCGATGTTGATGGCCTATTAAATAGGCATTCATCGCCCAGTAATACCCACCAAAGGCTCAGCGCTCCTTTCGTTCTCCTATCTCAAGCTCTGTTTTCACCTTCACTCACCATGTCAACATTTCTCCCGTTTCGAGACAAGCGGCTACCACCCGTACCAGCTGCAACTTCGGTGTACCACCACGATCCCCTCCTGCAAGTTGAGCGCCAGACCAAATACATCCAGCGCAATCTCCAGACTTTGATTGATGCTCAGAGTGAGGGTCTTCTAGCGGGTCTCGCTCGGTCACAGCCAGAAAACACATCGGATGGCAGCTTTACTCCAACATCCTCGGTAGCTGGTCGAGCTCGGTCTCCGTCGACTACGCCGACTACGCCCGCTCGACAAAGTCCAGGCAAGAAGATTGGGCTTCGCGCCGCACGACAGGGTATATTCCAGTCGATCTATGACCTATTAAAGCTGCGAGAAGAGGAACGGGAAATCCTGTCGGCCCAAACAGACGAACGAGACAATGCGCTCCGTGAGATTCAAGGGTTTAACTCAAGAAAAAATGGCCTAGAAGAGGCCATATCAGCTATACACAATGACCAAGAGAGTCAAGAAGCTAAAAGGCTACAAGAAGAGGCCCGCGATCTTGAGACTGAGATTCACGAAATGGAAACCAAGCTGTACGAGATGAAGGCCCAGCATCGAAATCTAATCAGCAGGATATCACATATCGAGAACTCTGTCGATTCAAAATTATCCTCCTACAACGAGTCCTTATCCCTCCTTCATTCCGATATACAAAGCTATCTTCGTGACCCCCCAGTCCAGCCGCTCTCACGGCGGTCAACCGAGTCTTCATTCTACTCTCTAAACCCCAAACGACGTACCCTCGACATGGCAAAGGAACATTGGAAGTTGGAACAAGATCGTCTACACAAGAGACAACACGAAGTAGATGCCGAGATTATGGCTCTGGAGGAGGGGGGTGGAGTCTGGAAACAAGCTATCGCGGACGTGTCAGGCTTTGAGAAGCGACTTCGGGCCAACATGCGACACTACATTGAGCTACAGTCCTCCGTGACCGATTTCAATCATACACAAGTGTCGGAAACGATGGGGGAACTCGCGGCAAATGTCTCGGAAGACCTGGACAAGACTGTTCAGAGGCTGGAAACACATTTGGAGCTTGCCGAGCAAAAGGACTGGAAACTTCTCCTTTGCTGCATTGCTGCAGAGCTCGAGGCGCTCCGCGAAGCACGCGGAATGCTTCTCCCAGCCTTTGGTTTAGCGGTAGACGACGACTTGCCCACATCTCGATCACCGTCATCGGACGAACAGCTTTCAGAGGAACCCCCGGGTACGCATGAGAACTTATCTGATAGTGATGACTCTGAGCCTCCAACGGATCTACTACAAGATGGTCCGGTTCAGCATACAGATACAGCGTCAAGGTCCGAGGACGACGAGCCTGACCCAGCTTGGCTCTGATTGCATGAAATAGGAATTCATCAACACTGAGATATTAAATGAATGAATGATAGACCCCTACTATTTATAAATTGTCTGTTCTACATCTACGTAGTTAGACTTTATAGCTCTCCTAGTACTTGCAGATTGTAGTCGCGTTGCCGGGCATTGGGGCACGGGCGGGAAAGCTTCTTCTCCTTTGAGCATGCAGCTCCCACATCAACTTCACCCCAGCTCTTTTGATGAACAACAGCCGTTCGGGATTATCTGATTTGGGACAGCGTGAAGGAGTCTTTGCAATATGGTCCTTCCTGCCCCGACATTTTCTTTTCACCTTCCCTCGGTTCACGATGACTGTCAGCTGGAATGTCGACTGTATCTTCCGCGCCAGCTCCAAAATATAGAGTCGGGATCACAATCATTGATCCGAGGGGCTATTGTCGCCCATCCTTACGCACCACTCGGCGGATGCTACAATGATCCTGTTGTAGGGTTTGTCGGTGGGGAGCTTTTACAAGAAGGGTGCATTGTGGTGACGTTCAACTTCCGGTACAGCGCTACACTTCCACTCAGGGTTGAAGAGTCTCAAGGTAGAGTCTCCAGGTGGCTAACGTGACTACAGAGGAGCTGGAAGTTCTGAAGGGCGGACCAGCTGGACTGGAAAGCCCGAACTGGGAGACTATGTATCCTTGTATGGGTTTATGCTGAACTATCTGCAAGATTTACATTCTACTCTCGCGTCCGGACAATATATTGCCCCTAACGAGGCCGTCCACTTAGTGATCGGGGGATATTCATTCGGGTCGCTCATCGCCTCGCATGTCCCAGACCTTGATGTCATGCTCGACCTATTCTGCAACGGACCAACAACCCTGACGACACCGATCTACAAGATTGGCAAAGCAGCCCAAAAGATCGCTGCGCAGTCCACGCGGCATCTTCCCCCAGCAAAGCAGAATCCGGAATCCCCGGCTGACCAACCTGCACCCCGTGCGGTGACTACGATCTCCTACCTCCTCGTGTCACCGTTGCTGCCACCCGTGAGTCAGCTTCTGACTGCTTTCTCTGCCCTATCAGTGAACGTGGGGGGCAAAACGTCAGCTCAGGCCCGACTCGCCGGCCGACCAGCCGACCAGCTGAGTGCGCACCAGACGCTGGCGCTATTTGGGGATCAGGACACTTTCACATCTGCTCGTAAATTGCAGCGGTGGTCAGCCGAGATAGGCCACAGGCCACAGAGCAGATTCCGGAGTTGCGAGATCGAGGGTGCGGGGCATTTTTGGCGAGAGAATGGAGTGGAGACTCGGGCGAGACGGGCTATAGCAGAATGGCTTCGATCTTGAGGAAGGAGTGGTGGAATATCTGTGGATGTCCGTAGTGTTTCCGATATCGAAACGGACCGACTACAGTAGAACGGATATTCTTGTACAGTAACTGTATTCATGAGTTGGAACTACATGCACACATTGACCGATATCGCACATCGCACATCCCACCTCCCACACCCCGTCAAGCTACTTCGGGCGTGGCGCATAGCAAGCGTGTCTCACATGCAGACACATGTGAGCCGCTGCCAGGCTCCAAGACTGCCCAGGGAGGCGATTCCCCACTGGGGACCCCGTTCAGATGATCGCAGTGGAGCAAGATCACCGGGGAGGATAGCAGGGTTAAAGTCAAGGTAGCTGCAGGACGTCAGCCCGATCAATATAGATCGAGGATCAATGCAGACATTGCATCCGGGGCCCTGCAGTGGGGAGAAGCTGAGCCAGAATAATAAAGAGGGACAACCCAAAGACTAAAGTGGCTCCGTCATCATTCATCCCGAAAGTTAGTCAGTCCCAATTCCGCAAAAAGTCATCGTCGGGCCGCGGGGGGAAAAAGTTGGGGTTGTCATCGGGCGGATTTCGATTGGCCCTCGTGACATTTGTCCTCCTTCAGACCGCCAGAACTGGTTATTCTCTACACATTCCCCGTGGTCTGTTCTGTTTCACTATTCTCAACTTTTCTCTCATTCACGGTCGTCCTCGGCATTCTCTTTTCACAACTCAAGGTGGTCCGAAGCGATCCTCCCCCCTTGTTCTCCGAGTGGGCCGTAGACCCCGGCTGGATGGCTTGCTCCCGATGCACAGGCCTGCGATGTCAATGTTCGGCGACTCCACAATAGCTCATTCGCAATGCCATAAACGTGATTCGGATAGCTTGGTCCCCCTCCCTCCCTCGCCGCGCCGGTCCCTGCGCAAGGCCATCTCCATCCCTGCCGTCTCGTCGATCGTTAAGGATTCGTGGAATTGGGCTGGCGAGACCTTGCATACCTATCGCGATGGGCTCTCCATTGAGCAGCGCAGGGAGAAGGCAGATATTGAGGACCGGAAACAAATATTATATCTGAAGATCAAAAATGTGAGTCAAGATAAGCGGCGGCTGGCCGTGTCCCTGGCGGGCAGTCGCATCTGCAAAGTGACCCGGCTGATCGCGATTTGCGTTGCAGGCCGTGTCGTACGAGGAGTGGTGTACATGCGCTAGTGAATTGGATGTCTTGGAGGACAATATCTCTTGGAAGCGCACCTTCGAATGCTCAGAGTACCACCCGGAATTGGTCCAGGAACGGTTGCGACAGATGGAGGAGGCGCGGATCAGTTGCGACGTGAGTCGCATGCTGTTTCTCGTTCGCACTGCGCTCAGTCGCGACTTGGGGAAGATGAGCAACTCATCCTTGTATCGGCATTCACATACTGGTACCAAGGACTTGATCGATAGGTATATCACGACCGCGCTGGAGACCATCGACACACTGGTAGATCTATCGGTACATAATCGCTGCGATGGGTTGGAGCTCAAGTACATACTGGACCAGCTGCTGGCAGCGCGACAGGCATTTGGCCGAAGTGCACTTCTATTCTCGGGAGGTGCCACGTTTGGTATGAACCATATTGGGGTTCTAAAGGCTCTCTATGAATCGAAGCTCATCCCGCGCATCATCTCTGGAGCTTCGGCAGGTAGTATCGTATGCGCGGTATTCTGTACCCGCACCGACGATGAGCTGCCAGCCCTCTTAGACACTTATGCGCATGGAGACTTTGCAGTCTTCAACGAGCAAGGCCAAGAAGAGAACATTTTCCAGAAGACGGCACGATTTCTCAAGTTTGGATCCTTCCTGGACATAAATCACTTGGCAAATACGATGCGGGCATGGTTGGGAGACATTACGTTTCAAGAGGCATATAACCGAACTCGCAGGATTTTGAATATCTGCGTGTCTAGTGCTGGCATGTATGAGCTACCTCGACTGCTCAACTACATCTCTGCACCCAACGTGTTGATTTGGTCTGCAGTGTAAGTTCCTGTCTTTTGTGTCTCGGTGATCCACTTCTAATCCATCTGCAGAGCGGTGTCCTGCTCTGTGCCATTTGTGTTCCGGCCCTTCACCCTAATGGCCAAAGATCCGTTGACAGGAGAGGCGACCCCTTGGAATGACCTCCACAAGCAGTATATCGATGGCTCGGTGGACGGCGATCTTCCCATGACACGGTTATCCGAAATGTTCAATGTTAATCACTTCATCGTCTCACAAGTCAACCCTCACGTTGTGCCCTTCTTACCAAAAGAAGATGGCCCAACAAACCACCCCGAGCAGGGCTTGTCTTTCATTCCTCGCTGGATGAATACGATGACTCACCTTGCCAAAGACGAAGTCCTTTACCGAATGACGGTCCTCTCAGAACTCGGAGTCTTCCCCACCTCCATGACCAAAGCTGCTTCGATCATGAACCAGAAATACAGCGGCGACATCAACATCTACCCGGAATTGATCTCATCGAACTTCCCACGAATCCTTGAGAATCCAACCACCGAATTCATGCTGCAGGCCTGTCTGAGTGGAGAACGGGCGACATGGCCACGATTAAGCCGGATTAGGAACGCCTGTGCCATTGAATTGGCACTCGATCGCGCCGTTCAGCAGATGCGAGCCCGAGTCGCATTTAGTCCAGGCCAACTGGAATTGCGCATGCGCGGCTCCCTTCAACATTCCACCGAGTCTATAGAAAGCGGCATGGGGCGAGGGCGTATCCGGAACCGCAGACGAGGCTCGCATAGCCATGAACTGGAAAGAAGACGTTCAAGAGCTCTTTCCCGCAGCATTACTGCCCAGGGACTGCGAAAAGCACGTAGTACCATTTCCCTCGAAACGCCGTCCTTCACCACATCGAATGATCTTGTCTCCGTACCAACCCGGCCGAGGGCCCACCACCGTCGATCGTCCATGGCCTACGGCACGGGTGTCTTCTCCATAGAATCAGACAGTGATGATGAAGACGATCGTGGTGTATCCTACTCTATCAACTCTCGGCCCTCCCATCACCGAGGCTCGTGGGATTTCTCTTCGCACGCAGAAGAATTTAGTCATGGCAGGCATAGTCCTGCCCGATCTCGGCGATCTTCATTCTCGTCGGGAAGACGGCAACGCTCCGGTTCGGGTCAGCAAGGTTCGCCAAAACAGGTCTATGCTGCTTCGGCTCGAGAGATCTCCATGGCCTTGTCGCCCTCGTCCCGTCATTTGCTCAGTATGACGCCGACGGTGCATGCGACTTCTCCTGACTCGCTCACCCGCAAAGCGCGTTCGTGACCGCACTCAAAGAGCAACAGAATTTCCAACCAGAGTTTTGTCAACCTGGGAATAGTCCGAGAGACTATCACTCCTCCTTGTCCAGTGCGGTCCTCTTGGAGGGGAAGTCCCACGGGACAAGACTCTCTAACCCTCCTAATACCCATTTCACACATTCCCCGAAGCTCTCCGTTTGTCTACCACACCTTACCCCGTGCATTATACCTACTACACTGGTTGCTGCACGATATACAATATCTTTCGGGATTGTTCATTGTCTAGACCGGCTTGGCGCCGTGCCTTTTTGGGAAACACGTTAGGCTTTTTCTAAACTTTAAAATTGTTTTCCGGGGCTTCATTTTGGGGTAGAAAGAGCTGGGATCTCGTTGCCATCAATCTATGACAGGCGTGTGGCAGTTTCTAGTTGATGTATTGCAGATGGCGCTGCGTGGGCTTGAAGACCTTCATTCTACAAATTATAATGGCGACAAAGATACAATTTAGGTTGAGGGCACAGACGGTAGCTAATTGCACAGTTCGAGACTAGTAAACGCAAGTTTTCTAGCTCCCTGTTCCGAGTTCGCGACGTAGGAGGGGGCTGATCGGCGCCCCGATTGCAGTTAAGAATACGGAGCACGAGTCTTTGCTCTTGGCACGACTAACCCCTGAGAGCTGGATCCTTTCTTGTCGCGAGTGCCGAGACTTATTTTTCCAACATTAGTATGATACCCTTCCCGGTGATATCAAAAAAGATCAAAGCTCTGAGCCATTCGTATAGATGTGCTATGCGTGAGAGCCCGACTTCAGTGTCCTAGCTGGTTCTTGTTGTCAGTAGTACCCCTTGGACGTGGAATCGTGGGTGGGAATTGGAAAGAGCCATGAGAAGACACCACTGTATAGCTTTGCTGGCTTAACGATGCCTTCCTTTGTCACCCATTCCTCTACAACAAATTGTCGCTGCTGCTCTTCTCCGAAGATGAGTGGGTCGTCGATCCCTGAAGTCATGTCTCCACCACGCAGGCTAAAAGGCACCTTGATGCAGTTTAGACTGGCAGGTCCCGCCCACACTAAACAGCAAACGACTCAGGGCTGACGACGACTCAACTTTGCTCACTCAGAAACCCTGTAGCAGAATGAGCAGGCCTGGACTGTGGTGTTGCCGCCTCGCTCTCATCTTGAAACAGTGCTAGCTGTGACCAGTGTTCCACGCTCTACGTGATGCCTCAGTCACCGGGGAAATCGCACAACATGGAGATCACATTCGCAAGTTTTGCAAGACAAGGGCTTTGTCGCGACATCCGAAGGCTCTGCGTCGTGATCTGCGATCACAAAATCAGGTCCGAGTAGTTATGCCCGCTGAACCACCGTTGAAGCTCCGAAACCAAACTCCAGCCGAGATGGGGATGGCCCACCTGCCGATCGAATGCTGGCCATTGGCTAGTCGTTTATCAATCAGTAAGGATCGGCCATCGTTCCCTTTTCCGAAAGGGGCAAAAATAACGGGGGAGTGACAAAGAAGTCCACTTAAAACAGCCCTCGAGCCCACAATGGCCGCCGTTCTGATACATGCCCTGTATCAGCCACGCTTGATGCCCGCCATGTGGCAAGATATACAGCAAGATGAGGCAAGCTACACTGAGTATTGGGTAATGGGGCTGTGCAGGATGTCCTAGACCAGGATTAAACCCTGTCGACACCTCAAATATTCGGGATATTCCGATCATGCACTGGAACTTAAGCCAAGAACATCACTAACACCATTGAGACGCGGGACAGGCATCTTCTGATATCCCGGGATTAAGCTTCCCGGTGATATTTCCTAGTTTCGTTGGTCTCCCTCGGCGCTCTATCAAAGCCGTTGCTCCACTTCTAAGGGCTGCCAGAGCCATCTCGAAGAGTTGAGCATTCTGATAGATCAGACCACCACGGGTAGTCTGATATATACGGAACAGGATCGTCGCACTAGTGTTTGGGTCTTCTGGGTAGTCTACCCTTTCAATTCATCCAAGCGAATGCCGATACCTACCCCATTGTGTCCCTGCCGAGCCACTTTTCTCCGAACCTGTTCAGTTCCACCATAAGTTGGCCAGTAGGTGTCATGGCTGTCACTCGTCAGTGGAAAATATTTCAGCCCTGAACTTGAATTGCCGAGTTTATGGAACCGTCCCCCTTGTCCCATGGCCCGAAGCTATGCCATGATGGGTCCAGCCCTGAGGACCCTCATCCCGTCCCTTAGGTCTGGCTGAGATCGACAACCCTGCCTTCGAGCTTGTTCCACTCATAGAGTTGGCCCAGTCTGGATGGTGCCGAATTCTTGAGATCGTGGTCCGACCACGGAGTGCTTTACCACGGAGACATGTGGAGGGATGGATCCAGCAGCCTGAAGCCAAAATGGCTGGTGCGTTTCAAGCTTTTGAGCAGTGCTATAAGATAGCCCAAATCCGCCGTGTTATTCTGTCTCAAGCCTTGTTCATCGAACTATCAAAATTCTCTAATAGAGCGTGGTCACGATCTCGAATACCGTCCACTCCTTTCTCAATCGCACCACTTGTTTTCATACACTCTTCCTTTCAAACCATACCCTAACAACACAATGAAGTTCTCCGGCTTTGCTGCTTTGGGCTTGATGGGCTGCGCCCTCGCCCTGCCCCATGGCTCTCACCCGAATGACGGCCCCACGCCCACCGGCCTCCCAGCTGGTTCGGGTCTTCCCCCTTCGCCGCCCAGCGCCGGCGACTTCGAGAAGCGCCAGTTTGGCTCCTCCCCAGAGCCCTCTGGTGGCCCCGGCTTCCCCGGCGGCCCTCCTCCTTCCGGCACCCCTTCGGGCTTCCCAGAGCCCTCTGGTAGCTTCGGCGGCTTCGAGCGTCGCCAGGACTTTGGCTTCCCTACTGGCCTGCCTTCTGGATTCCCTACCGGCTTGCCTTCTGGCTTCCCTACCAGCCTGCCTTCTGGCTTCCCCGGTTCCGGTGGCTTTGGTGGAATCGAAAAGCGCCAGTTTGCAGAGCCTAGTGGTGCTGCTCCTTCTGGTGCTGCTCCCTCTGGTGCTGCTCCCTCTGGTGCTGCTACTGGCTTCCCTCAGCCCAGTGGTAGCTTACCCAGTGCTTCTGGTGTTCCGTTCGGCTTCCCGCCGTCTGAACATTCTTTCGCTGAACGTGGAGACGAACCTGATTCTTTCCCCAAACCCAGCGGTGCTGCCCCTTCGGGTCCTGCTCCTTCGGGCCCACTTCCACCTGGCGCTGCTCCCTCAGGCCCTCTCCCAACTGGTCGCTTTTAAAGGATAATTATCATGACGTTTTGATCGATGGACTCCCGGCTATGAGCTGACCTATGGAGACTTGGCGGTGGAGAAGAATAGAGGGGGTGCTGCACAGTTTCATGGCCATAAAGCCTGTACATGGAAATCTTAAACTAGACCCAGATAACAGAGCGTCTTGCCCTTTTTCTGTTTCTTTGAGCTTGAATGTACGATCTACGGATATAGAGGACTGGAACCTTTCGGAAGCACAAGCGCTGGTACGCAATATATGGTATCTCAATCGTGTACCTTGCTTCAGTCATGCTTAGCTTCAGTAACATTGTTGGCATGCCAATATACACTCATTTGACTATCATTGCCACTAGAATGTCTCTTATGTCGAGAATACCGAATCCCTCTCACCTGGCCGGCCTTGCGCGCAGTTACCAACTGTTGACATTAGCATTGTACAAGAAGCCAAGCAAAGAATGTCTCTGAGTTGTCGCGCGCTACACTGCAGTAGTTCTACATAAGGGACTAATTATGCGGCAGACAGCATGTCGTTTCAGGCCCTTAACTGGGATTAATTTCTAAAAATATACCGCTAATATGGCTGCATTTAGGGAAGCAGGGTAGGTTTAGGAGGGAGGGTTACACTGACCAGGATGAGTAAATTGCCACTAATTAACATCTATTTTTGGGCCGCTTACCTCTTAGCTACAGTCTTGCAGAAAGTGTGCTAATTAAGGGAACGCCCTGTGTCGCTCGTCGGTGTCTCGGACCCGACGATCTCTCCGCACTCCTGCAGCCGTCCCGGCGCCAATGCATTTCATCCATTGGCTTCATCCACCACACGGCTGCATTGGTGCTGCGCTTCCCGCAGCTCGTGCAGCTCTCCCGATACTTCACGTCATGCACGTCGGAAGGACTAAAGAGATGCACGGTTTGGCGATCAAGCTTTATATCTGGGCGCCTCCCATTATGTTCATGAAGCTCGGACGAATACTGCGCTGGCCTGGTAGCCTTGCCCATTATTCGGTCCTGGCTGGTATCAGGAGAGTGAAATCTCTGGGATCTCGCGGTCTCTAATCCATTTGACTGTCCCGTGCCTTGTTTTTTTTTTTCTCGCTCATTCACAGCTGAGCTGTATCGGGGTAGCCAAGATTATTGGCTGCTGACCCCTCCACACACCCTCGACACCCTTGTCCGCCTCGATTCTGGTCTCGTCCAATCCGAGCTGGCCCTTTTCGTTTGTGTTGGTCGGTCTTGTGCCATACATGCAAGCCATCGGCAGATCGCTTGACGTGAAAAAAAGCCCAGGATCTATCCGTTCCTCCTCAGCCTTGGTGGTTCTTGGAAGTACCAGTTTGCGTCAGCACAGCCGGGGTGCGTGTTGCATTACTAGAAGAGAGACGTTTGCACCTCTTGGAGTGTCTGGCCGACTTGGACTCCTCCGTCTTCCTTCAAATTATACCCCTCTACAGTCGAATGTTCGCTGTCGCCCCCACCCACAGTCTTGTACACTGCCGGGGACTCTACAGTCAGCATGGCGGGGATTGTCAATAAGCCTCTGGGCATTTTCCGCCGCCCAGAATCCCCTAAGCCTCTCCATAATAGATGGGGAGACGTGGATATCTCGGTGCCCACGGACGGCTCATGGAACCAATATGACAACCCTCATCGACCACCCCTAGAAAGACAATCCTATGGGCCCGGATTCGTACCGGATTGTTCACCGTCAGATCGAGTCCACGGCACTTCAGGCATCAATACCACAAGAGAAAGTATGCTGCGAAGCGGGGAGGCTGACGAAGACACCAAAAGCACCGCAACAAATAGAGCCTCCATCATGTCTCCATCGAGACGAAACTCACTTTCTCTTGGAGGGTTACGACCGAAAAGACTTTCTGTACGCCTTGCATCTCGCCCGAAGCACCTAAGAGGTGAGGCGTCTCTGGAAGGGCCAAGCCACTATGCAGAGCACAAGAAGGCCGAGTTTGCATACAAACCAATCCACCCAGATTATCCCACCGAAATATCTGACAAGGGCGAGCGAGCAACCCATCGCTATCGCTACATTCCCACAAAGGGGCGGTACCTCGAGAATATCCCCTCCCCCCGAAGTCCACGGAGCCAATCAGCCACGTCTTTCCGCGGCTCCCATACTCGTCGAGACTCGCTTACCGAGTTTCCAGAAATTCAGGAACGGGAGCGCGGTCGTGAACAGGCTAGGCTCAACTCGCGACAGAGTTACTACCCAGACGACGACCGCCAAAGTGTGCGATCGAGTATCGCCGGTAGCTCTGACAGTTCTGGCTCTGGTTCTGGGTCTAGAATGAGTATTGGATTACCGCCGAGACGTAGGACTTCGCCGTTTGTCGCAGCGGATCAGAAGAGGTCGTCGTCTCTGAAGCCGATGACTTTGGCGATGGTACCTGATCCCGAGGACCTATATGAATGATGGATGATCGATTTCAACAATTAATGACCAGAGTGGCCTTGTGCGATAACGGCTGTTTACTCATTGCGGACTTTGTGCTTGGCATTCAAGGCGTTGGGAACATGGATGGCGTTTTCGGTATATCTCGACATTATAAGTCGACAGATTGCAATCAATACTATTTCTTTCTCACTCATGAGATGTAGATTTGAACCTTCATATTGTAAATAAGATAAGCATCGCATTATCTTGTAGGATACTCCCGGTTTTTCTCGGACGTGTGGAATGCAAATATGCTTGGCGGTTGACGTCAGTCTGATTCACGTCCCAGCCGCATGTTATCCGAACGTCCCAACCCTGAATCGTAGGGTAAATCTCCATGCGAAACTCAATTGGTGGGCTGTAACTCCATTGATGCGCTGATAGTCTTCTTAAACTAGGATATGTTCCTGTTCCCACCGTTTCTTTGACGGAAAGATCCACCTCGAGCTTGCTCACGATGACGGCATTGATGGGGTCCAACGAAGATACGTTGCTAGAATCTGCTCTCTTTTCTTTATATTCTACAACATAGGTGACTTGCCATTGTTCAATTCAAAACAACTTCCTTGTAGTCCTCAGCTATTACACATTGCAGTCCCTTTGCCGTTACTCTAGATTGATATTTCATTGACCATGGCTGACGCGGTAGTCCAATTACGGTGCGGTGTCAAGGTATGTCAAGCCTTATCGAAACTGAGTTTTGAAATCTGTCCTGACGTCGATTATCCAGAATGACGACTGGGGGAAGAAGGGAAAACAGTCGATGGCTGCTCAACTCTGGTCTCAAACGCCCGGAACTGATGAAATCGATGAGTCGAAGCACTACTCCGAGGTAAGTTCGCTGTTCATCGTACATGATAGAATCAGAAGGCTGATGAGAATTACAGATGTGGATGGGCACGTATCCATCGAATCCGTCCTACTTATTGTCCACGGGAGAACAGCTGGGTGATTACATCAAGAAGAACCCGCAACTGGTGGGCAAGTCGGTCCTGGACAGATATGGACCTGAAATCCCATTCTTGCCCAAAGTACGAGCACCACAGTCCTGAGCGGTCACCTCCCATATTCAACTAACAACCTGCTTAGATCCTCTCCTTCTCCAAAGCACTTCCCCTCCAGATCCACCCCGACCTGAAGCTCGCGGAGAAATTGCACAAGCAAGACCCTAAGAAATACGGAGACTCCAACCACAAGCCCGAGATTGCAGTTGCCCTCTCCAAATTCGAGCTCTTCGCCGGGTGGAAACCACTCAAGGATATCCAAGCGCTCTTCAAGCTGAAACCCCTGGAGCAATTCGTCCCCAATAACTCAAGCACCTTCGACGATGAGACTCTACGCAAAGCATGCATGTCTCTCCTCAGCGCCCCTCCCACCGAAGTTTCCGCCACTATCAAAGAACTACAAAGCCTTCCAGAGTCCCAATTCGGCGCATATTCATATATCCCAGGCCTACTGGACCGTCTGAACAAGCAATACACGGACAGGGATAACGGCAACCTCGTCGCCGCCCTGTTAATGAACTACATCACCCTAGGCCCGGGAGACTCCGTCTTCGTCCCTGCAGATAGTATCCACGCCTACCTGGAAGGCGACATTGTCGAATGCATGGCCCGATCCGACAACGTAATCAACACGGGCTTCTGCCCCAGAGCAGAGCGCGATTCTGTCGAGTTGTTCGGGCAAGCGCTAACCTTCGTCCCGCACGATACTCAGGGGGCGCTGTTACCCCGGCGCAAGAGTGATAAGGGGTCGCAGGGCCGGACGGACGTGTATGCGCCGCCGATTAGTGAGTTTTCGGTGCTCGTTACGACGCTCGGGGCGGGAGAGATGGAGACGCACAAGGCGATTCTGGGCCCAAGTTTGTTGATCGTTACTAAGGGGTGTGGGGAGATGAAGATTCCGGGCAATAAGACGGTGGAGCTTAAGAAGGGGTATGTTTTCTTTGTTGGCCAGGGGGTTGCGTTGGACTTTGGCACGGAGAAGGGGTTGGCGGTTTACCGCGCGTATGCGGAGTAGGAGAATGGGGTGTTTTGAATTTACTGTTCTTGCCGTGGGTCATGGATGGGAGAGTCTGGAGTGATAGATGGCTTCAAGGTGGCGGGGACTGCCGTCTTGGGCTGATTCTTGTTTTGGCTCGGGGCGTGTTGTACATGGGTTAGATTTATCAAGTACTGGACAATGACGGGTTGGAAGAATTACATATTACAGCCTCAATTCTCTGCTCAATGCACAGTAGCCACTAGGTATTATCTTAGTATTCAGTCCTCGGATGGTATCCATCCCTATAGTTGACCAACACTCCATAGTCTCCTTCCGAACAGAGCCAAGTACAGATGTAAGCCAATCAACGGTTGACTGCCAATCTCTTCTTCAGTCTAAATCACATAGACGTAGCTAGTACGGAGTACATACTTTCATCAAAGAATGCCGGACTGTTGGTTCGGTGTTGGTGTTGGTTTTGGTGTTGGTTTTTTTTTTTCAAAGAAATGCTTTGCCCGTTCCTCAAAGGCGCTAACAACCAGCCACTCACAGCGCCGTCCGAGTGTTGGTTCTGCAAGGCGCATCGACGTGATTCGACCTGCTGCAGCTCGGGCGCTTTTACCTTCCCATTCACTTTCTTTCGGGGTTCTGGCCACGGCCTCGAAAGCTAGCCGGACTAGCGCAATGCACACGGCTGCGAGCGATGAGCTGGCAACCCATCGGGACGAATTGTGGGCTAATTATGGTACATTATGAGCCCTTTGCCCTCTTTTAGCGTTCACAAATCTATCTATAGTCCATTAATTATATTGAATTGATACTATCTTTACACTCTCATTCCCGGCTAACTTTGCTAAACTTTGCTATCTTTACCGTATGGGCGGGGTTAGTCGACTCGTCTCAAAATATCTCACCTGAAACGGAGTCCCTGTGTCAGGATCAAAGCTTCGCGCTTGGAGGAGAGGCGGCTCTACCGAGCGAACCCTACGGGCTTACAAAGGCTTATCAGGCTTATAAGGCTTAAAGGTGCACTGGGAATTAGACGTTCTACTCTTCGTCTCCCGTGTGAAAGGGTTTGGGGTTCAGCCTTTCTGGTCCACTATATCGGGGCCCAACTCGAGTCCAGGTGGGCATGGGGAATCGAAAGATTTCGTATTAATTTGTTGCGCCCATTTTTTGGTTTTTCTTTTTCATTTTGGGATTTTACCTCGAGGGTCCGAATTCCCACCCCCGGTAGCCGACCGTGACTACCATCTGCATTGAATTGGTCACTAGCCTCATTTTCGGTTTGGGATAGGCTTGTTGTATATTGGATTTTTGAGTGTCCCCTCGACTCGCCAACGGACCGGGATATGCGTGAAAGTTCCGACACTCATCACACGATCTGCCGACCAACGTCTCCTCCACAAGGACTCTAATTGGCGTGTTGGCTGCGAGAATCTCCAAATCCTTGCCAGTAGGTTCGCCCGCAAATTTCTCTAGCGGCCAGGGGTGCATTCGGACAAGGGACGATCGAGGCACAAGAAGTCAATCACGCTAATCATCACATCTAAACCCCACAGTGACGGGCGGTCTTTTACACCTCTTCTCTCGCAAGGAGCGAGCGAAGCGAAAGCAACAGTCCCAGCAGGCAGAGCAACTAGCGCCGCTCCATGTGCCTCCGGCGTATAAATCCGACATCTATGAACCGCTGAATGGGCCCCGCTCTGCGCATCCCCGGCCGCTATCCTCCTTCGCTCCGGACTACAGTCGCCAGGCCCACTACTCGGCCCAGAATGCGGTCCATGGGGGCTACTATCCCCACCATTCTGGCAGTCGCAGCCATCCCAATCACTATGGCCAATATAGCCAGCAGCAGCAGCAGCAGCAGCAGCAGCAAGCATACCAATATCACACTCAGACCCCGCAGCACGAACGACAGCTGCCACGAGCATCCTTCGATGTACCCCGATATCCGGCCCTACCAACCTATGACCCATCCAAGTACCAACCCATTCAACCATCCCTGACACCGACCGCCGATCGATTCGCCTTCCACTACCCTAATGCCAGGGGCCAAAGCTCCCGTTTGAGTGAGGTACACTATAATGATGCGCGACCCTCGTCGATCTACGTCCCGCCCCAAGCTGCTCCGGACCTATCCTCCGCACCACCAATGCCCCGGCGGAGAATGGCCGCGCACGCTCGCATTCAGTCTATCATACCATCTTCCGGCACCTCGGCCGGACAGGGCTTGTCCAGATCGGGGGATGGGAGGGAACGGAGCGTCTCTGAACCAATGCCTGCGGGTGATGGGCAGGGGAGCCGGGGGCCACGACGGCCTAAACCGGTGCTTTCACGGCTGATTACCAACTTCGGCTAAAGAGGATGGAGGAAAAAAGAGAAAAGAGGAGAAGATGGCTTGAATCATTGGCATATCGCCATTTTTTTTTTTTTTTTTTTTCTTTTTTTTGTGGGTTTATTGTTCCCCTTTTTTCGTCCTTGTGAAAGGATGAGGATCCAGTTTGGCTGCTTGGGGGGGGCAGCTTCTGGATTCGGTTATGACTCTGACGAACGGCGAGGCGCATGGCGTTTTCCTTTGGCCCATTGGCTTAATGAACTCGTTGGCTGGGAATTTTGAGTTGAATTAGTAACGGAAGAAAATGAACTAATCATATGGGCTGTCCGAGGAGCTCTCTTCGTAGGCGCGGAATAAAGTCAACGCGATGTAACCCGGTATACTTCCTGAACTGTGTAGTTTGGCTCGATCTCCGAGATATCTCCGCGCTTGCTCGAGGAAATAGAGCTCGGTTAAGCAGCAAAATAGTCACATTGAACATTATGACAAATCCCCTCTCCATAACTAGCGTAACTAGTGGAGTCCGTTTACGCCAGTGGCCTGTGCCTCCCCGCCGTCGATCTTGCGCGGCCCAACATCTCTGTCCTAGGCCCCGGTGATCTAGGAATCACGGCCCCGATTATCCTTATTCAGCGGTGATTGTTTCTGCCTTGGCCCCACTTTGTCTCTGCGATGATCCCCGTGTGTTTCTGCGCCCAGTACTACCGTACGCAGGACTAGCCGTTGTCTCTGGGCGCCTACAGATAAGCTCGGGGGATGATGTACTCCCGCCACGAGGGTCAACGGGTCGATCAACCTTGTTGAGTTCCGAACCACGGTCCATGAATCAAATCCACCGAGCCCCCCCAAGGCTCACTGACCCTCCAGGTACAACCGCCAAATCTTCAGGCTTTGGCTTGGGTCTTCTTCCACTTTGGCAAGGGGCTTGTCGTGCTCCCCGTCCCTGTACACGTATTGCTCCTCCAACCCGATCACGATATCCACTCGCGGGATCGAAATCCACTCCGATGCAGGGATCTGAATGCGTCATAATGAAACCGCATGCCCTTGTTCGTCTACTTTGACGATGGAGGGGGGCCATCGTCCACCCCCTCTTTTGATCCCTGCCTTTTTTAGTGGATTTTTTTCCCAGGCTCCTCTACCGGGGAGGAAGGGGAGAGAGGCTCCCTGTGGAACGCAAGAAAGAGTGACGGGCTGAGGGCCAGGCGGGGGGAAGTCCCCCTGTCCCAAAAAAAAAGACTCGCCAGAGCTTCATCAGATTGTGGTTGTACCAACATCCCCGGGAGCAGACAGGGGATCGCAGAGGTGATCATTGCGAGTCTTATTTTTTTTTCTTCTTTTTCTTTTTTCTTTTGTCGCGATCGATCCACTGGGCACATCGGCTAATACGGTGGTAGTCGAGTACTGTACATACCTCTCTGTCCGACTGCCCCATTTCACCTCCTTCCGCCCTGGTCGTCCGCAGGCGCAGATTCCAGGACAAGCGCCATGCCAAGACGACGGTGGACCACGGTGCATCGATACTATGTGCAACCTATGACTCGCCATCAACTCTGTCCGAGTCAACTGCAAGTCCTGCGCCGCCAAAGTTGCAACTGACTTGTCCCTACACCATGCTCACACGAACCCGACCTAGACCAGGGTGCGCGATTGGGGGGTTTGCTGCATCTCCCTTTGGCCCCCCTCCCCCTCCGTAGATTACTTTTCCTGATTTCCCACTCGCTTTTTTGTCATCTCAAGTCTAGTTGGAACTTTGTACCCCTCTTAGCCCTGCAACCGCGTTCGGTATCAACACCCTGTAGGAACCTCGGAGAAATCCTCTCCAAATCCAACCTGGTCTTGTAGGCTAGGTCTCCCGTCCCGGTCGAATTCTTTCGCGCTTGCCATTCGTTCGTTGGATGTTGCTTGCTGCTCGTTGAAGCGCTGTTGACTGTGCTGGACTCGCATCGTCTTCGTTCCCAAGTGGCGCCCCCGAGGCCACCGCCAGAGGGGTTGATCCAGTGTGTCGGGCTCCCAACTCGAAAGTCTGCCTCATCGCGGATTGCTTTTTTTTCACACTTCCAACATCGGCCATCAAGCTCTTCCAGAAGATCTTTTCCCTTTCTTGATGAACGTACAGACATGCAGCGGGGGCATAGTCTCTCTTCACGGTCTTGGTCTTTACTGATATAACGTCGACCTATGTGTGCGCGACCCAGTTGAATCCCGTTCTGTTTGTCTATCTTTCCTTCTAGGTGGCACTGATTGGGGTTCTCCAGCTTCTGTGCCAGACTCTTGCAGACCCCTTGGGAGTTTGATCGGCCTTGAGATGAGCGCCGGATTAGGGAGTGGCCAGTCCTCCCCGTGAACTAATTCACCATTGACTTGAAAAATTACACGGGGCCATCGAAAAAGCTCCCCGCGCTTGAGAATCCTTTCGATGATCAACCCATTCAAAGCCATGGTGGACCTCATAAAGAGATTCAGGAGAAGGCGCAGGCTTTCATCCGAACTCGATCCTCGCTGGGGCGATCCATCGATCAGCTATCCGAACCAAGGATCGTGGAACCAGTGGGATCAACCGTCCGGCTTCGTCGCAAATGCATCGATGGGGTCGCCTCGCGATATCCAAGCGCAAGAGACGCGGCAATATGTGGCCCTGGGGTCAAGCCCATCTCAGAATCCAGGAGCATCCAGCGACTCGGGCTATCAAAGCTCCAGTGCACGAGAGGATTATTCTCGTGGAGCCTCGGCCATCCCCAAGGGATACTTTGACGAGAATATACAGCATCGAGCCGAGAAAAGCCAAGGGCCAGCCGTCAAAGGGCTTGGTATCGACGGCACTACACGCAGAATGGGCAGGACGGGTGGACACACGCCTCCGGATGATTCATGTGATGACGACGACGAGGAAGAAGAAGGCCGAGATACGCTGGGTGACCCAGGAGGATGCCTGGTCTTCCGCAATCCTTTGACGGGAGACCCGCTACGATATTCCCCACGGGACGATCAGGACCCTTATTTTGACCGCGCCTCGAAATCACCACCATTGTCAGTCACTCAACGCATGCGCCGCCTCAGCCAACAGAGTTCATCGACCGACCCAACCTTATCCGTTGCGGGAACATCTAGCTCTCGACGGACTAGCTACACTGCCGCGTCGTCGGTATCAGTACCATCGCTACCGCCTGATACGCCGCGCTTTGCATTCAATGCTGGCCATCCCGCACACGAGAAACGATCTGCTCCCCGCCCGAGGCATCGGGAGCCCGAACCCACGGCTCGGCAGGAGATGGTCCCGTCCTACGATGACCTTTATGGGTGATGGGCCGTCAACGCCGCTTTTAACTTTGCATTCTGATTTCCTTGTTTCATTGGCGGATTAGAGATTGTTTATACTTGTATGTGGGAGGTATTATGTGATTTTCGTACTTTGAGTTTTGATTTGTATGGGGCCAGTGTGGGCATCTACGAGTTCTTCGAACGGCACTGTATTTTCTCCAATCATTTTGGTGTGGATTCCTAGCATTTAGTGCCCGTTCTACTGTTCCTTATTTCGACATTTATCTTTGCATTATTCCACTCTATCGTTAGGCAGAAAGAAGTCAACAAAACGTTCCCTGGTACGGTCCTGTTGGCGTCACTTGCCGGTCTCCACTTTACTGCCGTCAACGCCCCAGTCGCCCTCTACGAGACTATCCCGAGTACTTTGTACACGCCGACTGCGAGGGTTAGTACTTTCCCTATACCTTCTATCCCTGCAATGTTGGATATCACCTCAAGGGACACACCACAATTGCCCGACATCCGCCTCAAAAACAGTCTAGAAGGCACTTATCCCACTGGCTCCACATTCAGCGAACACCCCGGTCCGTGCAGATTATGCAGACTCGGTCACAATCACAACCGCCTATCACCAATCACCCTTGAACTCCTATCACACTCGTCACCTCTCGGCAAGGTCCACCCTGCAAGCCAGGATGTGCGATCCTGCATCCTCCACCAACCATTGCTCTATGACTAGTGGCTCAACCCCCAGCCTCTCTCTGATGAGCTCTAAGCGCCCGTAACTCGTCACTCTGGCTGGTCGGTGCTTGATTCGACAGGCACCTCTCTCCCCCGCCCATCGTCTGCCTCTCCTCCCCACCCTAAAGCAGCTAAAGTGCTGAGGTGCCGGTGGTCTTCTCCATCTGCATATTTTCTCGCGCTACTACTGTCATCCCGTACCTTTCCTCCTTGAGCGCTTTCCTCTCCACCTTCGAGCATCCCACCCCCCCCCGGTGACGGCTCGGAGAAGTGAGTTGCTGGACACTGAAAAAAGAAGCTTCCCCTTTAGAACTGGACTTTTCTCCTACGTTATTCTTGTCGGATTCCCGGTTGAACATTCGTTTGCTTCCCATGAGAGCTTGATCGCCATCTCCCGGCGCTAGGCCTGAATCTTTCTCTTGCCCCTCACCACTCCATCGTTGTCTCTCGTCTGGAGAACCAAAGTTGTCGGCTGTATACTGTACGCCCACGCCTCGTCCATAATGCCTGGGTCGTGGGGCCTCAGCCTGCGATCTCCTGGGAAGCTGGCGACTGCCCTGCTTACGGTATTCGTTAGCAATCCAGTACCGGTTGCCCTTGGACTGAAGACGACCAGCGGATCGCCATGCGCCAGTGTTTGCAACAAAGTATCCACCAACACGACCGCGTCGGAGATTGTCTGCCTGGACACCGATTATGACGAAACAAAGGGGAAGACCTTTGAAGACTGCGTCAGCTGTCAGTTGGAGAGTACCTATGTAAATCGGTTGAGTGGTGAGACGGATGTAAACTGGGGTCTCTGTGAGTTGAGCGCCAGGCGTGGATGAGGGTTGCGCGCAAACGGCTAATCAAGGTCCATTGCCCCAGATAACCTGCGCTATGCCTTTACAACTTGTGTTTTCGGATACCCGGACTCGGCGGCGAATATCTCCACCCCGTGCACCGTTGGCTGTGCCGGCATTCAAAGTGCCGTAGAAGTCGATATCCTCGATCCCGGCGCGAGCAACTTTAATGACTGGTGCGCGGCAACTGGTTTTGCTGATAATGTCATCAATGATTGCGAGTTCTGCTACAACCTGACCTACCAGCAGGTCAATCCCCAAGTGTATATGGCGAACTGTGCGTATATCCAAACTCCAGCGGCGTTTGCAGAGAAGCGAAAAACTGACCATCCTCCCCAAAATGTAGTCCTCGAATCTATCCGGTATAATTGTCACTACAAAGCCGCAGTCGGCTTTGCCTTCAACATCGCTCCATCCCGAATCTTCACGGAAACCTTGCTCCCCTCGAGCATGTCCCTCTCCACCTCCAGTGCCTCCAGTGGCTCGGGCGTAAATCTAGGCGTTGTAATCGCCGTGCCCATCGTGGGCTTCATCATCATTCTTTGCAGTCTGGGCGCATGCTGCTTCTTCTTCATCCGCTGGCGACGCAAGAGCGTTGGTCGTGGCCGTTACCAGGATCATCTGTACGCTCGCTGGCACGATACCTCCATCAGTACACCCCAGCAGGTCCAGGGTGGTTGGGGCTCTCCGCAACAGATGCACGCCGCTGGATACGGCACGTATGACCCCGGGTACGGCCCCGGTTTTGGTTTCACCGATAACAACGGCCAGAGCCATGTGGTCGGGTACGGACATGATTATTCCAAGACCCCGTATTCGTACGAGCTGACGGAGACGTCACCGTCTAATTACCATGCCACGCCGCAGATGGGCGATCATGGTTTCCAGCCGGATTGGAAGAATCCGTACTCGGATCAGATCACGCAGTCACCTCCGCCACCTGCACCCTATGTCTCTCCGCATATGGGATATGGTGGCTTCGAGCCGGATAAGAAGCAGCCTCTGTGATGGAGTGCCACGTCCTGTTCCGTTCTCCGGGTAGACTTGTGAAAAGTGTTCCGTGTCTTTGGCCAGCGAGATTTTTGATTGCCCCGCGGCTCATGTTCGATATACACACCACCTAATGTTATGATTGAAATGGTTTGCGTTTTCCTGGGGACTTTGTACTTGCCCACATCCGACGGCGTTCTTTTGTGCTGGTGTTTTCTTGAGTGGACTACCGTTATATCCTCTCCACGTTGCGATACCATATGTACCTCACTCCTTTTTGAATAGTTCAGCGACAGAGAAAACATTCTTACCCAAAGAGCAGTCCTTGCAACTTGAATAGTCGGATTCAGAATCGAGAAGAGTAGAAAGCAAAAGTCTTCGGAGATGATGGGGCGGCAACTTCAAACTATTTATCCCAACCTCCTACACCCCCTCCCACCCCCCATCACCCTCACCCGTATACATGGACAGTCCAAGAATAGATACTTTAGATTAAGTATCCCAAAATAAACCACAAGATCGGCTGTCTTTACTTGCGGGGCTTGCGGGATAAGGGAAACTCCAGGGCCCGGGCACGCACGCTATTGGCTCCTCGGGCGGGCAGTCCCGTTTCAGTAAGCACTGCCAAGGAAGGATCGAAGAGGTCCAAGGGTTCAGGGTGGTGATTTAACTCGTGGAGACGGGGAGTTTATTTTTGGGGTGCGGCATGGGGTGGGGGTTTTCAGTGTCATCTTATATTTGTTCTGACTGAAAAAAACCCTTGCAGACTGTTTACTTTGCGTGAACCGAGGGGTCGAGTATCTGGGTTGAGGAGATAAGGATCTATACCCCGTCGGGCTCAGGTATTTACCGAATCAGACTTCTAAGGTTGTGTAATAGGAGGAATTTGATCAAGAACGGAACTTTTTGATTGAAGCATCAGGTGCATTGCTATAGATGCCGCTTATCTAGATGAACGTAACAAAAGACTATCTCATTACTCTTTCTGGAGGTCTCAAAAGCTTTAAATCTCTAGTTTTCTCCCACTAAAATGCGAATTCCAATCTCTGATATCATTCTAGCCCTTATAATCAGAGACTTCTCCTTTGTTGCCCACTATGCGTGGCGCAAAGGTAGATATCCATGGGAAGCTCTATCAAATCTCGTCCATTCGCCTGCCTCTTGGCTTTCTTCATAGTTACAGAGACAACTCAATGTATTCTTGCTCACCTTTCCCCTCGAAGCGTGCCTCATAAATCCTGCCCTTGAGGGCAAAACCCGGACTTGACTCGCGACTCAAGACATGCGCATCAAAATCGTAATAGGACATGTATGGCTGCCAGATCAGAACGATGAGTGAGCGACCCACCGGATCATATGCCATAGTACATAGACAGGCCTAAGCTTCTCGGTCAGCAGATTGCTCAAGACCTCAAAGGCTACTAAGGATATTCACGGCATAGCAAGTGGGCTTTCTCCGCATATGACGCTTCACGAGTTGGAGTACTACGTACAGAAATAGGAGGGACCATGCAGAAGGATGGAATTACAGCACTACATCAGATTTGATAAGCAAGGAATCATTGTAATCCATTCACCATCATTATTAGCCTGTTTCTCATTCCGAGGCCATCGAAGCTGGCTAACAGGATTTGATGTCGTATTGCCACCCATCTTGCTTCTTAGGCTAAAGATACTCTATTGAAGTTCAAATGCTTCAGCTGCCAGTAGATATTATATCTTGTTTAAGCACCCTCTATGTAAAATAACTCGCACCAAAATAGAGTCTGGAGTCATGTCATCGCCAATCTTCTCGAACTAGGGCCTGCTTGTTAACTTTCTATGGAGGCTGGTATTATTATAGGGCATCAGTATATCTTGGCCGTAACCCTTCATCTGAGATTTATTGTAGATTCTGTATCGATCAAGCTTCCAAATTTCTATAAGAAGATGCCAACAAAGGTGTTGTCCACATGTAGTGCGACGGCGGCGGATTTGCATTGTGCAAAGTGCGGGTCTAAGCTTGGCCCGCCTTTTTCTTATCGCCCGCCCAAGCTCTCAGACTCCGCGCTCCGCGCACCTCATCCATCTTCAACTTCACCTCCGCCCACTTCGTCATGGCTCCTCTGACTTCAGAAGAGTACAAAGTACTCGAGCAATCACGACAACGCCTTGTTCAATTAACTCGTTCTCTGGGCTCTCTGGTATCCAGTCTAGAACAAGGCGATCCCCTTCCGCCATGGTATACAGCTTCCCCAAGCCCCCAGTCTTCTCCCAATGATCTCCGAATAACCTTGAATCCCAGGTCCTCACTGCAATCTCAAGCGAGCATTATATCAAACAACCTCATCAGCGTGACCGAGCACCTCTCCGATCATCGCGACCTTCTATCCTCTATTGTCGCATACCCCGGTCCCGAGTACCCCGGCCGCACGCAAGAGGCCATGCTCCAACAACTTTTGCGCACAAAACTCGATCCTCGAGTCGACGATTGGGTTGCGCGCGGTCGTGCTGCCGGCACCGAATCTTCCCAGTCTGCCCTCGATTCCTCGCGCACGATACCGAATCCCAGCGCCGCCGCAAATACCACTACGAAACAGCTCAGCGAGGCGGAGCTCAAAGAGCTGTGGGAATGGGCACCTATCGAGGCTAACCAGGAAGCTCGACAACGGAATTGGGGTGGCAATTATACGCTAGAAGAGCGCGAGGCTGGCATACAGAACGTCGTTACGGGCCTACGGAGACAGCTGGAAGATGACGATGCCAGCGAGGATGAGGAAGAGGATGAGGAGGATGACGGCGAGGACGAGATGGATATTGTGGGCGTGCATCGCAAATCTGGGGGCGGTTTCGAGTTTGACATTGCACCGCATCACACTCATGCAGTACACCCCGTTGTACCGCTAGATCAGATTCTTCGATACATGACAACGGGGCACATGCCGTGATGGCATTGCGAATTGTTTTATTGGCATGGCGTTTACGGTGATTACCAGGATCTAAGTTACCTATCCAGTGAGAATGGAGATTTAGGGTTGTATACGGCTTCCACAAGCCAACAGCATGGATTCCAAAATGTATTATTAGGAGTTTCATAGCGAATTTGAAAAGAAAGAAGCGACGTCGATCCAAAAGTACATATCTCCCCTAACCCCGTCGTCGGGTGGTGGGAGTCTTAGAGCCTGGCCTAGGCGATGCTCCAGAGCTTTGGGCAGAGACGGGCTTCTCCGCGATCTTTGCGCGGGGCGCCTTCTTCTTGGGCGCGGGGCTGTTCCAATAATACACCATCTGTGCGGCGAGGACCAAGTTGAGGGTAAAGCCAGCGATGAAGCCGTAGAGAATGAGCTTGTCTTCGACTTCTTGGAGAGTGGTAAAGATGCGGGAGAGGGATCCGAAGAGGTAGTTGAAGACCTAAGGAACGAAAGTGCACATGTTAGTTGAAGCCCTCGAGCAGAAAAACAGTTGCGAACATACCGCGAAAGCACTGAGCTGGCCAGTACCACCCTCGCTCCAAATAGCATAGATCTGAGGCAACTTGCTGGCAACGCCAAGAGCTCCAGCGCCAGTCTGCAGATAGGCCATGGTGTTCCCATCAATGAGATTCTGGTCGAAGAGCAGGGCGTACACGGAAGCCGCCACGACGGCAACAAAAGTGGCAGCGGCCGCGGACCGGCCAGCAAAGGTCAGAACAAGGACGCCGATCGCAACATCTTGAATGGCGATGAGAGCACTCTCGCCAAATGTGCTGAAGGGGAACTCGTTCCGCACGCTGTAGGACAGTGTGATGAGCAGACTAGCGGTTTCGAGGGCATAGGACACGAAGGAGACACCAGCTGAGGACCGCGAGTTGATGAGCTTCAGGATCTGGGGAACCTTGACGACTGCGCTGGCGCCAACGATGGCGATACCGAGAGCTTTCGAGATGGCCAGGGATGTACAGGCCGGATCTTCGACTAAGCTGAGGTCGCGGAGCAGGGCGGCGTGGCATGGTGCCGTGATCAGCGAGATGATCGCATCGTGCACAGGCTGAGGCAGGGCCTCGACGATAGGCTTCAAGAGCGGCTGGAGCGGGTCCACAACAGTCTTCTGAAGAACATCCATGATGGTGTTTGTGAGTTGTTCAATAAATGAGGGAGAAGCTGCAATGTGTTAGTGTTGACATTCCGCGAACTAAATTGCGGCACCTGGTCCGTGCGTCCACCGGGGAAATTGTTCGTTCTTCCACTTTTCTTCTTTCCTTCCTGTTTCGAGGCTCCTCGACTCGACGCGCCATGCTCCCACTAAGATCCGCCATCTTGAGGCCAGGGCCGTCTCAAGAGGCGCTTCTGTGCTCACGATGTCTGGTCCGATCACGACCGCACCGGCCGGTTGCAGCCCGAAGCTTCTGGTCATCCTCGCATCGGCGAATGGGCATTGCCGCTCACCAGACCACCGCCGCCTTCCACAAGACGTATTTCTCGGCCAATCGCCTATATGATGCCACAGGACTGAAGGGAGGATTCATATCTTCTTTTGCTACGACGAATTCCGACACTACATCGACTCTTCGCAGCTCCAAACCCGCCAACGATACATCAGCTAACTCACCTGATCCGTCCGGAGTAGCATCATCTGGGCCAATTGATGCAGATGCTAGCCAGAGTGAACTCCCACACCGACGAAGGAAGCGTTTGAAGGAAGAAGCATCACAGAATGGCTCAGCCGAGCCTGCCATGCCACTTGATGCCTCCGCGCAATTGTCCAACTTCTCGTCCTCTCTCCCCACCACCTCCATCCGCCGCAAACTCGCTGCTTTCCTTGCTCTCACGAAACCCCGACTATCCTTCCTCATTCTCCTCACTACTACGTCGGCCTATGGCATGTACCCGATCTCTTCGTTACTCGCTCTGGACCCGGCCATGACTCCACTCCCAACTCTCTCAACCTCCACCCTCACTTTCATATATCTGACCACGGGCACATTCCTATCGTGCTGCAGTGCGAACACAATCAACATGATGCTAGAACCCAAGTACGATGCACTGATGTCGCGTACACGGAATCGCCCGCTGGTCCGAGGGCTGGTCTCTCGTCGCGGAGCGATGCTCTTCGCCATTGGCACAGCGGCGGCCGGTCTCGGGTTACTGTACGTTGGTACTAACCCGACTACCACGGCGCTTTCTGCGGCGAACATTGTCCTCTACGGGTTTATCTATACCCCATTGAAGCGGATCAGTGTGATCAATACTTGGGTTGGTGCCGTGGTGGGCGGTATCCCACCTTTGATGGGATGGGTTGCGGCTGCAGGGCAGACGGCGACGACCGGTCATGATACCTGGCGCGATATGCTTTTCAGCGAGGATAGCGTCGGTGGGTGGCTCTTGGCTGGAATTCTCTTTGCTTGGCAGTTTCCCCATTTCAATGCTCTCTCGCATCTCATCCGCGACGAGTATAAAGCCGCTGGATATAGGATGCTGTGCTGGGTAAATCCGGCCCGGAATGCCCGTGTTGCCCTGCGCTACTCCGTGATGATGTTCCCCATCTCCATCGGCCTCTGGTGGGTTGGCGTCGTCGGGCACGGGTTCTTAGTTGGAAGCACCGTTGCCAACGGCTGGCTCGTCCGTGAGGCCTATCGATTCTGGCAACATCAGGGTGCCCAGGGCTCCGCCCGTGGCCTATTCTGGGCTAGTATCTGGCAACTCCCCATTCTCCTCGTCGGCGGTCTTGTTACCAAAAAGGGTCTCTGGGATGGCGTCTGGCAAAAGATCTTCGGACAGCCGGAGGAAGATGAAGATGATTACCTTTATTATGATGATGAAGAGGAAGCTGAAGATGGTTCTGTCCGTGTTGAAGGAGAAAAGTTGCCCCCTTCTTCAAAACAGGCTAGTGTTTTGTCAAGTGTATGAGACGTTGGAGGTAGTTGACAGAAGACTTTGGTTCGTTTTGAACCCTCAAAGCTGGTCCTGCGTATTGGACTCTACTCTTTCTCATTCGCTCTCTTTTCTCTTCTTCTGGTCTTGTCTTATACAGCGGTCAAAGTGGCGTTTTTATCTTTTTTTATTTATCTTGTATAACACTGTCCATACGAGGCCATCTATGGTTCACTTCAGCAGAAATCATTATATTCACGCCCTTCAGGGACACTGGCCATATGTACATGTTACCATCTTTTTCTCGTGCTTTCTCGGGCCTTGAGCTCGCACACCGTTCATCTGTTACGCCAGGTCATTTACTTAACCGAAGGTGGTTCCTCCGGGTGTGATTTCGGGCCCGAGTCCCATCTGAAGGCATGGCGCCTGCATCAAGCAATAATCGTGCTATAGTCTTGTTGCGCTTGGCCTCTGCATACTCCAGAGCAGTACGTCCTTTCTTATCCGTCGCATCAATATTGGCCCCGGCGTCAAGAAGTCTCCTCACCGTTGTCATTTCTGCGGCCGCAACGGCACAGTGCAATGCAGTGAGTCCGTTGAGGTTTCTCATCTCAATTTCAGCCCATTTTCGTTCCAACATCAGCGAAACGATTTTGACGCAGCCCCAGGCCGCCGCGGTGAAGAAAATATGATCATGGTGCTCGTTCTTGCTCTGCAGCTTAATATCAGCACCTAGCTCAACGAGGGCTGCAAATGCGCCGTGTGAGTCGGTATCCAGCGCAGATATGAGATAATTGCGCCCGTTATCGCCACCTTCATTAGGATCCATTCCCCAGCGGACCAGCTCGCGCACTGTGGCCACTTGATCCGCGTCAATGGCACAATGTAACGCGTCGCCATACCAATTGCGCAGGCGTGGGTCAGCATCGTGGGCCAGCAGGCTCCGAGTGGTCAGTACGTGGCCATCGGCGGCCGCCATGATTACGGGCGTGGCACCCATCCGTGTCAGCTCATTGACGCTAAAGGCGTCACTGCTTAGGAGCTGGTTTACTGCCCGCTGGAGCCCTTCACGCGACGCATGATGGAGTGCTGTGAAGCTTCTGCACTCGCTCGCATCCCAGTAATCTTTGATCATAGACATCGAGTACTGCCGCACTTGATTTGCCATTGCCGTGGCGAAAGGGGAGGAGAAGAAAATATGGAGTGCCGACCACACCTCGGCGTCAGTTTCAGTCTTCCTCGTGAATTGACCCCAATACCTGGCGGCCCAAGTGAGGAAAGGATACATCTCCATTTTCAAAACGATCTCACTTTCAGTTGTCCAAGGCCCATCCTGGAAGTTCTTAAAGACAAGGTAGCGAAGACAAGTGACTGCAATTGTCGCTTCAGCTCGTGGGAAAAGATCTCCTGAATTATCTGTCAAATACTCCTGGATGGCGTAATGGGCAAGCCGTACATGACCTTCTGCGTCCACGGTCGCGAGTCCTTGACAGCATTCGAGAATAGTCTTTGTCGTGGGTCGATACTTCGCGTTGACCGCGTTCTGCTTTTCGTGGATGGCCAATGCATCGCTAAGTTCTGATTCCGTCATCGCACGAGTCGTATTTGTCAACCATTTGAGTGCATCCATTCCGAGTCTGCGGCGACTTTCGGGCAGTCGCTGGATCCGGGATATGGTATCTGCAAATGCGTCGTTGAGACTATGCGAAAGGTCGGCCATTCTATCCTCCATCTGACCCGGAGTAGGCTCTTTGAGGATTGTGCGGAGCCGTAGGACTGGGAGGAGAAACCTTTGTGTAAAGTGAGATGTTAGAATGTCCTAACCATCAAAAAAGTGCGCAAGCACCATAACCTGGGAAAGAAGATAGGAAGGCATACATTCCATCTGCCCCCTTGGTCAGTTCCCGAACCAATCTGTTCACAAAGGCTTGATCCGCCCTCTCGTATACTCCCTCTTGCTCCAGCTCCTGGTAGAGATAGGTCTTGAGATCTTCCTCCTGTGCCTCTATCATGAGATTCGGATGCTTCAGGAACAAGTCTCTAAGATCCGGAATATGCGGTCGACTAGTCACCAACAAACGGACGTAGTGACTTTGAGCGACATTCAATATGCTCTGAAGAAAAAGTCTCCGGTGTGTTGACTCGTCAAGGCCGTCAAACACTAGGTATAAACATCTCAGGTCTAAAGCCAGTTCCGTGAGTAATCGCTGACACTCATCAAGAGGTATTGATCCTTTATGGCCGCTCTTATCATATAAGTCGGCGACGGGGCTCGGAATCTTTGGTAGCTGCTCGAGAAGCTGTCTCAGGATACAGGATAGAACTGCCGATGGACTCTGAGATGATTGATCCTGGTGGTCAAAGTAGAAGTATCCGACAGGTGATTTCTCACTGGACTTTTTTTCAAGAAGGTCATCGATAATAATCGAGCTAGAACGTTAGTCAAGGCCACAACAGCACTTATGGAGGTGTCTTACGCAAGGTTTGTCTTGCCGGATCCTTGGATGCCATGGCAGAGGAGCACATTTGAATCAGAATTATCATCTTGCCATCGCATGAATTCCTCTCTACGGAGAATCCAAGTACCAGTATTCCGTGCCCTCGACGCTTGAACAAGTCGGTGTTTCTGATAGTGCTTCGCGGTGGATATCCAGTCCAAAATGCTCTTCCTTGTTTCGTTCTCCATATTATCCTCAATAATCCGCTGCTGATCTCTAACAGCATCCAGAATATGCAGCGTGTCTGCTTCGAGTGCTTGGACGGCCCTAAACTGTTCTAGCTGTTGCGCCATCAACTTCAAGACGTTGTCCGAAGTTTTCGATAATAATCGGCACCCATCGACTGACAAGGCAAATTGCATCCAGCTACTAAAATGGCGTAGTTCCTGGATAGTCTTCTGATAGTCCTTCTCGGTGAAAGGCCACAGCAAGCGACTCCTTTTGCTCTTTCCTTCCTGGCTCAGCTTCTTGCAGAGTTCCTTCAATTTTGCCTCGCAAGCAGTGGAGCAGGTTAGGAGAACCGAGCTCTTCTGAAATCGAACATTCTCGTTCAGGAGATCACCCTTTAGAAGGCCGTGCAGATTTGTAACGTTCGCTTGCAGAGCTTCAAGTTCGGTTATCAGCGTCGCAATTGACTGCCTGGCTGACCTCACATTGTCGATGTACTCTTTGGATGTGGTGATTGCAGTGGCAATGAGCGGCAGGATTCCCGCTATTCCCACTGAGAGGGAGAAAGGGTCCATTCTCTAACTATTTGGTTTAACGGACGTCGAAAATCTTGTTCTTGAGGCTGACAGATCGTTCAAATGCTCGAAAGTCGAAGCAAGCATGGGTGTGATACGAGCCCCGCGTTAGAGGGACTAGGGGACTAGCGCCCAGCTAATATACTAGCACAGCCACATCAAGGGTCCAAGTGCCTCGTCGAATAACAGGGGCATCTCTACCGAGCTAGATATACTCTGGAATAATTGCAGCATAAGCATAGTGAGATGTGGTGTCCAAGTGAGAGGGTGGACATGTCTACGTCCACGTGAGGTCAATAATGAGGGAAGAGCGGCTGATCGCCAGAAGGCAGCCGATAGTTGCCCGGGCGCACGAGACGGCTCGCCATCACTGCAATATAAGCTTTTCACAAGACGCTGTCCTCAGGCCTCGTATCTCTTCCTACCTCTCACTCCCTCATTGATAATATCAAAGCCGAGACTGGCTGGTCTTCTTACCAAATATGTGTATGTGAATCTCCCGAGTCACGCCCAGCCGCTACTTTGTTTACAATTTCCCTATCACGCCGTGCTAATATGGTCTAGATAATGTTCGACGCCTGGCAAGAGACTTGGCATGGAATGGCCAGGAGGGCCAAATGTCCTCCAGTTACAATCGGTTCAAAACAATGCACAGAGATTCTAGGCGACCTGGCTCATCCTACCCACTGGAGGTACCTATAGAGACGGTACCATCAAGGCGCAGCGAGATACAGTCACAGCTGGCCAGTCCAGGGCCAGAGATTATCGTGGAGGGGCCTGAATTTGTCCATCGGCTTTCATATGCGTCGGGGGACTGGCAAACCGCCTCTGCAGCTATGCAGGTAGATCATGCAATCATTTCGGCCAGGACCAGCCGAAGAGGGATAGGAAGTCTCTTGTGCGCCCCTAGGAACGGACTCTGGAGTCTCATGTCTAACCTTGGATTGGTAGGATAGCAATAATTTTGAACATCGGGTGAATGCTTACCAATTCTAATCATAGACATCCGAGGGCCTGTCCCTGAAGTGCCAAATTGCATATATTTTCCTGGGTGATTATTGGAATCTTCTTCTTGTCGCCATTCCGGCCGGAATCGTGGTCAATTATACCTCCGTGCCGCAAATTGCAGTCTTCTTTGTCAATTTTGTTGCCATCATTCCACCGTCGAAAATTTTGGGATTAGCCATGGACGAGTTGGAAATATATCTGGAAGGCAATTCGGTTCTGATCGGTCTCATAACTTGTACTTTTGGGTGTGTACTAGCTCATGCTGGCAGGGATCTAAATGGATCTAGTGCTGATCGACCCAGGAATGCCGTCCAATTGATTCAATCTGTTCTATTGTTGAAGAACAAGCAGCTGGATGTGTTACGTGTTTCTCTTCTCGGAACTATATTGACCAATCTTTTACTTCTGACTGGGCTGAGCTTTCTCATTGGCGGTATCAGGTATCATGAACAAGTATTCGACAAAAGCTTGACCCAAACAATCACCATGCTCTTGTTCTTGGCCATTCTCTCCCTGGTCGTTCCTACGGCATCCCATTATCTCTCCAATATCGACAATGCGGGCATCCTGGCCCAATCTCGCGGAACAGCCATTGTCATCATAATCTCCTATGTTCTATGGCTGATTTTCGATCTTAAAACCCACAGACCTATTGAGGCCTTGTATCAGAATACCGTGATCCGGGAGAATAGGAAAGCAAGAAATCGGATCCTCTGTGGCGACCAAATACAGGAGGGCCCCAAGCCCGACCCAACCTCAATTGAAGCCACTTGTCAATTACCACAGGAAGCTCCCACGGATGGTGTTGTGAACACAGAGCACAGGCTCACAGTTCCCGTTGCCATTATCACCATTCTAGCAGCAACTGCTCTGCTCGCCCTCAACACAGAGTTTGCCACAGACAGCGTGCAGAGCTTGACGGAGAAAGCCGTTTCCTCGTCATTTGTCGGTTTAGTCATTCTACCCATTATTTCCCTTGATACGGGGGCGATCAAATATGCCCTCCATAACAGCATGGACTTGGCGATAGCACTGAGTTTGGGCCGCTGCATGCAAAATGCCTTGATGGTCGTCCCACTCACCGTGCTGCTTGCCTGGTGTATGAGTATAGACGATATGTCACTGCAGTTTGATGCGTTTACGATCACGACATTGTTTATCTCGATGGTAATTCTAGGTTATGTCGTTCAAGAGGGAAAGAGTAACTGGTAAGCGACTCTCCGATATGAACTCATGTATGAAGGACGCTTACAAGATTTACAGGCTTACAGGGGCTCTCTTGGTCAAGATATTTGTCATAATCGCCCTTGCCTCTTGGTGGATGCCTTAACTGGTATTGGAAGTTTCCTGTAGATCAATGTAATTACTTTAAAACTTGAAAATAAATGAAAGAAATTCGATCACGACTTCATAACCTGTTCGCCTCAACCCCCCTCGTCAGGATTTTGACAGTGACTCCAGGATCCTGCCGACGCCCATGGGCCCAAGTTCCTCAATGGTTTCTTTCCAGAGTCTTTCCATGACCTCGTGTCCCTCACTCGTGTACTCAAAAGGAGCATACCTGGTTTGTATTGTTAGTAATCATTCTAGTAGATCGAAAGGCTCGTACGACTTACGGTGCTATCTCCCAATTCGTAAGTATACTCCCATGGGAGTGTTTGCCTTTGACGACAGCAGCATCAATATAAGTCGACGCTGCAAGCTTGACATCCCTGGCGGACACCGCTTTCAGTAGATTCAGAGCAACTTTGGTGGCAAAAGGGGCGTCTCGCTGGAGCTCTGTTCCCTTTGTAAAGCCCGGTTCCACCATGTTGATGATAATATCATCACTTGATACCAAGTCTGCCAATTTCCAGACGAACAATTGGCCCAACAATTTTGTCTTCGGATAATTGTCCACCGAATCGAAGTTCTTCCGATCGTCGAACGAGGGCAATAGTGGTTTGGCGTTCTTATTGGCGAACTTTGCTATAATTGAGAGCATAGTCGTGACAATCGTCAGTCTTCCGGGTTGCCCAGGATCTGACTTTACTTTCAGGATAGGAAGGAGGAGGATGGTGAGAAGCATAGTTGACAAGTAATTGACCTGCAATGCCTCCTCATGCGAGGTCTCAGGGATAATCTTGAACTCAGAACCAGTGATTCCAGCATTCAAGATGGCAATATCCAGTCGAGAAAGTTCCTTCTCGGTCCTTGTTGCAAACGCTTGGACGGAGTTGTATGAACTCATGTCCAGTAGCCACACGTCAATGGTGGCATTGGGATACTGGTCTCGCAGCTTGGCCGCTGCATCTTTGCCCTTGGCTGCATTGCGGACGGCAATAATCAACCGAGACAGCTTGTAGGAGAGGAGCTGTCTAGCACATTCGAACCCCAAGCCAGTATTGGAGCCTGTCACGATAGCAACCTTCCCTGAGAGATCAGTATCTTTGGGCGGATACTGAGGTTTGGAGCAGAATTGGTTCTTAATGAATTGGTTGGGGAAGAACGGAGCCGTTGAAGGCGACAACTCTTTCGAGGAAGGCATCGGTAGTAGTGATGTTGATGTTGGAAATTGTATGAGAATGAATCGGATTTTTGTCGGAAGAGCGAAATGGTGGACTAAACGGCAAGCATTTTGCAATATATATACGCGAATGTTTCAACTGATAAGCAAAGCTTATGACGGAGTTAGGATAAATGATTAATCTTGCTCCACGAATAAACAGAATACCATAGAACTGTAACTTGATTCTGACGAAATTCCGGAATCAGCCATTGTCGTTCAGATTCATCATGGCATTTCCACTGGAGCATGGACGGAGATCCGCACAGATACCCCACTATGTACGTATATCGACCATTCATGTACCATAGCATGTACGCCTTACCGTAATCGGAAGTCAATCTGCTGCATTAGCGCCAATCTTGAACCACACTTGGCAGGTAGCTTTCGGTCCGGACTTAACGGAGGAACTGCTCCTTCATGTGGCGAACCTCCTGAGATCTCAGAGATGCTGATACTGTGCTAGGCATCATCTTGACATATATCGTTTTTCTCAATGAGTCGGTAAGCTGAGAAAGATGCCTCCACAAGGAACTAGTAAGTCTTGATTCGGGAGTTAGCGCCGAACTTCGTATCCCAGTCATTCTGTCCAGCTGATGCCTTGCGAAACAGCAGAGAAGCCCCTCTTGTTTATAGATGGCTTGAATAAGCCCGAGGTAGACAAGCGAAAGCAAATCAGAAAATATGTCATGCTCGGCAAAAACCGCGGCAAAACTCGGAATACCCGACCTGCCTCCACAGATGAATCTCACACCGAACCAGTCCATCCTGACTTGGTGGTAAAGGTGCACTATCCTGCAGTACCCAACAAAGTCGGCGACGAACTATCTTTCACACAATTCGCTGCTCCTTTGGCACCGCAGCTGATGCGGGATATTCTGAAATGTAAGTCAGCTCTCGTGAATTGCTGATTCCATCTGATAAGATACTTGAGTCTGACCGAAGTCGATATATAGTCTCATTGATGGCAAAGAAAGTTATGTACCCATTGGAACCTTGCATCGAGTTCCACCGGAAAGATAAAGTCGACACATTCTATTTTGACCTCATGACCTACGACGCGACATATTTGCACGCCGTGGCATTCTCATGTCAGGCGTTCTTCAACAGAGCGTCGGCCCGACAAACAGCTGAACTGACTCGGAGGAGTGTTATACATCATTCAGTAGCACTGAAGCAACTTCGAGAAAGACTATCCAATCAAGGGAAGCAAATCAAATACTCGGATTCGACTATTCTAGTCATTCTATCCTTAGCAAGGCCTGCCCAACTCACGGGCGATTTTGATACCGCCAAACAACACATGGAAGGGCTGCGCAGAATTGTCGATTTCAGAGGTGGTTTGGGTGGTTTGGGTTATAACTCGAAGCTTGTAATGGAAATAATGAAGTAAGACCCCGCAGTAACCCCCGAATATGTTATTGCTTGTATGGATCTAATATTACTCAAGATGTGACTTGGGGATCGCACTGTTCGGAGGGACAGAGCCATTCTTCTTCAGAGATCCATCTTTAGAACCCATGATCCCCTATGAGCTGGGATCTCTCACAGTGCAGTCACCGGATACACAAGAATCTCAATATTGGACACTAGCACGGTGGGATCTCAATGCCGACCTAATACGTGCCTGGACGGTGATGGGAAGATTCTGCTCAACGATAAACTCCGCCACCAACCGAAGCCGCCGACTTCCAAAAGAAATTTTGTTGAATACCATGGGTTCAGTCATGTACCGATTGCTAGATATGAAAGGCTTCGATCCGAATTCCCTAAACGAGGCTATTCGTTTGGGTCTGCTTGCTTTCACATCCCATACATTCCTCCATTTCCAAAATATGAAGCCGCCACAGACAGACTTTCCCCGGAAGTATCAAGACTGTCTTCGGAATATCAAGTCTTCGGCAAAAGGGGCGTCGATAATTCTCTGGCTGCTTACCATTGGGGCAATATCACTTTTCAAACCGACCGACGATCCTTGGCTGATGCCTTTGCTGCGAGATCAAATGAGGCATTGCGGTATTTCTGAGTGGGAGGATTTCCACCGTCATATGAAACGTTTCTTATGGATCAAGATTTTACACGACGAGCCTGGCCAAAGAGTTTTTAACACAGCAGCCCTGGAGCAGTGACACCGATAATTTGACCTTCGCACCGGGCGGACCGGGATATTTGGTTATATCCCAGCGAGGTAAATTTAGCATCAGGAGCATCAGAGCACAAGAGCACCCTGCTCTCACACTCTCACCTTCATCCATTGACATATTGAAAGGAGATTGTGACTGGGTATCTTAATCTATGATATACACAAGCTATAGTACAGTACATATTTTCCATCGGCCGGAGACTATTCCCCCTTCCTCAATTGCAGGTGATAAGTTTCCAACGATGCCTCAGTCATAGGACTCGGCGAGCCCACCATAGCATCATCGCCACCCTTGCCAGTCTTCGGGAAAGCAATCACGTCTCTTACAGACTCCTTACCCAGCATGACGGCAACTAGTCGGTCAAAGCCCAGTGCCAGACCTGCGTGTGGCGGACAGCCTGCCCGAAGAGCGTCGAGGAGATGTGAGAAGTCTGCTAGGCGTTCAACTGGCATTTTTAGGATGTCGCGGAAGATAAACTCCTGCACTGCAGCGTCGTGGATACGGCGGCTACCACCGCCGAGTTCGACGCCGTTTACGACGAGATCGTAGTGATCTGCTACGGCCTTTGTGGGATCGGTGAGGAGCAGTTCCACGTCGGCGGCGGTCTTTGGTGCCGTGAACGGGTGGTGGGTAGAGGAGATGCCTGCCATGCCGCCCTGGCCGGGCTCCGACTCGGTAGAGGGAGAGAAGAGTGGGAAGTCAACGACCCACATGAAGTCAAAACCAGTAGGAGCTTCCTTGAAGCCCGTAGAGACGGCATGAGAGTGTAGGGCCTTCCGAAGATCTCCAATCGGTGTTGAACCCCCGGCGAAGGGGGCGCGAGGGCGAGCTTGAAGGATAATCAGGTCACCATGATCAGGGTCTAGGAGCTCTTCAACCTGCTCGGCAGCCTCAAACCCAAATGGCTGCAGACCGCAAAGGGGCTGTTTCCCATTGAACACGAAGACACCTGGACCTCCATCGGGGTTGTCGTTGAAAGAAGCGCCAGCGGGCGAATCGAGGAATTCCGTGATGAATTTGAGCGTTTCTGTCGGATCATTATTGGCATTCTCAAGTTTGAAAGCCTCGACAATAGGATCCGTAAGCGGCGAGATCTTCATGACCAGATCAATGGGCAGCACATGATCAAGTCGCATGATTTCCATGCCGTATCTGGTGTCTGGCTTGTCGGAGCCATATTTCGCCATAACTTCCTGGTAGGGGACGCGACGGAAAGGACCCTCGGGTGCCGGGTCTTTCATCAAAGTCGACCACAGCCGACGGATGACACCCTCAACGGTACGCATCACATCATCACCAGTAGCGAAAGACATCTCCAGATCCAGCTGGGTAAATTCCGGCTGCCTATCCGCGCGAAGATCTTCGTCCCGGAAGCAACGGGCAAATTGGTAATACCGCGGCAAACCACTAGCCATGAGGATCTGCTTGTACTGCTGCGGGCTCTGAGGTAAAGCATATGCTAGCCCCGGCCGACGAGTTGGTACCAGGAATTCACGCGCACCCTCCGGCGTCGACTTGAACAGCAAAGGAGTCTCGATCTCTACAAAAGCTGGCTGGTTGTTCTCTTCCAATTCCTTTTTGCAAGTATTCCGCACCTCCGCACGGAACCGCAGCGCTTCACGTAGTTCAGCATCGGACCGAAGTTGGAGATATCGCTGCTCAGGCGCAAACACCGTCTCGGGTGTCATGATGATATCCTTCGGGAAGCCATTGAGCAGATGAATATCCTCCAAGGCCAACTCCCATGAATCTTCCGGTTGAGCCTCGCCCTCGGAGGCCTTCTTCTTCTTTTGTTGCACCGTTCCTCGCACGGCGACGGGACTGTTGGCATTGATAGTCTTGAGCTTTGCGAAAGCGTCGTTCTTGGCGAAGCCTACTACTTGTAGGCTATGCTTCATTGTTGGGTCTGTAAGGCGCACGAAGGAAAGCTTCTTCGAGAGGTCTGCGCGTTGGCCGAGGTACCCATGTAGAACGACTTCGGTGTTCGGCTCGGCCTGCGAGAGGAAGGTTTCAAAGTCATGGGTGGCTGGAGGGAATTGCACTAACGGATTAAACAAGCTACGTCAGCAATTGAATTTGCCTATATTGGTTCAATGTTCTCAAGCTACTTACCGGCCTTCTTGTAAGCCTCCAAGAAGCTAGGAAGCTCTACGGGAGCATCCTGCTCGCGGAGACACGCAGGGCGATGGAAACGCCTGGCCGCAAGAGCCTGGCCCTGCCATAGCCGAGTAGAAAGCGATTGAGAGCTTGTCACGCTCGAGCGAAGCCGTAAAGGCAATCGTACGCCCGGTGTGTGTATCATGATTGGCAAATGAAAGTGTCAGGCCGATTGCGCGAGTCCAAAAAAGCAGCCGCCTTCCGCCCGCCCAAACGAGACTAGCGCAGGCCTTTTATTAGCGCAATTCTTTCCGCAACAATTTTCTTTTCTTCTTCATCCTTCCAAGTTTTATACTTGTGAGTCCTACCTGCTCGTGTCTACCGTTGAGAATATGTTTTGCTGACTACTTTATTCAGATGATGAAAGCCTAGTGTGTTCTATATGATAATCTCTTCTCCCTGAGGCTTGTGGCTCTCTCTCTTCGGGGGGCTTAAGGGCTGCTGGACTCGGGACGGAGGGAGATTGAAATATGCGTTCGGCACACCAACCTTGTTAATTTACGGACGCGATGAAGGCATCTCTGACCCATTTTCAACTTGAAGGTGTACCCCACTGGCTGGGCCGTGGGAATAATATTTTTCTGGGGGTGGGAGCTGGGTCGTGGAATGGCTGGTGTCTTGAGTCTCCAGATTCTATCTGCAGAACTCTAGCTAAACGCCTTGATGACACGCACCTCTCCCATGCTCTTAGCAACGTCGTTATCTATAGAGAACAAAATAAAACCAGAAACTTCATTCAATTTGTGTCTCATCCAAAGTGACTTAGACCTAATTTACCCACACAAGCTTAATATACTCATGGTATTCGCCCATAATCCCAAAATATCATCACGCTTGTGTATGCCTTCTATACAATCTGAACAAGAATAGAAAAACATAGAAAACAATTCGCAAAGAAAAAAAATAAACAACGTTCGCTTTTTACTGCTCACCAAAAATCATTTTCTCCAAAACAGCCTTCTCTCCACTGCTATCCACCAAATTCTTAAACACGCCATTCTCAATCCCCATAAGATCCTCAGGAGGTCCGAACTCAACTGCCTTGCCCGCATCCATGACCAAGATATGGTCAAAGTCAGCAATGGTGCTCAAACGATGAGCAATAACGAGCAGAGTAGTCGCATTACGACCGAATTCTGCTCGGATAGACTGCTGGATCAATGCGTCGGTCTCCATATCCACTGCAGAAGTGGCCTCGTCCAGGACCATGATCTTGGGTCTGGACACGATAGCACGGGCGAGGCAGAGAAGTTGTCGTTGACCCTGAGAGAGATTGAGACCACCCTCTGAGATGGGAGCGGATAGGGAGGTGAATATGTTGGTGTTAGCATGCCGTGCAGTCGCTGTATCAGGCGTGGTTGCGCCGGTGATGGTGGACTGTGGCGGTGTCGCGGCTTGAGAGGTCAGCGTTGCCTCGTCGTCCGAGACGGTGCTGGAGATTAGATGCACGCGGGCCAATGCATCTGTCAACTCTGTATCGCTGTACTCGTCGAAGGGGTCGAGGTTGGTCCGGACAGTACCAGAGAAGAGCACGGGATCTTGCGGGATGATTGCTAGACGGCTCCGTAGATCGTGGAGTGTAATTTTTGATACATCGAGACCGTCGATGAGAATCTGACCCTCTCGCGCCTCCAGGAATCGGAAGAGAGCGAGAGTCAATGACGACTTGCCCGCTCCAGTACGGCCAACGACGCCGACACGCTGGTTCTTCTCAACTGTGAAGCTCAGGCCCTTGAGCACTGGCGGCAGGTCCGGTGCATATCCAACCACAAGGTCGCTGACTTCCAGGCGACCCTCCGTGGGCCAAGCAGCGGGTGCATCAACACCTCCTTGGTTCTCGAGCTCGATTTTGGAATATTCGATGACACGCTCTGTAGCATTCATGTTGAGTTCGATGTTGGCATATTGTCGCAAAACGAAAGCAATCGCAGTGTTACACTGCAGCGCAAAGCTGAGCGCAAATCCAGCGAGGGAGGCCGAGATTCCAGGTAGAGAAACCACGAGAGCAGCTGTCAGAGTCGAAAAGACCGCGCCCACCAGGCTCATGCGAATGCCCAACCATCGGTTGAAGAGCCACATCGTCCACCATGCTTGAGCATGGGCATTGATCTTACCGTAGATGATCTCGATGAAGGTCTCGCTTTTGCTGAATGCACGAATGGTGATCAAACCAGCCAGGCTGGATCCGAACTGTTCGAACACAGGACTCTTCGCGGTGCTTTCCAGTCTCTTGATCTCTCGCGCACCTGCCAGGTAGGTCATGGAAAGTTTCATGCAAATCACAAACAAAATACCCGCTAGAACCAGTACCAATGGAGAGACCAGAACTCCAGCAACCAGGATACCGCACACTTCCAATACCTGGGAACAGAAAAAGCCGAGTTCATAGCCGATTCGTGAGTCGATCATGTGGAAATCGGATGTGAATCGGTTCAAAATACGTCCAAGGGGAACTGTATCCAGCCATCGTAGAGGTGCACGCAGGATCGCAAACGTAAGGCTGTTGAAGAGATTTCTCGATGCACGTACGCTTGCTGAGAGAATGAAGTAGAAACGAGCCGTTCCAATTATACACGCCAGAACAGATATTCCAACGTAAACACCGAGATACCACTGCAAGCTATCATCTTTCGTAGACGAATGCGCAGACTGCGCAGACATCGTATGTTGTAACAGCGCGGAGAATTGTTCAGGATGCACCTGTGTGTTGGACGACGAGCTGGTCCAGACATTGATCCACCAGGACTGAGAGACAATATTAGTGACAAATCCACCAGTAATAGTGCCATGAGAGGACTGGTACTTACACGTCCAATCATCAGACTGGAATAGCTGAGATACACCAATAGCGTAATAAGCCAGAGAACGATGTGCCCACCCATGGAAAAGTAACTAGCATAAACCGAGAGTCGGACAGAGCCAACTTCTCGCTGCTCATCCTCAATAAACTTCTTAGGCGACGTACCCTTCGGCGTAGTGTCGTTCTGCGAGTGACTTGGGCGGCGACGTGACGTATTGGAGATGACTTTTTGGAGAGTGGTCTCCTCGGGGTTAAGGGCCGTCGATTCCTCGTTGAGTGTGCTTTGATCTTCCTCTGTCGCTTCGTGCTCTTCCTGGAGAATATCATCCAAGTGATTTTCCTTGCGAAGATCATCAATAGTTCCCGCGTACTTGACGCATCCGTTTTCTAGAAGCACAGAGTAATCAGTCTTTGGAAGGCACAGTGCAACGTGGTGAGTGACTAGAACACGAGTTCGGCCCTGGCCGAGCTCGCCTGTCAGAGCTTGTTCAAAGACGTGGCGGCCAGTGTGTGCATCCAGGGCACTGAAGATATCGTCCATCACTAAAATGCCCGCCCTTGAGTACAAAGCACGGGCGAAGGATACTCGCCATCGCTGACCACCGCTCAAGTTTACGCCGTTGGCGCCGATATCAGTTAACTCGCCATCCGGCATCATCTCCAGATCCTTCTGTAGGGCACATGCAAAGAGTGTCTTTCGATAACGCTCTTCATTGTAAGGCAGACCGAACAGAATGTTATCTTTAATTGTGGCGTTCTCAATCCAGGGGATCTGTGCAACATATGCGATAGCCGAGTCGATATTCCAGTTCGCGCTCGTAGCCAGGTGGTCGAAGCGATCTTTGATGGGCGGCGGAACGGGTACTTTGATGGTTCCTTGGAGGACATCACATTCACCCAGAATCGACGCGAGAAGCAGACTCTTTCCAGACCCCGTTCGCCCGGAGATCACACTCAGGCCCTTCTTGGGGAAAGCTAGATTCAGCTCCCTTAGGAGGAACCGATCTTCATCCTCTTCTTCGTTATCTGCCTTATCCGCTGGCCAGCCCACGGAGACATCCTCAAAAGCAATACTGTCAGACGCGACGGTATTGACAGTCTTCTCTGCCGACTGCATGTAGACATCGATGCGATCCGCGCTAACCTTTGCCTCGAGACCGTTGGAGATGATTTCAGGTAGAATAGCAAGGGACATTTCCAGTGCACCAAAAACGGCCATTGCTGTGAAGGCGACGGAGGCAGTAAGTCCACCATGAATCAAGGCGTAAACGGCAAGTGAGACAGCGGAAAGACCGATAGGACCAAGGATCCAGATTCCCAAGAGAACGATATCATAGAGGAACGAGATCCACAAGGCTCCCAGCTCTGCCTCGCGCACCTGGCCGATCTTCTTCTGCCACTGTTCCTCCAAGGCGGAAAACTTGATTTGACGGATTCCTTGAAGTACCTCGGTGACGATAGCCATTTTCTGATCTCGGAGCTTCATGAGCTTGTCCTGAGCACTGGTGTATTTTTTAGCGGCGAAAATATTCAAAGGAGTGACAAGCAGCGACACGGCAATTCCAGCAAAAGCACTGCGCCAGCCGAGGATTTTGACTAGGAAGCTGCAGCCAATGAAGACTTTCAGCATTGCAAACGGGATCAGATAAGAGTAAGAAGTAAAGTCCGAGATACGTCTCGCATCCACGGCTGCAAGATTGATAATGCTCTGTCGGTTCTTCTTGATCGAGGCCTCGTCGTCTTCCTCTTCCTCCCCATTCTGTTCCTTAAGCAATGCCTCTGCAGATTCCGCTGGATCGTCCTTGGTCTTGGACTTTTTCGTACTCTTAGCATCCTTCCGTCGCATAGACTTGGCGAAAACAACGGCCGAGAGCTCAGCGTAGATAGGGACAAAGAGCTTGGAGCAGACAGCCCAGAAGAGCCATGCTTCAAAGCTCGAATTGAGCAACATCAAGCCTCCAAGCGCAAGAACCCACAGCGCCGTTTGAAGCGGATCAAAAGAGTCGGTGCCACGGGTCTCCAGTGAACTAAGGATTTTAAACAGAGCCATCTGTGGTCCAAAGCTCAGGACGCTAATGATCAGGGTCAGGAAAAGCTGAAACAGCAACGTATCCCAATGCGCAAAGACGAGAGCTTTCCATATCTTTCGCGATCCCCTAGCCCGTTCAAAATGTGCGCGAAGGCTTTCCGCCCTCTTTGCCGACCGAAGCTTAGGCAAATCAGTCAGTGCAAGTGTTCGGTTCTTGACGGCATAGCCGAGAATCGATCCGGCCCAGGAGAACGTATAGCGGCCGAAGGCAGTCACTGTAAGCTCCCTGTCGACGATTTGGCCATCGAAGAAGACATCAGGTCGGCGTGGTAGAAGAATGGTGAATAACGCGCGCAGGAGCGCACTGGCAAGTTGAACGGAGACCAGGGCAATCCATGGCTGCTCGCGAAGCATGACATTTTGAGAGTCCCATGCCAATCGAATTTGAATACCGGTAATCGCGAGGGCGGTTAAACTGCCACCGAAAGCAAATTGGCCCAGCTCGAATCGACTCGTTGGGCGGGGCTCGGTGAAGAACGCAATAGCTTGAACGGAAAGGAAGGCCTATATTTGGAGTCCGTGTCAATCGAATTTTTACAAAAGATTATGAGACTAAAACCCATTTCGTCCATTCTTGCTGGCGCACATACCCAAATCCCAAGCTGAAGCCAAGCTAAAACCAAATAATCTGGATCGTATTTCAACGTGATAAGAACGGCCAAAGCGAGAGTGACGAAGAATCCACTGCCGGAGAAGATCGCAATAGCGACTCGTTGCCACCAATCTGAAAATGCCTTTAGAGATTCCGTCGTCGCCTCGCCATCTTCATCGCGATAGGCGGTTTTGGCTAGACTGGCCTCATCCTGGTGAGATGATCTGCGCGCGATTCGATCGGCGATACTTTTGATAGCGGGGATACTGTCCAGGCCCGCGAGGAACAAGGCGACAGAACCGGCCGCTAGAGACGCAACTTGGGCGTTAAGAGGCATATCCTCATGTCACCGTGCTAGAGGGGGATGATGAGAAGAGAGAGAAATAAAAAGTCAAAGGAAAAGAATAGAAAGAAAGGGTGGGTATAGCTTTGAGCATATTACGCGCAGCCCAGCTTATCGTTGAACTAGTTCTCGTCAGCGGTCACCATCCAGTCCACGAAAGGGCGTTATTAATCACAGTCATCTTTAAATTAGTTACTTTTTAGTGCAGACTCCAGAGTCGCAAGGTAACATCCACGCATGAAGTGGGGGAAGGCTTCGCCCCCCCCCCCCCTAGCCCCGAGCCCGCTCTCGAACTGGATAAGGTGCTGATTTGCTGATTATCATAGTGAACGGTGTGAGTCAAGTCCCCGATTTCGCCGCCTCGTATCGCCCATAATGTAGACCGATGTAGGGGCAGTTATGTACATCTTGGCTTTTTTCAATATCTGGCAGCACATTATACCCCCCAAAAGCATGAACTGCACCGCTTTAGAGTTCAATGCAGCTCGCGGCATCCCCCCTTCAGTGTGAGTCGCTGCAAGCCGCCCGATGACTCGGCGGTCTGAGAGTCGAAAAGGTACTCGAAGAACCGGTGTAGAGCAATTGGCGAAGTCGTCATTGGTTGGGAAAATGACTGAACGTGACTCACGGGGGCTAACGGGATGCATCTGGTTGCAGGGTCCCGATAGGCGGGCACCGCTTCGGGCGACTCGCCAGCCCGCGAGGGGGGCAGCCGTGCTCAAGTGGCGCCCATGCGTCGTGGACTACGGGGCTGGGCCTTGTCCTAGTCGAGTGGAGTCGGTAGTGGGACCAAAGGTGTGGATTGAAGCATTCTGCCGCAAAGCTTGCAGGGCAGCCGGTGGGTCGAGTTAGATCGAGGTACGGAGAACGATGCATATGATCGAAGTAGATCGGAGGTGTAGAACTTGGAACTTGCTAATGGAGAGTTGAAGAAGTGAGAGGTCGAAATAAAGCATGGCGATGTTTGTAGTCGCTGTCAAGGATCCTAGCAAACGCTCTGCTTATCTTATCTATGGACGATCTCCCTTTCACAACCTCCAAAACATTGAGCTGCAACTGAATTCTATCTCTTGGGCTTTAATGGATCAGGTCCCAATAAAAGCGCCTCAAACGCTAACTATAACTTCACCGTACAACAGCCCTCCACCCTTTCCGAGCAATAAACCCTTCAACCCCTTCATCCTCAAGAACATCCTGTCCCCGACGGCCAGTAACAACGCTCCTCTCAACCTCAGGCCCACGAACGTAAAACGGCTCAAATCCTTTTAACCCTGAGGATGAACCATCGCCAGACCGAACCCACATCCTATTCGATGCGCCCTCTCCACCAGTGATCTTCCTAGGTTCAAATCCTGAGCTCTCACGGTCCATACTGAGATACCATCTCCGTTGATGAATGGAACCTATCGTATTCGATGATCCTGGATATGCATTGTTTTTCCGAATTTGATAGTCAACGTTATCATCGGAATGGTTTGCATGATCTGCTTCAGATTTGGGCTCTTGCACTGACAGCTTGTCATCGGTAACGTCTTGCTTTTGTGTCTTGTCAGGTGGTGGAGGGGATGGAGACTCGGAAGTAGAGGTAGATGCCGGCGGTGGGGGTGCTTTAATAGACTTTGTGGCCCGTCTCCTTTTTGGCCCTTTTCGCGCTGGGCGGGCGTAGTCGGTAGACTTGTCCATGCGCAAGAGTAAGGTATAGCCAGCCGGTAGACGATTACCATGAAGGCGAAGACGGATTTTACGCTGCCGATAGAAATGAGCCAATTTGAAATAGACATACGCAAAGAAATAGTACGTCAACTTACATTTTTGAAAGCCTCCTTAAGTTTTGTACTATCCGAAATCGACTCTCGATGTGAACCTTCACCATCAGAGGAATCTGCTTGAGACTCATCGGTCTGTGGGCATGAGGTAGCTCTGGTATAAGGCAAAACCTCATACTCTCCAGTATCCCAGATAATCAAGCTCCCAGTCTTGGCCGACGCGGTTTCAATTAGATGATTCTATAACCCCATCAGCACTCATACATCATATCTTTATAAAAACATGTCCCGGATGGACCACCATACCCAAAGACAGTGAACACGAGTCTCGGTCGCATTTCTGTTCAACTTTACACTATTCGGATCTCCCGGTAATCCGTACATGATAGACCAACTCACAGAACTCGTCTCGGAGAATTGAAGTCGAAGATCATAGTGCGTTCCTGCAATAGGATGATCGTGCTGATGGATGACAAAGTGACGACCCGTGGGATGATTGTTGCGCCGATATAAATTGACGTAGTCATTCATCGCTAACCGTGGTGTTACTTTTGAGATATTTAGAGGGCGAGTGTGTTGGCTGAGCTTGGTTGAGAAAATTCCTAGGTGATCGGTGACTTCAACTTCTCCTGCTTCAATAGAGGCAAGCTCATGACTTTTTTGATTGGAGACTGATTTTCGCTTGGGTGGGGGTGAAACTGATGTTTTCAAGCTTGAGATGAGCGGTGGTGTCCGCCGTCTTGCTGGGTGTGCGTTGAAGTCGAGCTCCTCCTCCTGGCTGTCTGTGCCCCAGGAACGTTTCATATTGAACACAATCTGATTCCATCTGGAGATTCAATCACAGGTAGAGGAGCTTTACCCGGAAATCAGTTCAATCAGGGCAGTAAGGACCGACGAGGTTGTCAACAAAACAGTCGATGCAACGAGACAGATGACTGGAGAATCCATGGAGAGGCAAGTCCCGTCCCGTCCCCATTCAAGGCCCCATTGATGCCGCTTACTACACATTTCTAGCGCCACCGAACTACACATGCCATGAACGCATCGAGCCACAAAATAGAAATAACAATGAAAATCTTATTGTAGGAAAAGGTTTCTTTCGGGAATAAGTGCCCGTTTTAATGATGTCAAGGGGTATCAAATGCTGAGGAAATGCCTGTAAACGCAAGAAGGTCCAAAAAATCTGAGGATCGATGCCACAGGCTGTTGACGTCATTCGTCGCGAGTATCACCACTTCATCGTCCAATAGTACGTCGTTATCAATGCACCCTAAGAATGGTCTAAAACGACTTGAACGCTTTGAGGATTGTGGAAAATATCCATCGGGTCAACCTGCGCTTTGATGCTCTGCAATCTCGGCAGATTGGATCCCCAATAAGCTTCCTGAGCATTTTCGAGCAAGGGGTCAACGTAGCCGGGATACGCGCCATAGAAAGCACCCGGACGGGAGGTGGAGACCACATTGTTGATGCCATTCAGGAACCCTTTGGTTGTTTGTGATACTGGACCCAGGAGACTGACTGCATAGGACTGCATCCACATGATTGTCTCGCGGTGTGCGTAAGCTGTGGCATTCACTGGTACGTCGTTAATCGCACCCGCCTCCAGATCGAAAATGATGAACCAGGCAGGGGTGCCCTTCATGGCAGAGGCAAGGTAATTGAACAAGGAGTCTATACCTTCTTCCGGAACTGCATCTGTGAAGGACATCGACTTGGCATAGAATGCAGAGGCGATGCCGCCAACGACCTGAACAATGAGGTCTTCGGCTTGGCTCGCGATCATACCCAGCCAGTCTGTCAAAATGATCACACTTCCTTTATCCGCAGCCGGGAAATCCAGCTCTTTTTCCAGGCTTTTCCACTCATCGAGCGACCCAAAGAATGTCCCCGAGAGCAAGATCCCTAACTCGAACACGACAAGCTCACTCGAGACCTGACGGGTAAGGTTCTTGGTAAATATGAACCGCTGCCAATCTTTAAAGAGCCGAGCTCTCTCTGCCGTGCTGCCCAAGTTGAGTGTGTAGGAGAACTGCACGGCTTGTGTCGGTGCGGGATGAGTGGTCAACTTGAACTTGGTGACAATGCCAAAGCTCGCAGCGGCGCCCTTGATCGCGAACAGGACATCCTGGTTCTGGGAGTCGGAGGCATTCACGATGGTTCCATTAGCAAGGACCATTTCGACTTCTCTGATATGGTCCAGAGCCATCCCCCATTGCCGCGACATCGTACCCAGTCCGCCAATTGTAAAGTGCCCACCCATGCCAACGCTCAGACAGGCTCCATGCGCCACGGCTCTCTTGCCGGCATTGTATAGTCGCGAGTGAAGATCGCCCAGCAAGGTCCCCGATCCAAAGGTGGCGATGTGGCTGGAAGGATCCATTGAGAAATCTTGGAGATTCTTCAAGTCAACGACCACTTCACCATCGACGCCTCCCAGGCCTAGAATATCACGACTGATCAGGTTATTCGATATTGAATCGCCAGGGATGGTTCACATACCATAGTTGCCATAGCTGTGCCCTCCACTGCGCGCCTGGACTTTGTAACCGTTACTTGCCGCACATCGTACAATGCTGGCAACCTGCTCCGAGTTCTCTGGAAAGGTAACGGCAATTGGAGTCACTGGACGGTCGAGATTGTAAACAGGTGGCGTTCGTAAGTGAAAGAAGGCGTCATCTTGGAAAGCCACGAGTCTCGAGTTGTGACCAACTGCGGCGAGGAGGCAATCCTGACCGGGGATGCTGTGAGCGATCCCCATCTTGAGCGTGCACCCGGTAGCCGCGAGGGCATTGACGTCCTCAGAGTCGGGCTCTCAGATGGTGAAGTTCTTCTGACCGAGAAGGGGCTGGCTGTTGAAGTGAGGGAGCAAGAAGGGCGGAAGGCACGCCCCTGCGAGGAATGCAACAACTGCCCTGAATGCATTTCATAATCTCCGGTCAATCAACTGACGACGATGGTGTATCGAATATCACCGAACTGTCGTGTCTATGACCCATGGTCCCTACGTAAGCCATCTGCAAAGTATGGATAATTACTCCCGCCCTTCTTCCTCCTCGTATACTTCCCCCATACTTTCGGTGGCGTATCCCGGAACACACATGGCCCCGTATGAACAGCAATCACAAACTCATCAAATTCAAACAACGACTCATTCAAAATCTACTACACTTTTAATGTCTTTGTTTAATCAACATCCGCCTCCCTTGCCGATCCACTTCCCCCAATTCGGGGAGTTTTTGCGGCCTCGGGGACCAAACCCGCGCGGATGTGGTCCCCGAATTGCATTACCAGATTGCGTGAATGTGCAAAGTCTATTTGCAATCGGCGACGGGGAACTCATGGGGATCTCGGATGACTCGGGCTTCAAAGAAATGCAATTTGTGTACCTATACCCATCAAAATCCACGATATCCCCCATCCCGGTACTTACTCCCTCCTTTCATCAAGCAACCACATCTTTCTCTCGAGCACGGCATACCACCACCACGCAACCCCCGTGAACTATGTGGCTTGCATGAGATCGATTCCTCTTAAATTTTGATCGTCCACAAGCGTTCACCGTCACCCGTCGCGATCATGTTCACCCCCGTTCATACCTCTCTCGGTGCCTTGTTACTCTTCCAGGGCTCGTCGGGTTTACTCGTCCATAATGGGGCGGTCTTTGGCATTTCCTCGCTCCTTTCTGGTTCTGTCTTTAATCCAAACCAGGATAATGTTCCCATTATCGCGGGTTTAGTCTCCAGCATCTTGCCAGTGTACTTTCTGGCACCGTCCTTGATCCCGAACTACCCTGCTGCACCATATACTTTAGCCTCCGCCGCGGCAACGCTGGGTGTGGGTATCCTGCTAGGATGGGGAACGAAGGTAGGAAGAACCAGTTCAAAATGTTGAATATCGAAAGCAAAAGTAACAAGGCTGACCCGTTCCTCGCTATCGTTCTAGAATGGCCGCGGCTGCACTTCGGGCCATATGCTTTGCGGTCTTTCCCGCCTCTCGCCACGCTCGTTGATTTCCACAGCTCTTTTCTTTACTACTGCCCTGATCACTGCCAACGTCGTCTCGGGTGGTGATAACATCCCATCTTGTGGTGATCTCCCCTGCTACACGCCAGTCTACCCATCGTCACCGGAAATGGTGTTCATGGCTGGTTCACTGCTTCTATCAACCATCATCAACTTTATCGTCGTTCCCAAGGCGCTGCAACGATCAGAAGAACACAAGACTCTCTTTTCATATCTGGCCGGGCTGGAGTTCGGCCTCGGTCTGTTGATCTCTGGGATGGCCGATTCCGCCAAGGTTCTGCGCTTTTTCGCTATCTTAAGTGATCCTTCTCGCTGGGATCCATCATTGGCGCTGATCATTTTATTCGGAATCGGACCGTCGCTCGTCACGTTCTTGACTCATAAACCTGGGCACACCCCGGAGAAAGGACACGAACCGACAAAGCCTACGTTGGCCGAGAAGTGGCGACTGCCTACGGCCACCGTGGCTGATATCGACTGGCGTTTTGTGGCTGGGTCGGTCGCTTTTGGTGTTGCTTGGGGTCTGCAAGGAGTGTGTCCCGGTCCGTCAATTCTTCGTTCAGTCCTTCAGCCGACCTGGGGACTGGCAACGATGACTGGATACATGTTGGGCAATTTGTTCTAGATGATTCGCGGGAGAGTCACGAGTAATAACCCATAGAGAGATGCATTGTAAATATATGATAGAAAGCCATCCAGTGGCGCTGCAATTAACATGTTGACGATGGGTTTATACACTATTTATAAAGTTAAATTAGCATGGGTTCTTGACGCTGAAAGCGGGATACATGGGTTCAACATGAGATCCAGGAAACCTAAATTTCCGAACATGGATTGGGTATATAATATGCCATACATGTACCAAACAAGTATAAACAGAAAGAAAATATCAAACAGAAACGAAAAAGGACGGAGTAGCTTACAACTCGGTCTTCTTGTTTAATCGGATAGCCTCCGACTCATCAAGGTCCTCTTCCCGCCGAACGTTGCCCCCGTGGTCAAGAAACTCGTCTAGCTCCATCCATTCGGCAGCAAATGCGGTCATGAGAACGCTCCAGTCTTTCACGGTATCCATGTCTAGGTGCTCAGCATCGTCATCCGCCGTATGCCACACCGATGGGAAGCCCTTGAAGGGCGCAAAGTCAATGAGGTGAAGGACTTCAACCCCTCTCGCCAAAAAAGGTAGATGATCATCCTGGATCCCACCGAATGCCATGACTTGATGCGAGTCCTTTGATGTATCAACGAACCATGGCTCGGTCGAGGTGGACTTCAGATGCCCGAGAGATCGGAGTCGCTTTTGGAGGGCCCCGAGGTTTTGATAAGCCCAGTGAGTTGTGGGGTAATAAGACTGAATATTAGGGCTCTTCGCCCCAAGAAGGTCAAGTAGAACGAAGAGAGATATGGACGAAAGTGGCGTCTTGAACGTCGACATGGACGGGTTCATCTGAGTCTCCCAGTGGTCGGCGAGGGAACGAGCGCCGTATAATGAGTCAGTGGATGTCCACTCCTTGAAAGCCTCTTCGCCATCAAGGAAGATGACCTGTATTCCCTGGTGCTCGTCCAGGAGATCCATGCCTTGTGCCTCCATGGTCGCCCATTTCCTGTCCAAGGCAGAGTCAATGCTGCGCATAGCATGCATAATCATTGCACAGGGTGCAGCACTATCGATAGCTCCAATGAAGCCCTCCGGCTCCATTTTACTGTCATAATGGGCAACCAAGGTCAATCGGCCCACATCGCCCTTTGCGGCCCCCGGTGGATCGCGGTATGCAATAAAGTTGATAAAAGGGACCTCTTTCCCGTGGGATACTGGGGTCTTTGAAGTTGAATTCTGGAATTCAATCTGCCATTCTGGCAGTGTTGTTCGGAAGAAGTTCGCAAAGTGTTCGAGGACCGCCGTATGGCCAGGGGTGCCGGGGACGCGAGGTTGTAGGATTGGCGAAAACAAAGCACCAGTGTGGATGTCAAAGTCTTGACTTGGTCGTGGTAGTGCTTTCAGTGTATCGTCCGAAAGCTTCTCGTAAGCTTCTCCGGGGATCAGAAGGAGCAGCAAGCCGAGGCATAGATAGAGAAAGTGGCCACGGAGGCCGCGGAGGTCGCAATAAGCCGTAGGCATGGCGTTGTAGCGAGTGACTAGCGGTTCATGGCTTTTCAGACGGCATCAATGATGGAATTGACGCCCAGGCCAGCTAGGCACGCCAGAGAATCTCCAAAGGAATCGAGTGTAGTTGCCAATGTAACGAGTCTCCTCCCTAACAAAGCGGGCTCACCAAGGCGGTCACAGCCGGCGATTTTGTCGCAACTTTCGGGGAAGCTCGAAACCTCCGCAACGCCGACATTTGCGACAATCATGCGAATCCTATTACACCCTCAATTGCGCACTGCGCTTCCAAAGTCGGTTCAGAGAGATCTTCGTGCTCGAGTATGGACCCGTTTCAAATCACAGGCTCCCCGGCCATCCCGTCGTCAGGAAGCAGCTTCGCCCGCACCTAAAGACCTGAGCGCCGCAACGACACGAACGTCCTCTCCTGCAGGTGCTGCCGCTAAGATCAACATACGGAGAGGTACTGAGCCTCATCTTACTGGTGTTTCATAGCAATATGCTAATTAAGATATAGGACCCCCGGAGCGCATATTGGTCTACTATGGTGGAACTGGCCGATCCATGTTCCTAGGCGTACTGCGGGTGACCACCATTCTTCTCTTCGGCGGAGCTTGCTTGATCATCGCTCCCTCTTGTTACAATGAGGAGAACGCATGGTACATCACACCATTGGGTATCTTCCCTTTACTAATTCCATTTTCTGGAAACATCCTGTTACTGACAACTTCCCTCTACAGTGATTGCTGGCGGCGCGTTGCCAATGCTCTTTGTCGCCTATACCTCCGCACCCTACGTCAGCTTCATCCACCTCACACTCCCCGCATTCGCAAGGAAATCCCGCGAGACGGCTCTCCACTACGCAAAAGACCTACCACCCACAACTCCATTGATTCTCACGACCACGAGGTTCAATGCGATTCCCCGACAGACGGCGGTCCGTCTAGGAGATGTTGTCCCCGACAAGAGTCCCTTCCGGCCTGTAACTTTCCGGAATGTGAATCCCGCACCCCGGTCCTGGTGGATGGGTAGGCCCACAACGCAATTCTTTGCGGCTGATCATAGTCAGCCAGGCAGACAATCCACGGCATTCTATCCTGAGCTGTGGCCGGATATCTACAAGAGGATACAAGGCCAGGCTGCGCAGCGGCGATGAGAGGATTACATTTCTGAATATAAATACCTAATGTATTATAGCGATCATCTTCCACTTTAAAATATCTCCATTGGGTGGATTTCCATGAACATGAAGCCACCATTCTTACAGAGTTCAAAGCTTTATAGTTTTCGTCTTTTGCTTTCGCGATGACCCGTACAGTATCTAGCGGAGTCGTTCTGCTGGTGCTATAGGGTATGGGCTTCTGGTGTTTTGATCAGCCTCTCCAGTACACGTGGGTTGTGAAGGCATCAACCTCGCTATGTCTCCGCCAATGCTTACGGCTACGTTTCAAGTGCCAGCCGAGGTTAACGCGTCAAACGCCCCCGTGGGACATCATGCATTGCTATGAAATTGAAACTCAAATTCGCCCCCTTTAGCTCAAATGCTAACTCACGACGCCAAAAAGCCCATTCCCCAATACACCATGGAAGCACAACATCAAACCAGCACCCGCATAAGTACTTGGTTAGATGCTGTACAATCCATGTGTATTGGGGAGGCTGATCAAACCCCAGAAGCCCATATCTTATATCACCAGCAAAACGACTCCGCTAGATGCTGTCCGGGCCATCGCGAAAGCAAAAGCCAAAAAAAAAAAAAAAAAACGAGCAAAACCCCAGCGAAGAAGGGACGAGACGGGGGCGGGACGCGCAGGGGGAAAACGGTAAACAAAAAGGCCCAGATCCTTCCGGCGTACTGCGTGATGCTCACATCTCGTACCCGGTCATGTCGACACCCTCACCCTCATCCTGCATACCCGGCAGATACCCAAACACCATGGCTGGATTCGCCATAGTGTGGGCTCCGGTGGTACGGGCTGCAGTAGGCTGGGGCTTGGTGGCCTGTGCCGGGGCGTTCTGTGCTCCACTGATCATGTATCCAGTGGTCTGGGGCGCCGCGGTAGTCTCTGCGCTGGCAACTTGAGCCTTGCGAGGACGACCACGGCGGTGACCAGGCTTAGCAGCCGCAGGGCTTGCAACGGTGGAAGGGCCAGCGCCATCTCCATTGTCGGTACCGGGGGTCGGCTCGGGATTCTTTCTCGCGAGCTTTGTAAGTGCGCCCCGGTACATGGTCTTGGCTGAGGGGACGGTGATCTTGGCCCGGGCTGCAAGCTTCGCGTGGTCCATCTGTATAATGGAAAAAGTGAGTGAAGTTAGTCAACCGCACGTTGAGGGCGTAGTGATGGAATATCAATTGTTAGGTGAGAAGGGAGTACAAACCTTGCCAGAGTCCTTGTCAAAGCAGAGGTGAGCAAGCAGCAGCAGGCGGATCTCATTGGGAGTCATGCCGAGCGTGTACTCGGCATGACGAGAAGATGGAGAGGGCTTGGAAGGCGGCATGGTTAGGTCGTTGGTGGGTCGGAGAATGTGTGAGGAGAAGTGAGTGTGTGATGTGTAGTAAAGGTTGTATGTTGTAGGGAATAAGCTGCGGTTCAGAGTCAAGAAGATTTTCTTTCTCGAGTCGCAGTAGTTGAGAGATGGAAGAAAGAAGAAAGGGAAAGCGAGGGCTGAAGAGTATTTAAATGAGTGAACAATGTTGAAAAATGGAAATTGATAATCGGGGAAAAGTTAAGAATTCCTTTACTTCGACTTATAGACACGACTCCTGAGATCGCAAGGCTAACGAAAAAAAACTATTTTTACCGCGTATTCATATATATAGGACTTAGCATTTACATAGTCAAAATGGAATCGGGACATAAGCATAGCCTCTATGTTACTCTAGACAGTCTATATATCATCTTCAAAAAAGTAAGAATAGGGCTCTCTAATTCTACTCATTATAGAGCAATTTGATATCTGATCCCTTATACACCTCACCTACAGTCTCGCTTTGCTCATTTATTACTCACTATCTATCAGTGAAAGGAAAGTGAAGTGGATGTGTAAGCTATTAACATCATTTGGATCTTTGATATCTTTAGACTAGCATAGATCGATCAATCGGGAATAAAAGTTACATCGCCAATGAGGGACCCAAGATACTCTCTAAAGCCAAAGACCACCGCAAATATCTATGTGGCTCTGAAATACTCAGTGAAACCAAAAGCTTCTCAAATTCCTGTTCTAGCATATCATATAGGCACAAATTCAAGTAACAGACTAGTCAGTAATTTAGGCCATGATGAGCGTATTTCCCGCTTGAAATCACCTATGAGATACACCTTGCTAGAAGGTTCAGCATGGTTGGCGGTACGAAGTTCATACTCTCCGGTGAAATTTGTCTACGCTGCTTAGATTGAGCTTGCTTGGAAAAAAAAGTCTAATACCGCAGCATTTGGGATAAAACAGAGGGCTAGGAGCATAATTATCATGCAGGGTGGTATGTCCAATATCAGCTGTCATAATCTTCTTTGAGCACCCCTCTGGAAACATAACGACGATCAAACATAGGTGTGCCGTGTACAGCTGCTGCTCCAATGGGCTGGATTCACTCGATCATTCATTTCGAAAATCACTAGCGGGGCAAGGCCTCGAGTTGAAGATGCCCGTCTTAGAAGACGAGCAAGCTAGGGAAGATGCCTGGGCCGATAAACTCTGAGCGTTGAAATTCGGCATCAAGATCCTTAGAACCAGCAGAAACAACACCCCAACCGTCTGGGCAAATGGTTGGCGACACGCTCAAAAGGCGTCTCGAAAGAGGAGGCGAGGGAGTATGTAGCAGCAGTCTTGTTAGAACTCCGACTTCCATCATCTGGACGACCACCGTACGTATTCCCAAACTCTTGCATGGAACAGTATGAGGCCTGGCTAAAATTGATGCGGTAAAATCCAGCCGAAAAACGCCAGAGTATGAACAGGCATCGAAACGGTAACTCTTAAGTCTGGATGGCTTGGGTACGTGAGCTCACACATGAACCGTAATGAGCAGCAGAGCAGGAAAGTTAGAGGGAAATGTGGATACAGAGAATTGTTCCCTGGAACAATAATATTTTGAGATAGAGAAATCCAAAAGTAGCAGTTCCCATATTAGTGTAAGAGATAGCCCCAGAACACCTCTTGGCCCGAGATATAGATAAACAAAGTAAAACATGACAAGTAGGCTAAGCTGATAAGCAGACATCAAGAAATCGCACAGGTATACCAATATAGGATATCCCTACAGAGCTTCAATCGCCTTACGCAAGACCTCCAGTCCCAGGTCAGTGACGCCATCAGCTTCCTCGTCATCTTCCGCAGTCGACTCTCGCAGTGCCCATGCGACGTCACTCCACCAACCCAGTCCAATAAAGCTGCCGCCCTTGCGACGCTCAAGGCTTTCCTTCAGTCGACTGGTGTGCTCCCACTGTTGAGCCGCAACCTCCGCACGTTCAATGACCTTGTTCGAGATACCGCACATAGCCGCACAGTGCATACCGAAACTGCCCTCTGCAACGCCGCTCTCCAATTTATAGAGGAAGGTCACACGGCGCTCGGCATCGTCAACATGAATGGCCATACGTTTGGGGGCGATCTCAGGGTGATTTTCGAATTCTGCGGCCAAAGAGTGATAGTGTGTAGCGAAGAAACCCATTGCACCTATGTGTGTAGCAATATGGTGCAGAACGGCCTGTGCAACGGCGACACCATCATACGAGCTGGTTCCACGGCCCAGCTCGTCCAAAATTACGAGCGAACGGGGCGTGGCTTCGGACAGGATCTTCTTCGTCTCGGACAGTTCCACGAAGAATGTCGATTGTGCGGCGAATATGTTGTCATTGGCTCCCAGACGGGACATGATGCGGTCGACCGGGGTCAGGCGGGCAGATTTGCAGGGCAGATAGCAGCCAATTTGGGCCATAATCACCGCGACACAGGTCTAGAGATCATTAGCAATAATCCATGAAATACAATCTTGAGAAGGGATACATACCATGCGAAGAAGAGTAGATTTACCAGCGGCGTTGGCACCCGTGAGCAAATCGATGTTTGCATTCTTGCCACCAAGCTGGACATCGTTGGGAATAAAGTCCTCCACAGATGAAAGAAGACAAGGATGTCGCAATTCTTCGAATTCGAGAACACTCCGCTCATCTTCCACGAAGACTGGCCGGCAGCTAGGCTGACCCAGCGAAGCAGATGCCTTGGCCAGACTAATCAAACAATCCAGTTGGGAGACAATTCGAACGGCAGCAAGCCATGTACCGTAATGCTCATCGAATCTGGCATGGAATCTACCAGCAACTTCCTTCACAATTTGGCCGTGAGTCTCTTGGGCTTCTTGCAATTTGCGGATCAGACTGCGCAGTTCAGGGAAGTAGTAGCGCTTCACCTGCTTTGTAGCAGACATCTGATCCCAGTACTTTGGAACATTTTTCACCTTAACTGGCACCTCAAGCTGGTAGATCTCTTTTCCGTTGTCACGATAGCAGATCGCGGTCGAGCCAAGCTCTCGGCGCGCCTTCTTCAGAAGGTTGTCAAGTTCCTTGTGCAGCTGTTCAATGGTATCTTGGGAGTTGTCGAAATCGCTCTCAACGCCGGTCTCGGGAACCAAGATTCCGTTCTCCTTTGCTTTCGACCGATCAAAAGCAGTCTTCCAGTATGAGAGGAGCGGGGTCAGATCGGGCATTCCCTGAATAAGTTTTCCAATGATACCATCCCCAGCACCACTATCCTTGAGAAGGCCCATGGTGTATTCAATCTGTTCAAATCCCTCAAGGACACGAACAAAGTCTTGAGCCTTGCAGACTCCTGCGTGAATTCGCGAGATCAGTCGTTCCAGATCGGGCATCTTGGTCAACTGTGAAGAGAACTGATCGCGAGTGGATGGGTCGGCATTCAAGGCATCGACAGCGTCGAGCCTAGCATTGATCCGCTTAGCGTCCATCAATGGGTGGCAGACCCATTGTTTGAAGGTTCGCTTTCCAAACGGCGTAATACATCGGTTCAAGAGTTGGAACAGAGTACCATCTTGACCACCGTCGAAAGAGTTCGCAAATATCTCCATATTGATCAGGGTCTGGCCGTCCAAAACCAGGCTAGAAGCCTTCTTGATCGGGTCGTACCACGTAAAGTTGCCGATGGTAATCAGGTCTCGCTCGATCTTCAAAATACGCAAATATTGTGTCAGGGCGCCAAAGGCAGACATAAGCAACTCTTTCTCCCGTGCCTGACGAAGGACTTCGGGCCAGGCCTTGACATTATCATCATCCTCACAGACGAAATATTCACTGGCATCAAGTTCCTTCACGGTGATGTCTGCCTCCCAGAATTCCTTGCCCGGCTTGAGATAATTCCAGATAGTTGTAGGTCCAGTGTTGTTCTTGAGGATGCGCATGACCTTGTGCGAAACACATCCCTTCTCGAGGAGCATTTCCTGGGGGCGAGTTTGAGCGACAAAGGTCTCAAACTTTGTCATATCGGCATCGTCCACAAACTCTGACACAAAGAATTGGCCAGTGGCCGTATCAACAAAGGCGAGGCCGAATGCAGGCCGGTCATCCACAATAGCTTCCTTGATAGCAACGCAGTACGTCGACATATCATCCTGCAGCATTGAACCCTCAACAAGCGTACCGGCAGTAAGTACGCAAGCAAGTTCACGCTTGATGATTTTATCTTCCTTTCCACCCTTTTTGCCGTCTCGCTCGCGCATCTCCTTGCCGAGAGCAGACTCGGATTGATCAACACGAGCGATCTTGAAGCCCTTGGCAACAAATTGATTTGCCCAATGAGACAAACTCATTTCAGGAACGCCAACCATGCGCATATTCACCCTGTCGGTGAGTTTGAGATCGAAAAGCTGGTGACCGATGGTGGCATCGTTCTCGTAGAGCTCGTAAAACTTGCCCTTCTTGAAGAAAACCACAGTATCCCAGAATTTCTGCTTGATCTCCCAGTATTGCTTCTCAAAAGGCGAGAACTTGGACCAGGCCAATGGCGGAACGTAAATGGTGCGCGGGTCATAGTCAGGATGGCCTGGAGGATTCCCGTCAATGTCCTTGGGTCTTGCAAGCCAGGGGTATCGCTCTTCGGGCTCTCTGGTGTGGGCCTTCTCCTTCTTTGCGCTAGCGGGTGTCTTCGTTGTGGCATGCGCAACACGCTCTTTACGAGGTTCGGTGCTTTCCGGGTCAAACTTCCACTTCAGCGCTGTACCAGCTGAGCCCTCTGCGATATCCAAATCAAGGTCTTCGTCGGTAGGTGGGGGTGGGGTTATGGAAGCTGCACGATTTGAGTTCTTTCGCGAGGGCGTGGTAGCTGGTCGCTTGCGTTTCTTTGGTGCAGCAACTTCTTCATCAGAATCATCGGCAACAATGAAGTCGTCCATTTCTGTACTCGGTCAGTCAGGTTCTGGAGCGTTGAAAATTGATTTTATTTACCATCATCCGAGTATCCGGCCTCTCCTGCTTCCTGAAACTCATCCTCGCTGTCAGGAGAGGTCTTCCTGCGCTTTGCGGCGCGTCCATTCGCCTTGCTATTGCGACTCGGGCGGAAGATAACATCGTCATCATCCTCACCCTCCGAGTCAGACTCCTTGTAACTGACTTGCTTCTTCTTGGCCTGGACGAGGAAAGATGAGTTTCATATATCGATGGGGAAGGGATTCGTGCAGTGGACATACTCGGCGTGAAGGAGACATGGCAGTGTCTTGGATTTCGTCGCGTCCTGACTGGAGAGAAAAGAGTAACATTAGCGGGGGAGAGATTGGGAAGAGAAGGGCAATCAGACGTACCTTTACCTTGTCGCCGTTTTCTTCATCATCTGGGATGGGAAGATCGCTACTCGGCACAGGGGTCAAATCCTGAGCAAAGCTGGAGAAACTCCTCTTCGGGGTAGGTTTCACAGCACTGATGCCGCGTTGCTCGCCGGCTCTCTGGGCTGGCGACGACGCGGGTTCGCGGGGCTTGTCATTCGACGGAGCTGCAGGTGAGGATTTCTGGAAGAATCCCAGGATTGACTTTTGGTTCTTCATGTTCTGCGTGCTCGAGGTCGTCCGCTTCAACGCTGCTTGGGGTGGGGTCGCAGTCGGCGATGAGGCGGAACCCTTCGCCATTGTCAATGATCCTATATACCGCTATACTCGAATGTTAATTAAAGTGCAATCGTGTTGATATTGCCTTGCCACGGATGATCTGTAGGTGTGACAAGGAGATCGGTTGGCAGGGGAGAGGATGGATGAGACATGAGACGATACCAAGTAAGGCGCGGATCGCGTCGACGCGTATAGTGGTTCCGATCAAAGTCTTGGCGTCTCCACCCTCATACTCGACAGGTCAATTTAGAGAGGTAGCGTTAACCAAAGTCTTGAGTCTGGTTGTAGCAAAATTAAGAAGGCTCAGAATGCATATTGTACAATGGATCATGCTACACCGGGTTTAAAAATACAAGTAGAGATTTCCTCCATAATTACAACACCGTCGGAATCACTCCTTTGACTCGGCTGATTCCGAGGCCTCCTCCCATCCAGGAGCAGTCAGCCCCTGAGCACGGAAGTCCTCGTCGCTAATGATCTCAACCATCTTGAACTTCCACTTGCCAAGCTTGAGCATCAGAAGATTGTCGCCAATGATGTACTCCTGGGTCTTCTCGGCAGGCCATGGGCGGATAGGAGTGAACGCAAGATCGTCCGACATAGGCCCGCTGTCGCCGGGACGGCTACCCACGTAAGCACCGTTGTTCACGATGACACGGTGACCCTCACTCTTGGAAGCCACCAGGCCAGCAGACCAAAGAATCTTGTTGAAAGATTGGTTGTAAACCAAGGACTTTGGAAGAGTGACCCGAGCATTGGGCATGTTGGCAAAGTTGGTCTGAGACGCATACGGGTTTCCAGACTGGGGAGTCATGAAGCCGGAGGTAGAAGATTGGGCATGGCTGGCCGGTGGACTCGTGGTCCGAGGCATCGGAGAGGGCTCGCCGGTTGATGACCTGGGTCGGAACAACTGGCGATGCTGAAGCGAGACGGCATCGGCTTCCTCTTTGCCATGAACCAACTCGACAAATTCATAAGCCAGTCTATGCTGAGCCACCCGCTTCGAGGCGTCCTTGGTTTGCTCCTCCATGATGGAGGCAATCTCCGGCAGTGGCATGAATGTAAACAGTTTGAGATATTTCTCCACGGTATCATCAGGTGTGCGGACAAAGAACTGACAATGATTAGTCTCAGGCAAAATGATGAGCATCGTCATTCCAACTCACCTGATAGAGTTCAAAAGTGGAAGTCATGTCCTTGTCCAGCCAGATCGCATTACCCGCGGACTTTCCGAACTTTTCTCCGGACGGCGCAGTCAAAAGAGGAGTGGTGAAACCAATGGGTCGGTCCAGCTCCGACTCCAGAGGGTTGCGAAGCTGTTCGTCAGCCGTATTACGGCTGATCGCCTTCACGGCATCCATTCCGAACAGGATATTGCCATATTGGTCGGATCCTCCAACTTGCACCTGGACACCCTTTTGGAACATGGTCCACCAATCCCATGCCTGGAGAAGAGGATAAGAAAATTCGGCAAAGGACATGCCGTCACCCTGGCTCAGTCGGGTCTTGACACTGTTCATGCTGGTCAGAACCTCACTCAATGCCAGCACCGATTTTCCAGACTTACGTATCTCGCCCCAACATGGGACCAAGTCTCATGTATGCTCCCAAATCCCGTAGAACCTCAATAAAAGGCATGGAATTCCACCAAGTGTTGTTGTTAAGCAGCGCCCGTTTCCAAATAGGTTTCCTCTCATAGCCATGTCGTCGACCATACTGCTCAATGCTTGTGCCCAGCTTCTTCAGTTGCATGTGCATGCTAGCCATATTTGCTTTGCGAATCGAGGAATGGACTTGGTCCCGCCCCTTCAGTCGTCCTGTCGGGTCACCAACTCGAGATGTGGCACCACCCAGCTGTATGATGATCAGTCCCGAAGATTTCTGAATTAGACAAGCAGCATAGACTCACCAGGAAGGTCACCGGTAACCCCCAAACATATCCCCAAGCCAATACCATGAAAGGCAGCATGTGTCCAACGTGCATCGAAGGTGCCGTGGGGTCGATTCCGACATAGATACCAGCTCTCTTCTCCGTGAACACTTTGTGTAGTAGATCGCGCTCTCTATAAAGCAAGACAAAATGTCAGTTTTTGGTTCCACAATAGACCAGCCTCATGCTGCCCACAGCTGAAAGGAATAGCATTCGTACCCAACAACATCATGAATCAATCCTCGCTCCTCCAGATGGGCTGCGAAGTTCTTCCGCTTCCCTGCCTTGATCTCCTCTGCATGTCGAGCCCATTCTTCCCTCCCTTCCTGCATACGCTGAAGGTATTTCTGTGTAATACATCTCCTTTGTTGCGTCGGGTCAAATTTGTGTGAAAGAAGCGGACGACGGATTTCACATCGGAGCGGATTTGTTTGCGCGGTAACACCGAAGTTACGCGCTCCGCATGGTGCACGCGGGGGGAGACGAGGATTGCGACAAGTCGCTCGGGGGAGCGGTGCCGACCGTGGCCACATTGGACCGGTTTGTAAAAGCAATTTAGAGCAACGAAGCTCACAATGAATTGCAATGAGATTGGAGATGTTCCGCAACAGCTCCGAGATTCTCTCGATAAGAGGCCGGATTATCGTTGATGCGGATGCCTTGTATCTCTCGGCTTGCTTGACTTACTGGAATTAATCTTGTCACAGATCGCAAGTATGAGGTCTGAGGCTTGCAAAAATATCGAAAAATATGATTCGGTTTGAGCAGACAGTCTATATGGTCTTCGAAATCACACTATGCTATGAAGATTCGAACAAATGCCTCGTTGCTCCATCCGCTATCGAGCTTCATCGCCTTCCAAGCGTCGAGAACATCAATGACCAACACATTAGCTTTCTCTCCGCCCTGTTTCCAAACAGTCTTCTGTGGTACTGGCTGCCCAAGTATCATGATCATGAAATCATCGGCAATGCTGCGGTTCTGTAGGTCCGAAATATAGATTCCAAGCGTGCCGAGGGCCTTCAGATGAACATCGCAACGCAAGCGCCCATTCTCAGCCACAGAGAGGTCCGAAGAAACAATTGCTGCAGCTCCAGTCATTTTTCCGAGGAGCCCTAAAACGGCTATATGGGTGAGAGCTTCATCGGAGCTACTAATACCGCGTTTTCCCTTCAATGCGAATGATCGAGTCGGATACGCAGTGAGAATTTCCCATCCTTTCTGCTCCAGAACCAAGGACACCAGAGAATCATGAGCTAGAGGCTTCAAACGATCCGTAACCTTGCCGCTAGTATGGGCACGGATCACATACTCGCCTTCAGGATCCTCTACAACCCCTGGGAAGTCGTTTAGGGAGACAATGCACGAGGCTTCTGTAGAGTGGATGTTGAAAAGCCCCAAAATGCCGCTTCCCGTCTTCGCCCATCCGGTATAACTCCCCACTCGCAAGACGTGCCCCTCGTTGTAATCATGGTAGACGTCGATAGTGCGGCCAATGACACTGGGGCGCAAAATGACAGTGGATCCTTGAACGGTTGGTGCCGTCATTTGATCAATGACATTCAGGTCATGCTTTCCAGGCTCATCTGTGATATAAACAGGTCCGCCAGAGATGCAACGAGCTGCAGCGTGGAAAGAAGCGTACGGGTGACTAGTCTGGAACATATCCCAGTCCGGCAAGACATTGAGGTACCGAGTAAGCAGGGTGTTGTGCGCATTGCAAAATACATGCCAAGGGTGAGATGACGGGATCTCCGGGAAGAAGTCATCCGAGTTTCGCAGGGTAATGGATGGCTTGTTCGTTGGCAATTGCGAATGGAAGATCATTTGTGGAATCAACGACATGCATGAGATGGCCCGGCTGCTGAAGTGTTTCAATATGCCGAGTGACCAGGCATCTTGATAAGATGTCATAAACCTCTTACGATCTTCTGGGTCTTCGAGAAGATCAATGAAGAACTGGGCATCAGCTTTGACAGAGTCCACTCCTAGAGATGCAAGGTAGGAGTAGAAGTCGTCGTAGAACCGCTGGACATCATCAGGGTCAATGGCGAGGATCTTTCCGTCTTTGATATTGTGGGCAATAGGACCTCCAGCAGCAGGATCTCTAATTTTGACTTCCTTGGTCTTGTACCTCTGCGCAATGTCGCCGTCAGGACATATACCTCCCCAATAGCCTAACAAAGCGTGCCAGACTGCGATGTGTCCAATATTAGGGTGGGAACGACGAATGTTCTCCACCGTTTGCTTGAGGCCCCGCGGAAATGCCTTGGGGTTCGCCTCAAATTGCTTCCAGCGCCTCTTAAATTGGGACTCGCCTTCATTGTCGAGGCTCTGCCAGTTGTCGTCGATGATCAAATTTACAACATGGATACCATGCGCTTTCAAGGTGTCGAGTGCGTGTATAATTTTTTCCTCGTTCAGGTCCTGGCCAAGACCGTTCCAAGTGCAGTACGTCAAACCATCGAACCAGTCAGCAAGCCACTGAATTTGCGGATCTTTCTCCAAGACAACCACATCGTCTCCCGGTGGCGATAAAGGTGGCTGCTCCAGAGGGTCATTCGCGAGAGCTTCGTAGGGTCTGACCACTTTCCTGGACTCATATATCACAGCCGACATGGCGACCTCAAAGTTCTCTGCGACCGCAGCCAAGACATGGAACCCGGCGGTCTCGGTATTGTCGCTTCTGGCTTTTATAACTACCTCTCCGTTGTCCCCGGATTGGAAAACGGTCAGGACGTCGTTTATCCCTGAAATAGCCAAAAGCACAAGATTTGTACCATCCTTTCTAAGGAAAGAGCATAGAATCGCGTCCTCCGTCAATCTGAACTTCTCCTTGCCATGCCGTGGACCCAGCCATGGACTCCAAATCCGTACCAAGGAGAAGTGCCTGATCATCGATGAAGGCGTACCAAGTGCAACTCTCTTTAATCCAGAGACTCCTCTCTCCACTGCGTCCACTTGTCCATGAATTCCCCAAAGAACGGATCCTGGTGCCTCCGTACGAAGTGATTCAACCTGTACGTCGGGAGATAGGTTATCAATATGCTTGGCAAGCTCCGTTTTTGCATCGTCCAGCATTGTATCAGACAATGAGTGCTTTCCAGGAATCGAATTCTTGGCACTAAACACAAGCTCTCCGTCATTGATTGGTTGTTGCTGATTGGCCCACTGCCATTCAGTATCTGGGCTGGTTCGAAACCGCACTGTGAATTGTGCATGTCCAGCGGACGTTGGTAGATGGCTTTCTTCGGAAAATACATAGCGGTGGTAATTGTATTCATCGTCTTTTCCATTCAGCAATGGCGCAAGGGATGGCTCACATCTTGAAAGTGGAAGAGCGGTCCATTCAGAGCTGGTGATGTTGTGCCAGATCTGAGCTTCCCATGATTGAACCGGAAGCGACGTGCTAGATTCAATGACGACTGTAAATCGGACCTAGTATAACGGTCAGACACATCTTTCAATCTGAAGAACACCATCGTAGCTACATACCGTATCACTTTCCTCGGGTGCCAATGATTTCTGCCTCTGCAGGTTGGTAACTTGTCCCAACGGTGGGTAGGACGTCACCCTAGCGAACAGGCTCATTTGGGCAGGACGAATAAATGTTGCTTGACGTTTCTTTTGGTTTTCACCCGGTCCGATGATTGGGAGGGTGGAAGCTGTATTTCTAGTGCACGCCTGCATTGCCGAGAGGGGTAGCTCCTCAGATCCTGTTCAGAGTTACTGGAAAAGACGTGATATGCCCGCAGTACGGCTAGCTCGAATAGACTTGAACTATGTAGATTCCGAAATGAAAAAAACTAAAAATAAAATGACTCGGTCGGGGAAAGACGTATCTAGAGAGGGGATGGGTGAGGTAGCTTGTTGGAGAGCGCGGGGCTATGATGATCGCATATACGGGAACCTTAAGGCGGGGAAGCTCTTATTGACCTTGTTCGATATTCCCCAAAACACACTCTAATCCTCTATCCATCCTGTTTGCTCTGGATTGCCACAAATCTACAGAGTATCTGGTAGTGAAAATTTGAGTCACTACCTGGAACCTCTTTACACAGACTATAGTAATGGCCCTAGCCAGTCTCCGTGTCCAAATGGAAATAGTGATCAGTTGAACTGCGGGCTTAGTTGATTTTAATGGTCAACTTTCCAAAATGTTTTTGTGCCCACTATGCCATTCGGTTAATATATGATCAGAGAAAAAGCCATCAGTCCCACTTACCATATACTCATAAGCCTCCCGGGCCTGCTCAAGAGTGAAAACCCTCTCATCCACAACTGGGTGGATGTCGTTGGCCTCGATCGCGCGGATCATATCTCGCATGAGAGCCTTGCTACCCACATGCACGCCACGGACTATACAAATGTTGCTCAGTGCGTCCAAGGCTGTGGGCTGATCTTGGGCATTGACACCTCCTAGGAAACCAATCACGCTGATGATGCCCCCGCCATACCTGATGCAGTTGAAGCTCTGGCGCATGGTTCCAGGTCCCCCGACTTCAATGATATGGTCCAATCCCACGCCATCTGGAGTGAGCTTGCGAGCGGTTTCGCCCCAGTTGGGGTCGGTCTTATAATTGATAACATGGTCGGCACCGAGCTTTTTGAGCTTCTCCCCCTTCTGGTCGGAGGACGTAGTCGCGATCACCGTTGCACCGGCTGCTTTCGCAAACTATCACACAGACAGAGGTAAGAAATAATCATGGGTTAATTTCATGGCCTGTCAAAATCGTACCTGCAAGCCGAAAATGCTCACACCGCCAGTTCCTTGGACAAGGACAGTCTGACCGGGCTTTAATGGCTTCAGGCCGTATAAAGCATTCCAACTCGTGAGAGCGGCGCAAGATAGAGTACTATTTTCCTGGGGAGTGAGGTTCTTAGCAGCCTTTACAAGGCCCCTTTCGTTGAAGACCCCATATTCACGCAGGGCACCATCAATCAGACCACCCAAGCTAGTACGTGACGCGGGCATATCGATCTCGCCGTACTGGTGTCCCTGATTGAACAGAGTCGCCACTTTATCTCCCTTCTTGAATTCGGTGACACTGGAACCGACCTCGACAACCTCGCCAGCTCCGTCGGAAGCAGGGACAATGGGGAAGTTACACGTTAGCGGGTATTGGCCCTATCATACAGCAATTGGATGTCAAAATAGAGGATTTCCAAGAATAAGGTCACGTATCCCAATTGAGCAGATCTTGTACCTTTGGAATTACCAAGTCACGGTAATTTAGCGACACGGCTTGAAACTTCACCAGCACCTCACTCTCGCCGACTTCCGGCACCGGTGCATCCTGATAGACCAGGCCGTCAAAGTCCCTGTCCTTGCCCTCGACAACCCATTGTTTCATGGTCGACATTGCGAAAGTGCGGCTTGGGCTTATTCTCAAAAGTATAGCAGTTGTTAAGATTTGCAATAGTCCATGAAATAGTGGGATGGCGGGGCACTTTGTATGATCGTCCGCCCTTGGCATAGAACCCCTGTCGACTGATGATGGCACGATCGATAAGAACAAATCACAAAACGATTAGCAGTTTCGGCCCCTGTCCCTGTTGTGATTTCCATCGATCCGGGTTGGTTGGACCCCTCCTCGGAAACACAATGCATGATAGCTGACAAATAGGCATTCCGACGATCTGAAGACCGTTGCTGAAAGGAAGTCAGAAAGCTGGATTTGCTTTCCAAACACCGAAACGACCATGTTCGAAGAGGAAACATTTTCAAAGTTGAGATCAATTGTATCAATTATATCCATGAAAAAACTAAGAAAGGAGGGTTCCAATCAATCTTGTTGAGCCTTTGAAATTGTGTGAGATGATAGGCTGGTGTAGTGTGTGGTCAATTATAGACCTTGAGTCAGTCAAGCCACAATTCGTAAGTGATAGATCGGATATCTAAATCAAGAAACGGTCCATCGACCTGCGTTTCTCTTCTTTTTCAATAGAATTTCTTTTGGATATTAATTCGGTATCTTTTCTCGTGCATCACCTTTCGCTTAACTATTTAGGTGGTGACTGACGAGTTGGTTTGGAAAGATTTGCCAGAGTTTCAAGACCCGTGGAGCCCCGCTATACCAGGTACCTTGAGTTAAGTCAGGATCGCGGAGCAACTAGAGAACAAAGTTCACGGGTATATAAATTCTGCAAATAGGTAGGTAAATCTCCCACCTTCATAGCCGGAATCGAGATTGAGTTTTGTTGAGGTATCTTCTTATGCGTAACTATAATCGAGCTCCGTTCCTGGACCTGTGGGCCCGGCAATTGTGCCATCCAAAGCAAATATCGCTCATTCTCCTGAACATCCACTAGACCCATAGCTACCAGGAAATGACGGGAAGCACGAGATCAGTGTACTACGTGGCAGGCGTGGTCTTGCGCAATGCGATCTCCGATTAGCATGGAGGGGGGAGGGGTAAAGTGGTAGCGTGAGGAGAGCAATAAATAGGTCGCAAGTCTTCGTTTGCATTTTGTCTCTTGAGAGTATAACTTCAATCCTATCACACATTTGAGTCACTATTGAATTGTCAGACTCTTAAATATGTCACTTGGACGCACTTTCAAGCTGAACTCGGGCTACGAGATTCCCGCTGTTGGCCTGGGCACTTGGGTAGGTGATCATTCTCCCCACCAGCGAACTCTTGGACTAAGAACGACATCTGCAATAGCTCTCCAAGCCTCATGAAGTCGAGAACGCGGTCGAGGTTGCTCTTCGCAAAGGTTACCGTCATATCGACGCGGCAGCATGCTACCAAAATGAAAACGAAGTGGGAAATGGGTGGAAAAAGTCGGGTGTGCCCCGCGAAGAGATCTTTGTACGTTGATACTGGGAACTTGAAAGACAGCGCAGAGTTTGTAGATCGCTAATCGCTACTATGGTCACGTATAGATCACCAGCAAGCTTTGGAACACCCATCACCACCCGGACCACGTCGAAGAAGCTCTCAACAAGACACTGAGTGACCTCCAGACCGACTATCTTGACCTTTACCTGGTACGTTCCCAGTTCGGATTCAACCTTTCGGGCTGTCGGCTAACTGCTTCTCGCAGATCCACTGGCCCGTCGCTTTCGAGCATACCAACGAGACCCTCACCCCGATCGACCCGGTGACGAAGCGGTTCCGTATTGCCGATGTCCCAGTCGCTGATACGTGGGCCGCGTTAGAGAAGTTTGTCGACGCCGGTGCGATCCGCAGTATCGGAATCAGCAATTTCACCGTCGAGGCGACGCAGGCGTTGCTCAAGACGGCCAAGATTCCTCCTGCAGTAAACCAGATTGAGGCCCACCCTTATCTACTGCAGCCTCAATTGTTTGACTTTTTGAAGGAGAAGGTAGGAATCTTGCATCTCTTTTTGCACTTTGTGAGGGATCACCGGCTTATCGCTTATCCATAGGACATTCTTCCTGTTGCTTACAGTCCACTTGGAAACAACCTCTACAACTTGCCACGGTATGGAAAATATCAGCCGGAATCACTCTTTTTGCATGCTAATATTTCTGGATCGGCAGTGTTGTCGATGACCCGACCGTGGTGGAAATCGCTAAGAAGCTCAACAAAGACCCCGCCATTCTACTCGTCTCATGGGCTATCCAGCGGGGCTCTGCGGTTCTGCCTAAGAGTGTCACGCCTTCTCGGATTGAGAGTAACTTCCAAGGTAAGACGATGCAACTAATCTTGACTTTGAACTTGACCAGGCATTCTGATTAATATTATTGTTTCCAGATTTCGTGATTCCGGACGCTGAGTTTGACGCCCTCAATAAGCTGGACCGCAACGAACGGTACAACTATCCCTTCCGGTGGGGTGTGGATGTCTTTGGCGAGCTGGGAGCTGCTGAAGCTGAACGACGTGCTGAGGAGCATGCTGCAAAGTTGCGCGAGAGCTCGCAAGTATAAGGGGTTTTAGTTAATTGAAATCATATGGGCCAAATCAAGTTTGGAATAGCCAATTCATGAAAGACATGGTTGCGCGTATCCTGACCCGAGATATATAACCGCACTGTTCCCTCAAAGATTGTATTAAGCTATTTGAAATTCAAGGTAACCGAATAGCGTCCAACAGGAGTTAATTATGATCTCAAAAGAGAAACTGGTCAATTGAGATCGGGTCTCCAAAACGAAGGCTTGCGCGAGAAACTATAGTCAGGGATATGCCACGCATAGATGCATCCCGCTGGAGGGACGGAGATTGGCGTAGACCTCCAAACTCTAAACCGATCCGCGCTCATTCCTCTTCAATACGTCCCGTTGATGTACAGAGTAATTCTGCGCCTCAAGAAATACAACTATACCGGAGCCACCGATTCTTGTACGACTAGATTCGCTCTTAAATCATGCCGGCAACGAAAGAGGGCCGAGTCACTAAGGTTAAGAAGGCACGCCGGTCCCTAGAAACCCCCACCGGACGCGTCTCGGCTGCCGTCAAAAGTAAGTAAATAGTATCTCGACCCTCTGAATGTTCCGATGGACACCCATCATCCCATTATCTTTTATTGAGATAGGATTCCAATACCCGATGAACCCGTTGACCCGATTCATCATTCCGACGCGTGCTAACGAAATCCGCGTAGGCTTACCGCTGGTTGAGCGTACCAACGCCCTCACCATCGAAGAATTTACATCACGCTACGTGTCTCCGCTCACCACGGCGACCAAGCGAGATGCCGAAGCTCCGGCCTCAGAGAAGAAGACATCTCCCGCAGCTGAAACACGGCTAGAAGTATACTCTGCTGCCACAATCTCCCGCGCAGATCTGGACGCATGTCTCGATCTAGTCGAATTCACCTCCGGCCCAGACTATGCCGCGTCAGGCGCAGGCTGGTCCCGTCCCAAGAAGCGCAGGGAAATGAAACTGCCAGACATGAAGTATCTAATTCTGCGGGGCGACGCGGGACACACGTCGGATGCGTCGCAGCGCGATGATCCCGCCGAATCCGACAAGCCGAGCTCGCTATCGGCATCTGGGGATCACCCGACTGTGCTCGGATTCTTGTCGTTCATGGTCACCTACGAGGATGGGAAGGAGGTGGTCTATTGCTACGAGATCCATTTGTCACCGAGGGCTCGGGCTCGGGGCCTTGGTGTGTTGCTGATGACACGGATGGAGGAGATTGGTCGGCTGGTCGGGTTGGAGAAGGCGATGTTGACGGTTTTCAAGTGCAATACGGCGGCAAGGAGATTTTATGAAAAGGGTGGTTATGAAGTGGATGAGTATTCGCCGCAACCACGGAGGTTGCGGAATGGAACGATCAAGGAGTTTGACTACTTGATTCTGTCTAAGCGTTTGAAGGATTGAGGTTCTGATTATTTTCTTTTTGTTGTTTCTAGACAAAGCGGAACTCATGCGGTGATGATGAAAATGCTATGATCAATATACATTAGACTTGTTTTACTTCCTGGCCCTTGCGTTCGGGGTGATCTTGCTCCCACTCGTCTCTGAGCGCAGCAAAGATGCTATCCGCCAGCAGAATGGAGAGTCCTAGACTCCAGACGAGCGTGATAGCGTAGAAAAAGTTGGCGTTGCCGGATCCAGCGTAGATCCAAAGGTGGTAGAAGGCAGGCCCCAATAGACTCGAGTATAGAAGAGCCGAAATGGCAAAGAAAGTGTAACGCATCACTAATTATGAGTTAGCAGGGCTTGAATGGAAGTTGTTTGTGATACTTCAACACTTACATGGGAAAAGATGCCGATACAACGGCAGCAACGCAAAATAGAGCGAAGCATCTGAGATACTGGGGTAGGGTTTGAACACGGCAAAGACACCTAGGAGCGAGGTGATGATGAAGAGAGGCTGTCGCCGAAGCCTCGCCGTGAATCCGCCAACGTAACTGGCCAGGTGAAGCCAGAAGACCCCGAGGAAAAACCCGCGGAATGAATCAAACATCTCGATGAAAAAGTACCACCACAAGCCGACATTGGGGGTCAGATCAGGGACCAACAGGTGGAAGCCATAGGTGGCCGACAGAAATTCCCAGAAGCTCCCAGTGATAATGACGGAGAGCCCGAGTAGCCCAGCAATGCTACCAGAAAAAATGGCACCGTGTTGCAAGATGAACAGGCCGGAATTGGGCGTTTGGGCGGACTTTTGGACTCGCTGATCGTAGCAGAGGAGAGCTAGCGGGACGAACAACAGAGCGGGATACATTGACAGATAAGAGGCGAGGCCGAGAGCAAGCATAGCGTTCAAACTATTACCACTGACGGCATTCGAGACCGCAAACAGAATTCCCGATGTGGTGAACACGCTGGTTGACCGCGCCAAGCAAGTGGCAATCGTAAAAGGGTTGAACAAAAACCTGCATCGACTATCAGCAAAACGTCTATTTTGGGGGGTAGTTCAAGTGCTTGATACCATGCTGCCACTGAAGTCCCGTCCCACCGAATATGCTTCCGCATGGCAGAGTGTAATCGGCTCTGGACCGACTGGCCCGACTCGGAGATAGTCGCCAGCGCATGCGCGTTCACTAAATCGACAAGGAAATAGAAGATTGCCGTAGGAATCGGGTTGCCACGGACGTCTGGCAGCAGGGAGAACAGAGGAAGGAGGAGCGGCGCCTAGATCAGCCGGTGGTTAATCGAGGGGTCCAGCGTAGATAGATGGGTGTTGGGTTGCTTACTTGGTGGAAGACACCGCCATCGTACGGCGATACATTGCGCGTATAGAGATACAGGCCTTCTTGTACTATCATGTAATGTTAGCGTATTCAACCATAGCGCAATTGAACCATCCGTTCTCACGTACGTCGCTTGAAGCTGTTGACCGGGGTGGACACCTCGACTCGGCCAGTGAGCAAATCGGGCAATGATGGAAACAGACAAACGAGAAGCAGTCGCAGCGCAAAGGCCGCCCCAAAGACGGCTACCTTCCGTCGGTCCACCGCCATGACAGAAAGGCGGGTGGAATCGAGCTGCTGGCAATGCCTTTGTTCAATCCGTTGTTCTAACGTTCCAGCTGTCCCTTAAAGGCGCCGACGAAAGGCGGAGGAACCACGGACGCCCGTCGTGCACGGGCCACCCGGCCTTGGTCCTGTCGAAAAAAAAGTTATCGAGAAATTTTCTTCTTCTTATCAGCAAAGACTGTTTGGCTTTCCGTTTATAGGACTCCAACAGAATTCACCATGGCGAAAATTAAGAAGAGAGGTATGCTTCGGCAATTGCTGGATCGAGTGAAACTTGCTAATATTCTTTTTTCCAGGCGCCTCTGGCCAGGCCAAAAACTATATCACCCGTACCCAGGCCGTGCGCAAACTTCAGATTTCTCTGCCCGATTTCCGTCGCCTTTGCATTTTCAAGGGTAAGGCTATCCTTTGATACTTCTGGGATGTTCTCCGATGTTAATCAAATGCGCAATCAATAGGAATCTATCCCCGTGAGCCCCGGAACAAGAAGAAGGCCTCCAAGACCTCCACCCCCAACACCACCTTCTACTACACCAAGGACATCCAGTATCTGCTCCACGAGCCCCTGCTCAACAAGTTCCGTGACCAGAAGGCTCTCGCTAAGAAGATCGCTCGTTCCCTGGGTCGTGGTGAAGTCAGCGACGCCGCGCGCCTCGAGAAGAACCACGCTCCCAAACTCACCCTTGACCATGTCATCAAGGAGCGCTACCCAACTTTCATCGACGCTCTTCGCGACCTCGACGATGCCCTGTCTTTGCTCTTCCTGTTCGCCACCCTCCCCTCTACCGATCATGTCCCCCACAAGACCATTGCTCTCTGCCAACGCCTCTGCCACGAGTTCCAGCACTACCTGATTAGCACCAACTCGCTGCGCAAGACTTTCCTTTCCATCAAGGGTATCTACTACCAGGCCACCATCCAGGGCCAAGATATCATGTGGCTGGTACCCTACCGATTCGTTCAGCGTGTCAACGGCGACGTTGACTACCGTATTATGGCCACCTTTGTCGATTTCTACACCACCCTGCTGGGCTTCGTCAACTTCCGCCTGTACTCCTCGATCGGATTGAGATACCCCCCGAAGTTCGATACCCGGAGTGACGAGAACGGCGCTGAGCTGGCTGCCTTCACCCTCGAGGGCCGCAACGTCACCGAGAACACCAAGGCGATTGAGTCCAGCAAGCCCAAGGCCAGTGATCGTTCTAACAAGGAGGTTTCGAAGGAGATCCAAGCCAAGGTGGACAAGGTCATCAAGTCCGCTGGTTTGGATCAGACGATGGATGAGCCTATGGCGGAAGACACCGAGGAGTCGACCGATGCTATTGACCGATTTGAACCTGCTGCCCCCGAGGCCGACACTCTGCCCCAGCCCGACATGAGCGGCAACGAGGCCGGTGCTCTCTTCGCCCCCTTCACTTTCTACATCTCTCGTGAGGCCCCCAAGGCCCCTCTTGAGTTCATTCTGCGCGCTTTCGGCTGCAAGCGTATTGGTTGGGACGCCGTACTCGGTGACGGTGCTTTCACTCATGACGAGACCGACCCGCGTATCACTCACCAGATCGTCGATCGTCCCCAGCTTCCCGAGGGCTCTCTCCCCGCCATTCCCGCCGCGGCCGAGGGTACCACTCCTAAGGTCAAGCCTGGTACTCGTATTCCCGGACGCACATACGTTCAGCCCCAGTGGGTGTGGGACTGTGTCAACGATGGCAAGCTGCTCCGCGCCGATCTTTACGCCCCCGGTGCCACTCTCCCGCCTCACTTGAGCCCCTGGGTCAAGGCTTCTCGTGGTGGTTACGACCCCCGTGCCAGCTTGGCTGAGCAGGAAGAGGAGGGGGAGGCCGAGATGGCTGAGGATGACGACGAAGCCGAGGATAGCGACGAGGAGATGGAGGATGAGCCCGCCGCTGTTGAGAAGCCCATCGCTGCCGCCGAGGAGTCCGATGACGAGTCTGTCGATGGTGGCATGGACGTCGCTGGAACCGATGACGATGAAAGTGAGAGTGAAGAGGAAGACGAAGAGGAGGAGTTCCCCGGCGTCGAGGACGAGGCCGTCTCCGAGTCTGACGATGATGACGAGGCTGCTCGCAACCAGCACCAGCGTGAGCTTGAGGCTGAGGCTGCTGGCCTGCCTTTCACTTCCGCCGGTGCTACTGACGAGTCCGCCAAGAAGAAGTCCGCTAAGTCCAAGAAGCTGGCTGCCAAGAAGCGCCAGGAGGAGGAGGAGCTCGAGCGACAGAAGATGATGATGAGTCGCAAGAAGCGCAAGCTGCTGGAGAAGATGATGTACTCGAACAAGAAGACGTCGGACGAGGCTGCCAAGCTCCGCTCGAAGCGTCGCAAGCTCGAGAAGGGTGAGCAGGGTGAGAAGAATGGCCAAAAATAGAGCAAGGCGAGGCCGTGTCAAAACTGTGAAGAGTCTTTATTTCTCCCGGCGTTTGCGGATGGGATAGTCCCCTGTATATGCATGTCTAAAAATTTATGTCATCGAATTAATCGTTTTCATCACAATATGCTAGTCACCGTAGCCATTCACATGAAATCGTAAATTATGCTCCATTGTACCAGTGGCCTCTGACTGGTCTAGTTTCCTCAAAACTCCAATATCACGTGACATAATGGTATCGGTCCACCGGTCAAATTTTTGATGCCTTCCAGCCTCGAGTCCTCAGCAAAATCAGACACAAATGATCGGAATTTCATTTTGTAACAGACAGAACGATATAGCGTGATGCTTGATTATTTTCAACATCCCAGAAAGCAACATCCGAAGTGGAAAACACTATCAACGTGATATGAACACGCTACGACCCTTCTGTATCATACACAAATCATCCAAGTCTCCGAGGCATGTCCTCATTCTCAGATAATCAGCAACCGTCGTCATCTCAGTTCTATCCACCACAATCGGCACAGCCACATAATTCAATATTTGGTGGCCCTAGCAGCGATGCTGATCCACCACCATCTTCTCTGCCGGAGCCGATTCGAAGGTCTCGAGGGTCTCTATTCGGTGGGCCGAGCGGGCTGGATATTATTCCCGAGCAGGACAATGCATCTGGCTCCGTGAGTGTGGGTGATATCGAGGCTGAAGAAGATGATTTTGACCTGATCATGCGAGAGAGGCCGTTAGACGCCTATTACGGATCTGATGGGGACAGCTTTCGAGGAAGCGACGGAGGCAAAGACGAAGACGGCGGCCAAAGACAGTCGGAATTAGACTCCGGTCCTCGGTGGAAGCTCAAACAGCCGATATTGCCATCCTCGCCTGTGGAAATAAGATCTGCACCAGTGGCTACAACATATGTACTTGATCGCGGCCTTGACCTGCCAGCTCGCGCGGAGCGGCCGAATCGCTGGGATGGGCCCCGATCCACGTACAGACGACTTACTGCTGATGACCGGGGAGCCTACGAAGCAATACTCACCAATCGAGCTAGAGACCTCGCGGCTCATCTATACAATGCTTATACCACTCGCACTCGACGCAATCACGCTCGGGATGCGCATCAAGACCCCCAAGAGCCTGATGGGCAAGAGCGAATCTTCCCTCCCAGACGCTGGATCGCTTGGCCGAGGCCTGCTACTGATGTGCCGCGCCCGGATGAGACAATACGCCGGCAACTTGAGGGACCTGATTCAATACGGATGCCACCCGATTTGCGTCCTAGCTCAGATCTGGAAGAGTCTATTGTCGCGGCTATGATGAAGCAGGCCAAACAAACCTTCATGGCACGTGATTGGGACCTGGAGGAGGTGAAAGTCAAGCGTATGAGGAGGGTGGATGATCCTGATGGCATGAAAGATGAAGATATGAAAGATTATGATGATGAGAAGGAGGATGATCCTCTTCCAGATGCAGTGCCGCTCCAGCCAGTCGTCCAAGCTGATGACGGTGCATCGAGACAACAACTACGTCCATTATCTCGAAATGTCATTACCCAGGTGGACCGTCTTTTAATGGGATTGCACCATTCTGTGAAGAGTCGCTTTCACGATGATGAATCCGGCAGTGACTCCGAAGGCGAAGTAGATGATACAGACTACGACGAGACATCCCGATCGCGGTCCAGGCGGGCCAGTGGGAGCAGAAGCCGGTCACGCGGCCGTAAACGCGTCCGTCGGAATTCAACCCATTCGCAGACATCAAGCCATTGCTCGGGAAGTGTTCGATCATCCACTGCAGGTCGTACTCTGCAGGGAAGTGTGCGCAGTACCTCGCGATCTCGTGGACGGTCTCGTACCTCTCGAGGTAGCAGTGATGTTTCCTCGATGAAATACAGATTTGGTCTGCGCGACTGGAGTGAGGTCATGGGCCTTGCTGCTATGATGGGTCTCCCGGATGCAGCGGTGATGCGCGCTTCGAAGCGATGCGCCGACCTCTTTGAACAAGACATGACATTCCACACTTTCCACGAGGGCCAATTCAGGAAAGTCTCTCGTCTACAGGAAACACCTCGATCCGGTTGGGAATGGGAGTACCGTGAAAGCGACTCCGACACAGAGGTCCTGCCTGAACCAGAGCAACTGAGTCCACCACCTGGTCCCGCTCCAGATCCAGGCCCATCCCCGCGTAAGCGCAAATCAAATCCTAGGGTGCGATCACAGTCGGAATCACAATCAAGGCGACATCGCTCTACTTCGGCTGCCACTCCGGCAGCCTCAACCATCGCGGTCGAGATACCAAACTCTGTATCCGTTCCTGCTCTTCAGAACCAGACCGATTCCGAGAGCCAACCTCAACTCCCTCAAGTATCACAAATACCACAAGTGCAACAAATGGAACAAGCGCCCAGAGGCAAAGGCAAACATCGTAAGAACGACCTTGTCTGCCCTATCAAACGATGCTCGCGGCACACGAATGGCTTTTCCCGGACTTGGAATCTTAATCTGCATATGAAACGGGTGCACCCAGGTTATACGCCTGGGGATCGTGAGCGATCCCGATCTCAAAGCACGCCTGGAGGTGTCGAATTGATTGAGATTGACTAGTGTTAGCTTTTCTTGTATATAATATGATATCCTTATTGATGATCTTTTGAACGTCCATTTCTGAGATGTGGTCTAGATGTTGTATTTGCCTTTATCAGTTCTGAATATTCATCGAACTCCACTTCGGCTGGTCCTTCCTAAAGCTGAATGTATGGCTTCTCCATACTATTGGATTGTTGGAGAAATATCGGTAATACCCGTACACTATCAGAAGCCGGGGGGTTCTATGCCATCGCTGATTCGTGCGTAATACCGAGGTGGTATCGTTCCAAGCTACCTATTAGTCTATAAGACCGGTCGGGGTATTTTATGAAAATACATTACCAAAAAGTGGAGAGCTTTTTGGCACCGTTTAAGACTTTACAGCCCATTAAGCCAGTTGATCTGATCAAAAAGAACATATGAATAAGATAAAAGCGCATATAAATGAAGGGAAAGAAATGAGTTGTGAAATGCGAAAGTAGTCCAGTCAAGCATCAGCGATATACAAAGGGGAAGAAACCAGGTCCCCTCGGGGATGACATCAACCGTCAATCAGCATTCCTCCAAATCCCCAATCAGGGCCCCCGCTTAGCATCCAGCGTCCCATCTGAGCTTCCCCAAATACAATTCTTGACACATCGGCGTGAACCCCGTCCTCGGTGCTTCTCGGGCCCATAGAGCAATCACCGTCAGGCGCCACAGCTCCCAGCACGAGAAACAAATCACTCCGCGAAATCGACCGAGCTCCTTTAAAGCCTTCTCCAAATCCCCTCCCCGCACATCTGACCGATCTGCTCCGCGGCTTCTTCTCGCCTTATACTATTAGTCTCGTCCCTCCTTTTCCCCGCAGCCCTCGAATTCATTCATAATGGACCGCATCGTCCGTCCTGTCGCTCGCCAATTGCTGCGACCCCGTCCGCGATATCCTTTCGCCATTCCATCCGCCCCCGCCGCGAAGAGACTATACACCATGGGACACAGCCGCCCTGAGGTAGGTTCATCTTGCCTGGAGTTGCTTGAGATGATCAAAATAAACTCTAACCCCTGGTATGGCTGCAGTTAAAAGATAAATCACTCTTCATTGAGAAATGTTATATCAATGGCGAGTGGGTTGGTGCCCAGTCGGGCCAGACCTTTGAGGTTCACGGTAAGGACTGAAATCAACTGGAAGACTGGCCATGAGTCAAGGATGCTGATGCCTTCATTTTGTGTGCAGACCCGGCCACCGGTGAGCTCATTGGAACTTGCCCCGAGCTCGATACCGCCGATGTTGAGAAGGCCATCCAGGCTGCTTCCGAGGCGTTCCCTTCATTCCGCACAACCCTGGGCCGCGAGCGTGCGCGCATGCTGCGCCGCTGGTATCAACTCATGGTGGATAACGCAGAGGACCTGGCCAAGTTGATCACCTGGGAGAACGGCAAGCCGTTGGCTGACGCCAAGGGTGAGGTCAACTATGCCGCCAGCTTCTTTGAGTGGTTCAGTGAGGAGGCGCCTCGTACCTACGGTGATACTATCCCAGCCACGGTGCCGGGCAACCGAGTGATGACCCTGAAGCAGCCCGTTGGTGTCTGCGGTCTGATTACCCCGTGGAACTTCCCTGCTGCGATGATCACCCGCAAAATTGGCCCGGCCCTGGCGGCTGGCTGCACTGTTGTCGCCAAGTCTCCTGCCGAGACCCCCTTCACTGCTAACGCTCTGGCTGAGCTTGCCCACCGTGCGGGTATCCCCAAGGGTGTTGTTAACATTGTCACTGCCTCCAAGAACACTCCCGCGGTCGGTGAGCTCATTACCACCCACCCGGAGGTGCGCAAGGTCTCCTTCACTGGCTCGACCAACGTTGGCCGTCTGCTCATGAAGCAGGCTTCTTCTACCATTAAGAAGGTGTCCTGGGAACTGGGCGGTAACGCTCCTTTCATCGTCTTCGATGACGTCGAGGATCTCGATGCTGCCGTCACCGGCGCTATCGCCTCCAAGTTCCGTAGCTCCGGTCAGACTTGCGTCTGCGCAAACCGGATTTACGTGCAGAAGGGCATCTACGACGAATTTGCTAAGCGCTTCGTCGCCAAGGTTAAGGACTTCAAGCTCGGAGCTGGCTTCGGGGAGGGCATCACCCACGGTCCCGTCATTCACGAACGGGCCGCCAACAAGGCTCACGAACACGTTCAGGACGCAACCTCTAAGGGCGCCAAGGTTGCCATTGGTGGCCAGAAGGCGTCCGCTCTGGGCCCCAACTTCTACGAGCCTACCGTTTTGACTGGTATGAGCAAGGATATGCTCCTCGCCTCGGAGGAGACCTTCGGTCCCGTGGCCGGTCTCTTCCCATTCGAGACTGAGAAGGAGGTTGTTGAGCTTGCCAACAAGGCCGAGGTTGGTCTGGCCGGTTACTTCTTCAGTGGTAACCTGCGTCGCATCTTCCGTATTGCTGAAGCCTTGGAGGTTGGCATGGTTGGTGTCAATACTGGCCTGATCAGTGATGTTGCCTCGCCGTTCGGCGGTGTCAAGCAGAGTGGCTTCGGTCGCGAAGGCAGCAAGTACGGTATTGATGAGTTTATGACCATTAAGAGCGTCACGTTTGGCGGTATGGGGGAGCCTCTGCAGGCATAAGCTTCCCTCGCGTGTCCGATGTGTAGTTATGATGACGGATTGGACTTGGGAAAGTTTGGAAGATATCCAGTGAACACGGACTGATACACAAACATTTAACAAAAATTTCTTTTCTCTTCAAATATTACTGCAACCTAAATATTCTTCAATCACCATGTCAAATAGTCAATTTTCGACTTCTTCTCCTTTTGCCACTCTACAGATAGGTCACGTGATCGCAGAATATCGAATTTGAGAGACGCTCAGACTCGACCGCCTTCATCGACATACATGCCTCGCACATACATCAGATGTATATCTAGCCTTTGAAGGGTTGACATCTCAGCAATAGCTTGAAATGACATGAGATTGTCACTATGCGCCAATCATTAAGCCTCCTGGCGGCAATTTCCCGCACAACACCCTCAAAACTGAAGAAGCCAGCAGTCAGTCTAGATCATGTAAGTGGAACGCGATGCATTGCCGCTGCGAGGAATGATCAAGGCTAACAACTGGCACAGTTTATCCAGAGGCAAAGGGTACTATCACTATGGCGTGAGATTGTGCGAGCATTGTACAGTATGTTAGCCCTCAACTTGGTACCTTCTCACCTGTAGCAGCGTATCTCATTCTAATCTTGTTATTAGAAGCCCCGCCTTCTCCGACAAGGGATGAGCTGCGCTCATATGCTCGGCACGAATTTGAGCGGAACCGTGAAGTTTCGGATTTGGTAGGTATCCCTTACCCCTAGGTTCCGGCATCAACGGAATTGCTAACGCAGACGTTGACAGTCTCACATACGCTATCTAATCTCGGTATGTCTACTTTGCTCTAGAATCCCATTTTCATGTGAGGCTTACTTCTAGAAGACAGGGAAAGCTGAATTCGAGACTATGAGGCGCTACATCGACGAGCAGATTGCTAGGTGATTCTTGTCATTTCAAACGCTTAATATCCATGTTAGATTATTGTACATTATCATAGAAAACTACTTCTGAGCAATCCGTGCCAGGGTATCAAATCATCCCTCATTTCTCATTCCTCCCAAATTTAGCATGCGACCTCGGCGAAGTCTAGCGGTGCCAGTGGCCTTCACGGACGGGTCCTGTCTTCCACACCTGCCTCATGAATTGGCCGCGATGCCGCTTCAAGGAGCTCTCGAGATGGATCCCTGACCATCGGCCTTGACTCCAAATAGTTCATGTAGGGATACTGATTTGTCGTCATAGGGTAGACTCGGGGTACCTCCACGTTAAACCCGTCAGAGTCCTCAAGATAGGCGAGCTGCTTGCAGCACCACAGTATCCCGAGATAGGTGAGCACCATGCAGAGAAACGGAAAGACAATCTCGAAGTAGTAGATCCATCGAGGAAAAGTCCTGGTGTAACCTAGATATACGATGATATCCCATTGAATGGTGATAATCGCCCACATCAAATTCAGGGCGAAAAAGCTGACGCTCGCAAGGAAAAAGGAAAGCGCGGCTGACTTTGGTTGAAAGGATATAAGTTAGCAGAGCCTCAATACAGCATGTTTCACTGGGAATTGGTGTACCTTTGCTTGCCTGTCATTCTTGGAGGTTCGAGCCACCAAGCAGAAGGCCCAGATCGCGATTTCCAGGGATGCAACCCAAAAGGTGAGTCGTCGAGCACACTGAACCCAGTGCCAGCTTACTCTCCACCTTGAAATCCCCTCGTAGGTCGTGACTATATACCCGATATAATATGCGAGTTCCACAATACATATCACAATAAGCAGGGCAATGATCAGCCCGTGAACTTGGTTCAAGCCGCTTGACATTCGACCGGTGGACCTTATCTGGAACTGGTTGATGATCGAGTAAAGCAGGTAGATTATTGTGCATAGTGCGAAGAGATTCGTGAATTCTTCAAGGATGAATAGAAGTTCGAAGGCCAATTTCACCGTTGCGTCGGTGAGGTAAATGCAGTAGATGATGGCGGAGAAGAGATGGAATCTAAACAGTGTCGAGTCCATGAGCATCGAATCGGTCAAATTGGGGAGATGGCAGTTGGCCGGAATCATGGCGATAACAAAGTACTCACAGTGAATATGATACGAGTGACATGACGAGTGGTATGAAGAGAACGACGCCCCGTTTGATTCCACGCTTACGGATCAAGATCGCAGCAATGAGGAATCCTAGCAAGACGATGACTAGGAGAAAGTCGAATGCGGTCCCGACTTGGTAGGGAACTCTCCATTTTCCCAGAGATCCAGCGCGGTAATTCTCACTCCAGTCTACCGTTTTGCTATAGCGTTTTGTGAACATCTTTGAATTCGTAATATAGTAGCGTGGTCGAGGTATAGACCACACTATGTGTCGACGATCAGGCTTGAATAGTTATCGGATGTTGAGCGTTGACTTCAAAGGCGCGCTTTGTTGTGATAAGTTCAAGATTATACAGCAAGTGAGCGACTCGAAGAAAGATACTTGGTTGTTTAATATTTCATTCCTAGCCATGTCTTCGATTACTACGATTCAAATCGGGGCTCATGTCGTGAGGCTGATATCTGTGGGGGCGGAATCTTGAGTCTACGAGGAAACATCATATCCGATCGAGAATGAAAGGACCTATCACTCGAGATACCGGTAGTCTTTGTGGCTGTTCAAAAGCTGGCTATGTAATTAGTCGAACTATGATAATCTCCGGGCGCCGTTAATCCCTCGCTTGTGTGCCTTACGGGGATTTGACCCACTGAACGAGATGCGTGTCACAAGTGCACGCCCACTGCGCCTCGTAACAACTGCCTAGCGTGTCTCGGCGCCAAGATACTCTGCCGGGCAAAGAGAGGCGCATTGGGCGCTGAGCCCTTTTCTCGTATCGATATCTATTTTGAGGATGCATTTGGTCCTCGGGGCGTCTAAGTCATGGATACAGTTGTGCATCTACAATGATGATGACACTGTGCCTTAATTTTCCCATATTGCAATCGCACTGTTCTAGATCTATTTACATGATTGGATCTTCACAAATAGAAGATTTGCGACCGGGTGCCTGATGAAACCGGGTGCCTGATGAAACCGAGTGCCTGATGAAATAATTTGGACAGAAACAGATCAAGGCTCCATTGACGGCCTAATACTTTCCGGCTTCATCAGCTTGAAACTTTCAATAAGAGCTTCGGCTGCGTTCTCGCCGAAGAACATGTTCTCCACATTCATGCCATCCTCAATGTGATCACGGCCGCGAGCGAGCATTTCAGCCTCATAGGTAGTGATCGCTCGCTCCAGCGCTTCAGCATCGGCCAATTCGTCGAAATTCCCCTCCTGTTCATCGCCTATCTCAGCAGATATGCTCTCGAACAACCGCAATGCATCATACATGGCTTGGTTGACACCCTCACCATTAGGTGAGGCAGCATGTGCAGCATCTCCCATGATCGCAACACCCGCAGAGCGCTTCCAGACATCCTGGTTCTGGGTACCGTCGGCAGAAGCATCATGAGCCCTTGGAATAAGCAATTCCGGCTTGAGTCTGCACCAAGGCCAAACACGCCAGGGGCCCTCGGCATGGGCAATAAAGTCACGGAGGTGCTCTGCCCATCCGTCATAGAAGCCAGTAGCTGCAAGGAGCGCGGCACGAGTCTTGTCAATGTTTGCTACATCGAGCTCACCACCGGGTCGGGTAAGGTCTTGTGGACCCTTGATGCCCATGTAAACACGGTACGAACGATCGGACATTTGCTGCACGCAAAGAATGGCGTCGGTGCTCATTGCAATGGAGTTTCCTGCACCGACCATCTCGCGTGCCGCATGGTACTGTGGATTGTCGAGAGATAATCGGCCCTCGATAAACATGACTCCTGCGTATTCAGGGTTCGCAGGCGTGATCTTGATACAATTAGTATTCGGTCTGATGGATGTACGGCAAAGATCCTGCTTACCAATTGTCGCACTTTGCTCCAAGCGCCATCAGCACCTACAACGAGCCGGAATGCAGTCGCTGTCGAGCCATCGGTAAAGTGCAAGATGATGTCTTTGGCGCTCAGTTGTCCTTGGTGCGTGTCGCGCTCAATGGAAGCTAGCGCCTTGCCCCAGCGAACCCGATGCGATGGCAGGGAGTCTAGAAGTATCTGCCGCAGCTGGAGACGATCGATTTCGGGGGCATCGCGCTTTTCGCCAAATTTCATGCAATAATCACCCTTGTAGTTTTGGACGAGCATACTCGTCGCATCACGTCGAGCAAGTTTTTCGAATTCGCCGTGTAGACCCGCGCGCCGCAAGGCTTCCTGGCCCGTTTGACCATGGATGTCCAGGGTGCCGCCCTGGAAGCCCGGCTCGGGTATTGAGGAGGCATCACGCTCAAATACAACGTAGTCGATACCCGCGCATTCAAGGAGGCGCGCAAACATCAGTCCACAAGGACCGCCTCCGACAATGGCGATCGGTGCAGGTTTTGAGCTGGACATGGGATGAGTATCTGGCTTTCACAAGTTTGGAAAACTTTCAATAGTATAGCTTCAATGGATACAAATAAATATAGCCAGACCAAGCGCGTAGCTAGTTCAAGAGAAAATTTCAATAAAGATGAAGTATATCGCCTGGAACCATCGTCTCACATACGGCGACGTGGAGGCTTTCTATACTCGCCATCGGCTTTTGGCTTTTGCGTCTTCGCGCCTTTTGCGGACTTTGAAGATGACCCATCGCGATCCAGAAGAATCTTTTTGGGGCTTGATTGCATCCATTATGGGTCATCCACAATAACGATATTGATGCTCGGGTAGAAGAAAAGTCCGATGTGTGGATGGAAAGTGAAAGCATCTGCAGATCAGGTGATCATTCGGAGATTAGAAATCCCCGAGGCTGAAAGACCCAGGCAGGGATACGAGATTGGAGGGAACTCCCGTCCACTAACCAGGATCATTTCTGAGTTTTAGCCTGGACATTCCATAATTTCAATATGAAAGGGACATGTTTTCCACTACTGTCTTCTTCATTAGTACCAGGAATTTTCTCATCACCGGACCAAGATACCGAGTCGGGTATGGAAGATCACCATCGTTCCAGGCTTAAACGACTGATACGATCAACGGAGCTTTGATCTCTATGATATCAACGCAGAAAACAAAAACAAGTCTCGATCCTTGTTTCTAGACTTCACTACAGAGGGAGATTCTACATGTATCTGGCACTACTAGGATGATCGTTCCCGTGCCTTAACAAACATTGTATGCACCTGACAGGGGATTTGCTTTGCCACCCAGGAGAACTCGTCATCCCTTGCCGGGAGACCAGCTCTCTGTCATAACCTTCCCCGCGTACCTTGAAGGGTCTGCCAATGTAAATATCCATTCGTGATGGTGTCAGGTACCCTAGTAGATAAAACCCCCCGTGTTGATTGGTTCGGAAAGAGTCACGAATATATTCCTAAGCACAGTATTCCTTGGCGAAAGAACCTAAAACACGTACTTTGAACCAGATCGCTTAGAATTCCCGCCAGTCAGGTTGGCGACTGAGCGCGAACTGATCCGAAGACCCCATTCATCAGATATCCCGATTGGCTTTGGGTGTCAAACGGCTGAAGCATCCGTTGCTGGAAGTGGGGTGGCAAGACCCTAGCATCCGTTTACCAGGTTATCCTTCAAATCAAGCCAGCCTCGTCCATAACGGGCCTTGACCTTGGGATAAAATCGTCATACACAGGGGCCGCTTTCCACGTGTCACGGTTTTTCCTTGTAGACTTGGAGTTCGTTTGCTTTTTTTCAAGTCTATAAAAGCATACAAAGTCCAGAACCATTCCTTGTGTTGCTTGACATCTCCATGCCCTACAGTTTGGATCTCGACAGATCATATCTACCCACCAGAAATGGCAACCTTATACTATCCTTCCCCATCCAGCATTGCTATGGATGGTTCTATCAACAGTTCTCCGCTACAAACACTGCAGCCACCTATCTTGAATACCGAACTACCATGGCTGTCTCCTTTCACTCCGTCCAAAAGCGAGAAAGATTTTCTTTTGGGAAAGCCATTTGAGAAACAACATCCGACAATGGCCAAGATGCCAGCTCGAGATCAAACTCCTGTATCGCCAGAACGACCAGCTCAACGGACTCGTCGATCCTCGACCAAATCCAGAAAACAAAGCGAGGACATCAGCCCTGAAAGAGCTAAGCACCTTGAGCGGAATCGCGTTTCCGCCAACAAATGCCGAATGAAGAAGAAGAAGGAGCACGCAAGGATGGAGAGCGTGTTGAACACCGAAGCAGCCAAGCGCGATTCCTTGCTATCCGAAGTGGGCCTCTTGAAGGACGAATTGTGGTACCTCAAAAACATGATCTTCGAACACGCCAAATGCGAGCATCAAAGTATCAACATCCAGCTGGCCAAGATGACGCAGACCGTCCTTGAAAACAGTTCAGGGCGGCTGAAAAGCCCCTCGCCAACCGTTTCATCGTCTACATGGTCCGATGGGTCGATCCTGGAGGAACCAGGGGTGCGGAAACACCCACTTACGCTTCCCGTAGGACCTGTTGGCTACGGGGGATGTCCTGAATCGATGTTTGATAGTTTCATTGATCTGCCGGCCCTGTAAGTGGTCTTTCGTCGGGTCCATGTACGTCTATTCCATGCCGATTATGTATGTATTAGCGCGCGATTCATTTTTATCGAACTCATGAGGAACGTTACACGACAGCATTGATATTACCTTGAATTGAATTCCAGTTCCATGCATGATGAAGCTCAAATCAAATATCGCATTCCACATCCGCGAAGTTTTCAAAGAGGCCGTGGAACACCGGTATCTTTCAAATATTTCGGATCAAAGTGCCCTCCAATCATCAAGCAGCCTTGTGCGTCATTTGATCTGACAATTGGAGTGGCAAACCCCGCAAACAAAAGCGACAGCTATGTTGTCATAGGCGCTACGGCCAGCCTCCAATCATGGCGCTAGGAAACAATCTCCATCTTCGGACTTCTTTCGGGTCGAACGCATTCTGTGGAGACTGCGGCTCGTCGATTGTCTGGAAGGGAGAGCCGACCAATTGTACTTGGAATCTTGGCCGATCACGTGGGGCCGCGGAGTATCAGCAAATCCTTTGAAGAATTGAAGCGTGCGAGGGTTTATTAATAATTGAAAGCTTCCGAGCTGTCCCTTTGCTCTGATTTCCCATGTAGTAGCCACTGATGTCATACAGCGGCCTTGCCACAGGCCATCAGCCACAGGCATAACTCGGTTGCCCGTGGACCTATGCATTGGCATCTTTGAATTTAACACCGTCATACCCAGACTGTTTTTCTGCTTCTTCTTTGATGCCTGAAAATCGAAGGGGTGGGCGCTAGCCACACTTACAATTCTATGTCACGATAGGAAGAGCTTTTCATATTTTCCGGAAAGTATTCGACATTGACTATGTCTAAATCAATGGAAAACACGCCAGCTCCGGCCCAGAACATGGTCCAATTCACGCAGAGGAAAATAATGGGTACTTTATTCGAGACCACAGACAGGTAACATCATGTTTCCAAATTCAGCTTGATTCATTTCTAAAATCGTTGTCGCAGATATCAACATATAGAGCCTGTGGGAATGGGTATCTCCGGGCTTGTTTGGTATGGTGGTTACAGCCATCGCATGATTCGCTGATGCTAATCGTCATTTTTAGCTCCGCAAGAGACCAAATCAACCATAAAACGGTTGCTGTAAAGAAACTATGCGAACCGTTCAAGACAGACAACATCGCAAAACACATCTTTCGCGAGGTCAAACTGCTGAAACAACTCCAGCATGACAATGTGTGTCGCCCAGTAGCATTCCTAGATAATAGAATATTGACAATCATCCAGATCATTCGCTTGAATGACATATTCATATCTCCATCCGAAGAGATGTAAGCTCAATCTGACCCTCCTCTAGGGTTGATCTAATAGCTTTAAAAGTTATCTCGTCACCGATCTCATAGCGACAGATCTCCAAACCCTCTTGAAAACCAAGAAGGTCGACAACCAATTTACGCAATACTTTTTGTATCAAATCATGGTGACGATCCACTACCTCCGATATAAATCCATCATTATCGCTGACTTTCAATAGCGAGGTCTCAAATATGTACATTCCGCCGGTGTAGTCCATCGCGACCTCAAGCCAAGCAATATTCTGGTCAACGAAAACTGTGATCTTAAAATCTGTGACTTTGGGTTAGCTCGCGTGCAAGAATTGCAAATGACCGGTTACGTGTCGACTAGATACTATCGAGCACCAGAGATCATGCTCACGTGGAGACGATACAACGAGAAAGTCGACATCTGGAGTGCAGGTTGTATCTTTGCAGAGATGATGATGGGCCGACCACTCTTCATGGGGAAGAACCATATCGACCAGTTCTGTGTCATTACGCAGCTTCTGGGAAATCCGCCAGAGAACGTCGTTGCCAATGTGACGAGTCAAAGTGTAAGTCAGCTCACGTCTATCCTCATCGAGAATCATTATTAATTTCTTTCCTCATCAGACCTTGGATTTTATCAGGTCCCTTCCAAAGCAGCCTCAAAAATCTTTGGCTACACTTATACCTACTGCCAGCAGAAAGGGTATTCACTCCATCCCTCATACCTAGGCTCCGTTGTAGTAATTACTAACCTCATCTATTAGCTATCAACCTACTGGAGGAACTGCTCCAATTCGATCCAGAGAAACGCTGTTCCGCGGTCGACGCTCTGGAATCCCAATACCTTGCTCCGTATCATGACCCGGATGACGAGCCTGTGGCTCCTCAGTCATTTGATTGGTCATTCCTGGAAGCAGATCTTCCAGTCGATGTCTGGAAGACTCTCATGTACGCTGAGGTTTTGGGGTATCATGAGCAAGCAGGGGGACCTTTTCAATTGACTGGAGTATTTGATGGCATGGACCTGGGTTGATGTACCTTTGCAATAAGTGTTTATTTTCCTATTTTCTTCTCCACTTCTAAGCTCGGCATTTCTCTGTCTTGTTCTGATATTTCCCTCTCTTCTTTACCACTTGGCGGGGGTGTTTCCATCTTTCTTGAGGCATTTCGGGTTTTTTTGCGGCGACTCGTTTGTCATGTGAGCCGTTGTTAGTTACACTTCGACCAGCTGATTTGATATTTGACAGAGTTTTGAAGCTGAACCACTTAGCTTGTGTACGATTTTTCCTTACAGCAAGGTGTGTTTTCCTAAGTATCTAGCGAGAATGTAGAAACTTGAGGAATTATCATTAAAATATCATTATTCAATTATCAAGGTACGATGATTAATGGTATCCCTGGGAAAAGCCTCTCGCATCAGGCCTGTAAAAACACGTCATAAAACAACATCACGCTGATGATCAATCAGCAAATTCAGCATAGATCCACCCAGTTGTATTCGTAGAGATTCGTTTTGACCCATGAATCATTGTTTATGTATTATTTGAACATTAAGGTTGTGGAGTCGGCCGATCAAAAGCACGCTTGGCATGCGATAAGATGCGAACCATGATTGACTCGTTCTGGGGTGGCACTCTAAGTCGGTTGTCTTGTCTCTAGACGCTCTCGGGGGCAGTCACTTCGGAGACGGCCGGTTGCTGCTGCTCATGGTTGTGGCGGTTTCGGCGGGAATTGATAACGTCCATGAAGGCATAGACGTTGGTGAAAGCGAAGAGTGCCCTGTTTCTCTGTGTTAGGCTCCCCTATTTTGGACACTTCCAGGGGCCTGATGTATGGGTAACTCACCACTCAACCGCGGCAACGACGATGAGCGCCTGGAGACCGTGGCAGCTGGCATAGTTGCAAGACTTGGGTTTGGGAATCATAACTGCCAGAGCGATCCAGCCACTCAGCCAGAGGGCCATGGTAATGAACTCCATGGCGGGGATCACGATTTCATGGGAGAAGCGCGGAAGCCAGATAGGGGCGAGGCCCAGGTAAGGCACGGCGACAACGAGAGTCCAGCAGCCATTGAAGAGCATGTAATAGATGGCATTAGAGAAAGACCAATCATCGTACAGGGATGCAATGACTATGCCGATGTTGTTAGTAGGAGTCTTTCACGTGTCAATTGCGTGGTGGGCACCAACTGTATGCAGTCAGGCCAATAGTAGCAAGGGCGAAGACAGCCTGAACCAGGCGGATAGGATAGACCCAAGCCAACATGATGGGTATAGATGTGACAATTTTATTGTTTTCAAGACTGGGGTAAATAGGAGATCAATGCGTGAGAGAGCCCTCTGTGTTGGTCGCGTTTCGGATTACAAGTTGAACTGTGAGAGAGAAAAGACCAAGATCCACTTCAGCCTCGCCGGGTGTCCACCGGGTTATATACTTGGGGAGTGGAACTTCAGAGCTGGCATAAGATTGAGAAAATTCTAATTCAGGTGGAACACCAAACCGAGGCGTTCCTGAGCATGGCCAGACGTCATGGGTAGGGTATACCTCGGAGTCGGAGAGACCCTGCAGGGCAAGCACTAACTGGCTCGAGTAACTTCAGTAAGTTTAGTGAAAGTTGGCGCCGGGCTGGGCCTCCGGGAACAACCCGATGAAATGGGTGGACCACGGAATATCGACAGGGGTTCACAGGCCATAGGATTTTTTTTGCTGCTGGGGCTCTTGGAAAAAGCTTTAGGGCAATAAACTATAGAAAACGCAGGGCCTTGGCCCCCGGAAAGGAACCACACCTCGGCACGCCGATACCCAGCCCCGGCGGTTGCCTCTTCCCCAGATTCTTTAGATCTTTAAACTTGTAACCTGCAGAAGACAGTTATCTCACGACTTACGCGCCAGGAACGGAGTACGATCTATTTCATTAATGTTGGATGTTTAATTGCTCATGACTGAATTTTGGGTGTACTTTTGACGCTTCATCGTATTCGCAAGCTCTGCCAAGCCCAGTCCATGACGCTGAGTTTGTCGATCTCACATGAAAAGGAACCGAGGCTGCGCCGAAGAGGATGCCAGCACGGGCGATCCTTCGTCGGATCCTCCGATTCTCGACCTTCTAGCCCTAGAAAGGAAACGGAGAAATAAAAAAAAAAAGGAAGAAAATACCTAGGCCATCGAATACCGATGCCTTGTTCTTGACGAGTCGGCACTATTTCCGCCAACTATGCGTGGTATACTTTCTGGCTATGTAGATGGCTAGCCCTATTAGGCGGTTGAAGGATCCCTCTGCCTCATCTTCCCGATAATGCATGCCACGAGACAACGGTCTTTCCGGTTAACTACGAGAGTTGCGAGCATAACTTGACCGCTATATACATCATGGAGCAAGATCCCACTCACTAAATCTCCGCTCCTTCTATCAGATGACACTTTTAAGGTTTCAGAAAAGAATTAATTCAAGCATAAAATGTATGGTGGAGATGAGAGCATCTATATACAAAATCATACACGACTACAAAACCTATCCCCGTTTTTTACAAGTGCCACGATTGACCAAAGTACAATGTGGGACATACCACACTGTAGCCCGTACTTAGTTGTCTCTTGACAGCAAGGCCCGCACGGCATCCATGACCCCGATCGACTTTTCATCCGCCGGCTCAATAGCTGACCGAGCGGCATCCGGCTCCTGTGAAGACGGCCTCTGTCCTGCCTCCTTCGCCGCCGCCTCAATAGCCGCATGACGCTCTCGCCACTCGCGGTCCTCCTTGTCGCGGATCTCCAGTTCCCGCAGCCATGCGTCGCGCTTCTCCTGTGCCTTGCGCTCTTCCACCGCCTGCTCGAATTCCCGACGCTGTTGGCGCTCCGTCTTGAAGTACATTCCTCCGGCAACGAGGGCGACTAGTGTGAAGGCTTGGGCGTAGATACGGGCGCGGAACATGCGGTTCATTTCGGCGGAGTCGCCGGCTCGCATGGATCGGTAGGCTCGGTAGAGGGCGTAACATGTTGCGGCACATCCTATAGAGAAGGAGGCGTTCAGTATGTCGTAGTCGGGATGTTCATTATGGATAGAACTCACCAAGTGGAATCAGAGGCTCCTCCTTCAGGCGTCTGGTAAATTTCTGAGCGCCAGTCTCCTCCTTGAATTGGCTGTTATGGCAGGAGTAATGTTAGCGCACAGGCTGTCCCGGTTACAAGTAGCCTTCAATCGAGCATTCATTGCGGCGCAGGTAATTGTAGATGTTGCGTGACATACGGATTGTCCTCGAAGGACGAGGGAACAGGTTCACGGTTCATGGTGTGAGGGGGTCGTGGAGCTCTCGTGAGCTGATGTGGTCGGCGTGCAAGTCGCGATCGGAGGACTCGGCTGGGCGAGCAGCGAGGGCTGTAAAGGTCTAGATACGCTCGCCAGAATTGACTCTGATTGTCAAGACCGGCTCAATGGCTTAGTGTCGGTTGAGTGCTATGGTTGAAGATTGTCCCTCGTATGCAAGGGTTGCTTGGTCGAGCATGACGTCGCGAGTTCGCCAAGAAGTTTTTCTTGACTGCATGCAACTATGGACGGTAAATTTACGAGTCGCCCGATCTCTTCTTGTTTGATCTTATTGAGCTGAATAGGCTGCGTTAGATCAACAGAAGACACGACGCAGTTTATCTCAAATTATTTACTATTTAACCCTTCGATATAAAGCAAATTCGAATGGAATCTGCTCAGTACCACTTGACTACTCCATCGCAGCACGCCATCCAAGACAACTGGCTAGGCTGACCGCCATTAGCTTATGTAAGATATCAACCCTTTTTTCTATTGCCAATCTATTCACATTCTTTAGCCTCCAATTGGTGAAAAAGTACTAATTTATGCTATAGTAAAGCAAAGCAATTCTATAACTGTGTATTTATATCAAGCTGTCTCCCAGGGCGTCTAGATTAGGTATGATAGAACATCCACGTTGATGACATAAGTCTTGGGCTCCGATCGCGGTCCCGCCTCCGCAAGAAAAAAGAGTCAGAGGGGGGGCAAGAATTTCTTCATTGGCCCTTCTTTCCCTCTCCCAAGCCATTGACCTTTTTGGATTTCACCTTTTCGGGTGATTCTACATCTGTCAAAATCGTCATGTCGGAAGAGCCCATCACAAACGGGGTAGCGACGCCCGTCACCCCCAAGATGAGTGGCTTGGCTTTGACCGAATATACCGCCGCTCCGACTCCCCCCTCCGAGCGCGCAGAGCGTATTCCCGGAGTGCCTCCCAACTGGGGCATTCCTAATGCTTTCCTGCTGCCCAATGGATACCCCGATGTAAGAAAAGAGCTTGCACCTTTATATACAACCGATCAATTCTAACCAGCCGTCACTGGTTATCTAGTATCTGCGATTGATCCTTACATCTCGAGTCTACGATGTTATCGACGAGAGCCCTCTTCACCATGCCGTCAACCTCAGCAACCGACTCGAGAGCCGAGTCTTGCTCAAGCGAGAGGACTTGCTGCCTGTCTTCAGCTTCAAGCTCCGCGGCGCTTACAACAAGATGGCCCATCTGAACCCAGAGCAGCGGTGGAAGGGTGTCATTGCTTGCTCTGCCGGCAACCATGCACAGGGTGTCGCTTATTCTGCTCGCAAGCTGAGAATCCCCGCTACCATCGTTATGCCCTCCGGTACCCCGGCCATTAAGCACCTGAACGTTGCCCGCCTGGGTGGTAGCGTCGTTCTCCACGGAAATGACTTTGATGCCGCCAAGGACGAGGCCCACCGGTTGGAGAAGCAGCATGGTCTGACCAACATCCCGCCATTCGATGACCCGTACGTCATTGCCGGTCAAGGTACCATCGGTATGGAGCTTTTGCGCCAGGCAAATTTGGACAAGCTGGAGGCAGTGTTCTGCGGTGTTGGTGGTGGCGGTCTGATTGCTGGTATCGGTGTATACCTTAAGCGCATTGCACCTCACGTCAAGGTCATTGGTGTTGAGGCTTATGACGCCAATGCCATGGCCAAGTCATTGGATGAAGGTGAACGTGTCTTCCTCAAGGAGGTCGGTCTCTTCGCGGATGGTGCTGCTGTGAAGTCCGTTGGTGAGGAGACCTGGAGGGTCAGCCGAGAGGTCATTGATGAGATCATCCAGGTCTCTACCGATGAGATCTGCGCTGCCATCAAGGATGTTTTTGAGGATACCCGCTCCGTTATCGAGCCCGCTGGCGCGCTCAGTCTTGCCGGTCTGAAGAAATACATCTCCAAGAACCCCAGCCCGGACACTGGCCGTGAGCTGATTGCCATCACCTCCGGTGCAAACATGGACTTTGACCGTCTACGCTTTGTTGCCGAGCGCGCTGCTCTTGGGGAGAAGAAGGAGGCTCTTCTCAGCGTCAAGATCCCCGAGAAACCCGGTGCATTTGCTACACTTGTCGAAGTCATCCTCCCCCACGCCGTGACCGCTTTCAGCTACCGCTATGCTCATGACGACTCGGCCGATGTCCTCATGGGCATCTCTCTGTCTGCCCACACTGGCCGCGATGACCTGGCCAAGATCATGGAGGAGTTGGAGAAGGCCGGCATGACTACCCGTGACCTGAGCGAGGATGAGCTTGCGAAGCGCCATGTGCGGTTCATGGTCGGTGGCCGCTCTAGCGTTGCCGACGAGCGTCTGTTCATGTTCGAGTTCCCCGAGCGACCGGGTGCGCTGGCCAAGTTCTTGACTACCCTTCGCCCTAACCAGAACATCTCTCTGTTCCACTACCGCAACTATGGCGGCGACGTGGGCAAGGTTCTTGCAGCGATCCAGTGCCCAGCTGCTGAGAAGGATGATCTCGAGTCTTTCCTTAAGGATTTGGGCTATCCTTTCAGTGAGCACACCGATTCGCCTACCTATCAGACCTTCCTCCGCCCTTGATAATGTCCTTGCATTTTGTCGCATATGCCAATGTCCATAGTGCAGATATCCAGATTGGGGTTTTGGTCGACGATCATGTTGCTTCATTTCATTTTTCTCTATTTTAGCGGTTTAAAAGTGCAAGTCTTTTCTGATGTGCTTTCATTCCCCAATTCGGCGTTTGGGTTTCAGTTCAGAATAGACAATTGGGAAATCGGTTCCTACTTTACCATGGCTTTTGTACATCAATATGAATCATATTCTACGAAATATCCGTCTGGCTACTTGATCGGCAGGTTCTCTATCCAGGAGAACAAAATTCTGGACTTTAATCAAGAAATTTATGTAGTAAATACTATACTCACAAGTTGTCCGTCCGAGTTGTTGTACAGTATGTACTTCCCAGACCCACTCGTTGCGGGCTCGGCGACTCGGCAATACCAAAGCTCCGGGCAACAATCTTCCCATCGCGAGAACCCGCGGAGCACGGCGTCAACGACGAACCCTACACCTCAATCGCTTGATCTGGAACGAAAGACCACCGAGGCACCGCGCCTCATCACCATCGCTCCCTCGTTCTCGACACAACCGTTATCATGTTCTCGCTCCGTACCGTCCTCGGAGCGCCCAGCGCCCTCCGCCAGCTCCTCCCCTCCGTGTCTCGCCGATCTATTCCTGGCGCTATGTCTCTCCGTCCTTTCTCGCACATGATCCGGAACAGTTTGACGAGGCTGCGGGCTACTTCGTCAGGGACTGGTAGTGCCGTTGCTGTCGCTGTGGGCGCGACTCGCCAGATTGAGCAGGTTCGGGGTATGAAGACTCGCTCTTCGGTTAAGCGGCTGTGTGATGGGTGCAAGGTATGATATTCTCTGATCCGGACATTCCTGTTTGGTGTGTTCTTGGGGGAAAATCGCAGTCTTGATTCTAATATGGTGCTCTAGCCTGTCCGCCGAAAGAACCGTGTGTTCATCATTTGGTGAGTTCTCACTGGCCCAATTATTGCTCTTAAGATTCAAAATAGTGTGGGATGATCAATTTGCTGATATAGTTACTCCTTTCTAGCTCGAAGAACCCTAAACACAAGCAACGCCAGGGAAAATAGAGAGAATGGCAAAACCTCTCATATCTACTTTTTGTTTCGATGGCATGCACGATCTTGATACCTCAGATCCTGGCCTGATTTGACAGTCTCATTATACGTGCTATCTGGAATATTTCCGATACGATAGGCATATCCTGTTGTCCTCATTCTCGGATTGCGTACGATCTGTCTGGTCAGGCCGGATACGCGGGATTTCGTCTCGACTCTTCAATTGGTGGCATACACCTTGCATACTTGTTTCAGGCCCACAGTTACTTTGGGATATCGCGGCGCTTGGGTTTTTATACTTGTACATTAGCTTCATGACTAGAATTGCTGGTCTTCCATTTTTCAATCAATTCAAGGAATCTCCAACTAGATTATAGCCCACCCCCTCGGTGTGGCATGAAATATGATGGATTCCATTCAACCCAGCAAGCATAGCCATAGGATTGAATTCATTTGCTATTGAGCCTGGCCATCTACATTTGAAGACTTGTCGTAATACGCCGTTCCTGAGAGGCCGAACATCACGTGATGTGTTCCTGGCTTCCCCGAACTTTTTTTTCAGCGAAAACAAGCGCGCATTCAGTTCGACTTGATTCGACCAATCTTGGTTTGAGTTGATCGTCGTTATGAGGACTCCTACTCTTGCACGGTTGCCATACCGTGCGGTGTCTGGCTTGACCAGCACTGCCCGTTTCCAGTCCCAGAGCCTCCTGCGTTTGCGGTGCGCATCTACGGCCGCTTTGCGGCCCTCCGGTGTCGCGCCGGCTTATCAGTCGGTCTTGAGGCAATGGGAACAGCGCCGCAATGCTGCCTCTGCCAGTGCTTCTGCAGTGTGAGTCTCTCAAAAACCAACATGATATTCTTTGCTCAATGCTAATCTACTGTGATATTAGTCTCGAGGCCGCTGCCGTGAGCCCGGACAGTCTGTCGCAAGCCGCAATTATCGACAACCTTGACCCCATTGAGGCTGCTCGCCTAGACAAAGTTCGAAACATTGGTATTGCGGTATATATCACCATGGATTTTGTGTATGGTCTATGATGGAAATTCTAACGGTCCCCCTTTACAACAGGCCCATATCGACAGTGGTAAGACCACCTGTACCGAACGAGTCCTCTTCTACACTGGTCGAATCAAGGCTATCCACGAGGTCCGCGGTCGTGATGCTGTCGGTGCCAAGATGGATTCCATGGATTTGGAGCGTGAGAAGGGTATTACCATTCAATCTGCTGCCACCTTCTGCGACTGGGTAAAGAAGGATAAGGAGGGCGTTGACCAGAAGTACCACATTAACTTGATTGACACCCCTGGTCATATTGATTTCACCATCGAGGTTGAGAGAGCGCTGCGCGTTCTGGACGGAGCCGTTATGATTTTGTGTGCCGTGTCCGGTGTTCAGTCCCAGACCATTACCGTCGACCGTCAAATGCGCCGTTACAACGTCCCCCGTATCTCCTTTGTCAACAAGATGGATCGTATGGGCGCCAACCCCTTCAAAGCCATTGAGCAGATTAACACCAAGCTGAAGATGCCCGCCGCTGCCGTCCAGGTTCCCATCGGCGCCGAGGACGAGTTCGAGGGTGTTGTCGATCTGATCCGCATGAAGGCTCTCTACAACAAGGGTGAGAGTGGTGAGGAGATCTTTGAGACCGATGAAATCCCCGACAAGGTCAAAGAGATTGCACAGGAGCGCCGGGCTATGCTCATCGAGACCCTCGCCGATGTCGATGATGAGATTGCCGAGATCTTCCTGGACGAGGCTGAGCCTACCGAAGACCAACTGCGCGCTGCTATTCGCCGCGCCACCATCAGCCTGAAGTTTACTCCCGTTTTCATGGGTTCCGCTCTGGCCAACAAGTCTGTTCAGCCCATGCTAGACGGTGTCGTTGACTTCCTGCCCAACCCGGCCGAGGTTGAGAACCTTGCTCTTGACCAGAAGCGTAACGAGGCCTCCGTGAAGCTTGTCCCTTACAACTCTCTCCCCTTCGTCGGCTTGGCCTTCAAGCTGGAGGAGAGCAACTTCGGTCAGCTGACCTATATTCGCGTGTACCAGGGTACCCTCCGCAAGGGTTCCAACGTGTTCAACGCCCGCAACAACAAGAAGGTCAAGATCCCCCGTATTGTGCGTATGCACTCCAACGAGATGGAGGAGGTCAGTGAGATCGGTGCCGGTGAGATTTGCGCCGTGTTCGGTGTTGAGTGCGCCTCCGGTGATACCTTCACGGACGGACAGCTTGGCTACAGCATGTCTTCCATGTTTGTTCCCGAGCCTGTCATCTCGCTGTCCATCAAGCCCAAGCAGGCCAAGGATGCCGCCAACTTCTCCAAGGCCATGGCCCGTTTCCAGCGTGAGGACCCGACCTTCCGTGTGACTCATGACAGCGAGAGTGAGCAGACCATTATCTCCGGTATGGGTGAGCTGCACCTTGACATTTACGTCGAGCGTATGCGCCGTGAGTACCGTGTCGACTGTGAGACTGGTCAGCCCCAGGTCGCCTACCGTGAGACCATTGGCAAGCGTGTCGACTTCGACCACTTGCTCAAGAAGCAGACTGGTGGTGCTGGTGACTATGCCCGTGTCATGGGATGGATGGAGCCTACCGGTGCTCTCGAGGACAACAAGTTCGAGCAGCAAATCGTTGGTGGCAGTATTTCCGAGAAGTTCTTGTACGCTTGTGAGAAGGGTTTCAACCTCTCTTGCGAGAAGGGTCCTCTGATCGGCCACAAGGTTCTCGGTACCTCCATGGTCATTAACGATGGTGCCACTCACATGACTGATTCCTCCGAAATGGCTTTCAAGAACGCTACTCAGCAGGCCTTCCGTAAGGCTTTCGTGGACAGCAACCCCGCCGTCCTGGAGCCCTTGATGAAGACTGTGGTCACTGCTCCGTCCGAGTTCCAGGGTGACGTGATTTCCCTGCTGAACAAGCGCGGTGCTACCATCAATGACACTGAGACCGGCGTTGACGAGTTTACCATCTACGCCGACTGCAGTTTGAACGGCATGTTCGGCTTCAGCTCCAACCTTCGCGCCGCCACTCAGGGTAAGGGTGAATACACTATGGAGTTCAGCCACTACGAGAAGGCTCCCCCACAGGTCCAGTACGTTCTTTTCACATCCCCAACGTCTCCATATCACAGTCAATGCTAACAGTTATTCCCCTTATAGGAAGGAGCTTATCGCCAAGTACCAGAAGGCTCAGGCCGACCGGAACAAGAAATAAGCATGCTCAATCACCTACCCAGACCCTGCCTGAAATTCCCAACCTGGCCATCTTCTCTTTATCCCTTGTAAAACTACCATCATATTCCTCACATTCGACCGACTACCTCGGCCCAGGCGGGATCTGGGCTCAGTTCCACGTCTAAAACAGCGCTCAAATCATCTTGCTTATAGAGAAGACAAGTTCTGGTTCACAGTGCTACTGTGGCGGACTCAAGGCGCTCTTCTCTTTTCCTGCGTCATGGCATTATATCATTCTGCGTCTTTCCTGTCGGGACATGTACTTTAAAATTTGGGTTATTACTTTCTACTCTCCTGTCTGAACAATACATCTGAACTATACATAGAGCTTCCTACCAACTATCCACCGTGCATTGTTTGCCAGAATACTCATCAATGCCTATCCTCTGAGATCAATCTCAACAACTGCAGATGAATAGTCGAGTAGAGAACTTGTACCTACCGTAAAGTTCCCAAGACAAGAGCAGACAGTTTCCTTGCCAGTTACGGAAGCAGTCTTTTCGGTGTAATGTAAAGGACCGAAACAGAACTATTATTGCATACCCCTTTTCCCCGACCAAGCTCCATACAAAATGAATTATAAACCTCTCAATAATTTTCACAGATAGGATACCCTTGAGAGTTACGAACATCATAATGCTGCAGCATCTCGTTACCAATCGTCTCATCTGCCTCTCAACGGTCAACCAGTTTCGTATAACGGTCGGTAAAGCATGTTCTCAGTGGAAGTATTAGAGTTTTTGAGAGAATTCAGTCTTATTCTGGCGTGTGTTCGAATCGGAGGTTAAGTGCTTGATCATGTTATTCAGTGGATTTGGCTCGTGAATATGTTGTCACGGGTATACTGCTTCTGTGAGTAGGCAAGGTATTAAGGTTGTCCGTGCGTATTTAGATTTCTCTTGCACTTAGAAAACTGCCCTGCTCAAATCGATCTGATACGGTCGTTGGGTTAGACTTCGGGGGGTTCCTATGTGCAATCTAGAGAAAGATGCTAACAATGGTTTGATGATGGTCCAATATATATGTTGAAGAAGAGGGCGCTTAAATAGAGTCCTAAAATGTGTGTATCCGAATAAGAAAGGAAGTAAACCTGAAAAAACGGTTTTCGAGAAGCCTGACTTGTTCTAAGGTTGCGCTCTCTTAAGCCTACCTCGTGTAGAGGTTCAATGGCATTGTGTTGTGAACGACCCCCAAGGAATGCCAATGACCTCGACAAAGACGGTGTTCTTTTGAGTAAGCATCAATTGTACTTGACAAGGTTTTTCATTACCTTGAAATACCCTGGGGGCGAGGAGAGTCAACTTCGTGCACTCTTTTATTCGACTCGCCGATTGCTGGATATTTCAAGACGCATCGCCGCAAAAAGGGTAAAAGGTAGGTAGATTGGACTCTGGAAATTCAGGGTACAGTACATTGACAATCCCATGCTTGGTTAAAAGTATTGGCGTTGACCAGCTTTCAATTACATCGAGAAGAGATTCCGATTTTCCTACTTTTAACATCATGTGGACTAAAAGTACGTACCCGATAATGTTTCCAGTTGAATGCCAGTATGTGACAGAATTTATTAACACATGTATGTTACATCCATAAGAAGCACAAGAAGAGCCAGTAACACCGAGATAAAGGGTATATGCGCGCTATAGCGGAAGTGTGAAGCCACAGTCCAATAACAGAGAAGAAAAAGCAAAAGTTGTATCAGGGTTGAACGAGGTCTTTCGTCGAGGACCGTTCTCAAGGGCTCATCGTATCCGGATCAGAGCCAGAGAACCCAACGTGCACCGGAGACAGCTCCACGGAAGATGCCACGTACAAGTTTGAAGGCCATGACAATGAGCCAGACCCACCAAAGCATGGCGACAAGTGCCCATTCCAGTACGACGAACCCTGCACGTCGAACCCAACGCAGTCGTCGGCGACGCTTCCGAACACCTCTGTCGAGGGCATCACTGAGAGCTTTCACAGCGAGAGTACTGGTGGTATTAAGTTGGACACATAGGTCCTCGGCACTATCGGCGGTGGCTCGGACACGGGGCGTGAGGGTTTGGTTGACAAGGGTTTCCAGGTCCCTTAGCTGCGAGCGGAGAGGTGATGAGGTAGAAGTAGAGAAATGATGCATTGATTGCTGGAATGAGTATTGGGTCATTTCAAACCTGCGCAAGAAACCTTGGGCAGCGGTATCAAATTCCTTAATTCGAGTGACTCGAGGAACGGAGGAACTGTTGCCCATAGAGTCTGCAAGCCAGTTAGGAGGATCCCGCGCGCTGTGGGCTCTGCGGGTTATTTCCCGAGCTTTGATGCCGGACGCAAGAAGTAGAGTTCGAGTACGTTCAATCTCAGTCTTGCCTGGAACGCCGGAGTCGTTCAATGAGTGGAGACTGCGATCTGAAATACTCCAGGCCCGACCTGTGCCCGACAACCCAGCAGGCCTCCTACCAGGAGGTCCTGGTGATGCTCGAGCTCGAGCGAGTCCAGTCACCGGGGGTTGAGTAAGGCTGAAAGGATTCGATGGATCTTTGATCGGATTCGATGATTTTATGCGAGCACGGGCGGATTGTAAGGCTGGGCCAAAGTCGAGCGTTTTGCTGCGAGACAAAGCGATTCTCTTAGGCCCTTCTTGTTCTTCAGGTCGCCGGGATGCGACTGAACGCTCACGAGAACTGCCAAGCTCAACGGCATCATTCGATCCTCCACTCTTGTCATCTTGTCGTAGTGAGGACGCGAAGGTTGGTAGAGAAGGTTTGAAGCTTCTAGAAGATATGACTTTCTCAGATTCCCGACGCATAAGACGACCGGGCTCGTCTGTAAGAGTGGGCAGGCGCCGTAGTAGTCCCTTTGGCCCAGAGCGTTTGTCTGTTTTCCTCTCATCTTCACCTGAATCGCTGTCGTCCGAAGCGACTGTAGTCGCGGATGATGATTTGCGGGAATCAGGAAGGGTATCCTTCTTCAGAATCATGTCCCCAACCTTAGAGACCTCGTTGCCAACAATCTCAGCAATCCGGCCGGTGCCTTTAAAGATTCCTCGGAGCTTAGACTCCGGCAAATGCTGCCCTTTTCGCCCCCTGTAGCTGTCAGAACGACCTTCGGAGACTCCTTGGTCATCGAAGTAAGATGAGGATACAGTATCCGGAAGAGGACTGGGTTGAAGCTTGGACGGTCGCTCAGACTGCTCCTGAGACGGCCAGGAAGGCTGAGAAGTAACTGCATTCAGGCTCTCGTCTTCGTGCTCACGGGAGTCCCGGTGGCCTTGCTTGCTCTTACTCCGTTCATGACGGGAAACAATTTTGCGACGCAATCCCTTCTTGGCTGGTGAGGGGGACCGGCTTGAAGGCGGAGACAACTTGACTGCTATGCTTGGGAAAAATCCCGCGTAAGCAGGAGAGTTTGGTGCGGTGCTATCCATTGCCTCCAAAGACATTCTCGGATTGTATTTATCGTCCAAACTGCCAGTTGAGGAGAACGAGGCTCGTCGGCCCACTTGACTCGCCTTGGTAGTGAGCGTCGGAAGTTCGGATGATTCACGTTTGGCCGTATCATTGACAAAAGCAGCAGCGGGTAATTTGGAGCGAGAAACTCGTGGCTCCGAAACATTGGAGGTTTCTTTACGCATGAGGGCCTCGGATTTATTTCGTGAGTGTACCCAAGCTCGGCGGCTTCGATCTGAAGACTTGCGCCGCTCTGGGCTGGAATCACTGGACATGCTTCCAGCGCGCATCCTAACCTTGTCCCATCGAGAGCGCTTTACCGAACTAGAGGCACTTTGACTTCGTGCGTGGGAATGACTTTGGAATCGGTGTTTGTGCCGACCTCGCCCAACACTCTTAAATTCAGGTTCCAAGGCCGGCCGAGCGCTAGACAAAGAATCGTTGCGGGAAGGTGCCTCCTCTTGATTGGTATATGCCATCTCAACCGACAAACGTGGTATCTGCTGAGCGTACTCCATGCTGGCATCCCTGAAGACCAGCTCTGTTGAATCGGGGTAGAGTTTATTGCCATCTCTATCGACGATCTTGGCCCTGTTTGAGCTGTCCTCGAGCCATGCAACATCAGCTAGTAGTTCTGTTGGGGAGCTCGTCCAGTCGAGACGTGGGCGAGTTGCTTTGACACTATTAGTACGACTGACGCGTCTCAAGCTGGCAGGGGGCGAGACGGTCATGTCGATATCCTGCGATTCTCCATGGCATGCAGGATGATGGCCTTGCTGGAAGGATGGAAGCTTAATTATCTGCATCTCATCATAGGCCATGTCGCTGTATCGCTGTTGAATAGAGTTGACCCAGTCATGGACTTTGCCAACGTCATACCAGCCACCAGCTTCTGGGTCAATGGGGCATTTCTCTCGATATCTAATCTTTCGATTCCGAATCATTTGGAGGGGATTATAGCCCCTGCTTGTTGATGCAACGACAGGTGGAGAATCCGAGGAATCAGAATCGTCGGCGACCCGGGGTTTTCGCAGTGGGGGCAGCGAGGGAAGGAGTCGCAGATACTCCTGGAAAAGCTCAAAGTGGCGACGAGCCCGATCTGCGCGGGCGAGGGTCCTTTCAGAGAATTCGTACAATCGGTTGTCGTTCGCAACAGTAGATGGCAGGAAATCCACCACCGGGGACTTCGCGTTGGACTGTAGTCCTTCGAGGGAGCCGTCGCCAAGGGTCTGAGTATAATCACGATACGATGAGTCGCGCTGTATACTTATCCCCGTCGAAGCTGGTGGGAGAAGCTCCAAGGGTGCAGCGGCAGGTTGCGACACAGACAGAGGTCTCCGCATGTTCGGACTAGGGGTGAGCCCGGAGGCAGTCCTCCTCCGAGACTCATTCAGATTCAAAGCCAAATTCACAATCTGAAGCGAGTCTCTATCCATACCGGGCGCCGCAGCAGCAGCCTGTTGATCGCCATGCGTTCCAGAGGTCGCGCGGAACGGGGTTTTAGCTTGTTCCACATCGGGGGTTGGCATCGGAGCTTGATCGGCCGCTATTGGGCTTGACTCAGACACCACTCGAGCTGGTTCGGATGCCGAAGGCTTATGACGACTCCATGGAAAGCGCGATCGTTTCTTAGATACCACGATATCACCGTCGGGGGCACTGCGTTTCTCTGTCGGTGGCTCTGAAGGGCGAGCTCGGTGCGAGCCGATTCTCAAGCTTGATGAGCGGGGTAAGGAGTCTAACAGAAATCCGCTGGAACTCTGTGTCCTGCGCTGGCCCGGTGTCCTTCGTTCACCCTCACGAGAGCTGCTCCCCAGTGTGCTCCCCTCAAGCTCCCCGCTCGCTCGGCCGTCGCTCGTGGGGACAGCTGGCCGCCGGGATGAACCCGCATCGGATCGCTGTGGAAGCGATCGAATTTCTTGCGACGCATCGGGGCTATTTCCATCGGTAGGAGGCATTGAATTTTGCTCGCTCGGGGTTTTGCGTCGTTGCGACATCGATTAGCCGATGGGAGGGCGATGGAGCTGAATTGCCTCGCCTGGAGGAAAGGCAACGATCATCGCCTGTCAAACCTGTGCAACCATGAGTGCAGTAAGAATCAACGGGTCGATCTGGAGTGCAAGGGAAAAAAATAAATGGCGGGAGTAACTCGAGCATCTGCGCAAGTCATGCGCCGTCGATCTACAATGTTGGGGTTGCGCGTCGGAGCCGATTATCTAAGCATATCGACAATGCTCTCACAGGGTTCATGAAAGGGATGAAATCAGACAGAACACGAGTGCCGAACTTTTGACAGCGATTTAGTATAAGTTTTAGATAGTTAAATTGAAGAACGGCCAATCTAGAACACAAAGGAAAAGTTCTAGCATTTGGTCTAACGCAAAAGTACAACTAAAGGTACAGTTCCTGTAGACATGACGAAGATATACAGGATAAATTGGAATCAAGAACGCTCATTTTACTCCACCCGCAAGCACTGGAGGCGAGCCTCGGTCTCGATGACCTAGCAGAAGAACAGATGTTAGCAAGTGTTCCCTTTGGAAAAACAACATATAATGACGGGAAGAAAAGCCTACCTCGAGAGCCTGCTTGACCTCAAGAACCCGGCGGACATCGCCCAGCCAATCCTTGCTCAGGATCTTGGCCCATCCCTGGAGGGTGTTCATCTCACGGGCGGCCGCATCAAGGTTGCCCTCCTCGAGCAGATTCTCAGTGCGGAGGAGAATGCTCTCAACGTCGTTTCCGTCAGCAAGTCCATCCTTCTTGAACATGACCTTGCTCAAAACTAAGCTGGCAGCGTGGCTGGCAATACCAGCATCCTCGGGCAGAAGACTGGCCTTACGGACTTCACCCGCGACACGACGGAAACGCTCAATAATCTGGGTGGGGGAGGGAATGCCACGCTGGTAAGCAGTGGGGTTGATGGAGGCGATAGCAGCATCAACAACAGGGTCACCAGCGGCCAGCTCCTTGACGGCAACGAGCTCACGGACGAAAGGACGGGAGGACTCTGAACGCTCAACAACCGAGCGCACAGCGTCGACAGCGACCTGAAGCTGCTGAGTCTTGAGGTTGGTGTCAATGACGTTGCTCCAGCCAGTAGTAAGGCTTTCGAGCTCGGAGATATTAGCGGTAAGCTCATTCAGCTTGCTAAGACGGCCCTCGCGCTCACGCTCCACCAGATCCTTGACCTCGTGAATATACTTCCGGTTCAGCTCAATGGCCTGTTCCACGAGCTCGTTCTTCAAACGCTGCTCGGCAAGGTCCTGGGCACGCTGAAGCTCAACCTTGATCTTGTCCTGATAAGCAAGGGCGAGCTTCTCACGCTCAGCTTCAAACTCCTCACGGAAATGGGCAACCTCAGCAGTGCGCATGTCCTCGAACCGACGAATCAGCTCACGGGCAGACTCGTCAAATGTAGCGTGTGCCTTGTTAATCTCTTCTTGGGCAGCCTGCTTAGCCTCATCCCTCAGTGCAGCGATCGTCTCGCCAATCTTCACAAGCTCCTCCTTGGCCTTGGCGACAGGAGCAGAGTACTTGCTAGAGTTCTCATCGGCGCTAATCACGGTGACAATGTCGTTGAAGGTCTTGACCAGCTGCTGCACAACGGGTTCGTCGCCCTCCTTAAGCTGGAGCAGCTCGATGGTGCTAGCAGCAACGGCGGGCTCACGAGGCGCATCGAGGGAAACGGACTTCTTCTTCTCCACCTCGGGGGCGGGCTTTCCCTCGTTCTTAACCGACTTGGCCGCCTTGTCTTCCTTCGCCTTCAGGACAGTGGCGTTGCGGTCCTCGGGCTTCGTCTGAGCATCGTGAACCTTAGCGCTGTTGTGAGGACCACCCTTGGAAAGATCGCTTGCGGGCTCTTCCTTGGCGACTGTCCACGAGAGACCGCTGTTGCTAGGGATTGTGATCGACTTGCCCTCCTCGAGAGGAGTAACTTGGATGCGGTTCGAGTGTCTCGAAGCATTGGGGAATCGGCGATAGAAGTCACGCTCCTCGAAGTACAAAACACATTCCTCGCCGTAAGGGACGTATTCGGTGAAGAAATCGTGGAAGTTGTCGGACTTCAGAGCCATGAAAACGCCGCCGCCATAAGCGATACCGGAGGTCAGGATCAAGTAAAGCAGGAATCGGCGGAAACGGCCAGTCTTGCGAGGCGCAGCCGGGGGAACCTCAGCTTCTGCAAATTAAGTCAGCGTACAGGTGAATTAACCATTGGCGGCATGGAGTTGACTGGTGGTACCTTGCTCCGTGGGCTTGGTCGGAATTTGTGGGGGAACGACCGAATGAGAGGACGGAGTAGCGGGAGTAGGAGCTTCAGTGGTTGGCAGCTTAGAATCAGCAAAGAAACGCTGTGTTCAATTATGTCAGTTGTACGTTTTGGTGGGCACATGAGCAGGGTAATAGGTTCTCGTACCTGAGCCGGGAGCCGGCTGCTAGCACCGGCTTTAGACAGCCATTGCGACGGGATCCGTTGGCGAGCAGGAGACGACAGCAGCTGCCGACCCGGAGCAATTGAAGAGCGCAGCATGACGAGCTGCACAATCGCCAGGAGAGGTGGGGAGGGATGTGATAGCCTTGATGAGTAGGAAAACTGGAAGTTGATGGTCTGTCGCGATCCGCCCCGATAATCCTGCGGGCGGTCAGCCCGTTACACCCATCAATCCCGCACCCTGGAGACTCTAGGCGGGCTGACGATAGAAATACATCGTGAAGTTGTGTAATTTCATTCCAAGGAAAGTACCTATACACCGCTAGCTGGTCTTGAAGGAAACAAATTTGGAGTACATTTTGTGTTCCATCCTCTAAGGCATACTTGCCCTGTCAATTCACCAAAGTGTCACGGCAACCTAATCTGCCGCAACATATCTATCTGGTCAAGCTAGCCAAGCGATTTAGAATACACAACGCTATCTCGAACAAGCTACTAGCTTACAAACCAAAAGGAGTCTTTGAATAGGTACAGTCTGAAGAAATGTATTATCTGGGCATAACATACTAAGAAGGGGTCTGGGGGAAAGAAGAGGATAACGGGAAATAGTGACATGAGTAACTCAGCCCAATAGACAAAGGAAAAGAGTAGATGCAAGACGCCGGGTAAAAAGGTACCAGAAGTACAAGGGAAGCAGAAGTAGGTAGAAGTGAATCCTGCCCCAGAATGTCTAAAACCAACTTCCAGGTGCGTCCGTGAAAGTAGTCGAAATTCTTCAATCGGCGCCAGACTTAGCGGAGTCCTCCTCAAAGCAGAGTGAGCAATAGATCAATTAACCAGAAGATAACTGAGACGGGCAAGAGGAAAAGGGACTGAGAGTTTGCCTCTCATATCGAAAAGAGGTGGTGAGGGAAGGGCCATAAGGTAGGTGATCCCGATACCGCGATCGTGAATTTGAACGAGACGGCCTTGGCACCAGGGACAGGCAGAAGGGAATCGCAAAAGCTAACTGCGAAGGGATGTATATCGCTCTCGAGGGCTTTAACAGTTGCACGCACCAGCACCTTGGGTGCCGGGGGCCTCGGGTCGCAGGTCAACTCCGGGTCGTGGGGTTGTCCGCAGGTTCCGGGGGCCGGCCTGGTCGAGAGGTAGCTTCTTTGCGATGGCCGTGAACAATTCCCGCACGTTCGTCGAGGACTTGGCAGAGGTTTCAAAAAAGAGAAGGCCGGCCTCACGAGCGTAGGCCTCGGCATCGGCGGTCTGAATGGCACGCTTATCTGGGCTTTCGGTGACAAGATCCAGCTTGTTGCCAGCCAGGGCGATCACAATGTTCTCATTCGCTTGACGCTGAAGTTCCTTCACCCAGGACTTGGCCTTATCCAACGATGACTATAGACATAGACGAACAGAGGCGATAGTCAGCAAAAGTAACGCAATCCAAATATGTTGAAACTGGCGAACGTACGGCTTGAGTGATGTCATAGACCACGACAGCGCAGTTGGCATTCCGATAGTACATCGGAGCCAACGACTTGTATCTTTCTTGACCGGCAGTATCCCAGATTTCAAACTTGACCGTGGTGCTCTCGTCGAGGGAGATAGTTTGCGTCAAAAAGGCGGCGCCGATTGTCGACTCCCGGTAGTCATCGAATTGGTCCTAATCCGGCTGATCAGATACATTTTCTTCCAGTACCACCTGCCTACAGCTAGAGGCCAGAGCTGGCAGAGAAGCAAAAAAGGTCACCGTCGTCTCACCTTAACAAATCTCAACACCAACGAACTCTGGAAGATAACGTAAATGTTAGCGGCCCAATAAAGAGAGCTATGTACTGTGAGCGGGACGCCGAACCTTTCCGACAGCGGATTCTCCTAGAAAAACACCAAGATATGTTAGCACTCGACTGCTAGACATCCGAGTGGTCCATAGAGAGCACCTACCAAGCAACACAAGCTTGAACTGAGCGAATTTCGCCCCGGGGCGGGCGCCTGCTGCAGGTCGGGAGGCCATGGCCAGTGGTCAGGGGAAGAAGCGACCGGGTGGAGGAAGGCGATACGAAGGATAGAGGTGTCTAAAAGCAGTCGGCTGGGTGGGTTTCAATATGCGATCGAAGGCCCTAGTCTCTCTCGGGTCTCGTCGTTCGTCGTGGATGGAGAAGAGAAGGATAAGGCAGCCTACGGAGTGGATGACGGAAGGGCCAGCCACATGAGCAGCGGGGCGGTGTGGCGGTACGCAGCAGTACAGGTGGTTAACGAATGTCGGACTAGGCACTGAGGCGGCCCTGGCAAAGGGGGGACTCCCCAAGTTGATGAGGTGGCCCGCGCCTGCCCAGTGCCCGAGCCCCCCTGCCCCCGTGCGCCAGTGCCAGTGCCAGTGTTTGTCCTCCAGGACGCCGCGGCTGATCATGTGTTCCTGATTGTCTTGTCTCCCTCTACGGACCTTAATCTTCCCCACCACCTCTCTCCCCTAGCCCATATTGTTCAAATCCAGGACTTCTACTACCCTGCGTTCCTTTGTTTTGGCTGCCCGTCATGGCGCCTCAGATTCTTCCTTTTAGGGACGTCAATTTACACGCTTCACCCTCCCATTATGCGTTTACCTCGCCTTCATCGCCCCAGGCACCAACGCTCGTGGTAGACCGGCCGACGGGCGACCTTAGTCTGAACGATGGCCCTCTATCGGGCGCTAAGCGTATCTCGAGCATTGCAGGAATCCTGGGAATCATTAAGCTGAAGCTAGGTAATTCGCGATTGCAATCAAACCTGGACAAGGGGCCTGCGCTAACGTTCCTTATAGACAAGTACATTATCGTCATCACCAAAGCCCAGCCTATGGGACGACTCCGCGGCCACATGGTGTACAAAGTTGCCTCCACCGAGTTCCTCCCGATGCGCGAACGCCCGCTCCATGATAAAGACGAGGATACCTATCTGGCCCTGATCAAGGATCTGCTTCGCACCGGCCCTATGTACTTCTCCTACTCCCTGGACCTCACCAACAGTTTCCAGAGACAGTCGCAAAGCCCATCCGATATTCCCATGTGGAAGCGCGCCGACGATCGTTTCTTCTGGAACCGGTTCATTCAGTCCGACCTGATCGACTTCAGCTTGGGAGAAAACAATACAAATGGCATCCGGTACGGTCCCCAACCGGGCGCTGACCCATACATCCTCCCAGTGATGTTTGGTATGCTGCGCATCACTCCGGCTCGAGTCAAGGGAACTTCTTTCACATTTGCTCTCATTACGCGACGGTCCCGACACCGCGCTGGTACGAGATACTTCTCGCGAGGCATTGATGAACAAGGTCATGTCTCGAATTTCAACGAAACCGAGCAGATCGTGATCTTGAATGATTCTGCCGGAGGATTGTCGGGCTATGCGCCCGGTCAATCAATGACGAATGGCAAGACGGGCCAGGATCTCCAGGTGTACTCTTTTGTCCAGACCCGCGGCAGTGTCCCAGTTTTCTGGGCGGAAGTCAATGACCTGAAATACACGCCCAAGCTGCAGGTTCGCGGTGTCGAGACCGCCGTCGAAGCTGCGCGCAAGCATTTCGCAGAGCAGATTCGCCTATATGGAGAGAATTACATGGTGAATCTAGTCAATCAAAAAGGCCGAGAGGAGCGTGTGAAGAATGCCTATGAGCAACTAGTTCGCATTCTGATCTCTTCTTCTACGGAGACGAGAGAAGCGGATGATCAGTCTTCGGAAAAAATCCACGTTCTCGAACCAGGCCTGAGGCAGAAGGAGATGGATCGTCTGCATTACGTTTACTTCGACTTCCACAACGAGACTAAGGGCCTCAAGTGGCATCGTGCTGAGCTGCTGATGGGTCGCTTGAATGATGGCTTGACCCAAGGTGGCTACTTCCGTGGCGTGGAGGGCCCCGGCGCCTCGGGTGGTCAGCTAGATATCCGGTCGACGCAAACGAGCGTGGTACGAACCAATTGTATGGATTGTCTCGATCGAACCAACGTTGTGCAGAGCATGCTTGGCCGCTGGGCAGTGACTCGACAGCTTATCGATGCTGGAGTGCTGCGACCCGGTGAGAATGCCAATGATGATCGAGAATTTGAGGATATGTTCCGGAACATGTGGGCAGACAATGCCGATGTCGTTTCCAAGTCCTATTCTGGCACGGGTGCGCTGAAGACCGATTTCACTCGAACGGGCAAGCGTACCCGGGCTGGTGCTCTCCAGGATCTGAACAACTCGATCACGCGCTACGTACGCAACAACTTCATGGATGGACCCCGACAGGATGGGTTTGACGTGTTCTTGGGCACCTACCTCCCCTCGGATACTAGCTTCGCCAACATTCAGCTGTTTGTTGATCGACGACCACTTGTCATCCAGGCCATTCCGTATATCTTCGCGGCCAGCTTGTTCATGGTTTTGATTGCCACTTTCACGAGGCAATTACCGGACGCAGCGGTCTGGCCGCTCCGGCTTTTCATGATCTTCTGGATAATCATCGGTGCCTACTCCTTCCGGTTTATCCATGGGCATGGCATGCTCTATGTATGTGGAAATTTTCGTTACGAATATTGATTACTTGACTAACAAGATATCAGGTGAACTGGCCAAAACTCAACACCCCCATCGCCGGCGCCGAGGGATACCAGGATGCTCTCATCAAAGCTCGTACCGACCCTATCATCGGCCAATGGCTTCCTTCCAGACGACACCAGCGTGGCATCAGCAACGCCCGTCTTGTTTTCCTCGAAGAGGGCAAGACCAGGATCGAGTAAATCCACTCACACTTCATACGCACCCTTGCGTGATCTCCCACTTCATTCCCCTGTCTTCATCTTATACACTTCACGGCTTGTATGATTTACTATCATTACTTTTTGCTCCGACGGGATGTCTTGTACTTTTCTTCTTCTTCTCGTTTGTTCTTTTCGTTGGCGCTATGCCTCCGCTTTTGTCCTGATTCATAGAGGCTTTTTTTGTTCCAGTTGGCTCAATACTTCATTTCACGATGCTGTCATTCTCCCTTGCTAATACGGCAATCTGTTTCCCTTTTTGTTTTTTCTTTGGCACCTCAAGAGATAGACGATACTGTGGGTGGCTTAGGGATCACATTAGATCGTGCTAATCGGCTCATTGTTTCGATCAATTTTGTAGCACAGAAAACTATGCCGCTAAGTGACCCAGGCTTTCTATTTCATCCAAGACCAGCCAGCCTATCACGGCTCCATGACTCTTAGAGCGATAAGCATTTATCAATCGTCACGTGACATTTCCGACATCATGATCACCGGTTTCCCGAGGAGAGGCTATCGGAACCAGAACCAAATAATCTTTCGAGCTGCCGGGGTTTCTTGTCGAGAAACACCCCGCCTGCTCATTTGAAATCGCAGGCAAGGGTATCACTTGTTCATGACAGGGATCTGGAGGTCTCTTCGCTGGTCTGCTACGCAACGGCGAGTCTCGACTCACTCGCCCATTATGACTCGCTCATATGAGGTATGTCGGGATTCCCCGCATCAACGGTCCTGTAGCTCAGCTAGGATGAGTGATAGGAGTCGACTATTTACCAAGCATAAAAACTGACCTGGACGGTGTTTAGGCTGCAATTGCAGCTCTCAATTCCTTGCAAACGAACTTTGCGATCGTGGAAGAGCTCAAGAAATCGACTTCGCGGGATGATCTCAACAAGCGCTCTCTCCCAGAGACGGTTGAATGGCTTCGTCGCATTGGATACAAGGTACCTAAATGCTCATGTCCTACACTGATATGAGACGGTGGTAATATGGCGCTGACATTGGGAACTTTCTACTTCAGCCCTCCGACCTAGACCGATTGAACCTCGTCCACGTTGCAGGTACCAAAGGCAAAGGCTCAACCTCCGCGTTCATCTCAAGTATTCTCTCTCAGTACACCAAGGCAGAGCCAGGCCAATCCTTACCACGCATTCACAAAGTCGGACTTTATACCTCCCCCCACCTCCGTTTCGCCCGTGAGCGCATCAAGATCGATAATGCCCCGCTTTCGGAAGAACAATTCGCTCGGTACTTCTTCGAAGTATGGGACCGCTTGGATGATGGAGCCAAGGCTGCTGGCGAGGATCCTGCTTCGCTGAGCACGAAGCCGCAATACTTCCGTTATCTAACGCTAATGGCATTCCACACATATCTGAGTGAGGGTGTTGATGCGGCGGTAATTGAATGCGGCATCGGAGGAGAATATGATTGTACCAATGTGATTGAGCAGCCCAAGGTCACTGCTATCACTAGTCTTGGAATTGATCACACTGCCATGCTGGGCACTACGATTGAGAAAATCGCATGGCACAAGGGCGGTATTATCAAGCCCGGAGCCAAGGCTTTCACCGCGCCCCAACCTTCAAGTGCTGAGCAAGTGTTGGCTGAGCGGGCCGCTGCCAAGGGTACTTCGTTGGATGTGGTTTCTGATCACCCTGAACTCCACGCCGGAACCAGTCAAGTGAAGCTCGGGCTAGCAGGCGACTTCCAATATACCAATGCCTCCGTTGCTGTCGCATCGGCCGCTGAGTTCTTGAAGAAGACAGGCGTGGCTGAAATTTCCGAGAATTTCATGTCAGAGCCTCTCCCTGCCAAATTCAAGACTGGGCTTGAGGAAACTCGCTTGGGTGGCCGCTGTGAGACTCGTTTCGAGAAGAATGTGGCTTGGTATATCGATGGCGGGCACACGCTTGAAAGCATCCGCCTGGCTGGCCAGTGGTTTGCCTCGCGAATTCAAGCCGATTCCTCTAGCGACATTGCTTCTAAGAAGCCGCGAATCTTGATTTTCAACCAGCAGACCCGAGACAGCACGGCTTTGGCGCGCGCCCTCCATGAGACTCTTTCCGCTGCATTGGAATCCGGCACGCCATTCACACACGCTCTGTTCTGCACAAACATTACATACAAGCAGGCTGGCTTCCGTCCTGACTTAGTCAGTATGAACACGAATGCTGACGATCTTGAGTTGCTCCGCGTCCAGAAGTCTCTTGCAGCTGCTTGGAATGAGATTGATCCCAACGCCCAGACACGAGTGTTCGGAACCATTGAAGAGGCTGTCGACTTTGCGCGGGAGGTGGCTGCCGAGGAACGCAAGGTCGTCCAGAAGGACGAGGCGCCCGTCATGACTTTTGTCACCGGCAGTATCCATTTGGTGGGTGGTTTCCTCGATGTGATAGAGACGAAGCCATACACGGAAGAAGCTTGATTTTTGTTTGATTCTCTTCTTTGAGAAGTTGGTGGAAGTCGGATTTAATGGGGAGCCTGGAGCTTCTTGCCCGTTCTAGTTCTTGTATCAACACTTGACATATAATTAACGACATAGCGAGATGAAGGTAGCTATAGAGGTGTTTTCTTTTGTGGATTTCAACAATTCGAGATTCCCAAGCGATATATTTACAAGTTTTTTAAAAGGGTCCTTGTAATCAAGCTCTCATGAATAACTAACTATACCGTAGTTAGATGTGTTCATTTTGAAAATGCCGAGGCTTAGTAAACCACCAACGTTCTGCAGCTAAGTAAGCAGGAGCGATACAAAAGTGACGAGCTGAACAGGTACAGCAAGCACAGGGATCCATGTCTGTAGTGTCCAGATCTATCGAGATCGCCGTTATGCGTTCGTTCTCGTGTGATATTTCACGCCAAGCTTAATGCGCCTAAAGACGGGGCAAGACCATTACCCCTCGGCACCCCACCGATCCACGTTCCATGCGCTCCAACGTGGGGCCCTCAACGAAATCCTCCTCTTTTCCCACCTACAACCGCTCCCAGCTCTCCCCACATACTCCCTAGACAGCGGCCATGTCGGACTCCAAAGGCAAGGGCAAGGCTCCTAAGTCTCATGAAGATAACCCTGAAGATAGCGGCGTCGATGCCGGCTCAGAGGCTAGCAAGGGTACTCAGTCTCCGCCCTATGGCCCTCCCAGAACGTTTGCTGAATTTATGGATGATGATATAGCTACCTCCTCCTCCTCCAGCGGCGCCACGAAGAAAATCCCCACGAAGCTGCTGGAGAAAGTCATCGAGTCGAACCCGTCTCTGAAGAACGAACTCGCGGGCATGGACCAGGAGGAGGCAGCGAAGACCCTTGCGAATATTGACATCGCGCAATTGTTGACCGGCCTTTCGTTGGGGAATGGCAAGAACCAGAAGGATATGGCCTCTTACAAGTTCTGGCAGACACAGCCCGTTCCCCGTTTCGATGATCAAGCGAACCCGACCCCCGTTACTCAAGGACCGATCAAGATGATTGACCCGGAGAAGGTCTCGAAGACGCCTGACCCGCTGATTGAAGGATTTGAGTGGTGCACACTTGATTTAACAAACGAGGAGGAGCTCCGCGAACTCTACGAGTTGCTGAACAATCACTACGTGGAAGATGATAATGCCATGTTCCGATTCGCCTACTCGCAGTCGTTCTTGCACTGGTACGATATCTCTCTTCTGCGGTTTGGTATATAAAAATTACTGACCGTGAATGCGTTCTGGTCTAACAGGGCCCTGATGTCCCCTGGCTGGAAGAAGGAATGGCACGTTGGTGTCCGGGCGACCAAGTCTCGCAAATTGGTTGCGTCGATCTGCGGTGTCCCGACGGAAATCCGTGTCCGCGGAGAGCGGATCAAGGTGACCGAAATTAACTTCCTTTGTATCCACAAGAAGCTGCGCTCGAAGCGGTTGGCTCCCGTTCTCATCAAGGAGATTACTCGTCGCTGCTATGTCAATGGCATTTTCCAGGCTATCTATACCGGTGGTGTCATCCTCCCCACCCCGGTCAGCTCTTGTCGATACTACCATCGTGCCCTGAACTGGCTGAAGCTGTATGAGGTCGGCTTCTCGCCTCTTCCCCATGGCTCGACCAAGGCCCGTCAGATCACCAAGAACCATCTCCCTTCGACTACCTCGATTCCCGGTCTGCGGCCAATGGAGTCTAAAGACATTGATGCGGTCCACGATCTTTTGGAGCGGTATCTGCTCCGCTTTGATATGAACCAAGCTTTCACCCGCGAAGAGATTGACCACTGGCTGGTATACAAGCCGCAGCCTGGTAAGGATCAGGTCGTCTGGGCATATGTGGTGGAGGACCCGGAAACCAAGAAGATCACTGATTTCGTCTCCTTCTACAACCTGGAGTCGACCGTGATTAATAATGACAAGCACGAACTCGTTCGGGCCGCTTACCTTTACTACTACGCTTCCGAGACCGCTTTCAATGACAACGCGAAGGCGCTCAAGGCACGCCTGCAGGTACTGATAAATGATGCACTGATTTGCGCCCGTCAGGTATGCATTCTCTGCTCCATATTGCTCCAAAACTTTTCTCCAATCTCACATCGTGATAGGCCGAGTTCGATGTCTTCAATGCGCTCACCTCCCACGACAACCCCATGTTCCTTGAGCAGCTCAAGTTCGGTGCTGGTGATGGTCAACTTCACTTCTACCTGTATAACTACCGTACGGCCGCCATTCCCGGAGGTATCAACGACAAGAATCTGCCCGATGAGAAGAAGATGGGTGGTGTGGGTATTGTTATGCTGTAGGCCAAAGTGCTTTTGTGTGAACTAGTGACCCTCAAAAGTCTTCTTGGGCATCCATACTACGAATCTCCTTGTGTTACAGTGAAAATAAACCCCCCAAATCACAATTTAAGAATACACGAACCAAAAACCTAAAGTACTTATCTTGAATGGCATGACATGCCACTTATCATCTGGATGGTTCCAGCCAAATGAGAAAACGGTCTAGCCCGCCATCACGGACACCTCAGGCAGCCATATCTGACGTCGTCACCTGCAACGTCGCCTTCATGTTCCATCTTTCTTTCGTACCCATCCAATCTTGATATCAGAATTTTTCCGGGCCATCGTTCCGAGCTCAACCTGTAAGCGAGTATCTGGTTGCTGTTTCTTGACAGCCACTCGGGAAGCTTGTACCAGAATTGAAGCAGCGGGGTCGCTCCCGCATTTGCAGCAACAATGGGTGCGGGCCAGTCGACTGATTATAGTGGAGCGTCTCCAGGTCAGTTCTTTACCAGTGATTTTCATTTGTCCAACATGAAACTCGGGACTTTACATGTCAGGGCTTCGTTGAAGCTCTACGACCGACACTTAATGCACGACTCCGAGCTGACTTCCGGATAGAGGAGCTCAGCTACATGCTGGCGGAGCGCTTCGCAACGAAATGCTTCTCGCCATTGGAACTTACACACTTCAAAGACAACTTCTTCTCTCGAGCTGCAGAGCAAGGAGGTTTGCGCTACTGGAACGAGAAGACACTCTCGGACTTCCTTGGTATTCCGGATGGCAGCTTCTCCGGCGCAGATGAGGCTCCTCTCGATGCAGGACCTGTCCTTTTCCGCATGGTCTCATACCTTGGTGCATTCCCATTTCAAAATACCTTGGCACCAAGCGTTTTGACATTCGAGGCCATGGTCAAAGTGGTGGTGCTCTTGACTGAGCGCTATGGCAAAGTCCTCCGACGAGGGCGGAAAGATCGTATCAAGTTGCTTTTTGGTAGCCTCGCTGATGTCGGGAGGAAGGATATTGGCCAGCCTTCCAATCAAGATTCCGAAAACAAAGAATCTGAATCAGAGGAAAATCCTGAGCTCTGTCCTGCCAAATCCTATGCGCCTGGATTCTCTGTGGACGAGCCTGCCAATGACGAGTATGATGAGGACGAAGACGATGATCTTGCTCTTGCGGCTTTGGAGTCTCTGGATGCGATCGAAGTGTTCAAACATGACCACCGTGTCGACCGGACAGTCTATGAAACGCGCATTTCAGTCGATACTTTCCGCCGACTGCTCATGCTGTTACTCGTCATTGCGCCTTTGAAGCCCCTTGAACCCGTCAAAATGTACACATCTGACCTTGATTTGGAGCGTATTGACGCAATCCGGAAAGAGGCCGACAGTATCATTGCCGTATTCCGGCCGGAGGAAAGCGATGGTGGAATCACGTACAGAGCATTTGCGCGTACAATCTCAACATCCTTACCATATCTATTCGATCCTCTGACAGCGTTGTTCGAGCACATGCTCTTCAGCAAGAACTTGAATCTTTCTCAAAGACGACCGAGCGAAGCTGCATCTGAGGAGGAGACGCATGAAAAGTCCGAAGAAGCATCGATGGCAAAGCCGATACTCCTCCCAGGGAGCTTCGAATCTTCAATCCTCAACCAGACAATCCTTTCCCACCTGTCATTCTTCCTCCCATCAAAGGTGCAATCCACGAACCTCTTCAAAAGCGGCGTTCGTCTTCATCCCATCTTCTCCACAGCCGCTCACGGGTCCTCGTTGACGTCCTTCTCCCACAACGTTCTCACCTGGCAATCAGCCAATCTCCTCATTTTACAAGGCGCACCGGACGGAAACAGCGAAGAAACAGTCACGATTGGCGTTTACCTTCCCCAATCTTGGAAATCCTCATCAACACATGGCTCATCCTCCTCCTCCGACCTTCTCCCTTGCCTCTTTCAACTCTCCCCCAAACACCAAGTCCTCCCCGGAAACCCATCTCCATCCGTCCAGAAACAAGCAAATCTACCAGCAGCCTGGTTCTCAACACACACAGGCATCGCAATAGGCTGTCAGATCCCACCAGCTTCGCGAAGCCACCACACCCCTCCGATTCCCTACGGAGCCGGAAGTCTGACCATCGACGTGAATCTGGAAACCGCCGAATTCCGCGTCGAACCAGTCGGTCATGACGGCGTCTTCCTTCCACCGGGAACCTCGTCCATGGAGGATGCTTCTGTCAAGACCCGCCTCGATCTGTATTCTCTAGAGATTTGGGGCATTGTTCCGGATCCTGAACTAGCGGCTTCTTCGGAGGCAAATGCGAATGCCGTTGAAGTTCAGCGGGCGAAGTGGGAATTCGAGGCTCGTGAGGCTGAGAGAAGGCGTAATATCAATCTTAAGAGCGGAGCTGGGGATTCGGCAAAGGAGAGTGCTAGGTGGTTGTTGGAGACGGCGGGGATAATTGGGGATCATGGACAGTATTCGGGCGGTAGTACTTGAGCTGTCGGGTTATTGTGGTCTTTTTCATGTGGAAAGTTGAAGGGGTTGGTGTTTTGGGTGGCCACTTGAGTCATTGAAATGATAGCTTAATTTGATGATTACTTGACTTATTTTTCGTCCTAGAGAATCCGTAAGCTATTACGGGGAGCTCGTGTTACTGTTGGTACCCCAGGAATCCGGTCATTTTTATACGGAAAGCATGAGGACTGAAAAAAATGAATAGTGATACAATACATGAAGATGTAGGTTAAAGAGAACCTAATCATATCGTATGGAACGGCCAGCCCATGGAAAAGTAATCTTACACTCGCAAGGGCGGCATACCCATCGGTGCACCATAGAAATCCATCAAGTCCTCTTCCTCCTCAAGTTCGACAACGTTGGTCTCAACCTCGGACTCTTCCTCGACCGGTTTCACAACCGTCTTAGACGGACGACTACGCGAAGAAGTACCAGTCGCCACCGTGGAAGCAGGTGTACTTTCCGCCTCGAAGATCTCGCGAGAATCTTCATAAGGAAGACGGAAAGCAGGGAAGCCATCCGGAGCACGTTCGGCCCGATCCATGATCTCGTTCATATACTTTCGCACTTCCTCGGCGGGCTTAACGACACGAGTCAGAGGTTCCAGGATCCGAGGATTCGCCGCATGAATGCGGAAGGTGACTGGCTGCCAGTATTCTTTGAGATTTGCCTCGCTGGCTGGCTTACCAGCGGGCGTGCCAGGCGCATCTGGTTGACTCGGTTTGGCATCCGGCTTATTATCAGAAGGTTCTTGCTTAGAAGGGACATCGGCAGGTGTCGGTGTATCTGCAGCTTTCTCTGCCTTAGCCCCCTTCTTTGATTTCGAGGAACCTTTGCCCTTTGCACGTCCAGTACCAGCATCGGGGGCAGTCTCGATTGGGAATGGCGTGTTTGGATCGACCTTTTTCACAATGAGGAAAGAGGCTAGGACGGTATTCTCATTTGGAAGCCATTCAAGGATCGAGTGCTCGGGGAACAAGTAGCGATCGCCCGAACCAGCATGGCCAGATGTACTACTTCCGTATGGTGTCAATGGAGATGTGAATTCAAAGACGACAGATTTATAATTCAATGGCGTAGGCGTAGGTCTCGCCGGTGGCGCTTGAGGGCGATAATAGGGCGTGGGAGAGCCGTATTGGGATGGACGTGACTGGGCAGGAGGCTGTGTTCCGTACGGCGCTTGCTGCTGGTATGGAGGATACGGGGGACCCGGTCGTGGCACCTGTTGTTGAGTATTGTTGGCACTTTGAGGGGTTTGCACGGCAGGACTCTGCAACTGAGATGTTGTGTTGGGAGCCGGGGTGCTAGGAGGACCAGGAGTCGCAGATGAAGCTGAGACTGCCGGCTGTGCTGAGCTCGATGGGGTAGGTTGCGTGATAGTGGGACCTGCTGTCACTGGTTCTTGCTTCACTGTTGGTGTGGCGGTAGAGCTCTGGCTTGAGCTGGGTGCTTGTGTTGGAGCTGCTGGGGCAGGTGCTGGGGTCTGAGATTGAGGCTGAGGCTGAGGCTGAGGCGACCCGTCAACTGGAGGCTTCGTTGATGCTGCTGCTGATGGCACCTTTGTTTCTGATGCCGGTTGCAGGGGTTCTTTAGATGATGTTTGAGTCGGGGGTGCCTGGGGCGTAGTTCCCTGGGATTGCGGCGGGGTATTCGTAACCGGGTTGGCCTTTTGGTGAATGACGACCTGAGGAGAGGCTGGTCTTCCTTGAGGGGCGGGTGTTGCTGGCTGTGGCGCTGGCGGCGGTTTTGTAGATGCTGCAGCTGCAGCTGCAGCTGCGTTTCGCTGACGTTCTTGTTGCTCTCTTGCCTTGATGATCGCATTCAATTCATCGATATGGGCCTGGAAAGCACGCAGCTGCTCCTGTGATGCTTGACTGGACGCGACTACTCTCATCAAAGCTTTCAATTCCGGATCCGCGGCAGCTCTGGTCGCCAGCATTTGAATGACTGGATCCGGGCTGGGCTTTGCGGGCTGTCCAGCTGGACCACTTTGTGGAGGCCTCTGTCCCGATTGGGGTTGCGCCTGGTTCGGTCCACGGTGTTGTGTCGCTGGTGCAGGAGTACCTGGGTATCCATGTGGTGGTCGTCCTGGAGGTGCGGCAGGATAGGGAGGTCTCTTTTGATTGCCTGGATATGGCTGGTATTGCTGGAAGTTGTTCGGATGACCGTAGTGGACCATCTGTTTCGGTGGGGGAGCATATTGGATCGCCGGCGGTGCGTTGGGGTCTTTCACAGTGTAAATCATCGCATCGAAAAGATGAGGTCCAACGGTAACGTCGCAAGCACCAACCCTCGTCATCGAATCTTTGGGCGGGTTGTTCTTCTCGATCTGTTCACGCTTCGTCTTCTTCGGCTTCGTGTAGTATCGAACCAAGATGCCATCGCTCAACCATTTCTTCTTAGATCGCTCGAGGGCCGCAAGCAGTACTGCACTGCAAAATAAAACAATAATTCGTCAGCATTGCCTCACGCGCTGGCGGGGGAGGGATCAAACCTTTCTGCATATGACTGATACTCCTTATCCGATAGGGTAGCAGGCTGTCGCTCGCGCAAGACTGGAATAGGCTCGCCATCTTTGATCGTGATCGGCAATGGTGTCTCGACGGGTTCAGGCGGCGGTGGTGGTGGCGATGGTACACGAGGAGTTGGTGCCTTTTTCTTTTGAGAAGGAGTGGCCGCTTCTGAGACTCGTCGCTTGGCCGCAGGCTCACGACCGGCACGTGCCGGGAGCTTGCGCTTCTCAGCCATCACGGACTGGTGTGTATACGCGTAAGATTCACCGAATACCGGGCGAGACTGATAGCCTGTCGCGTTTGAGAAGGAGGTCGAGATGAGGTGGGAAGGGGAAAAAGCGTGACGCGATAAGTGGCAGCTTATCGTCGCAGCGACTCCGCCTCCGCCCTTCTCCGCCTCCGCGCTTGATGTTGACACTGTAATCAACGATGGTCGAATTACAGCCCATCTTCAAAAAGGCCTACTGGACGCTTGTGGCCGGTGGGCTGGCTTATGTCCTATTCGTAACGGCATTGACGTTTTCAGCAGTCCAGCGCTTGTATGATATACTGACCTCGACGTGTGATTGGTCTTACTAACTGGGGACAGCTTCCTTTATGCGAACAAGGTCAACCCTGCTTACTGGCAGGATGTGAATCAAGTCGAGCAATTCGGCTTTTTAAGTACGTTATTTGAAGACTCAAGAAGGGCTCGTCATTGACAATACTAGAAACCCAGGTCCAGCCATTCCACTTGGTAACGCCCGACAATGAAACCCTCTACGGGTGGCATTTGATGCCTCTGCACCTATGCCGTGAGCATGAAAAGGAACTGATGGAAAATCCTCCATCTGGACCAGCTGCAGACTATGAGCAGACCCTGGCCTTCAAAATCTTGGCCAATGATCCCAATGCCCGGGTTGTGGTGAGCTGTATGTCCTCGACTAAATCCGCTGTTGTTGTGAAAGCCATCTGATCGAAGAACCTCAAAGTCCACGGAAATGCGGCCCATCTCGGATCTGCTCAGCGACCCGCCACTTACAATACACTGCTGGGTCTCTCGACCCCATCGCATCCCGTGCATGTCTTTGCTATTGACTATCGCGGATTCGGCGTTTCGACTGGCAGCCCGACTGAAGAGGGCGTTATCACCGATGGTGTTTCACTACTCAACTTTCTTACTGCAGGCCCGCTGAGGATACCTACTTCGCAGATTGTGATTATGGGCCAGAGCCTAGGTACAGCGGTCACTGCAGCGGTAGCTGAGCGATTTGCCTTTGGCCACCCTGATCCGACCGCTGTCCAACCGGCCATCAAGAATGCGGAACCGTTCGCCGGAATTATTCTGTTGGCATCTTTCAGCAATTTGCCCAGTCTAATTCAATCCTACAGTGTAAAAGGCTTGACCCCTCCCATGCTTTCTCCACTCATCGGATACCCTCGTTTCCAGAAGTGGATCATGAGTCATATCGTGGACCATTGGGATACAGCAGCAAGAGTGGCTCGCCTGACCGGTGTCAATTCCCCATATGAATTGGATCACGTACACAAGGATCTTGACCTGACTATAGTGCATGCCCAGAACGATATCGAGATCCCGTGGCGCGAAGGCCGCCGTGTCTGGACGGCTGCGACGGGAGGAGACCTCAAGGGTGCCCCCGGAACGGTAGTTTTCACAAAGTCGGAAACCGTCAGTCCTTCTCAGGTTGAGATTTGGGAGAATAAGATCACTGCCAAGGATGGATCCCAGGTTTTGAAGAAGGTCCGCTGGGAGCGTGTTCGGTACGGAGGTATGTCAGCTTGTTGAATTTGTCTTGGGTCTCATCGCATTCTCACTTCGAGTTACTGATCGATTGAATTACGCTAGGTCATAATCGGGTTGCATCATTTTCTGTCGCTGGTATTGCTGTTCTACGATCATTCGAGGAGTGATGTGACAGATGACGTGGTCAGCCTGCCTATATTTATACGGCAGGGAATAGGATGTGCAAACATTTTCTTTCTTCCCATCTATATATGTCATGAATGGAAGAACGTTCAGTCTGAATGCAACCTCGATCAAGACTTTGTTTTAGAGCCGTGGAGACTTAAGTACATATAACCCTAGGACCGAACAACTCAATGTACCATTTGTGTACTTCAATCATTTCCAGATAACAGAACGTGAAATCCCATCTCTCTATCATCTTATTGCATTAAAATCAATGCCTCGATCGAGATCTATACTTGGACCCGGTCGTTCCCACCCTCGGCACATCACTCGCTCGATCCCAGGACCGATACTCCGATCGCTGCCGACGTGAATGACGAGCAGGTGCACCGCGGCTTGTAATTTGCGAGTGGTCTGGTCTCTCGTTTGAATCTTGGCTCTTGTCATCAGTGCGTAGATCGAGGATTGAGGTGAGATTCTCGGCGGATCGGTAGGGGCTGGCGGATCGGGACGGCATGATATTTGTTTGTGGGCTTTTAATTTGTGAAGTTAATTTTGAGAATGAAGAAAATACCTCCAGCTGATAGATATTGGAATATTGGAAATATGATAAATAGAGGATGAAATGCTCACTCCTGTATTTATTGACATGCTTGATGGCAAATTGTTGGGTTACTCATCATGAGCACATGTTGATGCAACTGATATAATAGGTGTCCTTGAGGCACAGAGCAAATTGAAATTGAGATTGTGCCATCAAGTATTCGGATAATCCAGACTCTGCAGGACACATACATCCAATTTCAGTGTTTTGGGTTAGTGGGCATGAGGACTGTGGTAAAACATATTTATCTACCAGCGTCTAGTTGGCCGAACGATCCCCATGACTTGTCGTGACTGAATGAACATGTTACAGCAAGAAAAGATAATTCAAGGGATAATTCACAAGTTTGCTAAGCCAAGATGGTATCGTAAGTCATGCAACATTGACATCGTCATATCTCATTATCCTATCCCTCAGTTTTCACCTCCCTCGAACTTCGCACATATCGCACACCTTTCTCAACGCCACATTTGTGGCCAAACTCATCGAATATGGAATGGCTTACTTGTCACAAATTTTGCCGCATAGCCGCTTGATGCCTCCAATGATATTGAGTGGTCGATGTACCCCCTTAACGAGTTTTTTGCATGGGGTCGGCTGCGAAGGAACGGAGTCTGGACCAACCCAGCTAGCTTTGACTTCCATTTTTTTGGCAGTCAGGTTTCTCAGTGCTCGGCGCGGGTTTTGGACCAGAAGTTTTAGTCGCTTCATTCTGTCCTTGGTCTCATATGCGGGATCGTCTTCGCCGATAGGTCGGAATTTTCCACAGATCTTGTATGCGCCTTTGGACACAAAATTGTTCTGACCTTTGGTAATCTGCCAATGGATCTCGCGGCTGACAGCAAGACTTTGGATTCGTACTGGGGGCATGACACGGGCCCCATTCGACGGAGTGAGCAGAACTGTGCCGGAATTTCTCCGATACTCTCGACGCCGCTCAAGGAAGGTGGAATAGTTCGCGGCAAGTGTAACGGCGCAAAGTGGAACGAATCCAAGTCCAACGACCTCGTTGGGGGCCCCTGGAATCCCGCCGCCATGAGGCTTAGTAGTGGAGATTTCTAAACATAGCGCCCACATGTCACCGTAGATCTGCTGGACCACGTAAAGGGCGCCTTCTTTGAGTTCAAGTTGGTCACTTGGCTGTACACCTTCAGTCGGGACAACATAGGCAGGGTTGATGCCGATGACCAGAGATCCCTCTTGAATTGACCATCCCCATCTGGCGTAGTCGTCATCGGGTTCTGCCCGGATATCCTGACATGATTTGAGGTAGTCGCAGTCAACGGGTTTGTTTCGGAGTGTGGTCCTGTACCAGCCTAATGGGCTTGGTCTTTCCGCCTTCTGATCGTCTGGTACGTCCTTTGGAATCGAAATTGCGAGATCTGTTGATTTTTGCTAAGAAAGAATCAGCAAATGCAAAAGTTTGATCGTAGATTGGGCCTTACCTTTGGAGTGGTTGCTGGCGGGCATTGCAGAGTGCAATCGTCCGGTCCAGACGGGCGGTTCTCGAGTGCTGGAGCCTCTTCTTTCTGCTCAAAACTTCCATCAGGCTGCAAAATCAGTGTCAGCGATTATAGATAGGGCTTAATTGGTTGGAACTTACTGCAGGGGTGGAAGTGACTTGTGGTCGAGGAATGATGCAATTGTTCTGCCCACACGGGCAATGGTCAAAGGCGCCAGCATTTGCCTCCTGTCCAATGAGGTCGATTGACTGCTAAATCATCATCAAAAGTGTCAAAAGCCGGTCGTAATTTGGAGCTTACAGTTGTAGAAGTTCCAACGAGGGTGCATGGATCCATTGGCTTGGCTTGTCCAAGTGGCCAACCACTGGAAAATAATCCCCTTCTGTTTTGTCCATCATGCTCGTATGGCTGCTGATATATGTCAGAATATCCGAGCAGCTGTTAATGAATTGGAACTCACCGTAGGTCGAGTAATGATCTTGGAGCTTGAAGCCATGCAATCGTCTTCTCCACAGGGGCAAGGGCCGAGCGCAGTGGACATGCCTTTCCTTCCGATGGAATCAACAGCCTGGTAAAGAAGTGTCAGTTAATGTTGAAAACTGTCCATAGCTTATAACTTATCATAGCAAGTGTGGTCATGAGAGGGTATGGATTCGTTGACCCGGGCTGTGTATATGGCCAGTCTTCAAATACTACGCCATTTCTTCTTGGTCCAGCAGGTCCATACGGCTGCTAACAAAACGTCAGAAAATCCCTGTGAATATTCATGAGTTGGTACTTACCGTAGGGCAAGTGGTAACGTGTGGGATTGACATGGTGCAATCTTCCTGCTCACAAGGGCAAGGGCCCAAGGTAACGGACTTTCCTTTTTGCTCAGCGGTTTCGACAGACTATGAATGGACTGTTAGAGGATCCCCAAAGTTGTCTCGGAGTGGAGCTTACCATAAGGGGGGAGGTCATTGGTGAACCACTGGCCTCACTTAGATGAACCTCGATCGAGGAGGAATGTTTTCTTGGATCATACACGAATATGTCGTCCGCCGAAGCCTTGGCCAAAGACCTCGCAGACATGTCTTTGCAATTGCTGCTCTTCTCAGCATGAACAACCGTGACAGTCGATTCAACAGACTTGTCATCAGTGGAAAGCTTCTGGGTGTGGTTTGAAGATAGGGAACCACCGGCCTCACTCAAATGAACCTTGATTGAAGATGAGCGTTTCCTTGGATCATACACAAGTGTATCGTCCACAGAAGCCTTGGCCAAAGACCTCGCAGACATGTCTTTGCAATTGCTGCTCTTCTCAGCATGAACAACCGTGACAGTCGATTCAATAGACTTGTTATCGGTGGAAAGCTTCTTGGTGGGGTTTGAAGATGAGGACCAACTGGCCTCACTTAATTGAACCTCGATCGAGGATGAACGTTTTCTTGGGTCATACACGAATGTGTCGTCCGCAGAAATCTTAGCCAAAGACCTCGCAGACATGTCGTTGCAAGTGCTGCTCTTCTCAGCATGCACTACCGTGACAGTCGATTCAATAGACTTGTCATCAGTGGAAAGCTTTTGGGTGGAGTTTGAAGAGGGGGAGAGGGTTGAGAAGGTGGACGATGTATCTGGGTGTCTTGCACGCAAGCCAGTGGGGATCTGAGTGTCGAAAGTGGCCGTCGACGTCATGTTTTCCGAGTGACCTCCAGGTGAGGAACCAAGAACTCCTGGCAAGTTCTCTCGGTGACCGCAGGTTTGCTGCATGGTCGAGTTTCTGTATGTTGGAGTAATGCTGAGGATGCCGCCGGGGATGTTTGTGAGACGGAAATTCGAGACAAGAGCAAGGCGGCCCGAAGACCGAAGGGGAACTTCAGTGTCGATGGGATCTATCGGCTGGTTTGAACAGCCTGCCACGCTGAACAGGACAAGCAACAGCTGCAAAAGCAAGCGAAGGGCCATGTAATGGTTGAATAGCCGAATCAAGAAGGCCAGAATGTTTAAGCTCGAAGATCAAAGATCAAATCTTGAAGAAGATGGGAAGATGGGAAGAGAAGAAGAAACGAAGAGAAGACGAAAGAGGAGAGAGAGAAGGGGTCTATTTATATTGGAGGGATAGAAGATGGAAAGTTCCGCCAATCTTGAGGGCAAACAAGCGACGACAGCGCGGTCGTGATGAGACATCGAGGCCTTCATTATCTAGAGAATTGATGAATTGCTAAGTGTATCTCAGAACGGTTGCAACACCAATTAGTCTACACTAAGACGCGTACGTGACTCGAGTAATTGAACCTAGTAAACGAGGGGATGCACTGTGGCAGTCTGAGCGAAACAGACAGGTCGAGGCACGGAGGAGATAGGCAACCAGGAATAGAAGGAAAACCACCACACAAGGACTATCCAAAGGACTCACAACCCCCTCATCAACAAGGACTCGGCCTAGTCAGAAGGAATAGTGTGCTCTGGGTAGTTTAGTACTTGCGGAAGGCACAGTCCTCAAAGAATAGAGAAAACAATATAGATTGGAAGTAAAACGAATGACTATCTCTTCGAAAGAGTGCTGCCGCTCTTCTTTTTCGTTGTTCTTTTCGCGCGCTCTCCCAAGAGAAATCCCTCTTGTCTCGATCGACTCCCATAAAACTATCCTCCAAGCAGTACTCCGGACCAAAGAAACCAACAAGGCAAAACCCTTGAACAAGGATCAACAATTCAACCAATCAGAAACAGCATCAAAATCCGTCAGCAGTTCCCCCAGTACACTAGGTAGGTAGAACGATGTTAATACCTGGAATTTAATCTATGAATACTGACCAGACGAACAGACAGATTTCAACAGGAGTCAACATTGATTTTCTATAGCAGCCACTATGGATCTGTATACTGTTTTCCCCAACTATAGATAACCTTGATTAAACGTCGGAGCCTCGGTTTCACTTGACATACGCTGAGTCATCTTGAAGACGGCTGGCCGCGGCCGTAGTTGCGGGGGAAATGAAGCTTAAATCAAGGACCATCCCCTGAATTCTTGGAACATCTGCCATTATCTTCTTGCACAGTACACTATGGCATCTCCCAAGATCACACTTTACTTTGACATCGTCAGCCCCTTTGCATACATTGCCTTTCATGTGCTGAAGGTATTTCCGTCTACTCATGACTGAGGTCCTTGGTATTTACTAACCTGAATGTTATTGTATAAATTTAGAACTCGCCAACCTTTGCCAAGTGCGATGTCAGCTACGTGCCTATTCTATTGGGTGGCTTGTTCAACCAGTGCAGCAATACACCACCCATCAGTATCAAAAGTTAGTGCTACCTATGGCTGGGCTGATACGGCATATGCTAACTTCTGCTTTAGACAAGGACAAATGGATAGACGTGGAGCGCAGAAGATGGGCGAAATATTTCTCTGTGCCCATTTCTGACAACACACCCGAGGGTTTCCCGCCGCGTACTTTGACGGTTCAGCGAGCCCTGTGCGTTGTCTCGCAGAAGGCTCCCGCGAAATTGTCCTCCGTCATTGAGGCACTGTACCATTCGTTCTGGGTCCAGTCAAACTCCAAGATTGGTGAGCCAGCAGGGTTTACGCCTGTATTTGAGAGCGTGCTTGGACAGCAGGCTACCAATGAAATCTTGTCTGCCGTGAGTTATATTGCCAGTTACGGTGTTGACGTTCCCATCCTGACAGAGTGCACAGATTACGGAGCCTGAGATGAAAGCTATACTGACCTCCAACACCGATCGAGCTTTCAAGGCAGGTGCCTTTGGAATTCCGTGGTTTGAATGCACAAACAGGGAAGGCAAAACCGAAGGCTTCTGGGGCATCGATCACTTGGGGCAGGTGGTTGACTTCCTGGGACTGGATCGCAGCCGTGATCCGGGCTTCCGGGCATTGCTGTAACGGTTGCAAAACGAGCATCCTGAACAATACGTAGGCAATATATGGGAGACTGCCCAATATGCATCATCCGGGATTGGATGCACTTTTGGCGAGGGACATACTCAGGGCATCATTTGAATGATCACTAGAATTCGAGAAATCAGATGCATAGAAACACCTGTCTTATGGTATTGAGTCATTTCATTGAAACCCCCTTGTGACAGTGGCGAGTGGATCAGAGTATTCGTTGGGTGGGTGATTGAGATGTTATATCAAAGGATGGAGGCTAGATGCAGGGCTTATGACAAACCCGGTAGATATTGGGTGACCCCTCAATGGGCAGCACCTCGGTAAATCAATGTGGTTCTTGGGGCGAGTTGACATGATATGTCTCAAAGAAGCGCCGTTTGACGCCTCGCGCGTCTGTCACGATCCTCAAGCTATGAGCCAAGCGGGGTATCACCTTTCCGTTTAGGGCAAAAGGTCATGTGGCTGGTACTTTTGGAGTGCTGTGTACTCGTACAGCTAGCCCCATAACCTGGATGTCTATTCTTTGTATCCTCCCGTCTGCTTCACAGTCGAAGCGTCTTCTTTTTTCTATTCATTGATTTACCAATATGGGAAACTGGTTATCAGATGACTAACCCAAAGGCACTGCGCAAGGTTGCTGACGGTATACTGATTGAGTAATGGCAAGAAAGCTTTGAATTTACATGCATTATCATGACAATCTTATTATCGTACAATCAGATAGCCAACCTCCGGTTCTTACATCTCCAAAATGCAGTCCTCTGAGTTGATATATCATTCCGCTCCATGACCGCTCAAAAAGGGCTGCAGACAATGATCCATGAATTGACCGATAGGATCTACCCATGGTCCTAATTTGTCGATGGTGGTAACTGCGTGCTTCTATGCTTGTCTCTCAAGAAATCACAAATCGTCTCCTCATCCAATTCGTCGATTTTTTGGTGGTCCGGGTGTGATGGGTCCGTTTCTATGTATGTGCGAGCTCAGTGAGTGATCAGCCCTCAGATGACAAGTCAGTCGATCAGATAAGAAAGACATACCCTTCTCCTCTTGAGCATCATTCCCGTTTGTTGCTTTTTCCGTCAGAGTCCGAATACTTTCTTGTGCAGACTGGAGCGCCTCGCTCGCTGTCGGTACGATGTCGTTGACGACAGTGTCTTTCAGGGCATGAGCCTTTTCTCCAGCGACTGTTGTGATATTTTGCTGGATCTCTGTAATTGATGCCCCGCCAGTTACGGAGTTGATTTGCTGCTGCACACCAGCAAGAATGCCCTCATCTTTTGAGTCGCGGGGACTGTCTGTCGAGACCGAGGTATTCAAATCTCCCATTCTGTGGGTATGGCGCTGGACTCGGGAGTGACAAAGAGAATTGAGGAATGGATGATACTAAGGTCGACTTCGAGATCGTGGTCAAGATCAATCGAGGTCCTAGAATGGAATGAATAGGGATGACAGGAACCGTAGGGCTGACCCTGACGTAGGGCTGAGAAGACGCGGAATTGGCCCGATGGTTAGCGGCGACGGGAGGGTTTATGACATCTTTGCGCGGGGGCAGGGCCCCCATGCTCTGGGCCAGGCAGCAGAGATTTCAGCGGGTATTTGATCGCCTTGGCTAAGATCATGGCGCGTGTGAATTGAGCTCGGCTTGGTGTGAGGGTGTATCATACCTGGATGGGCCAATCTGTGCCACGGTATGACGTCGTCGGACCCACCGGGGGTGCCCGGTATTGAGATGGGCCAGAAGGGTTGAGTGGATGCGGTCTTTGGACAAGGATAGATAGACGTCCGATATTGAAGAAGGATGAGCGAATTCGTCTGGTGACGAATTTCGATCGAATGAGGGTATGAAAAGTAGCTTTGAGATGGATAATCGTCGATCAGATTGGATATATCTTCTCCCCTTTGCTTCGCATGCTACTCCGTACGGGCGCTAGAGTCGATACCAATTCTCTCCTGCTTTTGAGTTCTGCCACCAATCATACAACATCAATTCCCTTCGAAAGCCAAAGGTTCTCAGAAACTCGGAACCAATCTTCATCCAAGTTACACTCTCCCTCTAACTCGCTCACCAATAAGAACGGGCCAGTGCCTCGCCCAAAGACCAGTGAAAGACCAGCCCCACCAATCCCTCCCCCTCCAAAAAAAGTTATCAACGCCAACGCCGCATTATCCACGCTTTATATCCAAGATTCCCCTGTTCACCAAAACTCTCCTCCAAAAAACATTCCTTTGACCTTCTTCAATTACTATTATCTCTCTGCCTTCCCTCAAGCCGGGCCACCACCCATATAAATCCACCCACCATGGCGCCTATCCCGATCACAATCGTCACGGGCTTCCTGGGCTCCGGCAAAACGACCCTCCTCCTCAACCTCATCCCCCAACTCCCACCAACCTACCGCCTGGCCCTCCTCAAAAACGAATTCGGCGACGTCGCGGTCGACTCCCAACTCGCCTCTACATCCTCCATCTCCGGCGTCCGCGAACTCCTCAACGGCTGCATCTGCTGCAACCTGGTTGGCCAACTGAGCGACGCCCTCGAGCAACTCCGCACGACCGTCTCCCCGGACCGCATCGTCATCGAGACCTCCGGCAGTGCATTCCCCGCCACGCTGGCGATGGAGGTGAACCGACTTGCGCGCGAGGGGGCGGACTTCGTGCTCGACGGGGTGATCAGCGTCATCGACGTGGAGAATTGGGAAGGGTACGAGGATACGAGCTACACGGCCAAGTTGCAGGCGAAATATACGGATTTGATCGTCTTTAATAAGTGGGAAGGGGTTGGGGAGAGGCGGTTTGACGATTGTCTGGATCGGGTGGGTGATTTGGAGATCGAGACGCCGTGGGTGAAGAGTGATCGGGGGTTTGTGGATAAGAGTGTTTTGTTGGGGATTGATGGGGCTTTGTTTGCGAAGGAGGAAGGGTTGTTGGAGGATGGACATGGTCATGAGAATGGTCATGAGCACAAGCATGATCATCAGTCTGAGGTAGAGGTGCTGTCCGTGCTGTTGAAGAGTGCGCCGGGCAAGAATGTGGACGTTGAGGCCTTCGAGCGTCTCTTGCAGTTGGCGCCGAGGGAAGAAGTGTACCGCATCAAGGGTATCATTCGTTGCTCGGCTGCGACGCCGCCTGTCGAGTCTTCGGATGATATGGAGTCGAGGCAGGTGGGCGATGCCTCGGAAACGAGGTACTATATCCTCAACTGGGCGTTTGGCCGATGGACATGTACCCGGTCGACGGTGGTTGCGGAGTCTGCTGATGAATCTGTTGCGGCACGATTGACCCTCATTCTGGCGCGGTACGAGTCGGGCAAGTGGATAAAGAAGTTGGAGGCCGGTGGCCTTGTTCAGGTTGCTGGGGGAGAGACGGCCGAGTTGGCTGTGGAACGATTGGTTTAAGATCGCGTGGAGAGCTGCACAAGCTGCAGCTGGCTTTGATGGATACCCATAATTGATGTATAGATACTCAGGTCAGAGACAGGACTTGATTTCTTGATGATACCTTCAATTAGATTGGCTAGATTAGACGATAGAGATGACCACAGCCATGAATCATGCATATGCATAACTCTTTACAATGTTCGCGCAAGTAGCAGGACACAACTCTATAGGACACGTCTACTTCGAGTTAAATAGGGAGGGGTTCTTAAGGCCAACAACAAACAAGCTCTATTCAATGAAATGTCCAGAGCAAAGCAGAAGAGCAAAACAATGTGAATGCCGCAAAAAGTATCAACTATATTATCGCGTCGAAAATGATGAACCAAGGCCAAAGAGTTTTCAAGTAACGACAAAAAGAGCAAATCACATATAAACATCAACTAAGAGCTCCAACAGACAATACTAGTAGTTCAGCAGAGCCGAGGCACCAGTCTCGCTCGAGATGTAAATCACCTCGTGGTTGTCGGAAAAGCCATTGAAGCGAGTGGCACTGCACTTGGTGTAAGCACCCATTTCCTCAAAGTACAGCCAGTCCCCGGTGTTCAAGAGCCCCGGCAGATCGATGCGCTGAGAAATCACATCGATGCCGTCGCAGGTGGGGCCCCAGATCGAGTACGAGTTGGTCTCGGTCACTGCAGAGTTGGGCGTGCTGGGCTGAGAGTCGTCGACCGCGGATAGCAGTACCTGAGCAACCGGGTGCTGGTGGTCGAAGATGATGTTGGAGAAGTTGCCGTAGACGCCATCATTCAGGTACAGCATGTAGGCGTCACGGGAGGGGTCCAGCGGGTCGGGAACGTCACGACGGGCAATGACGTTGGCCGCAAGCGTGAAGGCACTCGCAACGTAGTACCGACCGGGTTCAGCAATGATGCGGATATGTGGCGGGAAGTAAGTCTCCAAGGCGTCGCTCAAAATGCCCGAGAACTGTTCGAAGGTGTCCTGGCAGAAACCGCCTCCGACATCGAGGGTGTGTAGCTCGTGACCAATCTGGGCGGCCTGATCAAATACCAGACGGGCGTCTTGAACGGCCTTGAGGAAGGCACGCGGATCTTCAGCACCGGAGCCGACGTGGAAGCTGACACCAACGACCTTGAGCTCAAGCTGGTGAGCAAGCTCCAGCAGTTGCTGGGTCACATCCAGAGAGGCACCAAACTTCATACTCAGCCGGCAGAGACTGGTCGAATCGTCCGTCAGGATGCGGAGGTACAGCTCGGCATCCGGGAAGTGAGCCTTGATCTTGTACAACTCATCGGCGTTGTCGAAAGTCATTTGCTTGACACCAACCTGCGAGGCATAGCGCAGGTAAGACTTGGTCTTGCAGGGCTGAGCATAAATGATCCGGCTAGGATCAATACCCGTCTGCATGGCGATCTCAATTTCCGACTTGGAGGCACAGTCGAATCCCATACCCAATTGGGCCATAAGACGCAGAACCTCGGGGTCCGGATTACACTTGACAGCTGTTGAAGAGGGTTAACGAGGGGGCTCTTAATAACGGGAGATCATCTCCAACAATCGACGGCACTGACCATAGAAAGGCTTGACTCGGCCTAGGTTCATCTTCCAGCGCATGTGCTGGCGATACACCTCTCCCATATCCGCCACAAAAAAAGCATCCTCCTCTCCGGGTTCACACCGATCAGTATCAACCTCCGCAGCACGCTTCTTCAACACATCCAACACCAATTCCTTTGCAGTCAACCCCGATTGCAACAATTCGTCCCCGTGCTTGCTGACTTGAACGAGAGGGTCACGACTATTCAAGTCATTTTTGATGATGCACACATCAGCAGGCGATACACACGCAGTCGGTGCCATAATCGTGCAGCTGCGATTCAGCACGAATGGATCTTTTTTTTTAGAAAGAAGAAAAAAAGATTGGAAAAAAAAAAGGTTAAAAAGTTAAGTCACAACAAGTATGCGACTGCGTTAGGGAGGACGAAAAGTGTCGCAACCGTAGTTGACTGGACTAAGCCTCTTAGACCCTTCCTCCTTAAGAGGAAGAACCTTCAGAGAAGTCCTATGCGGCAGCTCAGGAATTGAGGGAATATTCTGAGAGGGCGTCAACGGGGTGAAAAAAGGCGCACCCGACGGACTCTCAGAGGGCAATAGCAGCAGGTGGTGGAATGTTGTTAAGAGTGTCGCGTTGACGGCGAGTGGAGACAATTTGGCTGAGCAGAATCGAGGCTACGGGAGCCGTGATGACGTGGGTTGCCTTTGGTGGTAGGAACCAAAGGCAAGGATTTTGTGATTTCGCGAATGAGCGAGTTTCTGAAAAGTGGAAAAGGAACCAGGTCAGTCAACCCAAGTCCAGAGATGACTATGAGAGAAAAAAATGGACGGTTAAGAGAGACGGAGGAAGGAGGGGGGGGGGCTTCGGATTTTTAAAATTTGGGGGAAAGTTCGGGCGGTGTTTAGGGCAAGGCGGCCACCGGTGGTAATGAAAAAAAAATGACGCACGGGTACGGAAATACTCTTGACAGGATCGAGTACTGGATGGTTTGTGCGGCTGGAGATAAGAGAGAGAAGGCTACTCACCTAGACAGAAAAGACCCCCTCGAAAATCAGGGCGGTCAGAAGAATTGAAGAGAAGGTGGTTGGAGAAGAGGAAAGAGCGGTGGTTTCTGGGGGGAGGAAAACTCGTTGAAGGGTCGAGGTCGTGGGCGATGCTTACGGCAGCAGAGGTAAGAAGTGGGTGTGGTCGGTCTGGTCCTGCTGTTTCCGTTTCGTAAGGGTTTTTCCGTTCCATGACCTTCAAAGTCCGGTCTAGTCCCTCTGGTTATTGCCCCGGAATGGTTTACTTACAGCCTTGGTTACTGGACGTTACGCTACTATAGCTTCCAGTTTTGGTCCCAGCTCCACACGGAAAATTGGGCAGCAGGAGCTACTATTACTAGCGTAGAGTCCAGGTATTTCGGTCTTAATAGTCAATTGTAGCGACAAGGTTAAATGTTTTCTTTTCTCCCTTCTGATCTGCGTCACTCTAAACTATGAGCGATTTCTCGTCCCCTCCATCGGTCTGGCCCAATCTCCAATTTTTGGATTTTGTCGTTGACCTCCTGCCCCCCCCCCCTTTTATCGATCAAGGCGTCATGCGTGCTGCAGGAGGGGGAGTCGTGCCTGCGGATCATCTTTGGCCTTGGATCTTGTATTTTCGATGGTGAAAATATGCGGTCTGGCAAATCCCGATTGTTTAACCCCCGGTCGTGTGCTCGTTTGGCTGGTCCCGGCACACAGACTCATCAACAGCCATTGAAGAAACCACGAGCAAGACTGACTCATAGACTGGTCGGCCGAGGTCACGAACAAGGTGGAAACGTCTGATCAATGTGCCTCGAACCTGCAAGTCCTGCACAAGCACAAATGGTACAAAGTATATGCACTTGTTTACACGGCCTTTTGTCCGTCGGGTGGGGCTTTCCGGTCTGAGCTGCCGCCGCTTTTATGAAGGCGGGCCACGCCCTCAGGTTACACAGTGTGTTTGCACACAGATTTCCCCATCTTGTTGATTCTTGCTTGTTTTTCTCTCCGAATAGAAGAAGCTGCATATAAATTTACGCTTAAGGAGTGGAAAGTCAATTGTCAAGAAACAGTCTCTGTTTTGTGAAGATTTGACTTGGTGCTTTTCCTCTCCTGACTAGTTGACAGGATTTCTACGGTGCAGGTAGTTATATCTTCACAGTAAATAACTAATCAAGGGTGTCTTTTGGGTGTTCGATATCAAGAAAAAGTTATTTCTAATCCTTTCCGGCGCGCTCATAAAGATAGGTGAAGTTTGGAACTCCAATGTTACTTACCATCGCAGATGAAGAGTCGTGGCCGACCGCCCACTCGGTCTCGAGTCTGCAGATCGAACACATGCTCAAACAGCTGGTCTTTCAAGGGACCTCTCTGCGGATCCTCGAGCTGAAAAACGGTACTTTAGCAGCGCGCGGGGCCAGAATAACATCTCTCGTTCGTCCAGGAAGACTACAGAGACTGCGCTTTCTTAAAATTTCTTGTCTTGTAGAGAAACATTTTAGCTGTATTGGTTCTTGAAGAAGGGACGAATCCAGAGCCGCAATATGCCTGGTAGCCACCTATGTAGGTGAGATCTGATGTCAATCCATCCTCGTCGACACCAAACGTCCTGTTCTGTGCCACGGCCACTGCATCGGGGTCTTCGGAGGCAGGTATACATAGTAAGCCTGCGCCACGGTATCCCTCCCACTGACACGTCCCCATTAAGGTTTGAGGAGCGCAACACAGAATTCGATATTGCGGGCAGACCAAGTTTTGCGGGACATTGGCAACTTGACCTCTAGCTTCCGTCACGTCAAAATATGTACTGTTGCAGGTCTCTCCACATAAAGACCAGTAACAGGACGACGCGATGGCATTTTCCAGTGTGGCATTTGCAAGCTGGCTCCATAAATTGGCCGCCTACCAGTCCGGTGGAATCCAGTAATCTTCCCAGGCACCATTGCCATTATCTGCATCGCGGAATTTTTCAATTCCTCCTTCCACGCCTTCTTCAACCACTGTCCATACACCCCTTTCGATTAGTTCGGTCCACCGTTCGAACAGCCTTTCCATTCTCTGCGAGCGCTGGTCGCCTCCAAAAGGATGAAACCAGCCATGTTGAAAAGGTTCTGCGAATGAGCCTGTCCTAACTAATTGACCATCGCTCATTCGCGCCCCATCCACATCACCTATATTAGGTCGTAACATATATGGAAGCAAAAGGCGGAATCCTGCCTCTTCTGTTCGGGGTAAATTCAAGATGTAGGCTCACTGTATAACCCAGTAAATACCGGAGCACCGATACTAATAGGTAAATTTTCATCAGGAATATATCGGAAGAACAGGCCTCGTAATTCCGAGTTGAAGTTTATAGTCCGGCCTAATGCAGTCCGGCCTGATGCAGCAAAAATCAAGACTGCTGGTATAGTTCCCTCCTCATTAGAAAAGCGAGTAAAGTTTTGGCGTCTCGCGAACGCCTCTTTGTCATGCGGGACCTCAAGGCCGGGTGCAATGAATTTGAAGCGCGGGGAATTGATTCGAGTCAGAACTGAGCGAATAAAGCAATCCTGCGGCACAGATGCCGCGTCTAGTTCTGTGTCTGTGAAGAGAGTCCTTGTCCTATTTATAGGTAGAAGAGAGTCGGCCGGCATTCGGGATTCAACTGCGACTAGGTAGCGATTAATCGTAGATACAGTATTATCAACCTGGGCATCGCAATAGGGAAGCCACGACCATAACCCAAGCTGGGATCGGTGCTTAGAATCGCACTCTGGTAGCCCAGCAACCACCTTTCCCAGACGAATCAAAAAGATCCAGTGGGTGAGAATAGTCTCTAGCGGGAACCAGAACTCCCCACGTTCATCAACAGGCTCAACGCTTTCAGATGCTCCGATAGTTAAAGGGAACGAGGTCCTACGGAGCTGCTGGTCGTAGACAACCCCGAGACAATGCGAGCCTAGATCAGGTGTAGTATCATAGATTATGATGAATCGCGCTTTTCCTTCATCTTCGAGGTCATTATCTTCAAGACAGAAAGTTTCATCGCAGGGCTCTATCGCGAGACCAACGATCCAGTAGAAGAGCCCTGGCTGAGGATCGTGGATCATATCCAGGAAACAATTAAGCGACGGATCAAGGGGCTCACGATTTGCATCTCGATTTGTTTTCTGTTCAGCTAGCGCATCGAGGTCGGGCGTGTCTCGTCCGTGGCGCGCCATCTACGCATATGGGACTAGGTAATTGTGTAGTCTGGCACAGCACTCATAGTCGAAGGTGCCGTCATTGCTTGCTGGATTGTTGTGGAAACCAGAACGTCCTCGATATCGAGAACTTGCTCGACCGTCATGTTTATGGCCATGCTGATTGCGTGGAGAGGGTAGGTTGAGAATCAGCAGCCGAGATTGACACCTAGCAAGGAGAAAATATGGTTAAGTTAACGTTAGTTAATTAAGTAAACCGGTGGGATTTTGTAATGATCCCTGAGTAGCTCGGTTTGAACAGGGGCGTGTTGAATTCTACTCAGTGAGCAAAAGCGGCGACAGGGTGAGCACTAGAACGGAAGGAGAAAGCAAGCCAAGCGTTGCCGGACAAAATCCGGTATATTTTGCAGCAATTTAGGGCTCCTGTACATAGTCACGGTTACAAAGTCCGTACGGTATGTAATACCGCGGACAGTGTATGTAGCTGGGAACAGCTGCGCAGAAGCGGGGAAAATAGGCAGCGGCCAGAGAACCGGCTCCCCCGATGACGCAAGGTAGCACGGACCACCAAGCACCGGTATTGGTATTTCCATCTTGCCAAATCTTGGTATACTTCTCGAAACATGAGATCCGACATGGAAAGGTACTCTGATACACCTAAGCTCTCTCCAACCCGGGTTCCTGCTGGTAGCAATGCATCTCAATCTGATCGACCTGCTCCCACTGTGCCGGTAATGGCACTTTCACCTGCAAGGAGACAAATCCCGCAGCCCGCATGAGATCGAAGAAAATAGCCTCGCTCTCGTGCCGCCGCTTTAGGGCCACCAGCACCATGGCCTCCGGGGAACCCCGAACCAAGCGATTGAGGACGGATACCAGCGCTGGCAGGCTATCTGCATTGTATGTACAGTCCGACACGAGGATCAAGTCAATAGGCCCGCGAGTGAGGTTTGGTGTCGGGTCATCCCAGTCGAGTGTCTGAAACTTGATCGATGCCGATGATCTCGGCGAGGCTTCGTTGATATTACGAGTCACTATCTCGGAGACTTCGGGCAAATCAGTGAGAAGGACTTCGCAGTTGGCGAGCATGGTCGCTAAAGCGATACCCACAATGCCACAACCAGCACCGAGCTCGACGACTTGCAGGGTCGACTTGCCGGAGTTCAGGAGCTGGCCAAGGAGAGGCATGGACTTCTCGGCGCTGGTAATGACTTGCTCGAGGAATATGATGGCTGCGAGAGCCGCATCCCTGTAGTAAATAGGCTGAGATTAGACTGCCTGCAAATACTGGAGGAGAATGGGTGAGTGAATGGTTGAAGCATGACTGACCAGATGTGCCGGGCAATGCTGTTGCCCGTTTCTTCCCAGATTCTCAAAGGCCGCACATTATCTGCAATGTTCAAATCTCGTCGGATCAATTGCTCAGCTGGTTCCCATTGCGGTCCGAAGGGTGCGCTGCACCCCGATATCACCAATGGTGTCGAATGCTTCCCCAAGACATCTTTCTCAACATCGGCAAGTTGAATTTTCAGCACCGCCGTTTGTCTGGCCACATCATTAGGTGAAAAGGGACCCAGTAATATAGGTATTTGGCGAGTACCAGCTTGCCATTGTAGGGCAGTCTGATATCGAATCTTGTGCGATGGATATTGTATCCAGCTCGCCGTCAAGTCCACGTCCTCGGCGAGGAAATCATCGCCCAGGTCAGTAGTTATGCAGATCAAGGCTGAGATGACCACGGACTTTTTCTGCTGCTGGAACCGAGGCGTCTTCAGAAATCGAATATAATATACCATTTTTCGCCCCACTCCTCCAATAAAGAGTAATTTGACTCCACATCCAATTCTTCGATTTTCACCTTTTTTCCACCTGCCGTGGCCGTCTTTTACCCCAGACCAGGCAGGCCCCCACTTGTCCTCACGTGCCTTCGCTGACTAACAGGACATGACATCGGCACCAACGTACCTTCACTACGCAATCATCTAGCATTCCTATCCCCCTCGTTCCTGCCAATGATGGCCACGGCGCGCAGATGAGGCCAGAATATCAGCCTACCCGCGCATCCACACGCTTTACCACAGCCCGCGCCTCAAAATGATGCGCCCGCGCGATCCACGAATCCGTCAGCGGATCAATCAGATCTCGCATAACCTAGAGTCCGCCAACGAGTCCGCTCAGGAGGGTCTATACACATTCTCCCAGAATTACCTCTCCCCATGTCTTAGCAGTATTGGCAACTGTGTTCAGACCTGCACGGCACCTTGCCTGCCCAGTCGCGAGGACCAAATGCGGCGTCGTCGACGCGGTCGTGCTGAGGCTAACTTTGACTTCTACGATGATTGGGATAATGAAGAGGATGAGGATGGTATTCTTGGCTGGGGAACCGGCGAGCTCGATCGGTTGCTAGCGGGAAGTGGGCTTGCACGTGGTGGTAATGCAGAGCAGCCGCGACGACAAAGGAAGATGAGCTACGGGACTCGTCAGACTAGAAGACGGAGCACAGTCCATATCCCGGATAACCGCTCTGATCCTACGGTCATACCGAGTTCCTCGCTTATTGGGTTTCTCGAGCGCTTTCCGTGGCGGTTTGGTGCCAAGGGCGTCAAGTATCGACCCTCTGCTGCTGATCTGCAAGAGCACCCGGGTAGTCACCGTCGTCATACGCAAGAAGACGAGCCATTGATGGAGGTCGCGGAAGACGATGGAGATTATGTTTCTTATCAAATCAATAGGAGGGATCGAAGCGGTACACAGTCATCACGGGGAACGTCAAACTCCCTCAGCTCCCGGGGTGATCTCTTCCCGAGTGACGAGGAAGAAGATGCGGTTCCACTTGACGACGAATTCGCACTGGTGTTTGGACGGCGAAACACCGGGCTTGAGTCGGATGATCAGTCTGGTAAAAAGACCGAGATGGTTAGATCGGCCTCTGGCACATCGAGCCCAGGCGATGCTTCGTCCAAGAAGTCCAAGCGGAAGAAAAAGAAGCGCTCCTCGACCAAGACCGCCGCGAGCATGGATCAGGATGTCGTTCAGAGCATTGAAACGCCGTCAATTGCCGATCTCAAAATGGAAGAAGAGCAGGTGGCCCGGGAAGAAGAATCTATGGTCCACAAAAAGCGACTCGCAGCGCAAGACTTGGCTTTGAAACGCGGCCTGGAGCCGAGCAGTGCTGACATGGTGCGTCTTACAAAGGCATACATTTCCCTTGTTGGACTTCAAACTAACTCGACCATCACAGTCTCCCAAAACTTCCATCCTTGGAAACCAAACAAGCGGGGCCTCTCCAAACAATAGCCCCAAATTGGTAGCACGAAACCAACTCCCAGAAGGCCACACCAGGCAATCCAGTGGCTCTTCCATTCGCCGATACTCCGGTGACCAAACCGAGCCATTCCCACCATTCCCGCTGCCGGCATCTTCCATACTTACTCCGTCCCCCGGTGCCGCTTTGGCTTCCTCTCGACCGACCTCACTGAATGCCGATAGCGGCACGGAAAATGACCCTGGAGACAATGGCGAAGCACCCCATTAATCCCAGCTGTGGTCGAGTTGCGAAGAGCACCTGGCGTGTCTGTGACCCACAGCTGGCGTGTACGATATAATGACTTCTTTTCTGATGTACCTTATACCCCCTTAATGATGACCCGAAAACCTTCTATTGAATGCCATTATTATCTCAAATGCGTAGTTCAGATATAGCAGGTGAGGAAGACGTCTCTCGCTCTTCAGGCGTAAACGGCGTAAATTCCGAGAATGCCATCCCCCCTGAATCTCCCATCGCCAGACTACTTACCCGATCAAGGAAGGAGGATGAAGATTACGAAGGTGGCCTCGGGGTTGCCTTAGCCAAAATGATCTTCTCCGAACCTTTTTAGCTCAGCTCGGCGTAGATCCGACGGACGCGTGTCGGGCCCAGTCAACCTCTACTTATGAGGACTCTTCTCCAGGTACGACAGCATTTTTTAATACTGACCACTGCCGGGGGCTCTCTGAATTTGAAGACCTCATTGATTCTTGTCTCAGGTCAACGGCATTCATAATGACTGAAGCTGAGCCCGGTCCCAGCTCTGTGCTGAGCGAGTACTACTATGACCCCCACATGCTCACCTGGTATGAGCCAAAGCTTACGGATGCTGAGCCCAAGGCACGAGAGATTGTCAAAATGTATAGCAATATCCCGCCTAATGAGGTCGTACAATACGTCAACAGCCTATTTCGTGATCCGTGCACTCGATTTCATGGATATAAGCATCCCCCAACAACCGATCTATCCAAAGATCCCCGAGCGTCTCAAAGCTCGTTAGAAGCTATTGGACGCTGGATGCGCCCTGGGCCAAGAGCTGCGTACGTTGGTATGCTCTCTATCAGAGGCGCCATTAATCCATCGACACTAGCATCTCATATAGGTCTTCGACGGCTGCCCTCCGAGAATCTCAACGCCACCAATCTCCGCCGCGACTTCTTCTCATTTAGCTTCAACCGCTTCAAAGACCGCGCCAGATTCAGAAAATTAATTAATCGAGCCAGAAATCTTCGACCCCACCTCGCAGCTAGCCCAACAACTCACCGGTAGAATGGACATCGTCAACGCGGGCTCCTTCTTCCACCTGTTTAGGTAGGAACAACAAATCTCCCCCGTGAAGCAGGTCATTACATCAACGCGTTCACGGTCGGGGTCTTTGGTTCTTGGCCAGCAGGCGGGATATAAGGATCCTATTAATCCTTATGATTGGGAGAATTTGCGAAAGGGGTGTAGACATGATGTTGAGACGTGGAAGATGAAGAATTTTTGGAGACAGTTTGATGGGGAGACTGGAACTAAGAGGGAGGGGTTTATTTGGCATTTAATGAGTATCATCCTGGTGTGGAGACTTTCAAAATGAGGTTAGTGTCGAGGAGGTCGCAAGCAATCCTTGGGGACTCAGCCTTGGGGGTCACAGTCTAGTCAATTGAGGCGATAATGCCCATGTGCGCACAGGCAGTGCTAACAGTAGAGGATTTAAGGGTCCCAGTAGCCCGGCACGGTTGGGTTTTACATCAGTTCGTGTTTTCTGTGTTGAGTCAGACGTTTGGCATAATTTGCACGGAATACATATAGAACCATGATTTGGAGAAGTTTGACAATCTTGCAATTTCCTTTTCAGGCTCGTTGCGGCCATGGTACTTTCAATGCACACCGTTCCATCTATTCTAGCATCATTATCTTTGCCCCGCAAGGAAACCCTCCGCTATCATTCATATTATAGAGGTTATCTCGGAATATTTGTCAATTGGACACTGAGGGGTAGATACGCTATGCGTTAGCTCAAGCACGCCACGTCGAGGAATGCTCTGTTCATCTCGCGCCATTTTCGATCGTGATTTCGAAGCTCTCGTATTGGAACTTTGTCATTTCAAAGCAGCTGTGCCATTCACATCACAATTTCTATAAATTTGACCTTTCGGTCGATTCAAAGACTTGTTGTCCCTTTCTGTCAGGCTTAAAAATACCTGGATCAACATGGCCGAAAAGATAGATAAGCTTCCTACAGCAACAACATCTTCACCCGATATTTCTGGGGGTGAAATCGGACTCGAGTCAACACTTCCCCAACATGGAAAGGTGCATTATGTTGATCGTGGTCAAAATGGTGGTCTCGCGACACATGAGGCAGAACTCATTCCAGGTTACGATGCCGATCTGATGAGTGCGAGAGCTACTTTGAGTAGCGCCGAAGAGAAAAAGCTTTTGAGAAGAATCGATTGGCACCTCATCCCTCTGTTGGCTGTGATGTACATGCTCAAGAGTATCGATTTTACCAATGTAGGTTCATACCTTGATCGGAACCCAACTATTGAGACTAATATGGGTGGACCAGGTCTCTTATGCCAGAACCATGGACAAAGGCACACCTTACAACATTATGACAGAGCTCAAAATGACATCTAATCAGTATAATCTCGTGACAACTTTGTATTATGTAGGTCTACCTGCCTGAGAGATAAGCTGGTGCTGACCACTCCAGATCCCCTACATTATTGCCGAAGCACCATCCAACCTTCTTTTAAAAGGTGTGCGACCGTCAGTATGGCAGGCTCGAATCATGGTGAGTGGACTGTCCGAACAAGATTCAAGTATCCCGCTAACTGTACTGCAGGTTTCCTGGGGTATCGTCCTTTGCTGTCACGCCGCTGTAACAAATCGACAAGGTTTATACGCTGTCCGATTCTTCCTCGGCCTTTTTGAGGCTGGCCTCTGGCCAGGTATGCTGGTGCACCTATGCTACTGGTATAGACCAGATGAGATTGCGCCACGAATCGTGCTTGTGACTCTCTTGGGTTGTTTCAGCTCGGTCATCAGTGGAGTTCTCGCTTTCGCGTTTAATGGCGTTGTCGCAGGCGGTTTATCGGGATGGAAGTGGTGAGTAAATTCCATTCCGGAACATAGAGAGCTACGATGCTAATACTTTCCTACAGGCTCATATTGACAGAAGGCGTCTTTACAGTTTTGCTTGGATTTTTTACATATTTCTTTTTGCCAGATTGTAAGTCAATCTGCCGCCAATTATAATTCATGCTAACATCATTCCAGTCCCGTCTACTGTTTCGTGGCTCTCCGAGAGAGAGAAGGCATTCATCCAAGCACGTCTTCCGAGCAACTCTCCACGAGCAGCAGAAGCAAATTTCAACTTACCGGAGCTCATTACAACTTTGAAAAACAAGCGAATCTGGCTGTTCCTCCTTTGCTGGGCCTTTTTCACCATCGGCACTACTGGTCTCACCTTCTACCAGCCAACCGTCATTGCCAACCTCGGGTTTACGTGAGTGAAGGATCCTCTTCATGCTGTTATCTTATTCTAACGATCTCGAAGTTCAATCGGCGAAGCCCTGCTTTTGAACATCCCATCAGCTGTATTCGCAGTGATCTTGACGATCACTTTCGGAATATTCGCAGACACCGGACGCATCCCCCAGCCAGCCATTCCACTCTTTTTCATGATTGTCATCCAGGCCTGCTATGGAGTTCTTTATGCTTTCCCCAACAATGGTGGTGTTTACGCTGCCACGATCATAGCCGGTGGATTTTCAACTGCATGGTACGTACATCGCATGTGTTTCTCAGACGATAACATAGAGTATTGATCCAAATAGGTACACCATGATGTGGCCATGGCGAGTTCAAACTACCGAGGGCGCAACTGGCTCGGCATTTGCAATTGCCTTTGCAAATAGCTACGGTCAAATTGGAGGAGCAGTCGGATCACAACTGTTCAATTCTCGCTACGCACCGCATTACACTACTTCCTTCGGAATTGCGATGGGATTTATTGGCATGGCTATAGTCATGAACGTTATTACTTGGGGGTTTACCTGGAGGGTCGATGTTGATACTAGGAAGCTGAAGAGGATCAGGATTGCAGCGGCTAAGCAAAACCAAGCCGTTCTAGATGATGTCGATATTCATGCCGGAGAGAAGAAAAGGCAGTGATATGCGAGACCGGTGTAGGTAGGATGGGGTAGGGAAGAATATGCAGGTGATTAGAATAGAACTTATGACAAGTCGGGTGTGTTCGGAGAAGAATGATACAAGTATGGCGTCTTCCTTCGTATTTCTTTCTTCTCAATTAATAAGGGTGACATTAACGACACGACAGAATAGTTCATGGCACGACAAGGCTAGTCCTCATTGCGGAACCCCCCTTTTCAATACAAAATGCTACATTCTTGATTCACAGAATACCTACCGAGTCATTATGTATAATTCATATTGATACTTCTGGTTAATATCTTTAGCGACTGAATACGCGACCTCTTATCTATTTATCCCTATAGTAGTAGACTAAGTTATTATTCTACTCCCCCTCCTCCTATCACCCTTTGCTCAGATCTTTTCTAAGGTCTTTTTAGTCTTTTCAATGGTCTTTTCTATATCTTTTCTAAGACATAGGCTTATATATACATAAGGACTCTACTAGTATTTTGTAAATCTCGAATATAGCATTCTGTATTGAAGGGGTAGCGCTCCTCATCAGGACTAGCCTGATCGTGCCATGAATTTTCCTGTCGTGTCTTTGATGCCATCCATTATTAATATTATTCGTAAAGCGGTTTGTCAACTCCTGGCAGTTCGCGTAGAGCGCCGACACACGCCATTGCGGGGAGCGACGTCCTTATCGGATCGCCTTTCACGTTCCCCTCATATTCCCACCCCCCCCCTTGGAGTTTTTGCTTCTTTCTAGATAATTCTGTCATTTCCTCCGGTCCCGACTCACAGACCTCTCTTTCCTCAAAGCTGTCTCAGTGATACTTGGAAGCTCATTCTCCCTTGCAATAAGCCCACAATATGAAGAGAAATTACCTCTGGGCGGTTACTGCCCTGGCCAAAGCGGCACACGCTTCCCTCCAACAGCCCTTGGGCGAAAGCCTCCAGCCTGGAACGGTGCATCTGTCCGAGCTTGATAATATCGTCGCTTCATCGCCTCTTCTATCATTTCATAGAAACATTGTGGAGATCCCATCTGTTAGTGGCGACGAGAAATACGTCGGAGAATTCGTCCTGGACTTTCTATCGTCACACAACTGGACAGTAGAAAAGCAGATCGTCATCCCCGAATCCGGTGACATCAAAGAGCGATTCAATGTCTATGCTTATGTCGGTGATAATCGGTATCCCGACGTGCTACTGACCAGCCACATTGATACCGTCCCGCCTTTTATTCCTTATTCACTCCATCCGCCAGCACCAGGAGGATCGTCATTCAGTCGAAAGGACCTAGTCATTGCAGGGCGCGGCACTGTAGATGCCAAAGCAAGCGTAGCAGCTATAGTCTTCGCTGCTATCGAGACTCTTCGCGATAATCCAGATGCCTCAATCGGGCTATTGTTCGACGTCGGCGAGGAAAGATTCGGGGATGGAATCAAACACTTCTCAGACTCGGATCTAAACACAAACCCACCTACATTCCATACGGTTATCTTCGGAGAGCCTACCGAGCTCAGTCTCGTTGCCGGTCACAAAGGCGGGGTTGGGTTGAAGGTGATCGCCAAAGGCAAAGCCGCCCATTCCGGATACCCCTGGCTAGGGGACAGTGCGATCTCAGCCATCCTCCCTGTTTTGTCCCGTCTTGATAATCTTGAAAATGTCCATCCCAAGGACGGTGGACTTCTTCGAAGTGACAAGCTGGGCAAGTCGACTTTGAATATCGGTCAGATTTATGGCGGTGTCGCTGGAAATGTCGTGCCAGCGTACGCCGAAGCATCAGTCTCGGTCCGCCTCGCAGCAGGGACACCGGAAGACACCAGAGAGATTCTCCAGCGAGCTGTCGATGAAGTGACTGGAAGAGATGGCAGCGTGATCTTAGACTTTGGTGGACCAAAACCTGGCGGTGCGCCGCCTCAATATTTCGATACGGACGTGGAGGGATTTCACGTTATTACTGTGAACTATGGGACAGATGCTGCGTCTCTACATATCCATGATCAAGATACCCCGAAAGTGCGCAGGTATCTCTATGGGCCTGGAACTATTCATGTTGCACACGGTGATGACGAAGCTATCACTGTAGGAGATCTGGAGGAAGCGGTACGCGGTTACAAAAGACTGATCTCGGCTGCTCTGCAAAATTCGTGAGAGCCTTGCATGGTATATACGAGAAATTCAATATAGTGTTTGAACCCATCGAGCGGTCTTTCAGACGGCAATTTTGGCTCGAAATTCTCGGCAATCATTAGTCTGAGTGGCCACCGCAGTTGCTTATGAGCGAGCGAGCGAATTCATGGAGACTGGGAAGTGACGTGAATTCTGTCAGCCTCACTGATAGTCAAGCGACGGATGGGCAGATCTAGATAGGTTTGACTGGTTACATCTGGAAGATGACATCGCTACGGGGGTGCTCCCTTGGAGATGTGGAGGATGATTATAATCGCCGGGTATATTAACATTAAATCAATCTAGTTCCATGATCTGCAGCCTCATTTCCAAATATCCTGTTTAAGGTAGATGGAAATGCACCATGCAACTGCTCTGCACTGTTCCATTGGTTATTAGCCGAAAATTGTTGTGCGTTGTGAGCCAAAAGACCAGAGTCATAGGGCAAGCTGGCCTGCACATCCGGAACTGCGGGAACTGCGGATTTCTGTGTCTGCGGTAAGGGAGTCGGATCTTGAAACAGCCAAGGTGGATTAGCCAGGGACATGATTTCTTGATCGAAAATCGTCCACGAGTCATCGACCATTGGACCGGGAAATGCTAATGCTGAGCTTGTATCTGGCGGCGTATGCATTGCTTGCATACTTGATTCAAGGCGTTGGGATAGAACGGTGTGAATGCTGGCTGCCGATTGGTGACTCCGTTCTAGGCTTCGAAGGTGTGCTTGGATAAGATGGAGATCTGTGTGAGATGTTAGATGAAGCAAGTTTCTCGGGGCTACGATTTATGCGAACCGTCTTGATGCGTCATGCCGTCTTCAACACCACGAAGGAGTAGCATAGCAGCCCAGGTTATCATCTGCGGGGGTCAGTGATCAAAAAATATCAATTTCGCAATCAGTGCCGCTAAACTTACGATCAGGTCCCAATTAGACCAGATGCTAGCATCATCCTGCCGTAGTCTCAGCACTGCCCTTGCCGAGACAAGCAGCTCATGCCTCTCAACGGGGGCGATTTTTGCGGAGCTCAAATCGAATCCTCGAGCAGGGTGATATATTGATAGTACAAATAGCTTGTGCAAATGATATTGTAGTAGGATCAAGATCCCTTGTCGATCTGACGGGCTGGGTTCTAGATGAACAATTCTCATCAGAAAGGTTTCAACTAACGAGCGCTAAGCTTGAAAACTCACGGGAAGTTCCATTATATCGCACGAGCCAGTCATCCAACTTACGTGCCCAGAGTCGAATGACATCAGAATCGTGGTCTGAGAATGAAGAATGAGGAGTGGAGATGTTGGCGGAAATGTCGGCATTTATTGTGCACCAGACGGTCGGTAAGCCTTTGCCTACGAAATGGCTCAACCCGTAGTGCATCATGTCAGCAAGACCTTGGAAGGCATTTCCATGATGATTGTCCAATCGCTGAATACCAGATTTGGAAGGCTGGCGAGGTAGCAGGGGATGTGTCATATGCATAGACGCATGCTCGATATCAATGACCTGATCAATTGTTAGCAGGCCCATCTCACGTCAAAGGTATTAGTCTGACCTGAAGACCACAGAACAGTCCTCGCCAATCAGAGATTGAAGCATCCATGTCCGAAGGGCAATGGTCTAGCCAGAGTCGATATGCAATTGCGATCCATGAGCCAGTTGCATCGATATATGCTTCAGAACTCAGACTTGCCATGATCAAGCCCAGGATATTATGGAAAGCCTTGTCCTTCTGGATTTTCAAAGCATTATTCGACTCTTCATCAGTATATGAGTCTGTTAGATCAACGTGGCTTCGCTTCAAGCACGGCGTCACCAGCTCAGCGATTGCACTACACGTGGCTGCAAAATAGCCTGATTCCATAGCTGCTAGTTCGGGTTGCTGGTGATGAAGGGCGGAGATATAGAGCACAGAGCCGAGAAGCAATGGTGTAGGTGAAGCAAATACATCTCGGTCTTTCAAAAAGTGAAGAAGTGGCAGGTTATTCAGGAATCTACCCCAGTGTCAGTGCTAATCAATAACAGTAGCGTTTTACTTACGAGCTCCAAAGACGTTTCACAATTGGTCTAGACCAGATGTTTCCATCAAGTGCCGGTGTTATAGACCTGAGATGAGCTACTGCTTTCCAAACACCCTGCAAGGGCACTAAATCTGGTTCTTCATCCACGTCCAAATCCTCGGTTACCGAGACACTTGGCGGTGCATCCTGGCTAATTCCCAGTGCGGCTTCAATTCGATCTAGCCGGTCAAGAACGGACTGCTGGTCATATGTCGATGACCGAGAACCGAGAAGTTCAGTTTGGGCTTCTTCAACCATTTCATGCAACGCGGATGCCTTATCAGGCGTTAGTCGACTTGGCACATCAAGCAATTCTTGGCTTAGCACATACATTGGCCCGAGGCTTAAAGATACACGGTGTCTGGTTATGCCGGCAACGACGGCATGGAGGAGGGCCCGAGACCTCACATTTCATCTAAGGGTCGTCTGTCAATGGGCGAGTTAATTCTGAATACCGGTACTGATAGGTACCTTCAGTCTCCGGCAGTTGACTACAAATAACTTTGTTAGACCTGGGCCAGCATTGAGGGTTCTTGGATACACTTACCACATGCCTTGGTCGGCTTAGGTCCCAGAACCACGCTGCCTCGCTTCATCATGGTGTCTTGAAATGGTTACATCGTACGAGGAAGAAGCAGCCCCGACTTGGCGCCTCTCCACGGTTTCTTATCGATACCCACGTGAGTCGGGGCTTAAAGGAACCCGCGTATCCGGGGAAGGCGCTAACCTGATTGGGTACCATAGTTTGGCCAAGTCAAATACTTTTAAGTCTTACTCGGTACGTTCATATGAGTAACAATGTCAAAAATTTAATAATTTGCTGAATAAAATGATGTCTATTATTTGGAAATTCTATCGTTCATGTACTCGCGTTTTTAGTCCGCCCTGCGTAGGCTGAAAGTGTGTTCAGGGCGGTTCCGAAAAACGGAGATGAGAAGTGTACCTCACGGGTTCACATTCTCATTGTTCTTGCGCATGCATCCACTACCTGAGGTAATAGAATGCCACATCTTTCAATCAATGGGGATGACTGGTTGAAGACGTGAGAAAAAGCTCCGGTGCTTGAAAGCACGTATAGATCTTGATAGCGCGGTGTGAAGAGGTGTGGGACCAAAAAGGCAAGGAAAAGGAAAAGAGATAGTGACCGGGGTTTCATGCAGGTCATATAGTATACATTTATGTACAAGAAGATGCAAAAGAGTTGGGACAATGCAAGAGTGAGTAGAAATACACGGGAGAATGAGCGGGGTATATAGTGAATCACTTCCCTCGGTGGATGCCAATCAATACATGGTATTGAGAGAGACAAGGGTCGGCCTTCTAAGCAGCCGGAGCATCGTCTGGCTGACCCATGGAAAGCTTGCGAACCTCCCACTCAGAGTCAGCCCAGTCCTTCTTCTCGCCAAGGACGCAGGTTGTCTTGCGCGAGCCGTTCACCAGGAAACGATCAGCAACTTCGTTCACATCCTTGGTGGTGACGTCCAGAACCTGCTCTCTCCAGCGCTGGTCCATCTCGTGGGTGACACCGCTCATGAAGTAGCGAGCACCCTCGTCATCAACACTGACTGGAGCATCCAGGCCCTGGAAGATGCCGAGCTTGGCCTCCTCGATCTCACGCTCAGACCAAGCGCGATCCCTGGCGAAGATACCGCTGTTCTGGAAGACCTTCAACGAGTTCAAAGGATTAGGATCTCGGTAACTCATGAAGGTGAAGATGCCTTTGAGTGGACCGTTGCTAGCACCCGCTCCGTAAGCACCGCCCTTCTCCCGAATTTCGGGGTGGAGGTAGTTGTGAGTGAGCATCTGCGATAGTACGGTAAGGGGTGCGCTAGCCGGGTCGGTGAATGGGACAGTCTGAGTAGCCTGACCAGAGTAGTAGACCTTGTAGGGGAGATCATAGAAAGCCTTGTCAACAGACTTGAATGATGGCGCGGTGGATGCACGTGGCGAAGAGACCTGTGGCAATCCAGACAACCACTTCTGCAGGACGGACTCATTTTGGGAAGCACTCTCTGGCTCGCAGACCATACGAACGCGGAGGCTAGACGACCGTGAGATTGCAAACGACTGGATTAGGCGCAACTTATCAATCAACTCCTGCAGACGCTCAGGAGAGGTCCCCGCGTCACGGAGAAGGTTTGCAGTAGCCTGCAACTGCTCCAGACCGGATTGTTGCTCCTGGATCCACAAGCTCCGGGAGAGATTGGCCGCGGCGGCATTCACAGCGAAACGGTGACCGGTCGAGGCAACGGAATCCAAAGCTCCGTTAGTGGTCAAGCGCAGGAGTTCTTGAATCATAGCAGGAGCGGCGGGGCTTGAGAAATCAGTCTCCGTAACCAGGGTAGAGAGCATGTCCAACATCTCGGGGATGTTGCTGTCCAGGGCAAAGCCAGAGAACTGCATTCCTTCCTTGAACTGGTCGAGCTGAGTGGGAGAAGAAACGAGGAAGGACGAAGTGGAGATGCCACCGGTCTTCAGTTTGATGAGATCCTCCCACTGTTCCATTGAGCGGTTTGCGGTGCCCAAACGCATGACACAGTCATTGAAAAGCGGCAACAAGAGTCGCAATTCATCTGGAAGATCCTGGAAAGCGTTGACAGCCTGGAAATAGGTCAAACCATTGGTGGGAGCCTCACGCCAGACAACTTCCGTATCGTCAACCTTCGACTCGCGCACCGGCTTACGCTCCTTCTCGCGGGAGATGTCCTTCACTCGCAGGGTGGGAAGACAGCTCAAATCGGCGTTATGAGCGTCTTCCTGAACCTTCAGCAGCTGAAGCTCTGCAGCGGTGAGATTAGCCACAGCCTTTTCAACTGAGCCATGCTCCTCAATGAGTTGAGCGAGCTTCTTGTCCTTGCGCACAACCTCTTTCTGATCAAGCTCTTTATTGAAAGTCGGAGATCCAACCATCGTGAACGTCATACAACGATCATTAAGAAGGTACTTCTCCACTAGAGATTCCAGATAGCCAGGCTTCTCATACCTCCTCTTAAACTCCTCAATAACGTCGTTCCAAGCCAGCTCCTTCATTGGGTTGGCACCGTTGAACCAGGACGAGATGGTCTTCTCCATAACCCCAATGCCAAAGTTCGCGGTCTTATGACGGAGAGAGAGCTCCAGCTGGTGGAGGAAGCCACGAACCTTCTCTTCGCTAAAGCCAGCCTGGACAGACTCCTGGAAAGCCTTCTGGATCACTTCTTTGACAGTAGGAGCCTCCGCTTCACTGACACCTGTGACACCGACGGAGAAGATCGGGACCTTGCCGGAGGAATCTAAGCCGGTGTTGGGGGTGAAGGAGGAGCCCAGGCCGCTTTCAATCAGAGCCCGATACATGGGTGAGCCATAGCCATCCAGTAACAGAGAGGAAATGATTCCAACGGAGAAGGTCTCGACGGTATCTGTCGAATCCCCCATATACCAAGATGTGGATGTCTTGTGTTGCTTATCCTCGCTCGAAAAGGTGTCGACAGGTCCAGGTACTGTGACGTTCAAGCCTTGGCTCAGATCAAGAGGCAGCTTCACTTCGGTGTCAGCGTCTCCTTTGTTGAATCTTTCCAAGACAGCTCCAATCTGTTCCAAATGACGGGCAAGAGGCATATCTCCATAAGTTAAAATCTTGGAGTTGCTTGGGTGGTAGTTGCGCTTCGAGAACTCCGACAACTGCTGATGCGTGAGGTCCGTGATATACTCTGGGTCGCCACCTGAGTTATTAAGAGCCGGGATAATGCTCTCCTTGAAACGAATGTAGTAGAGGTAGTTGGAATCCGAAATCTGGCCCTTCATCTCATTGTAAACGACGCCCTTGAACACAATGTCTTCCAGTTCGGCCTTCTTCTCCGGTTGTCCTTCTACCGGGAGGAAAGCACGTGGATCTTCAGGACCCAAACGCCAGCCTTCCTGTCGGAAATCGTCTGCCTTAAGAAGGGGGTGGAGTGTTGCATCGAGGTATACAGAAAGAAGGTTTTGGAAATCTTGGGAGTTGGTTGTCGCGAAAGGGTATGTGGTGTGGTCGGAAGAGGTGAACGCATTCATGAAGTTTGAGAGGGAGCGTGGAAGCATCTTGAAAAAGGGATCGCGAATCGGGTACCTATACGGAGCATGATGAGTATTAGGTAAAAGTCAGGCTACAGGTTCGAGGACTGAACATACTTCTCACTTCCACAAAGGGTAGTGTGCTCTAGAATATGCGGTACACCCGTCGCATCAGGAGGATTGGTCTTGAAACCAATACCAAAGACATTGTTCTTGTCATCCCGAGCCACATGAAGGTAGTCCGCATCGGTTTTGTCGTGGGTGAGCCGCACTGCAGTCAGGTGGAGCTCCGGAACATGCTTCTTCTCCCGAACGGTAAATCCATGAAGCTTCTCACCGACGGCAGGGAAGCTTTCAAGGTCAGTAATCGTAGATGCCAGTCTCGTTGCTCCAAATGGCCGTGGAACCACCGAAGTTAGTCTGGAAAAACGGCCAGGAACCGGTTGTCGCAAAGACGGGACCCGGGCTCTGCCCAGGCCCAGAGTGGAGCGTAGCATAGTAAGGTGGTAGGTTCAGCACACTTGGCAAGTGTTCATCGCAGTCAGAATCAAAATACCCACGGCTATTTCAATAACAGTGCGTGCCTTTTGTGTTGAGAACGTCGAACAAAGCCGGAAGTTTGAAGATTGCAAATGCTGTAACGAGATGGATCGGACCGAGGACACCGGGGCTTATGTCATCCAATTGGGGGAATTCAGTGGCGCCCTGGTGACTGCAACTACTACCTACACCAGCAAAAGGAGCCTACAGATTCATGAGACTCTCCTTAATTCAAATCCAACTGCCCCTTGCACAACTAGCAGCGATATTTGTCCATCCAGTTCGAGGGTAAAGAAGTCCGTGGCTGGCCAGTCTGCTCGGTGCGGCTGGTTCGATGACTAAGGATCCCCTCGTCGAGTTCTGCGAAGACCGTTAGAAGGAACCATAAGTTACAACTCACCTCAAGTAGCGCTACGAGCCTCACACAGTTGACCCCGAGGTGATCTCTCGACCGAGCCCGCCTTACCTCTGGGGTCACGCCTTGTCTGCCTTCCCCGCAGTCCGATTGAACGCACCCCTCCCTCTTTTCGACCGTGTATCCGAATTGCGGCATTGCACAATTTTTCGGCCTCTTGACTGCCCACACGACCACCGCAAACCCATTTGAAGACCAACTTAGACGTGTTAGACGTGTGGTCTTCCCAGGCAACCGCCCACCATGTCGACCACCTCTATTGCGAAGAAGAACAAGGGGAAGAAAGTTGCCGACCCCAACGAGACGTCCAAATTACTCGCGGCCAAGATCTCTCAACTGGAGCAAGATGCGGCGGGGGAAAAGGATCAGGAACAAGAGATAGGTGCGTAAATATTCTATGCATACGTGTCTATGTCGTAGTTCTGCTTCTATCGGCGTATCGCGGCTCCGCACCTGGTCTAGGAAGGCTGAATATAGCTAACTTATATCCACTATACAGAGCGTGAAGTGAAGAAGGCGACCCGCGACCTAAACCAACTTCTAAACACCATGGAATCCCCAATGACCCGCCTGGAGACCGTCCACAAAAAGTACACCGAGCTATTAGCTGACATGAAAAAGCTGGATCGGGATTATTCCAAGAGCAAGAAGCGCGCGGATCAGCTGCAGAAGGATCAAGAAAAAGGAAAATCGGAGCTAAACAAAACTGTGACCATGAAGGACAAGCTGGAGAAACTCTGTCGCGAGCTGACCAAGGAAAACAAGAAAGTGAAGGTAAGGCGATTATGTTGTCCGCACCCCGTCAACGATTTTGTCACCTGACACGACGCAGGACGAAAACAAGAAGCTTGACGACACGGAAAAGAAGGCTCGACTTATTGTAAACGAACGACTCGACTCTCTCCTCTACGACATTCAAGACGTCATGGCGGCTAAGGGAAACCCCCGCAATGAGAAAGTGGATATCGATTTGGATGAAGCGTAAGGCCCCGCGATCTCGATTGGCTTGCGACACCCCACGTTTGCACGGTTGCTAACTTTCCACTAGGCTTCGTGCGAAACTGAAGACCATCAGCGAGCAATTCGATACCCGCGAACTCCATTACAAATCCCTCCTTCGCAGTAAGGACGCCGAGATCCAGAGTCTCACAGCCAAGTATGAGGAGCAACGCCGAACTGCCGACAACGAGACTGCTCGGGGTCGTGCACTGAGCGCGCAGGTCTCTACCTTCTCTCACACTGAAGCGGAGCTCCGCAGTCAACTCAACATTTATGTTGAGAAGTTTAAGCAAGTACGGGATTTCCGTTCAACCTCTTTCTACGGTCTATGACTGACTGACACTGCACAGGTCGAGGACACCCTGAACAACAGCAATGAACTCTTCTTGACTTTCCGCAAGGAGATGGAGGAGATGTCCAAGAAGACCAAGCGCCTCGAGAAGGAGAACCACACCCTCAATCGAAAGCATGAACAGACCAATCGTAACATCCTTGAGATGGCAGAGGAGCGCACTCGCAACCAAGAGGAACTTGAGCGATGGCGCCGCAAGTGCCAGCACCTTGAAGCCTTGTGCCGACGCATGCAGGCCCAAGGCCGCGGTGAAGGCTTGGCTGAGGGTGATGACCACTTGGATCACGATGACGAAGGCACTGAGAGCGAGTACGATGATGATTATGAAGATGAGGACGACTTGAGCGAAGAAGGAGACCTTGACGGACATGATCATGATCGTGATATCCCCCGAGCCGGCGGCCCTACCGAACGACCCGTCTTCGGGCCACCCCCGCCGCCCAATCTTCTGGAGGCCCGGGCTACCAAGAACGCCGTTCTCAACGGGTGCCACTAATCGAAGCTTTTGCTTTCGAGGATTTCACGCTATCAAGTTCATGCACTTATCTGAGTCTTTTTTTTTGCGGTGACACAGAATCCCGCCTCCGTCGATTTCTCCTTTACAGTTCCACATGTCCGATGAAATTCTCTGCATGTGCAGAGCCACAGTGATCACCGGGTGTCTGGAAAAAGGGGATTGATGCAATCCCAGGGTCTCTACAGTGACCGTCAGTGGAGAGCCTCATTGTTGTTGCTTGGGATCGCCTATGGTAACAGCTGGTACTCTTCATCAGGGACTCGGGGATTTTCTCCGTTATTCCAGCAATCATCATCATCACCTCGGGTGCATTTAGATTCTTCAGCTGTTTCTGTACAAGTACATGCCATATTAACATTCAAAGGATATTCCTCTGTATCAATCTCTTCTATTACCAGTAGAGATGTCCCCTCCCCCCTTATAGTTTACTCAATTGGCCATTCCCTGTGATATACGCATTACCCGCCTTCAGGACATCCACAGCCTGCTGCACCATCTCCCTCACGATGACCCCAGCAGGCTTGATCTCTTTCACACTAGCTGAGACATCGCCCATCAGGAAAGGCATGTCAATATCCTTCTCATTCTCCAAATCGTGCATCATAGGCACCACACCCTTTGCAGTCAATGCCGCAATATCCGCAGGTCGACTCTCCCACTCCTTCACATAGTCATTCGGCAACATACGCAATGGTCGCCCAGAAACCACCAATGTCCGACGAGTTTCGCCATACTGCGCTCCGACAACGGCCTCCTTGTGCAAACGACTCGCACCACTCTCCTCGGACGCGACAAACCGCGTTCCAACCCAAACACCAGCCGCACCCAGCATCAACGACGCCGCCAGACTGCGACCATCATTGATACCGCCAGCAGCCACAACCAGAGCAGGCTGGCCCGTCAACGGACTGCGATACTTGCGCGCCACGTCCACAACCGCAGGGACAAGGACGGAGAATGGGATATCACCAGTGTGACCACCACCCTCACCACCCTGCGCACAAACGATATCCACGCCCCGCTGCAACGCTTTCTCCGCATGCTTCGGCGCCCCAACCATATTCATCACCAGAATACCCGCCTCGTGTAGTCGCTTAACGGTTTTCTCGGGCGGGACACCCACGGCGGAAACGAACAGCTTCGCACCATGCGAGATCGTCACCTCGATCAGCTCGTCTAGCTGGCCGTGGGTGTAATCGTGATTTGTGGCTCGCGCACTCCCGCCAACCTGCGGCAGGGCCAGGTCCACGCCGAAGGGCAGGTTTGGATCCCTGAGGAGGGACTTGAGCTCCGTGAGCATTTCGGAGAGCTGCTGCGGCGTGTAGCCGAGTCCGCCTACGGTACCGAGACCGCCGGCATTGGAGACGGCTGCTGCGAGGGGAGCACCAGAGGCGCGGGCCATGCCCGCGAGTAATACGGGGTGTTGGATTTTAAGAAGGCTGCATAGCGGTGTTTGGAGAGACATTGGGGCGGGATGGAGGTGTGGACGAAGGTGTTTGGAGGGATTGGTGTGGGAGTATATGTAGGAAGGGGGGCGACACCTAGTAAATTGGTCCTTGGTATCTGGAGGAAGCGACTAGGTATATTTCTGTTAAACTGGTCTCAAACAGTCGGCGTTGCTGCAGCTTAGTCTGGGGTATCTATACTCCTGAGATCGTCGAACAATGCGGGGAAGCTGTTTGGCAAGTCCGGCGGACCGAGGCACCCCTTCTAGTCTAGAGTTGTGATTCGTGAAGGATCTTCTTGGACGCCTTGGATCGAGCGCATATCTTTGTGCATGAATCAGATCGGCTATATGCTATTCTTTATCAGCCTATCACATCTGCCTAGCTTTAGGCGCGTGCAATCTGTCCACATCTGCCCTACAGCTTTTTGGCACATGCATTGCTCGCCGAGCCGAAGCGAAGCTGGATTGGCTGGAGTTCGGTCAAACATTTTCCAAGTACTAAGTGAGTTTTCTATGGGCTCTCTTTTTGATGTAATTATGTACAATAATTATGAATTTTTCATGAGCTGTGTGATTCGAGAATAGAGTAGCTCCATACTTCTGCTTCCTAAGGCTGCCATCTATTTGATCGTCGACGCGACATCCGTTAAGTCCACAGCAATCATGGCCGCCGAGCTGTACAAACGATCAAGATTATAGATGACATTTTCAAATCAATTTCGATGGCGTCTTCAAAATTGCAGCAGATCGCAAGTCGAAGATCGAAAAATACTAGGACACTGTAGCGGGCGGCGGTAAGGCACCTGTCCCGAAGGGGGAATGTAATTAGACGCGCCAAATCGCGTGGGGCTCGCGTCAAAGTGCTTCTGTCCGCAACACCAACGAAACCTTGCCAACCAACTCCAGTAATTTCTGCCGCGACAGCTTCAAGATGGCCACAGCCGAGGACTACGGCTTCTTACGGCCTCCCAGGTATGCCGTTGCTCTATCTTCCTCACTGTCATCCTCCAATCTGTTCAATCACCATTTGTGAGAGCTCCGGGCGCTGACCGTGGACCGTACTCTACTCCCTTAGCAATGACGAATATGAGCCCGTATACCGCAAACCCTCGTCCTACAATCCTCTGCAGACGTTTACGTTACCTATGGGTAGTGTCCGGCACTATCAACAGCAGTATGGTGATATGTACTTTTTGCGTCTCGCGAAGCTAAAGCCCGCGGTTGAAAAAGTTGCGACGGATGCATGGGGTGACCTTACGGTAAGAATATCAGGCCGGAGGCGAGGAATTTGAAATCCCACAGTCTTTCCATCTGACTAGTCTGGGGTTACGTCTAGATCGCCGGGGAAACTGCGCGGCGCGTGGACCGAGTACTCGATGTGCGACAGGGCGAGCTCTGTTGGATGGCTGGCACAGTATACATGGACATGCCATTGAAGCCTAATATCCTGGAAGACTTGACAAAAGAGGTATTTTATCGCTACACGGCTGCTAGTTTATGAAATTTCTGACGCTATTGCTAGACTTTCACGTCCGCTCCTCCTCCTCGCCGTACCTATGCCGACCCATCCGACCCGTCTGCGACTCAGATCATGATGGAGGATGAATCCGGCCGAGTTCGCTTGACTGGCAATCTCTTATCAACCAAACAGCTTGCCACAGGTGTCATCATTGCTGCGCTGGGAACGGAGACCGTTAACGGAGAGTTTGAGGTCATCGACATCAAGGTTCCTGATCTGGCTCCACAGCCCGAACGATGGGCACGAGGTGAGGCCGCAGCAGCGGATGCGAACCAGGGTGGTAAGGCAGTCTCAAAGGGCTCGGGAAAGATTGCCTTCTTGAGTGGGCTCGGTATTACGGGTACTTCGAGCGATACGCTTGCCTTGGATCTTCTTACAGACTACCTTCTCGGTTACACGGGCGTTGATGGCAGTGAGGACCCATCGAGAATCACACGGCTCATCATTGCCGGCAATTCATTAGGGGCCAGCGTGAGCGTGGATGCAGCGTCAGCGGGTTCTGATAATGCAGCGAAGAAGAAGCTGGCACCCAAGAAATATGGCTATGATGCCTCCGCCTACAACTCATCGCCCATCACTCAACTCGACAACTTCTTGGCCGAGATCCTGCCCAGTATCCCGGTGACCCTCATGGCTGGTGAGAAGGACCCTGCCAATGTGTCTCTTCCCCAACAAGGCATTCATCGCGCCATGTTCCCGCGATCACGGGTATACTGCGCACCTCCGCCATCTGGTGAGAAGAAGGAGGAAGTGGGATGGTTCGACAGCGTGTCAAATCCTTGGGAGGGTGATGTAGAAGGATGGCGACTTTGGGGATGCAGTGGCCAAAATGTGGATGACGTTCTCCGGTACTTGGACTTCCCAGCCGATGACCTTGACCCTACGGTTCAACGAGATGATTCTGAGGCCCGAGTACGAATCATGGAGGCCATGCTTCGATGGCGATGCGGTGTCCCCACGGCCCCCGACACACTCTGTATGTTTCTTGACTCTTGCCTCCATTAACGATTGAATTACTGACGGCGTTTATAGGGTCATACCCATTCCAAACTGTCGACCCATTCGTTCTAGAAACGTCACCTCACATCTTTTTCACGGGTAATCAGCCTTCCTTCAAGACTGCCGTGATCGAGGCCGATGCTCCCTTCCGACTGGACGGGGACACCGAAATGAAAGACTCCGCCGGTGAAACACCCACAGGGCGTGTACGATTACTATCGATCCCCAAGTTCAAAGAGACTGGGGAGTTGGTCTTGGTGGATACCGAGAGCCTGGAGGTTGAAGTGATCAGGTTCGGTACTTTTGCGGGTCAGGAGGAGAAAATGTAAATCAATAGGCATAGCATTCAGGAGGTTATCTGGATAATGACACGATATCATATCTTAAAAGTTTCCATCCTAAATGATCGGGGCTTCAATGTTGGTTTTCCTACCTTCTGTCCAGTACGGCATCCATGAGATTTCGTTGGCGGCTCCCCAATTCGCCAAGCCCCACAATTGCAAGAATCAGCTCAAAGTGGATTTTCGTGTCAACGTCTTCTCCACCAAGCAGTTGGGAGACTGGAGGAGATACTCTTGATCACAAACACGGAGATCTCATATTTTTCTCAGAGCGCCCATTACTTCATCCAGGGAGTGCCGTGACCATGTTGCTCAATGCTGAAATCGGTGCGCCCCGTTCATCCTATTATTCCTTATATACTCCAACCCGATGCTCCAGATAAGATTCCATGCAGAAACTGACGTACAGGCCTGGTCTTTGGCGAAATCAAATAGCCCTCTCGACTTCCAAGGTCCTCTTGGTCCCATACTCAACATGGCATGTTCCCCGCTATCATGAATGGATGCAGGACCAGGTAGGCATCGCTCCCAGCCATATTCAAGCGACGTATCATCTGTCTACATGAATATGTCTGACAAATTGACCAGGAAATCCAAGAAGCAACTGCCTCGGAACCATTATCTATCGAAGAGGAATATGCCATGCAGCGCAGCTGGCGACAAGACGCAGACAAGCTAACATTCATCGTCTGCCGCCCACTCGCCTCATCCGAAGGAGAATCTATCCAACTATCGTCCGAAAGTGACTGCTCCCAGAATATGGTCGGAGATATTAACCTCTTTCTCCGCATCGACGACGGCGAGGAAGGAGACGCACCGCCCGAAATAGTCGGGGAAATCGAGCTTATGATCGCCGAGAAAGCGAACCAGGGACAGGGGTTTGGAAAAGCTGCGTTGCTTACTTTCTTGCGGTATATCGTCGAGAGACAAGCCGATATCATTGAGGAATTCGTCAATGCTGATGTGCAGACGGAAACGGTGGACAGGTTGAGGGCCGCGCGGGCGAGTCTTGGGTTCGCGTGTCTGAGTGTTAAGATTGGACAGGCCAATTCGAGGAGCTTGGCCCTGTTTGAGAGTCTAGGATTTAGAAAGGTCTCTGCCGAGCCGAACTACTTTGGGGAGTTTGAGTTGAGGCGGGTTGAGTTGGAGATAGGAGCTATTGATGAAGCTCTTTCCGTGGCTGGTGTGAATGATTACCTGGAGATACCATATACGCGCAAGGAATAAACTAGAGGGATAGACTATCCGATACGAAGGATTTCTTTCGTGACGAATTCAATTTCTTTGTCAAAAGCGCCTATCAACTAGAAACGTGGATTCGCAAAGGAAATAAGAAACATGGAAGAAAATACACTTGCAAGTACTAGCCGGAACCAAGCCAGTTCATCCCTGATAGTTCTGCGTGAGACGGTTAAGAGCTATACAGCGCCGGTCCGGGGATAGTATAGCTACTCAGCGCAGTATAAATATTAACCAGAATACCCGGGTCAGAATCAGTATACAAAGCCTCACCAAGGGTACCCTCGGGCGCCGCACTGCCACCACCAGTAACCTCCAAGTTCAAGCACTGAGGGTAATTCTGCGCACCGTCCTTCTGGCCAGCAGAGTGAAGCGCAATAATCTCATGACGCATCACATAGTTACCCGACGCAATGCTACTGGGAATAGTCACCGTCCAGCGGTTGCCAGCCGCAATGAGCTGGTCAGTAGCCCAAGTACCGGGGGGAGTGGTATCGTCGATCAGACCGACCGCATCGATCTTAAAGAACTTGAGAGTGGTCTTGTCGACTGTGCTGCAATCGCCATTGCATGAGGCTAGGTATGTGATGACCGGGCCGTGGTGGGAGTCTGGCCAGGTTGTCCATTGGATTTCGATCTTGGAGCCGGCAGTCACGGTTGCTGAGAGGGCGGCGTTGGTGCCGTTGCGGTGGCAGATGATGTTTGGGGCTTGGTATTCGGTGCCATCTTCGAAGCCTAGGTCGGTCGCCGTTGTGGCCCAGCCCACGCTCTCTGGGGGATCGCTCATGTACGGGTAGGAGTTGACAATATAGCCGGTGTAGCTGAAACAAAGGTCAGGATCTGCGGGAAAGCCTTTGAATGATTGGTGTAGACTTACTTTTGGCCATTTGCTAGGATACTAGAGACGAAGCCGTGGCCGGCAACCAGAGATGCAGAGGCCAGGAAGATAGAAAGGGGAGCGATCTTTGACAGAACCATAATGATATTAGACTGACGATTTGACTTGACAGAGCCGAGTTTTCTACAGGATATTCATGCACACTTTATATGCCATCACTGATGTCTAACATCATCTGCCGATCTCCACCTCATCTCCTGGTAATTTGAAAGACCTCCGTTCTGATACTGGGTTAGTATCAAAGACATTAGCCGGAGCCATGACATGTCTCTCCATGAAAGGGCCCTCGTTTCACCCTTTCTGCAGTCAATGGGCCTTGGCCCACCTGAAGACAGCCACTTCTGCAGCACGTCCCTGCGGCTGATTCCGACACAAAGAAAGATTCGGGAAACTTGCGAAAGGCTAAAGACTATGGGCTGGCAAAAAATGCGGAGAAATGGCGCTAAAAGATAGATGCCACCTGTGATGGTATGTGGCTGTTGATGAGAATCCGGGGCCACGGGCCGATGGTATAAAATTGTTGCGAGAGCGTGGTGTCAGCTGGATTGATTATATTATGGCCAAGACAGATGCGACGTGCCAAGCAATGTGGAGTTGTAGTGTAGATGTGTAGTCCGTGGCCTGAAAAGCAATGATCAACGGAGTTATTGTTAGTGCGACAGTTGATTCGAGGACTTTATACCAGTATCCAGCTTCACCCTAGAATCATGGAATGTGTCGGAGCCTAATGAGACTTTTCATGGAAACCCCTGTGATTTTCTACCGCGAAGACTCATGCATGATTGATATCGTTAATCTCGCTTTCAGGTGGCCTGACTCTTGAAGTATCAGGTTCTCGGGATTTGGAATGAGACAATGATTGTTTCAAGGATGTATTCTGGTCCCAACGGCAAGGTGATCTAGATTCTACTGTACATCATGTCTGCGGTGTTTTGTCAATGTATGTCATAATTTTCCAATGTCTAATTTGGGGTAAAGATTGTCAACGCAGGCAAGTGCGTCAGGCAAAGAGACTGATCAATTTTGATGTACTCGGATTGAATTTGAAAACAAAACGAAAACAGAAGATAAACGTACCATCAAAGTTCCTCTGACCAAGGGTAGATCCATCGTGCCAGGTCTTCAAACTGGAGCAAGCCAGCAACAAGCCGTGCCTCTTTATGATGCTTGATAGTGATTTCCGAATCGACAGCCGATTGTTGATAGCATCCAGCCAAAGAGGGGTCGTTCGCTGCGGACATGGCCAAAACAGACTTACACTTCTCAATTGCGATAGATTCACTCATCAGTCGCCAAAATTCGTAGTCCCTATCTTCCGCGGCTTGTTGCACTTCCTGTTCCTCCATTTGCAAGGAAAGAGCCATGCGATGCAACAATTCAGCGGCGCGGATCGAGCTGATATACGTACCGGGTTCGCTGGGGAGAAGCTCCTCAACCATACAAGTGCTCTCGCCCGAGTTTTGCTGCATTGCCAACGTTATTTCGTTTACTATCCCGTATACCTGTGATACTTCAGCTAGGCCATTTCTCTTGAACCATTTCACCACATCGAGTCGGCCTTCGGATACTGCCAGGCCCAGAGGAGTATCTCCATTCTTGTTGATCTCAAGGTGGCTCATGCGCGAAGTCAACTTCATGTAATCCAGGAATTCCTCACCGTTCAACGCGGCACCGTGCCAAGAATTAGATTTAGTTTCTGACTCGTGGGCGTCGGTAACGGAGACACCTAGCGCCTGTAGGCGCTGAGCCTGAGTCGGGGTTATGTACGAGCACAGCCAAAGAAGGCTATCTGCAGTGAAAGCACCGGCGATAACACTAGGAAGTCTTAGGTTAGCAAGAGGGTCTCCCACCAGATTCAGGATTTGTTCCAGATACTCTTTGTTACCGAATTTGCCCAGAAGACCGAGGGAAGTGGGCCGTGGGAAGTTGATATTTGCGGGGCCGAGAAGGAGGATTGACAAAGAGTGGAATGAACCGGGATTATTGAGCATGTACTCCAAAATCTTGACAGATTTGTTAATTATAGCCAGAGCGGCAAAACTCCAACCCGATTTGATGCAATTGCCAATATCCACCTCGCAGTGATTCAGAAGGTAGGCGAAGCATGAAGGACAGTCTACTTGGAAGACACGTCCAAGGAAATCATCAATATCGTTCATGTGGAAGTCGAGCGCGTCACCTGGATACCAGCTCTCGCCGTTGTCACCTTCATTGTAAGGCAAAGTCTCAATCTCTCCCACTTCGCGACGAAGAAAGTGCTGCGGCTTGCGGCGCGCAATATACTCCTCGACGTACTTGTTTGAACGTGGGTCAACCTGTGAAAGACTAAGAATCGTGTGGAACTCCTCGTGCTGCAGAGTAAGATCTCCATTTCGGAAAAGGCATTCATCGAGAATAGTCCAGAAAACATCAAGGGGTAAAACGCTCAACCTACCTGCAAGATTTGTTTGGTTTGGAGATTGACCTTTCTCCGTGATCCAGGCGGAGGGATTGTACGGGAAGTGCACAGGCTTGTGATCCTCCATGGGACCGTATTTGAAGTCGTATTCCTCTTCAGGCAAATCAATATCCATGGGGGTGTACTCCATTTTGGACAATATTGCTGGCAATTGTAGAGATGATTATTCACTACAATATATAGTATAGAAAAGGCTGAGATGCTTCATAAATTGTTGGAGAAGCTTGTTGCATAGATTGAGACATTAGTACTAGAGCATCAGGTTGGACTTATAGTCGAGCCTGGGGTCCATAAAAAAGGGCTTGAGCTTGCCAGAATTTGAAAGTCATTGTTGTCAAACATAGCCTTGGTCAAGTTCTTTCACAGCCTTGAGCCGCACACAGAACCTAGTCAATCCGATTGTTTTCTGTTATTGACACCGACTTTTTAAAGTCAGAGACAATCAGAGGGGGTTCACAATGGCATTCTCCGTGTCGAGGGAATTAAAATAGACCACAGTCGAATATCAAAGAAAGTGAAACCATTGTGTCTAAACTTCTTGACCACTCGACCGCCGCAGGCCTATAAATTAAGATAATAACGTTGCTATGTTTGGCATCAAAGAAACTGAAAGGGGCTTTGGACGGTTTAGGGTAATTCATTCAATCGCAAAAATAGATCGAGACAATAGAGGAAGTCGTAACTTGAGAACACAATTGCCTAATAAAATTACATAAAGAGTCTGGTAGTACCCTTCGATCAGATTTAGCATCATCACTACCACTCTCAAGTATACAATCCTAGCTAAACTACACATCGGTACAAACATCCTTCCATACCTTCACAATTCTACCACCAAAATGGCACACCCTCACTCCTCAAACTCTGGTGCTACAAACACTACCACTATGGGAACATTTGAAACCTATCTGCCCATCCCTATCTACGCCCTCGCATGGGTCAGCATGTGGCTCGTCGGTGTCACCATAGAATATGTGATCTTCGTATTCAATAGCCTTTATCAAGAGCAAACGCTTCATCGAGAATCTTTTGAACTTTCTTTGGCCATGCCTGTGTTTGCACTGTTTTGCCTTGCCTTGTGGTTTTCGGTCGGGTGCATTGAATACTCGATCGTTTTTCTTTGTTCCCTGGCTAATGACGAGGGTTGCGAGGAGACCGTGATTCGTGATTATGAGGAGCATGTGTTGAGGAGACTACGGAGGTCTAGAAAATGTTACTGAAGATTCCCTGTTGCTGATTTCATGCAGGTATCCCTTCCCATTTACGCGTGAAAGTTATACATCGACCCATCTCAGTTGTTTGAGATTGAGCAATATAAGAAATTATACAAGATGATTATAGAGGAATATGATCCAGAGATCATAGAACCATGAAGAAGGATTCATGTTAGAATAATGGACAAGGGCGATTCTCGCAGATTACTACAAGAACCCCAACCCGAGTAAGGATATTTCAACTGTTTTTTTCATTGAAGTGTAAAGGACTGAAAAGCTCCGACAAAAGCGTTTCCTTCTTTCTCAATCGAGTGTCCGGAAAATGCGAGTCGTCTGACCGGTGGAAAATATCACAGCGGCGTACAGACGCAAGGATAGGTCTGGCAAAGAGAAACACAAAACCCCCTCCTCAGCACGGAAGCTCCGCGCCGTCGGAGCCATCCCCGTGTCGGCCCGCAGAGAGATCAAGCCCATGCCATGTGTCCCTCCAACAGTTGTTGTTGTAGCATTTCATCGACAACCAATCGCGCCGCACTCCGAGCCTGCATTCATTTCATGGTGAAGACATTTACAGCTTCTTCTTGTCACCCTTGGCAACATCGACGACCTTCAGGGCTGTTGGGAGAGATTAAAGGTTAGCATGAGCGCGAGATTGGTACCGGCATTGTGTGAGGTAGTCCAGGGTGCGATGATGCACCCATCCTCCACATCGTAACATCGTATCACGAATCATGGCCAAGCTGGTGTGGGGGTTTAAGGTGACGTACAAGGAGGAAGAGACTGCTTCAGCTTCTCGGCCTTAGCGGAGTCGGTCAGGGCGAGGGTGTAGACGAAGCGCTCGCAGCGGACCTTGAACTTGGTCTGCTGGTTCTTGCGGTTGCGCTTGATCCGGGCGGCTAAAATTGAGGTTGAAAGGTTAGCTTTCAATGTCCGGAAATTCCCTCCATGGCTTTCTGTTTTCGATCGTCCTCCAAGTTGGACCAGTTTCGGCGGCACGTACAGGAGGCATCCTTCCGGCGGCAGATCTCGATGAACTGCTTGATATCGGAGACTTCGCGAGGCATGGTGACGGTTTGATGCTGATGAGGTGCGATAAGAGAGGAAAGGTCGCTGTCCTTGCAGATGTTGTGTGGATCTATCGGATTAGGGTTTCTGCACCGGAAAGCCCTGGGAGTCACGTGAGACTGTGGCGGGTGCAAAGTGGCTGATACTTAGGGGAGTTGCACCGTGTTCGAATGGATCTTCGGGGACGGTGGCTGCTGTGAACGGAGTAAAGGTGTGGGAGATTGGGCTGGCTTGCGGACAAACTGAGGCATTGTCCGTCCTGACCAGGGTATACGTTGGCCACCGCCGAGGACTCTGCAAATTTTCCAGGCGTGGATGAACGCACGGCGCCGGCGCTTGTATCATCCCCTCCTCGACGCTTTGCAGGTCCCGGTCTCGAATTCGACTTCGCTCAGGAATTGGCTGGGCTTTGTCTGTGATTTGGAGTTGGATTCGGTGCTTTTTCCAAAATTTGATGCTAGGTAATTTGCATTTGATTAGCAGGCATGTCACGTTGCGATGCACTGGAGATGAAGCCTTACACATTTACCCCAGCCACGACAACTGCCAGCAGGAATGTAAACGAGGCCAGAATGGTAATTGCCTCCATTTCGGAAGATCAATATGCTCGAAGAAACGAATTTGTCGCGGGCTCAATTTAAGAGGCTTTCGAACTGCAAGGTATAAGAATAACTGAATAACTGTACCTGTAGGGACCGAATGATACTGTTTGGAGTGGTGAAGATGCAGTGTACAGACTACAATGATTCTCCTCTGGAATACTATTTGGATCATCTAGTCTACACGGTATGAGCGACACTTTCTTGGAAGGTACTCCCATACTGGCCGTATAGTTCGGGCCAGAAGGAAGGAAGGGAGCTGCCTATTGCAGAGTGGCGTCGGTGGCGGTGCAGATGTCAATGGTCAAGCCGTCCAAAGCTACTTGGACAGATCGCATCTTATTAAATCTTGTTATTGTCATTATTTTGCAGTCATCATTATTTCTACTACCGATCACCAACATCAAAATATTACTTTGTCTTTCCGACCCTATTTTATCATCCTCACTACGCAACTTTCAAATAGAGAACTCGTTCCGTCATACCTCAAGATGCCGACTCCACTAGACCGAGCCCTCAAGTCTCAGGTACGCAGCCCCATGTCCAAAGCTCTTAACGATCACTAACAAATGCCTAGAATCTATTTCTTGGTAAGCTTACAGGAAGCTTAATTGATATGGCCCTACCATCACACAGCTGACCAATATCCAGGCTTCGCAGGCATGGTGACCGCCGTGGCAGCATGGTCAATCTGGGGAAGCGATGTGTTCCCTGCCGAGACCGATCCCAAAGGCAGTAAGGAAGCTCTTGACGATCAGTCATAGTGAAGCTGATGCTAACATAAGATAGATCCTGAATCCTGGACTGAAGATGAGATGAGAAGATGGCTGCGCGCAGTAAGTTGGACCTCATTGTACTCTGATTGTTTGTCGATATATACCTTGCCGTGCCCATACTAATGAGCTTGTCTAGAGAGGTCTTTTGCCTAGCGACAATGCAACACGCGATGAATTGTTAGAAAGAGTCAAAGCAAATCTGCGTATACCACGCAAAACTCAATCTGCAGCGTCGCAGTCTTGATGCTGCCGAAAATGTGGTTTCCGATCTCTCACTGAAAGATGAATTTTGATCAATTCGATACTCCCTCGCTCATTACTTTATGTGACGACCTGATCTACATCCTTTAATGACTCATGTTTTCAATTTGACTTGTCATTTCTTCTATTTGTACATGTCAACGGAGCAAGAAATCTCCCATACCTCGTAATATCGTAACAGCTCATGATTATCATATTCACCCACGCTGGGCACTTTAGTCCATCACACACCATTTCGACCAAACGGCAAAATCAAACAACCAAACGGAAATTCTGGCTCTGAATCAGCCAGTCTCGCCGGCGCTTACGATCAGAGCTCGGGTTTGGCACCAGCACGAACGTCTCGCTGAACCCGCGCGGCAGCAAGTCGCGGTTCTCTCCATACCGCACGTTTCCACTGGCCATGACGAGGATAGACATGTCCTTAACGGTCATCTCGGAGGTGGGCTTGAGGCCTGTGGCGGTCGTGGTCGGGTATGCGCGGTTGATGATCTGGCAGTCAAAGGACTGCACTTCGTAGAATGCCTCGGGCATCTGGTTCAGGAAGATATCCTGTACGGCGGCGCCATCGGCAACCGTATTGCCGTTGAAGAGGATACTCGTGGGTGTAGGCAGGTAGAAGGAGGCGATGGAACTGCGGTCGTTCTTCAGCGCAGGGTAGAAGCTGTTGATCAGCTCGGTGGCGGCTGTATAACAAGAAGATTAGCATTTCTCTTGGAATTAGATTCAGAAAAAATAATCACCCTCAGTGGACACCTTGGTCAAGGCATCATCAGTAGCTGTGGCCATTGCGACAAGCACCAGAGCAGTCGGACAGAGAAGTTGAGGGAATGCGACAGACCCCTAACGGAATGAAGGTCTGGTGGAATGTGGTCAATGGAGATCGAGATCCAAAAGAAAAGTGTACAAAGCCGGGTAATGCGAAAGGAGTTAAGTCTCGAGGTGAATGAGTGAATGAGTAAATGACTGAACGAGTAAGAGTACTTCAAGGCGGAGCCTGCAAGGAAAAAAAGATGCGCCGGGCGGAAGCTTGGGCCACGCCGAATGGGCATTGCGGCACAACATACGACCTCCGAGCCCTTGTCTTTCCTCCGTAACCAGACAATGGCAACCTCTCGAGTTGCATTTCGCTCCCTCTCGAGGGCTTCCCAGTTCCTCGGCGCGAGGCGACCGTGGACTTGTTCGACATGCAGGAATGGCGTCACTGGTCGCTTTCAACGCGGAGTCGCGACAACCCCGGAGGCTCCCAAGAAGCCGTACTATGTGACGACCCCGATTTTCTACGTCAATGCCGGTGAGTCTATCAAACAAGCCCACGAATGGACCGAGTCTTTCTGATAATTTCCTCGACTATGACTAGCCCCCCATGTTGGCCATTTCTATACCATGGTCATCGCCGATATCATCAAACGATGGCAGGTTCTGCTCGGCAACGATGCTCGTTTATTGACCGGTACCGATGAACACGGGATGAAGGTCAAGATTTTACAGTGTTCTTGTGACTGGGATGTCTGCTGACAGTCCCTACAGATTCAGCAAGCTGCCCTGGCTGCCGGGATGGATACACAGGCCTTCTGCGACATGAACTGCAGGACCTTCGAGGTGGGCACATCTTCTGGCCGTGAAGAGTAATTTCACTGACTCATTGTTGCTATAGACCCTAGCGAAGGCTGCGAATCTCAACAATGACCACTTCATTCGTACCACCGATTCCTCACACCGCGACGCTGTTCAATACTTTTGGGTACGCAGGCCCGACCATTGGCTATCTCGGACCGAATTGACGAGATCATAGGAAATGCTGAATCACCGCGGTCACATCTACACCTCCAAACATGAAGGATGGTATTCCGTTAGCGACGAGACATTCTATCCGCAGACACAAGTACAGAACTCGCTGGACCCAACCACGGGTAGGAAGCGCATGGTAAGTTTGTCGCGCGGCTCGTTCACATCCTCCATCACAGCTCACCAGTCTCGACAGGTCTCGATAGAAACAGGAAAAGAGGTGGAATGGTCGTCAGAGACCAATTATCACTTCCGTCTTTCTGCATTCCAGGATCAACTGTTGGAATTGTACAACCGACCGGATTCGTTCATCACGCCATCAAAGTATGCAACGGCTGTCATCCAGTCGGTTTCTTCCGGGTTGACAGACCTTTCGATTTCTCGTCCAGCTGAGCGACTGACATGGGGTATTCCGGTTCCCGGCGACGATACGCAGACCATCTATGTTTGGCTGGATGCGCTCGTCAATTACCTGACCTATGCAGGATACCCTTTCCCTCCTGGGCAGGAAAAGTCATCGATCTGGCCTGCCAATGTTCACGTTGTCGGAAAGGACATCGTTCGGTAAGCGCCACGCTATGACCTATCTAGCCCTGAGAACCCCGAACGTGCAGCTGATCATCACCCCCCCCTAGCTTCCACTGCGTTTATTGGCCAGCCTTCCTCATGGCCCTGGACCTTCCTCTCCCTCGGAACGTCCTTGTGCACGGACATTGGACAATGAATCGCGAGAAGATGTCAAAGTCCACCGGGAATGTGGTCAACCCGTTTTTCGCCATTGACCGATTTGGCGTGGATGGAATGCGATTCTTCCTCGCTTATCAAGGAGGCCTGTCAGATGACGCCGACTATGACAATGCCTTCATTATCCGCGATTATAAAAAATGGCTTCAAGGCGGTATTGGTAACCTCGCCTATCGCACAATTGGGTGTGCAAAGGGCAAGTTACACTCGTATATTCAGGATGCCACGTCTGATAAGCTCCCGGCTGCATCCACTGCCGATGAGGAGCACCAGGCCATGCTGATTGCTACACCGCTGAAAGTTGCCGAGCTTATGACCGGACTCAATCCGCGTGCCGCGCTGCAGGAAATCATGAGCATCATCGAGAAGGTATGTAGAGGGGGAAGTAAAAACAATGGACCCTCCCCATCCCCGCACGACCGTCGGAGAAGTGGCTAACCTACTTGATTTTTCCCTCGCCTCCCCTCAGACTAACAAATACTTCCATGCGGCGGAGCCGTGGAAAAGTGCCAACCCCCAATGGGTCCTTTACAACGTGGCTGAATCACTTCGCATCTCTGCCATTCTGCTCCAGCCGTTCATGCCCGACAAGTCACGAGAGCTTCTCGACCTTCTACGCGTAGATACTTCCAACTCTGCAAAGCGGGCATTCTCGGCCACCGTCTACGGCTCCGACCCAGATTACGGCGAAGACATCAGGAAAGGCATGCTTTTCCCCCCTTTACTCACTGAGGAGTAAAAGGCCGTGGGCACCGAGCTTTCGATTTGATAAGAAGAATGTACCAAAGGCCAATCATGACCCACTGCAAGACCCGTCCGATCAAAGCTTTACATCATCTCCGCCCAGGCGTAACAGCTCTATCGAGAGGATTTCCCGGTTCGCCCCCCTCCACACGGCAGCGTGTGAGTTGCCAGGTTTTCCAGTGTGACCCCAGCTTGGGGGTGGTGCACTGTTTACGATGACCGACTAGACCGTGATTGGCGATGTCCCGCAAGGTTATCGGCGGGAAAGAATGGGCCAGAACCGTGGGCGCGGCCTATCTCCAACTGACGGGCTGATCGGGTCGGGAAAGTCGCCCGTTTCCCGTCGGAAAACCCCAACTGGGGCTCCGTTTGTATATCAAAACATGTCCCAATTATTTGTATACTAATGAGTCTTCTGGAAACACGAAGGATTTATTTTTTCTTGCCGCTCTCTGATTTCTGCTATCTTCTTCTATCGGGCGGATTTCATTGCCATTTTCTCTTATTGTGTGTGATTTTATAGTCCACCCGTGACTGTGTAACGACTTCCCACTCCAAAACATATTCCTATTTTGGGTGGAATTGTCTTCTCGTCTCGTTACTTAGCTAGACGACACGGTTCCTTTCCTTTCCCATTGATCGCCTTTGACTGGAGGCCTTATCTTCCCCGGTTTCTTCCACCCTTATCGACTTCAACATCGCCGCTATGGGAAGCTTCGTACCTTCCGCCGAGGACTACAAGCCGGCCTTCAAGACGCCATGGATTGAGACTCCTCTCGTCGAGTCGGCCGCTCTTTCTCGTGCCGCTGGATGTCGTATCTTCCTCAAGCTGGAGAATGTCCAGCCTAGCGGTTCTTTCAAGTCCCGTGCTATGGGCAACCAGATTCTTTCTCACCTCCGGAAACCCGAATACGCCAACCGGCGAGTTCACTTCTATGCTTCATCCGGAGGAAACGCCGGTCTGGCTGCAGTGTGTGCGGCTCGCAGTCTGGGATACCCTTGCACCGTTGTGGTGCCCCTATCGACCAAGCCCTTGATGATTGAGAAGCTCAAGGCAGCCGGTGCTGCTGATGTCATCCGCCATGGAGAGACTTTCTTTGAAGCTGGCTCGTACATGAAGGATGTCATTATGAAGACTAGCTCTGGTGATGACGACGACGTGGCTAAGATTGCCCTTCACCCATTCGATAACCAGCCTATCTGGGAAGGAAACAGCACTATTATCGACGAACTGGAGAAGCAACTCCCTGCTCCTGCCAATCCCGACGAAGAGGAAGTTTACCGCGGGCGGGCGCTTCCTCTGGATGCAGTCCTCTGCAGCGTCGGTGGCGGTGGTCTCCTCAACGGTATCGTGATGGGCCTTGAGAAGCGTCGATCCCAGAAGCAGGTCGTCCAGAGCGGCTCCTCTACTACCGGCCACGCGTACATGGACATCTCTACCCCCGAAACCAACTCCTCTCGCCCTGCGACCACCGAGCCCAGCCCTATCCACCTCCTTGCCATCGAGACTGACGGCACGGACTCGCTAGCTGCTGCCATTGCCAACAACTCTCTCGTCTCCCTCCCAAAGATCACCTCCCAGGCCACCTCTCTCGGTGCCATCCGTGTTTCGGAAACCACCTTCCAATACGCCGTTGCTCCTCCACCGGGCATCAAAGTTCACAGTGCCGTCCTCACAGACGCCGAAGCCGCCCGAGGTGTCCTCCGTCTCGCAGACGATGAGCGACTCCTCGTCGAGCTGGCCTGCGGTGTCTGCGTCGAGGCGGCCATTGGCGATACTGCCGCTGCCGCTGCTGAAGCCTCCGCGTCGGCGAACGCCGTGGCCGGGGGTCAAAGCAACAAGAAGCGTAAGAGGGGTCCTAACGAGTCCGTGCCTGACCGGGATGAGGGCTACGGCGATGACCGATGGTCTACGACGGATATTGATAACGAGACCGACCCAGAGATCGAGACGGAGGTCGGCGACTCCACCAAGTCGGCGTCTCCCATTCTCAACTCCAAGCTCAAGCAGTTGGTGCCGGACCTCAACGAGCAGAGCAGGGTTGTCATCGTCGTTTGCGGTGGAAGTAATGTTACTATCGACATGGCCAGTGAGTATAGACGGCTGTTGTCGGAAGGTTGGGTTTAAACCATCATTGTCATGTTGATAGAAGATTTCCTTTCTCGGTGTTACTTGTCTGCCTTGCTCACTTATATACCTCTTATTGTCCCTTATCACGCACGAGTCTCCATGTGGCCCTGATGTCTTTGGATCTTGTTACGAATCTTGCATTTCTCTTTTCACTTGTCATTCGCATACAAGCTAGCTATTCCTTGTTAGAGAAAAGGAAGACTGGACTAATATGAACCTTTTTTTTTTTTGGAAAATTCAACATACGGCTTGAAATATAAAGCATGCATTTAAATAGTGTCAGCTCAATCAAAATCACGCAACCTCCCCCAACTGTCGAATCCGATAATCCCAATAATTCTTCCGAATAGGATCATACTTTTCCTTCAACATGGTCAACATCTCAACGGCCCTCCCCTTCTCCCCCTCCCCATAGACATCAGCCAACCACTCCACCGCATGACTACTCTTAACAACATCCCCATCAACAAACCTCCCCACAAACGCCTCCCACTCTTCCAACTTCCTCCCCGCCGCACGCAGAACCCCACGCGCATACCACCACGGACTCCGATTCTCCGGCGCCCACAGAATCTGCTCCTGCGCATACTTCAACTCCGCATCAACCAAATCCTCATCCACAACGGGTAACCGGCCCTTCTCCTCTGGGCTGATCTCGGCGTTACCCGCATTCACCATACCCGCATCGGGCACGTCATCGCGGGGTCCGAAACGGAGCATGTACCGGTGGTTCCAGGCGGAGTTGTTGCGGACGTCGGCTTTGATGAGGGCCTCGACATCTTCGAGTTCGCGGGGGGAGTCCCAGAGTTTAAAGTGGCGGACTAGCCAGTGGCGGTAGGTCCAGACGTGGTAGTTTTTGGAGTCTTGGGCAAACATTTCCATCAGGAAGTCTGGTTCCTTGGCGGGCATTGTTGGAAAGTGTGCTTTTGAGGAGATTAGGACTTGCCGATGGTGCCTGGGAGTTTTGTTAGAAGGTTGTGTTTTCTTTTTTTTTAGATGACAGTTTTTGTAAGTGCCGTTGTTACCAGATCTGGTAGTTTTTGAGGTATTTGAGAGAAACTCCGTTTAGCCATTGGAGTTCTTCGAGGATGTCTTTGTTCAAGGTGAAGAGAATCTTGGCTCGGTAGATCCTGAAGGAATGTAAGAATCTATTCTTTTGAATGTATATGATGGCGGTTACTTCACTCACCAGACGGTGTAGTGTGCTGGGTTCATAGAAATCACATCTTTGGTCAATTTGAGTGCCCGTTCCGACATTTCATTCGCGGCCATCACGGCCCGCAGGTACGACGTTGCTTCGAGGTACTCGCTTGGGTAGGCGATGGTAGCCAGTGGCATGGCACCGGACTGGGAGCCATCGTCCAGCTCGATGGGAGTGATGTTTGCCCAGTCGGGGTCATTGGCATAGCTCTCGGCCATTTTGAGGGATTGAAATGTCCGCGATATCAAATCTGCGGGGGAGGTGCGTTGGGGGGGAAATGGAGATGCCGGCTGTAACACCTCACCACAAATTGACAGAAATTAGTGAGACAGGTAGAGTCGCTCTTATGTAGAGTTTTCCTTTGACAGATTTAGCGAGGATATAGAGGCGAATTGTAGGGCCGAACCAGCTGGGAAGTGAATGAAAACTGTCGACCTGGACGAGACGTCAAGGTGGGGGCATTTTGTGGCCTGAGGCGGAAACAAAGAAACGGGAGAACAATCGACTCGCTTCACATTCTTCTTCCCTTAATGTACACGTTTCTGGCTAGTCTCGACGAAATAAAAACTATGATTGGACTCCAATCAATCACTCGACATGGGCATGGTTATACAGCCTTTTGGTCTCCTCAGCCCACCATTTGCCCACTTTCTCTGCTTCTACAACCCACTGCCCGGCTTTGTCCCCATGGGCACTCCGCACCCGCGATACCAAGTCGTCCACGGACCATCCCCGCAAGAGATTGACCTCGTTGGGATCGGTTTCCAGATTGGAAAAGATGAATTCAAACTCTTGTGTCAATGGTAAGATCAGTCGATACGGGACGGCGGCAGATCCGACACTGAGCATCTCGCCGCCGGCGGAAATGATCCCAAAATTCCATGCTTGTCGTCCGTCGTCGGTGGCTTTGTAGGGACGAATGAGCGATTGGCCCTCGTATTCATTCATCAGGTCCATTGCGATGCCCGAGTCCTTCTCATTGAGTGATTTAGTCTGCACTAACAAATCAAGGATTGTGGGGATTATGGATATCGATGTCGTGTTGGCGGTGATTTGGATCTTGGGTAGCAGTGGATGTCTGAAGACGAGAGGGATACGGAAGTTGCTAATGTGACCATTTTCGTAGCAGCCTGTCACTGGCGAGTCTTCCTGAAAGGCTTGCCCACTGGATTCGTTGTTAGTAAGTTGGACTTGTCGGGGGATGGTGGCAATGGGGCTGACTTACTGGTCTCCGACAAAGACCACCAGCGTCTCATTTGCTATTCCCTTCTTGTCTAGTAGCCCGAGCATGTCGCCTAGCCAGGCGTCCACGTAGCGGATGGAGTTCAAGTAACTATTCATATCCTCGTGCTTGCCAATCAGACTTTCGTCCGAGAAATACTGTTCGCTCTGGACCTCCTTTGGCAGGGCCCACGGGTGGTGTGTCGTGCTAGTGAAATGCGAGAGGAACATTCTTTCATTGTTCTTGATCGCGTCGTCAATCGCATCTTCCATGTATGGATATACTTCGCGCTCCGAGTAGCTATGAACGAGTTAGTATTCCATGATCGAGTACTCAGGGACGGGTGTCGGTAACTGACCCAAAGTAGTTGATCTCTTCTATATCATCGTGATAGTACTTTGCTCCTTCCTGGCCAATATCCTCACGATAGACGGTCTTTTTGAAGCCCATGTGGTCATTCAGAAGATTCTGATCCGCATACATTCCAGTCACAGCCTGCATGAAAATGGATGTCCACTTGCGCTCTCGAAGATCCCTCGAAGATCTGGCGGTTGAGTTGTCTTTGAATTGATTGAACAAGTCTAGTACCTGCATGATGCATGGCTGGTAAATATCGGACGTGATCTCATCCATCCAGTCTACTGGAAGTGGCCAGACTCCACAGTGATTCACGACCTCGCTCTTGAATGAGAGACTCGCACCGGTCAAAACACCATTGATGTTGATTCCGCCCATACCAGCTTCAGACGTATCTTCCCAAAGTGAATCATGCCCATCCCTCTTAGTCTTGGGGAAACCTCCGGATTCACCGGTGAGTATCTCCGCGATAGGCGTGAGGTGGGATAGATTGGCGTTCAATTGTTGGAGGAGGTCCGTATCCAGGGACTTGTAGGAGTTGAGAATCTCGTGATGGAGATGTGAGCCTGACTTGAATGGAAACACGTCTTTCCGCGCGCTTTCCATCATCACAAGAATTACATGAGTGATGGGAACGTCATGATCCCTCAGAGCCTGAGTCAACGGCTCCACCAGTTTTTGGTCGAGATTCGTAATCCGCAACGGGTCGTTAGCTGGATTGTAAAAATTCTTGATAGTGGTCGCACTTTGCTCTGTTCTATTTGCTTTGATCGTATCTGTACCGTCGACATGCCTGTTCTCTTGGATCCAGCGTTCGAACCCAGGTGGTAATTGTTCAGAAGCCCAAGTTGGCGCGGTTTTCGTGCCCATATCAAAATTCGGCGCCCAGCCTTTGAACCGGCCATCTGGAGCTTTCCAATGCCCCTCGCTAATGAGTTCTGGTAATGGGAACGCGTTGTCCACAGGCTGATGAGCTTCCGGTGAACTTGCAACCAATGCCTCGAGGAAAGTAAAAGGAATAGCGCCGGACAGGTGGCTGTATGGCACTTGAGGGCGGATTATCCAAAGCCCAAGCGTGCCAGTAACACCCATGATAGTCCACAGCCGGAATGGACGTTTTCTCCGAGTCACAGTCTTTGGGCTGTCGAGCATAGACTCCTCATACACATCCTCCGTGAGTTGAGTGCTGAATAATGCAGATAGCCACGGGTCAAAGACTGCAGAGAAGACCCTCGCAAAAATCCATGACATGACCAGTAGCATGGCTGCGCTGCCCAGGAACGACTTGAGGCCACTGAGCATCAATTTCCTGCCCTCGGCATCATTGCCCACGCTCGTGACTGCATCCCAACGGATTTCACTTCCAGTTACAAAGTAGAACCCGAGCTGTGAAGCGCAGAGACAAAATGTCAAAGATCTGTCGTTGGGAGTCAGTATAAAGCAATCAAGGTACACATACTCTGTGTTGACTTACGCCATGGCTGAGACTAGCATTAGCCCCACAATTGATCTTAGACCTGTCGGTTTTTGTAAGAGGAACCACGTTGCTGCAGATAGCAATACTTCCTGTATGAAGAAAGTTGGGAAGTAGAGCGCCAAGAGCGCAGTCGGTATTGAGCCGGCATGCTGAAAGAGATGGAGTAGTTTGGATGTCAACGCCGATACCACCAATATCGACAACAAGAATGGCCGAATGAACGGTTGGCGGGATGCAAGCATGGTGAATAGCAGGTAATTCACAGGAGCAGAGCGCTCATTTTGCGACTGGACAAAGCCTTTTGGAGCTGTGACCACTTCCACTCTCCAAGGGAAAGAGATGGTCACCACACTGGAATATGTGCGAACGTTTCGATTGATAGGATGTGTACGTTCAGTGGTAAAAGTCTTTGTGCTGAAGAGCTTGATAAAATAAGGACTGCAGAAGCATGGTAGGAGTATCGATAACTATATCTTTCTATTTGGGTGAACCGATGCGGTATGCCTCCGACAGTCTGCATCCGGTCACTCCTCCATCTGGTCTGGGGCCTCCGCACATTCAGGAATCCGGGGATATGGAACCAGCTCCGCTCTTGAGCCTATATAGTACACGTGTTTCAATAGCACAAATCACCACTGTCTGTATCATCATATTGAGCTTCCTGCGTACTCAATTTGGGGGGCTATTCAGATCGGAGGGAATGAAAGAACGGTCCCTTACAAAGCTCCAGAGAGAGACGCCCGTAAACCCGCCGTGGCCTGATCACGTAAAAAGAGTTCGACAGGCATGCGGTTAGACCCTCTCTTCCCTGCCGGATCAGGAAGGGGGTCAGGCGAGCTACACTCTTTGACTCGTCACGTCACTGGAACATGGCCACTTCCAATCTTCCTCAAGCGAAGGTATTGGATAGGTACTAGTCAGTAAGAACAAGTTATTCTGCGAGACTATCATATAGTCCTGATGTTGATGTAACCTTTCCAGACTCAGCGACAATCTCACTCTCTCGAGGTCCGCTCGAAGCCAAATCGTCAGCTCAATGGAGGCATATTGTGACTGATTCTCGACCGAGAACATAAAAGACGAGACCATGAAGAAGAGAGCGAGAGATCTTCACGAGGCCCAGCAAATACTGCAAGCGCTCGTGTGCGTGATTTCTTGTTGGGTAATGGAAATGGTGGTATGGCAGCACGGAATGCCAGCCTCAAGGGCTGTCGTGTGCTCCCTTGCTGGATCAGGAAATGATCTGGTCCACATTCCAGAGCCTCAGAACCGTCCACTTGAGGGTTTTGGCAATGACCAGGTACCCAAGGAGAAATGTGTGACCATTTCTGGGTCACTATTCGTTCTACGAGGAAGTGGAAGTCACATCCAGAAATGTATAGGCATATCGTTCCTTGACAGACAGTCTCGACAAAAGATCCGAATTATTGATTAATGTACAATTGATACTCAAAACATATAAGACGTAGACAATATTACAATCGCTTTCACCCAAAAGTATCGCCACCATTCTTCAAATACTCAATCTCTTCCGCGGTCGGCACCCTACCCAATGCTTCGTTGCGGTGAGGATACCGCCCAAACTGCTCAATAATCACCTTATGCCTCTTCTCAAAATCAAGCAGATTAGACAATAACGCGCTGAGGGCATCCTGTTTATTCGACAGAATCCCATAACATTTCTTCTCATCCTCACTCAAAGTGGAGACATCCTTGAGGAGAAACTGGCCCATATCTTTGGCAGTCTCCTCGTGCTGCTTGACGGCTTGCTCGTGCATGGCAAGATCTTCCGAATGCATGAGTGGCATGTGAAACCAGAGGCGGCGGGCTAGGCGGTATCGTACTTCTGATGATCTTGTCGGGATACCGGCGTCAATTGCTCGAAGAGCAATCTCTTCGGCGAGTGGGTCAAAGCGTTCGAACACAAGCTTGGACTCGTCTCCCCGATGGCAATTTCGAGGTACCTGATCGAGAAGGAGAATGATACTCAGCCAGTCCAGAGGAGATGAAGTATCGATTGCATCGAGGATATCCCCTGCGGATGCACCGGATTCAATGATGGTGTCTAAGGCAGGCTGGAATTGCGCACTAGTCGGGGAGTGAGAATCAATCACACAATAGTCAATCCGCTAATGAAAGGTTAGAGGGTGCACTTACACACAGATCTTGTCAAAAGTTTCATCGCGAGTAAACCAGCGCTGCATGTCACTCTGGCCAGGGAGGATCAAAGCGTCTTCATCTTCCATATGCTCGAACCAGAATTCGCGTATTTCGTCAAGCAGATCGGGAGTCAAGGTCTCCTTTAGTTCAGAAATGTTACTGGCCATGGCAGGCAGTGTTGAGTGGAAGCAGCGACTAGCTAATCGAGCCGGCTTGTGAACTGGCGTCTGCAGTCGGTACGTCAGAGGCGCGGCGCGATTCGCAGCTCTTAACAAAACTTGTGGCTGTGTGCTGAGTCTTCCTGTGGACAATGGACGCGAACACAGTCTCGCCGTCCGAAGCTACTCTCCGCTTTAGTGGTTTTTGGGTATATATGAACAAGAGTTGATTCGTGCTTACCGTAATCCCACGCGCCAGGTGAGCCATGATCTTTTGTTCGCGAGTCGAGCTTTCCCCGGATTTATCACTAGCGGTCCGATCGCCCGGCACGAACGCTGAGTCAGCATCGGCATTTTCGGGCTCTAGGAGGACATGCCGATGCCGAAAGCATCAACGAAGGCATAGTTGTCAATACTAATCAATAATTAAAATCAACTGATATGTGCTTAAGGGAGTTGTGAGGCTCGAAGAGGCCGCCAGAGGTCATGCCCACTGATTGCCCAGCAACCAATACTAATTCTCAAGACGAGATACACTTTTGAAATTAGCATGAAATAACAATTCGTCTGGATCCATTTGTAAATGAAGCTCTGCGACTGGTGACAGTCCTAAAATATCAGTGTTATCAGGCATATAGGTACGGTTCAAAAATGGCAATACACCCGTTTCTTTATCAAATGGACCACCAAACCTCTCCAAATATTCCGGAACCATTGAATTCATCTCAAAGACCAGGGTTACTCACTATAATTAGCCTTGAGATGTATGATCAACTCTCTCATCATTGAACACGGATATATACAAATTTCTACGCAGGTCAAACTATGACCAGACTGTTTACATCACTGTATACGTCTATACTTTCGTGGCAGAAGCCAGTGCTGGTTGCTTGACCCAAAGAGGCAAAAAAATCCGGACTACTCCATAAAAACTACTTGTAATCTAGGGTGACCGATTGCCTAACAATCAGCCCCCAAGATAAGCAGTAGCCAATCAGTTGGTCCTCCCCGCACTCAACCCTAATGTCCATCTAACCCCCCAACTTTGCCATCCAGGCCATGTCGGATCCTGCTCTTCACAATCCCCTATCTAGCAACTCGCGATGCGAAGAGTCAAAAAGTCCCGCAACGGCTGCGCCAGATGCAAAAGTAAACGAGTCAGTGGCTGTTTCCCCCCAAACCTATCCGATTTCGCTTCGCTTCGTTTTTCCTGTACGTATCTAACTGCCCGGAAATCAACAGGTGAAATGCGGAGAGGAAAAACCGCATTGTAGCCGCTGCATCCGTATAGGTGTTCGCTGTCCGGGCTACGTTCAGTCCTTACGCTGGGTCACTAAACACGAGCAACTCAGTCCGGGCGCATTATCAGATGGCAGGGTTGACAGTCCCGAGGCGTCGGCGAAACCGGCTAGACAGCCATCACAGCAAGCCGACGATGAATTGCCGTTAGAGGATGCCAATGCTGGCCAGTCACAGAATCTGGATTCATCAAACTTTGGTCTTGATGCACCAAATGGACTCTGCGATCATCTCTGGGATCTACCCGGTAATGGATCACTGCCTGAATTGACGGATCTATGCCCGCCTTCGCCGATGACGGCGTCGGTGTCGGCTTTTTCACGGCGCGACTCGGTATATGACCTTGGGTCAACGGGGGATACTGCAGCTGATATATCCCATTTTCTATCCCTGATAGGACCACCACAAAGCAAGGACAATGGTGACAACGGCAACGGCAACGGAAGCGTATATCGAGACTTTTCGCCCTCGGCTATTGTCCGTAGCTATCCCCCGTCATCACGGACACAGCGATCTCCACCGCGTGACTTTGCAACTATATCTCGATCTTTGAACAATCCTTCATGGACACTCATCGAGTACTACTTCAAAGAGGTTGCCGCCCTCTTTTCCAGCTATGACAGTCAAATGAATCCGTTCCGCACGACAGTGTCCCGACTGTGGGGTTCATCACTGGCCATGTGCCGTACGATGCAAAGCATGGCCGCAGCAACCCTAGTCAACGACTTCCCACAATTCGGTCCAATGGGTCGGAAAATGCGTGACGAAGCCGTTGAAATCATCACTCGGGAGGCAGTCATGGATGACAAGGCTCTGCTCGCATTACTCATGCTAGGCCAAACGGCTAGCTGGCATGACTCCAAGGATCTGGGGATATCCTTCTTCAACTTGCTTCGGAAACATGTCAATTCCATCTCCTCGCCTTCGAACAGTCCCAACTTTGGCTTCGTCAAAGACGTCAGCAACAACTACCGCTTCTTCGAAGAGGCTCTCATCTACTGGGAAATGCTCCTCTCCTTCGTCACGGACAACGATTCAATGGTCTTCTCGGATAACTCACGCGCCTCGTCAATGGGCGAAGCACTCGTCCTCCAACGAATCCCACACCCATGGACCGGCATCGCGCGAGATACACAATTCACCGTCCACGAAGTGGGCCGATTAGTCCGTCGCGAGCGGAAACGCATTCGCGCCCGACATTTCACCTCACAAGACGAAGTCGCCCGCGCGCAAATGGCTATTAAAAAGGCACAAGAACTGGAAGAACGACTACTAGGTCTAGCCCATCCATCCGAGTCCGAGATCGTCAGTCCCGGCGACGAAGAAACGCCCGTCTGGCATCTCCTCACTATGGCAGAGGTATACCGCTGCACGGGGTTGATGCAGTTATACCGTGTCTTCCCCGATCTCCTGCGCAATCGTCTCCCAAACCCGAATCCAGATGCAGCGCAGTATCCCAGTACGGGGTCAAGTGCTCGAGACCCATTCTTCCCCATCGACCTCGACAGCATGAACATATTCCCCGGGTTCGGCGAGGGCAATTCCACTCCCGCGGCAAACAACAACACCAATCCGTCAACCACCCAATACACACCTTCCTCCGCTTCGCAAGATACATTTACCTCTCCCCACTCCCGGTCGCAGTCGCAGTCGCAGGCTCACTCGCAGTCCCATCATCCCACATCCCAAGAACCCTCTAGCCAAGATCTCTACGATCAATGGCTCACCGAATTCGCCGTCACAACCCTCTCCCGCCTGAAAACTATCCCCTTCGAATCCCGCACCCGCTGTCTCCAGCCTTTCCTACTCGTCGCCTCGTGCAGCGAACTTCGTCTTCCACAACCCTCGTCTGACTTCTTGCCTACCAACAATGCACAGCAACGGCAGCGGCGGCATGGCACTGACGAGAATGCTGACGTCGACGCCGACGCTGACGGAGCTTCTACCGAATCACCAAGTATCTCAATGGAGGCTATCGAAGTCTCGCGTACACGCCGCTTCATACTAAGCCGACTAACGTCGTTCATGCACGTGTTGCCGCCGAAACCGATTAATGTTTGTGTAAGGCTTGTGAAGGAGGTATGGAGGCGGATGGATGCGGGGCAGACGGATACTTATTGGATTGACGTTATGATTGAGAAGGGGTGGGAGACGACGATGGGGTAGGATCGTGCATGGAGAATGATGTTCAACACTGTATACCAGCTCACTCTTCATATACACACTAAGCACAAATCATACCAAAAAGGGATTATATTATTTATTGTATGGGATGCATAAGCAGCCCTACCTATTCGTCAAGCACACACACCTGCGCCAGACATGCTCGTGCCAAATGAGAAACCGAGAGAGGAAATGCAGAACGTAAAATCAAAACAAGAGGAATAAGAAGGAGGTAAAGCAGACTGCCCAAGAGTAGAGACACTCGCACGTAAACGAAACGTGATCTCACAACGCTCAATTCTCGAACATATTTCATGAAAAAGGTGGGGTGTATAATGCATAGGGTTGATAAATGTGTACAGAGAATGAGAAATGAAGAGTCGAGAAAGAAGGTGGAGGACTCAAGAAGTTTCCAATCCTTCATGATCGTCCTGAAGTTATCGGATGGGATAGTGAAGGCGGGGCGTAAGCAAATGCGGAGGCCAAAGGAAAGGGCATAAGCAATAGAAGTAAAGGAAGCGAAAAGCGATTACGCATCACATTGACCAAGTCATTGCGTAGCGCGCTTCCAGAACTTCCATCCCTCGTGCTGCTCGTGGCACCCAACACCCACCAATTGCTCAATGCCCTCGGGCCCCTCGGCAGTGTCGAATTTCTGCTGGTCAATCTCCACGCCGCCCTCCTCATCGGAGCCTTTACGCAGCACGGCAGGATACAGAACGCCAACACCATCACCACCGAGTGTAGTCTCGTACTTGGTAAAGCCCTCAGTGGCCAGTTTCTGCTCCAAATCGCGAACGACCTCGGGCTTGGCGTCCGGTCGGAGGAGGGTGATTGCACAACCACCACCACCGGCACCGGTCAACTTAGTCCAGCCAATGTTGGCGTAGTCAACGAGTTCGCGGATCCGTTCCAGGCGCGGGTGCGACACACCCAGAGAGACGAGGAAACCATGGTTGATCCGGATCAGGGTGCCAAAGTGTTCGAGGGTCTCCTCGGAGTCACCCACGAAATCGGGGTCCTGGAGAAGACGCTGTGCAGAGCCGGTGACCTGGTCAATGGCATCGAGAATGGACTCGGTCACCACGGGATGAGCCTTCTTCAGCTCGCCCACCTTGGCAACCTCGGTCAGGGTCGAGCGCGATTGCCGCGTGTCAACCAGGAGGAGGGGCAATTCGGGGAAATTGGGAAGCGAGATGACCGTCGGCGGCTTGGTGTAATCTGCGCGCTTGAAGATCAAGGCCTTGCCGCCCGCGGACACCGTGTTGTCCACTCCGCTGGGGTTTCCATGAATACAAAGCTCGCCGACAAAGGCCCAGCGATTGATGCGCTCGATCTGGGTCTCGGCCTCCTGGCTCGGCTGGTCTGGATGCGGGCCTGAAAGGGTGCGAATCTGAAGGAGGAGCGCGGCACTCAGGCAGACGCATACACTGGCGCTGCTGCCCAGGCCGGCCCCGGTGGGGATGGTGGAGCGAAGGGTGTAGATGGCGCCTGGGCTTTGCGGGGAACCCAGGGAGAGGAAGAGGTAGAGGAAGGACGAGGCGGAGCGGATGTGGATTTTGCGCTGATCTTCGGGGAGATGTTTGGAGACGACTCCGACGTGGGGTTGAATGGCCTCGACCAGCTCGGGGTCGAGCTCGGTGACAAGATCGTAGTAGAACTTCTTCTTGGACGGCTGCTGGAAGACATCCCAAGGGAGGGCATCGATATTCCAGGTATGGCTGAGTCCCAGATCGCGGAAATTCAAGGTAACGGTGCGCTGAGATTTGGAGAGGGTCGTGACAAGGAGGTAGGAGCGGAGGGAGATGGCAGCGGCCAAGGCAGCCTTGCTGTGAACCACGGCGTGTTCTCCAAAGACGATGACTTTGCCAGGTGCCGACACCATAAAGGCCGGGGCCATTGGTGAGGAAGCCTTGCGAGACATGTTGGGTCGTCGTGATTTCGTGTGGTTTACCTTGTGGGAGGAAGAGGAGACGCTGCTGTCGGAGGACTGATCGAGCGAGTCTGGGTCGAGACCGTTGCCATTCACCCGGGAGCGGTCTGGCAATCCGTTCTGTATATCGAAATGGGCAACTGGGCGTCGTGGATTCTGATTGTGACTGTTTGCACCTCTCAAACTGCCATTAAGTCGACGCGTGCCGGTACTGGCTGACATGGCCGAGTTGAAGATTCAGGGGTGGGGTGGGGGGGGAAAGAGAGGCGGAGGTAGGGAAATCTTGGGAGGGAAGGAATGGAACGTAAGGGGGGGGGAAATAACAGAGTCGCTATATGGACATGGACATGGACATGGACATAGTACGGACCAGAACGATAGTAATGGATCTCAATGGAGGAAAGGACGAGTGCTGCGATTTACAGAGTAGCGTCGAGAACACGCTCCCACCATCACAGCCACGCTAAACTACACTCCAGGAATCACCGTCCGCTGGAAATATACCCTGGACCACACTCCACTACGTCCAATCATGGGCGCCAGAATACCAATTGGTCATCAGCCCGCTTTTCTTTGGATGGATTTCAGCTGGCCGTGGTTTTCTTTGGTTTTCGAGATAGTCCAATTTCGTTTCGGCCTATCTGGTGTATTCGTGTGTCGTGGGGGCGTAGCATTTCGCTTAACGGCGGAATAATGAGCGGGCTCTAAGTAAATCCTACTGTACGACAGTATTGTTCGACAACTCCTTCCATGAATTTAATGGTATTGCGCCGAGTTTACACTTCATGATAAAGTGCATATAGTATATAGTATACACGATAGTCAATGCTTACTCGGCACCGATTCCGTGTTTTGACTTTTCGGCTCTCAGACTCTTCGGCTGCCTGCGTCACTCCCTAGTACGACTCCAGTAAAGTCTTATGTAGAGTGCATCCCCCGCTCCGCCGATCTCCGTGTTTGGCGGCGCTGACTTGCAGAAATGATACCTTAGTACTGTAAAAAGCACGGTGGATCAAACGTCAGCAGTGATATGGTAGACATTATACAATATACGCGGTATTTCTAGTCTCAATTCCATCATGGCGAAAATAAATGCACACCGAGTATACCTGTTCATACCTCGTGTTACAGTAAGCTGTCAAGATATATTTCTGCTGCTGCATAGCTGCCCATCGATGCACACCCGTCGAACTATTAGGTACGGGCAAGGCTGGGGTCACCTACCATTGTACTTGGAAAAAGTAGAAGAAAAGTAAATACCAAAATTGAATATATCCGACCTCGATAGGTACGCGCTCTAACGCAAATCTGTGCTATGGGTGAACAAAACTATGCACAATCATCATGATCTAATTCACAGGTTCATCGTCACTGTCATACTGTTACTGTGCACCAACAGACACGGCGGCAATCCCTGCCACAGTACCTCCAAATCACTCAAATACGACGAACAATCCTGCTCACTCTGCGACGTGCCGTGTACCGGAGAAGGCAAGGTTGTAAAAATCACGGCCGTCTCGCTGCTATGCTGTACCATCAACTCGTTCAAGATCAAATGCTGTGCCCGACTAGGCAGATCATTGAATGATAGCGGGACGGACGCAGACCCCGGATAACCCGATGCCGGCGGGTGAGCGTGGGCGCCGACTTCCGCAGTCGGCGACACGGCAGATTGACGCCGAGCGTAGATGGATTCGAGTTTTGGGGAAAACCGGGGAGGCGAGGCGTTGGCAGCGAACATGATAGATGGACCTGCCCCTTCGTCGGTGTTGACTTTTGCCTCGGGAATGGGGGAGGAGCTGAAGCGGTTGCTGGAGGCGGAGCGGCTGAGAGGTGGACGGAGAGCGGGGGATTTGCTCTTTGGAGAGGCGTTGTCGCCAGAGGTGTTGATTGAAGGTGTGGGTTCGCGGATCGTTGGCGTCAGGCCGGCTGAGGTACTTGATCGTGCTGGTAGGCGAGTAGGGCTTATTCCGGACTCGTCGCTCTGGGTTCGACCACCGAGCCCGACTCGTGCTAGGCTAGTGGAAGGCTCATTTCCTTTGGAACTGCTAGCCGAATCTTCCTCCTCATGGTCTTCACGTTCGTCGTCAGCTTCGTCGATTTCCGGATCGCTGATGTAGGGTTCCAGGTCGCTATCGTCGCTGCTGTCACTAGAGAAAATGTTCCCGTCGTAGTCAACAAACGCATCCAGCAAGCGATGGGTCTGCATTCCGAAATTCACATTTCCAAGCGTCCTGAAGCTAGACACGGATCTCCTGCGCTGTTGGATTAATCTTCTCAGGCCCGTCACGCGTTGGTTCAAGAGCTTATTTCCACTTTCCTGGCTGGCTGGACCTTGCCAGGTCGAGATTCGGTCCAGCCGAGGCATATCCTCGCCACCTTGGCCCTGCTCTGTGGAGCTTTGGGGATCGTTACGAGCCTGGACCAGTCCTTGCCACCAGTCCTCATCTTTCAGTACGGAGTGGACGGTATCTTGGGCGACAGCCATCTCGGCTGAAGTGTCCCCATTAACAATAAATCGATACGTTTTGACATCACCGCATGCAAGCCAGAAGACGAGGACTTCGGCTTGGATGCGCAATTTCTCGAGAAGAGCCTCAACTCGCCCTCTCTCATCATCGACGTCAGTTTCATACTCGACAAACACGGCAACCCGCAATTGATAGGTTTTCTTCCACGAGGGAACGGTGTTCAAGATGCAGCCCAGCTGTAGGATCAAGGTGTATGTATCGAAATTGGTTGTCAACACATTTTGCTTGCTCTCACTGTCCGCGCCGATTTCCGCGGACATTTGAATTGGCCATAGGTCGATGTACTTCTTCGTATGACGCCCGTGGGGATCGGGCAGCTCGAGATCTTCAAACCCTTTGGCGACGGCGACGTTGATACGAAGGTTGAACAAGAGGTCCTCGAGAATGGTGACATAGCTTTGGCACGTCATCCCCTTGTTTGGATAATCTTCTTCGTGTTGTGAGCCAATAACAGATGAACGGCGTCTCGACTTCGCAGATTCTCTGCGATTGTTGCTAAGAGACATGGTCTCTACCAGCGACTGATTCTCACGGTACTGATCGATCACAACGATATTCGGTCGCATGCCCCCCAATCCAGAATTGAGAACGATGTTACGCACGCCCCATTCTGCAGCCGGAGAAACGGCCACGTTGACAAATGCTTTGATCTTGGAGTATTCGACTAGCTTTGTCCAGACAGTCTGCTGTCGACGGGCCTCTGGAACAGCCGTTGAAAAGTCATCCGTCACGAGAACATGGCCCAAGACGAACAACGCTCCTTTCTTCAGCGAGTTACAAAACGAGACCATTTTGTACTGACGGTCAAGGTCACTGACAAAGAGCAGGATCTGCGGTCGCCAAAACTTGACATGCTCCTGCTTCAGACGGAGTAAGTACTTTCGTACTTGATGATAAATCAGACTTTGACTGACATCACCCCATGCTTTAGGCGGAGAAGAGTAGTGGATTAGCAGGAAGAGCATGAGGAGAATTCCAACGCATCCCGCGGCATACAACCCGTCAACAAAGAACATGCTGACGCCGCTGACAAGCGTACCTGCAGCTGCAGTCTGCCAATTGAAGTAGCGGAAAGAAGGCCGGAAATTAGGAGCAGATCCTATCTTCAGCAAGAAACAGGCCAAATTGGTGACCAAGAACGTCATCAAGTAGGTCATGGTCACAAAAGAGGCAATTTGATTAATGTCGAAAAGCATGGTGAGCTGTGCGAAGATATACGTGACGATAATAGCGTAAATGGGCTCGTCATTTTTCTTACTGCCTTGACCGAAGATGTTGACGCCCGGAAGCAGGCTATCTCGGGCGATGGCCTGGAGGAGCTTGGCAGAGCCGATCACTCCCATAAGCGCTGAGAAGAAACAGGTCGCAAATTCTCCGACAAGAATAATTGTATCGGAGTAGTTGACCTGTCAATAGATCAGAGACTGTGTTGAGAATCTGTCGGGCACGGGAATCTTACTATCTGAATAACGTTGACGTTGTTGTAGAATGACTGTCGAGTAACAGAGGCAGCCATGGCCAATATGACAAGGAGATATGAGATAAAGGTCAAGGCGAGACCGGCGAGAGTTCCCTTGGGTATAGATTTGCTAGGGTTCTTCAAATCTCCCGACATACTCGCGCCGCTGAGTTCAAATTAGCGATGCTCTAGTGGGCCCAAATGTGAATAGCAGTGCCCACTTACGCAAAGATACCACCCGTGGCGGGAAACAAAATGCCAAAAAGATCTTGAAAAGTCTCTCGCCCTTTCATTTGGCTTCCCGCAGCCCCTTTTGTCAAGTGGGGAGTGAGATTACCCTTTAGTGTATGCCAGCTAAGACCGGTAAACTGGACATTATCCACCGGAGAACTGAACGGCTTCATCAAGATGGCAGATAATGGAATGCTGAAGGTTGAAATGAGAAGCAGGATCAAAAGGCCATTGCTCGCTCTAGCAAAAATCGAGCTCCCTGCCAGACAAATGGCTGTGCAGAGGACGAGAATCACAGTCCCCCAGAGATACTGCCACCAAAAGCCCTCCCGGAGAAAATGGCCCATCGTGCCCGACATGGTTCCAAAGTTCTGAGTAAAACAGTCTACTAGACCGACTGCGTTCATGCCGGTGTTGAAGACGAGTCCCAAGTAGAAAACCACCCCGATAGAGCCGCCAAACTCGGGTCCCAGGGAGCGAGAAATGAGGTAGTATGCACCACCGCCTCGAACCGTACCATTTGTTGCAATGGCGGAGAGAGACATAGTAGTAACCAGGTTAATCAAATATGAAAGAGCAAGCAGTCCTATACCGGCGATTGATCAGCCATTTGCCCGTCATTTCACCATCTTCCGCAGCGGGGAATCACCTAGTATGCCCAGCAATCCAGCTTGGCCTAGAATAAAGCCAAAGCGGAGGAACATCAGAATACTGAGGACATTCAAGCTCGTGGGCACGAACACTCCCGAGAAAGTGCCGAGCTTCTTCGTTTCCTCAAACGAACGAGGCCGATGGCCAAGTTTGTCTTTCCTATCTGCACTATTGTCTCGAAAGGGACCAGCTGAAGGAGGCACCCTTGCCTCCTCACTGTCCTCATGTCCTTCGCCATGGCCAGTCTTCTTGTTATACCACTCGAATATCCCGTGGAACGGGTTCGCTGGTACCGAATGGCGATGGTGCTCCGTCGGCTCTGTAGAGGTCACCCCCTGGTGACGAGACCACAGAGTTGGCGGCCAGTGTAACAGCCCCGCCCGTTCTGCAGGAGCGGCATTCTCGGACTCGTTCGGGTCAAGACGTGCGACGTCTTCTTCGGGGGTTCGAGTCGAAAAATTTGGGCGTCGTCGAGACATTGCGGGATCTCCGTTGACCGTTGGCACCGGTGGAACATGTGGAAGAGAACCACACCACCGGCCCTCGATAACTATATCGCAGAATTATATCGCAGCAAATTGCAAAAGGACGTATCGCAATGAACAATCATGAGCTCAACTCGAAGAGGAAAAAAAGAATTGCCAGTCTATCGACACGCCAGAGGCAGATGCACCACCTGCGTCACCTCGCGTTCTCCAATTGTATCAATCGAATCCCAGCGAAAAAGCGGAGATGACGTGGGGAACGGAGAACAAACAGGGCAAACCACAGCCCAGAGAAGGCAAAGCGGACACGCACCTGAGCCACTGCCTGCGACGCACTTGGCGCACTTGGCGCTCTTAACGTCGATCAGGCGCTTTCCTCTCTCTTTCGTCCGTTTCAGCCACGTCCTGCCACCCCCCCCGATTAAAGCTGCACGGAGCTGCAACCCTTGCTATATGCCCATAGGAAATCGTCCCAGATCTTCTATCCCATGCTCTTGCCCCTGACACCTCCCTAAACGCGGAATACCCACCGGAACCACGCCAACGATGGCAGACAACGGTGAGGGCTCGTCACTGATCCCGCCCCGATCGGTGCCAATTTCGACCTCGTCCATACGATCCACGTCACCCGCCCCGGATAGCAGACAGGCCTCGATGGCTCGTCTGGCCTCGCCAGTACCTGCTGCATCTTTTGGGACATCCCCATCGTCGCGAAAAGGCATCCCTACTAGCCGACCCATCAACACTACCGCTGCCTCCAATGTCGAGCAGAACTTCCGTGCTGTTGACAATATGGCCTCTCTGCCAGGCCCCGGCCAGTCCATGATCGCATCTCAGCTACAAGAAAGTCTCGGTCGGTCGCCTCCGAGATTTGGTACTCCTTCACGAATGGCGGGGTCCCCTTCGATCCCCCCGACGCTCGACAGCCGACCCATGGCCTCCCAGTACGGCTCGTTCGACACCAACAATAACTACGGCCCCGACAATAATGGTGCAGGCGCGAATGAGGATCCAGAAGTCGTGAGGAGACATTTGGTTCTCCCACAAAATGTCTCGGAGAGTCGAGATACTGGCTCGGAGCTTGGAACTAGCCATGGCGACGACGAGTTCTCCAGTCTGCAGCTGCAGGGCGGTGATATCACCCGTCAGGTCTACCGGTGGGCGGAGGATGCGGATGCCGCACGATTCGCTCGCAGCAAGAGTTTCAGCATCAGTCGACCCGCCCCCGAGGCCGAGACCGAAGATATCCACACAATCCAGGTGCCAGGTGGGTTCCGGAGAGATTTTCTGCGGAGAACTGCGGGGAGCCCACACCGTGGGAGTGTGCATGGGTCAAACGCCGGCGCTGCATCCACGCAACCCCAACTTCCAACCACGAGCTTCTTGGAGTTCTTGACGCTGTATGGTCACTTTGCCGGAGAGGAGTTGGAAGAAGATGATGAGGTTTTGGGACCCGATGAGTACTTTTCATCCGACACCTGGGATGAGCCCGATGAAGCCCGGGAGTCTGGTGAGGATGCGGCGCTGCTTCGAGGAGACGGTGCTGGTCGGAGAAAGCGTAAGCACAAGCAGCGTGCGCCTCCCGGAAATACGAGCACCACTGGTGCTGTTATGCTGCTGCTCAAATCTTTTGTGGGAACGGGAATTCTATTCCTGCCCCGCGCCTTCTTGAACGGCGGAATGCTCTTCAGCAGCATGGTTCTTCTGGGTGTCTCGATTCTGAGTTACTACGCCTTCATCCTGCTGGTCAACACCCGCATGCGCATTGAAGGCTCCTTTGGTGATATTGGTGGGATCTTGTATGGAAAACACATGAGACGCATCATTCTGGGCTCGATTGTTCTGAGCCAATTGGGTTTCGTGTCTGCCTATATTGTGTTCGTGTCACAGAACCTCCAGGCGTTCGTACTCGCCGTGAGCAAGTGTAAGAGCTTCATCGACATCAAGTACCTGGTGCTGCTGCAGCTGGTCTTCTTCCTACCTCTCTCCTTGATTCGTGATATCGGCAAGCTTGGCTTTACTGCGCTCATTGCGGACGCCTTCATCCTCCTGGGGCTGCTGTATATCTACTATTACGATGCTCGCACTTTGATTGGCAATGGTGGTATCTCAGACATCAAGGCCTTCAACCCGTCGACTTGGTCGATGTTCATCGGCACGGCCATCTTTACCTACGAGGGTGTCGGTCTGATCATCCCTATCCAGGAGTCGATGAAGCAGCCACGTCGCTTCCCCGGTGTCCTAGCTGGTGTCATGGTCATCATCACTCTGATCTTCCTGTCCGCGGGTGCTCTGAGCTATGCCGCCTACGGATCCGCCACCAAGACCGTCATTCTCCTCAACCTTCCCCAGGACGACAAGTTTGTCAACGTGGTCCAGCTACTTTACTCGCTCGCTATTCTGCTCAGCACACCACTCCAACTCTTCCCCGCCATCCGTATCTTGGAGAACGAGTTGTTCACTCGCAGCGGCAAGTACAACCCTTATATCAAGTGGAAGAAGAACACATTCCGATTCTTCTTGGTGTTCGTTTGTGCCTTTGTCGCGTGGGGTGGCGCCGCCGATCTCGACAAATTTGTCGCTCTGGTCGGCAGCTTCGCCTGTGTCCCGCTAATCTACGTTTACCCGGTAAGTAGTCTTGCAAGACCCTCATCATTCTAGCTTCTAATCAGCGTTTCTATACAGCCCCTCCTACATCTCCGCGCATGCGCCCAATCAAGACGCCAGGCTATCGCCGATATTACTCTCGCCACTCTTGGAGTCATCTGTTGCATTTACACCACTGCTTTAACTCTCCAGAACTGGGTTGGCGCAGATGTCCCCCAAAGCCCTGGATACTGCGATTCGCAATAATCAGCCTCGCGGAGAACTTCCGATTGACATGACCGCTCATCATCTTCCTTTCTTGTCTAAGCCGTTACGGTTTTAGATTGTGGCATAGCATCTGTGTTTTTGCCTTTCATCTCTTTCTTGTACGCATGGTTTGGTAGAGCAGTACAAGTCTTGATTTTTGATGTGTCTTTTTGATAAGTTGCCTGGCTTTTTGGCGGGTTTCCTTTCGTTTTTCCTTTTTTTTGGGTCCGGCATTGGCCCATGTTGTATACATAGGTTTAAGATTTGGTTCTGGATTCTCGTTGGGTTGAACACAACATTTCTGGGATAGCTTTGTGTTCTTAAGACATGACAAACTAGGCGTCATTGGTATAGCCCTGGATCTGCCTTCTGTAACATTCCCTGACTAGATATCAAAAGAGGTTTTTTGATCATGAGTCGAAAGATAGCACGAGAGACAATCTTGCAGATACTAGGGGGACGTTTCGAAGGAGCTCTAGAAAAATCCTCAAAGATAGCGGTGGTCAAAGCGTATCTAGCTACACTTTGTCTCTAGTCACTGATGTCAGCCAGTAGGTAACCGGATCCCATCTTGGCGTCAATCATAGAAAGGGGACTTGGTTTCCAACTCTGGTCAAAGAACAAACAGTTCGATTTCATGTAGAGTCTATGTACAGTAACTGGAATGGGCTCGCCAGGAAATTATGTCCTCCCGGACTCACTCTAGCCCAAAACATCCCCCGTCTCCCCCCTCGCACCGTCATTCCCCCCATTTCATGCAAATTTTACATACCTCTATATCATCCTTCTCTTTCCCAATGGATCGTCAAGACCAATCCCCGAGCCACAAAATATATGAATGTGATAGGCATATAGAGGTGCAATGCTGCGAAACGAGGTACAAAAGATACGAGCTTTCAATGTTCAATGGAGATCCCAATTCCGGGGGACTTTTTATGCCTGCGCGGCCGCGGCACCCTGCTTAGCCTTCTCGGCCAGCTGGGCTTCCCGACCACCCCAGCTATATTTTCGAAGAAGGGAGTGTTAGCGCGGACTGTTCCGTGTGTCATGAATGGAAAGTAGACGATCGAGTCAAGCTTTCACGAGGTTATTGGAGGAACGTACTTCCAGTATGACAGGTAGCGGTAAGCCTGGGTCGACTGGGCACCGAAGTTGGTCAGATGGCAGGCGAAGAGGAGGTAGTTCTTGGGGGTAACGGCGAGGGAGTAGCGCATGAAAGTGGCAGCGTAGACGACCAGAGCAGCGGTCATGGGGCCGGAGATACTGTGGAGGGGACAAGGTTAAAAAGACGGGTTCACTAGCGACTTGACTGGGCGGAGAATCGATTGTATGAAGATGCTATTCGGCATGTTGAACGTACATTTCGGGGTCCTTCTGGGTGTCCATCACGGCCGCGATGGGGATACCGAAGTTGGAGACAGGGCCCCAGAAGTCTGCAGCGAAGCATTGTCAGCGTATCATCTCGTGTTTTATGCCTCAAATCGCCGTTCCAAGATGTGTTCCTTTCTCCCAATTCAAATAGACCTCATTCCTCTCTTTCTCTTTATTCTTTGCCCCATGGGCAACTCATTTGCGCAGGCCGATCTCGGTCCGGGAAGCGCAGCGGGAAACTCGGGAACAGGTTCAATTTGCACGTACGAGTTGAGCAGACATAGTCCAGCACCTTGTTGGAGCGGATCTTAGCATTGATAGCCTTGATAGCAGCGGCCATGATGACGTTGCTGGAGGAAGAAATACGGGGAATCTGGGGACTCAGTGAGGAGGTTGAGGTTGGGGTCTGCGGCTTGCGGAATTACCGCCTCGATTCGACCGGCGTTGGCCGCAGGTCACGTGCTTTAACAACGGAATGGGATTGCTCTTATGTCCGTTTCATAAGTTCAGGATATATGGAAAATATATTCAATTGTAGACGAGCTACTCAGGGACTCGTACTTGTAAGGATGGCACTGCTTATCTTCCAGAGTCGAGGCTAATGGTGGTTACTTGGTATTTATTGCTGCTCACCGATGGCGGAAGCGACCGTTGCTCGTAGCTATCTCCGTAGTTGAAACAGCGATTATCTACCGTAAAGCGGCGAGAATGAGAAATGGAATAAGCAGAGTTTCTCGTTGAGGTTGGTCAATTGTCCTTAGTTAGGATATAGAGGAAATGGACAGACCAGCTTTTATTGAGTACGGGCTGGAGTTGGCTTGGAACAGCCAAGATATACTTGTGGCTCCCAATATATATCTTTAGTAACCAACAGCTTCGGATGGTACAAAAACGGACAAATCCAATTGGAAAAGAATCCAACCGAACAAGCACGGATTAAACTGAATATGTATTGCATGTTGCGACAAGCGGTCGTGGGAATGAGCTAGCATTGTTTTTGGTACTAAATGCAAATCTGAAAGGGATTTTCGGCTTTTGTTTTCCTATCCTTGGAAACGACCTCCATCCGCATGCGCCGCAACGCCTTGCCCAGTGAGAGGGCTATCTAGCCTATCCGCGAAATGTTCCCTGGCGCTGGAAGTGAGGGCCGTGTCTCGCCTGTTCTCGAACGGTTTATCTCTCTTTCGACTTCCCACATGAAACATCACTCAAGTTCTGAAGCATCAAAGGTCCTTCTCAAATTAATCTAATCCATCTACCGGCCTCCGAAGCCAGGAGGGGGGAAACCGCGGCCTTGGCCTGGGGGCTGGAAGCCAGGAGGAGGTTGGAAAGAGCCGGCTGAAGAGAGAAATGTTAGCCGTGAAAGGTACTGAGGGTATGACTAGAGGGAGTACTTACGGGGAGCACCCTGGGGAGCGAAACCAGGGGGAGGAGCGAAGCCAGCTAGAAGCACGGAATGGTTAGTATATATGCCGACTATCCAGCATCTCCAATTGTTGGTTTGAACTTACGAGGTCCACCAGGGGCTCCTCCACGACCAGCGAAACCAGGAGGAGGCGCACCAGGGAAACCACCGGGAGGGAAGCCTCCAAAGGCACTGGGAGGAGGCGGGCCACCAACACCAGCAGCGGGGCCGCCGAGTCCGACAGGCAGGCCACGACCAGCGGGCTTGCTGATACCGGGACCGGCAACGAGAGTAGCAGCAGCACCAGCAGCGCCAGGACCGGCACCGAGACGCGCAGAGGGATCGGCAGGAGGGGGGCCGTCCACGGAGCAAGAGACGACCTGGGTACCGCGAACGATGGTGAGACCGAGAGTACGCTTCTCCTCCGCTTCAACCAGTGGGGCGTTTGAGGGACCGGCGGCGGGCTTTGACTTTCGCTTGGTGCGACGGAACTCTTCTGTGTCGGCAAGAACGAGGTTCATGTGCTATGAGAGGATTGATGGTTAGTGAATGGTATCGAATTGCCAGGGAATGCGACACACCTTATCGAAAGCCAGCATCTGGCCGGTCATCTGTCGACCATCGTTCAGGGTAACCCTCATCCGGTAGTTGATCTAAAAGCCGTGTAAGAATGATGAATGGAGAGTGTTACATCTTTTCGAAGGAACTCACGAGGTTTTGCTAGAGAGTAGAGGTTAGCGACAGCCATTGACCACCCTAGTCGGGGATTCGAGCAGAGGGACTGGGGGAGACTTACCATCTTGCCCTGCTTGTTGGCGGCCATGGTGGGCAAAGGGGGAGCGCGCACGAATGCGACTTGCAAAATCCAAAAAAAGGGTTGAAAGACAGCAAGGATGCTCTCTTTACGGTGTAGGAATCAAGCAAGACGCGGAATCCTTGGGGTCGAGCTTAGCTCTTTGATGCCCGGGCTCAATTCTCGATATCGGATGACTCAGCAGGCACATACCACGTGACTTGATCGATGTCCAGTGGAGAAATCTATATCCTGACATAAGCGCCAAGCTTCTGCAAGCCCTCTCGCTTCCCAATTCCCGTGACTCGGTTCCCGTGACCGCCGCCCACACAAACCGCTTTTGTGCTTTTCGAAGATTCTCTCCATCTCGTCGCCAACCCATATCCACGCCACACCAGTCGCCATGGTATGTTACCACCACAACCAACACACTCTATTCTATTCCATCGAACAGCGCCAATTCTAACGAAATATGCAGTCGGACGCCAAGGACAAGACCGCCAACCCCATGCGCGAGCTGCGCATCCAGAAGCTCGTGCTCAACATCTCCGTCGGCGAGTCTGGTGATAGACTTACCCGTGCCGCCAAGGTGCTCGAGCAGCTGTCCGGTCAGACTCCTGTCTACTCCAAGGCCCGCTACACCGTCCGTACCTTCGGTATCCGCCGTAACGAGAAGATCGCTGTCCACGTTACCGTCCGCGGCCCCAAGGCCGAGGAGATTCTCGAGCGTGGCCTCAAGGTCAAGGAGTACGAGCTCCGCAAGCGCAACTTCTCCGAGACCGGTAACTTCGGTTTCGGTATCTCCGAGCACATCGATCTCGGTATCAAGTACGACCCCGGCATCGGTATCTACGGCATGGACTTCTTCTGCTGCATGTGAGTGCTTCAAACTGGGACGACAACAAGTCCCCCTCCTTTCCTACGAGTAATCCGTCAAAGGAGAGCACCCTCTCTAATATAAACTTCTCCTACTAGGACCCGCCCCGGTGAGCGTGTTGCCAAGCGCCGCCGCGCCAAGGCCTCCATCGGTTCCAACCACAAGATCCACCAGACCGAGACCATGAAGTGGTTCAAGAACCGCTTCGACGGTATCATCCGGTAAATGTCTTAACTGACATGTTGAGGAAGCGGGGAAGGCCGGTTGGAAACTTGTGATTTACGATGCATCGAAGGGAGCCAAAAATTTTTCTCCGCCCCAAACCCCAAAAGAAACAAAAATCGGCCCAATGTCAGACCCCCTCGTCGATACAACCGGCCGGGCTCCTGATCTTTGCGTCGGATATGGTGTTCTGAAACTCTTTTTTATTCTCTCACGGCAACCAGGATTAGGCGTGTTAGAGACATGAATTTACTACCACCTTGCAAAACTTTTTTGCGTTTCCCATCCCTTTTCACAATGAAGGCTGCACGAAAGGTGTTGTTCTCCGCATAACCATTGCTGAAAGGGCATGGCTGGCTTCCGAGACTTTGCCGTCTCGGATGTCATGTCATGACTCGCTTGACTTGGTCGAATGATCTCGTCAAAGAGTCGGTCTCTTTGCCTTCGATGACCTGCCAAGGTTATTGAGATGTGCAAGAGTACCTCTATCTGGCCTCTCTCTCTGTCTGTTGCTGTCTACACCTGGTGCCGCTCTTCTGCGTAGTCGTAGGTTCGCGTAGGCTCTCGTAGGATTCCGTAGTATACCGCGCGTGCCCTTCATCATCGCTGCACTAACCCTCTTGGCTTTCTCAGCGGCCGTTCTTCCATTGGGATCCACTTGATATGAATTACAAGTCTAGAACTATTCTTGGACTTCCAGCGACGCCACGGCCAGCCGACTCTCCAGTCGACGGTCCATTGCCACTTAATTCGTATTGATCACTCGGTCATTTTGCAGCAATCTTTGCAGCAATCTTTGCATGACGCTTGGATCTTGGCCCCGCCTAACATATCTCTAGAAATGCAAAGATAAATCGTCGAAGGTCTCGTCTTCCCTGGTCACTCCGCCATTCCATACAATCCTCTTTTCTCTAGTGAGTACCTATATTTAGCATCAATCGGTTGCAAGCCGACTAGATCTCTTCGATAGTGGCTCTGCAGGCAACAGGCTAACATCAATGATTTGAACCATGCTCACACAAGGGAAACCAATGAAGGCTGTATCATTGTCGTCTAGTACTTCCAGCCTATCCCGTCCATGCCACATTGTTCTTCGAACGAGGACCAAGGGGTATACATCAATGATTCTACACTTATCTAACAAGTACTACAGGAACAGGAATACCACACATTCTGGCTAACTCCATTATCCGAGCTTTCTTGACGGTTCATAGATTCTGGGAGAACCTCATAAAACTTTGTTCAGTAGCAATCATAGCTTCAGTATTTTGATATACCACAATCCCTACCTACTATGAACGTCGCATCTTTGAATGTCTAGGTGGCCCTCGACATGCCAAGCAGTGGACTTGTTCAAACCACAATAAGAGAAAGAAGTCTACTATGTAGAAACACGATGAACCTACCATCGACAACCATTTCCACTTTGTTTTCTCTCAAAAAATCATGACTCGTCGAAATACATCATATACAATAAACCCAACCCCACGAAACACAACCCAACCAAAGAGCAAAAAGAAACAAGATCATGAAAAAAAAAAAAAAAAAAAAATAAGGCCCCCCCCCCCCACAATTACAATCTGATGCCTATGCCTATTATCCCCTTGCCTTGCTATAGAGGAATCAAAATCGTCGACACTTCACTTACCCCCCCGCGTATACCCTTCCCACAACTTCGAAAAGAAACCCCCCTGCTGCCGCTGCTCATCCCAGCTCGCCCGGCGCGCCGCCATATTCGAATCCGCCGACTCCCGCTTCTGCGAACTCAGCGAGGAAAATAGGCCAGCACCGGAACCGGAGCTTGCGCTTGAGCGGCGGCGTTCATTGACGGAGGGGGTTGTGGGGGAGCCACCGTTGGCGGTGTTGGCGGAGGAGGCGGATTCCTGGATGATTTTGTTAGACGGGGGTGATATTGGGAATTGGAAAGTAGATTGGCACTGGGGTGGTGCGGAGGGGGAATGGGGGGGTGGGTGAGAACGTACTCGGCGTTTGGCATCGGCAGCCATCATTTCGGGTGTTAGAGCCCATGCGGCTCGGTTCGCGGGACCCATGGAGCCACCGTGTGTCCAGGCGTTGAGGTGTTCGTAGCGGTCACCTTTGTTGCCGTGCCAGTGGCGCTTGATGTTCTCGGGCATGTTCTCGGGAATATTGTCGGACATGATGGATGGCCTTTTGGAAGCTGAAGAGGTTGGAGATTGTAGGGTGTTTGATGTGGTCTTGATATGTATTGATTAGTCGGTGATATGCAGAGTTAGGATTGTAAAGTTAACCAAAGTGTGAGAAAGATAAGTGTCACGTCCAGTAGAGAGGATAGTGGTAGAGGGGTGTTTAAATAAACTCTTCTATCAAGCAATGAGGTTGGATCGAGATGGGTTGGAGTCAAAGACGTCATTGAAGGAAGTGCGGAATGCGGGTGTGGAAACCGTGGATTGGGGGAGGTTTGTATAAAGACACAAGCTATTGAAAGCAAAGATGATGTAGACTAGACTTCGAGGGGAAACACGTACCTTAATCTCTGATTTATTCTCTTGAACGATCACGGATTCAGAGTAGATGATGATATAGGAGGGGAAAAGAGGTTGAGAAAAAGAGGGGAAAGGCTGTACCTAAAAATCCATGTCGCGTGTGAATGGGCTCAGCCGACGAGTTAATTCCCCCGGACTTTGGTCTGCTGGTTACTCCATTCGGATCTTTGCCGGAGATCGACCAGGATGGTGATTGGTGATTGCTATTGGGATGGCTAGAATGGAGTGGAAGTGCGGATATACGATACGCTATGGAAGCTACTAGGCGGGACACTGGCCTGCTGGACTGGTTCGATCATGATACCACTTATCAAGCTACTACTGATCGTATGATGGCTAGTGTATTGGTGAGTCTACGAGTCTACGCACATGATGCTGAGGATCCGAGAAGTAATGCACAGCTTTACACGCAAGCTGAATGGTCGTAGCTTGTTGTAAGAGAGAATGCGGGGAAAGCTCGAGGGCGAATCAGACGTGCAGGTATCGAGTACTTTATTCGGTAGGGCTCAACTGGGCTAGGAGAAGTACTCTTTACCTTGGTGGGACCCACTTGTCGAGAATCACTACCGTGACGAAGAACCCATCGGTCGAGATCTATCCGATCCTAGATAATCGATCGAGATCGGTGGATCGATGTCCGATCAAATCTAAGAACTCCTGACGTCGACAACATGCAGATAGCACGACTATATCCTGATGTAGTACTTACTATTCAATTCTAGATTCACAATTTATAACCCTATACATGAACCGTCCCCTAGACAAGACAATTTATTGAACACAGAAAGATAACCTCACAACTTGGCCTTCTCACCCACATCCACATCCCTCAAAGCCTTCCACACCTTAACCCCTTCCTCCCAAAGCGCATCTTCCCGAATCTCCACCTTCCCATCGGCCCTCAACACTCTCACCGGCTTCCCACTAGTCCCCCATCCAAATCCATCACCATCACCATCGCCGCCCTTCACAAACCGACTTAACGGCCCAATAAACGCCTCCTCAGTACTCCTCTTCTCCGCCTCCGTCAACACGTCCCCATTCCCCCAGAACCACAACGGATAATCCGACGCGTGCGTCACTCCCCACTCTAACGGCATCCCCTTGTCAACACACTTTGCCCGGAACTCAATCCTGTACCGGTGAATCAACCGCGACGCATCGATTCCGGCGGTATTCTCCGTGAGAGCGTGGATCAGGCCGCGCTGCATGTGGTAGACCTGTATATCGGCGTAGATCCGGCCCCAGGCATCGGGTGTCCAGTTCTGGCAATTCGGCGGGAGCGATTTGGTCGGGTAGTGTAGCGGTAGAAGGGCATCGACGATACGCTCCGGGTAGTCGGCGATGAGTCTTGTGCGGAGCGCGTCTAGGGTGTTTGCTTTGGGTGGGAACCAGGTGCTGTAGAGGAAGTTTTCGTCTGCGCATTCACCGAGGATCAGTCGGACGTTGCGGGACAGGAGTTTGCGGGCAAAGTCGCCGTTGTCGAGGGATGGGAAGAGGTTGGACAGGATGAAGCCGTTGTCGGTTGTTGGGCGGAATTGGTGGATTTCGATGGATTCCATTGCGTCGAGGAGTCGTTTTGGCGGGAGGGCGCGTAGACGAGCGAGTTTCTCGTTGCCGGAGAGTGTGAGGGGGATGGAGAGGGCGGACAGGAGCTGGTCGAATTGAAGCTGTGTCTCCGCTGGGGCTTTGGGTTGGACTGCCGGGGAATTGGAGAAGATGCATGCTTGTCGAACGATGGCCTTGTCGTCTGGTTGACGGAGGTCGTATGCCAATTGATGGAAGACGGAGTTTGCACCTGAATCCCAGGGTGAGTATTTCAATATTGGAGATTTGACACTTATATACTCACCAGCAGAATACCCCGAGATGGTGATGTTATCCGGATCCCCCCCGAACAAATGCACGTTCTCCTTGGTCCACTCCATCGCCAACCTTTGATCCCAGAATCCATGGTTACCAACCGTCTCCCCTACGGCAGCAGCATCCTGCTCGAGTTCCGCCGAGTACAAGAACCCGAACAGATTCACCCGATACGCCGGCATCACGATCACACACTTGAAGTCCGTCTCACCCAGCAAGGCCGCCGCATTGAAGCCATTGGGCGAGCCAAACTGTAACCAGCCTCCATCTACAAGCCAATCATGTTAGCATCCACACCAATCCGCGCCAAACCATTAAGGTGTGAAGCAGATGATCGGGTATACTCACGAATAAACATAAAAACAGGCCATCCACCCCTCGGCGCCTCACCCAACGGCACCCAAACATTACACTGGAAACAATCCTCCGTCCATGCATCCTCGTTCACCGGCGAGATATTCAAAAAGCCGGGTTGCGGACACAACCCCGCACCGGTCTCACATCGACCCGGGGCATCTTTGCTGCCGTAGGTGAATGTCGAGGGGAGTCGGCGGGCGCGACGCCAGCGTTGCAGAGGGGGGAGAGCATAGCGGACGCCGCCGAAGTAGTGGCACAGGTCGGTGGAGGATTGAGTGGATGATATGGTGAGACCTTGAATTGTGCCGCGGTGGGCGAGGGTGTGGAGGCGTGGACGGCTCGATGTTTCCATGATGATGGAAATAGAGGAGAAAGGAGAGTAGTCAATCAAAACTGTGAGAATATAGTTAGCCCGACACTATTCCTTTTCTCTAGTCCATGTCCAAATCCATACCTTTCTTTCTACCTACTAGAAACCCAAGCGGAAATCAGATAGACCGGGGTCTCAAAGTTGCAACGGTCGCTCAACACCCTTTTATCACGACCGACACTAGGAGATCTCGGACTCCATTCCGCGGGCCACCAACAAGAGATAACGGTTGCCGAGATAAACCCTCCGATTTGGAGCACCACGATTGGGTAGGCGAGACGAGGGGACTCGGATCGGCAAAGTTGGGGGTTGGCGACTTGCTGTGGATTGCGGGGAGAGCCCCACTAGCTTCGGTCTCGGAGGTAGATCTGGAAGCCGAGGTACAGTTCCTATCATCGTTGGGGTTGAGTGGTCAATTGATTCTCGACGAATGCATGCTAGGCATGGTATGTGCAAGCTGAATAATTGATCATAGTGAATGTAGAGTACCAGTGGGCTTTTTGTAGAGTCAGTATGTAGGGCTGAGGCTCGTTACTGTGGTTCTGTCAAGTCGGGATAAAGACAGACGACGTCGGAACCTGCCATCTACTACCAGGAACAAGTCCACCCGTCTTGATAAGGGGATAGTGTCTAGGAGTGGCCATCGGAACGCTTATACTAATGGCCGTAAGACCGCCATAGTCCACCTCGGCATGCTACACCTTGTACAGGAGGGAAGAGAATGCAGAAAGGATAAAGTATGGAAAAGCCATTTATCATTCCAATAAGAAATAACCAAAATATCCAATCAAATCCAAACAAAATCCAGTTGGACAAAAAAGTAAACCAATTAACGCTAGAAGCTATCGTTCACATCACATCACATCACGTCTTTGCGCGTGTGTAGTTAATCGTGCACATCTTATACACAATCAGAGATAAGAGATCCAAAAATAAGAGAAGATTTCAAGGAAAACATCCACAGCCAAAAAGAAAACATTCATCAAAAAGATTCTCACACTTTTCTAACCGGTCAAGCTCTATGCCTTGGTAATCCGGCAGATAAGGTCCTGGCCGTCGACGGAGTCACCCTCCTTGACGAGCAGGCCGGAGACCTTGCCACTGTGAGGAGCGGAGATGACCATTTCCTGTAACACGGTTAGTAAGAAGTTGAAGCATTAAGTAAAGGGGAGACGTTTCTTACCATCTTCATGGCGCTCAGCACCGCAATAGGGTCACCCTTCTTCACCTCGTGGCCGTCGTGCACACGGATCTCAACCACGACACCGGACATGGGAGCACCGACCTGGCTGCTGTCGGAAGCGTCGGCCTTGGGACGAGCGATGTTGTCCACGGAGGCCTTGTTGTCGTCAACGGACACCTGGCGAACTTCACCGTTGACCTCGTAGAAGACCTCACGCTGGCCAGTCTGCTCGGACAAGGGACCGATAGCCAGCAGCTTCAGGATAAGGACCTTACCCTTCTCGAGCTCGACGTGGAACTCCTCGCCAATCTCGGGGCGGGCCAGGAAGTAGCGAGTGGGCAGAACGGACAGATCACCGAACTTCTGCACAAACTTGCGGTAGTCCTCGAAGACCTTGGGGTACATGGCGTACGAGGCAACATCGCACTCGGTGGCGGCACCGAAATTCTCGCGGATCTGGTTCTTGATAGCAACCAGATCCAGAGGCTCGAGGTACAGACCGGGACGCTTGTCGAGCTTGCGGCGGTTACGCAGAGCGCGAGAGCGCAGGGGCTCGGGGAAGCCACCGAAGGGCTGACCCATCAGACCCTCCAGGAACTCGAGGACGGAGCCGGGGAAGTCCAGCTCACCAGCGCGTTCAACGACGTCCTCCGCAGAGAGCTTGTTGGAGACTATGAACTGAGCCAGATCACCGACAACCTTGGAGGTAGGGGTAACCTTGACAATGTCGCCGAGCAGGTCGTTGGCCACCTCATAAGCCTTCTTGGTCTCGGCCCACTGCTGACCCAGACCCAGCTGGCTGGCCTGGAAGATCAGGTTGGTCAGCTGACCACCGGGGATCTCGTGCTCGTAGACCTCAGGGTCGGGGCCGGTGAGACCGGCCTCGAAGGGCGAGTAGAGCAAGCGGAGCTGAGCCCAGTAGGTGTCCAGGGCGCGGACCTGGCCGACGTCGAGCTGGGGGTCCTGCTCGGTGCCAGCGAGCGAGGCCAGAAGGGCGCCGATGCTGGGCTGGGAGGTCATACCGGACAGGGAGTCGGTGGCGGCATCGACGACGTCAGCGCCAGCCTGGGCGCAGGCAATCATCGATGCAACACCGGTACCGGCAGAGTCGTGGGTGTGCACGTGGATGGGGAGGTCGGGGTAACGCTCACGGAGGGCACCGACCAGGATGCGAGCGGCCTGGGGCTTCAGCACACCGGCCATATCCTTGATACCCAGGACGTGAGTGCCGAGGGCGACAATCTTCTCAGCGAGAGCAAGGTAGTACTGCAGGTTGTACTTCTTTGTAGGGTTCAGCATGTCACCGCTGTAGCAGATGGTAGCCTCGACCACACCGCCGGCCTGCTGGACAGCCTTGATACCGACCTCGAGCTGGTCGACGTCGTTGAGGGCATCGAAGACACGGAAGATGTCGACACCGTACTTCTTGGCCTGCTTACAGAAGTGGTAGATGGCGTTGTCGGGAAGGGAGGAGTAGGCAACACCGTTGGCGCCGCGCAGCAGCATCTGGAAAGGAATGTTGGGAACGGCCTTGCGGAGCTTGCGCAGACGGTCCCAGGGGTCCTCGTAGAGGAAGCGCATGGCGACGTCGAAGGTGGCGCCACCCCAGCACTCGATACTGTAGGCGTTGTGCAGAGCGTGGCTGGTCTCGTGGGCAATGTTGAGCATATCGATGGTACGCACTCGGGTGGCGAGCAGAGACTGGTGGGCATCACGCCAGGTGGTGTCCATGAGCAAGCAGCCCTTGTTGGCACGCACAGCCTTGGCGAAAGCGACCGGGCCTTCGCTGTCAAGGATGTTCTTCCAACCCTTCTGGTAGGGGACGGAAACGTCGAGGGGGTTGCCAGAGGCGTCCCGGAGGATGGGCTTGATGATCTCGCCCTTGAACTTGGGCTCACCGATCTGGCCCTTGATGCTGCTGCCGTTGACGGCGACATCACCGAGGTACGCGAGCAGCTTCTGGGCACGGTTCTGAGAGCCGACCAGAGCGAACAGCTCGGGAGTGTCATCGATGAAAGTGGTCCAGCAGGTGCCATCGATGAAGGTAGGGTGGCTCAGGAGGGAAGCCAGGAAGGGAATGTTGGTCTTGACACCGCGGATACGGAACTCGACCAAGGCACGCAGCACCTTGCGGCGCGCAATCTCGTAGGTCGAGCCACGGCACGTGCACTTCACCAACATGGAGTCGTAGTGAGGGGTGATGACGGCACCGGCGAAACCGTTACCACCGTCGAGACGGACACCGTTACCACCAGCGGAGCGGTAGACCTCGATCTTACCGGTGTCGGGAGAGAAGCCCTTGGCGGGGTCCTCGGTAGTGATACGACACTGAATAGCGAAACCGCGGGTAGAGATGCGGTCCTGGGTCAGACCCAGCTGCTCAAGAGTGGCGCCGGCGGCGATCTGAATTTGGGCAGCGACGATATCGATACCGGTGATCTCCTCGGTGATGGTGTGCTCGACCTGGATACGAGGGTTGATCTCGATGAAGTAGTAGCGGTTCTGCTGGTCCACCAGGAACTCGGCAGTACCGGCGTTGCGGTACTTGACAGACTTGGCGAGCTTCACGGCATCGGACAGAATCTTGTCACGCACATCGATGGGGAGGTCCTTGGCCGGGGCAATCTCCACGACCTTCTGGTGACGACGCTGGACGGAGCAGTCACGCTCGAACAGGTGGACGACGTTGCCCTGGTTATCACCGAGCAGCTGCACCTCAATGTGCTTGGGCTTGTCGAGGAAGCGCTCGACGAAGACGGTGCCGTTACCAAAGGCGGATTTGGCCTCGGAGGTGGCACGCTCGAAGGAGTCACGCAGGTCAGCCTGTTCGCGGACGACACGCATACCACGGCCACCACCACCGAAGGCGGCCTTGATGATGATGGGGAAGCCATAGGCGTCGGTGAAAGACTTGACGTCCTCGTAGCGCTCGACGGGGTCCTCGGTACCGGGGACGACGGGGACACCGCACTTGATGGCTAGACGACGGGCAGAGACCTTGTCACCGAGGGCATCAATGGTGTCCGGGGTGGGACCGACGAAAACAATGCCGGCCTTTTCGACATTGCGGGCAAACTCGGCGTTCTCTGACAAGAAGCCGTAGCCAGGGTGGATCAGGTGCACGCCGTGCTCCACGGCGATCTTGATGATCTCATCACCGGCGAGGTAGGCACCCACGGGGGTGTACTGACCCCGCTTACCGATCATGTAAGCCTCGTCGGCCTTTTGACGGTGCATACCCAGGCGGTCCTCATGGGAGAAGACGGCAACGGTCTGCAGGGACAGCTCGTGGGCGGTACGGAAGATACGGATGGGGATTTCACCACGGTTGGCCACCAGGATCTTTTGGAAGTGCATGATGGTGGAGTTGGCACGTAGACGACGGTGCACCGAGTCCTGGTGGTGCTCCTGGTGGTCCTCGATGAACTCGGAGTCATCGATAGCCTCCTCCGGCTGGCGGTGCGGGGCAGCCATGATGTGTGTAGGGATGAGAGTGAGAAGAGGGTTGAATAGGTGATTACACAAGAAGCTAGAGATGGGGAGTCAGGAAACAAGGTCAATTATTGCAGCTTCATCCCGGAGGAAGCCAATTGAAGCCGATTGATGGAAAACGACGATGGGTTTGCGCTGGGGGGGAACAAGTGACTCACGGGTCTCAAATAGCTGGGGGAGGAGGAAGAAGCTCTGGATAGAACCCCAAAGCCGATTTCGGCAGAACGCAGTGCAATTCGGTTTCGCACTGGGTCAAGGGTCAGGAAAAATGACAAAACTCCCAGACCAGAGAAGAAGATGGAAGGAGAAGGGAGGGAGGAAGTTCAAATAAAAAAAAAAAAAAGGGAAAGTGAGGGAGGCCGAGGAAAGGTTAAATGTAGGAGGAGGGGAGGGGCAGATAAAAGGGCGAGAGTCACGGGCCCAGAGCTGGAAGTGACCGAGACCCGCGTTGAGTTCCAGCCATTTCCCGGGGTTGACTCCATCGATGAGGTAACAAACAGAAATCCCACTTACCGCCTGCGCAATCTGGCGTCACGTTTGTTCTGGGCGATCCCTCTTCGGTCAACCCTTCAATAGTCACGACTTCTCCAAGAGGTTCACCGGTACACCGGGCACAACTATCTCCAGCAATTCGTCTTACTGGATTCTATTTGCTTTGCTTTGCTTTTTTTTTCGATTTCTTGTATGTTCCTCCGGCGGGGCGGGGCATTTTTATGTCCCTTTTTTTTTTTCTTTTGGTAATTTTATATAATGCGATTACTCTTTTCAATCCTCACGGCTACCTGCGCGAGCTCGGCAAACGAGATCCTCCGATGAGATCATCCTCGACCCGCGCGATAACCAACGATTCGCCATTATTCCATTATTCTTCTCTCCCCCCCTTCAAGGTTCTCATCGTCCATATCGGGTGGATTAGGCCCGTCCGCAACCTCGGGTCCTCGGACTTGGTTCAAACCTCCCCAGATTTATTATTATTCTTGTGCTGTCAGAAGATCCAGCCCTAGCGCGTTTCCAGATCGCCTACTCGCCCGCTTCCCCCTCCCTGTGGTCCTCGCTGGGCGACGGATATTGACGGGAAACCTGAAGTGGTCCGGGGGAGACTCGGAGAACTCTCGATCTGACGAATCCACCCGGGGTCCAATCACGAGGCTTGCGCTGCCCATTTCTTCCCTTTGCGCCTACGCTTGGCCCAAGGTACCACTGGGCGACCCCCTTCACCTCGGGGAAAGTCATTCCGAAATCCTCTGGGGGGACTGAGGCGACTTCTCCGATCAATTGCGTTTGACTCATGAACCACAAGGAGGGACGAAAACGGGACAATGATTCACGCTGCTGTTCACATCTTGTCAGTCCCTCCAGCCCCCCAGGTGTTTTCGTGGGGAAGTTCTTCCCTCTCCTGGCAGGCGGTGCCGCGAAATCCGTGTCGGGTCATGCGTGCTCATTCTCTAGAGGAAAGGATCTCCTCTCTTCCGATGGCGGTGATTCTCGTTCCTGGATCTTTTGGCAGATTCCGATGCCTCATCGGTGTCTCTTTCCGATTGACCGCGAAGAACCTGGCCCTGGCGTACCTACTCGCTGCTCGTACTGTAGTGGTGTCCCGTAGTCCCTGTCGCTCACCTTGCCCCTCCTCTCCCACTTGGCGCTACGGCTGATCTCCCGTTTGAGTATGACAGGATCTATGTATGCCAAGATCTCAGCAATAGTAATTGCCAATAGTTCATAGCACATTCCGTGGCTTTTTCTTCTGATTTTCTTCTGCTCTCCGAACTCCGCACCCCTGCCGATTTCGACGGGGCCTATGTTTGTGGAATCTGCAGCAAAAAAGCCAAGGCAGCCAAGGGACCAGCCAAGCTCCGCGCATACCGAGGCGCAATCGACAATTCGATATTCCCACAACCACAAATGGCCACGACCATAAGTAACTATTTCTACATACCCAGACCCGCGCCACCATACTATTGAATCACCTCTTTAAACCGGGCCATGCCAAGGCCCCGCCAGTGAACATAGCAACGCATTTTTAATCTGCAACCGCTAGAATGTAATTGACTATGAACCTTTTGTAGCTGCTACAAATACTATTTGGGTTCTATCGCCGTGCAGTGTGCAGCGATAGCAGGGTACTTGGCGCAATCCCTAGCCAATGTCATCCCCCAGACCCTCACTTCCTGCACGATAAGCCGACCGGCACCCAATGGCCGTTCTCCTAATTTATTCCAATCGTCTTTCCCCATTTCCACCCGACATGTTTATCTTCCTCTCCGTATCTGCCCGCCGACGTCATTGTTCCCCCAGATTTGCTCGGCTGGAGATCAGGACGATTACTCGAATGCATGTGCGCTCATGCTCTGGACTGTAGGTTGGTGTTCTTGACTAGGAGAGAGTTATTGCACTTGCTATACAGTAGTGAGACAATAAATAATTCTGAAATTCTAGGTAGTTGTCTTATTCACGAAATAGAGTCCTGTGTTGGACTGCAAGTATTGACCCTCCCCACAAAAACCCTCTGCATCAACAATCTCCACACCCAAGGCTGCAAATATCATTCCTACGAATAGATCACGAATCCCATTGGCAAGATAACAACGAGTATACGATCCATCTCTCCCTCCGCGTCTAACCATTCTTCTTGTTCCCATCCACCCTCAACGGAAGAATTCACAGCCACGATTCCCAAATAATTCTTCCGTACAGCCCAGCCCACACCTTCACATGGCACCCCCCCCCCCCCCCTACGCGTCACTCCACAGGGTAAAAGTCTTGCCCGCCGAACCTCGCCGCGTTCCTTCCAGCCGGAGGCCGAGTTTAGGATTTCGTTCTCCGTGTAGAAATCATGTTCAAGTCACTGCGGGACATTTTTACTCCGTATCTCGGTCAATTGTCAATGCGAGCCGATCTAATGACGGGCCGGCCGGGGGGGGGGGGCGGGCTGATTGATCCCGTGACAGCTCCAGCCAGCTCCTAGTCTGACCATAGCTCTGGCCGGACAACAAATCACCTCACAGTACTCAGTAGACTATCCAACATACCATCTAGAGTTGCTCAGATACGCCCAGACAACTAGATTCAATTTTTCTCAAAATACAGTTAAAAAAAAAAAAGGCACCCTCTGCCCAGTCCCTCTCCTTGTTAGGCCAAGAGGTCCACTGGTTATCAGTGTCAGTCCAAATGATCGCCAGCATCCGCCCGCCAAGCCCAGTAGTACATCAATACAACTACGGAGTACTCCGCAGTCACATTGACGGGGCAAGGGAGGAAAGGAAGCGCCAAGATATATAATGTGCTATGTGCAACGTGCAACGTAGTGCGGAGGGCGGAGTCTCAAGCTCCTGTAGTCAGCGAGCAATGTTCATACATGGCTTGGCTCTGCGGATGATCTGCACGGGGGACGGTCGGTGCAGAAGGCAGAGAGAATGAGACTGCCCGTGTACCTAACTCTGCGAGGTTGGTCACGGGGTAAGTTTAGGCATCATCGTAGAAGGTATTTGATCGCACAGTACGTTCGTTCTAATGCATCAGGGAGTATGGGCTTTTTTATCCGGTGGGAATTATAGCCGATATTGGGTTTGCCAAAAGAGGAAATTTTGCCTGTCAAACTACATCATGCTTATATATCTCGGCATCCACAATACAGCCCAAAAGACATATCGTGTCGCAACTTCCAAGAGATAGTCAAACCAGCACTTTTAACCACAGCAGCAAACCACAGCAGCAAGCGTATTAAATCAAACCGCCAGTCCGCCACCATTCATCATAGTACAGTCGGCTGTAACCAAGTTGCTGATTCGTGAATCAACCTCAACCCAAACCGGGAGTGAACTATTTAGCCTATACTCACTAGTAGCAAATGAGGCGTTGTCCGCGGCTGAACTACCAGGTTACATTAATAAGGGAGGAGGAGTGGTAGTTTTCTGCAGGATAGCATTATTTCACTTTTGCAGATAGACGCGTTGAGGGAATGGCGTGTCCTTAGTTGATGCTTTGCAGGTGCAGAAGTGGACCTGATGGCTCCTTGGCGGACCTTGGCAAAGAGTTTCTCACCGGACGAACTGGATAGTGGGCGAGGCCCACCTTGGCAGGCTCAAAAATGAAACGACCGTGGCACAAAAGGTCTAGTTCCAGCTACGTTACGATATTCGGCCAAGAAATTACAGTCTTGTTGATCTCCGGATGCCCGCGTGACCTGCAAGCCAAGATATCGATTGAACTAGGGAGGATAGGATTATCTATCAAGGGTGAACGGAGTGCAATTACTGGAACGCGGCCTCGACAGAAAAGGCCACGTCAAAATAGGAGAAAAAATGCCTATCAAAGTACATTGGATGATAAAAACAGCAGGGAAAAATGGGAAGTGAAGAAGAAAATAAGAAACAGAATTAACGGGTCAGCCATGGGTGATTCCCCCCGGAATCCCATGATTGATCCCCGGCTGCTGCATATCTGCCAGATCTCATCTCATGTCTTTTGCTCGCACCAAAAAGGTCATCACGTCGCTGTATGTTACACATAAGGGAAAAATCAAAAGGGCAAAAGAGTCAAGGGTCGAAGGCCTCGAGCATCTCTAGAATGCGCGATACCCGGTCGCCTGCGGGGTTAGCCCGTTGGCAGGCTGACCACCGCCATAAGGCATGGGGCTGGCCGGAGCAACGGGACCCTGGGTCAGCATCAGTCGGGAGCCACCGAGGATAGGAGTGTTATCCTCCTCGGTCTGTTGGGTCTTTTCCCGAGACTTGCGCTCCTCATTGTCCTTCTTCAGCATCTCGATGGTGCGGGTCTGCTCGCACAGGAAGTTGATCATGAACGGCATGGTGAAGTCGTGCAGACCCTTGCGCCATGAAATCTCCATAATCACATCGGGGCGGATCAGGTCGTAGCAGGCATACAACATGCCAACGTAGCACTCGCGGCTGCCAATGTCGACGAACTATCGAGAAAGTTAGCGGATAAGCTCAAATCGACAGCTAGACAGTTAGATAACTTACGTAGTGAAGGAGATCCTCAACCACCTCAGACTTGGCGGAGATGGCAGCAGTCTCGATAGCATCCTTGTAGAGCTTGTCCTCCTTCGACAGTGCAATCGACTTCTCCCACCGCTTGCTGTTGCGGTAAATGCTGGCGGCGATTTGGCGGAAGAAGATGAGTTCGTGTTTCTCCAGACGCCGGGCCAAGTCCACGGAATCGAAGTTATCGTGGTTGTCAACGGAGTCACGGAGAGTCTTGTAGTCTTCTTCCTCGATGAGGAGCTCGTTGATGGCATCGTTAATACCCCGTTTGTTCTGGCTCTGGACATTGAGCATGAACGGCTTAATCAGAGGGAGGTTGTCCGAGCTCTTAAAGAGGCGCACAACACGGCCGACGTCGATACGGGGAGTGAGGGCCTGGAGTAAATCGGTGATGAGAAGAGGCTGCTCCTGCAGGTAGAAGGTCAAGGAACGGTAGTAGATCTCCAAGTTGGCAACCTTGACGACGATATCCTTGAAGGAGTGGTGCTCCCAGGCATCAGCAGCACGCTCCATCATAGCCAAAGCGGCGTTGTCCCACTCGTCGTAGTGGCAGTAGAGGAAGACCAACTCAGGCCAGAGGTTAGCCTCCTCGCAGGCACGGATCATCTTGGGGATGTTGATGCGAGACCAGAACAGCTTCAGGTGCTCCATCACCCGGTCCGGGTGGTACTTGGACAGCGCAATACCCAGCTCGGTGAACATGCCCATGTGAGCACGCTCGAGACCGAGGCCAGCCTCAAGAACCGAGATAAGCTCATCGAAGTAACCGTTGCGCTCGTACTGGCGAACAAGAGCCTGCAGCTCCTCAGCGTGGACAATGAGATTAAGACCGCAAATCTGGGCGAGACGGAACTCCTTCTTGTCAACGCAGGCCTCATTGACCTGCTTCCAGACCTTGACGCTGTTGGCCTTGCGGGCACACTCAACGGCGGCTTGGTATTCCTCAAGGTGGACGAGAGTGGTGGCAAGCTTGGCCCAGTTGGAGATACTGGTAAAGAAGATCTTGGCAGCCTGGTGGAATCCCTCCTCATAAGCCTTGTCACCGGAGGCCTCAATGTCAGCTACGTTGGTGGAGCGAAGGAAGTCCTCAAGCTCGGCGAGCTGGTCGAGACGGGCAAAGCAGAAGGCAAGAGCAGTATCGATCGCGGGCTCACGCAGAGTCTTGCGAGCCATGCGGAGGAACTTGACGAGATCCTCATCCTTGCCGGCATGCGTAGCGGTCTCGATCACCTCGCTGTAGTTGGAGGGGTCATTGGCGCGAATGTAGGACTCAATCGAGTCGGAGACACGGAGACCATCCAACTGAGCCTTGGCAACCTTGCTCCAAACCTCGGAAAGCTCAACGCGCTCGGCAAACTCCTGAGCCCGGTCGATGCTAACGATGTTCTCGACGAGGACATTGACGGCAGCAAGCTGGTTGTTGACCTTCTTGTAGATCTCAAACGCCTCCTCATACAGACCAACGCTGATACACATCTCGGCGATCTCATCAGCGGAGAACTCGTTAAGCTGGTGGATGTAGTCCATAAGACGGCTCTTGTCGGCCTTGGCGGCAGTCAGCATGAGCAGGTTCTGCAGGCTGGTGTTGTCACTGAACGGCGAGGGCTCCAGGATGATCTTCTCCAGCAGCTCGATAAGCTCGCCGGGGAGGTCGGCATCGAGGAAGCACTTGACGGCGACAGAAACCTTGTCGGGCTCGGTGGACTCGGGGACCGCAGTAGCGATGACCTGGTCGACGAGGGAGCGGCGGTGCAAGTTGTTCTCGCTCAGGACAAAGGTCCAGATTTCAGGGTCGGCACGGTCAACCAAGTAACGAGCCTGGGCACGGTACATGGAGTTCTCGTTGGTAATGCTGATAAGCTCCAGGTCATTCTGGCCCTTGC